CTTCCAAGTCTTTTCCCTCCATCTTTGCTTTGTTCTTAACAACCTCTCCTTTCTTCTTTCAACCTCTTCTCCTTTCAAATTCTTCTCCTCTTGCTCGACACAACATCAACATTGCCTCTTCAATTCCTCCCTTCTAAAGCTCTGTCGCCCATACAATTACCGCTTCCCAGTTTCCAAGCTCCCCTTCCTTATCAGCTTCTATTGCCCAGGGTGCGATAGAGACGCACCGGCTATCCGCGCCCTCGCGACTTCGCAAGCCACCGCCCACCAATAGCGACGTTGGCAGTTTCCCTGCATCGTCAAACTCAGTTTTCTTGCTGTCCGCTCCCACAGCGGGCGTGCAAAACTCTCCAGGGTCCTGAGTCCATTTCGAGAGGGGGTGGGGTGTTCCTGAAGAACCTGGAAACAGATTAAAACCAAGACCGGACCTGCAAGCAAGTCCCTGTTCCTGTTCACTGCGGAGTTCAATTCTCTCTACCGAACGTCATTCTTTCACTGCCATCTTTGCTGCTTGGGCACTGGAGACGACCCATTTCGACGCAGACGCAGACGCGATTCACTCTTTTCAAATACCCAAACGACGCGGAGGCTCGAAAGTCAACAGTCATCTACCTAGACACCGATATCCGGCATCCACAATCACTTATTCAGCTTTTACCCGCAACAAAACCGGGAGACTTTCCTGCTCGACGCTCCTTTGCGCCAAAGGCTTCGCATTGAGTCTGGTCAAGGAATGAAGTACGGCCAGAACCTCCAAGCGCGATCAGTGCCACAGTGGGCGCCATGTGAGTTGTAACGTCGAGATACTTATTGTGCAACGGGATCTAATACCGCGGTAGATAATGTAGATTATGACGCTCTGAAACATTTGATCAAAACAAATACGACGAGGGATGCCGGACAAGCTGTTGCCATCCCCGGTCAAGTCGATACTGCGTTACAGCGATTTGAAGCTCAATTCTTCAACGAACTTTCCAATCAGCATGATCGCGTGGGACTCTTTGTGAGGAGCAAAGCAGACGAGATAGATCGCAGACTTCGTAAGCCACCCATACATAGGACGCGACGGGACAATTGACTAAACCATGGTAGAATCCTCAAAGAAATCCCTCCTCCGATTGCTCGAACGATGTACCAGCCGCAATGGCAAGCCATTGTCGCAGAAAAGGCGAGAGAAGTTTGCGCGATATGATGATCGAATCGAGAAGTAGGTGCCATTCCTGCAAGCAGTCGGGCAGATGTTGACATATGACAGGTGCGGGGAAGAAATACGGCTACTGCGACGATTCGTAAAGGAGCAAAAGGTTGCGTTCTACAAGATTCTCAAGAAGTACAAGGTATGCTTGGGTTACACGAGGTGTGGGGGCACAAAAAAACTGATCTCGATTCTCAGAAATGGACGGGTTCTAGAGCAGTCGAAGAACGTTTCAATTATGAGATCCTAGCAAGCCCGAAGAGTTTCTCTAGGACCGATTTCGATACGCTACATGCTCAATATGTCGAGCTCATTTCTAGCATACGAGCATCTACGCCCGACTCAAGTGGGCCCATCACACCAAGCAGCGGATCGAGACGACCAAGTACGCAAAATGCTCTGCATGAGCCCCCGCAAGTGTACTGGAACGAATATGATCATGGCAGTGAAGCGGATGACGAACCATATATGATTTCGGTGAACGCGGATGAGGAATCATCGTTCCCTGGCGCAAAGGCTTTCGGATATGTGATGTCAAAGGCTTTTGTCCCAGTTGGAATGATGAGGCATTGGCTAAGTCCTGGACCTGCCCCTAACGAGCGACGCGCCTTATTAGGCAATAATTACTTTGACCACACCGATGTTGAAGACGAAGCATATGCATCGTCGAGCGAATTCCCGAGTGGCTATGTAACACACTATGCCACATTTCCAAGCGTGGAGGATCAGAGAATTAGCCGACATCAGGAGACCCTGCTGCTCCAGGCCTGCATTGCTTCGTTTGGAGCTGCGTTCATACTTCTTCTTATTGCCAGCATATTGGTGGCTACCGGACGACACAAGCTCCTCCTTGAAGTTGATGCTGGTGTTATCACAGGAGTTGTAGCGAGCCTCTTCTTTGCACTGATGGGATTTGCGTGCATGCTTTACCGTACGGACAAGCTCAGTTGGTTTCACCGATTGTTTGTGCTGGTTACTTTCCTTGGAGTTTGTACATTGGATGGGATGCTACTGGTAATAGTAGCAGAAAATACGGCGCTATGAGATACCACCTGGCTACCCATCAAGAGGGTATGAAATTTTGGAACGAAATAATTAGACACGTTGCATCCTGGTACGCTACGATAGCCTCTGAAGAAGAGGCTTGTTTGGGGCTTGGGACGATTATATATGTATATGGTTATCGTTTACATTGGCAGCGTTTCTTGGGGTTCTTGGAGCGGGCGCCATTGGGTTTGGGAAACGGGCCTCGAATTTTCGTTTTGACGAATAATGCCTATAGATTGTATATATTGGGGGAGTCTGGTATACCAGTTGGGTTTGTTAAGCCTTATTAGAGGCAACATTCAAACGATCAAATCGAAACAGTCCATAATACCTATGACTTGTTCATACACCATTTCTCCTTTAGTCTCGCTCAGATATGATTGCCAAGTTGCCAAAATCGACCACTTTCCATTTGGTGAGCGTTTGATACGGGATAATTCATCAAAGGTTAACAGTTTGACTACCCTCTCATCATGCATGCTCTCACTATCATAGGCATCTTAGACTCTTAACATTGTCGAAGTAACATGTCTATTTTTATTCCATTAAGATATGATCATCTCATCGCTTAGTTAAATTCCCATCCCTTACGACCCAACGATCACACCACCATTAGGATGCAAGCTCTGCCCGCTAATAAAACTACTATCCTTGCTCGCCAAAAACACAAAGCACGTCGCCACCTCTGCAGGCTGTCCGGGTCTCCCCATTGGACTCGTGAACTCGCTCTGTGCCTTCTCGTTCATGGTTGCCGGGATCAGCGGCGTCCAGATTGGACCTGGGCATACCGCGTTAACACGGATACCATTGCCAATCTGCTGGTTTGAGAGACCGCGGGTGAAGGCTACGATTGCGCCCTTGGTGGAGGTGTAGTCGAGGAGGTCGGGTCGGCCGATGTAGTGGTTGACAGAGGCGCAGGTTATGATTGTGGAGCCGGGCTTCATGTGTGGGAGGGTGTATTTGGAGAGGTAGAAGAAGGGGTGGATGTTTGTGTTGAAGGTCTTGAGCCATTGGTCCCTGAATTATGTCAGTCATTTCACCATGTTGCTTTCGGTAAGAAGAAAACATACTCGCTAAGATCAGCAATGGTCTCTTGCATCATCTGGAATCCGTGGTTGAGGACTAGGATATCAATCTTTCCCATAGCCTTCAACGACTTCTCTACCACATCCTTGCAGTTCTTCGCTTCCCGTAGGTCGGTTGAGATAAGATCTAACTTTCCGCCCTTCTGCTCGACGAGTTTCTTTGTCTCCTGTGCGTCCTTCTCTTCCTCGGGCATGTAGACGATTGTGCTGTCTGCACCTTCCATGGCGTAAAGGATTGCTACGGCACGACCGATTCCGGAATCACCACCAGTGATCAGAGCCTTCTTTCCCTTGAGCTTGCCGGCTGCAAGGTATGGCTGGTATCCTCCATCGTCGGTTGGGAGCTGGTCGTTTACTGGATCTGGGCCCTCCATCTTGTGTTGCTTTCCAGGAGCCTCCTGGTGGCTGACTGGGACCTCATGGCCTGTTGATGTTAGAATAAGTCAATGATAATTTTTGTAGGAAATGCTTACCAGATTCGTATTGAGATGACATGTTGAGAGATTTGTATGTGAAGTAGTTAGATAGAGATTATGATGACTCTTGGGTATCGTGAGTAGTATTCAAGTTGTTTAAATGGCAGGAAATAAAATTCTCAACCAATTTACACACCACTTCATCTGATATAACTTTTCTCGAGGAGACGCCAAGCTAGCATGCAAGAGCAAACGTCAGGGCCAAAGACAGTACGGACCTCAGCTCCGGAAAGGTTCTAGGTCATTGAAACACTGCCCAATTGGCCAATTGTAGATTATGGAGGGGCTAATGAGGGGTGTTTTCTCGATGTCGATGGGAATGTGAGATGGGCAATGATGTATTGCATTCTGATGTCGTACTTTACGTCACTGCTAACTACTGCGTCGAATCGTGTGTGCTGATGGCATACTTCAGGAAGGACGTGCATATTTTCACGTAGTATGTTAATATTGAGTTTGATGTAATATATAAACCATCAAATCCCATGAAGTAGTTAGGATGTTTTTTGTTTGTTGTTTTGAACGAGAGAAGGTAAGGAGAGATTCTGCGTACTTCATGAGATTCCGAACCCCTCCCCCCACTTCCAGATATTCCCCTCGCTTAATCAGGAGGGTCTTATCTGATATCTCTTTTCGTGTACAAGTAATAAGCTTTGGGATTATTTGGACTCAGAGGTATTATAGACACCCCATAGTTTATACTTCAAAGTAGGTTTAGGAATTTGTTGTACTCAATGTACAAAATTCGGGGTCTTTCCCTAATAAATGGACTTAACTCCAAATTATGTACCATGCTGAGAGCAACTACTCATTGCTACACTATGAAAGATCGTCTTTCTCTCTTATCGAGATTGACATGCAAGCTTATCATCATGCTCTCCCAAAGACTCATATATGGTGATATTATATCCCCATTACGTTGTTTCAACTCCAGAGTAGCTGAGAAGGCCTATTTGTTCTCACGTGACACATCAGAAATTGAACTAATTATCCGATCTCAAGTGTACCTAAGAATACCTTTAGAGCCCCAGCTTTATGGTTAACACAACACTGAACCCAATTGCATGTATGCTCAACATTAAGCTCACATTTCCAACTTAAGAACATCAAAGGATTCAATGACGTATCGCTGTCCCAGCCTCCCGTGACCGTTTTGTAAGCGATCACGACGCGATCCTCTGACATTTCAGTGGGTGAATTGCCGCCGGTCCGAGATCATGCAGAACAATTCAGGGTCCTTTACGAGACATCAGCCACAGCCTTATGAGCGAAAGAAGGTGTTGTGCCACGAGCCGAGCGTCATTGCCAAGCCAACAACCGCGTCCAAACCTGCTTGCCAACGGCTCCCCTGACACTCGCGAACAAGTGTCGACCCTGAATTGTGTGGTTTTGACAGGTCTCACGCAAGAGTAAGCACCTTCATTGGTGCTGGAGAGATGTTGAGGTCACTATCAACCGTGACGTCCCGGCACCACGTTCCACAACCTCGTGGTCTTGGTCGAATAGACCCTGGACAGCCTGCACAAACCTGCACAATGCTTCAAATCCAAGCAATAAGTCCAGGCCCTGCCGTCATTTGTACTCGGAAAGATCTACAATCTCCCCATAATTGCAATATCCCAAGTCTTCTAATCCAGGTTTTTGCACACACCCTCCAGCCAAATTAATATTCCCCGAATCACAGCACGGGAAAACCAAGATATCTCATACCCTCAATATCCTCAAACCTGCTAGACCCTCATTTGAGGACGTCTATAAAGTTAGCTTGCCATGAACCTCTCTAATCTCCCATCCAAACAACAACACGATCAGATACTCCTACACTATCTACCACCACGCACACTATCAGACTTCATAGCTACCTACAAAAACTGTCCCTCATCACCCTCAACACCATCAACACTCTACTTCTCCCGTTCCCGAGCCACCTCCCGAACCGGATCCCCATACACAAGAGCCTCCTCCACAACCACAAGCCTAAACACCATCTCGCTATCCTCCAAAACAATCCTACCCTTACCCTCCAAACCTCTCACAACAAGAAAATCATCCACCATGCCTCTCAGACACACAAACAACCGTATGGTCGAGACCAGAACCACCAAGCCAACACTGATGACCCGTCTTCGAGGCCGCAACGCAAACTCGCGTACCGTCAAGACAACCACCAAGATTGAGCCAGCACGTAACCATCATACTACCGCCACCCGTACGCACCACACTACCCATACCCACACCCGAACGACTAGAAGTTCCGCTCAACCAGTTGTGCACCATAAGAGACATGCCAGTATTGGCGATAAAGTCAGTGGTGCGATGATGAAGTTGAGGGGATCTTTAACCAGAAGACCTGGCCTCAAGGTATGATTCAATGACTCAAATCGAGCTTTCATCAAGCTAATATCATACAGGCTGCAGGTACTCGACGCATGCATGGAACTGATGGCCGTGGAAGCCACCGTACCTATTAAGCGTTGAACTTTCGCATCTAGGACAGGGGGGATGTATTGATATTGGTTTTTGTAATATTATGTTCACGAGATACCCGAATGACGATTATGAAGTGTAAATAGCGGGTTTTTGATGTATTGTTAATTTAGCGAATTATTAGCTACTAGTCATAATGTGACCTAATTCCTCATAGCGACTATGTGTACTCCTTAATATCCTTTAATGATATTATAAAGTAATGCAATCTCAACCCACGGTGCGTGTTCAAAAAGGAACTCTGGACACATTGGAGTAATGCCAAGCCGGAAAGCAAAAAGCGACCCTCATGCAAAGCGCGTACAGAGTGATGAAAAGCAAGAAACGGAAGAAAATTCAACAAAGTGTGAACACGCCAAGGAATCCGACCAACCACCAACGAATAGGCAACGCATACCCTCTTAATTAGTCGAGACCCGTAAAACGACTCCCCCTGACTCCTAATAATCATACATAACCATACAAGTCGAATTTTGCATACTAGGCTTTGATACGTCCGATGTGGTATACGGGATCACTAGCGACAAGCGTCAGCACATCTACCTTGAAAGTTCATACAAAACGTGTTAAAGATAACACCTCCGGCCTTCATGACCAAGGAACGGTGGGGGTTTATATAGTTCCATGCGTGACAGAACATCCCAAAAAGGTTCAGTACGAGCTTGGCCACCGAAATATGAGTCGAAGAGTTGTACTTACTTTGTTTGTAATTCATCAATGTCCATATCACTGTAGTTCTCCATGTCAAATCCCGACTTGGAATGACGTTCAGATAATCGGCTGTCTCTCCTGGCGTTAAAAGTAATGTTGTTCAATGAGAATCTCTGTTTCGACGTCCTCGCTAAGTTTGGCATTGAGTTGTGGACTCTGCTGAACTCGAGTTTCGGGGGCACTTCTGGCATTTTATCTGAATGCTTTGAATCTCTATCTGCGATTGATATATTAGGGTCGCGGGGAGCAAGAACGTAGGATGGTGGTAATTGTTCTGCTCTCAATGCGTCTTCGCCATGTTTTCTATCACGAGTAAAGTAGTCTGCAAGATGCTGTTCCATCGTCTCTAATTCAAGCTTGCTTGGAGACGGATGCTTCTTCCCTCGCGTGTGGACGGGGAAGCCTTCCTGGTAACCAAGTTTAGATGCCCTTCGTGGGGTTCCTCTCGTTGCTCGCTCAGGTGTGAAATCTTCGGTTTCAGTAATTTCAACAACTGGCTCGACGTCAACATCCATTCGAGACCCTGGTGAGGTAGTGGAACTGTCAGGGTCAAACAGTGAGAGAGAGTCAGCCGGTACACTCTTTAGCGTCTTTTTGCCATTCTCGAAAGCTGGCTCCAGGCGCATGCGGGGGGTTGATTGCGCCGCTGGGCTCGACGAAAACAAGGTGTCGAAGTCAGAGTCGTATGCTAGTGTTGATGGAATGCATTTCCTTATCCCTGGCAGAGTACTGATGCTTCTCGGAAGCCTCGGGAGGCTGGGGCTTCCGCTTCCAGTATGTTCTGAAGATATCTCCTCTAACAATTTGTGCTCAAAACTGGATGGGCTTCTTCTTGTGCCATCAGAAGACGGTGAATCACGAAAAGGGTCTTTATCACCTTTGTCTTTGGATTGCCGACTTCCTAGCGACTTGCCATCGGTTGCAACCGGTTTGCGTCTTATTTTTCCATTGCCAGTCATTTTTGTAATCTTAGATTTTTCGAAATTATTGCCTGTCAAGGATTAGCCAGGTCTAGGATTGAATTCGTAAGAACCAACCTTCATTTATTCTCATCTGGGCAGGAGATATCAGCTCCGGTACTACTTCTGCGGCATTGTTCACGGAGGGATCCAGAAGTCGATCATCTCGGACAGGATCGTGTGGCCTCTTGCCGTTCCGTGATTGCATTTGATGGTTGAAAACAGTCTTGACTCGTACCAGGACCCGATTGTCCTTTATCCGTCGCTTTTTCGAAGGCACCATAGGTCCCTGATAAAGAGCACTTTCGGAGCTAGATCCCTTCAATGCTTGGGTCGCTTGGAGCATCTTGGCAATCTTTCCGTTGATATCTTGCGCGTTGACAGAGCTCGACGTAGCTTCTGACTGGTTCACGGGTGCAGAGACGTTCATGACCATGGGCGTACTAAAGCTCTTTGAGAGCTTGTTTTTGGAAGATGACCCACGTACATGGCCACCGTTAGGCTTTTGCGGGCTCGTAATGTTGCTCTTGGATCGACTGGACTTTCGCTTGGATGATCGACGCGGGATCGCTGGAGCTGAACCTTTCCTGTTGTGGGAGTATTCGGTTTTCGCGGGTGGAGTAGGAGGTACATCCATACTGAAGCGTGTGAGGTTCGAGTTGCCTGCAGCCGTGACTACAGGTGAAGTTCTCATTGCCCAAGCGTCGTCACCATTGAAAATAAAAGCAGGTAGCTGTGGCAAATCTTTATTGTTGTTCCTGTTGTGTCTCGTATCGGAATTGTCGTCTTCGATTGTACGAGGCGTTGAGATGCCAGAGTTGCCGAGTGTGAGACCAATCTGTGATAGGCGTCTTCCAGGATCGATTTTGGGTTGCTCAAGGGTTGTGTCGTTCAGTAAGGCATCCGCCATTTCTTCAACACTATCTTCATATTCTTCACTGGGTGGGACCAATTGTTCTCGGCTTCTGCCCTCGTAAAAAGCAGCTAGTGTCACTGTCGAGCCTATCCAGACCACATGTCAGTTGAATTATAACGATATAGTGTAGATGAAATTGAACGGCGCATGATACTAACTTTGAAAACCCGACCTTTCCTGAACTTTCTCTTTCTTGTGCTTGCCCGAGCTTGAATCTCGGAAAGCAGAGAACGACTCGAGAAGAGATCTTCTCTTCCTCCCAGGCTTCTCCATCTCGAGTCCCAATCCCCACAACAAAGGCAGATTGTACGTCGAGGCTGTAAGCTGAGGTAGATTCGAGTATTTTATTTTGGAAAGATCCAGGTGTTGGTGAAGTTGCTATAAAGAAAAAATTCTTGGCGTACTAAAAATGTATGATTTGAAGGTGAATACCAGTACGGAAAGTTTTGCTCAAGCGCGAGCCCGCCAGTTCGGTAACTAAAAATCCGGCAAGGCAGGAACTGCTGTATGAGGTGACTCCCCTAAGGGGGGTCCCGTAACTTCATACGGCCCGAGGTGATTTCTCATGGTCATCAGATCAGGCAGGAACGAGTGCTCGAGTTCACCATTCGTGAAAACCCACCATAGAAGCAAGTGCCATGTAATTCCAACAAGTGATCTGAGTCATCTGAGTCATCTGAGTCTTCTGAGCCTTCTGAGGTTGTTCAAACTATATCGTCATAAGCCAATCGCATGTTTCAAACCTTGAAGGACTTTACATTTTCGTTTCTGTACCTAACTTATTTTTGACTGTGAGGTCATATCACATTGAATGACCTGGGCGAAAGCTGAAGCATCCTTAGGGATCAATAAACACTGCATCTAATGAACTCTTTGGTTGAGTTTGGGGGTTAAGGTTGGTTTTGGATGAGCTGGCATGGAACATCAGGTTGACCGAAAGAAGGATCTACAAAATTGTGATTCTGTAAATAAGCATCTACCTCTCTTGAACTGCTCGTGTTGTAAATTGAAGAAATACAAATACACAGTCTCTATATTACAATGAAGCTTAGCTATTACCTTACATACATGAAAGAAAATGGCCCAGGATGGTGCGATGAATCTACCGTATTGCCGTGACGACAACCGGTCAAGTGTCGATGTCAATCAAAAGATCATGACGATTGGTCTTGATAGCGATTTTCATATTGTCAGGAAAGCCCGATGTCAGATTCTCGGCCTCGACATTGTTGGTTTCACGGGCGGTTCGGTGGAAAAGACGTGATTGTAGAGTTCACTTTTCGCTGAACAACAACCAATGTCAAATCCTCAAAGTAAATGCTAGGCCGTTGGAATATATGGGTATCTGTACGAAGAAGTTAACCAAAAGCCTGAACGAGGGACTCGCAATTACTGGCCAGTATGAACTGACCTAAATCGGTCGTCTTACATGCAAAGACAAGTTATTACATTTTGGTATTTATCCTGTAAACGAGCTCGTTCAGTAAGATGAGGATGTATAGATCGGACACCATGCGCGTTGTAGGATTGAAGTGGTTTGGTTGTAGCTAGCTTGATAAATGACTCGGTAGCTACCTATTGTGAGTTCATTCGTAGATCGGTGAACTGTATTATACTGTATACATTTACCACGGCCATACTAGTCCGGAACCATCCAAAACGAGGTAAAAGAGTTATCTGTTCAAGAGAACGCCTTTTTTGCTAGATATAATTGTGAGGAGAACCGACGCAATAAAAGTGCCCTCGGATGTCGTTGTGGTATAAGTGGGTACCCAGATTCATCGCTATAATTGAGGGGTCATGATTGGTTCGGCATCCAGATTGTGGATACTCTGAATTCTGGCTGTCGCAATCGTCACATGAAATATTGTATCGACAGGGAGACGTCTTGGAAATCTTGAATGGCCACATGTTACAATTGCTTACTTTCCTATAAAATATTGTTGACCAATCAAAGTTGGCTGATTAACTCCTCGATTCACAACCCGTTCGGATATCTCTCGGGCCGCATATTAAGTTACTGCCCGCCACTTTTTGTCGAGAGGAGTAGGCACTTTGCTTACCGCAACAACATCCTCTCATTCTCTTGCCTGACGGTGTCCTCTATTTCTCATATCTTTTACAATTACAAAGATGTCCTTTTCAAGCCTTGTTCAAGACCTCTCTTTCAGAGACAATACCACCAACGAGCGTCGACAAATGAACCGCGCAACCTCATCAGCCTCGACCATTGATGACCGCCGATCCCACGTTTCCAGAGCCATGTCTTATGCCAGCACTACTGCGACAAGTGTGAGCATAGCTGGCGATATTTCAAGTCAATTGCATGGTGGTTATGCGCATCCTCTTGCTCGATCATGGCAAGCGGAGCGACAGTTGACCAAGGTGAGACTGGGTGTATGCTGAATGCAGGATGACCGGTACTGATAAAACGGCAGGCAATGCTTATTTACCCTCTATTCATCTCAGATATTGATGACGAAGAAATTCTCATTCCCTCGCTCCCAGATCAATACCGCCGCGGGATCAATAAACTCGTCCCTTTCCTGGAACCGCTCGTTCGAAAGGGCCTGCGATCAGTCATACTGTTCGGTGTTCCAATGGCTGCGGGCACAAAGGATGCACTAGGCACTGCTGCTGATGATCCGCGGGGACCTGTCATGGCTAGTATTCGCCTGTTGCGCCAAAGATTCCCCCAGTTGTATATTGTCGCAGATGTCTGCCTTTGCGAATACACATCACACGGCCACTGTGGCATTCTCAGAGACGACGGTAGTCTGAACAATCAGTTATCTGTCGACAGAATATCAGATGTGGCTATTGCATACGCTCAAGCGGGTGCTCACTGCGTCGCTCCTTCGGACATGAACGACGGTCGAATCAGAGCTATCAAGCTTAAGTTGATCGAGGCTGGCATTGCCCACCAGACATTACTCATGTCATATGCTGCGAAATTCTCGGGCTGTCTATACGGCCCATTTCGAGATGCAGCGGGCTCCGTTCCCTCTTTTGGGGACCGCAAATGCTACCAACTACCACCAGGGGGCAGAGGTCTTGCCCGCAGAGCCATTGAGCGTGATATTGGCGAAGGTGCGGACATCATTATGGTCAAACCTGCGGGTCAGTACCTCGACATCATTAGTGACGCCAAAGAAATTGGAAAGAACATGCCTATCGCTGCCTACCAAGTTAGTGGGGAGTTTGCTATGCTTCATGCTGCTGCGAAAGCTGGAGTTTTCGACCTAAAGACGATTGCCTTCGAATCTACAGAGGGTATTTTACGGGCAGGTGCGGGGATTGTCGTCAGTTATTTCACACCCCAGTTTCTGGACTGGTTAGAGTCATAGAAATCGGATTTTAGTTTCACTCGAGCCTGTGATCTACGGTGTAAGGAATATCAAGAGGCGTATGGCGTATATAAAACTATGTGGGAAATACCAAGAAATTTGTTGTTCAAATCAAGCTGGAACGAATCCATCTTTATGTTCATCTTGAGCCCTCATTTTGACATCGCACCTTGAGCTTCTGAGAATGATCGTACAAAACCCGACCCCATTGTATATTAAGATAATCAGATATCGAGCTTCTCCTTCGATCGGTACATCGTCACTATCCGAGCAGTCCGAATGCGGTAGACGACCTGACGCCGAGGAAGTGGGTGTGCAAAGACCCCTGCATCCCAAATGTGGGGGATTGGCGTATCCGACTCCTCGGCATACTGAGGCTTGAGTAGCCTCGCCTCGTTCGGTGTTCTGTTTCTAATGGTCCAACGGAACATTCGCATCTACAAATTTTGTTTACCTCCCCAGTAATCTCGGTCGTCCCTTATGTAGTATCCGCGATGAGGAGCCTTGCCACTGGCTTGCCAAAGCGATGTAGATATGCGCCTCGAAGACAACTCCCCAGGGAGGTGTCTCACGGAACCTGCCTGACGCGACAGCAACCCATCAGCAACCACATACAGGTACGGCATGCTTCAACCAAGCCTCATCGGCCTCGGACAGCCATATTCTTTCCCGGTACGTCTTCAGCGAGCAAAAGAAAGTTGAACACCCGATCAGGAGAAATGCTAATGTCAACCAGGCCAGGGAGTTCAAAGAGTTGGCATGCTCACACCATGGCTAGAAGCATTTCCTGCGACTGCAAAGCCGGCTGTTGAAGAGATTGACCATCTCCTGGGTTACAAACTCTCCACTATCATTGAGGAGGGTCCCAATAGTCTCCTTACTGCGACCGGCAATGCACAACCTGCTATCATGGCCTCTTCCCTTTTGATACTCCGAATATTGGAACGCGAATTTGGGTTTCAGACGGCGGAGCGGGTAGACGTGACATTAGGGCACTCGTTAGGCGAGTTCGCTGCTCTAGTTGCTGGGGGCTTTGTACAATTTGAGGACAGCTTGTACTTGGTACGCAAGAGAGCGGAACTTATGGCGGAAAGTTCACAGAAAGCGCGAGAGGAATTCGGCGGGGATTATGGGATGATAGCTCTGGTCACGGAGCCGAATCATTTGGCGTCCTTGATCGATTCGATACACGAATTTCTAGGTTATCACAGCGCAGGATCCAAGTCAGAAAGCGCGTTGGATGTGCCGCCGATTCAGCAAGTTCTGATTGCAAACATTAACAGCAAGAATCAGATTGTCCTTAGTGGAAACATTGCGGCAATTAAGCAACTTTTAACACATATCCGACAGTTCGGAGGACACGATCCAAGAGCTGTACGATTAAAGAGTGACAGTCCATTCCACAGTCCGCTGATGAAACCAGCGGCAACCGCCATGAGAAAGCTACTAGATGGTAAAAGCAGAGTCAAGGGTAAAGAAGATCAAGACATTGTTACATTCCCGGGAAAGATGGAATGTATCAGCAATGTTAGTGCTAGGCCTTTCACGGGTGCAGAAGACCTCAAAGACCTTTGGGCAAGGCAATGTGTAGAGACCGTTCGCTGGTGGGATTCGATAAAGTACCTTGATCAGGAGCAGAAAGTTCGTCGATGGATAGGAATAGGACCGGGAAAGGTTGGTAGAAATTTAGTCGGAAAAGAGGTTGGGATGCGGGGACGAGACGTAGTAAAGGGCGGAGGTGTATGGGGTATCAGCGATCCGAAAGAGATCGAGGAGATGCTGAAAGCTCTCGATGACACGGAGAATATTAGAGATGATGAGTAGCCTTCTCCATCGATGTTGACCGTTCAGGATTGAGAATCTTGACTGAAGTACAGTAAATACCCAAATGAGATTCCACAGTCCCATAAAATCACTTGTTGGTCCAACACGCTTATTTTGGGTGATAACGTACCTTCAAGGTTGTTCGGAAGTCATATATTCCCCAATCTTCTTCGTACAATTGAACAAGGCTGACTAGCTTGTATGAGCAATCAGTATGATTATCTATGTACCAGTAGATATTTCCATCATTCAAAACGTAATAATTAAAATTTCCAACTTCGTAATTTGTGCCTAGAATTTGTCGGGTTATACATAACCCAGCAGGAGGGGTAAGTTCAATTTCAATCTCAGCCTCGTCCCCCAAATCTTAGCATCAAAACATCCACCACCACATACCACAATGGCAGCAATCCCCTCCATTGCATGCATAGGCATAATAGGCAAAAACGTACCCTATCTCCAAGCCTCAAATGAATTATTTCTGATCTCCATGTACTAACGAATTACCCAGAATAACCCTCTCCACGTAACCCTCTTTCCGTCCCATCCAAACAACACCCCCCTTCGCACACCCGTCCAATTCTCGCTCCTCTTAGCCAGCACTCTCGATATCTTTGAAGCGCGCTCGAAAGTAAATCTGACGTCCGGCGGTGGCCTGTCGGGGGACTATGGACTCTTGCACGCGGTGGACGAGCGGCTCGCGGCGTACGGCTTTGAAACGAATACTGGGGTGAAGTTCGTGGTTGTGGTTGATATGCGTGGAAGGGGAATAGGAGAAGGGATCGGTGGGTATGTTGGCAAGGGAGGTTTGGGGTTGAGGGATGGTGAGATGAAGGGGGTGAGTTGTCTTTTTGAAGCTTGCGCTTGAGCTGGCTGATTTGGTCGCGTATGAATAGGTGTTCCGGGCTATTCAAGCTAGTTACGTGCGCTTATTACAGAATCCTTTCTATGATCCGGACGAGCATAGCCCGCCAACTGGTAAGGGCGGGAAGAAGATTACTAGTCGGCTGTTTGGGGAGGATATGAGGAGAATTGGGGAGAGCTGGCGGCCTGGAGCAGGGACTACAACGGGATGAGGTACTTGCGAAAAGGAAGTAGATGAGGTCGTTACATTGCAAGGTGTTTTGGGCGTTAGCAAGCATCTAATAGGCGTTGGTATCATATCAGTGAAGCTTTGATGAAACACTCATATGTATAGAAGTAGGCTCTCAGGTTCATTTCTAATGATAAAACAGACTACCTTTACAATCACAGGCACCTTGATAGTCTAGAGCATTATTATTTCTTTCTCTCTTCGAGACCCGCGGGCCCTTGACCCCAAGCACCAGCTTTCTTTCCCCATTTGGTTATGCCCCAAGCATGCCAGCCACCAATTTGAGGTGGAGGATCCCTCACTTCACGGAACGGACTTTGAGTCCTTTTTTCTAGTTCTTCTAATTCCTTTCCTTGCAAACCTGCTGGTTTGTCGAGCTCGACTGAAGGGCCAAGCTTAACGTCGCTTCCATCTGGAAGCACCTTGAGTTCTTCTAATACTGGCGCAGTTCGACGTTCCCAACGCCTAACCTCGAGAGGCAAAGGTCTCCACCACTAGAATTGGTAAGTCATGAAATCGAGCGCAGGCAATATTTGCTTGGAGGTGTCACTGGGGCATGGATAACTTACATCTGGCTCAGATCTAGCGTGCCACCTAGCTCCACACATCTCCCACAGTCTACTACTTGCTCTTTTGTAAGCGAACTTTTCATCTTCGCCGGTGAAAGAGCCCGTCATTCCGAAATCGACTTGTCGTCCTATCTCATTTCCTTTGCCGGGAATGGGACCAAAATCTGAGTCCTCATCTGGGTCATAACCTGATCGCGAGTCGTCTTTGTAGGTAGAAATATTAGGCCTAAAAGGAGAAGTCTGATCCTGGTAGATCTCAGATAGAGTTTCTGGATAGACAGCATCGCCTCCGTCACTTTCACTCTGACGAGTCCCACCAGCTGCGGCATTTGCTGAAGCTGCTATCTCTGGAAAGAAAAGGTTGTCTGGATCGGTTTCAGCCCGAATGATGAGTTTGCAGCGCGACTCATAGAGAGCGTCTAACAGCGTGATCAGCCTTCTCGCCTCGTTTTTCTGAGAAACATGTAGAATAGGAACTTTGTCTAAGATCAAGGTATGGAACGTTGATGCTAAAGTTATGTAGTCTGCAGGTCCCAAAGTTGACTCGCATAATTCCTCAAAGGTCCACGACGTAACACCTTCGAAATGTCGAGGAACAGGCACTTGACGGCCATACACCAAGATGGTTTCGGAACGCCAGGGTACTGGAGCCTTGGTGTTCGATGGCAGCACAGCTTTGATGGTATTTTCCCAGCTTTTTTCGTCTGACGACGTAGCATAATGTTTGGGCAGCTTTGCAGTCTGCTTCTCTCCATTCAGTACGGATGCCGCTGGGGAATATTCAGATACGTGAGAGCCACTCTCCATGGATATCACGTTCTCTATCATGTCTTCACGCAAAGTCTTATCGATCGCCGTTTCGATTCCATCTTCTTCGTCCCTTCGTCTCCAGTCTCGTTCACCACGGATGTCCCAGATCTCACACCGGGCTTTGAGAACTTCTACAAAAGCCGCGTATTCATTCTGTCAAGTTCAATAGTCAGCTTTCTGGCCCCAAGAGAAATTTATCTCAAATGTATAGGTTGCGGGGCGCCTGAGAGACATGGGGTTGAATTTCATCAAACCCTACCTCAGAAGACAATACTTACATTTGAAGGAAACATGCTTGGTGTTCGTTCGTTTCCGTAACCTAACCACTTTCTTACGAAACCTCCTCTTGAGGGTGCTGTATAATCCATACCACTAGCTTTGGACAACTCATCAGGCATGCGATTTGAAGAAGCTATCAACACACCCCCAAGCTGGAAAAAAGCTGTCAAAAGATTGCTCAGGATTTTCGCAGCAGTTCTGTCTGGTAACTGGAACTCGTCCAGGAAAAGGATTGGCGAATTCTCGACCAAATCCTTCGCTAACCAGATCAACGAATGCTCGGCATCACTGCCAGCTTGAGTTCTACGCTGTTCTAATCGAGCTAGAATCTCTAGCATGAAGGTGTTAAAGTGCCAACGTCTTTTCTTACGATTTGGAAGACAATCAGCCAATAAATCGACCATCATACTTTTCCCAGTTCCCACCTCGCCATGCAGCATCAATCCCTTAGGTGAGTCAAGATTCATGGCCTCTTCATGATTCGTGAGAACTCTGGTCAACGCGAGAGTGTCTCGTTTCTGTTTCTCTGCAAAAAGATGTGCAAAAAGTGGATTTCGTCTGAGGGGATGGCCGCGAACAGCCACAACAGGTCCTTCATCATCTTCTGTTCTAGTTTCCACAGCTCTAGATATTGCCTTTAGCCGAGCGCCATATTGCTTGTCAGGAGAGTAGTCGAGAAGACTGGAATATAACTTCTGGAGATGAAGAGCCAACCGGTATTGGGCTGGGTCTGGAGCAATCTGTCTAGTTTGAAGAAGAGATCGATAGAGGACTAGAGGATTGGTGATGGCGAGTGAAGTCACGGAGGTTGAGAGTGTTTTGGACATTGGGAGACACTCATACTAGTAAAACACAATGGGGTTGTTCTGTAAGGTAGTTGGCGATGTTTGTTCCTCAAATGGCGGCGGAATGGAAGCGTCATTGACTAGCGTGATATTCGACTTGAGCGACATTTCAGAAATTCGCCGACTCCGAGTATATCTTCACTTATTGAACCGAGATGGAGCCCATGCATTTAAAAGAAACGGCGATATACCGTATAAACGTGTGCCTGCTATTTTCATTGAGCTGCGATGACGATGAATGAGGCCACCGACGAGTGTTCTTAAATCCGAGGCACGTTTTCGTGAATGGTTGTAACTGCTCATATTCATTCGAGAGGCAGGGATACAACCGCTGCTGATATGTCTCAATACAATTATATCTACATTTCAAAGAGTAAAACGCTCGACATCCAAAAGTGCGAATCATAATGTACATTTTCTTCAGGAATTGCAAATTCCCCTAACAGCCTAACTCCATTTGACCGCTTTGCGAATAAGGCTTAGCGTCTTGGCATTTATTCTCCAATTCAGGGCAATACTTCTAAGTAAACACAGCAGCTTCAGAGAGCTTGTCGGATTTAACTCTAACGTTGCTCTTCATCGCGCTTGCTTCTTGACGATGCTTGAGCGTCATCATTGTATTGTATCCAACTCGGCTTAATCGCGTTTGTCTCTGCGAGACGCGTTCGACATGTTTTCTACGTCGGGTACAAATGGCACTCCTGCGGCTTCTGTCAGGACAAGTCGACGACGACAACGTCCGGCATCAAATGAGGGGTCGATTCCGAAAGCAAAGAGGCAGAGAAGCGCTCTCAGCGACCAGACCTTTGCGCCTCCTCGAGACGATCCAGTGGAAATGCAGGAAGTCAAACTCCAGAAGGTGCCCTCACTAACTAGGAGGGAGAGCCCAAGAGCGACACCGGTCCACCAGAAAGAAATTGCCGTAAGAGGGAAGAAACAACGAAACGGCGAGCGCAGTAGTAAAGGAGACGGCAGCCTCGTTCTTGTAAGATTGATAGGTGCTTGTGAGCTGTGACAGTTGCTGATGATACGCAGACCACGAATGATACTTACACCGTGAGCAAGCTTCCTGCTTTGCCTGAATCTTTGCGTGCGAACGATACAAGTATGTAAACATTTGAGTTTCATTAAACGTTGCTGATGCTGGCATAGGCCGAATACATGGCGCAGTATATTCGGATTCTGGATACGCGCTCTCACTTACTCACACCCACGCGATCGTCTGGCCATACGCGGTACATGTTCCCTCACCCGAAACCTTTACGTTCGCTATTCCCTTCCCTTCGAGCCACGCATCCGACCCCTTGCCACTGGGCTCTTTGGTATCTGCGTCCGCGTCTTCTACCGAGCCTGGGCTTGTCATCGTCATTCCCTCAACCGGCAGAATAACGTATTGGGAATCCATCGCGAGCGCGGCAACACTGAACTTAAAGCTACAAAGAAATGGAGTAGACTTAGTGATTCCTGGAATGTTATCTGGGGAGAAGGTTATACAGATCCTCAATGCAGAATCTGCTGGTTTTATGCTCGCTTTCAGCAGTGGCAGGATTGCGTATATGACAGTCAGAGATGGGCAAGGCAGACCTGCAATCGCCGTACAATTCCTTCGAAGCGGTAATAGCACGGCCAATACAGGACTTTTTGGCAGTCTCCGAAACGTACTGTCGACATCATCTTGGCATGGTGATATTGCAGCTATTCGAGCTGGACGCCAGGAAAAGATTGGCGAGAGGAACGTGCTAGTGGCGACAAAAAAGGGTAAAATTCAATCGTGGAATATGCATAGAGGTGGGCATACCTCGTTGGCCGCAGAATCCGAAGGGCGGGAAACGATCGTGTTAGCAATCAAGGAAGCGATACCCGCGTTCAACAGTCTCTTCGCAGAGACGTTCGAGCTTATAGATGTCGCTCACATGCAAGACTCTCCAACTGAAACTGCCTTGAGTCGCCGAGGTGATGTTGATCTATCAACGCGGCTTCTACTCTTGGTCTCGTTAACGGAAAAACATCTCTCACATTACTCACTCGTAGAGGCTATATTGGGGCCGGATGGTCTTAAGGTTGGCAATATCCGTCCTATCAAATCATATTCCACGCCGGTTGCCAAAGATGCGGTTACCAATACACGACTTTACCTACCAGATCCTTCACTTGCTTTTGTCGTTTTCAATCGCGCCGTGGTGGTTGTTACGCTTAATCAACCGGATGATTCGCCAGAATCACAGCTTCTGACCGAGCGCCATCTGTTCCCGGACAGCTTCGAAGATGTGGTAGATTTTCGAGGGGACATGGACTTTGAAATTATCGGGTCTGGGGTGGAGGAGCTCCATGCGTCGTCTGGCATCACGGAGGAGGCTAAGACGCGGCGAACTAAAGCGAAGCATCCCGCGACTGTTCTGATTGCTCGAAACGGGGGCATATTACGCGTGGCAGCAACCGATATCAGCAAACTTCGTGTAAAATCAGAGCCGCTGACCGCAAAAAGTAAGCTTCAGCAGGCGGTCTTTTTTGGTGCCCAACAGCAGAATCCCATCAATTTCGCCGTTCGACCTGAGATTGCATTCCCGGCCGCAGACGTTGGCGCAGCTGCGATGGAACTTAGTCGAGAAATTCTCAAGTCCAAAACCCCCTACATCCCTTCCGTTGCTGCTTCAACAGAACAAAATCTTCGAAAACGATCTACTGCTCTACGCGATCTCGCAAGATACTTGAAGTCGAGCGGCGTGGAATTGGATCGTATCACAAGATGGCGTCTACTCTGGGATGCGGAAAAAATGACTGCTGCATTGGCTATCTGGAACTCTTATGACTCGATCATCAGCCAAAAGTCCCACGGAGAAAAGCGTGTGCTCCTGGCAGAGCTTGTTGAGTTTATTCATGAAGACTGGAAATCTAAACCAACGGATGAAGCTGGCGAGCTTGACCATGTCCGATATTGGTTCATGGAAGATATCGACAGGCTTGACATCGCTCTTCCGTGGGCCTTCCAGATTGTGAAGTATGCTTATGTTGACAGTAAGAAATCACCTGAAATTGTCATGGAGACCTTGAATGAAGCAAATGAATTCGTCATTGGCGCGCTTGAAAGTGCTTTTGACTTTCGAGAAGCCAACGCTGAGCTGTACGGACTTGAAGAAGAAGTGCTAGAGCATGGCATCTTGACCTCCAATTATGGAGACCTTCCGGAGATATGGACTTCGCAGTCTTACCTAGTTGAGAATCTCAAGAAACAGATTAGTCTCGCCCAGACATTCTTGAAGGCTTATTGGAATCCTGCCGAGCAATATTGTCAGGATGGTCTCTGGCGGAAGGTCAAGGACGAGCATGAAAAACTCATCGATATGGGTATCCGTTGTACACGTGAGCGAATTCGATGGGAAGACGCCCAGGAGAACCTAGCGATCCGACACCAAGCCAGGCAGCGAGAGAGTTCACAAATGATCGCCGAAGACTCAGAAATCAAGTTTCTTGCTAAAGACCTCCAACTTCCAGATGAGGCTATTGCGTTGGCAGAGAAGCATGAAATTTTAGCAACGCTTGCATCAATCTTGAATTATGAGCTCAATCAATACTCGGAGAGAACCAACGATTTCACTCGCAACTCCGATGCAGATCGTCAACAAGCCAAAGCCCGTACCAAGTTGTTGCAAAAGAAGGTCAATGATTGTTTCCGCCGCTTTGGCATGGATTGGGCCTCGGCCTTTTACGAATTGGAAATTCAAATTGATTCCATGTCTGAACTTCTCGACGAATTTCCATCACAAATGGAGTACTTGACAGAATTTTTGAGAAAACGTCCGGAATTTGCCAAAGTCAGTTGGATCCATGAAATCACACACCAAGGTGGATTTGATCATGCTGCTACGGCACTCCTAGACCTGGGCCTGAAACGAGAGCAGGATATTTGGAGCAAAAAAATTGAGCTAAGCATAGGAAAATTGGCTCGCCTTGCTAGTAGAAGTTATAGCCAAGACAACGGCATTCTCATCCCAGATGGTGGAAAGACCGAACTCGCTACAGCCCATGATCAATTAGCTTTGATAAGGATTCAAGATACTGTCTATAATTACATACACAGCACTCTTGCCGATGCCATCGACGAAGAGGGAGAAATTCAATTGGCATTGGATGCTTTTGGAAACAAATCTGTCCTCCAGGACCTTCCAGCACTTTCTCTTCTTTTAAAAGAGAGCATGGAGCATCTTGTCAAACATAAAGCAATGGACGCAATGGCACTGATTGACCTACTTACTCTCATGGGCGAATCTAATAACGACGAGGCTCTCAGAAGCATGCAATTCTACAACGCATTGCAAGCCGTACGACTTGGGGTCTCTAACAAAACCGAAAAACTGCTACTTCAGCGGGTGATTTGGCGCCGTTGTATGTTAAAGGACGATTGGACGAGACTGAACAACACAGGTTCAATGGATGATGCCGAAGTGTCTGAACAATTGCAGGCAACGGCTCTGTACATGACTTTCCGACAGTGCATCAAAACTCGTAAGTCCATCCACGATATTTCGTAGTGATAAGTCTAACGGTTTCAGGTCTATTCGAAGAGGGTACTGGCATCATCCCCATAAGTCCAGAGAACGTACTAGGCGCTTGCACTGAGCGACTTGATCACAGGTTTACCAGTGTTAATGTCACAATGCAGCAAAATTTACTGAACGACTATCAAGTGGAGGATGAGCGATTTCTTGAACTCGTCAACAACCATCGTATGCAGAGCTGGTATGAGTCGGCGCTGGAAACAGCGAGATTCGATCACAAGGCGGAATTGGACCAGATCACCAGCAGCGGGAGCGATATTGGAAGAGGAAAGGATGCTTTAGAGCTAGCAGAGGAGAGGATTGCGGAGAAAGAACAGAGCAGAGTTGATGCTACATCACGGGGCAAATCACAGAAGTCAAAATCAACAACGAACGGGCATGCGAGGAGTACAAGGGCTTCGATCATGCAACATTGAGTTCTGAGGGAGGTTATAAGAAGGCTGGGTAGGCGTTCATTGTTTGCATTGTACATTCCAAAAGGGGTACTCAAACCTCATCCAGCATAGAAGCTGATGAATGAATTGGGAAATGGTATATAGTTGTAGAATAGTAACCGACAGGCGCCCAAAACCATGTGGGAGTGCTGGCTTGGAATAGCAACATGATGAATCAATAGCACATTGATTGGCCGGATAGAGTGCCTGAAGATGCGAGACTGGAGAAGATGAAGGGCTAACCCGGGCCACAAAGACTTACCTAGAGAGGGCGCTTAGAAAGGGGAAGCAGCCTAGCAGGTGACCTGTCCTGGTGAAATAAGCGCGTGATAGTCAATAGAGAATCGTTTTCTCCAGCGGATTTACGTTATCCAGAAAGACAGTCTCCGGAATCTTGAACAGTGAACTCCTGTTGGCGTGTTAATCGGAATCTTCATCTAATAAACCGAGGTGTTTGTATTGCAGTAATGTTCTCGTGTTGACCCTTTTACGGAGCACGAAGGAGCACTAGCGCTCGCTTCCCCATACTATTTCCTCTGCTAGCGAACTCCCGACATGTTCTGGAAGGGGAAGAAATTCTCATCGGCATACCGAACCGGCAGCGGCGAGTAAGACGTATGCGATACTTACTCGTGATCCGAGAGCAAAGATCTAGATTCTGAAAACAGACTGCGGAACGATAGACCTCCATCTGTCGTCGGTCGGTCGAAGAGCTTCAGACGCATTATCACTCCAACTGCATCCTCTTCCTTGAGCTCTCGGGTTCCCACGGTGTAGAGGGTGATCAGGGACCAATGAGGATCACTTGAAGCTATTTCTGTTTTGGCGGTCAGGTATGTTGCAGTGCTGACGGGAACCCCCAGGGGCGGCTGTATGCTTGAATTAGAAGTGGTTGCACGGGAACGATTGAGGCAGGTACCGCGCGAAGAGTCTGTGATGATGGGGCGCGTGGATGCGACAGAAGTTCTAGAAAACGAGCAAATGATTACCTACGCAGGTGGTTGGAAAGACACAGTCAGCAACTTCTGTCAAGCTCTCTCAACTAACGTGATATTGGGGAGAGGCAAATGTATTCCGGCGTGCCTCCTCGTCAAAATGATTCGCATGTGTGGACTTCTCTGGTGACTGATCTGCGTGATCAGGATGCACAAATGGTGCTGCACAGCTGTGTGATATTGTGCCATATCGCGTATCCCAATGGTTTGATAGACTGCAATCGTCTGGTACCTTCCTTTCCTTCTTAGCCGCGGTCGGCTTGACCGTAAGAGAGTAGCAAGTGATTCAGTAGACCAAGTCTCACGGCGGATGGTAGCAATATAGCAGGTACTGTAAGCCTACAAATAGAAGGGTTCATGAATACCTTAGTCATGCTCTACTCGAATCATAATACATTCATGATTCACACAACTCATGTCGCGCATCCGCTCGACTAAAGCTTTTCCGTCGCTTTTCCCCTGCACATCGCTGCGACTAAAGTCCTGGACTGTCCTGCTCCCCTGGCTGGCCCTCCGAACTTCGAACCAAGACCAAGACCCGCGCCTGCCTGACTTTTTGCCTCAACACCCTGTAGCGTACTGTACGCAGCACTCCGTACTCTCCCCGATCGACCCCGTTGACATTTGACTGCCTTCCGCCTTCCAGAGCGGTCGCGCAAAACCACTCCAACATCCTCCTCTTCTGACTCCACCACCCATCTCTTCTCTTCTCTTTCTCTTCTAATCACTTCCGCGCCCATCGTCGGCCACTGAATTCTCCATCATTTGTATCCTCCCCAACACCCCCGTCGGCCTCCCCCAATTGCATTGCATGTTCGTTCCTTCGCGGCTTTAGCGTTGTCGTCTGCGGGCGTCCCGAATCGTGCCTGTGCTCCGCTAGTAGGTCCCAATTTCAACCTCAACTCATATCCGACTGCGAACATCGTCCACCGCCAGACAACATCAACAGCAATCGTCGACCGTCGTTTGCAGAACCACCTGCCCGGCCAAGCCACCGTTGGAGAGGTTCAGTCGATGCTAACACGATTCTTGCCACAGTCGTCGCGTGCATTCGTCCTCGGAGCCTGAGCCTCGCGATATTCTCGATTTAGCCGTCTCAATTTAGAATCGAGCTGGTCGACCGTTTGTTTACGCTGAGCACGATCGGAAGCTCCACACATTTCTACGATGGCATCCTCATCATCCAATGTCGTCGGTGTACATTATCGAGTGGGCAAGAAGATTGGAGAGGGTTCGTTTGGTGTCATTTTCGAAGGGACAAATCTCCTGAACAACCAACAGGTTGCCATCAAATTCGTACGTAGCCGCACACATCCACATTCGCATGCAGAGCTTCTCTTGTCCACGAGCAATCGTATCTGGCGGTAGACACAGGCTCACACCGCTATAGGAACCTCGAAAGAGCGATGCACCACAATTACGAGACGAATACCGAACGTACAAGATTCTTGTCGGCTGCCGTGAGTTTAGCCTCTCCCCAGGCCCCGAGCTTGACTGATATCGAACAGCTGGTATTCCTAATGTCTACTACTTTGGCCAGGAAGGCCTACATAATATACTCGTGATTGACCTTTTGGGCCCATCGCTTGAAGATCTCTTCGATCACTGCAACCGCAGATTTTCTACAAAGACTGTCGTGATGGTAGCAAAGCAGATGGTATGTCGTCCCGTCATAGAGGCTGGCCCTTTAGCTCACATTATTTAGCTTTCCAGAGTCCAAACAATCCACGAGAAGAATTTGATCTACCGTGATATCAAGCCTGATAACTTTCTCATCGGACGACCTGGATCAAAGTCGGCGAACGTAATTCATGTAGTAGATTTTGGTATGGCGAAGCAGTACAGGGATCCAAAGACGAAACAGCACATTCCATATCGCGAACGAAAATCCTTGTCGGGAACTGCTCGATACATGAGTATCAACACTCATTTGGGAAGAGAACAATCGAGAAGAGATGATCTCGAGGCGTTGGGTCATGTTTTCATGTATTTCTTACGAGGTGGTTTGCCATGGCAAGGATTAAAAGCTGCCACCAACAAGCAGAAGTATGAGAAGATTGGGGAAAAGAAGCAGACAACCGCCATCAAGGATCTGTGCGATGGTTTCCCAGAAGAGTTCAACAAATATTTGAGCTACGTCCGCAACCTTGGATTTGAGGACACTCCAGATTATGATTACTTGCGGGATTTGTTTACTCAGGCTCTGAAGAACACTGGAGAGGTTGAAGATGGAGAGTACGATTGGATGAAGCTTAACAATGGAAAGGGTTGGGAGGCCATGAAGCAACACCCATCACAACACATGCTACACCAAAATGCCCCGCCAGGGGCATCGGCGAGAGAATTACACGGAACAACGAGAGGAGGAAATAGCACACCAGGCCACCTCACTGCCGCCCGTTTAAACGCCGCGCAGCCCCCGCCTCCATCCCCAATCAAGCCGGGGATGGGCAAACAGCGCGATCGACCAAACGCCCCAGGCGGATTAGTCCCAAAACGCGCCAGCGGAGCGGCGGGGGGTCTCCAAGATGTCGCTACTCCAACAGGCTCAACCCAGGCGCAATTCCAGAACAGTTCAAACAATCTTCCACAGAGAATGACGCCCCAGCCGAATATGACCGCCCAGACGCAGAATGGGCGGCCACAAGAACCACAGCCAACAGGCTTCCAGAAGCTCATGAAGGCTCTGTGCTGCGGTTAGTCTCATCATGTCGTTAAACCCTATATTCTCAACTGACATTATCTTAGGATGAATAACCCCACTTAAACCACATCCAGAACTACTTCCATTATCTCAACCATTTCCCGATCCTCATAATCGATTCTCTTTTCTTCGAAGGCGTTCATGGACCAACCGCTTTCGAAATCACTAATCACTACATTATATCTCTGCACCGGGAGCAGAATTCCACATGTCCATCCTACTGCTCAGGCAGATACGACTCTCTCTGTTTGTTCATACATGTCCGAATACAACCAACAAGCTTCGCGTAAAGCTATCGACTAGGGTTTTGATGGCGTAAGGCTCTTGTCACAAGAACATCCCAAGACTAATATCTCGACCACTCCTTCCGCTTGTTCGGTAAGCATCGCATTCACTACACGGATCTCCCAGCACGGAAACAGATGGTCCTGGGTGCATGGAAAGGACTTATGATAGTATCTCTTTCTGATTCGGAGCGAAGCAAAGGCGAAAAGGTGAAATAGATGCTTGGGAGTACTTATTTAAGATTTCGGAGTCTACCATTAATGAGAAAATTTTGAAAACTGCATTTTTAACCGACTTTGATCATTTTTGGTGTGTCTGATCTTGAGATAGAATTGTCTTGTATCCAAGAACTAGTACGAATCTTAAGAAATGAGACTACTACCATATGGTCTCGACCACTTCGACGCTAAGTGGGTATGCTTAATTCACATCTAGCTGTGCGCTTCATCTGGACAACGTTATCAGCTTTAGATCCGCATGAACAAGCGCGACATGTTGTCAATCTACGATGTAATACAATAATCTGCTATGCCGTAACTTAGCAAAGACGTGCCTGCCGCTATCTGTTTTTCGCAACATGCTGAGAAAGTATTGTTCACATACGGCATATCGTGAGGACGAGTTGGTATTTAAATCGAGACTCTGCTGATTCAGTTATTAGTTCGTTATATTCTGTTAAGGTCATCAACACTAACTTTCTCATGGGAAGATAAAGACGAAATCAATACTTCAAGTAGCATCCACCAAGATTCTGTTACATCGATCGACGTTTTTCTAAATTGTACCAATTCAATGATGCTGCTTTGGGGGTTTGGTGATACGTCAAATTTCTGATGATTCACTGTGCGCTGTAGTTTTGCTAACGAGGGGCAAATTAATAATTCGAGGGAGTGTAGTGTATGGAGTAGTCTTGGGAGCGAGTCGGTATTCATTTCATTATGTTGCCAAAATCCCTCTCAAGCTTCAGATACTGTTTTAGTATATCTTTGATTAGGAGTAAAATTGGTTTGATTCATTATCTGTATTTCATCTTCGAGGCAGAGTAAATAGGTAGCGTACATCATTCCTACACCAACCTCTTTTCCCTTCCCAGTCGCCCTACCTATATATCTTACAACCAGAAGAAAAAATGCTACAAATAATCCGGCCCTCTCGCTGTTCCTACCAAACGCTGAAACTAGGTATCAATCGCAAAAATAGTATGCTTTTATGTTAACTTCTGCTTGATGAAGAAGGATCGGAGGTGGGAGAGTTGCCAGGCACAGGTTATTCCCAAGACAACGAGTTGGACTAATGTCCAGCGGACGACGCGGGCGTTGGTGGTTTCGGATTGATCTCTGAATTCGGCTTCACGTTCCTATTTCACATTTAAATCAGTATTGTCTCCCACCATACACTTTCAGCAATGAATAACATACCCTTTGGAAAACCTGTTCTCTTCTGATATCCTGCAACCTCCCATTCAAATCCTTGACCTTCTGCACAATATCGTTGATCTTCCCCTTATCTGTGCTCTCAATGGCGCTGGTCTCTCCAATTGCCAGATCCAGGGTTAACTTGATCCCGCCCATGGGATGCAGCGCTGATAACCATCCCGAGTTGCCGGAGGTGGAGGAGGGAGTGAAGCAGATTTTGTGGTCGCCTGAGTCGGCGGCGCTGAATGTGAAGCGGCCTGCTGAAGAGCCTTTTTGGGACACTACGCGATGGTCGTTGTCGAATACTTCCTGTATAGGAGTTAGCATGGATTGGAGGACGGTTTGGGGAATGTTGGGGGAGGGTTATGGAGGGAGAAGCATACATCCACAGAAATGAAGATATTCAATCCATCATGTTTCGACCAAGATTTCCTATTCTCATCATATTCCTCTGCAGTATAATGTCCTACAACCAGCGTATCCTTTGGCAATTCCTCGAAGAAACATTTCGGGCTCGTGCCATCGATATAGAAGTATAGGGACTGGACCGGGGCCAGCAAGGCGCTGAGCGACAGTATTGGAAGTATTGACCGCATGGTGAGAGTTTGACTTGGGGAGATGGAAAGTCTGGGGCGGTCGCGTTAAGGGGACTTTCTGAGGCTACTCGCGAGTTGCACAGGTGGTTTTTTGGGAGCGGTCACGTGGAGATTAGGAGATTTAGTCTGGACTTCCTGTTGCTTTCGCGTCACTTAGAGTCAGGAAACAAGAACATCAAGTTCACGACAACGACGGCCGTTTCATCAATCCTTCATATTCGGGACGCGATCCCCAAACCGGGGTAACGCAAGATGACTTCCCACGATGTGCGCGACATGCTGGATCTCCCCCAAGAGGGCACACCTCGACCGACGAAGAAACAAAAGCTCAACGGTCCACGACCCGTACTGAAAGGGCTTGCGCGCGAGGTCCAGAATCTGGGTGGTGATAATCCGATCGCGATCGTGCCGGAAGTGACGGTATTCAAGAAGCGACGATTCGCGACTCGAAAACCGGCTGCGAAATGGGATGCGAGACCATTCAAGAACTCTGCTCGACAAGATGGACTTATCTTGAGGCATTGGAGGAGGAAGGACGATAAACCTGCGGCGCCGACGGTGGATGGGGAGGGTGAAGAGAAGAAGGTGGAGGAAATTGAGGATTCGACGTTTGCGAAATATAATGTTCAGGTCAATATACCGGATTATACGGATGAGGAGTATAATCTTCGATTGCAAAATCAGGAATGGACAAAACATGAGACGGATTATTTGTTTAGTCTGTGTCGCGAATACGACCTAAGATTTCCTGTTATTTGGGATCGATATGAGTACGAACCACCAATACCACAACCTTCTGAGGGAGATGCTGCGGAGAATGCTGGGGCCCTGATAGTTCCACCGAAGACTAGGACTGTAGAAGACATGAAAGCGAGATATTACTCGGTGGCTGCTACGGTTATGGCGTTGAGGAAGCCTCCGATCAAGATGAATAGTGCGGAATTCAATTTACACGAAGTGATGCTGAACTTCAACCCGGCCCAAGAAACTGCGAGGAAGAAGTTTGCAGAGACGGCTTTCCACAGGACCAAAGATGAAGCCGCGGAAGAACAGAGCCTTTTGCTAGAGCTCAAGCGAATAATGGCAAGAGCAGATAAACTTGGTGAAGAACGGAGGGAATTGTACGCGAGACTCGAAGCACCTCCGAGCAACGGCAACATCGCTCCATACACCACAAGTCAAGGCCTCGCACAACTCGTCTCACAATTAGCATCCGCCGATCGATCCAAGAAACACCGCAAATCACTCATGGGCGGCGAAACCATGAGCCCAGCAACGGGACCCAACACCTCCACCCAACAGCCCTACGACCGCCGCGAAAGCTCAGTCCGTGAATCCATCTCCGGCCCCTCAGGCCTCAACAACAAAAAAGGCAGCTCCCAAAACCCGACCGAACGGCGCCAGCTCACCGAGGAAGAAGAACGCATCTACGGCGTCTCGCGCCACGACCGCATCGGCACCTCCGGCCCAGCCTTCCGTCAAGAAAAGATCCTCAAACCGCTCCAGAGCAAGTCCGCGGTCCAGCAGCAGAAAATCACAAACGTGCTTAACGAGCTGGGTATTCCGTATAGTGCGAGCACACGACTTATTATGCCAACGGCGGAGGTGGGCGAGGGCTTTGATGCGTTGTTGCATAGTATTAATAATTTGCTGGACGCGCGGAAGCTCGTAGATAAGTTGCAGGGCGAGATTGCGACGGCGAAAGCGGTTAGGGCGGAGAGGGAGCGTGTGGAGAGGGAACGGGGGGAGGGAGGGGCGGAGGTTAAGAGGGAGGAGGGAGTTGGGATTGCGGAATCGAGGAAGAGGAGTGCCAGTGTGATGAGTGCGGCGAGTGATCGGAGTGGGAAGAGGTTGAAGAAGTGAGCGTGGTACGAAGCCAGTTGTTTAATTGTATCATGGCTATATCTTTATACCTGATATCTTGAGATCCGTTTTGGATTCGAGCGGTTGTGGCAGCATATAATACCTGTTAATCAAGCAGTTTCACCGATTTCCCTTTGCCATCTGTCCTAGAACGTCTTTTGCGTACGTATTGACTTGTTGTTATACGAAATGCTCTTCGTCGCTGGAAGGTTGATATGGTAATTCTTAAATCTGTGCCCCAGAATGACATGGAAGTGCGATGCTGAAGAGACCTCGGTTCAGAATTGCAGAAAGTGACATGACAGGAAAAGACCCTAGTTTCGTTTGAATCTAGAATACCTCAACTACAACTAAAAAGCACTCGGAAGTCTAGCTTACCAGGTCCCGAGCGTTTTTACCTCTCCTAGGTTTCTGATCCGCGAGCGTAAACCTCTCTACAATCTATCAAAACACGAGCAACAAAGACCTACACTTTAAAAAGAAAATTGTTCCCTCTAGAGCAATATAACCCCCTAGCAGGATTACCGTGTAGTGTTCTCATGTTGCACTAACAAAAGGGTAATATCACCTTATATGAATTAGTCATTCAAAAGAATCACATGTAAGATTAGCAAAACTTATATTTTATATTTCCCACTCCCATCCATCCAAAACCTATCCCATTCCCTATTCTCTACCATAATATTACAATACCCATCCACCCATCCCATCCCATCCCATCCATCCCAATCCCAGACCCCAAAAAAAAGACACACACACACTTCATCTACAGAAGAAGGCCGTTCGTTGTACCCATGTTACCCATTCCATCCATCATATCCGGCTATGCTACATACAGATTCCCACCGACTAAGAAAAACTTCCACAGATAGTCCGTCGAAATAAAAGGATGAAAGAAAATATTTGGGGGGAGAAAGAGAAAGGAAAGAAAGTCTTGTGGGTATTAAAAAGAGACTCGTGTAATAAGAAAAATATTGGATAGGTATTGATTATATGTTCCCGAGGCTCCGTGATGCGCAAGGCTGAAGAAAGCCCCAATCCATCAAGAACCACTGATCCCTCTCATGACACGAGCTGGATTGCCGCAAGCGACCGTGTAAGGTGGGACGTCCTATCGCCAAGAATCAGTATACATGCGCCTCGAAAATCAGGGAGAAAATAATAAACATACCGTGGTCACGATAGACCCAGCACCCACCGTGCTTCCCTTTCCAATCGTTCGGCCGGGTAAGATGGTGACACCGCCCCCAATCCAACAATCGTCGGATATGGTAATCTTCTGACCTAGGCTCGGACCTCTAGATCCTAGGCGTCGCTTTGGGTCGATAGGGAGGGAGGCTGTGTAGATGTTCACATTCGGGCCAATATTACAACGGTCCCCGATCTTGACTTCGCACGTGTCGAGGATGGTGCAGTTCTTCCCAATTGCGACGTCTTGACCAATCGTGATGTTATAGCCGTAATCGCAGTTGAAGGGGGCTTCGACGACAACGTTCTCACCAACTTTACCAGTTGGTGTGATTGGAGAATTGCCTGTAGGAGAGATGGCGGAGTCTCGCCCCGGTTCGCGAGGCTGAAGGATGTCCCTGAATTGGCGTGCACGCTCCTCAGGAGAGACACCATTGTTAGGATTGGTGCTGCTATTGAATCGCCAGCATGCGCCATTGCATCTTTCCCTTTCGAGCACGAGTTCCTTGTCAAATGGGAAATAATAACGCCCTGCAAGCATTTCCTCCTTCTGAGAACGTGCTCGACTGGGCGAGTTAAGATTGTTCAATGCCAGCTGAGCAGCCATTTGCGGATTGCTATGGGGGCTTTCTGGATGCATTTGAGGATGTAGAATGTGGGGTAAATTTGATGAAGCGGATTGTGGCGTTGTTGCTTCTGATCCTGGTCTCGACTCTTGTCTTAGAGGGTCATGCAGTGGGCCAACTCTATCATAAGCGTTTTTGAGTTGTCGATCTGGGTAAGGACTGCTTGTCGAAGCAGTAAGAGGAGTGATGGTCTGACCAGAGTAAGATATAGCAGAAAGTCGATTGCTTTCCGGACTCGCAACTGAAGCACTTGGAATGGTAGAAGCACTGGGTTGATCGTCATCTATATCAATAGGACGGCCATGTTGAGGGTCAACGCGAAGGCCTTGACCACGATAACCAGGCAACGCACTGCGAGATTGGTTTACATGTTGGTTTGCGTAAGGAGATGATTGGTAGCCACTCTCGTAGTCTGTCTTTGACTGGAGGGGAATGGGTGCTTGTTTTTGCTCGGTCTTCGGCCATGGTCCTCTCTGTTGATAACCGGAGCAAACAAACCCTCCTCGTAAACAGTTGTTGCCTTGAAATAAGGGTCAATATATGCGAGTTTCGTTGTCATTGTTGGGAACTTACATTCAGGCTTAGTCTCGTCACACTTCTTCTTCCGCCTTCTGCAGGTCATGCACCCGGTCTTGGTACGATTGCTGAAATTTCGCTTCCTCTTTTTTGGATCTGATTGAACGGACATCTCTCGTCTTCCATCAGTTCCATATCCGCCGTAGTGATTGCTGGAACGATCGTCATCATCTGGACTTCCATGTTGGTAATCACGCTGTTGAGCATCTATACTCTGCGTCTCCCGCTGTAGAACTTCCGACAGGTGCTCATCTGAGCTTATTTGGCCCTGTCGATAACCTGCATGCCACGGTTGGTCTTCTGCATGGCCGTCTCGTGGTGTTTGGTCGCCCATGTGAAATGAACGATATTGACTGGTGGACGAGTACGGGTCCCTAGAGTGGCCGTGTGACGCAGACATGTTTTCGTCGCGAGGTGTATCGGCTTCTATCGTGGTTGCAGTTGTTGGTGTTTCCTTGGCCGAGGGCGTGGACAAGTTGTGGGAGTGATATACATTTGATGGTGTCCGTTCTCGGTCAAGTGAGCCCGATCTCTTCCGCTTGTGGGAGCCTTCTGTATCTGGATATGAAGGTCCTTGTTGATATGGGCCTCTCTCACCGTTGATAGGGGCTCCCCAGTCTTCTCTTTGCGTTGTTGTTGTTGTGATGGTTAACTTCTCTTGTCCAGGTGGACTGATCCGTGGCTGGCCATTTGGTCTATCGTCAGAATGTCTCGCTGCCGATTCACTCCCATTAGCCCCATTGCTAGGTGGCTGCTCTTTCCCGTTCACCGCGGTAAAACGTGACGTTGGTGATTCGTGCTGCACCACGATCGTGTCCTCATCTGATGCCATGGTCTTGGATGTGTCTTCGACCTCGGTCGGGGTTTGCAAGATCTCACGGGCTAAACTGATCAAGTCCTGAGGAGCCAGCGGGCTTTGGGGAGTCGCCGGCTGACTGGACAGTTTCAGAGAATAAGATTTCGTTCCTGGACGCGGTTGCGCAAAGTCCAATTGAACGACCGCTCGTGCTTCCGCCAGCTTTACGATGCTCACGATGATCGGAGCGGGTGCTCGGTGAAATGGCCAAGATCAGGTGATGACCCTGATGGCGTGAAAACTACAATAGTATGATGACAGCTGGAATTTGGCGTGAGAGGACTAAACGATGCAGCGTCGAGGTTTTGTTCAAGAACTTTCCGTGGAACCAGGTCGCGTCGCAAATGGTACCAAGCCGTAGATCTGATCAGCCGCGCTTCCTGGTATTCCTCGATGAAGTCGTTTCTTGAACCACAAATGCGCCTATCCACAAGCGCGACAATACCAATTGACCGATCAATGCTCCCTCTGTCTCTTCTAATTTTTCTCCTTCGATTTCAATTCAAAAAAGTTTCTCGTTCGACGGATGCGCTCTCGTAATTTTGCGGTTCCTGTGTCAGGCTGACCCGATCGCCACGACACCCCGAAAATTCGTCCTGTGGTTGCGTCTGCTGCTACGGTGTCCAATCCTGCTAAGCGCGATCAATGATCTCCCAATGCTCAACGTCCTACACTCCTCGCGCGTTGGGCAAAGGCAGATGAAGCGCAATATCTCGATGGTCGTCTCGAGGTCTGGTGTCGTTCACTTACTCACTCGCTCGTCGCTCGGTGGTCGCTTCACGTGGCTCAGCCGCGATAAATTTAGAAGAGGAAAGTGAAACCGGGCAAAGCGAATATCTTGGGGTCACTCTGCTCTTTTCTATTCGACACCCCTCTCGCTCTGGTGCCTCGCTGGGTGGTGCTGATTGCTGATACGGCGCCGGCAAAACAGGGCTTGCTCTTTTTTGGTTCCTGATTTGTCCCGAGGGATGGGCGAATGATGAAGCTCCCGTGCAAATGCAGCGAGAAGTCCGGACTGGCACCAAATGCACGCTCGGGATCCAGGATGTGTTGGAAGCTGCGATGCTGGGTCGTGTCGAAATAGATGCAGCGCGCGAATGGCGGACCGTCTGGAGTAAGATTACAGGCAGGCGGAAGGTGGAAGGAGGGGAGGAGGGAGGGGAGCAGTTGGGGTTTTTGGATGGGGGATGGGGGATGGGGGGATTGGGGGACGGGCGCTGGAGTATTAAAGGAATTTCTCCCAGCAGACTGGTAACGTAGACGCAGCGAATCTCTCGGCCGTTTGGGGCAGGTTGGAGACGTGGGTGCGCCCAGTCGCAATAGGCATGGGCAATCTATTGACGCTGGAACTGGTGCTGGCTGCGTCGCTGGGTCTGTTCAGCACATTCATCATGGGGCCGGGTGGTTCTGTGGTTCTGTGGTTCTCTGGTTCGTTCTGCTTTGCTTTCCTTTCCTTTCCGTGCTCGAATTAGGGCGGGAGAGCAGGAAGCATATCGCGCGCCTATTGCGGAACCACACGTCGCTAAGAAGCCTCTGCACTTGGGCTGCCCCTTGTTGAGGCGCTGGTGATGGTTGTGTGTTCTGCTGCTCTGATTACCCTCTGGGCGACTGGAGCCAATGGAGGCAGCAGATGCAGGTGTCACGAAGGTCCTGGAGTGGGTGGACGAGGGGGTTCCTCCGTACTGAATCACTGATTGCTGCATCGGTTGACCGACTACTGCAGCAGACGCCCCCCGTAGCCGTAGCTAGAGACTAGTCGTCGTGCATTTAATGATTTAATCGCGGCCAGGTCCCCGCCGAGCGAGGGGAGAGCTTAGCCTAGTATGGTTAGCGGGCAGTTTGCAGGTGGGTGTCGTGGGTGGATCGAGCTGTATCGAGATGCAGTCACCCTCTCCCCGGCGTCAATTGGAGGAAGGCTGGAAGCTGGAGGCTGGAGGCACGGAGCGGCAGACAGCTTGGAGTGCGTGAGTCGAGGAGTGAGTGAGTGCAATGCGTGCGGTGGATGCCCCAGCCCAGCTCAACGGCCTGCTGGTTCTTCCGCGTTCATCAACACCATGACCACGCTCACGATACTGTGAGACCACACTAATCATTCTACTGTAGTGAGATCTGTGGGGGAATGGTCGGCGTACGGTCACCATCATCATCGCCCTCACCACGGACATTAAGCGAGCATCCACTGGCAGAGGGCGTCGGGACTGGGTGGCCGGCCTCTGGTCTGCGGTAGATGTGCTCGAGTAGCCGCGAGATAGCAGGCGCAAGGACGGTACATACTACTTGGTCATTTTGTTTGATCAATTCAATTTGTCAAGCGGCGGGCAGCAGCAGCTGCTGCAGCAGAGGCCTAGGTATCTGCTGCAGCACGCACTTCGACTTTTCACGGAATGATGGGAAGGCTCCCAAAGTGGTTCCGTCCTGGGTGTGGTTGTGGTCGTGCCTAGCAAAAAGCCCAGCAATTCAGCGGGTTCGTGCCGGCAGATCAGGGCATAAGCAGGAGGGGTGAGAGAGGGTGAGGGACGTACTTCGACGTAGCACCGAGGTACGTACAGTAAAAGAGGTCCTGTACGCAGTATGTTGGTACCTTCGTAGTATCGTACCAATGAGCAGAAACATCCATGAATAAGTACCGACCTGGACCTACAGTCCCCGTACCAGCACCGGAGTCAGGTTGCATCATTTAGTCGCTCCATCGTCTGTTTCTGCCTCTTCCTCCGACGTCTGCTCGCGTAACCAACAGTTCCGCCTGTGAGTGCTCGGTGCTGGAATGGTGTGGTGTGGTGCTGCTGGTGCTGGTGCTGGACCACTGCTGGTACCAAACCGTCACTCACGGTGCTCATGCTCATGCTCATGCTCATGTTCACGGCTCACTTCTGTGCTGGTCTAGTCTCCACGGCTAGTACACGCTGCACGAGCACGAGAGACGCTGCTGCGCTACTTTGGCGACCAGGTTCCTCAACCACTCATCACCCTCCTTTGCCCGTCGTCAAGCACAGCGCCAACCTGGTCCTCATCACAATACGGATCATTTCGTGCGAGTGCAAAGATGTGTGTGAGTGCAAGTATTATGCAAAGGAAGCCTCCCTCGAGCCTCGACGCAGCAGAGTCTTCGACCTATGAAGCGTCTCGTTGTCGATCTCTGCCCTCGCTCTCCCCTCCAACCGCCCTCCTCCGACCGGAGCGGCTGGCTACGTAACTGACCACTCGTGTTTGCCATTTTAGCGGTGTTGGTTCGATGGAATCACACTACGTTGCCCATGTTTGCCCCAGAACAGGCGGACCTGGATCATGTTCAACCGCGACTTGGTGCAGCTCATCTCCCCTGCTCTGGCGCCTTCATTGGGTGCCGCTGAGTCGGCGGTTATCTCGATTAGGGAAGCGTAAATGCGAGACCACATTGTCACCACAACCATTGTTCACACCCTCATCACCCTCTTTGCCGGTGTGCAATTGAGGAGTGTGCAGAGGGAGAAATAATATGAGCAATATCAATACCTAGGTACACGTACGTAGCAGACTTCGTAAGCTTAATTCCATGATCCCCGGATTCTACGCGTCGCTACATGCTGTTCGCCTCGGGGAAAGACCAGTCTCAGCGCTGACGAGAAGGCTGTGTTTGAATTCCATTACGAGTACTCTGTACAGACCAAAGAACTCCGACAAACACCCCACACTCCAGCCTATCTCGAGCCTGTCCTGTCAACTCACAATACCTGCACCAATACCTGCTTCCATACTGCTCGACTCATCACCAGGCTGAGACCACGCCAGGATAAATACAAGAACCACCTGCAATCTTGAACTTTCGTATATTACCGCGACACCCAAGTAACCTTCTCCCCTCGACCCTCGTGCCGCTTAAATCCTGGTTGCAAACTTCCCAATTGTCACAGTGCCACTTCCACTCACTCTTCACTCATCCCATCCATTATTCTCACCGGCGCATGAAGCGTCCTGGACATGCCCGATGAGGTGGGATGGGACATGGCGTCTCGTCCCCTCCACTCGCCCTCCCTTGCAGACAGGCGAGCCCGGCTCTCTGATGAAACAATATCCCGAGAAGGGGATCGCGAACAGGGATTCGGTGCACCGGACCAGAATAGAAATTGAGGATCACGATTCCAACGAGTCGACGTCCGCGAACGGTAAGTTACTGAGTCCCGGCCATGACAATAAAGATAAACGAGTTTGTTGGTTGGTGTTTGTTGCTCTTTTACAGTATCCTTGGGTTTGGTTTGTTTGCTTTTTGCCCGGTTTTTCTGGGGGGTGTATATGCGTGCTTTGGTTGGGTTTTGATGAGTGTCTCGAGTTATACTCATCATTCTAGAAGTTGGGAACCTCTTCCTCATTTATCCTTGAATCATCACGATTCTTCACCCATCACCCAAATACCAAAATCTCACCTCCCCTCACACATAAATAGCCCATCTCGCATCCCACGTTCTAACCCCCTAACACCTCGCCCAATACTCCCCAATAAACATCTCATCTCATACTCTTAAACCCCCTTCACCTTCACGTCAACCCAACCCTGTTACCAGATCCTAGCGAACGTAACACAAGTGCGCGAAGATTCCCGTGCCGTACCTCTGAGGCGTGGTGTTGGGACACACAAAGAGTTGTGTTTGTTGGTTTGTATTTTTTTTTCGTGCGGCTTTGTGAAACGTTGGAGGGGTAGATGCTTTTGGGGAGCCTATAGTTGCCTTAATTGGGAAGCTTATGTGTGTTGGGTTTTTCTTGGGGTGAGTAAGTAGGAGGGATGATAATGTAGATGGAGGTTTAGATGTCGTCTTAAAATAGAGGTGAGAGAACACGCCACTTGGTGAAAATGGGGATGGAGGGGGGTTATACGTGGTGGTTTTCTGTAGATGATGTCAGAAGTTGCAGAAGATACCAGATTTGGATATACGTAGCTTAATCATATACTTACGAGAACATCTAACTACCTCTAACTGTCCCATGATACTTGCGTTGGTTTTGAAGTTATATGGTCATAGAGACTTTCCCGAGTTCTTGAGTTTAACATTCATACACATGATTATATCTTTAAAGATCCTCTTATCAATCTTGCTACAGAGTAGCTTCAAGCTCAAAAACGTTGCAGTTACTAAACTCCTTCTTCCATTCCATTCAAAGGGGAAAAACTACATATTTTAGAAGATAATGTCCTACCATCTACCTTTCTACTCCATATATTGTTTTTTATCACATATTTTTTTTTATGAAGTTTCACTCTCGGTTTCTCAATCATCTAGTCTTTTATCGAGGATCTTCTGTCTGTTCACCTTTTGTCGAGGACGTGGTGGTGATAGATAGGAATATTCACTCGTACAATGCCCTCTTAGTCCTAAGTGATCTATTCCTTAGATCTAAAATCGGGCAGACACTTCTACACGACCAAACCAATCCAGACAACTCACAAAATCCCTATCCTTCGCAGTAGTTTGTTTCACTTATTCCCCACTTGGTTTACCATATTTTCTGGTTTCAATCTGTCGAACTGAAAGTGCTATGCCAGCACCATCACCAGTCTTAAACTATTAGATATAACACTTCTTCGATTTTGATTGGAAAGTAGTATGCATGTAAAATTCAAGAGATGTTTATACTTTCCGACATACTTAAAAATACCATCCACTATCAAAACCAACCTTTGAGATTCCTTGACAATCCATCAAAGTAACAATCCACCTCACCACGTCAAACCATCCCTCTTTCCCTCGTCCCTACATCCTTCTAATTTAACACACAACTCCTCATCCAATTACATTTACTTATAGTACCCCATTATTAAAAAATACTTAAACATATCACCTTCAACATCCATCACCCCCATTCCAACCTCAAAAATCTCGTTCATATATATCTCATCGTCCTCCAAAAAAACAGAAACAAACTTATTTTCTCAGAACAGGATAATTTCAGTATCAATCGATTCTTCATAGCAAAATTAGGCTTTAGATAAATCATGACGCGTTTAGAGTGTGGTGGTGGTTAGATATTCCAAAATTTCTGGATTTAATGTTCTGGTTTGGCGGATGGGGGATGCGCGATGTTTTGGTAATCGACACTTTGATAATGCAACGACTGAAGATTAGGGGGTTGAATCGAATATATAGACGTTCAATGTATCTATGATTGATTCCATAATTTAAACCTCATCAATCAGATTACAATTTCCAATTCCATCCACCGCTGAAAATGTAAGTCGCGTCTTCCACCCATCCTCTAAATCAAAAACAACAACAAACACGCAGGACATGACCTCAAGTTCTACAGTTCAAGCTGAAATAACATACGAGACCCCAACGAGTACCAGGTCAAAGAGAATAGAGTATGGAAAGTATGGTCGTGTTGGTTGAACATTTCAGCATTTTTTGAATGGGTATTTGGGATCGAGGTATCCAAAAATGCATACAAGATATTGGGTTGACGCGTCTTTAGAGGCTGCGTGAAAGTTTAGATGATAGGGGGTGGATTTTCCGTAATCCCTACCATCCATTGTAACCTATTCAACCATATTATTGTAAACATCGATGAGAATCGAAAACCAGAGAATCGTGTCACGTCCATGTGCCATAGGAATTCAGAATTGATGCAAAGAAAACAGTTCATTCATCCAATCCTCCCAGCTCCATAATGACCACCCCTATTAGACATACCAGAAAAGCCATCAGACTCAGACATCTATTTTAAGAAAGGCAACGCTTCATTGCCTCATGTTGTACAGTATAATGAACACTACAGAGCGACGAATCCTCTTTCTATCCCCACCCGAACATGCGAATATTTACACAATCCCACCTACAAAAGCATCCTTCTTGGATCCTCAATATAGTCCTTGACCTTGACCAAGAACTGAACCGCCTCCCTTCCGTCCAAAAGACGGTGATCATATGTCAATGCGAGATACATCATTGGTCGAATCACGACTTGTCCGTTGACTGCGACTGGCTTGTCCTTGATAGCATGTAATCCCAAAACAGCAGTTTGTGGGAGGTTGATGATTGGTGTGCCCATCAGGGATCCGAAAACACCTCCATTGCTGATGGTGAAAGTTCCACCTGCCATATCCTCAATGGTGAGCTTGTTGTCACGAGCCTGCAGACGCGTTAGTAATATTCCCGGTACGCGCACACGGTTTGTTGACTAACCTTCTTTCCCAACTCGGCAATTGACTTCTCAATACCGACAAGATCCATAGTCTCAGTGTTTCGTACAACTGGTGTGACCAAACCCTTCTCAGTAGCCACGGCAACACTGATATCAACGTAGTCTCTGTAAACAATAGTGTCTCCACCGTTTGGTCCTTCAATGGATGCGTTGACTGCTGGAATATCTCTCATGGCGAGAACGCAAGCACGAGAGAAAGCACTCATGAATCCGAGCTTGACACCAGTCTTCTTTAGAACCTCGTCCTTGTATAGTTTTCTGAATTCCATCAACGATGACATGTCAACCTCGTTGAAAGTTGTGAGGGAGGCGGCTGTATTTTGGGATTGCTTTAGACGTTCGGAAATTCGCAAGCGCATACGGTTCATCTTAACCTAATAGCTGTTAGAAATATGTGATATGCAGTGAGATGTGTGACTTACGCGACGCTCTTCACGGTTGCCCAGTGTAGGAGCAGAACTGGATTTTGAATCATCCTTCTTTGACTCTTGTTTAGGTGGTGATGGTTTCTTTGGCTCGCTCTTCTGCGGCGGTGGACTTGACTCTTCCTTTTTGGGTTCTGGTGTCTCCTTTTTAGGCTCTGGCGTATCTTTCTTTGGCTCTGGATCTGAAGATGTTGGCTGGTCTTTTGAAGCAGCCTCTTTAGGTGTCGCTTCTGCCTTCTCCTTTTTCTCACCACCTCCCTCTCCTCCTAGCTCGAGACGAACCAAGTCCTGTCCAACAGTGACCGTATCCTCCTCGTTGGCCAAGAATTCCTTGATGGTTCCGGCTTCTGGCGCATTGACGGCAACATCGATCTGAAAGGAAAACGTGTCAGTTGTGCTCCAAAAGATAACAAACATGGTTACACACCTTATCAGTCTCGATTGTAGCAATCTCCTCATCCTGTTCGACAAAGTCACCGATTTGTTTTGACCATTGCTTCAATGTTCCTTCAGAGATGGACTCGGCCATTTCTGGCACCTTTACCACTCGATCCGCATACAGACGAAACTGCTGGACGACCGGAGATGGGTATCGTAGGTGAGGAGCTCTCGCAGAACGCAAAAAGCGCGAGGCTACTAGAACTTTTCTAGAAAGCATTTTTGCGTGCGGTCTGAAAAGGAAAAAAGGGAGACGTTAGAAGGAATCGAATTGGCTTGTGAAATGAGGTCAAAAAAGATGCTCCGGATGACTGTCGCAAAGCTGGCGAGAGCTGGGGCCACACCCCTGTAACCTTTGAAGCGACGGCACTAACCGTGGCTGTCAAAGCTCCATGGACATCAAGAACCTCAATCCTCAATCGACATCCCCTCGCCCGAACTCAATTGGCAACTCAACCACCGCTACTCGATCGGGAACAGGATATACGTATTGGAATTGGCAGCAGCAAGGAGCGGGAGTGCGACTGAAATCCGAGCCAACGCGTGCGACGCGCCATCACCAAGATGTCGACCAGAACGACTGTAGCGTGAGTGAATCGTGGGAATTACCAGGGGATGGCCGCATATTGACATGAACCGTCACAGGTCTTTGTATCGTCGTGCTCTGAAGTTGTCCCTCGACTGGGCAGTTCATAGATACGTCTGGAGAGGGCAGGCCATGTACATACGATCGCTATTTGAAGCCAACAAGAAGATCCAGGAGCCCAGACAGCTGAGGGTAAGATATGTACCATCAATGGTTATGGATAGTCAATAATGGTTTCTACAGGCGTTGTTTCAAGAGACAGAGGATTTATTGCAAAAATGGAAGCACCCTGATCCATACCGTCCGCCAACTGCCCCAGGAGGTACGCAACTGGAAGCCTCATTGAATGGCTAGTCTTGCAATCGATCCTTTACTGACAAGTTTGCAGGATCGAAATACGAAAGAAATCTTCCAGCACCAATTCTCGATCGTAAGTTGTCATTTTTGATACCATGGACATTGACTAACTAGCATAATAGCCCCACCTCACATACAAGATTAGAATTTCGGCTTGTAAATCGGAAACTGATTTGCTTAGAAACGGGTTGTATATGTACATAGAAAGAATGCGAATCATTTGAAATAACTGATTGAGAGCTTGCTGTTCTCTACGCATATCCCTTTACTTGATTCAAGTCATTTTCGTAGCCGGTGATTTACCCTATGTTGAAAGGATGAAACGCACATATAGAGCCAAATCGTCGAGTAGCTTTGCAGTAAAGTGGAATACTGCATATTTCTTGAATTTCTATGTACAGAATATCAGAAAAGGTAATTCATGACCGCTTCTAACCAACTTGAGTGATTTCAAAAGCGTTCGATCGCTTTCTGACATTTGCAATGAAATCCAGACGAAGAACGTAAGGTCTAGCCTGGCCCATTTCCAATAGTTGATTATCTGAACAACCAATTTCTCCGAAGTGCTATCAGTGATTCTGAAGGAGAACTCGATGTTATTCGGAATCGCATCTTTATAAATTTCCGTGAACAGAGCCAACCCGATATGACTTCGGAGCAACTCCCCAAGATCAATGAGCGCACGGCCTAGATCGGAGAACCCGATAACACCGCGTTTCCAATTTGACGAGACTTTCTATCAGATTGCGCTGAAGCGACGGTAGGAATGCTCACTGTTCGAATCTCAATTGAGCAGAATGGAAACGTATGATAATTGTAATGATTTATCGAATTTCTCAAGATTGCCTTTATAGCAACCCTCCTAGTCCATTGCCATGGATCTAATGTACAACCAGAACGCGGAAAAACAGCCGTGAACCCAGACCCAAACGACACCCCATTATCATGAAATCAGACCCTCAGCAAACCAACCAAACTTAACAAAAAGCTTATAGCTCTTGGCTACCGGCAGCCTTTCCTCCCTTGGCAGTCTTCTTTGGCAATAAGTCTGAAAATAATGTTAGCAAATGCTGGAATGAGGATATACAGGAAGACGTACTCTGGTGAATGTTTGGTAGAACACCACCCTGTGCGATTGTGACGTGTCCGAGAAGCTTGTTCAATTCCTCATCGTTTCTGATGGCGAGCTGGAGATGACGTGGGATGATACGGGTCTTCTTGTTATCACGAGCGGCGTTACCGGCCAACTCGAGAATCTCAGCAGCTAGGTACTCGAGAACAGCAGCGAGGTAAACTGGGGCACCTGAAAAGACGCGTCAGAATGTATACAAAAGACGCGACAAAAGACTGTAACTTACCAGCACCAACACGCTGAGCATAGTTACCCTTTCTGAGGAGACGGTGCACACGACCGACTGGGAATGCGAGACCAGCTTTGCTTGATCGGCTGTGAATGGCATTAGTAAATTGATTCAAATGCGCAGATAGCAAAATGTGTCGAAGAAGCGCATTGCTCAAATTGGGACTGTTGATCCAAAATGAAGCAAAAACAACGCGTCTGAGCAATGCGCGACCAGAACCGAATGACTGAGGATGGAATTGAGCACTCACGATTGTGCGTTCTTGGCTCCGCTGGCCTTTCCTCCGGATTTGCCTCCAGTCATTTTGAAAGTTTTGGTTTTTTAACGTAAAGTTGAGTTTGGTGAGGGAGCTGAGTCGCTGATGGTCAAATAGACGTGTATGGGTGGGTGGTCGATAAAGAGTTTGGATGGGGGAGAGAGTTGACGATGAGGGAAGACGTTTGATTTTGTAGGTCGGCGGCGTGATGCGCGAATCGCTAATCACCAGAGCCGCCATCACGTTCTGATTGGGCCGATAGCTAGTAGCACGACGCGATGTGGGTGCACGTTCCCCATCAAAACAGCAGGCGCGTCGTGCTGGTCTTCTAGCCACCTTTGGTGACGGTGGCCCGTGATCCTAATCACGGCGCTAGCTTGCGCGAAACTACATAACCTCAACGACCTTCTCGTCCTCTCCTTACCTCCAATTCTTCTTTCCAACCACCAGCCATCGCCACCGTAAACCATCCACGCAACTCGATCTCAGCGATTTTTATCATAACCAATTTTTGATACCCAATCCCCCAAACCAAACCAAACTTCAAAATGCCACCAAAGGCCGCCGCAGAGAAGAAGCCAGCCGCTAAGGCTCCAGCAAAGGCTCCAGTTGAGAAGAAGGAAGCTGGCAAGAAGACTGCCGCTTCAGGCGACAAGAAGAAGCGCACAAAGACGAGAAAGGAGACCTACTCCTCTTACATCTACAAAGGTAAGAATTCTCAGTCGCACACCGCGTCTTGTCGCGTTATGTGGTCGCGTTTTGGTCTGCGGGGTTTTGGGGCATTGGCTCATTGGAGTCGCATCTCATACAAGACGCGTCCTTTTCCAAACAGTTTGCTAATCTTTCACCTTTAGTTTTGAAGCAAGTGCACCCAGATACTGGTATCTCCAACCGTGCCATGTCTATCCTCAACTCTTTCGTCAACGATATTTTCGAGCGTGTTGCAACTGAAGCATCCAAACTCGCCGCATACAACAAGAAGTCCACCATCTCATCGCGAGAAATCCAGACATCGTACGTTTCCCGCTTTCGTGACTCATCTCAGCCTACTGACTTTTCATCTAGCGTCCGTCTTATCCTCCCAGGAGAATTGGCCAAGCACGCAGTTTCAGAAGGTACCAAGGCAGTCACAAAGTACAGCTCCAGCACGAAATAGATTGTCTTCTCTTTGGGTTTTTACAAGGTGTCGGATATACTTTGACTTTGGGTCATCACCATTCGATGACGTGGTCCCAGTTGTTTCGGTCATTTGGGTTTTTCTAATGCGTTATGGATGGTCTGCTTTTTTTATGGGGGCATATGTCTTCATGGTCTGCTTTGGGGTACGTGGCTGTACAATAAAGTCTTCAGAATATGGAATCGGAAGACACGAATTGAAAGATGAATAACTTTACATTACTTGCACTTCATCTCTTGCTTTAATTTTGGTACTGCTTTCGATCTCTCTTTCCCAATTCAAATTTCTTGGAGCTTCTGAGATTTAGCTCGACTCGGCATTGTCGGAAATGCAATTTCTTCGCAGACGGGCCCATTTACCCGACACACACTCTCCATGCGGAATATACAACTTGGGTTTCAAAGCTGCTGTACTGGATAGACGTCGAATCCAGCTGTTGAATTCTCGAATTCATGACATTGCGCTATCCAGTCAATTATCTGATTCAAGTCAAATGGCTCAGAGCAAATTGAATTTGGAATTTTGGCATGGAAACAGGGTTTTCTATTTACTAGTACACGAAGAATACAATCTCAGCAAGTTTGATATAAACCGGCCGATCCAGAAAAGCAAACGTTTTGAGAGAATCTCGTTTCAGAATATCTAGACCCCCCCCATCGCATTTAAATGCTGGAAATGGTAAAGACTTTTTTAATACATTGTTTGCGCATGCTTTTTTGCCTCGTTCTATTCCAATAGATGCAAACAAAATTTGGATAGCACGGTATTATCGACACTTAGCCCAAACCAGCTTTGGTAGTCTTGACAACGTGTGCGACAGGTTGCAAGATACCCTTATTATTCAGAGCACCAAGAGCAGTCCCAGTACTCCAACCCATCTTCTCCAACATGGCTCTACCTCTATTCTCAACTCCGAGCTCCGGCGCAGAAGCTCCAACGACATCACCATCTCTGTAGCTGGCAGCTGAGTTACCAAAACCACCACCACGCGCAGGTCGAGGTGTCCCACCGAACTTCTTGCCGCCAGCGTCTGGTCTCTTCATAAAACGGCGTGACAACTTTGCATCGATGGTCGCAAACTTGCTCTCGCTGTACATGATGGTATTCTTCGTACGATATAGGACAGGGAACCGCTTGTTTCCAGCCCCCACAGATTTAGACTTCAAGTTGAAAGCTTGAGCGAATTCATGAACCAGTTTACGATCTCCCTTGTCCATAGGTGTAAGTGGAAGTCTGCCAAACGTTAGTATGATCTTCGTAACAAGTGACGGAATCTTACGTAGTATCTCTACCGTTCATCAAGAAAATTCTGATTGCCTCCTTGACAGCTTCGATACCCATTCCTTCCTTATACTTCGCCTTCAGATCGACTTTGCCATTCTTGCTACCAAGCAATCCTTGGGCTCGAAGTTCCTCGCGTTCTTGCTTTCTTTCCTTTTTCTTGAGTCTATCATTCTCCCATGCAGTATTCATGGAATCCTCAAGTTCGGAGTCTGAGATGTCAACCGGCAACTTGCCCTTTCTGCCCTTGGGTTTCTTCTTCAGGCTTGGTCGTTCGAAATCCATTACGTCGAAGCCATCATAAGCATTTGCCAGAGCAGTTGCTGGTGGAAAACCCCCCCGCGGACGCTTGGCGCCGGGCTTCTTTGAGCCTTTCATAATTGGGCCTTTGCCAGCGGAAGATGTAAAAGCGGAAAACCCAAAGTCGATGTCTTCCTCATCGTCATCTTCCTCGTCAGCTTCAGCGTCGAAGAGAAGTAATTCGTTAGAGCCCATGCCCAATTCCTCTTGTTTCGCTAGTAGCCTAGCAATTTGTTCATCGCTCATCCGTTCCATTTTCTTTTGCAATAATAATTCTTCATCGTCACCATCGGAATCCGAATCGTCATCTAGATCTTCATCGCTTGAGTCATCTGAATTTTGCATTCGCTCAGCCTCTCGAATAAAACCTTCCAAAAGCCTCTCCTCTGCTTCAAACTCAGCTATGAGCCTCAGCTCCTTTTTACCTTTTAGCTTAGAATCTGTGACCCATTTTGCATCGTCAAATGTCTGACCACAGTATATTACGAGGTATGAAACACCCCTCTTTCTGTCTCGTTTCGATAATATTTGTCGCACCTCTCCTTCTTCGCCATCCGAGGTACTTACGCCTTCAAAATCTTGCATATCATCGGTGTTCCACCCAGATTCTCCGTAGGTACCCTTAGCAGGCTCAACAGAAGACCGGTCAAACACATCTTGTACGCCATCCGCCTCTCCCCATCCCAGCTCACGAGGGCGAAATTGATCGACGTAGGTTTTCCGTTTGACTGGTCCCTCTTCAACATCCTCTTCTTCTTCTTCTTCTTGAGCCATGTTGGCGATGTAGTCGGCAATCATGGCTTCCTCATCTGTCTGCTTTTTTGTATGGCGACTGCGGTGCTTACGCTGCTGGCTCCGGCTGCGGTGGCTGTCTTCCCAATCGCCGGGTTGCAGAGATACTTCTTCTTCTTCCACTACTATGATTGCTTCCGGAGTCCGTTGTCTCGCTTCTCTGCTGGGGTTTCGTGAGCTGTCGCGCTCATGAACAACATGTTCGAGCAATTCTTCGCGCTGGTGTATTTGGTCGTTGATCACTTTAATCTGATTGTCTATCCCGTTTGCTTTTCCTGGGGCGGCATCTTTCTTTGCAGTTCCTGAATGATCAGATATTACTCGTGGCGGTCGGCCTTTCCCTCGGAATAATATGATTTCTTCACTAGAATTTGAAGGTGTCGGCGAAACTGGTCGAAGTTGTGGTAGTGGCAAACCGGTCACGACAGGTTGGCTTCCTGACGTATCGATCACAAACGCTTCAGAGGAGGGTGCAGTAACGGCAGGTACATTAATACTGGTTGTGTCCTGTAAGTCGGCATGTTCTGCAACGTTCTCTTTCTGTAGTTCTTGTGCTTTCGAGGTTAAGGACATCTCCGCAAGAGCCGCATTGTTCGCATTTGCTTCGTCGTTTGGATCGTCCTGGTGAAGGCTTCCGGCACTGACAAAGCTGACAATATTGTCTCTCAATCTCTGATCGGTATTCCAAAAAGATGGATTTCGCCCAGTATTTATTGCCTCCTGCTGAAGAGTGAACCCTGATTACATTGTCAGATCTTTTTGTCACTATTCAGACATGAGTTCTTAGTATAATTGTAGCTTACCATTGTGATTCTTTTGCGGCGTCGACGTGCCACTGAAAGGAACAAAAGATGTCTCTAGGCCATTTTTGTTGCCTCTCGATGGTGTCGAGAAGTTGCCCCGCCGGCCACCTCTTTTCGCGCGTGGCATATCTGCTTATTGTCCTCAAGATGTCGAATTGATTTCCATTGTTTGAAGAGGCGATAGATTGAGCGCTTTCGTGCGAAGGTGACAATGAGTCGTAACGTAGGGCAACCGGGTACCCGTTGTGTTGGTTCTGCTGCTTAGTGTTGGAAAGATTCCGAAATGTAGCACGACAACATCGTAATCCAGAAGACTGTAGTCATACTAGCTGCCAGTTCGCGCCCCAGCTTTGTTTTCTCCACAATTCCATCATCGCAACTTGAGGGTCGTTTATCGATAAGGAGCGGCTTAGCGTTGTTTTGAATGAGTAAGTAGTACGGACGAGTACCTATGAAGTAGCAACATTCAAAGTCGTGATTATGACTATGCAAAGATAAAGTTAGACAATCACTTAACATTCTTAAATAAAACGGAAATTCGCAAGGCTTTACCCTTTGAATCCATCGCAAGAGCATGAATGGATTTGGATGATCCACTTCTGTAAGGTCAAGTGGTGCCAACCCATGCTCGTCTGCCTTTCAACAGTCTCACCACTCCCACCACTAGACGCACCCGTGAATAGACTCAACTCTCAAGGCGTGAGCTATAACACCTCCTCCTCTTCGATATACATGTATAGTATCTTTGATACTGTGCCTCTCCTCGAATTATAGGTGGGAAACCTCGCCCATTAATACAACGCATTCGAACGAAGGCAGCCTATGGTGCCCCGCCTCTCGGGAAGCTGTCAATAAACATCGCAGTCACCTTTCTCATCACATACAACTGCACCATGGAGAGCGTAGACTTCTATACTTCCAGATTCCGACGGTATTTCTGGGACTCACAGCCCACGCATGATGCGAGCTCGAAACTTCCTATTTGGTTACTAGGCAAATCCTATGACCCTTCAGAGAAAGCTCCTACGATCAAGCACGATGTCACAACTTCACCAGAAGATGGTAGCTCCATAATCACGACACCTAATAGACCCGTCACACCTCCAGACAGTGCTGCAAGCAGCTTCGACTCAGTAACCCACGACGAGGTTAGAAATGCGGATGTTGGAGGGGGCTGGCCGCCATCCTTTCTCGACGACTTTGAGGCTAGAGTATGGCTCACATATCGCTCCAACTTCCCTCTTATACCAAAGTCTCAAGATCCATCAGCGGTGTCAGCAATGTCTCTGCCAGTACGGTTAAGGAGTCAATTCGGGAATCAAGCTGGGTTCACTTCCGACACGGGATGGGGTTGTATGATTCGCTCCGGGCAAAGCATATTAGCTAACACGTTATTGATGTTGAAACTGGGTAGAGGTAAGGACATGCCTAAATCGAGTGGTTTTGATATACTGACGGAATTACAGACTGGCGGCGAGGTTCATCAATATCTGAGGAGCGAGCACTCCTTGCATTATTTGCGGACGATCCCAAAGCTCCATATTCGATACACAAATTCGTAGAACACGGAGCGGTAGCCTGTGGAAAGCATCCTGGAGAATGGTTCGGTCCTTCTGCAACAGCTCGCTGTATACAGTGAGTCTTTTCTTCCTAAATTCCTACCACTAGACTGACCAACGGCAGGGCCTTAACGAACGGGTACGATTCATCAGATCTCCGAGTATACATAACTGGTGATGGGGGTGATGTGTATGAGGATTCGTTCATGGGTGTTGCGAAGCCTGATGGAAAACCTTTCATTCCTACTCTTATACTGGTTGGCACAAGGCTAGGGGTAGACAAAATAACCCCTGTGTACTGGGAAGCGCTCAAGGCATCATTACAGATGCCGCAGTCTATGGGAATTGCGGGGTAAGTTTTATGATAACCACTCTAAAGCTGTTGAGACTGACCCTTGGTAGTGGACGGCCGTCATCATCGCATTATTTCATAGGTGTTCAAGGTTCCTACTTTTATTATCTAGATCCCCATACCACTCGACCTGCACTCCCATTACCCATGGATCTAAAAGACTATTCTCAGGAAGATATAGACTCATGTCACACGCGGCGACTTCAGCGTATTCAAATAAAGGAGATGGATCCAAGCATGCTCATAGCTTTCCTGATCAAAGACGAGAAAGACTGGGAGGCATGGAAGAAAGGTGTTCAGGAGGTGCAGGGGAAAGTGGTAATCAATGTAGCGGATCGAGACCCCTCGCTTCACGGCCTTGGAGGAGAGCGGGATGGAGCTATCGATGAGGTTGAGACGTTTGACGATGACGATGATGATACCATGTGAAATACAGGCGATTGCTAGTTGGTGTTAGGAGGTATATTCAAGGAGTGGCTCCGCGAGGCGTTTACTAGGATAGGACATACATTTAGATATGGAGTTTTTGGCACATCTTTATGGCCGCAATGTCATGAATGAGGTTATGCAGATAATTTTTATCATGCCAAAATGCCAAAATTATTAATCATCCTATGGTAGAGATTCACATTAACAATCTAACGAAGGCAGTTTTAAGACAACAAGGAGGAGCTCGCTGAACTCGAAATTTGTGAAAGCATTTGACAGACGATTGTTTCATTGCCGAATGGTTTTCTCACCTCTGTAAATATGACTTCACTAGTTGTATATATATTTGAAATCTTTAACACTTCCAGACACACTGTTAAGATACTAAGCATAGCAAATTTGACTATCCTTGAAGCGGTGCCATAAAATACACATCCAATTCGAGCATAATGAACGTTTACATTTGATTACATTTGATAGCCTCTACTCATAATATCTCTCACCGAGTGATCCTGTTCGGTTTCTGTTTATCAAGCGAACTGTAAAGTCTTGTTACAATGTAACAGTAAGTCGACCAAGCAAGTAAGAGAGAATTTTAACACAAGTTATTATCTTTGTATTACTTTAGATGGATAAGATTGCTAGAACAAGAAGAAACCTTTTCTTAAGAAGTTTCCGTCTTGATTTAGTATGTTACTTCTGTATTTATCATGGAGTAATCATATTTAGTTTTGACGTTTTGGTGTTAGGATGATAGGTTTTTTGTGTACTAAGATTGCTAACTTATATTGGACGTTCAATGTGCCTAAAAGCAAAATATGATATAAAGCTTGAGAGTTAATCAGTATTGGAGACTTTTATTGCTTTACGAGGTACAAGGTGAAAGAAGAAAATATTTATGCATAGTGACTAGGTTATGGATGTTTGAAAGTTAAAGCGAACTGTCTGGTTATCGAGGAGTAGATGAGGATCGACGGTATGTCTGTTGTATACATCCTACAGTGCTAAGGTATGTTGAAGAAACTGAGTTGGAAAAGCTTCAAATTAACAGCAGGTGTTTTTCTGTTAAGAGAAGCGTACTTGTGATTCTGAGAGACATATGGTTGGAAATCAAATAGTATCAGAGACAGTCAAAAAAGCCATGCTTTAATCATCCATTTAGTTTGTTAAATGTCTGCCTGTCATGTGTACCGACTAAAGTAGCGGAAAATACAGGCTATACTGAAAATGTAGTGGTCTAAACCCGCAAAATTGGTATATGTTTTAGACTCCCTATGATCTCCAATCCTTTAATATGCCCATAACTCCTCGCTATGCCCTCCAAAATCACCATCAACCCATACCCGCGAACAGTGTTCTACTTATCGCTTGTTTTTCTTCCCTTTCGCCTTCGGGACTAGCTGCGCATGTTTGGGATTCTCTTTCAGATGATCAAAAAGCTTGTTCTTGGAATCAAACGGAGCCGTACAGCCTTTGCACTGGAACTGCTGGTGCTTAGTATATGGGTTTTCTAGTGCAAGTTTCGGATGTGACTTACCTCAGTCTCCTGTGTCGGATTTTGAGTTTCCTTTGCTGCTTTCTTTGCGCGCTTTCCTTTTGCTTTGCCTAGTTTTGGTTGTTTGCTGCTATCCGTCTCACTGACATCTCGGTTCAGATCGATATTTTCTGTTAGTGCGTGGAACCGTTCTTCTACTTCTTTTCGAGGCGCGTACTCGTCGTCCTGAGATGCATCTGACTGTTCGTCCACGGATGCTTGAGCAGGTATATCCGGAGAAGTAACGGTAATGGGCTTCTCATTATGAGGAGAAATTTCATTTTCAGGTATTTCCACAACGTCTGGTATTATGTTGGTGTTGTGGTACGAATCAGTGTCTTCTTTGTCGGGACTAGGCGATCTTCCTTCGTGACCGGTGGAGGGGGTGTCGAGATCTAGTCGTTTATTTTCTTTCTTCATTTCTCTCTGAAGCTGCTGTACAGCTTTAATGTGCTTTTTACTTTTCTCGTGAGCCTCGTATTGCTTTTCGCTCTTGAAAGTCTTATTGCAAACGACACATTCAATGTGCTCTATTTCCGATTTTTCTGATTCCGAGCCAGAAAATTCGTCATCTTCTTGGGTCTCACCAGACTGTGCCCACTCCGGAACGATTTGATTTTTTAATTTGGCCTGGTTTGCTTCCCGCGATCTGGCTGCTTGAGCCGCTACAGCATCACGTAGAATCTTTTGTCGGTCCGCCTCTGACTGGGAATTTGGAATGAATCTGGGATCGCGCTTGCGTACAAAGGCAACAAGCGATCTTACGGCATCATTAAATTCCCGTATACCCTCGTCTCTAAATCTCTTGTTTTCCTTTTCGATAAGTCGCCGAGTTGCTCTATCTGGTGCATCCGAGGTTCGATATTGATCTCTCCAAGCAAACGTTTTCTTGGTTGAGAAGCTCATCCACACTCTGTAGAAGGGTTTTGCCACATCTTCATAGGTGTCTTTCGACCCTCCAAAGTTTGGGTAGTCAACTGGTTCTAAGCCTTCCCAGTCACAAGCTGAATCTTCTTCTGCAGCCAAGGTCTCAAAAGTTTGCTGCAAACTCCCATAGAACCCATTTGCGGAATCCGTGAATGGAACACTGGAGTTGAACTTGGACATCAAGCTCACAATATCGCTGGCACTCGTCAAACGAACACTATGCTCATAATGCTCTTCTTCGCCACCTCCATCGCCTCGCAGAATGGATGCTCTATGCGAGTCGTACCAAGCACGTTCTTGAACATCTGAGAGCACTTCATATGCAGACTGGACTTCTGCAAACTTTGACGTCGCATTTTCAACATCTCCATAGTTTCGATCAGGGTGAAGTTCCAACGCCTTTCGGCGATATGCCTTTTTGATTCTTGAGATTTGGTCAGCAATGTCAAAATAAGATATGATCAAAATTCTCACTCATCGTCCGTTGCTTGACGCTCCACCCCCAGCACTTCGTAGTAACATCTTTTAACCTCGGACGAGTTACTGTTAGGAGTGTTGGTTGACTGTTGAGCACCCATTTTGACTGAAAGTTTGTCTGACTCGGCTATTTCAAAATTTAAAGCAAGCACAACGATGCGGAAAATTGTGGTTATCGTGTATGAATGGAACAGAATTAATAGGTCAGTAGTATCTCCAAACAACCTCGCCGTGAGTCATCAAAATATTTTATTCGCGACTCCCATGAAGAATTCCGACCTTGTGGAACTTCAGATGGCCACTTGAAAGATGAGCAAGGATGAGTCGTGATCTGCTGGTGACTTGACGATCCACCCGCAGATTTAAAAGCATCGGCATGTCGGGTCCGGGACCGGATAGAATACCTAAAGCGGCCCTGTATCGGGCCCAAGTGGCCGACAATTATATCACCATATCTGCTCATGCTGTTCGAACAAAACCCTGGCTCAAGCCAAGCAATACAGCCAATTTATCGACAAAGCCGAGAGTTCATGTTCTTGGGTATGAGACCAATTCATATACTGGACTACACCACCCACTGCTCTGTTACACTTTCCGTGTGTTTCCTTTCGGATAGTATGTATTTCGAAGTAATCTGGAACCAATCAGGATGCTAGTTCTGGACACGATGCTCCTAGCAGAACCGTGAAAGTCTATCATATCCATTCCTTCCTCACGATAAGATTTCCCCGACTAGCAATTGCAGTCTAGCACAACAAGCGATCAAGTTACACGTTAAGCCGCAAGGCTTTTCAGCTCATCGCAGTTCACCACTTCAATGTAGCAGGTACGAGAGATGTACACTCCTATACTTACCAACGGAACAATGGTCCGTTCGGAGGCGATTTCGGCGTTAGGCACATGCGACTTTTAAAGTTCAAACAACATCGTACGGACAGCCATTCAACATTTTATATTTTGCGACAACACCACCTACAGCACCCATCTACCCCCAGCAATTTTACAGGTTACTCATCTGACGTGTGAATAATGGGCATATTCTTGGATGCATTTCAAGTACGACAGCATCAGCGCCCGTGACGTCCAATTTGGTTACACCAACACTCCTTCGCCTGTCTATACCTTGTCGACGAAGCACCTATAGGTTCTGCAGCGTCATTGACTTTACATGAGGACCTTTCAGGTTGAATTTTGGAATATTAGACTAGGACATCTTACCAACCGTCAAGATGAAATTTGCGCATGAGTTTCAGGCCGCCTTGATACGTGAGGGTTTCCCGCCACACTGGGTAAACTCGGCTGTGCCTTACGGTCAGTTGAAGAAGATTATAAAGAAAGTCACAATAGAATTGCGAGACCTAGGTTTGGATTCTTCCACACTATCACAGCTTGTTTCGGAGGCCGACCCTAATTCGCCATCTGAAATTGGAGAGAATGGCGTAGCATTTCAATATGATTTTGATGGTACGTGAACACCGAAATTTCTTCGTAAAACTATCTCACACTTATTACATAGGTGATAAAACCTTGTTCCAGCCCAAGCTTACCCTCCTTCTTCGAGATGGCCTTGCCGTGGATGCCACATTATCTCCTGATACGCGAGAGTTCCTTCAGAAATTGGTATCTCAGCAGCGGCCTGAGCACTTAAACTCTGCCAATGAGGAACGGCTCATCCCAGTGATGACGAATGAGTAAGTGTATATAATGTTTATTGGGAATCCCACTCCTCGACCTTCATCTCTGCTTCTGTAATATTCTGACAGATGTAGAAGCTTGGCAATATCATCGCTAGATGGTAGCTCCAGAGACAGCGGACAATTGGTTCAACGTGTCGAAATCCCCTTGACCTTTGATGCCGAGTTTTTCACAAGACTCCAAGCTGAAGTTGCCACACTGGACACGCTTCAAGCTGGAGAGCAAACTGCGTTGACAGAACAGATTGTTTCGCTCTCGAAGGACATTACTTCCTTGACGAAGCCGTCCAGATTCAATAAGACAGACTTGTACAGATGGCGAGAACTGTTTGAAATCTATCTTCAAGCCATGGTGTTCTTCTCGACGCATGAAAAAGACCGCGGGACTAGAGACAGCTCCACGGCTGCTAAACAACTTCAATGGTTTCAAGCGGAAGTTGTGAAGAGGAATATTGTTGAGTCATTCAAGCTTCCAGCGAGTAGGCAAGCTCTTGACAAATTCATCAAAATAAACGTTACTCTATTACGAAGCATCAAATTTCAAGAGATCAACCAGACAGCGATTAGTAAAATTCTTAAAAGTATGATCTTCGCCTTGATTTCTTCTCTTAATTGCTAACATATGGATTTATGAAGAATTCGACAAGAGAACTCAACTTGGCGCGAAGAGGAAATTCCCCAAATTGATCCAGTCGAGTTCAGCAATGTCGCAGACCATCGCAAAAGCTGTCTGCTCACAGCTTACGGAGGACCTAGTCAGGAAAGTACCGCAATTGGACGATAACTTGTGTCCGATTTGCTTTACGATTGCCTGGAGACCGGTACGGATGAAGTGCGAGCATGTTTTGTGCATTAGTTGTGCAGTGACCTTGCAGAGGAAAAGGGAAAGAAAGTGTCCACTTTGTCGAGATGATGTTATTATGAAAGCAGATGCAGGTATGTAGTTTTGCGACGTCCTTCAATTTATTTTCAGCGGCTGTAGCCAGTGATGTCGTCGCAGGTAGCTGACATATGGTAGATAATATTGATCCCGAGTTGGAGAGGTACCTTGAGAAATACTTTCCCAAGGAAGCGAGAGAGAAGCGTATCGCGGTCGAGACTGAACGAGGCAAGGAGCTGTTTGGTCACGCTTATAAACATCCGTCGGAGCAGAAGTGCTCATTAATGTGAATCTGGAAGGCAAAGACAAGGATTCCATAAAACATAATGATACCCCAGCGCAATAATAGTATACAGAATACCATTCTTTTAATGTGAGCTAAAAGTAACATGCCGAATCATGTCTAAGTTCCACATGGGAGAAATGCAATTCACGAACGCGGTCTTGAAAATGCGGGGTACAAACCTCGACCGTGCACACATCTGGTTGTGACTCGAGATGATACAGCAGGCAGAGCAAATATTTCGACCGGAGGAAGATTATGATTTCTTTAATTTGAGAGACTTCAGAGTTTCACAAGTGTCTGAAACAATATGTGCTTTGCAGGAACGACAGATAAATGCAACGCCACTGAACAGGATAGAGTGCAATTTGAAGTAACACTACCTAATGGATCGCCAGGTAGTGCCACAAGAGGATGGCCATATGACTTACCCAACGTATAGAAAGAAAATACTAATAAATACTAAACAGTTTCACTAATCTCACTGTTCTAATAACTCAATCATTCTCTAACCAAGATTAATATTTAAAGATTTTTTTTGAGCAGGTCATCTTGGTTGGCGCATAAAGACCCATGCTCATCGGAGTTGTTGATAAGGCGAAGCTAATCGTTGATGATGACCTCAACCATCCCGCCATCGCAGTCGGAAATGCTAATATTTTGTTAACCTGACATGTTAGCAGTACCGCGACAACTTCTTAATTCATGACCGCCTTCCCATGATCGCTCTTGTCGACGACGAATTCATCACAAATATGGCGCGCCACCACGATAGCCCATCTCTCGATGATCTTCCCGATGAAGTCCTCCAACATATCCTCGATTTCGTTCCAGCAGAAGATGCGCTACGGAAGACTTCATTGATTTCCAAGCGCCTGCATATACTAAGTAGCCAGCAGCTGCTTTGGAGGAACCATTGCGAATACGACTTCACATATTGGGATGCTCGACATGGAATGCCTGATAAGCTGGACGCAGATATCGGAGAGGTAGACTGGAAAGCTCTCTACAAATACAGGAGAAAAATTGAGCAGGATGTCGGCGATGTCCTGGATAGCATACTCAAGTCGCAGACGGGAAGGATAGAAAAGTACAAAAACATCTCGGTCCACGGTTACGATGCGAAGGACGCTTTACTTCGGCATTGCTCTGCGGATGAGGACCAGGAAGATGCTTTGGCTAGAAGGTATTGCACTTGATCTCATTTTCGGAGAAGTGAGTTTGACGCAACCATAGATACTATGCCACTTCGGTTTTGGATCACATACACCGCGCAGAAGCGTTGTCGACGTGGGATAGGCTTAAACGAGGAGAAAACATCTTTCTTGAGGAGGCATTAGGCGCCTTCGATTTATTTGTGTTACACGATCAAAAGGGCGATTTAAATGAGGTACATCCATTAATTCCGATATATTTTGCTATTTGTCCAGTTCTAATTCGCAAATGCAGGTATCCCAGGCCCTCCACGACATAGCATCAAAACTTCTCGACGAATACCCCGCGATGAAAGATGGGAGTCTCACCACCCGGCAGAAGGCACTCACAGTAGTCCAATTTCTAAGGGCACATAATCTTGTTGGATGTGAAGATCCGGCGTCATACCGAGACTTACGAAACAACTACATCGGAATCGCATTACAGCATCCAGACCACGCTTCGTTACCATTGATATCTGTAGCTATTTATGTCGCCATAGCGCAGCGATTTGAAATTGACGCACGCGTTTGCGGAGTTCCTTCGCACGTACATGCCGTGGTGATAGGCTCGAAGGAAGAAACTCTTGATGGTCGACCTGTGATGAAGAAAGAGGACGCCGAGGAAGCAATGTTTCTAGACCCATTTCGATCCGACCAAGAAGTCCCAGTTGAAGTTCTTCACAGATTTCTAGCATCATGGAGCATACCCGCCAGAGACTTCGACGTGCACCTCAGACGTACCAATACCCCGGGTCTAGTTGTGAGAACTTCACGGAACATACTTGCCTCCATCCAAGAATTCCGAGCTCAACCCGTAATAGCAAACTATACGGACCAGTTCACCATGCCGCTCCACTCGAATACTAACCCCTTTGCTGAAATAGAAAATGCATACTACTCAGCTCTGTGGTGCAACTTCATATTTGGACGTCCAGACCCGCACCCAAACGAGCACGATCAACGACAGATCGTCCCTCTCATTCTCGAAAAGTATGAGCGGCTCTATCCTATGGACTGCCACCTTCTCGAAAAGTACATCTGTCCATTGTACCCCGACGTCAATGATGTTGGCCACTTGGACTTACAAGAAACTCTACGCGTTGTGCGCGCTGCAGACTCCACTCCTAAACAGAGAAGACCTAGAGATAGCCAAGCTTCGCGCGAAAGTGTCAGGTATAAGGTTGGACAGGTATTTCGCCATCGCAGATATGCTTATATGGCTGTAATTATTGGATGGGATGTCGAATGCGGTATGAATCCTCATTGGATCGCCAGCAACGGTGTAGACAACTTGTCACGAGGTCGAAATCAAAGTTTTTATCATGTGCTGTAAGTTTCTCCTTCTGGGTGTCTTTGGCAATCACCTACTAACATCACTGGCAGTGTGGAAGATACCAGTATACGATACGTCGCGGAGGAGAATATTGAGATTTTAGAAACGGATGAGGTGGATAGTCTGAAGAGTCTCGCGGGTCGGTATTTCAAGCGTTGGGACAAAGAGAAGAAAGTTTTTGTGTCGAATATCTGTGATGAATACCCGGACCACTAAATGAGGTGAGGTGTAAATAGTAGCATTTTGTTTACAGGACAATTGATTCGAATACTGTGTTCAAGTTAGAAGAGAAGGCACATATGGGAAATCTTCACAAAGAAAAATGTCCAAAATGAGCAAGACTACGTCTAGAATCTTATATTTCGGGTATCTCTCGCCTTATTTTCCATCAGAAAGGTCTAATAGCCTTTGAAATATGTGAAACTACTTTCTACTCAATTGCTCACTAAGATGAAGTCATCCTTCTACTCCCATCCTCATGTACAGTCATTGTACCAGTGCGGCCTATCCCTCTCGCCTGGTGGTAATAATGGCGCTTACGTACGATATGAGTCTGTATTGCCAATACGACCTTTCTTTTTACATCACCCATTCCTCCGTGTGAAGCCTTGAACTGAGCAATTCAAGGAGTCTCGTCGTCCTGCTTGTTCTCAGCCGCCACATGGTCTTCGACACGTTCTTCCCTAGTGGCGGGCTGATCTTGCACAAGATGATCTGGACTGAGAATGGAGCTGGTGTTTTCTACTGGAGAAACATCCGGAGAGCCTTCTGCTGCTTTAGAAGTCGGGATTGCAGTCTCCAGATCCATCTCATCGTTCCCACTTTTCGTAGTACTGTTAGTTTGACCTTCTTGCGTGGAAGTCGCCGGCCTCGCTTCTGCGGCAAGTTCATTTTCAGGGCGTTCGCCATTACTGGCAGTCTCGGCAGGCTCTCCTTCATGTTGTAGGTCTTGTGGTGTATCAGCAGCTGTGTGACTAGTGGTACTTCCGCCAGTCATGTGGACGTCTGAATCTACCATAGAGGTCGACGCTTCAGCCTGCGCTTCTGGAGCAGCAGTATCTTCCAACATCTTCAAGGCAGCCTGGTGGTTCTCATAGTTTATAGCCGCGAGTTCGTTTATATACGAGTTTCGCAATTGACCAAGCTCGTAGAAGAATTCCTGATGCAATGCCATGAGATCCTCCACGCTCCCCTCTGCTTGCTCAATGATCTCTATCGATACTGATGACAGGCGGACCGAATCTAAAACCTCCTGCGTCAATCCATACATCTCATCCACTTGTCCTAGAGTTGGGTCAAAGGCAGCAAGCTCCTTCCAATCCACCTTCACATAGTCTAGCATACCCTCGACCCTTCTGAGTGATTTTATGACTTCGACCAATCTTCGCGGTATGCTTAGCAGAGGACTTTCGCACAATGCCAACAGGTTGAATTGTAACCCATCTTCAATATATTGTGTCATTCGATCCTCCATGTGTTGCCGAGCAACAGCTATCCAATCGTCGCCCGCAGGACCTAAATATATGAGTATTTTCAAGAAACTTTTCGTACATAAACTTACCGAGGCTGAGTGGTTGGTGTTGAAGACCATCGAAACGCCATACCACCCCATTGATGGGCACGTAGGCTATGAAATGATATGCAGCTTCCTCCTGAACACGCTTCTTTTTCTTTCTTGGCACGTTCTTTCTTGATGCTTTCTTACCTTGGCTGATCGTGGGTGGTTTTTGCTTCTTGGATTTGTCCTTGTTTATAAGCTTGTCCTTATTCATAACCTTTAGCCATTTTTCAAAGTCAAATTCCGCGGGATCCACGTTGTGGATGTCAATTTTCCTGCCAATATCAGCACAGCTTTGGTACGGACTGAACAAGGAAGAGATTAGTTTAGCTACCGGGCGAATGAGTTGTGAGTGTTTCTTATGAAAACATTCTCCCCGAGCTGTTTCCCTCGATAAGCTGGTTCTAGGCCCTCTGTTTCTCTCTTGAAATCACGGAGCGTTTGGCCAAGCTCAATTTCCGGCACATTCATGACGATGTTCAGCATGGCAACGGTTGCACATGAGTTTTGAATGGTCTAATAAGACAGTAAGTATAGTAGACTTTTGGGCGGGTGACGATACTTACTTGGTTTGCAAACCAAACATCTGTCGGAATTTCCCTTGGTAACCCATAATCATCATGATCATCCGACCCTCTGTAGGTAAAGAGGAAAATAAGACCATAAACTGGTTTCCTTGAAAAGGTTAGTGAGAATGCCCAAGGATTTCGGGTAGGATGGCCTTACGGAAGATCCGCTAGCATTTCACTATCCAGTGAGAGTACTTCTTGAATTTTGACACCCTCTACGCCGTATCCTCGTAAAATGTAACTGAACGTCGCCTACAGTGAATCGCGTCAGTAAACCTGCAACATGTTACATTTGACAGGGAACCCTACAGGATCAGACTCAAGCTCAACCCAGCCTTCCCAGCCCATGCGCTCTTCATTTGTTAGTAGTTTGAGCCCCTCCTCGGTGGAAAGTTCAACTTCAACGGGCGCGGTTATCCTCGTTTTCCGTGCTCTCTGAGGTCTTTTCTTGGGCGGCTCCTCTTCAGACGGCGACCTACGCTTTTGAGGTGAGTCTGCTGATTGCAAACTCTCACTAAGCGCTTTTGATACTTGTCGGTTGCGAGTCGACCTTCTTCTACTACGAAGATCCTTCGCAGGAGATTCCACCCAATCGTCATCCATTTGCGTGTAGTCTAGTGTGGTGGACGCCTGTAAATTTTGTAAATTGCGAGGGATGATAGAGATCCCAGAGGTGTAAGCCCTCAGCCAGTAAGACGGTAGTGTAATCAATTCAAAGAGCACACTAAGTCAAGCGGGTGAATAAAATAATGAGACATGCAAACTCCCGAAGAGTATTAAGACATGTCTGTCTTGTAGACAAACAAGAGAGTTTGTCAAACCGAATGAGTGCATGTGGATGGGTAAAACTGTTGGAAGATCAGAAACAAAGGGAACAAGCTCAATCGCCAGCGGATAATGATAATTGAAAATAAAGGTTGATTCTCTAGTGAAGCTAGGAAGCTGCTTGGGTGCGTATGCGGAGTGAAATGTGGGTGAGCCGCATTATGTGTATAGTAGTGGTCTTACGTGCTGCATAACAAAAAAGCAGGACGAGACTCGAGGTGGGATCGGGGATGTGGGGGAAGCTTGCCGATGGCCCGTGCACCTGCAAGGCCCGTCCCCCGTCGGCTCTTGACCGGACCGCAATCCACGATATCCGCATTTCGAGCTGTGTGCATGGAGCTTTTGCCTCCCACCCATTCTACTCGATTCCGCTAACCACCCTCGACGTGTGTAGGAACGTTCCTTACTGCAGTTATTCTTGGTAGAACAAATCACTCCTAAAACCCCCTCTTCTGTTCGGAATTATTGTTGTAAAACTATTCATCTGCGCTTCTCTTTCAGCTTCACTAGTTCACTCTCTGATCCAAGCCTCGCAACCTTTCAATATGTCTACAGCGGCCGCTCAGGCAGTCGCTCTGAAGGATGAAGGAAACAAAGCTTTTGCTGCACACGACTGGCCTAAGGCGGTGGAATACTATTCTAAGGCTATCGACCTGGACAACAAAGTACCAGCCTACTATTCGAATCGAGCACAGGTATTGGTCCTTGCAATCCATTGTAATGCTCGTGTGACTGACCTCAAGTAGGCGCACATCAGGTCAGAAGCTTATGGGTACGCGATAGCAGACGCAACCAAGGCGATTGAACTGGATCCTAATTTCGTTAAGGCATGTTTCCCTGAGAATCTAGCATTATTCTCCAATTTCCACACCTTGATAGCGATATTTCAGCAGCAACATTGCTGACCATTTCTGGCAGGCATACTACAGAAGAGGTGTAGCCTATGCTGCCATTCTTAGACCCACGGACGCACAGAAGGACCTCCAAGTTGTCGTCAGGAAGGCACCAAACGACAAAGACGCGAAATTGAAGCTCGCAGAATGTGCGAGAATTGTCAAGCGAAATGCCTTTGAAAAAGCCATCGAAATCGGAGATGAGCCGTCTGCAGCAGAAGGGTTAGACATTGACTCTATGTCAATTGACTCGGCATATGATGGGGTAAAGTTGGAGAAGGAGATGACGCAAGAATTCATCGACGATATGATTGACCGTTTCAAGAACGGCAAGAAGATACACAAGAAATACGTTTACCAGATCATTATTGCAGTGAAGAAGATTGTCTACCAGGAAGCTACAATGGTAGAAATGAAGATACCAGATGACGCAACTATGACCGTCTGTGGAGACACACATGGTACGAAACAGCTCCCCATGCCCGTTAGAAATGGAGCTGATTAAATGTTTTAGGCCAATACTTCGATTTACTCGAGCTTTTCAGGCTGAACGGATTTCCCACAGAGAAGCACTATTACCTCTTTAACGGTGATTTCGTCGATAGAGGATCGTGGTCTACAGAAATCGCTCTTCTTCTTTATGCTTACAAGTGGCTTCGTCCTGGTTCATTCTTCATTAACCGCGGAAATCATGAGACAGACGACATGAACCGTGCATATGGATTCGAAGGAGAATGCAAGGCCAAGTACAACGGTAAATAAAAGCCATTAAGCTACCTTACAGACATGATGCTAACAGAAACCTAGATCGGGTCTTCAAACTCTTCTCGGAGAGTTTCTCTGCTTTGCCATTAGCAACACTCATTGGTGAGAAATACCTGGTACTCCATGGTGGTCTCTTCTCGGATGACAAGGTCACGTTGGATGATATTCGCAAACTGAACAGACATAATCAACGCCAGCCTGGTCAATCTGGTCTGATGATGGAAATGCTCTGGACCGACCCGCAAACCGAACCTGGAAGAGGACCAAGCAAGAGAGGTGTTGGTATGCAATTTGGTCCGGATGTGACGAAGAGATTCTGTGACAATAACGGCTTGGATGCAATTATTCGTAGTCACGAAGTGAGGATGGAAGGTTATGAGGAGGAACATAATGGAAAGTGTATTACGGGTATGTTTAATGATAGCTTTCTCAATGCCCCCGCTAACTTGTCTAGTTTTCTCCGCTCCTAGATATTGTGATAGCACCGAGAACAAGGGTGCTTACATCAATATCGGTCCAAGTTACAAGCTTGAGTTCCACAAGTTTGATGCCGTACCACATCCTAACATTAAGCCAATGGCTTATGCACAAAACAGCCTTATGTCTATGACATAGGCTTGACGGAATTTCGTTTCTTTTTGGCATATTGGGGAAGGATATCTGCATCACCCAAAAATAGGGCAATTCACATAGCGGGAGTTCCGGGACGTACAAAAGCAAGACAGTGGTGACATGTCTTGCTACGATAGTGGTGGAATGATAAAATAGCATACTTGAGCGATGTACTCTATACCAGAAGATAAGCGCGCTAGAAAGAATCTGTAGATTGGACGAAGAATCAAACTTTCATCTCCATGATGGTTGTTGCCGTGCGTATCGTAGAACTGGGAAGCCTTGAGCTGTACTTCATAATGCGATCTTCGAGGCCAGAAACCTTTGCTGTAACCAATGGCTGTTCATTAAACCGTCCATTACTGAACATCACCCATCCCAAACAGCACCCTCCCCATCCCTCACCACCAAACTCCCCAACCAATTCGACGCACCAATAACAGTCCAACCCACCCTCTCTTCCCCCTCACCATGCCCATTCCATCCTCCTACCGCCGCCAACACCGGCGCCCGATCTTCTCGTGGCACCCGAATCCACACTTGCTGCCCCTCCACCTTCAAGAAATCAATCGAGATCGCTTGGCCATGCAATCCCAGGAATTGTGTCAACGCGGACGTGAGATATGATTTCGCGGTTAGTTCGTCTAGGACTGGTTGTTGTGCTTTCAATTGGGAGGAGCTGGTTAAGGAAAGCTGGATGTAGCTCCATGGTGGGGATTTGATGGTTTTGATGGTGATCTCGTGACCGCGGTTTGGTTGGATTTTGCGTTTTGTGGGGGGATTTGTTGGTGTTGGGGGTTCGTTTTGAGATTCATTGTCCTTGTTGGGGGGGATCTGGGAAGTAGAGTCTGTGGCTGCCATTTTGGTGATGGCCGTGGTGTGGTTTGTTACATTTGGTTGTTGATGATGAGGTTGTGAGCTTGGGATTTTTCTCGCTTCGTGAGGTCAACAGTTGCGACGGACGTCTACTGTAGCTTTTATTCATCGACAACCACATCATAGGAATATTCAAATGATTCGGAGAAATTGTTCATTCGTGCATTTCAATAATCATTTAATTATTAGATTAATGGTAAAACCCCTAAACAATATGGATTATACGTACCGTAGCGAGGTAAACAACTCCACGTATCCATATCTGATTCAGTCTAGGATGAGCGAGAAACAGCTGCTATTTATTCCCTATCATCTAAATAAATATGCTTGCTGCATTCATTTTCTCTTTCCAGTGAGGTTGGGTCTCTCGTTTAGCATTATTAAGCTGGCTGCTGCTTAGAAATGGGATGATGATCTTGGAACAAGATATGCCTTTCCCAAGTCAGAAATTAATAGAACATCAACTTATTCATATTGGTACCGAAAATATCGGTAAGCCATATATTTATATGTTTACCTCCAGAATTCCTTTAGAATTATATTAGCCCGGATTGAGAATTGCCGGGTTGCTTTTGGAGGTGGTCTCGCTTGTGTTGTCAATCATATCATGACAGCCTTTTCGGCTGATTCTATCATCACGGTCTTCGATTCGCACTTGGCTGCAGCCTATCAGAAACATTTATAAAGGAGTGAAGGCTTGTGGGTTAGATCACTCTTGATCGTCCCACTTTCCGGCTTGACCTTGACCCCAGAACAGGCCAAAATGGCCGCCAAAAAGTGCAGCAAAACTGGACCCCCAAAGTATCTATCATAAAGATATCTGGCTTTGAAGGGGTGACTGCCAGTGCTGCTCCTTGTTAGGTGATAACTCAGGATACTCCACGTTCTATGAGATATTTTGTCATTTTAAGTTTCCGGTTAAATTTCCGAATAGAAGCATCCTTTTAAGTCAGGGTAATATCATTGATTCAGAATATAATTCTAAGGACTTATTGAACTCATGAATGCTGCACCCAAAAAAGATCAATGTTTCCTGACAGAAACTTGATGCGTCTGTCCAAAGTACAGGCATACCTCGAATTTTAATAGTATTCTATAAATCCGCCCCACATCCTCAAATATATTATTACTGTATATACACCAAAGATAGGTCAGTGGACTACACCAATCTTGAAGATGCGTGTTTCGGCTCCCACCTTGGCCAAAATGGCCGTCGAACTGCCTATAAAAAGTGACGATTTCCCAGCTATGTAGTCACAGATCATTCCTTTCATTCCAATCTTCAGGAAAGCAAAGAAATTCAAGTACAACATGGCGAACACTACATATCTCATCACTGGCGGGAACAGAGGTATCACACAAGCTATACATATGAAGTCGATCATCACTAATACACTGCTAGGTATTGGACGCGGCCTAGCAGCAGCTCTCCTTACTAGACCATCCACAACAGTGATCGTCTCCGTTCGCAATCCACAAGACTCTTCATCCCTCTCACTTCGAGACCTCCCAGCCGGACCATCAAGTTCTCTCATCATCATACCCATCGACTTCAACGTCAATGAGTCTGTCGCCGCTGGCATCGCTGAACTTAAATCTAAGCACAACATCACGAGTCTCGATGTAGTCATCGCCAATGCTGCAATCGGCACAACTTTTCCCAAAGTCATTGATGCCAAAGTCGAGGATATGATTCCACACTACCAAGTCAATGTCGTCGGTGTTGTTGCTTTGTTCCAAGCTGTTTTCCCCTACCTTGAGAAGGCTAAGGAACCGAAGTTCGTGACGATTGGGAGTAGTGCTGGGTTCATAGCTGATATGATTCCTGTAAACTCTTCGTAAATCCATTGTGACTCTTCCATGCTAACGACGTTTCAGTTCCCGAATGCCGTTTATGGCACGACGAAAGCTGCGGTGCATTTCATCACCAAACATATCCACCAAGAACATGACAACATCATTGCTTTCCCCATCGATCCAGGGTAAGAACAATCTCCAACTTTAATCTCCAACTTCAGTCTAGTAACATTTTGCTAACCTCTCTTCTACAGATGGGTTCAAACAGATATGGGCAACGGGGGTGCAGTCATATACGGTCTTGAAAAAGCCGACATTGATGTCAATACAAGCGTGACTGGACTCACAAAAGTAGTAAGTTGCTCGCTCGTTCAATGCCGTCAAATATGTGCTGATTGTTTAGATCGATGCGGCCACCAGGGAGACACATTCTGGACGGATGTGGATTTATACTGGCGAGGAGCACTCATGGTAAGACAAGTGAAGGATTGTTTCCATGCAGATTCAGATGCCAGTAACACTTGGCCAAGCTGTAAAGTCGATGTACGTAGTTTTTGAAAATTGATAGCGGTGTTCGAAGATTTCGACATCGTTATCGTTCTGCAAACCTGGTGCAAGTGTCGTCTTCTTCATGACTTCAGATGTGTCAGTTTCCTCATTCGGTCGATGAACTTTCAATGTGGATCTATTGAGAATGCCTCATCTCTGCACACATGAGAATTGCTCAATGAGATCTTCCAACCGAAAGCAGCTTTGTATGAAATTGTCTCATTCCATAGATGGTAGCCATACAACTGGAGGCTCATTTGGCGCATCTCCTTCCTCATAAGCCTTCCAGGCAACCTTTCGATATTGTTCCGCTTTCGCAGCCGGATCAACAGCATTACAAATGCCCGTCCCAACGATGATAATGTCCGAACCTCTCAAGATAAGCTCCCTCGGATGAACATACTGCTGGCCCAGAGTATCTTTTTCACCCGACGGAAACTCAGACCCATCAAGCGACTCTTCTCTTGATAAGGCACATCCAGGAGTCATAACAATAAACGGCTCTTCAGGCTCAGACACCGGCTGCAGCGCAATGAAACCCATCACAAAATCCTGATGTTTCCTTGCAATAGAGACACAATTCCTGGTGTACTCCTCATCCAAAAAATTCCCCTTACTACTCATCTGAGCCAACAACAGCAGGCCCCTCTCCCTCGGCGGCTCTTCAATGCCCTCAAACCTCTCATCCACCCCTTCAAACCCATCCTCCCCCTCATTACACCCCGCCCACTCAAAAGCCCTCTCCTTTAACGCCCTCACCACATCCTCACCGGGCAAGATATGCGCATTAACCACGTGCGCCCACTCCCGAATCCTATAATCACCCCCTGAATACTGGAGTTGGACCGTGAAGCCGATATCCGCAAACTTCCTGTCTTCAAAGATGAGGAAGCGGTAGCGGCGGGCGATGGCGGCGAGTTTGGCACCGGTGCCCGTGTGAGGGTCGGCGTCCCAGTTGCTGAGGATGTCGGCGTGCGTTTTGAAGACGACGATGCTGGGGCCGACGGCTTCGGCGAGGGTGAGCATTGCTGAGGTTGTGGTTACGTCTGCGCTTACGCAGAGGTTGGAGCGTTTGAGGTGCATGAGGTCGTAGAGGTATGAGGTTAGAGGGTGCATTATTGCGAGTTTAGATAGCTGGTAAGAACGACAATAACTTAATTAGAAAGAGTGAAATTTGTTGTCAAAACAAAATGATTGTTCCCCCTATGTGAGTTTCATCTCATGGTCTACACCCCACTATATCTTGGCACCTGTAGCAGATGATGGACTACACCACTAGATACAAAGACAAAGTTTGTTGTACATTAATCATTATTAGTTCTATCATTAAGTATATAAGTTCTAGTCTATTTATAACTCTAGCAACATTAATCTCAAGCGGGATCCGCTTTCGGTTCCTCAGCAGCAGCCACCGCAGCCGCTTCCATTTCCGCTCTTTCTTCAAAAGTAAGATCAGATTTGGCCTTTGGAATTTTGACAAACAATACTAAAATGACAAGTGCAACTGCAGCACAGGCGACTTCGAACCAGAAAGTCGCTTGGTAGCTTTTCTGTAGGGTAAGACTTCTACGGGTGTATACTTGAACAATATCGGCGAAGCCTAAGTAGACAGCTATCCCTAGATGCAATAATAACATTATAACACCTCCAGCTAGGCCTTGTTGTCTTTGCGGAAGGGAAGTAGTTGTAAAGATGTTCGCCACATTGAACGTGATATCGATACCAACTGTTGCGCAGATCATGGAAGGGAAAATGTATGCCCAATAATTGGCTCCCAGCGGCGCAATGGCGAACAAAAGGGGGGCGATAATCCATGAAGTACCAGCAAGGATAACGAGCATTGTCCCAGGAATTCGATGGAGAACGAAGCCTCCGACCGTAGAGATAATGCAACCTCCGAGGGCCATTGGCGTGTACCAAGCAACGACTTGAAGCGGCGACGCGCCCATGATGTCCTGAACATAGAACGTGGCGTAGAGGAGAAAGATTCCAAGCGACCCGTAAGTGAAAAGGAGGGCGACCATGAAAGCTGGCATGTACGGTACTTTGAAGATGGAGGATGGAAGAAGAGGATGCTCGGCAACCCAACCCTCAACGTATATCGTAGCCATGATAAATAGACAACCCACAACAAAGAGGGCGTAGATATAAGGCGTTCTCCATCCTTGCGGCGCGTGTGCCGAATCGATTATGGCGAAGGTGAATAGAATTAGACCGCAAACACTGAGAATCGCGCCTAACCAATCCATTGGGGGCCGATCTTCTGCTCGTCGCTTCGCCTTATAATCTGATGGAATACACAAAACGGATGTGACAAAAGTGAGAGCTGTCAACAGAGTACCAATCCAAAAGTACCATCCCCACGTGGTAAATTCCGCGGTCAATCCAGCGAAGAAGATTCCAGTAAAAAAACCGAGTGCTGCACATGCTCCATAAATGCTGAAAACCAGATTCTTGCGTGGACCGGGACGATAGGTGCTACCGAGGATCATTATGCTCGCCGGTAAATATGCTGCCGGTCCAAGCCCTTGGAAAGCACGACAGAAATTGAGCATGTACTCATTGACTGAGAATCCCGCAATCAAACTCCAGAGGGTGAGCCAAGCGAGGCCGATTGCGTATACCACATATCCACCGACCATATCAGCAGCTCTTCCGAAAATGAGGAGAAAAGAGGCCACGGTCAAAGAGAAAGCACTCGCAGGCCACGTAACGGAAGCCTGAGCAATGTTGAGGTCCGAAGTTAAGGTCGGAAGGATGACTGTAAATCCGGACACGAAATACTCCTAAAAAGAGTTAGTATGGCCACAGCATGATTGTTGAAGCTGTGCTAAAAGCTTTCGACTGCTACTACTCGGTATCAAGTGTATTTAATAGCACATAGAGTCGAGTATCGTTTTCTCCCTCCTCGTCGTGCTCCAGACACAACATCCACACCACGTACGAGCAGCAACTTCAACATAGCCAAAGAACGAATGTACTTACTGTGAGCACTTGTGCCATACAGATAGAAAAGACGAATCCTATTTCTGCCCAGACTGAGTCGAACACTTCCGGGCGCTGTCTTCCAAGTCGATCGATGCGTTGTTCAAGAGATTCTTCAACGGCTGGGGCTCCTGACCGAGATGCATTGTTCTCCAATGGATGATTTCCAGGAGACATATCCAAATCCTCCCCCGCTGTAACGCCACCACCCACTGGATTCGCTGCCCTTCGTCCTCCCGGCGACTCGGTAGAGCTCAGTGATAACGAGCTGGCAACGGAAAGCGTCTCTGGAGCAATTCTGCTGGAGGTATGCGGCTGAGTGGCGACATTTTCAATCGGCTGGGCAGCCATTTTCAAGACCGTGAAGGGAAATGTCTACTGTAGTGAATACTTCGTTCCCAACAAATCGAACCAATATAAAAATATTGAGATTACCAAAAGACAAGTAGGACAAGGTAGGACAAGAAGAAACGGGTTAGGGACCAAAAGTCCAAGATATAAGTATACAAACAACCGCCATTAGAGAATGCGTCTGAAATGTATAGAAGTGGTGCAGAACGTTTGAACCCAAAGGCGTTGAAAAACTCGAAATTCGACTCATCTTGGCCGTGAGGGCGTCACTGCGCATATATATTTCAAGCGTGTTGACCGCGGACGTGGAGTCCGAGAGATGACGCCCTCGACACTAAAGGATCCATCCGCAAAGAAGTCGCCTGTTAGTAATAGAGCAAGTCGGTTACTAAATTGAAACAACCAGAACCAACGAATCGTAATTATTGACATGGAGCCAAGGCGCGTTTGTCGTCGGATGTCATTCGACACAATGAATCGTGTGGAAATAGTCTAGGAATGCGGAGTACGGGATTCAGTTGCTGAAAGAAGGGTAGTTGGTTGCCCGATGGATTCGGAGTTTGACATGGCCGAATTATTCATACAAATGTTGACTTGACGGTCTAGACCATGCTGCTATCATGTTGCAAATACCTACTTGGCGGTCAAGTTGTCGCAAGTGGGGGAATAAGCAGTGATTCGAGTGAGAGATCCCGAGGTCGTTTGAAAATTTCCCTATGACGACCGTCACGTAAACGATCTCTGAGAGGGAGGCGTTTCGGAGCCGATGTTCTTTCCACGGAGTAAACATCGGCATCACAGATATCACATGATGCGGCTCTTCCACTTACCCTTTGAGCCAATCCCAGCCCTGGTCACCCACTAGCGCGAAAGCCGAAAATTTTCGACTACAAAGTCGTCGCTTCCCTTCTGAGAACCTCTTTCCTCTTCATCATCAGTAGAGGTTATAATTAATACTTATAACATTTTACAATGGGTGCTCCTCTACGGAGGCTGCTGAGGGTTATTCGATGTCGCAAGATATCAGTTGGATCTTCCTCCGTTCCCGGCTCCCTCGAAGAAAGGTGAACGCTCTTTCCTACCAGCCGACTTCGCCGATTCTCTCGGACGTTGACTGTGGGGTGGTCGCTACATATCAATTTCATCAAGCATAGAAATTATTGGAAGGATTGGATGGGCTCGTCGAGGATTTGGGGCACCATGAGTGTGGTTTGGGAACATTTGGAGGTTTTGTGATGCGACCGTGAAAGACCGACTTTGTGCCAAAGCATGTGTGCTGCGGCGGTGATGAGATCGCGATCCCTTGTGAATATTCCGGAATTGTGACATTGCTATGAAAATATGCATCATTGGTATTCGTTTCAACGTTCTTAAGAAAGCGCACACGGAACGGATTTTAGAATGATCCACGACAACAACGTATGGACGATGTTCTTAATTGGAATTTCTGAGTGAATAATCTTTTCTTCTTAAAATTCTGGAAAGCCTTGAAGACTGGGAACTATTCAGTTCAATTCTGCTAGCTTGTACAACTGCTCCTCGAGAACAATTTGCTCAAGTATAAAATGCTTTTGCAAGGGAGAATTTATCTTAGAATATACTCAAGGCATATGCGCAACAATACCTAACAAATTACTACACCATACAATCACATTTCGCTTCAATTGGTTGCATATGTTTGATTCTCATCTAAATACGCAACATCCATCTTTATTGTAAAGACATCTCAACCAAGAGTGCTCAACATTCCTAGTATCTAGTAAAGGCGCTTTGGTGGAGACATAGATGCCTTGATGGTCAAGCTGCCCACGTTTTGCCACCCCTTCTTCAAAAGAGAAACGAGGTAGTTGATGGCCAACATGATGTTGGAGATCAATTGATCCTCGGTCATTCCGACGTTGCCAACAGCGACACCCATGCACAAAACCTTCTTCAATTGGAACTTGATGGTGGACTTGACTTCGGTGATCTTGTTGCTCAAATCTTCGTTGTGGGAAACTGGGGTTGGGAATTTACCGGCTGAAATACTGTTAGCAATCACACTGATGTCTGAGGAAGATGATTGTCCTACCCTTGGAAAGACCTGGACCCAAGAGACGAGGAATTTGCTTGATGAGAGTGTCGGAGGCGACGAAGGCATCGTACTTGCGGGCAAGCTTCTTAATCAACTTCTTGTTCTTGTTGAGCTTCTTCAAATCGTCAGAAGACATAGCGTCAACACCTCCGTGCTTAGCACGATCGATATCGTGTTGATCACCGAGAATGCTGTCGAGTAAAGTCAGACCAGATCCCTTTGCTTTATTTCCATATTCCTCGATTCGGAAACCTACCAGATGCTCATTCCTGGACGAGGGACGACTGGGAGACGGATGGTTCCGCTGAAACGCTTGTCACGCTGAGGATCATAGTTCTTAAGACCGATTTGGAGTTCGACGGTTTCAAGGAAATTTCTCTTCTTGGTCTCGAGGGAGTATTCTAGTAAAGATTGCACGTTCGTGCGAACCCCAGCTGCGCCCCTTGGTTAGCATGATCTTGGGTAGGCTCGAGGGTGGAGGGATAGAAATGAGGTTATTCGCATCGCCTTTGCCGACAAGGTCAAAGACGGCGAGGGATCATCGGTTTGTGAAGCTGATATGCCGAGGAGAAGATAAGATTGAATGTATGAACATACCGACTGTGATTTTCGACATGGTGGACAGTCTTCCAGTACAGTTGTTGTAATGGTGTTGGATTGGTTTGCGTTGGGTGGTGTGGTGTTGAGGTTCGAATTTAAAATTCAGAAAGACACCAGATTTGTGGGGCCCACTTTAGAGGGGAACAAGTCTGGATCACGTGGAGTGACACGCGCTGTGGCCTGGCACTGCCTGGCTACTTCGCGACAGACAAAATATGTGGTAGTATTTCTTGAACTAACTTAATAAAATGTCGCATATCTAGTAGATCAACTTGAGCGATATCACATATCCCGTCAGCCATTTCAAGTAATTAAGACCATTATATGCTCTATTTGAGGTGGACTTCTTGGCAGGTGACTGTCACTTCTTTCGTCCTCGGCGAGACCACCTTTGTCAACCTCGACAGACTCGACAACGTTACAGACACAACTGAGCATTTCGGAGCTGTAAAATTCATTAGTCGATTGTTTCTAGTTACTTCCTTAGCTGATGTGATGTCGACATATCAGAACGATGGAGTCAAATTGCTCAGCCCCGGGGTGGACAATATGAAAGGCATAACCCGTTGACCTTCTGACGCTTATTTCAATTTACACTGATTTTGAAAAGTCCGAGACGTCTCATTTTCTGAAAGTTATGGACGAAATACACCATATTTGGTCAACGTAGTTGGCGAAACTCTTATATTTCATCAATTGTCCTGACCAAGTATTGCGATGACTGCCAATTGTTTTTTCTATCGTGAGCTCAGGTGATTATTAGGTTTCCTTTGCTATTTTACACACTCACATGAAAATAGGTTGCAGTTAAAATTGCAGTGCGTGGTATGTCTAAAGTGGGTTGAAACTAGGATGGTTGAATATCATCGAACGATTCTTCTACTGAGCGACTATGAAGCATTTACCAACGACATTGTTCCCAAGAAACAGACCGTTTTCCAAGCAAAAACCAGACGAATACAATTTGCATCTCAAAACGCATTTGATGATGAACCTTTACAAAAGAGTTTGTATCGGACCGCCTGTGACGGTGATCGTTGTCACAGTAGTATCGCAGCCTGTTACGCAGGTTGGGCAAAAAGGTGGTGCTGTTACAACCAATGTTGGCGTCAGTGGACAGGCCTTATCGGTAGGCGGAACCTTGACTGTCGATGTTGAGATGATGATGCAGAAAGGATGTGGAGGACATGTTTCCAATGACGGACATCCTTCTGTACACCTTGTCAGAAGTTTCTGATAAAGCTTACTTGAAATTCAACGTCAGACTTACTTGTCTTGGTGTATGATCTTGTCTCTGTATAGGTATAACATGATGGACAAGCAGTTGGAAGCGGTCTCACGTCTGCCGTTGTAACTCTTGCTTCAACGGGCTCTGGTAGTGCCAGAGCGAAATGGCTAAACAGAATCAGCATTGTCAGTGTTTCAGTATTTATTTAAATTTTCATACCCCAAACAAGCCACAGCTAAGAAGCTGAAAATGTTCTGAAGGCTATACATAGTGTTGGTTATCTTTTGCTTTGCTCAAGTCAACGAAGTGCTGAGTATGTTTTTGAATTGCGAATCTTCACTTTGGCAGGACTGGGAGGAGGAGCCTCTTATATTCGGATGGGTGACAAGGGGGTTTCTATGGCATTCCTCTAACCCTCGACGTAACATCCCACCTGAAGTCATTTTCCGGTCATTTGTCCTCGTATTGCAAGCTGAAGCTTTCTTGGATGCGTCTTGTATCACATCGGATGATGATTTGGGAAAACATGCGTTCTACGATTACTCGTGTTTTACAATGCTTGTCAATTTGAATTTCACAACCTAGCATGAATTGGTTGATAAATACTCTTTAGCAGTAAAAATATTATTCTACTGTTGATCTCTCGTATTGGTTTAGTTAGTGTCTCTTGACCTACGTCAAATCACGTAGATTCTCCATTCTACTTCGTTTGGGGAAAAGTAAACAGTGTAGCAATCTCACTTGCGGGGTATCTTGGCGACAATTTCTTTGGTATTCACCCGACTATTTAGTCGTCAACAAATCAGAATCTTTCCTTCTTTATGCTTACCTGGATACTTTCTAGTCACGAAGAAGGCAGCAATAAACACCCCCAATTCGATCCCTCTGAGTTATACGATGGACGTCTTTGAGGTCCGAACTTGGCAAAGTGATCTGACAGGTTTGGCGGTTCCGTAGCACAACATCATTCTTCCTACGTCTTGCATATCTCGGGTGGCTGTCACACCGTCACACGTGGGCGTCTTACAGACAGGGACGACATCAAATGAGAATACCCGTTGACTACCTGATACCACCGAGAGCTTTCAGCTTCACAAGCCAGAATGAAACGGCATTGAAGCGTTGACAAGTTAGCCCGGTTCGGAGTAATCATTAGGCCTGAAGCTGACCATAAAAGCGACGCCCAGAATGCTACGCACGAAGGCTATTGGCATCTGGCACAATAAGTCCAAGGGTCTGCCCGAACACATTCAGACATGAGTGATTTTCTTATTCTTCACTGGCTTTTTCCCTACGCCCAATTGTTCCCTTGGGTAGGGCGCGGAACGGCGAAGATTCGGTATGGTTTGACTTGGACCAAAATTCTCGGATGGGAGAAGAACCACTTTATCAATGTATCTTTGTCAAACATCTGGCCTTGACTGGTCGTGGCCAAAAGACACATCATATTCTGGTCTTACACAGATCGGCTTCTTAGTCCTAACAGTTTGTTACTTAATGACTTTATCTGGACTCAGATTTGTACTGATACAACTAGGCCCAAACATCTTCGAGAATCTATTGAGCTTTCTAGTGTGTTCCTTTCTAGTTTAGGGAGCTAAAAATCCTTCAGAGTTCTTAGGCTAATCTTCGTTGAAGTGATCGAACAAATGAAATCCATCTCGCGGTGGACGAAATTGAAATAACTAGTAGAGTAGTAGTCAAAACATTAGATTTATTTGATACAGTTGACAAAAATATCGCATATTTCGTCTACTATCTTCAGTAAATGACAAAATTTCAAAGTTTGGTGGAGATGAGATTAATAATTACAATTACTCATTTACTACTAATCATTGAATTGACAGCATGTACAGGAGGTTCTGCCACTTGTTTCGTCCTCTGCAAGCGCGTGAAATTCATCACTTCCTCCCAATCAAAATTAAAAAGTCGAATTGAATCGGGATTTAACCGCAGGCCTGGCATCAATTGTCACAACGATTTGAAAGGAGTAGTCTTGCATGGATAAATCTCACAGCCGCTTGAAAACTCTTGCAATTTATAATGAGTCTCAAAATGACTGGACTTTATCATCCCAATTTATGTGAAGCTCTCATTGATACTTCTAACTCTTGATGAGTTTAATAAACAACTGACGTGTCGTATTTTAGCATGTGCAAGGGGGGGATTCTCGGTTCAAGAAGCCGAGGGATGAAGCTTACAGGGCTGAATCCCCCGCATTTCCAACCACATCCCCATGAACATCAGCATGGGCTTACAATGTTTCAGTATGCAAAAGTGCTTTCTGACTGACAATTATCTCGTTCCTTAGTTTCGAGTTCCTCATACGTCTATACCTTTGGTTCATTGAACATATTCGAATACGATTGGAAACTCAGAATGTCCAAAATACCAATTCCCTTTTCCGAGCCTCCATGGCTTATGGGGTTGCCCTCCGCATATTACAACGAATCTCACAGGAAATGGCAGAAGACATGTCGGAGTCTTGTAGATGAGCTAATGGCTGATGCTCAAGATTGGGAGAGAGAAGGAGATGTTCCTGGTACCTCTCCTTCCAATTCTATCCATTAAATACTCACTAACCTCAATCCTAGAGGACCTCTACTCCAAATTCGCTGCCGCAAACATGCTTCTCCCTAACCTATCCGCACCCCTCCCCATAAAATGGCTCAAAAAACTAAACATCACACATCTTCCCGGCGATCTGCCAGTAGAGCAATTCGATTACCTACATACCCTGATCTATGCGGATGAGATGGCACGTTCCGGCTCCCTAGGTCCAAGCGGAGCAATCACAACGGGAATAGCCTTTGGACTACCACCAATATTGAAGTTTGGAAGTCAGGAATTGCAAGAGAGATTCGTGCCAGATATCATCACGGGGAGGAAGAGGAGTTGTATTGCGATCACGGAGCCGGGATATGGGAGTGATGTTAGTAATATAACTACCACTGCGAAGAGAAGCGAGGATGGGAAGTTTTTCATTGTTAATGGGACGAAGAAATGGTTTGTGCTCCTATTCTACCAGATACCTTACTTTCGAAGTCTAATTGGAATATAGGATCACCAACGGTCTCTGGTCAGACTACGCATCCATGGCCGTCCGAACCGGCGGTCCAGGTCCCTCAGGCCTCTCTATGCTCGTCGTCCCCCTTCTAAACACCCCCGGTGTACGCATGCGACGTATCAAAGTAGGCGGCCAAACGTCCGCCGGAACGACCTTCATCGAGCTCGACGACGTCAAAGTCCCCATCTCAAACCTTATCGGCAAAGAAGGCATGGGCATGATCTATGTAATGCAGAACTTCAACCACGAACGTCTGAGCATCAGTATCGGTGTCAACCGTTTAAGTCGTGTAGCGCTCAGCAGCGCCTTCGAATACGTGATGAAGCGCGAGGCGTTCGGGAAGACGTTGATGGAACAGCCTGTGGTGCGACATCGTCTTGCGAAGTGTGGTGCGGAGTTGGAAGCGCATTGGGCTTGGATTGAGCAGTTTACTTATATGATGACGAAGCTGAGTGAGGAGGAGGCAAATAGGGAGTTAGGTGGCCTGACTGCTTTGGCGAAGGCGCAGGCTGGGAAGGTGTTGGAGGTTTGTGCTAGTACGGCGGTTTTGCTGTTTGGTGGGAATGGGTATACGAAGAGTGGACAGGGGGAGATTGCTGAGAGTAAGTTTGAAGCCCAGTCACGCTTTCTTGGGAGCATCAAGTGTATGCTAACAAACATAGGAATCTACCGCGAAGTTCCTGGTGCTCGTATTCCAGGAGGGAGCGAAGACGTAATGCTGGATCTTGCTATTCGACAACTGGTGAAGAATTTCCAGCGGAAAACTAAGGAATTAGAAACTATCCAGGAGCGGCCGAAAGGGTCTTCAAAGTTATAATTCTAGATCATTGGATACAAAGCAAGGAAAACTCAAATCTTTCAAGTGACTTAGAACAAGTTTTCTCAATGAACGTCCTCCCGAAGCTGTACCAGTCTTGATACACACAAACGCTCAACAGTCCCAATCCAAAATAGTAACCGCCAGCAACGTTCTCCAATACAGATCTTATCCCTGCCCGGACCCTGCGCCGATATCATAAGCCTATCGCAGGAACCCTCTAAGTTCATAGCTACCCAACATATTTTGTTTATAATAGACGCTGAAGAACGGGTAGTGGGAGGGAAAGGGGAAAGTCTGGGTTACACTACCAGTTGAGAAGAGTTTCAAAGCTAGTAGGACGTGGAATGCTAAGAAGTTAAGACCACGGGATTGATCTAGCTCCCAAGGAATGATAACATCAGGTTTTCCAAAAGATAACACGAAACAATCTCCACGGAGTACTCATACTGACGAGCATATTGATTTAATTTGAAATTTTGATTTTATTCTTTTACTGTTTTACTTCAACGTTTCGAACAATCCTTGGTCACCCTCCAAGCAGCCAGTCCCCTTCGACCTACCACCCTACTGATCGTATTCCAAAATCCGTCGTCCCCAAAATCCAGATCATCGAGATTCAGATGGCTCTTATAACGCCAAGTCTCCTGGAAATGTAGTATAGAGTCATTGTTCGAAATATGCTTGTCCAAAAATGTCGCTGATAGTGGAGCTAAAAGATATGTGCCCTCGCTCTCCTCGAGATAGGCTGTCGCGTTGGATGAGAGCTTGTGACATGTAGCCAGCGCAGTAACTTCTCGTAACATGAGATCTCCTTGCATACCCATGATATCATGAGTTTTCAGCACCTCATTTTTGCCATTCAGTAACCATATTGGCGGGGTGTATGTCTTCCACCATACCGCATGCGTGGCATCTGGCTGCTTGCTCAAGAAGACCTGTCCAGATATTATTCCACCCTGGTGATAAACGCCCATGAGTAAGCCGAAAATTAAATTAAATAAAATCCAGATACCAGCCCAGATTTGAAGATGGGAATGTTTTTTCGGTAGTTGTACAGAGGAAAGTATTAAAGGGATTGTAGGTAGTAAGAACCGGGCTTCTTGGTGCTGAAAGAACGACAGAACGAGGACTCCGGATATCGCTGAAAATAGTCGCATGGAAAGGTGCGGCCTGAAGAAGAGAAGAAAGGCGGCCGGTCCCAATAGTTGTGGGATATTAAACAGTATGTGCTGATACCATGGGTGGAGACCATGGGTCGCGAGATTGCTTGTTTGCATGTTGTATCGGAGGTTATTGAGGGGGGTAATGGTGGGGTGGTTGAACAGGTACGTCCATGTCACTGGGTGATTGCTGTAGAATCTTGTGTCGAGATAAATAGCTATGAAGGCCGCGAAAAGGGTTGCGAAAATTGCCGAAAGAAGAGAAAACGGTCTGATAAGATTAGCTAAAGAAATTAAGCAAATGGTAGAACAACTCACTTTTTGACAAAATGGGGTATCAAACGAAGGCCAGGTATAAGAAGAAACGCTGGGAAAGTTATGCGGTTGAAGATTCCAAACACAACCACAAACGCAAGTATGGCTGTAGGTAAAGGGGCGGATCGCTGCTTGAAAGGTTAGAAGATTCCCTGTGCTAGACATAATTCTCCCTCACCTTGCTATCCACGATTCGTTGAATTAGGACCAGACTCCATGCAACAGCTAGAGTCTCTATCGAATTCGAAAAAGTATGTGTTTGATATGTCCAAGTCACATAGGATGATGCGACCAACATGACTGCCACCCTCCTATGTCTCGGCGATTGCACCAGCTCGTGGAGAGCCCAATCCTCTAGCACAAAACTTAAAACAAACATCAAAACCCGCAGAGTCCAGAAAACTGCTATCGGGGGTATCTCGCCATCATTGCCATTCCCTATCCACAACCATCGAAGGAGCAGCATCGGAAGACCGTAGATCGGCCATAATGGGAAAACGCTTCGCACGGGGTCGATCGAGGTGAACTCCCAAGTCAGTCGGACGGGATAACTGAATATTTGGCCTGAGAAGAAAGACGCGTAAGCAAAGGATTTCACTGATAAGGAGAAGCTTCAACGTGGCTCTGGCCAGTTTGGCAGCTATGCGAATGTCGCATGCGCAAACCGACTTGGGCAAACAAATTGCTACTCGCAATTGAAGCAACAGCAAAGTTTGGACCTACCGGCAATGACCTCCGGGCCCTGGAAGTTTTCATCAGGATGCAAATAACTCGGAGAACAGGCGAACCACAGTCGGACCAGAACCAAAGCCAGATATGTACGTCTCCACATGGCGATAGATTACAAAGTTCGAATAGGGCATCGATAGAAAGGCATCAGAGATGAAGAATTAAGGAGTAGTAGAAGGCGAAGACATTATCTCTGACCTTTTGGTGATGTGGTGGAAACAAAAATAATGGGGGAGCAGGTCTAGAAGATCTCGGACAGGTGAGCGTGAGACGCGTGCGGGTTTTGGCAGGGGGGATGGATTAGGATCGCCGCAAGATGGCAAACATCCGTGGGAGTAACATTCCACCATTTCGTGAATAGATGCAGCTCCTGCAGGAAGAGTAGGAAAATTGTTGGAGTTGGACCATTCCTGACATATGTTTCCTTCACTTTCACCACCAACCTCGTCTTGGCTCTTTTGATGCTCTCGTCTGCAAGCTCTCAATGGCCGCATGAATGATTTACAAGGCTGCATAGCAGCAGCTCATCGATAAGGTACGCTTGGACCGACCCGGCAGACCCGACATCTCGACTTCAATTTCGGTATGTCAGTCGATGTAAAGGCTTTTATGTACATTGCAGTCTTCTGGTTCCTCCTGGCTTTCGTTACTCACGGGTTCAACACATCACTAGAATGGAGGAGGCGAGTCGAGTCTGGTAGTCGTTCTATGTGTGACTTCATAAGTTTGCTGATCTGAAGACACATGGAGCTTTCCCAAGATTCTGGTCGGAGAATACCAAAGTATTCGTACTCCCATAATTTTAGTCAACAATCAAATCAGCTGATGTCCTTCTAGAAACAATCGTTTGAGGACATCTAAGTCTCGTGACCAAAACTACAAGAACAAACGAACTAATTTTAGTACAACCCCGGAAAATCACTTGGTTGCCTCAAAAGTCCAGTTTTGCGGAGCTTCTGCCTGTGGCTGTAGGTACCCTTCATGCCCAGATTGGATGAATTAGACGCCTGGTGAGTCACGTCGGACAGCAACTCACGAGATAACTCACGAAACCATTGTAGTGAATTGAATTGTAAATATTGTGAAAATAATGTGAAATTGTACCTCTTTGCTTATCAAAAATATCTGGTGATGAGTTCTAGACTACCCAGGTAGTCACTGATGAATCAGATATATCAAAAGTTACCATCTGGTACGGGTTGGTGCATAGGTTAGAATATTTCTAGGTTCTTGAACACAATACAACGTCATTAAAAAGCACTGAATTATTTCTATCAAACTGTTATAAACTGAATTTGCGCTCTAAACTCATATTGTGATGCAATTAAGTGAATGCAGGACAAAGATTCCTGCGTACTTACCCACATCTGAACAAGCGGATCAAACTAGGCGCCTAGGCAAACGCCGCCGGGTGACGAGCTTCTTGTTCATTCCAGACTCACCAACTTCATACAAAGACGTCTACAAAACCGTCCTCGCTCCCTCTCAAACCAAAATATTCTTCCAACACAACAGTTACTTTTTTACACAGACACGCACAAAAAATATCATACACACGGCAAAGATGTCTGAAGGTCCAGCACAAACGATCGTTCTCCAGTCAAATGACAATGTTGCCATCACTGTTGGTAAGTCCCCCCACCAACATATCTTTTGCGACCAAGCAGTTTACTGACCACGATGCCTTTCAGAACGCAAAGTTGCTGAGCGATCAATGTTGATCAAGAATATGCTTGAGGATCTTGCTGGCAGCGAGCTCGACTCTGCCATCCCCATTCCCAATGTACGTAACCTCCTCCCGCCCTTGCTTGACCTCAATACTGACGCTGGCGCGCAAAGGTCAACGAGTCTGTCCTGAAGAAGGTCATCGAATGGTGCGAGCACCACAAGAACGATCCACAAACCGCCGCCGATGACGATTCCGATTCGCGCAAGAAGACCACTGATATTGAGGAGTGGGATCAGAAGTTCATGCAAGTCGACCAGGAGATGCTCTTTGAGATCATTCTCGTAAGTCTTTATTCCGTAGATCTATATCGCCGGAACCAGATACTAACATTCCACAGGCTTCCAACTACCTCGACATCAAGCCACTTTTGGATGTCGGATGCAAGACCGTCGCAAACATGATCAAGGGCAAGTCCCCAGAAGAGATCCGAAAGACATTCAACATCACCAACGACTTCACTCCTGAGGAGGAGGAGCAAATCCGCCGCGAGAACGAGTGGGCCGAGGATCGTTAAACAGGATATCCAACGACAAGTTGACAAATCGAGGAATAATAGGCAACCAAACACTGGTGTCTACTCTTCACTTCGATTCCTACGTTTTACGACACGGCATGATTTCTTAGTTTCCGCTCACACGATGTCACAAAAGCTTGGCTCTTTGCCATGGGTGGAAGGTTGGCGGTTGTGATTATCGCTCTTTGCATTAGAGTTGTTTGGGGTGACGGGGAAACATTTTACTTTCTTCTTCACATTTTGGCATGGCGTTCCGGGCCTAGGGCTCTTTCTCAACGGTATGCGGGTTTTCTTGAGAAGGGGTTCTTCTTTCATCATACAACTCTGTAGATTAAGAAATGAATCCCTATATCATAACTATCTTTTTGACTGTACTTTGAATGTGAAGTATGAGTTGCGTACATCTGGCGTTGTGGCCTTTGTACAATATCGAGGGGATAGTCATAATATTCCGCCTAAACAGAGTGAATGATAACCATTGAAATTTGATATCATCAAATCCTATCCGTTCAACCCATCAGACATTCACTTCCCCAACCTCCAAAATCATTCACAATGTACAATACCCTGCCATACCAACCTCCTCTCTAGAACCTTCTTCTCCATAGCTGTCACCATGACTTCACAAAAATAACGCTTAAAGTATTTTGACAACTTCACTAAATTATCTCAGCACTGGATTTATTCCCCGTGAATTTGCTGGGCTCTCTTGGTAACAGGTTTGTGATTCTAAGGTGTGATATGAGGTGTGAATGTTTCTTTTGGGAATCGTAGAGTAGTTAGTTTGTTTAATTTAAAGACAGTTGGTACAGTGAGGCAGTGTTTGGGAGCCGTAAATCACAAGAGTGCACCATCGGACCTTCAGAGCTCCCATAGCTGGCCAGACATCGCTCTCTCCATGGAGAATCTTGTATTCAGGGCTTGCTTGGGTCGGAGGGTCTAGTCATCGGTAAAAGTCACTAATACATATTTCGGGGACGAAGGGGACTGCTGCTGCTTAAGATGTCAAGTTCTCTTAGTTTGATGGGTTTCAATCAGTGGGAAGCAGTGACCTATAAAATGTAAACAATTGAATGGTAAATGTTTGGGGGTGTGCATTCTAGACTTTTACTAGACTTTCGTAGAACAGTACTAGACTCAAAAGAAGGGTTGCAAAATTCTTAGTCCCCAAAAGCCTGTCATATTGTGGTATCAGATTCAATTGCCAGGCCTCGCTTGATCACAGTCTCACAGCATGATATTCATAACACAACCAGCGATAGAACCATGGAATGAACGAGCATCAATTCATATCAGTTCCTCGATGCAAAGCAAGAGTAATACGCCCTTCCCACCGTCCGAAAATGCAGAAATAGGCCGGCAGCATCCCAAATCATCACATCCCCCATTCCAAGCCCGCTGACCAAACTCCCAATCCCTTTCATTCCATGCTTGTGATTTTTCGCCCAACCGTGGCGCGAGGTGAGGAATTCGAAAATGCGATTGAGAATGGTAACGAGATTGGTGACGAAGTTGTGTGTTCAAATACCGATACGGGTCTTGCGCCAATGTCTCCTCTTGGCGTTATATCTGGGAAGTTGTTAGTATGTTGTAGATGATTGCCTGTGTGAGGAGTGGAAGGTGTTTCAAGGGGTGGTGTTGATATCGTGGTGCTCTGGGTTTGAGGGGTAGTGGTGAAATCGTACCTGATAGTGTTACCAGTTCGGAGTCGGATCCATTGTGGAATTGGTCTGTTTTGCTTTTGGGCTCTCGCGAGCTTAACCTTTGTGCGGAAAGACTTGTGACTCTGTATTGCATCCTGTCAGCCATGGTTCCAGTCCGTTATTGCCATCGCCCGTCGCAGTATCAATCTCCTCCATGCCACGGCACCACCTCCCCGATATTCTATCACCCAATAATTCCAGTTCTTAAATTTTTGTATTAAAAGTAAACTGTACATACCGGCATCTTGACGGTTGTCGTGGTGTCGAGTTCGTTGATGTATTCTCCGTCGTTGAAACGTACCGAAATCTCTCTAATTTCAACCACGCCAAATATTTCGCCAAATGTGCGACACGTGACTCTATCAACGCTTCTCAGTTTGGCGAAGTGGCGCTTGCCGGATAAAGCTTAGACCAAGCCTCACTAGCTTCTGGACTTCGGATCCGGAACAATTGGTGAGGCTGTACCGGTGAGGGCGATTGGATTGGAAATGCTCAAGTCAAAGGAGTGAAGGAAGTTGTGTTTTCATATACTTGCAACAGCGAACGATACACCTCGAAAACTAGATATTCCCATCTCCGTTTGCATACCAATACCGAAATCGGAATCTGCGACTACGAAAACATAAAGTACAACCGAAGTTTGTGGAGAATACTCGGCGGTGAAACTGGTGATTTGGCAAAGGACAACAGTGCAAGATGGGTGCAAGTGTATCTTGGTTGTCGGGGATGCTATTTTCCAAGAAGGAGATAAGGATATTAATTCTGGGTCTTGTATGGCTACCAACTCAATGTTCTGATTTCTGGAGTTGCGTAGCTCTAGTATCTCTGTGCTTTTGCTAACCAAGCGTCTGGACTCTAGGATAACGCAGGGAAAACTACACTTTTATACAGACTGAAGGTATGCGATGCGACGACTTGGAAAGCAATTTGAGACTCTTTGACTAATACCAATCAGATTGGAGAAGTCGTTACCACGATACCTACAATAGGGTTTAATGTCGAATCAGTTACTTACAAGAATCTGAATTTCAATGTCTGGGTATGTTCGATATTTCCCCCCTTCTGCTGCGACCCTGCAGGTTCCCCTTATGCAACCTCTTCTGACCTGCCATAGGATCTCGGTGGTCAAACCTCAATTCGACCCTACTGGCGATGCTATTATGCTAACACCGCTGCGGTGATTTTCGTTATCGATTCCACGGATATCGACCGGTTAGGTACTGCATCGGAAGAGTTAGCAGCTATGTTAAACGAAGATGAGTTAAAGGATGCGGCACTGCTAGTGTTCGCGAATAAACAAGATCAACCGGGCGCAAAAGGTGCGGGTGAAATAAGTGAAGCGCTGAAGCTTGGAGAGTTGAGAGATAGAAACTGGAGCATCGTTGCTTGCTCTGCGGTCGATGGAAGAGGTGTGGATGAGGGAATGGATTGGCTTGTGGTAAGTTTGCATCGGAATATCACAGTATCCATGGAAACATAGCTAACAGCTCTTAGCAAACTGTACAGCAAGACTCGTAAAATATCAGGGCTGGTGGGCGGCGGCTTGTATCATAATCCTGAAAGCCTTGGGTAATTTGATTGGAGTACCACGAACACTTGCAGGCGTTTGAGGGGATAGCTGGCATATTCGAAACTGCTTTTTACTGCATCTGCGAGTTACTGTACCTACTTTGGAGTCGGCCGAACCGGCCAACACGAAGAGCGAGAGAATCGAGAAAGGATGATGACTTTAGATGAAGAATTGGGAGACCACTTCGAAGTACATCGACCATAGATGATGATAACAAAAACTTCCGAGGCTAACGGTTTTGCATTGTGTTTATGGGATTGATCCCCGCATATTGCGCGTACAATGGTTGAGACATCCACGTCCCCTACGTCTCCTAGTCACTTTCTACTCTGTAATCCCGCTTTTGGAAAGACATTCAACGGCCACGTCCAGGTTAAGCAACCTGCCAGCATTATCTATAAAATTCATGTGCAAATTCGCAGCTATATCGATGAACCGTTCTGCAACTCGTAAGAACAACACTTAGCCCTCCTGTATCAAAACTTTGAAAATCCATCCACCAATGCACTAGCCAGCGCAAAAGTCCCGAACTTTTCAACCGCATTCATTATTACAAGGGTTGGCTCAGTAAAACCCTTGCGAATGAGAAAATCCATCACTACCACGGTCGAACAGCCTCTTCTGGCATCAGCATCGTCATGGGAGGACCCACCGACGAGATAGAGAAGTACACAACCCGGCCCCACGAAGCTGCTCGAAACGAGCAACAAGAAGTCGAGACATTAATTGACAGGGCCGGTCTCACCGTCTAAGTGACGTGCAGAACGGCCACATGGTGAAGGCGGAAGAGAATAGCCGTGCCAACAAGACATATCCCACTTCTAATGTTAAATTCTGAGAAAACGTTTATATCAAAGTGCTAGGCACCCGTGGATAAAGTAAGTGGCAGTCGAGACACGATATTGCTTCGATGAAGTTGACGAGACATCGTATATATTCCGTGGATCAATTGGGACCAATATCATATATTCCGCAATTGTGACAATAAATGAGACTTCTAAAGTTTATTCGAAGTCGACTTACTCAGTCCAAGAGGCACTTCATTTTTTTCAACCTCTCCAGCAAAAGAAAATGCATCGGACTAGTTTCGGGACCTCGGCATTGTGATCGACTCAGATCGTTGGGATGGTCAAAGCTCGGGCGATAAGCAAATCTTATCGCGGAAAGTGGCGCACCTGGCTTGTTCTAAATGCGGAGAAGAAGCTGTCGCTGTCTGACAACGCCGGGGAACTCCCCTTTGACTTATTATTGCACCACCCTCGTACTTTATGCGGCAAGGGAAGGAATCTTCGGATTAAGCATCGCGATGCGAGAGGGGTAACGCTCACGTAACACCAGAGGGGAATGTTTGTTGATGATATGTTGCTTCTCATGATTCCTATTAACTCTTTTCAATTGTGTTGCTGGGCCAGAGTAGCTCAAAGGACGAGAGCTAGAATTGTGGAAAAGTCCCGGTGGCAAGGGGTTCTGTATCCAACAGTCCAGGGACCACCCCTCTCGGCACGTTGAACTCTGTATGCTACTTTCGTACTAACTGCGGAATAATCCAATAATGCCATTTCCCAGATGACAACCGCTGCCAAATGGCAGAAGATCTGGACCTGAAAGTTTACTAATGGCTGTCACTTGTTGCTAACTCACCCCGCCTGATTGGCTGCTGCCCCACCTTGCCGCGACGTCGTCTTCCCTTTGGACCTCGAGGTCTGCACTTCTTCTGTAACCAAAGGAAAATTGACCCTGATCAGCGGCGGGTTAAAAGCCGCGAAAGATACATAAAGAGCTTCCCCCACCTTCTTCATTTTGATTCTGCTTCACCACCTCATATTCGTGAATATTCCGTCATCACGAACCACTCAGTCGTCGATAGCTTTCGGACGTCTTCAGTTACACTCTCATACCATTTCCATACATCAGCTTGCTAAGTTGATCTGTACACAGCGTTACAGCTTCGAGCAACTACACAAAAACCCATCTAATAAACCCCCCAACAACCGCCAAAATGGTTGCAGACGATAAGCCAGCCTCCACCTTCAAGTACTCCGAGAAGCCATTCTACACCACCTCCAATGGATGCCCTGTTGAGAACCCAGAGGCTTTCCAGAGAGTTGGAAACAATGGCCCTCTTCTACTTCAGGATTTCCACTTGATTGATTTGCTGGCTCATTTCGATCGTGAGCGTATCCCAGAGCGTGTCGTCCACGCAAAGGGTGCTGGTGCTTATGGAGGTATGTCAGATTACTTACCCCTCCCTTTCAATCAAGCGAATTGTTTGCTGACTGTAGTCTATAGAATTCGAAGTCACACACGACATTACCGACCTTACTTCCATTGACATGCTTAGCAGCGTCGGCAAGAAGACTGCCTGCGTAGCTCGATTTTCAACTGTTGGTGGTGAGAAGGGTTCTCCAGATACAGCCCGTGATCCACGTGGATTCGCGGTCAAGTTCTACACAGATGAGGGTAACTGGGATTGGGTCTACAACAACACTCCAGTCTTCTTCCTTCGCGACCCTACCAAGTTCCCTCTCTTCATCCACACACAAAAGAGAAACCCACAAACCAACTTGAAGGATGCCACTATGTTCTGGGATTATCTCTCTACTCACCAAGAGGCTGTCCACCAGGTCATGCATCTCTTCAGTGATCGTGGAACTCCATACTCTTACAGACACATGAACGGATACTCTGGACACACTCACAAGTTCACCAAGCCAGATGGATCATTCGTCTACGTTCAGATCCACTTGAAGACCGACCAAGGCAGCAAGACATTCAACAACGAGGAGGCAGGAAAGATGGCGTCTGAGAACCCAGATTGGAATACCCAGGATCTATTCGATTCTATTCAAAAGGGCGAATATCCATCTTGGACAGTCTATGCCCAGGTTCTTACCCCAGAGCAAGCCGAGAAGTTCCGCTGGAACATTTTCGATTTGACCAAGGTCTGGCCACAAAAGGAAGTCCCACTGCGACCATTCGGAAAGATGACACTCAACAAGAATGTTGAAAACTACTTTGCCGAGATCGAGCAGGTCGCATTCTCTCCATCCCACTTGGTGCCAGGTGTTGAGCCTTCCGCTGATCCAGTTCTCCAATCTCGTCTTTTCTCTTACCCAGATACCCACCGTCACCGTCTCGGTGTCAACTACCAACAAATCCCAGTCAACGCTCCTCTTCGCGCATTCAACCCATACCTCCGAGATGGTACCATGGCCGTCAACGGTAACTACGGAGCCAACCCTAACTACCCATCTTCATACCGTGGCATGACCTACAAGGCCGTCAAGCCAACCAACCAACACGAGCAATGGGCCGGAGCAGCAGTATCCTTCCTGTCTGAAGTCACACCTGAAGACTACGTCCAAGCCAAGGGTCTCTGGGACGTTCTCGGCCGCACTCCCGGCCAACAGGATAACTTCATCGGTAACGTGTCTGGTCACTTGAGCGCCGCGAAGGAAGATACCCGTCAACGTACATACGAGATGTTCTCGAGAGTTGACAAGGAGCTTGGTGCTAAGATTGAGGAGGCCACCGAGAAGTTGGCACCTGCACCTACTAGCCAGGCTGCTGGTAGTGCTCAATCCCGTCTTTAGGTTGTGAATAAAGGTGATGAGGAGGGCTGTTGTTATTTAGGTAATTGGAGGATGATACTAAAATTGTGGATGAGCTGATGACGTTTATGATGGTTCTTGTTTTTTGGTTTTCTGAATTACATACCCAAGTTCTTACTTTGATTTTATGATGGCTTTCTTGAGTGTTGAAGAGGTAGACGCGAAGTGAAATTGTGTGAAATACTAAAGTGATTCTCTTTGCTTTTGTGAAACATATTTTTATTCTCACCCCAAATATATGACTAGATACATCCTTCTCTGCTTACATCCTTCTCTTCTTACGCCCCCCTTCTCGAGTATCAATACCATTTGCTAACCACCAGTGCATTACAAGACTGACGGAACAACCCTCTAGTGTATCAATGCTAGAAACCGAGTTTCCAACACTCCGACCCTACAGAACCCTTTGTAAGAGAGATAGTTCTGTATATTTATGTAGAAAGAATGAATAAATATAAAATCTGCGCAGAATATCGTGTTTCTACCATGACGCGCGTCCCGTCGGACTTGCAGCCCACATCTGAATTCACATTCATATCACTCTTCATCGTAGTCCCTCAACCACGCCAGTTCTGTCGCTAGAGATAGGCATCCTTTCCATCTCCAACCGACACATTTCAACCCCTTCTATACACACGATGTCAATTAGGTTTGAAATGCTGTGTCTACGTTGGTTTTGCTCATGAGAAGCGTCATCTTGAATCTGGTATTTGAAGCTGGATGGGAAAGCGCGGATTAAAAGGTAGAAAGCTCACAACAGGAAGATCGTAACGCGCCTCTCCCTCTACTTTCGACTTACAATCTGAATGGTATCAGACATTGATTTCAAAGCCGGTAAATCGTGGATTTGAGATGCGAGGATGTAAACAGTGAGAAGGGATCTTGGCTCGAGCAAAGGTGCTCTGTAGTCCTCTATTCCTTTTTGAAAGGACTGGTATAGGAGAGAGATTGTGCGGATCATCCAATGAACAGAGAGACATCTCTTCTTTGGACTTATTTCAGACGTCATTGATGGCTCATCGGGGAACAGATTCCGACGTAACGGAGAAGGGTTGTTCAGCCAATATGGCGAGGGCTGGTTTATTATTGGGGAGTTCAAGTGTGTAAATAAGACACTTCTTCGTTGAGTCTTTGTGTGTGCTGGAAAGATTGTGCTATGAAGATGATGGACTAGGCTTAGGTATGAGAAGATAAGTTGAGGAGTTCGGTGGTAAGAATGATTCAATGAAGGTGGTTCTGTTACGCTTAGTGTTAGTGAGAGGGATACAAGTTAATATCCGCTTCGTCTGGCGAATGTCATTTAGACTCCATCCCCCCCAAAATTACTGTTATACCATGGGCAATCTAGTACGAGGATGTTTTTTGTCTGATTACCTCTCGTGTCGGAGAGCAAGCTCCAGAACTACATCCGCCAAAGGTCTGAACGAGGACCAACTTTCTCAGTGCTGGCTTTGTGATCGAGCTCGATCAACATATGTTGGCCGAGCAGTGCAGTTTATTTGGCGATCTAGCCTTTGGGTAGACCGCCTGAATAAAGCTTGATCCATAGCTGTCTACATTTAGATGTGAATACGATAGAACCAGCCTTTCGTATCCATACCGATGGCTCAATAACCAGCGACTAACGAATGCGATGGGATAACACTGCCCAGGTGATGAGCTGTCACGTATGAGGTCGCTTCGATACTTGGACCAGATGTAGGAGAATATTTGAAGGCTGGCCAGAGATGACGTTGCAACTGGCTTCAAAGCAACGTGATCCCACGGCTCGTCATAATGTGAACAAGACTCACTCCTGGAGAAATCCCATGATACTTCATGATCTTCCATTCAGACATTCCCTCACGCTCAGCTTTTCGTCTGCCGAAATATGGTAAATGACGATTGTAACGGAATGAGAAGTAGTATAATGAGCTTTTGAAGTGCTTCTGCTCTTGACACGAAAACAGGTTGGTATTGGGCTGAAAGAGCTAACCCACCCCACTGATCATGACCAACTGAGACACTTCAACATTGTGATTGGTTTCCAAACGGCGAAGCGAAAAGCACTTGCTAATTGTCGACCTTCCAGAACAGCTGGAAAGTGGGGTGTCTCTGGTATGTCTCCACGTTATTGTAGAATGTGTGTATCCTCGTCTCTATTGTGAACTTGTAGCATTCGAAGAACTTGGATGTGACGGAGATGACGGTGTCTCGAATTTCGGCAGCTTGCAGCATAAATCGGGTGGCAGACAAATGCGTGAGAACTGTGAATAGGGATGCCGGTGGCCATGGCAGGATTCGAATACGGCTTCGCCAAAGCGAGTGAGATCATGTATGGGTACGGCCGCATATAAGGAGGCCAAGTGCGATTAAAGTATTCGGAGGCGATCGATGTGTTGGCACCACGATACCGCACACAAAATGGAGGAGGTTGGGAGTGTCGATGAGAAGACGTTGGCATAACCCTCGACCCCGGTTTGGTCAGCCCTCTCTCACCGTTCAAACTACCCCTTTCTCTGCCTCCATTGGCCCGTGGAATTCGAGGGATCTCGTGGGTGACAGCACTGGCGATGCGGTTGCGCTTGGTCGCAGGTGTCGTTGATCCAGTCAGGACTCAGAGACGGATTTAGCCCTAACCAGGGCTGCAGTTGTTCCTGCACGCGGGGTGCACGGCGAATCTCCAACCCTAAAAAAGATATCTCTTGTCTCGAGACGTCCGAAAGAGGCAGATTCTGCAGAGCGCGGTTTCGTGGAGATGTCGAGCAGCGACTGCGTGAGGGCGCCGGCGAAGGTGGTGAGGACGAAGAGAGACAACTCTTGCGACCGGAGATTTGAAGGCGCATGGCCGCATTCTGGCCCTGCTGGTCCTCCTCGCAGCTGGCTCGTCCTCTCTCACCTCTTCATTCTGCCCTTCACGCATCATTCCATATCCACAATCCGCTTCCACTTCATCTGCGCTGCCACGTATCGTGCAGCATCCGCACACCGCATCAACACACCAATGCACCTCCAGCGGTCGTACGTCTAGACGTCGCAAGTTGATGCAGGAGGCGAGAGCGCTGGAAATCCAGTGGTTGGCGGTCCTGCTGTAGTGATAATTTGGCCCTTTCCCTTCGGTTCTGCGCTTTGCAGTTTGCAGCTTCTGCAGTTCCTGTCCGTCTCCAGATCTCGCACCGTCCGTTGTGCAGCGCTTTTTCGCTTTTTTCTAGCTTTGTTACGCTACTTTGGTACCTCGCGAACGTCAAGTCCCCTAATCCCCCAGACGCGTCGCCGTCATAACGCTCATTCCTCGAGGGCCCAGCAAACCCTCAATCGATCTAATTCTAGCTTCATCTTGTTCGCCGTGTGATCAGCTCCCTTCCCACCCGCGTTGGGCACTCAATTGACGTGTGGGCGACCCGCAGACGGATTTTCGTCCTTGACCGCCTTCTGCCAACAACTGCGACATCTTTGGTGCCATTGCGCCTGGCGAGGAGTCGAAATGCTTTGTGCGAGTTCCAGTCCATCGTTCGAAGGATTAAAGGGTTCGCGGCGATTGTCTGGCTCGTTTTGAGAAATTTGGTTGAATCAGCGTGGCCGTAGCCATCTATTACCTGCGATTGGTTCCAGGTGGATTGGGTCTTTGCGCCGGCGACCGCGACCTGTAATATATTGGTCAGTAAATGCCCATTAAATGCCCGCGAGGAAGCCCAGGAGCCAATGATGTTGCCAATGGGGAAACCATGTTTTTGGATCTAACAATGTGTAGTATTCCTGGGACTGACGTTGTCCGTCGAGACAACTCGGTTAGTGCCCAACAAGGCATTGTTCTTTCTTCGAGCACATAATTCGTCCGGCCACTTGGATTTTTATTTCGACCTGAGCTTCTCGGACCGGTTGGGCGTGTGGAGAGACCGGACGAGGTGGTGGTGGTGGAGAAGATTTTTAGAAGTGAGATCTAGGGTGTAATTGAAGAAGCTATCCCGTGGACAACGGTCCAAGGCTTCATTGTTGAACAACACATCACTTGAGGCGAGAAGTAACCACGTTGGACTTTTGCAACTTCAGGGCAATCAGGCAAACGAAATTCGACGATCATACCGAGATATAGGCTTGTCCATTTGAAAAGTAAGTCTTTTTTGTTCTCATTATTTATACAACTGAGTGTTGCGCCGTGACCATTGTAGCCAAGGGAGAACGGCAAATACACATATCACGCTGCTGACCCAAATCGGCGTTGCTGGTGAATCGGTTGGGAAACAATTGAGCTACCAGCACCAGAAACGCGAACACGCTATTTCGCGTTCCTCCTACTGTAGTAAGGGCACTCAACTAGACGAATTTTCTTCGCGTCAACTTGAATCTACCGATAGAGCATTACTTGTGCTGAATCATTTAACAATGGCTAATGTATATCCTTCTAGCTTACTCCCTTGGGACTTTCCTAAAAGTTCTCTTCCTGGCCCTAGGAAGGCTCGCCCAAAAACCCCTTCACTACGCAGCTGCCTCTTGTTAACAACCGTCGATTTCGACGCGGTAAGCTCAATGGCGCAAGCTGATGTTGACATGAAGTTTCTGAGTCAGTTCGCAACAAATGTCGACGTTGACCACCCATTTCTATCCAAGACTCTTTTCACCATACTTGGAAACCTCACCATGCTCTCAGATCGTGTGATCCGAGCGCGAAAATTACGAAGATTAGACACCACTCGCGATACGAAGGCTGTCGATCTTTACTGCAGAATTATTTGGTACGCGCGAGAGGGACTCAAGCTACTAGAGGAATACATCTTACCAATGGTCGCAAATTTTGGTCCTCTCAAAGTACTATGTCACAAGCTTAGGGCATCTTACTACCACTTATACGTCTTATTTCATAACACTCCGCACATTCGAATGAAAAGTGGTGGAGGTCAAGTGTCCACACCTCCCGGCCTGAAATCACCGAGGGTTAGGAAACTAGATAAGGGAAAGGCACCAGAAAGAGATAATCCTGGGGATGACATCTACAGGCCCAGTTCAGTTCAACCAACTCATCCACTAGAAGGCGGCCCCGTTGGCGGAATCAGTCCTCCACCTCCAGATTTCGCGCCAAACTTCTTAGTTCCAAGTGCCGACTATCGTCCAATTGCACTACAATGCTTTCAAGAAGCGACACACCTTGCCGAGAAGCTTCTTTGGGGCAGTCACCCTCTACGACTCTCTGTTCGGGTAGAATATTCGGCTTTCTTGTATGATTGTCTGCACGAGCGAGATAGTTCCAGGCAGCTAGCCAAGGCTACAATTGCAGAGGTGTACAATGCACAAGAGGGAATGGATGACGATATGTTTGAGGATGCTGCGGCTTTGGTTGGAATATTGGGTAAGATGATGAAGAGAGGGTTGGGGTCAGGGTCAGCAAGTACACCAGGAACCAGTACTGGACGCACCCCGCCTCGGAAGTCTACAGCTGAAGCTCTGCCAAGCCCAATGGGAATGATCAATCCTATATGATCAGTGGAGTGCACAGGTTATGACGACTATGATCATGGCCGTGCCAATTCCTACGAAAACATCGGCATACATCAATGCAGCAGGACTTCACGGTACGCGTTTATCTTATCACAACAAACACGAGCGAAGATAGAATACGGGCTTCAACAAAAGTCTACATAGTGATATTCGTTTCTTGTCAATAATTGTCAACATAAGACACATCGGTTACAGTCCGGTGCAAAATAATACGAATTGTAATGGAAGTCTGGGAGGTAGCATATCGCATCACGTCGGCGTTCAGCATTACAACACATACACATTTGTACAAAAGAAAGTTGGGCGGTCAATATCAGAATTTGTCAGGAGAAAATTGGGAGTGTGTATTGGGTCAGATAATGCAAAGAGAGGTCGTTTGAATATTAGTTTATTTGGTTTTAGTATACCCTTGGCTTTCTGCTGATGTAATGGAGGGTCATCGCATGCTGGAGACTCATAGAATAGCGAAAATGATACAATTGAAATAGCTATCAACATTCAGTTCCATTTTACTCTGTGCCTAGAGTTGCTTTTTAAAACTCTAAAACTCCAACCAACGTCCAAACGTCATTCGCTTCCTAAACCATGTCGTCAAATCACCATATTATCTCTTCCATCCTAGATCATTCATCTAAAATTTTCCGTTCCCAAACTCCCTAGCAATTAATGCGACGCCTCTCAACCAGTCCTCCCATCCACTTAAATCGCCCCATCCATAACAAACTTCCCCCTAATAACCTCCCCATCCACCATCCTCCCCGTCCAATTAAAAAACCCAGCCTGTACTTGCAACCACTTATTCTCCTTATACCGCTTCTCCAGCTCCTCCAGGATCTCGCAATCTTCCCTCGTCCACGCCTGATTCGGCCGCAACCGCCCCTTATACACCTCCTCCTCAACTTCTGGGGGAGGAGAAGAGGGATGGTGCGGATACTTCACTTTCACTTCGTCGGAGAAGGATACGTGTTGGGGTTTTGGCGTGCAGTCTGGACAATCGCAGGGGGCTTCTGCTGTGGGTTTTGGTGGTGCGGTGCATTCGTCGCAGGAGCAGATGGATTCTGGTTTCTTTTTGGGTTCGTGGGCGCGTTTTGTGGTGCATTCTGTACAAAAGCAGGGTTCCTCTTCTTTCTCCTTTTTGTCTTTTTTGGCTTCTTTTTCCCGCTTGTTCGTGCATTCTGTACATTCGCACAGGTCGTCCTTGTCAGCCTTTTTGTTCTTCTTGGCTTCCTTTTCGCGTTTTGTTGCGCATTCTTTACAATCGCAAACTTCCTCCTCTTTCTTACTCTCATCCTTTTTCTTGGATGATGTTGGAGAAGCTTTCGGCTTCGAAGTGCTCTTCTTCGACCCATTCTCACTTCCTTTCCCCCCATGAACCTTCCTCGTCTCCGTCACCTTTACAGAAACAGTGTCATTTCCCCAATCTCCCAGGAGTCCAAAACCGCCGAACCCATCATCATCATTATGGAGCTCTATAACCCGTGGTTCATGTTTCTTGGGAGGCGTTGGTGGATCTGACTTCTTAGGATGGGATGTCGGATCGGAGAGTTCTTTGTATCTGGCGACGATGTCTTTTCGAGGGGCTCCTATCTCGGCGACGATCTCTTTCCAGCTGTGGTTTGCGTTTTTCATGGACATGATTTTGGCTTCTTGCTCGGCGGTGAATTTGTGAGTGACGGCGGACTTTTCTGGAGTTGATGGCTTGGGTGTAGGGGTTGCCTGTGGAAGGTGTTAGTATTTGGAACTAAACGGATGTGGCAATATAGTAGTATATACAGACAAATGAAATATAAATGCCAACGCGTAAAGCAAACACATAGGGCAAACATAGGGCAAACGCGTAAAACAAACTCGTAAATCCACAACGCAAACAAAAGAAATCATGTATATCCTCACCCCATCCCCTTTATCATCTTTCTTCTCTTCAGCCTTTTCGTCTTTCTTCTCATCCTTCTTCTCGTCTTTCGTCTCATCTTTCTTCTCGTCTTTCTTCTCGTCTTTCTTCTCACCCTCCTTTTCTTTACCCTCACCCTCCTTTTTCTCATCCTTCTTCGCTGCCTCCTTTTCAGCAGTCACCTCCCCATCTTTCTTCGCCACGATCTTGGAGCTCTTGGAATCAGTAATAATCACCTTTCGACCACGTTTGATTTGAGGCGACGACACATTGATGAGTGAGCCTCCTAGGACCCAGTTCGTGAAGCTGAGTTCTACTTTCTTTTTTACTGGTGGGGATTTGACTGCGGGCGACATCTTGGTAGCTGGTTGTGAGAAGCGATTGGGTGCTGTTTTGCTGTCGAAGCTTGGAGCAAATGAGTGCGATGGTAGTGAGATGTCTTGGGTTGGACCTTGGAGAAAGATCGTTGAGTGCTGTCACTGGTGTGGTGATCTGTGATGTTATTTTCGGAATATATAAGGATGTTGGTGGGTTGGTAGTTCTTACTAGATACTAGGCAAGTTTGATATGTCATATAAGGAACTTAATGTGTGACCTTCACCTTCGCTTCACATGAAACCTTTTGAAAATTCCGTAGAAGAGATATTTCTAATTTACATCCCATACCCATATATAAGGATCCTGATTCTTCGTAACTATCTCACAAGATTTCAAGAGTGCACATTTCGCATTCACTAAGAAGTCCATCACTCGGTTCACCAGTTGCTTGATGGAGGAATGCACTTGTAATTCACCACGAACGAAGAGTCGAATATGCCATAGCCCTGACTTTGAACAAGCCATCAGGGTGACAACATAAGAGTGAGTCGGAAAACGATGTTTCTTCGACTAAGTTAATGAAATATCGGGTATATTTCGTCTGTTTTTCTTTTGTAAACATAATCTCTTCTAGCCCTATGAAACTATCATTTTCTGAATGAACTTCCGCTTTTGATTTTACTCTAAGTTGACAGAATTGGAAGTGGATTTTGTCACTTAGATTGTCCTCTGGTATAAAGCCTAATATGGAGTCCCAAAAGCGTTTTTACTAAGGTTAGAAGTGTCGCGTAATTGGCTGGTCCCCTAAGCGAGAGTGTAAGGGGCCAACGCCTAGTGTTGGCGTTATGAAAATGCGTCACTTAAAGAGATATTTATCACTTTGTAGCAGTACTCAATAAACAAGTATTTGAAGTTGTTCAAAGAACCCTATAAAACACTAAGATAAGAACATATTGCGCCCTGTACTAGGTTTCTTGTTCCTAGGAGTCTTCAGACCTTTGTGGAGCAGATGGATTTCAGTTTCTGACCACAACAATGGTAGCTATTACGTGCCTATCTCGAAATGGTAGTACGAGAATCAAAATTTCTTGAAGTGGTCTCTAAATGTCAGATCTATATTGTTTACAAAAAGTAGAGATACGTCTATCCTCTTCAACGCCGGATTGCCTGGGGAAACTCCCTTTCAACTTCTTCCTATCACTTCTCCAACACAACAACAGCTTCAGTCTCAGTCTGACTTTCTACCTCGGGCTTTTTGGCCAGATTTTTCCATTCCATCCCGAAACTCGCCACAAAAGCCAAAAGTCCACCAGCCAAAGTCAACCAGAAAGTCTGCATGATAGCTTCATTATATGATACCAGCGCTTGAGCTAGTAACAACTCATTGTCAGGACCCACGATCTTTCTCAATCCAGCCGCGCCTGCCATAACTACCATTTGAGGATCTAGAGATGGGGCGTGGACTTGCAGGGAATCGACAAGTTTGGAAACGAAGAGACTCTGGGATATGGCGAGGAAGATTGCACCTCCGAAGAACTGGAAGAATACTGCAATTGAGGTTGCGACAGGAAGATCGTCGCTGGGTATTAGAGTCATGAGAGCTATCAGTGGCTGGAAAGGGTCAGTAAGTTGAACAGAACACTGGTTCGAGTGATGAGTATGACCGGACATAAGAGAGGAAACGTACAGTCTGAATTACACATGCGGCTCCAACTCCAGCGAGGATCTGGAGGCCATTAATCATGGCGTTCCCTTCATCGACATTCCAAGTGATGAAGACACCACCAGCAACTGATACGCATGCTGTGCCTAGGAACAGAAACGGATTGTAGGAGCCGAACCTTGTGACTGTGATGTCGGTTAGCCTTGCATCTCAAGCATTGTGGAGGAGAAAAATCATACTCAACCCTCCGGCTGCAATGGCAGCAACAACGTTCGCACCAATCATCGGCAAAATCCTGATACCACTATTGGTAGGCGACGAGTTCTTGATAACTTGAAACCACATTGGCAGATAATACATCATAATGTTTACTGCTCCCAAGCCCCCAAATACTGCCACTGCGGCGCTGTAAATATTCCTCTGCTTGAACAAGCGAGGCGGAATGCTGGCAGCATCACCTTCCTTGATTTGCCAACTTACAAAAGCTATCATCATCAAGATGCCGAAGATCAGCAGACAGATAATCGTTGCAGATTTCCAAGCGTATGCTTGACCGCCCCATTGGATCGCTAGCAGAAGCATAACAACCGAAGGTACGAATAATCCCAATCCGGGTAGATCGAGATGCTTCAGCTTTTCTCGGAACGGAAGGGCCGCAAGGGGATTTGACTTTGGATGGAAGAAGAAGACGAGTGTAATAGCAGTTATGAATCCCAAGGGGAGATTCACATAAAAGCACCATCTCCAAGTAGTTTGTTGAGTGAAGACACCACCTAAAAGAGGACCGACGACGGATGATATTCCGATCACTGTTGAGAATCTGTCAGCGAAGCCAATGAAAAGGGTCGGTTCAACGACGAGATAGTCAGACGCCATAATACTTACTTGATGCCAGAATACCAGTGTAAACTATGGCACATTAGCTAAGGTCTTAAGAGCAATGTTTATCGTAACTTACTAGGCCTATCTCTCAGCCTCACAAGTGACGCAATGATAATCAGCGCACCACTGAACAGCCCAGCACCACCACATCCAGCGATAGCTCTGCCCACAATTAACATCTCGGAATTGACAGACACCCCACATATGAGAGAGCCGAATTCGAAGACGAAGAGATATGCGAGGTAGGTCCATTTAAGAGAGAAGTACTGGAAGAGTTTGCCGGAGATTGGTTGGAGTGCGCAGCTAGGATGTGTCAGTTCATCCGGCAAATTATAGAATCGAGGTAGTAGCAGTCAAGGAGGCTGAGGCTGGAGTGGTTGGAAAGAATGTTTGAAGTACACTCACATGCATATCAGATATGCAGAACCATACCAACCCACATCATCAAGCGAATTGAATGCCGTCGTAATCGTAGGAATTGCCTGACACATATGAGTATTATACGCAAATAACCACATTAGAACCTTACAGTGGAAAGAATAGACATATCCTAAACCCCATTAGTCCTTCCTCCTCTTCGTCGCTGATATCAGGGGTAACTTACCAAACCAATCAGAAGACAACTCAAGCACAGACCCAATATGATCAAGCCGAGTTTGAGTCCTGAAAGATATTGTGCTCCATCATCCTCATCATTTTCATTTCCGACGCCAATATTTTTCTCCTCATCTAGAGAATGTTTACTAGAATTTTGTTCCGTGGAGATGACTTCTGTCGAGGCTTTATGTGTCGACATGATGCTAGTTGCTTAACGTGGTGAAGCGAGTAGAACCTTTCTCGTGGAGGGGCAGCCAAATCTGTACAGAAGAGCTTCAAATATCGAATTAAAAAACAAGCTTGGGAAAATGTCTGAAAGAATGTTTGAATATAGATGATGAGTGAAATGAAGACATGGTCTTCTCTTATGTATGTCGGAGTCTCGACACGGCCGACAAGCACAATTCGTGAGGCTCATAGATATTGTGGCGGGCGGAATCTGCTGGGATTCCTAGATTCCGGCGTATAGGTATCCAACATCAACCAGGAGGTAATTTCGGAATGTATGGAAGTCCATTCCTCCAGTGACGGAGACTTGCCATTCGTGCTGTTACTGTTTGATTGTATAGCAGTGATTGTATAGCAGAGAAATTCTGTGTAAACTGTTGATCAAAATCCCATTCATAAGGCAGTGTTACCCCACCAGTGCATTGCAAGACTGATGGGACAGTCTCAAGCACGGACATACTAACACTGTCCAACGCTGCTTCCGTAACATATATAATGAGCTTGTTGAAAGAGACAATATGATAACTTTACTCAAAAAGAGTGAGTAAATACAGCGTAGTAGACAGATTATGTCGCTGATTGACCGCAAGGAGGTGTCCCGTCAGAATTGCAACGCACTGGTGCACGTTAAAACTAAGATTCAGCAACGTCGTTCTCGTGCGAACCTTTGCATGACCACCTGTTAAACTGCCGCTACAAACGCCTAGTTCTCTTTTGTTTTCTTCCTACTTTTGAAGCCTCATGTACTTGAGGCTGTCTTATCCCAGAAGGTAAAGAGCGACGAAGCTTAGAATCTTACTCCCCAGCACCACTGATTACAGTACAACCATTTTTGATAATACATCAGATTTGACCGTGAAGTGGTGTTTTAAGTTAACCAGCCTGTAGAGTTGATCGATATACTGTTCGGATCCAAAGTTTCAGGCCAGCTAGTGATTATCTTCTCCCATTCCTCTGGGGAATCCTGCTCAGGGACAGTTTCCTTCGGCTCTAATTCCCAGTCTAGACATTTCTTCACGATTAGTGGCATTATGTCCGTGAAAGAAAAGTCTCGAGCTGAACAGTTTCCCCCCTCATCCTCTAACCAGGTCTCAGAAAGCTGAAATCGAGACTGGTAGAAATAAAAAAGAGAAGTTATGTGGGAAAGGTACGGATTTCGGTCTTCTCCTGATGGGCTGATAGCCAGACAATCCAGTTTAGTAATCAAACAATGGAGATAACTTTTGACATTCGCGAGAGCGCGGCCTTCTATGATGTTGAAGGTAGGCGCGTCAAGGCGGCCCATGAATGCGCCAAGTATGAGCATAGCATATACGAGGCGTACCCAGTCAGAGACTATGAAGCTGCGAAGTTGATCTATGGTCAACTCGAGAAAGCAATCTAGGTACTCTTTGGCCGCGCGTAACGCGCAACGAAGGGATTCACCTCTTGTCGCTGAGAAATACCACGACGGATGATCTGATACGATGGTGGCTGCGGTACTCCAACTGGCCCGTTTTGCGTGAAAGCCAATCTCATTTACGTATATCCGGTAAGAATAATAAGTCATCCTTATCGCAGCTTAGAATCATTAGCATGTTGACAAAGACCAAGAGTCGAGAATTTACCATTATCCCAAACTTTGGGAGGAAATGTGCCTTGCAGCTGAGTGAGTTGGTCGTTGAGAACTTGAGAAAGCATCTTGATGCGAAAGGTATCGAGTTCTGGTAGATTACTTTCGCCACCGTAATCAAACGTATGATTGACATCACCGGCAAATTTCTGTAGACGGACGAAATAAGGAATTATATGGTCTGAATCGTACTCTTCAAATTGAGCGATGGTCTGACAACAATTTTCAGTGTAATTTGTGAATCCAATGTTTGAGGGCTTTCTTAAACCATGACATAAACTGGGATACATTAGCTTAACTCCTCAATATCAATCACGAGCTATGGCAAGACATACGATGCGACGATGTAGTAGCAACCAAGATAGGTCCTACGCCTTTCGAGATTCTCGGAAGAAGCAGACAGAGATGGGCTGTCATGATATGCTTGTGCATCCAATGAGTTGGTCGATGAATTTGGCTTGTTGATTCCTAAATCGACCATCATTGCAACGGCCATCTGGCAAAGCTGGTACATCTGCTCCTGAACTACATTAAAGTGGAAATGGTACCTGCAAAGTGTTAGATCTGTCGAATCGTCATGCAAGAAGGCACAATATACCAAGCTAGATACACAAGCAATCCCTGCAATAGATCAAGAGACTTCTCACCCTCAACCAAGATCTTTTTCATCAACGTACTTTTCAATTCGGTTTCTAGTGAGCGTTGAAGTCGTACCTCTTCATATGCAGCAAAGGTCAGCACAGATTGGAGGAGGAAAGGTCGTTCTCTTCGCAACGTTTCAAGAGACTTTTGCTCTGGTAGACGAACCCAAGGGAACGAGTGCTCCCTGAAAGCATTCAAGTAAGCCTCTGCTTTAGTAAAGGTAATGATGTTTTTAGATATAGAATCATGAACAACGTCGAACGAGAAATCTGGGAAGTTGACTATTGGACAGTGATAGGGAATGCTGGATGGAAAATGGGACGTTGGCTGGCTTTCCTTGCATTGGGCACTGTTTGTTAATGAACCCAGTGAAGACGAGTTCTCAACTGATGCTACTGCTGTCTCGCTCAAAGGTGCTTCGGCAGTCGGGGTGTTTACTCTTTCTCCTTGTACAGTTGCAAGCAGAGCGGCGAGAGTTTCAAGCTTCTCTTCCATTTCCTCGACACGGCTGAAGAATCAGTATAGAAAAAGATATGGGCTAATATTGGCAACACACAGTTTGGAGTTCTTCGCTCTCTTAGGCCTTGGCTTTGCTTCAAGGAACACACAGGGCTTCCCATCCTTCACACATCTGTAGAGGCGATGAGCAAGGGAAATGAACATATTTCGTTGGTTCATCACAAACACACCTTTGACAGTGGTCGCCATCTTTTAATGGACAGCACCTTGCCTTTGAATTCCGACATGCCTCACAAGACCGTCGTAACTTGGAAGTCCTTTTTTCATGATTGGTAGTGTGGTGCGGCGATGCGAGCATAAACCGTTGTGGTTGTTGTTGCAGCGGGACGGAAAAATCATCAAAAAGATCCATTGCGATGAGTGAGTTGCTCAGATCATGACTGGGTTAAATCCCGGAATATAAGTAGAATCCGCCTTTTTGAACAGAATAGTCGAGAAAGCATCCATCTTTTCGGTTTGGGCTCACTTTCTTTCGCGCCGCATAGACTGGCATCAGATTCCGAAATTCCGGCCACGTGACAAATACCCTTCCGCCCCGTGAAGTATCAGACACCTCATCCAATCAGTCGTGCCATTAAACAGTCGGAGGAGTTGAGAAGGCCCGGCCGGAAAATATAATCACACAGCGTTGACCTGCGTTTTAGTCTAAGTGACATTGATAATCAGACTAACGTAACATGCGTATTATGAACCTGCGTACTGTTACGAGTAGCCCGCTGTTGATGTAGACCGAATAGCGACCAAAGATCATCCCCACGAAATGAGCTGCATGACCCAGCTCAGGTAACCAGCCGCTATATAAGCTCGCGATACTTAAGCCCAAAATTCCAGCACTGAACTTCCACAGAGTCAGAGAGAATATATTGGAGGTAACTTTTGCGTGAGGTACGGCTCCTGTCATGAAACCAACGAGGCCCAAAACACTTGCTGAAGCACTCACGGCCCCAGCATCTTTATTTTCAGGCAAGGTTCTCTTCCACCAGTAGTACTGTACAAGGTTACCTACGATACCAGCTCCCAAGTATATCAAGCCGAACCTTTTAAGGCCCGCAAAGTGAATGATCTTTACCCCCAAAGATATAAAGAGCCTGCATATTAACGATCAGATGCAGTATGTTCGCGTGAGCGAATGTGCTAGTTAACCCAGTCCACCATCGACCTTCTTCAACGTTGCGCATCGAGAAGACGAATGTCTTGTTGTATTGGATCATGCGTTGCACTGCTCCGGGCGAGGCAGCGGCCCCTCTCCAACTGATTTCACATTCGTTGAAGAATTTGTATGTGAAGAGGGCAGTGCAAGGCACTATGATGGCTAGCGCCACCTTTTCTCCGAAGTACCAAGTTGGCCTGGGCTGTGGTTCTGGTTCTGGTGGTACAGAGTGCTTCCGATTGTAACGAGTGTTGTCAAGAGATGTACGGGGAGATCTTGGAATTCGAGTGCTTTTTGGGGTGATTGGGGTTTGCGAGAACCTGCGCTGAGACTGGGCTGGCTTATAACTCGAGTGCATAAATTTATCCTAGGCATAATGTCAGCTAGTATTCCAAGAACAACAATAGTATTAATATTTACAGGTGTCCAAGGTAGAGCTGGTGGCTTCGGAGCTCGAAAGCCCACCAGATTGTGACATCTTAAAGCCATCGTAAAGCTCGAGTGTCAAATTTGTAACCGTCAAGGAAGCAATGGAGCCTTTTTGACTTCCGGGTACAGCAGCTTCAACGAAAGGGAATTGACGGCGCGCAGAAGGCGGCGGCAAGAATACGCGATTACATCTAGAATTGTGGTGTTCCAATTGGCAACAATGGAAAGAGGAGGTTGATGGAACGGTCGCGTTACGCGAAAGTTAGAAATACGGAGGTACATGTAGCTAGCTCTTGTAGCAGTTCACGACACAGTCAATTGCATGTAAATTAAATACATCAACGGAAGCAAACATCTTCCATTCAGGCTCTGAAAACTTTAAGATCAAAAGACGCTATATCAATACATCTAATAAAAAATATTCCAAGCAGAAGTAGGTCGCTGAGAACCATTAACGAACCTACGGTACACCAATACGGCACGTTGAACTGGAAAATCCTTTCGCCGACCCTTGATACCCTTGTACATATCAGCCATTACTAAATGTAAATATACGAATTTCGACTTAACCTCGATCACCCCACCTTCCCAAATTTCCTCCTTCTCATTTACTCTTCTCACCATAAGTCAAACGCTTTTCTTTCTCTAAAAGTTTGTTCTTCATTTTCTATTTCTGCGATATTCAAAAACGCAATAAATCACACCATCCACCATGACCGAACCAGCCGCTCCAAACATCATAGTTAATGATCTATCCTACTGCTTCCCTGATCGCACCACCGGTCTTTACAATGTCAGCCTCACACTACCACCACGCTCGCGAACCCTTCTAATCGGAGCGAACGGCGCCGGGAAAACGACTCTCCTCCGACTCCTCTCTGGCAAACGTCTTGCGCCCAGCAACACTGTCTCCGTTGGTGGTCTCGACCCGTTCAAAGATGGATTGGAAGGCGTAACATACCTCGGTCTCGAATGGGTGCTCAATCCAATTGTGCGGACTGATATCGGAGTCAGAGAGCTGTTGAAGAGCGTAGGTGGTGACTTCTATCCGGATAGAAAGGATGAGTTGGTTGAGGTTTTGGATATTGATCTAGACTGGAGGATGCATGCCGTTTCGGATGGAGAAAGGAGACGGGTGCAGCTTGCAATGGGATTGATTCGCCCTTGGAGGATATTGCTGTTGGATGAGATTACGGTTGATTTGGATTTATTAAGTCGAAGCAATTTTCTGGGGTTCTTGAAGAAGGAGACAGAGGTCCGACAATGTACAATTGTGTATGCGACGCATATTCTGGACAACCTTGCGGATTGGCCGAGTCATTTGGTACACATGAGCCTTGGAAAGGTAAAACAATGGGGTCCAGTCGAGGAGCTAGAATTGAAGGAGGGGCAAGGTGAGGGCAGAGGAAATAGCAGATTGGGAATGCTCGTTCTAGGATGGTTGAAGGAAGATTTGGCTGAACGAGGGCCTCGAAACAACATGCAAGGAAGCGAAGGAAAAGCGTACAACAATCCTGGAGTTGGAGGCTACGGTGCTCTGAGGGCACCAGAAAGAGAAAAGCGTAGTGCACCATAAAAAAGGGGGTTCATATCAATTGCGGAGTGTGGGGTTCAAAATCATGGGTATTTGGGTTTTATATTGTTTTAGCGATAGGCGCTTCAACGCGTTTGGCTTCAACGCCTAGAGGTCATGGATGCATTTGGGACGGCGCACCATTTAACATAGACATGATACCCTGCTTTTAACTTTCAGGAAGGCGGGGCTTATAAGAGTAGACCCGTAGAGAGCAATCTTCACTCGCAATCGCGAGCTCCATATTCAGGTTTCCATCTTCATCCTTGTCTTTTTCGTTGACTGGCTTCCATGCCAATTGTGTTACTGCTTTCGTTGGGTTGGGATAGGAACTAGAGTCTATGATCAGTTTGAGGTCATAAAAATGTATCATTTCTTCTCACCTAGGAAGATAAACGCCCAGCATCTGGGCAGCAAATCCATTATTAATGTTCAGAGCATGAATAGCGACAAAGCCGGTCTCGCTTCCAGCTGCAATATACGCAACATCGTCTGTTATTTTCCTACCAACGAAATCAATGGCAGTCACTGGCGCCGTTTCCGTAATAGTTGAGCGGCAATGAAATCCGGTGTTGTCCTTGGCCCAAAAGTTGATTTTCTTGTCACGCCCTGCAGTTGCAAAGAAACTCGAAGTGTTTGGTCCCCATGCAGCATCGAGTATCATTCTAGTATGACCCTTCGGATTTCCATAGGCGAGCTTGTAAATTGTCTTGTCCTCGGTACTGCGTTCGAATACCGCCCATTGGCGATCCCGACCTACACTGAGAAGGTGGCTATCATCAGATGAGAAACGGAGTCTTGTGATGGTTAGAGAATGCTGTTTTAATGGAGGCTTTATCTCCAGCCAAGTCTTGGTCTCAAAAAGTCGGATCACTGCGTGGTCTATAGAACTGGCTTTACACGCTGTTGCAATGATAGAGCCATCGTGACTTGCTGCCAGTGTTGATATCTCGTAGCCATGACCATAAAGCTTTTCAACTTCAGGCCAAAGTGTATGCCGAGAAAGATGTTCTTCTGAAGTGGGCTGGTCGAGATCAAGAGTTGATTTGTGGACGACCGAAGCGGGGTCAATCGCATTATGATCTCTGTCGTTGGCTGGAGGTAGGATCTCAGTATCATCATCAACCGCCTCGATGGCTTTATTTGATAGACCGAGCACTGGCATGTTTGCTGCATCCGGCATCTCATCAACCTGAAATCCTTGAATACCACATAGCTTCGTGAGGAGGTTGGCAACAGCTCTGGGCTGACTAAATACTCTCATGAGTTTTTCATCAGCTCCAGAAACAAACTGTGAGTCTCCTAACGAATCGATACAATTCAAATCGTAGCCATGAATCTGTGGTCTTGCCATCTCGTGCCATGAGGTTTGTTGTCCTCGCTTCCACCGAGCGTGAAGCCTGGTCGTCTGGTCCGAACTGGTCGATAGTAAGTAGTCACCTCCTTTTGACCACGAGATTCCTGTGATGGCTTGAGTATGGCCGCTCACACCGATTCCCTGAATCCATCTCTCCTTTTGTTTATCAAAATTCCATAACCTCCAACTTCCTGTCCGTCCAAGAGCAGTCACGGTCTGGCCGGATGGTGACCAAAGTCCTGTCCAAAAACCACCTGTACTTCCAGTAGCAGTGGTAGAGCCTTTTTCGGAGCTGATCTCTCCCAGTCGTGTCATTATGACCCACACTCCGGTCGATGGATCCGACTCCCACATTGCTAGAGAGTTATCTGCAGAAGTGGAGAGCAACTGCAGCCGTCCATCCCCGCGTCTCCATCTTGTGCTGTAGATCCAGTCTTCATGGCCCAATAGTAAAGCTTCGAAAGTGGCAGAAAAGGCAAGACCTTGAGCACTAAATCTATGAGCTTTGTTCGAAAGTGACTTTCCGGGCATGAACGCTCCTAGAGTTGGATCTGCGGAAGCAGCAGCAGCTGGCAATTCTTTGCCTTGATGAACTCGCCACAACCGGATATATTTATCTTGACTTGCGGAAGAAAGCAGCAGATCACTGTCTGAATCCTCGTTTTCTCTTGTAAACTCTAACGATCGAATCCATCCCTCGTGACCTGCGAGGGTTGCCTGGAGTTTAAATTGGTTGCTGGTTTCAGGATCGAGAACATACAATTGAATGATGTCCTTCGTTCCTGCTACGGCAAGAATATATGAGCCCGGCGATCCTGTAAGTGGACTAAGAGCCAAAGCTAATGGGAAGAATCGGGGTTTAATCTCGATTGTTTGCTGTAAGCCAGCTTTATTTTCGGCGTCCAACGACCATATTTTCACGATCGAATCCGCAGAGCCTGACGCAAAGATCTTCCCATCCCCAGATACTGCAAGACAGTTGATAGAATTTTGATGATTCTCTTTTTCTTGGGTATGGAGCTGTTGAGAGTTTTCATAGTGTCCTGTATGGGCATTCTTTCTCCAGATCACGAGGTTTTTATCAGCAGACCCGGTAATGACTACACCAGAGGATCCAGGAATGAACTTGACAGCATTTACGATGTTCTCGTGGCCTCTAAGGAGCTGGAAAATACCTCTTAAATTTTCATCCTATAGAGTCATCAGCTTTTGTAGAATATTTAGACCTTCCAGTAGACAATAAAAATTCTTATGATCTGACGGGAAGCTATAAATCGTGACGCGGCAATGAAACAGCCTACCTGAGGTCTCCATAGCGCGACGTTCTGATCTGCTCCAAAGGCAAGAATGCCAGACTCATCCCAATCTGCTACAGATGGATGTCCATTGGCGCCCACGGCCAGGTATTCTGTGCTGATTTGCAGCATTTTCAGATCACAAATCGTGGCTGAAGTGCCTTTGGGAAAACGAGAAGCCACTCTCACATGTGGTAGAACAAGTTCTTGGATTTAATACCGCTTTTACCACACAGAGAGAGATAATATAAATTCTGTGTTCTTTTATTGTCTAGATTTTAATGGTTGCCCAATTACAAGCGGTTGAAAATGGTGCCAAGGCTGAAGACCCACTTTTTCGCGTTTTCCTTCTTCGAGCCCAACGTCAACACAACATCAACGATTTCGCAGCACGTCAATCCATTCTAAAAATCATAATCTATGACAAGGCTCATAGTTATACATATTGTATCATCAGGTATATTCATAGTCCTCAACAAAGGCGACCAATTAGTCTCATGCAACAGCATTATAGTGCCGCGTTTCGCTCCGTTAAGATCCTTAAATTCGACTATTATATATAGTACTGAAGAAGAAATCGGACGATCTGAGACGATTTTTTCTCATCTGATCGCGAATTCAAGCTTCAGTTCGCTAGGAGCTGCGGTAAAATGGCCTCTCATATCTCGGTCGACTTGAGAGCTATCTTCGCCAGGAGGAAAGCTTATGATGTACTTCTTGACGAGCAATGCAGTAACAAAGCGTAATTGTCCTAAGGCAAGATTCTTTCCGACACATGAATAACGGCCCATGCTAATCAGTCTATATCAGATACAAAGTAGAATGCCACACTTACCTTGGACGAAAGGAGCTGTTGGATTCAGCTAAGAAAAACATTGAGTCTGCCATGATTCCGCTTGATGACAATCATGATTGAAGAAGCAACTCTATCATCAATATCACAGAGCTGAGAAATACTGCTGAAGCCAGACACCCTCTGTCTATTGCCATACCATGGGGATAGGAAGATACCCTCAGTGATGGCACTCATACTGTGATACAGAAACCCAACGCCGGGTTTTTGAAGACGCCTCGTAGTCGCATAGTCAGCGAGCTGCACAGCAAACTGCGAATTCAATTGAAGGCCTTGTCAGATCAGACGATCCTGGGATATATGAGTTCAGGTTGTCATGGAGAGGCTTTCATGAAGCTACCCGTGGACCTGTGGGGGCCACCGGAGGGTCACACTGGCTGCTGTGATGATATGAGTTGCAGAAATACACTCAGGGGTAGTGATTTTGATTGGTACCGGTATTTTCCGCAGCCGACTACGTGGGTAATGCCCGCAGCCCACGATGCCACCACGGTACTTCTAATCAATCGGGCGGATTTCTCAATATGCGCATTCGGTCTCTTTGGATCGAGTTGTCATTGGACCTTCCTGTTCCTATGGCAGGGGGTGTCTTCCTTCTCATGGGTTGTTACCGAAGAGCGGGAAGAGCAGTGGGTTAGCATTCATCAATAGACATATTATTAGTAAACCTGAGCTGTTCATCGGCTTCCTTATCTCTTCAGACACTTCAGAACTAGGAGACGACTTTCAACTTACTTGCGAGATACTGTCTTCAAATATGGCACCCCTTAACACTTCGATGAAATTGCCTATGGGACTTCTTGTTGTAAACTCAGTCTTTATCATGCTAGCCTTCATAGCTGTTGTTCTGAGATTATGGGCTCGATCCCTAAGGCGTATGAAATGGCGGTTCGACGATTATGCTATCATAATGAGCTGGGTAAGTTGCGGAAAATAAACGTTTCAATGTTAGGTAGCTAATATTCCTAGTTTATGGCGCTCGGTTTGATCTTGAATTTAAATTACGGTATGTTGTATTCTCTTGTTTTAACACTATCAAGCGCGTGCCAATTTTCACAAGCCATCACGAAAGGTGGCATAGGTCAACATCAAGAGACAGTATCTTATGACGAGGGGGTATTTCTCTTCAAGGTAAAGCCTAGTCATCATGGATACCTTTTGTCGCAAATCACTGATCAGATATAGATGTTTGTAGTCTCTTCAGCGCTTTGGACCGTCTCCACCGCGGCAGTGAAGATTTCCACTTTGCACTTTTACACCACCATTTTCGCCAACCAAAAGTTCATCCGGTTTGCGTACACGATAATCGGCTTTTGTGTAGCGTATGCTATCACCTACGTAGTAGCGACATTTCTCATGTGTCGCCCGTTCGCATTCAACTGGGATAAACCCATTGAAGGAGGCACATGCATCGACCACATATCTTTCTTTCTTTCAGCAAGCTTGATAGGCTTGTTCTTGGATGTTATTATTATGGTAATGCCAATGCCCATGTTATGGGGTCTGAATTTACCATTGCATAAGAGGTTAGCGTTAACGCTCATGTTTGGAATGGGAGCTTTGTAAGTACAAGTCTTAATGACTTTTAATTTTTTGCTGACATTTGTAGCATTTGTATTATCACCATTCTTCGTGCCGCCTCGAATCAGCAGTTCGATTACAACGATATACCTTACTCGGCGGCAATGGACGCGCTGTGGACCGGTCTTGAACCAACACTTAGTATCATCAACGCTTGTCTGACTATTCTTCAACCACTCTTTACGACCTTTTCCACAAGCATCAAGTCCTCCTTTAGTTCACGAGTTACATCCACAAAAGAGGAGAGCGCATTGACTGGGGCCCTAGTGATTCAAATCGTCAATTAGCTCCCTCGTCTGGAGCACATTTCGAGCGACTTTATGACCATCTGTATCCCGTGAGCCAGACAGGTCCGGACTGTATGTATGGAGTTGGCACCCAAAATGAAATCGAAGCGAGATCTGGTTCGGATGTTGAAATAACTTCCACCGCTCGACCGCCTGCTGGACACAGAAGCCACTCTATCGCCGTAACAAAATATTGGAAAGTTTCTTCGGCTGGAGAAGTGCGAAGAAGTTGTCACATTCAAAAGTGTCAACATGTATGAGAGGGTTGTGAGGAAGTTAGTGGTTGAAACATAGGCTGCCGATTTTCACATAATGTTATAAATTAACCATAGTGATCTAGAGGACCCATACGAGTTGTTGGATCAGCTCACCGAATCGGCAGGCTGGCGGCCATATCAGCCCGGATGGACGCCCTTCAATACGATTTGAAGATGTCTTGGTTGCGAAATTTTGCAAAAAGTGATCCTTCGCTCGACCTGCCCATTACTCTCAAGTTTGTGTTTGGTTGCGATTTGAATTCAAACTAAATTATCATGGGGGTCTCTTCAGTCCACCAACAGCTCCGAGCGCTTTTATGTTGGTATGTTGGTTGAGCCACCAATGGCGATCCTATACACCTTACTCCAACATGAATAATTGAGCCGAAAGTCGGCTCATATCAAAAGTATTGAAAGAGTATTGGGTCGTGTACGCTCGTACATCGTTTGGTGTTGCATGAAGGAATGCTGACCCCGATGCCTTCCTTCTGAAAGAGACGGGCTAACGTAAATTTTCTGCTTGAGCTGCTTGAATGGTGAGACACGATATCAGCCAGCACTTGGTAATCCGCCTTTGGCTTATCCTCGAATGTGTTGTGGTTCCTCAATTCTTAAGTACCAGTTAAACGGGTCGATATGTGATTTAGATCAGGCTGATCCAAGCCTCCTCTACGCAGGTCACTTCACTTGCTCTTACCCTTGTTGGAGTTTTCCCTCCGCTTATTTTCATATACGTAATTTCAGGGTTGGTCCGGCATGGGATAATCAATATTTAATGCACATCGTAGTCGGCGTTGGTGTGCAACACGATCATTACCTTGCCAATCATTTGGCTCGCTAATGGTTTTTGACGTCCATTGTGTTCCCCCGTTGAAGTTCAAACGATCGTATGGAGTCCTCTCTAGACTGTTTTAACAAGGCTTGTTCTATTGTTAGGTCGTATAACATAATAACACTGCAGCAAAGATGGTGACTGCAGTCACGCCACATTCTGAGGCGCCAACAGTAAGGGAAGAGCTGCAAGATAATTCGCTCGTTATTCGGTTAGTTTCACTTTCATAAATTGACCTGTGGTTACAAGGCGCGGCGATTCATCCAACAGTAGTATTGTTGTTTAGATTACAGGTTACAACGTAAAATAGATAAACTGCTCAACAGACTTTTTTGCCAAAGCAATAGATTTTCAGCTGAGCTTTTATCAAGCATTCTTTTCAGTATCTTGTGATTCTTAAATTATTGACCATGGGCAATCCGACTTTCGTTTTGATCCCGGGAGCATGGCACACTCCAACAGCCTACGAGCCTGTGAAATCCATTCTTGAGGGTGACGGGTTCGAATGTGCCACCGTTTCTCTGCCGTCAGTCGGATGTAAGCCAGTGACATATGACTTCTCCGAAGATGTCGAAGCAGTCCGCAACACTGTCCTGAAATTGGTAGATGGAGGCAAAGAAGTGGTTGTAGTAATGCACTCATACAGCGGAATGTGTGGGTCTGAAGCTTTGAAAAGCTTGTCAAAAGATGAGAGAGTAGCTCAAGGATTAAGTGGTGGTGTAGTAAGACGTGAGTGCTTTTCTTGGTATTCTTCATGAACTCCTCTTCGAACCCGAATTCCATCGAACATACTTGAAGTTTGCTTTAACATATTTCTGAAGTTCTCCACTGATTTTTGGTGTTCTGTAGTCGTTTACATTATGGCGATGATACTACCGGAAGGATCTGAGCCAGCACCCAGAGGCACTACCGACAACATGCACCCATTTATGGTAGCTGATCTCGAGGTCCGTTAATACACACACCATTTAGTCATCGTTATCCAGATTTACTAATTCTCGTAAACAGGCTGGCATCGTGACCGTTTCTCCAGAAGACGCACTGAAGGTGTTTTATAATGACTTTCCGTCTGCACAGGCTCAGGAGTTCGCTTCTCAAATCGAACCTCAAAGTATTGGAGTTTTCTACAGCAAGATCACATATGCACCTTGGAGAGCAATCCCTACAACTTACGTGCTTTGCGAGAATGATCAGTCTTTCACGATGGCCTATGCGGATTATTTGTTGAGTGTCGCAAAGTCCACAGATGATCATAAGATTGACACTTTAGAAAGGTGTGATGCTGGTCATTTTGTTATGGTGAGTAAACCAGAGTGGCTTGCTGATGTATTGAAACGCGCAGCGGGTGCATACATGTGAAGGCTGTAGCGGCTGCGGTTGTTAGGTCAAGCTATTTGAATTTTTGTCGATCTACCAGTCTCGCAGGGGACATTTCAAATGGCAGCATACCTTTACTATTCTGTTGGCTCACATAACAAATTATAGTGCGTAAGTAAGTATCTCAAAAGAAAAGGAAACAATCCTAATAGGGATAGAAGAGGTCGTATTTACTGAAAATAATCGATGAAATATGCGATATTTTGGTGACTTGGTGGAAGAAATATCGGTTTTCGACTGCCTCTCATCTTGTTCCCCATGACTGTGCCTAGCAACCCACTTCCTCTCCCCCAAAACTGTATTGCAATGCCATGAGCACGATTCAGTAGTTATCAGAAAAATAAAGTGGATATGAAATTCTGGTTGTGTCCTAGCTTAGAGCCACAGATGTAATGAGGTCATCTCAGATGTAAAGATGTCGACGGGCGAGAGCTTCAAGGTGCGATGTTAAAATCTGTTAATAATTATGAGTGAGCTAATTTAGAGTTAGATGATAGCCCCGGTTACATATATAGAAACTTAACGGAATTTTAGGAGATACTAATTTCAATTTTTGGACATCTGAAAGAGTGAACGACGATACCGTAAGATTACCAAATACCTACTCCTGAAAGTTGCCTAACGCTTCGAGCCTCCTACCTCACTTTTTGCTTTGTCACCCGTCGTTGACAAGTTTGATGAGAGGCGACGTACAAAGCAAAACAACCCCAAGATTGCACAATTTGAAGATTGTTTTGTCTTCCTGGCCTTATCCAAGATCAACAAGCGCGGAACAATTGATAAGCCAAGAAGGAAATAACCACATGTGATGCTGAAACAGGTGTTCCATACCCGAGGACATATAATTGACTAAAAAATCATGGGAAATATTGTCCGGCCTTACCCAAGAATCACCCACCACAAGAGGGAAAGTCGTCCTCTTTTTCAAGCTATCTCCAGCCGGGTCGTACATATCCTGAATATGAACAGTCGAGAAGACTACGCCGATGATCAACAACCACGAGACGACTTTCGGGGTCCAAGGCAGGAAAAATCCAAGCGCCACTTCCATCGCTCCAGAAGAGAAGCTGGTGAAGCCCCCTGCTTTTATCATGTTTCTCAAATTCTTGCAATCCAGGACGTGTCTGCGCTGGCGAGTTCATTGTACCAGTATCCAAGAAATATGAGAGACACGCATTGTCTCAAACCTCCAAAACAAATACTAAACAAAACCGCCAGAGAGCAAAATACCATCATGATATTTTGACCCTCGGTTGGGGTGAGCATCTTGGTAGGCATTGGACTCCATGGTTGATTGACTGTATCCTTCATAATGGCTGCTGGGTGTCTTTGATTGTTGATAGTGAAGGTTAGGAGGTTGATCCATGTCCAAAGGAAAACAACAGGTGCCCGTAGAAGTATTGTTGCCGTGCTTTGAGGAGGATGGATGGAGAAGACGAACGACACCACAGCTGACCGTACCCCAAACGTGAACTTCGGTAAAATGATTGTCTTCATATCGCTGTATGTAAACAGCGAGATAGAATGTAATAGTCTGGAAGATGGATATGTAATTCTGAAGTGACTCCAGCTGGATTTTCCAGAATGTTCGTCATATTCTACCAGTCGAAGGCAGTTCTTCACCCGGACACTTGTTATAGAGCAATTACGCTTATTCCAAACAGAAATTTACCGCTTTCTTCAAGTATTCGGGACTGATATTTCTTCAACAGAGGAAAGGGATTTATAAGAAGAGGTTCGTTTCATCTGGCGCCGGGTATGTAGCAACTAACTATCCGTTGGCATATAAGACGAAGGAACTCGTAAGTGTGGTTGCCATGGATGATGAAGGTGCCGAATAGATTAAATGTGTCCACATCAAGCTATCAGTTTAACCCTTGACGTTTTCTGCGACGACCTGAAAGGTTTCTTCGGTGCCACGCGTTCCTTCTAGGATCCTCCTGTCCTAATCACCATGTAACAATACCTAGGATGATAGGCGAGCTTTGTGAAAAGTCTATGATCTATCAGCTATCTCTTTGAAGACGACCAAAAATAACCGCCCCCCCCACCCCAAACCAAGTATGAACTCCTACCTATTGGTGAAGTTCACGGAGTTTCTCGCTTGTTCCTCTTTTTTCCTCCTAGCTTTACACATCATTTATGATACTAGCCAGATGACAATGATGTTATTCGCAAGTTTATATGCACGAGTGAGAGCATTCGTGACCGGTCGAGAAAGCGAAAGTCTACATTCAGACGGAGTCAAAGAACCCTCGTTAATTCCAGCAGACAGGGACAAGGTATGTTTTGTCTCGTGGATATTCAGCAAATGTTCGGTATTTCAACTTCCTCGAATCGTCTGAACGTTTTTAACAATCGGAGACAAAACTTGCAGTTTTACCTTTGGAAAGAAGACGGCTTTAGTCTCCATCCAAGCATTCCCACGCAGAACGACCATATCCGCGTTGCAGAAATAGGCGTGGCAATAGGGTGAGCATCCGTTGTTGAGCAAACCTTTTGAAGCTGAAGAATAATTATACACAAACAGAATTTGGCTGACGGAACTCGCTCGTATCCTGCCGAAAACGGCACGTATTGACGGGTTCGATATTGACCTCTCGCAATGTCCCCCGAAAGAGTGGTTTCAATGCTTTAGAACCTTTGGGGGGTGGACGTGCTGAAAAGTGCAAGGAGTTAATCCACCAATGTTTCGAACAAAGGAGAGAAAAGGCGTTCAATGTAGGCAGGCTAACAGTAGTAGGGAGGATGCCTCTGTGATCTGTCTAGCGATCTACTAGGACAATATCGGAAATGAAAAGCTAGACAGAATCAAATCAGATGTAGAACAGATTTCAGCTGGATTTGTGCTCTGCGTTTCTACCGATGTGTCTCCGTGAGTTGCTGTTTGACATTTTACGGAGGCAAAAAAGCTAACGTCCCCTTCTTTGCGGTGGACAATATGAGTGGGAGTAACCTCAGAGCCTCTTGACGACGCTTTTGATTTAAATTTGGTAAGTTTTCAAAAGAATCCAAACGTCATAATTTTTGAAAATTCTAGACGAAATAGACTGTTTTGTAAAGTGACGAAAAGTGAGATAAATTCGTCAATTGTTCTGAGCAAATATTGGATTTCAACTGCCACGTACTCTGCCCACCGTGAGCGTTCTCACAACAGCGCAAATTCGGCTCCACAACCATGGCGACACACAGCTCTTTTGAGTCGTTGACAAGTGTCACGATAAGAGGTGAATGGCGTTTGGCCAAGGTGTGTCGACCAGATTAAATTTCGTTGCTAGAGGTCAGACTAATCTGGCGGCTCGGAGCAGTAGTCCTGGGCAGAGCCGGAAGACTGCAAAGGTCTGCGATTTCATACAATTTCGAAGCCTTTCTTCGACATGAACTGTGTTGCTGTGCACTTCATAAGACGCGTGGAAGTCCACTCTCTAAAGACTGATGGTCAGTCAAGTTTGATAAATATCATCAGTTGATCTCTCCTCGGGTCACGATACTCACTGACTATCTGATTAGTATGATCTTTGATCGGCAATAAGCTCTGGCATCCAAGCGAGTTGCTCAAATTTGGTCACGTCTGCATTCCTCCATTCCTGACAAAAATATCCTTAATCCTCTTTTTTGGATCGTCCGTATTCATGCGAACCCCGTATGCTAGGGACAAAGGCAAGCTGTACTTCGTGGACGCTGAGAAGTAGAGCCCGTGGAGCGACGCCATAATCAATGTATTCAGTTTGAATGGTCTCTCTCGCATAACATAATCGGACAGAGCCTATATGTAACACTATCGGCCACCTTGTAAATCCTGGTGGGTTCGGCACCTGGATTTTCCTGACTAGCAAGCATATTAGCGTCCAGCATGTCTGTTCATAAGCTTTCAGGGTTTAAATGTCCATTTACGCGTAAGTTTGGATCCTAGCATACAACTGCATCAGGAATAAATATTTTAAGTGATGTGGTGTCGCGCGTTTGCATCTGAAAGTATGTCACGCGTTGGCGATGCTTTTGATCGCGAAAAATTGGGGCTTCCGAATTAAGCGAGAAGTTAAATTTCAGGCACAAACTTTTTTCCAACGTCAACCATCACTCGTCACCATCAAAACAATATCAGTCACCGCCTATTGAAGTTGCATCTGCGCTGAGGTACTCGTACATCTCAAAATGTCATCAGAAAACACGATTCCAATACTCGTTGAGTTCACGTAAATATTCCACCTCTACTTCTTCCTCGGAGAAAACTGACAGGTAGTAGGGGTGGCCTGGAGATGCTATTTGGAGACGAACGCAAACACAAGCTGTCCATCCCAAGCAAGGATGAACAGGGCAACGCTGTAAACATTGGGTGGCTTGTCAAGTACCTATGCGACAAGGTCATGAAGGATTCAAGAAAGGAGATGTTCGTCTTGGACGGTCACGTGTATGCAGCCATTTCATTATCTTTGACCGCCCTTTATATGATAGTGCCAAGGTACTATGCTATCATACCAATCCATCATACACGAATGACATGTTGTCTTTCAAGACTGCATGTGTTGTTCATTTGCAAAGCGACAAGCTACTCCCAGTCACCCTCTGCTTCACCGGTTCCTATCCAAATGCATTCGTATCCAAATTCGAATAAGTACATTACGTCGGCACTTACTGACAACACCTACTTGCATTGCAGCCGCCCGGGTATCCTAGTCCTCATCAATGATGCAGATTGGGAGCTGGAAGGAGAAGCCTCTTACGCCCTGCTACCGAACGACAATATCCTGTTCGTTTCAACACTTCACGGAGGCTGAGATCAAAAACGACATACCTCTGCGCCCAATGCGAACACCACGTCTACTTCCGGAACGACTTGACGAAAATGAAACTCCTCGGTCACATTTATGCGTCGTCTCGATCCAACGCCCTCGTCAGATCTCAGAATTGCCGACCTCGCACAACGCTTGGCAGGGAGCATCAATCTATTCTAATGACTTCAACCACGGAGAGCATATCATCGGACGAAGAAGCACAACATGCCACAATGCACTGTATGAGTGGCTGTGAAGCAGCTTGCTATCAAGCCACTCTGCACGTGATTCTGGGAATAACCTTGCATCGATCTGCGGCAGGGATGGCGCATTGCATTCAAAAACGGAGGTGGTGTAGCATACCATATTTGCATACATGCAGCCTGACTGGCACCTGCTTCTCGCCATGTTTTAATCGGGGAGAGGTAGCTCGCCGACCTTGTACACCACAATGTCATTTTTCCGAATCCTCTCACATTACCAGAGGTTATCTTTGGCTGACATCTCCCACACTCACGGTTTGCAAGTTTAGACGTGAGACGAGACAACCAACGCCACTGTGCAACATTCGTCTCTTTATTGGGATACTTCAAGGTTCGTGCCGTCGTGCCCAGTCTATGCAGAGCAAGGCGGGCGGGTGGTTGAGCCGACAGCCTCTGAGTTCTATCATCCACCGCATGGAGTTTGCGTCACCTCTCAACCCCGGTTTCTGTAGCGATAGAGACCTTACAGGCTCAGGGCACTAAGTCCCCTATTAGCTGTGAGCCTCTTATGACGAACTCGGCTCCAGCAGTCTCTGCCGGCTTCCTCATTCCGATCCGGCCTGCTCACGGCTCTAGATCCGTTATTCTTTCTCAGCGCCAGCAGCGGTGTGGCCCACTTCTTTGTCGCCCGGCGCCGCCGATCTGCAACTCTCTTTTCATCCACAAGGCTGCGTACCCCCGATGCACGAAAGTCTCTTCGACTCTCCCTTACAGTATGCGCGAATTATCTTTCCTTCGATAGAGATTTCATAGAGTACTTCTTAATGAGCTGTTTTATCAATGACAATCACTGAATACTTGCTTAATACAGAAACCCTTGATCAATCTGTGGAGGCGCGTGGGATAATACAAGGGCCTGCGTCTTAAGCGCCCGGGGTGTTAGCGGCCGAACCGAGTCTTCGTTACGTGATCTAATCAACGAAAATCAACCTCCTTTCTGCAACAAGTTTACCTGGCAAACATATCGCTCGCCGCCGCCCGCCACAGGAAGTCCGCCTCAACTGATAAACACTCCAGCCGTCGTGTGCTCACACGATAGGCACAGATTGCCAAATTCACATCGCTGATAGCTTGGTTGTATCTCAATATTAAGCCAGTAACACCGTGATAAGAGCGTCATTGCCCACGTGCGAATTCTCGAGGTCGACGGATTGTTCTGGACAGCGAGGCGTCCCATGTGTGACGAGCTTGAATTACCAAGATAAGTTGTGCTCCTGTGCGGGAACGAACGGGTCTCCCGAGCAGCAACGTGCTGCCAGACTGGTGAGCTTGTTTGCTCTCTGTACCACGTCTCACGTTCGGCACCACTACCTTTGCACTTTTCGGGAGCAGTACAGACAGGTGATCAGGTTTGTCGGGTCGAGTTTGTACGAGGACAGTGGGATGCGCGGAATGTTGTGACGAATTCAATATTGTCTCCCCATCATTGATATGGAGTATTGAAGCAAACTTCTTTGTCACTCCCTTCTTTTACTGTCTTTACAAAGATCATCCCAGTTGTATATCCAGTCCAAATTCATAGATCTTTTCCTCTTGAGCACGTGTGTCCTACAACTACCGTAGTCCCAGCCTCACAATACCCCATACCCATAAAAGCCACTCAGTACACTCTCCTTTCCCAACCGCACCAACCGCCCATCAAACCCACGTGTATCCTCTTGTAACCATCAACACTACCAAACGCAATACACAAGACATCAGACGAAATAAACGTAAAAGAACAACCTCGCGTGCGACTTCGTTCGCCTCAACCCACGTGCCGACTGCCGACCACGAATACAGGCAAGATAAGGAGAATACCCAGGTTCGCATTAAGCTGGTATTACAGACTAGGAAACTCGCTTTGGAAATTGAAACGAACCCCATCCACTCACTCTCGGCGTCACCGGTGAACCCCACGAATACCCAAGATGGTGATAATACAAATATATATCTTCTCAACTATTTATATGAATTATATAAACACCCCTTGTCTTGCACACCCGAAAAGACTAAAAGCCCTCCACATCTTCGCAGATGTTCCAAAAATCAAACGGTGGTCTAAGAAAGTCAAATCTGAGCCGCCCACTATATATAAAAAGCAGGAAGAAAGGAAGGGAACTATGTTTTTGTAACCTCCTCGTTTTCCGCTGTAAAAAGAAAAAGTGAAGTGAAAAGACGCAAACAGATGATGATAAAAAAGAAGAGACCTCCTCGAAATGCTGAGACGTGACACCAATTCCTCAAAACGCGTACCCAATGCCCCCTTATCCTATCCTATCCGTCTACCCAAAGTCCCGCCGTCTATATACCCCCGCCAGCCAGCCCGTTATTGTCGCACATTCGTAACCGTAATAATACAACCCGCTCTTCCATTCATAGATCATCAAAAGCTCATCCAATCGTAAAGTTCCGAGGTCTAGTAGATTCGATCCCCAAAAGCGAGATGACTAGCGTCGCCCCTCTGATCCTCGAAGCTGTCGCTGGGCGCATCGTCGTAGATGGTGCCGACGGAACTCCCCGCGCCGCTGCCGCTTCGTCCGGACTGGCTCTCGTCGTCCACGTCGAAGATCTCGTACTGTTCGCCTCTTTGCACGGGGCCGTGGTTGACAAGGCCATGGTTCATTACACCCATCACCATGTTGCCTCTGCCGCTTCCGCTGAGACCTACTCCGTAAGGTCCTTGGCTTCGCATGACCGTCGACATAGCGTGGGGATTCGCGCCGACTTTGCGGTCTTTGCCACGGCCTTTGATGCCCTTGTTGGAGTTCTTGTACAGGTTTGCAAAGTACTCCCAGAGTTCTTTGTCAGCCGAGTGGACGATGTCGCCGTCCTTGATGGAAGCGAATTTGGACGTCAGTTTGCGGATGGTGGCGGCGTGGAATTTGTTCTGATGTGACTGGTAAGAAAGTTAGTTCAGTGATCGGAATTTGAGACCCAGGACCAAGGATGTAATCAAGCAAGGAGAGTTGATGGGGAAAGGGGTAAGAGCATATGGTGGCTGAGCTGCGATATTGTGGGGTTTAGTCTGGGGAAAAAGCAAAACTTTTAAGGTTGAGAAGCTTTTCCGCCCCCGAAATGAGATGTATGAAACATTAAGGGAAGGGTGAGTAAGAGACACGCATGATGTGAAAATAGAATCATACCTTCAGGTTTCCGAGTTGGGTGAACTGCTTTCCACAATCGTCAAGGCGGCAGAGATACGGTTTGGCATGGTCGTGGACGATTTTGTGAGCCCGTACGTTTCCACGTTGAGCGAAGCGTTTACCGCACTGCTCGCATTGATAGGGTCTTTCCCCAGTGTGTCTTCTTTCGTGGGTCTAAGTGTACATGTCAGTGACAAGATGGTAAGAATGTGAGCTGCTAGTTACGTACTTTGAGATTTCCAAGCTGAGAAAAGCTTCGTCCACACCCAGGATCTTTGCACTCCTGTTATTATAGTTAGAATAGAAAGAAAACAAACGTATACAGATAACTTACGTATGGTTTAATGCCAGTGTGGGATCTTTCATGGATGTCCAAGTGCGTTTTTTGTTGAAATTTCTTGGTACAGTTCTCAATAGTACATTGATATCGTTTCTTAGTACTCTTTGTAGAATGCGTTTCTTTGTGCTGTTGTTCTCGAGCGAGCTTGACTGGGCTCAGATCGCTAGAGGCATATCTGGTGCTCTGGGAGTTGGTATGCGCGTAAGGAGGAGTGGGTGAATTAGTGACTACTGGTCTGCTTTGCTCGATGGCGGAGGTCTGTGGATCCGAGGTTTGGGACTTCGCCTGGATGGCTTTCATCAATGTGTCGACGTCTGTACCAAAGTTGACATCCGTTGTAGAAATTGGAGAGGTGGTCGAAGAGATGGGGTTCGTGTTCGTTGATGAAAAAGTGACGGGATTGGGGGAGACCCAGAAGATACTCCCCAGATAGGCTCAGACTTGATCAGTGGGCTTTGATTGCTGTGTTCCTCCACAAATTCGGCTCGAGAAGCTCGGGAGTATGCAATAGCTCTCACTTCGTTGTCCTGCTGCATTGATCGTGGTAGAGGCCGTTGCTGTATATAGTTTGCTGCAAATGCTGGAACAATAGATGTCGACTGTGGTCCAGTATAGGCTCCCCCGAAACTAAATGGGTTTTGATGTTGAATTTGCTGGTGGGTTGTGATCATTGTATTTGGCGGAGGTCCGCTGTATGGTTGTGAGGGTGAAAATTGGGGTGCCATAGTCGCACGGCTCATTGCTGCAGAACTCGACGATCTGGGGTCATAGGATTGAATCAAGCCAGAGATATCCATTGCGTAGAATGTCTCGACTTGTTGATGTGGATGTTGCTCAGTCCAACGTCCCCAGGCCTGGCCTGGTGCTTGGGCTGTTACGGCCAGTGTGGCGGTATTGTCTTGCTTGGGCGCAAGACTTCGTCGTTTGGAAGTATCGAGTGAGGGTTCAAATTGTGTCGTCGCAAACACAACGGAAGAGAAGAAAGGTTGCAAGTCAATTCCAAACCTTAGAGTTTCCGATGTTCGCTAAACTACGAAGTGACGGAATGACGTTCGATCGAATATGTCGTCGCTAAAGACCAGCAGTCGATGACAAGATACTTGGACAGTTGATTTGATGAGCTCGTACAACCGAATATGATTTCGCGTGAGAATAGTCGGAAGATTGTAGGTTAGTTGAGGTTTCGAAAGGTATCAATATGTGACTAGTATCAAGAGAAGGAGTAAGAGTCCCAATCACTCGGTATTTCAATCGGAGATCTCGCAGGTAGGATAGCAGATGGATTCATATACAAGATCGAGTAGCAGGCCCCCACCCGAGTGTGGAAGCAATAATTGCCGTGGAGTCGAGTGCTACAGCGGCCACCATCCCACGTTGGCAATTCTGAGACTGAGCCAATAGCCATCCTTCAGCTTGGAGTATGGCAATGAAACAGGCAAGGCTACGGGGAGTCAGTAAAAGATTTCGTCGTTACACTCTTGAATATCGTCGTTGCCATACTGTTTTTGAGGGCAGAGACTGTCAACTTCATGTCGAAATGAGACTAGAGATGTGAGTGCCAGTTCTTTGCAAAGACGACCAGGGTGTTTCGACCGGGGTCTGTCACGGCCGCATCAACATCAAGAGACAGTGTAGATGATTAGTAGACCAATTCAGATGGGGACTGGCGCCTCTCGGGGCCATGTCCTTGGAACCCTCTTGCAAATATGCTCGCACGTCAATTTGGGCCGAAAAACTGGCAGAGCATTGGCTACAAAGGACTAGCACCGATTGAACCTGTTTCCTGGCTCTCTATTCGGCAGGGGCGGGACGGTCTCTGACGGGTGGGAGTGCTATTCTGATTCCTGGAATAGAGAGCACGAAGGAGGCCGACGAGGGTGTGAGAAAGTGAGGGGTGGAGAGCTCGAGTAGTGGGAGCGAAAGGGGGGTTTTCGCCCGGGGTAGTGTGCCACATTGATGTGCGCCTAGCATCAAAGAGGTCAAAGGGAAAGACAGCGTTCCCGGGTTCAAGGATCTTGCGAGGCACCAAACACGATCTGAGATGGGGAACTGGTGTGCATGGAGAGTTCCCAGGACATGGCGAAAGGGCAGGCATTGTGCAATATTTGCTGCCTCTCTGGGAATGGTCGCTCTGGCCGGGCACGCTGAGAGTGGGGAGTGGGTTTCCGTTGACATCGTGGGGGTGCACTGACGACTTGGCTGTATTAATAAGTCGTCGCTGTCGACAATAGGCGGTCTAATATCTCATACAAAGAGGTCGATTACAGCACACATGGAAGTGCCAGACGGGGTCCTCGAGCTTTCTCGAGCCTGCTCCCAGAGATGCCTGTTAATAGTGGTAAGAAGCTAATACTCGTGCGTACAGAGTGACAGCACACGTACCCATCCTCGTTCTCTCTGTATCGACGAGCCAGCCCTCGAGTGGGATTGGGAAGGGTGCAGAGGCAGCGGACGGAAGCGCCATTCGGCGACGGGGACGCGGTACTAGCGACGGGATCGATATCGATGAGGATATTATAATCATTATTGACCCAAGATGTGGTGGGTGTGTGATCTGTCGAGGCCCAGCTGCTCGTCGTCCAATGATGTGCAGCACATCCCACCTCTGCGGGGCGGTCGCGTGAAGTTGTGACTGCTTGAAAGACCAAGGTTTCTGCTACCAATTATGGCATCGGACCTAGTGATAAATGACAATAATTACGCTCAGAACAGCTCTGATCGACATGTTTATCTTCGCTACGTCGGCGTTTGGTAATAAGTCTGTGATCCGAGCATTGAAAGCTGGCACCCATTTGCCGCCAAAGTAGAAGAGGTGTAGACACATTCTCCAAAGGATTGAGTAATTAATGGACTGGCTGCGTCCATAACGATCTTGTCAACACTGCGCAATAACAGACATGCAAGTACCCATGTTTACCGTAATTGAGTAGAGGGGTAACCTCCCTGTAGTATTGCGACGGGACAATTCAGCCTTCGGCTACGGCTTTTCCCACGGGTACTCGAGTACAGGACCACTCCTCTGGGCCAGCCTGTGTTTCTAAACTTTCGGTTCCAACGTGTGAGAACACGAAATATGATATTTACGATACCACATCGAAAGACTGAGCGTTGTGTACCAAGCTTCAACGCATGAATTTGGCAGGGCGATCAATGATGGTCTCCATTTTGGTTGTCGATGTTTCCCGTCGACAAGCCTCGGAAATTTGAGATTGTTGTGGCTCATGAACTCAAGGTCTGCTGTGGACGGTCTAGACTGCAGGATCGACTCAAATTTGACAGAGGCAGAGACTCATGGCCGTCGTAGAAAATGGTGTCAAATAGAAGTATCCATACGAAACCTGCTGGCTCTTTTTTCGAAAAAGTCTAGCACGTGTATCTCGAGTATTGAGCAATAACCGACAGAAGAACTGTCCTTTCAACAACTACAATCGCGGAACAGCTCGGTAATGATGCTCTGTTACCAATAGTCGTGTAATAGTCAACGTCAAGTGCAATTGTGTTTGAGCATTGCCATCGACTCGGGCAAGATAAGCCTAAATGCGAACACAGATAATCCAACTGCATGCAAAGATAACGTCGCTCAGAAGTACAGAGGTAGCACAGCAAGGAATCAACTCATGCTCTCGTGATAGTACCTCTGTACATTTTGGATGTCAATGGCGGAACTCAATCGACGGAGTCAAGCCAAGGGCCCAGGATTTGACACTCTCGATAACCCTTGATCGCTCGGACCCAGATGATGGTTCCCTTCCCTGCGCACTGGGCCCAGTGATGCGGTTGAGGCCGATCAATCATGTTCGCCAGATTTGTCCCATGTCGCGAATGTGCAGAAACTCTCGGGGAGCTGCGGCGGCGTTTCTCAGCAAAGCAGGTCCACGGCTCTGCCAATGATGTTGTACAGAGCCGGCGCCACTCCCTTCACCCTTCCCCCGCGACCCCGATCTTTCAGCTGATAATTTTGCAGACGACAAATCTGATTTGTGTGTTGGTAGGTAAACAACTGGCCTGGCCGATATGATACTGTATGAGCTTCCCAAAGGAGGTTGAAACGCGAAACCATGACCAGGTGTTATTATTAGCAATCCAAGTTAAAGCATGCAAAGCATAAAACGAAACGAAGGCTGGAGAGGTACTTCGTACCAAAGGTACTCGTACATGAAGAAGTGCAATATCGAGAAGAGAATGTACAAGGTCCTGTGTATTACACGTGGGCAGCTCCTCGATTTCCTCGGCGAGAGGATTCGTCATAGTATTTGAGCCACTGGCATCCCGGGTTTGGTTGCACTGGAAGAACTTTCTCCGCGACAAGTCTTAATCTCGCCGCAAGCGGCTATATAGATGCTTGTATGCACAGCATATAGTGCTACCCGTTCCAAGAGGTGTATCGCAGGGGAACGCGTCAATTCGATCGAAGAACAAAACAGGAATGGTATGAGGGAACATGGCTTCGAAGAAAAGATCATCAGATAAAGCTACCACCAAAGATCAAAAGGTATATGAGAGTTTGGTGATTGACGGAATGAAGAAGAATAATGGATGAAGTTTCAAAATGCGTGTCGCTAGTTTGAAGGCAACGGAAATGGCACAAAGTTTTGCCGGCCACATGTGACCAAAACTTAGAAACAACGTCCGCGAGGTCCGTCTCCTTATCACTCGCAAGCTCATACCACTTTGGATTTCACAACAAATTCTCTCTACTTTTGAGACTTCATTTTGACCTCCTTCTTGCGTCCGAACTTGCGAAATACTTCAACTTTGCTCCTCGATTGCCAAGTTGCCAACAGCGTGGAAGTCTTATTCCAGGGATATCAAAGCTCAGCAGCCAAGACTTTCCCATTTGATACCCTGTCTTGTCATTTTGATGATCCCCGGGAAGCAGATCCTTTTGTTTCTCTGAAGCATCCGGCCGCCTCCAAGATATCTACGAAGCAACACGTGTGCTCTGAACATAACATACCTGCTCATGAAATAGAGGCTCAAGCTACCAACATGTTTCCAGCAGAAAAGGATTTGTGGTCCATACGCTTTTCACCATTCATCAAGTTGGTCAGATCGCGGGGAGATAGCTACGCCAATTCCAAGGAGACGGGAATGAGCGAAACGATGGGGGCGCGCATCGCGCCGTCCCTTGAGCTCCATCGAAACCCAATGACTGTGCGTAAGGCCCAGTAATTCTCCGTCATATGAGGCTCTCATTCGTTATCCAAACATTGCAGCATTAACCTTAGGATCCACATAAACAACTACTAGCAGTAAGCTTACTTCTTCTCTGAACGTTCCTGCTCAGTAGTGTTTATCAAGATCTAGTCGCTTGCCGCGACTGGAAGTCCTCTCTATCCCATCATATTTCAGATGGCCATACGCATGGCGCCACTCTCAAAACTTGAGAACGCCTAAGATTCGCCTCCTTGGGTCGATCTCCACTACCGAATTCCCAAGATCCCAGACCCTGCCGTCGGGACTCCCACACAGCGAATAAGAACCTAAAAGTTCAAACGACCTCCCTTGCCTCCTCTGTTATTGAATTTGAATGGCACCTCATTTTTCTCAATGTAACCTAATCTGCATCTCATACAGTTTCCGGCAGCATCGAGCCACAAAGATCTCGCTTGGCAAGAAAGTATACAAATGGAAAGTCTCGAGAGAAACCATAGCTTTGAGGTCAAGGAGAATGTATTGCGCAATGCCTTCGACGTGGGGGACATTATTAGCAATAATATCCAGGGAATTAGCTCAGTAAACTCACAATTCTGTCGCATAGACTGTTTGGTTAAACATTTTATCGACACGGCAGTCATTCTTGTCATAATCGAAAATATTCACTTCCGCGTCTAGATTGACTCGCGGGATGTCAGTCACCTAGCTGCCGACCAATCTTTGGACTACTCCAAATAATGACGGAATATATCATATTATTCTAAGTTAATCCACTAGATATACAATTTCTCGTCATGTCGGTCTTTGAACTGCCACTTATTTGGTCCGTTGCGAGACTCACTATTTTAACTCCCGCATCCGCTTTATTCATTTACAAGATGTATATTCTTCGTCTAGTCGCCAATACCGCAATATATCAGTTGCTCACGCTAAGTACAACTATCACCACCCTTAGTTCTGAACAATAAATATATCATACGAGCTACGATATGTCAGAATAAGGTCCATGCAGTATCTAATGGTTCTCATTCGTGCTCATTTCACTTCCCCATACTGGGAGACGCGACTGGCCCAGCAGATTGAAAGGAATTCGAAAATGGTCCCTTTCACTAATGTTATAGGTCAGGCAGTTCAAAGATCAATCCCGGCCGCCCGTAAGTAGGGGTTCAAACGAGTTTATAAAAATAACTCGCAGCGCCTCAGACGTAGTGTTAAGCCACAGGCCGTGCGCGAGTTCATGGTTTCGTCCTCTATATGATAATTGGGTTAGATCACTTTCTCCGCGGACGCTTGCTCGAGACGTTGGGCTAATCATTTCTCCTCTATCTGGAGATTAAGAACAGTTCATCTCAGCCCTAAACGCATAAACGTACGATCAACGATCGATGAATACCACAGTAACTCCTCGGATGCTTCCGCTAAGGAATATTATCGAGATCTCGATGTTGCAGCATACTTGCGTTTAATAGGCCAAGTACAAGCTATCTACGGAATACTGTATTTACACTTCCAAACCGTAATTTGGAAAAGAATGGTCATCCAACCAACACCCTCAAAACCAATAAATTACCGAATTCGGACAAAACAAACGAGACTAAGTTGCGGATGTGGGGGCTGACATCCGTACTCCGTACTTTGGGGGTCTCGGGAAAGCTGACCGGGATACTTCCGATTCAAATCATCCTCACGGCCACAACTATCTCGATATTCTAACTCTTATCAATCGCAAGTAAGTTCATATTGTTGAGTTTCGCAATTCATCTTGTAACTTCGTGTGGCGGACTACCCAGGTAAGTAGGTGGAGCGGTCATGCCTGCAGGTATATACGCCATGCAGTTTTGGCACCGCCTATCGCATTCTGTATCGAGTAAAAGAATCCTTTGAGGCTGGAACCAATGGAACGGAGTTATGGGGTTATAATGAGCCACATATGAATGTTTTATTGATTTTGTCACGGCGCCTAGTACTGCCTAGATTTATATCTTCGCTTGCAAGTCACGCGCTGGATGAAGTATCAAATACCCATTCAGTCAAAGTTCGACCATTTTGTCAGCAAGCCTAATATACGTGATAGCTAATATCGCCATAATTGCACAATACTAATGAAATTGAAACGATTGTCCAGACTCTTCAGAAATGCTAATCTCGTCGAAAATAGCATAACAATACTCACAACTAACCTACACCCAACGAAACAGCTGAAATCCAAAAGCAAAATCCAGGGTCCAATCCTTAAGCCTTCGATAACAGCACAATGCCGTGCGAGAACGCAATTGCAAAGGCTCGGGACATCAATCCTCCGTATACCAACCATCTCCACAATCTTACTACGCCAGCTGTAGATCTCCCTACCAAGATCAAGTTCCCAGCAGTAGGAAGCAAAACGCTTTTGCACAATCTACAGCATGAAGAAGCAACATAATCTTCAGCAGCAAGAAGCAACAAGCTTTCCCACAATCGTGAAACTCAATCTGTCTATCGAAATCGTCTTTCCACTGAATATGGCGGAATTTTGACTAGCTTCATAATGGTAAGGTAGCACGTGCTGAAGGGAATAGGTGAGCATCAGTTCTAGCAAGATCTTTGGGGGTGAAGATCTAGGTCCTCCCTTGTTTAGATGGAATAACTGTTTCAGAATTTGTCCTTCTTCATGATATCTCGTCCATCTGTACACATTGAATGACACCTCGACCACTCATTATCGCACAATTTAGCACACACACAACCTCACAGCCCTATTCCCACGGCACTTCACTCGCCAACTCTTACATGTCTCAACCCCAAAATCAATCCCTCAACCACATGATCACCCTTTATCCCGTTACTGAATAATTGGAGCGTACACCTGCTTTTTGGTCGTTGTAGACCAGTGGTTTTGCGGAATGGGGGATGGCTGTAGATTAGTAAGTCCCTAGGGGCTGAGATGAGGCGGAGGTGGGTGGTAAGGTAGATAGGTAGGTAGGGTGGATAGGCGGTTTGGTGCGAGACAGGTGGGAATGGCGGGTTCTAGAAGGGGCTGCGGGGCGGGAGATGGGACGTGGAGAGAGGTGTGTGGGGTCTGGAGGCTGTGGATTAGTGATGGAGGGTGATCTTGGAGGTTGGATGTGGATGGTGAGTTCAGTTGAAGCGGAATACTTGGTGTAAAGAAAGGGATTACTCATAAGTCTGGTGGCTTTGCGAATTTGCCGTGTACAATAATGATACTTCTCAAATTTTAAGGGCTGCTCATTCTGCATTACAGCCTACAGTTCGTGCCTCAAATTCTTGCCGACTTGTACAACCAGTATGCCTAAACTTTCATCGAATTATAAAGAAGGAGGTGGAGTCAATAGAAGTCATCCTCTGGTTTCACATCTATAATTTGCTTGTAATTGGGCTCCTTTAGTAATTCTGGTCTGGATTTGATGTGCTCAAGCTTGGCTACCTACTTTCTGCCGTTCGTAGCGGAAGAGTTTTATGATGATGGCAATCAAGCTCTTGATGGCATCACTTTATCATGCTTGAGAAATCACTCAACTTTTCGTCTTAATCTCTAGCATTTCAGATAGACAGAGTGTAAAAGTTTCAATGAGTAACAGTAATTAAGTCCAAGAGTACGTCTTACTCGAACATTCTTGAAGTCAATCCGCTTCGTAATTTCATAACCTCCATCAGTTCAATATGAGAATATTCGTCCAGGAAGTAAAGAGTAACAGGAAGCAAATCTAAAAGTTTATTACTTGCCCAAGGTATCTCGGCTTCATCAACTCACCAAACCCATCTGCGCTTCTTCAAAAGTCCACACCATTCATGACCCTGTCTGGTTTGATTGAGGAAGTTGAACAGTATGGCAGCATCTACCTTCGCCGAGCAGTATTTTTGCGTACAATTTTTCAATTTCAGCCAGAGACTTCCACTTTGTTATTGCAACACTACACGTTCATGAGTTAAAAACAAAAATAAATGGAAAATGTAATGATATGTTGCGCAAAGTACAAATACATTCTTTGACTTTGACGAAGTCACACCGCTTCATTTTCCACAATGAATAAACTGAACATGAGAAGAGAAGACTTTAGCCTGATTTACGGAGTTACACAAGTTATATAGCTTACAAAAATTGTCAATGCGTTTTCCAGATGATGTACTGGTTTTTAATTTGAAGTTGTAAAGTGAGACCTTTGAGAAAACTCGTAGAAAATGTAATTCTTTAATGACACAACCTCGAGGGACTATTTAGTTTGCATATTACGCTACTGTATATCATAAGTACAAATCCAAATTCAAACAAAATTGAGGCGTTCTGGCTCCGCGGTGACAGAAATAGTCACTTCATAAAGAACGGACGTAAGACTAAGCAGAAGAGCTGGATAACTTGTACGGACAGCTACAACATAAGTATAGATTCACACTCAAACTGTACTATGTTACCACTTCTTATACACCTTTTAACTCTGGCACTTACACAGAAGTCAATTAGTCTCGTTGTAGACAAAATACACAGGAGTCCAAACACAGGATTCGTTTAACCAGCTTGAAAGAATTTCGAACATTTTGCATGATATTTCCAATATACAATCGGAGTTTAGATCTTATCACAGAGGATTCAATATTAAGAGTCCTTATTTACTCTTAGTCATTGACCTATTAAAGGATACGAAAGAATCTGCCATTCAATTCGTCATCTACGATTCAACAACCCCTTTCATCAAGCAACACCCACCAAACCACACCCATTCACCTCTTAACACCCTCAAAATTCACCCACTAAAAGGTATATAATACTGAATACGCATATTGCTGCCGCCAATCAAATTGGCAAGATCTTTGATAAATGAGTCGAGTCGAGTTCAGATTTTTCAGTCTACCTCTCTCTTCTCGGCTTATTTATTGCTACTTAAATACTCGCTCAAGCTACTAGAAGTAGCTAACCTGTGCCTCTCTTTTTTGTAGTTTAATTTTATAAAAATATGTATTAGGATTCTCGTAACTTGGGTTTTGACCTGTCATAAGGTAGCTCGCGATGGATTAAATTAGAGAAATAACAGTCAAAACGCGACAGTTTCTTCGTTTGAAGTTGACAAAGTATCGTGTATTTAGTCTACTATTTTCAGTAATCAAGACTTTGGACACTTCTAAAGAGTAATCCCTGATCAAAAGCACTTGCCTAATCATGAGTGTACCTCAGGTGATGGCATATTCAGGCGGTTCGGCCGCTTCTTTCGTCGTCTACAAGTATAGATATGTGTTTACTGTCAATTTTAGGGTTTAAACAACATTTCCCACAGCCATATCTCGCTTCGCTCATGAAGAATCCCCCCTCTGTTATCTGTCCTGCTCACAAAAACATAGTCTGATTCAAGCTTGTGGGTAGCATTCTTCTGAGCATATGAAGCGATCGGTGCACTTCAGTCAAGTCTTGGAAGTTTGTGAGAGAGTGTAAGAATATTTGTATGTGAGGCAAGATTGGGACAATATGAAGTCCCTTTTCGCCTAAAATGTGGCTCGAATTCAACCTAGCGTGTCCATAATGATCATTTGGACGGTTTGGGTGGAAACGAGTCTACCTGACGCTATTTTGCTACTTCCAAGGACTCAAGAAGGGAGACGCTTGATTATGATGTTAAACAAAGCCGATGGTCAGACTGACTTCAGGCTGAGAATCACGTTGGGCGTTTTATTGGGGAGCGTAGTCAAGGAATTCGAGGTCCAATCATGAGAAACAAGAACTCCAGTAGCCCAGAACCAACAAAAGATGGTAACCTGCCAAGGTGAGGAGCAACAAGGTTAAATTTGAACAGTGCTGTACATTTAACCCTTAATACAGCTACTATATAAGTATTGTACAGATTTTTCATGCGACCTAAACTACTATTATACATCCATCTAATCCACCAATTTCCCCGTAAATGGAACTCCCATTGAGCTGAGCAATAATCGTGCGTGTCTGTCGGACGCCGCAGAAGTATGGATAACAACATGGAAACCAGGAATCATCTTTGGTGGGTACATCTGCATCGGAGTTAGTAATGATGCCCGGGAGATACGGTCAAATTTCGATTGGTAGACCTACGTCGTAATTGATCTCGATTTCAGGGAACAGCATAGCTCCCTCTCTGTTGAACCCGAAAGCAATATTTCCGCTGCTATCTCCAGTTGTTCCTATGCAAAGTCAGCCACATCCTGTCTCCAACTGCAACGCAACTCACCAACTACACCCTCCCAATCCTTAATCTTAGGGAAGACCAAGCTTATACATTTGTCAACAAAGTCATAAGCTTGGTTTCCTCGGAATTGGCAAGTCAACGAAATAGGCATTCTCTCTCGAAGCCCGAATTGCGCAAGACCACGCTTGGCTCTGTGAACCTTCGGCCGAACTCCAGTAACAGCTTGGAGAACCATTCCTGCCACGTGCAAATGGGCAGAATCATCAATTGCTCCCTTAACCATACTGTGGACCGTAACACCAGTAATCTTTGGTATATTGTGAGGCGTGATATCCTTTTCAATCAGTCGGAGCACACCTTCTGGTCCTCTCGGTCCACGCTTCGGTCGATTTTTATGGTATGGAGAAGAATCGTCCCATGTCCTTAAACGTTCAGATTTTACAGGATCAACAGTTCCTGGTGGCTTGTGTACATATCCTAAAGTCATGATATCCTGGGATATCGTGCTCTGCCATGTTTGTTCGAGACGATTGTGTGAAAATGGTCCGGGAATAAACTCTCTCGACGCAGGATCTGAGGTAGGAGGAGGTTGATGAGGGTGTAGCGGTCCGCGATAGTATCTTGGGGATCGATATTGGTAACTTAGAAATATTAGCATCTCTCTACATGAGTGATTAGTAGAACCACATACCGACTGGCAGGAAGCTGATATTTGCGATCCTTTGCTCTCTTTACTGGATCATAATCCTTTACAGCTTCGCGCGAGAACTTCGTTGTGAAAGACGATGCTGGTTCAAGGTCTTGCAGATCTTCTGAAATTGGTGTTTCCGACGGCGCTGCAGCTGTAGCTTCTCCAGATGCATATCGACGAGCAATTGGGGTCTGACACCTTGCTCTCTGACCTATATGCTTAATAGTGAGCTGCCGTAAGGCAGATGGCAGCTCTTGTAACGCCATGTTGAAGATGTCGAGAATAGAATAAACCCATGCGAAGCCAAAAATGTCGAGAGCACTTCATAAGGCAACGAATAATTATTTCAGGCAGAATTATGCAGCTGCCAAGTTGCTATCGGGGACATGTTAATACTCGCCGACAACTTGCAGGGGTCTTTTTGTCCCACTCGTGGAGCGGAGTGGCTTGCACGTCCAAGAGGAACGTCAAGTCCTACTTAGCCTCCAGCAACGATACATCCCCTCGAAATTACAACATCCTCTCCGATCCTACATGCCAAAGGCCACGAACTACGGAAACTGGTCCAAGACCTCCCATCATCTCTCCAAACTTCCCGCATCTTCAATCGCAATTCTCGAATAGCAATGGGTGCTGGCAGAATCATTTCAAGACGCTGAGCTGGAGTTCTGAAGCTCCACGACCCCACCAAAGAGCGTCGCTGGGAATAACTAGAGAACCTCAACTACCGGCAGCAACCACGACCATATTGTACATATAAGAACCCTTTCGCGAGTCGATTACAGCGCCGCGCTGAACGTCAACATGAATCGATTTCTCAGCCGAAGAGAAAAAGGTGGAGGGTCGCATCTCCGCCAGAAGTCCAGAGACAAGTCAGCAGAAAAAAAGGTAAGGTGCTATGGAAGGCACATCTTATACTTTCCTGCTTATACTCCTTCTCAAGAAGCTTCGCATTATCTTTTCAGATCTTTCAATATTTGCAGCCACTTCGTTCCCCAATGGGAAAGGAGAGCCTGTTTGTACAGAAACTACGTGTTGTGAACTTCATGCGACAACTGCTAATTCGAAGCCCGGTCGGGCTTTATTGCAGATTCGACCCATTTCTGGCGATAGCATAATTTCTGCATTCAAGCCAGATCCTCAGAAGAAGGTTGACAAAGAGGCGACGAGCAAGGTACGGCATCTCGCTTGGCCTCTCGGGCTCCCATTAATTAGTTTTAGATCACAACGATCCGAGAGAGAATGGCAGACCACGGTTACAGGAATATCGAAGATGAGCAAATAAATTATGCCCTCTCCTCAAAACATGCCGATGGAGATACCGAGAAGGCTTTCGAGATGGTGTTGCTGTTTCAGGAATCTGTGGATGGTGTTGTGAAGCCTTATGACCCGACCGTTCTTATGCTAGGTGCGGAGAATCGAGAGGGAGTCACTTGCTACCTCGATGCACTGCTTTATGCGATGTTCTCCAGATTAGGTAGCTTCGAGCCTATGCTGTACTCGAAATTTGAAGACGAGCCTAGACGAAGACTGTCAACTCTCATCAGGCTGTGGGTGAATCTACTGAGGACCGGAAAGCTCATCCAAACCGATGTCGTAGGTTCTCAATTGATTCCCTTGAGAATTGTCTAACGCGCAAGGGCAGACCAAGCACTTACAAGAGGCTCTTGCAGCTTGTGGTTGGGAAGAAGCCGCAAATCTCGAACAGCAAGATACCTCGGAAGCATTCAGTTTTATTACTGAGAAACTTGAATTGCCACTTCTCACACTAAAGATGGACATATTCCATACTGGTAAGGAAGATGACACCGATGACCACAAATTCGTACAAGAGCGACTGCTTGAAGTTGCAGTGCCAGATGATACGGAGAGGGAGCGACCAATCAGGCTGGAAGATTGCCTCGAAAGTTATTTCAACAACCAAGTCGAAGTCGTGAGAAGACTAGAACGCTCCAACACAAGGACTTCAATGAAATCCTCCAAACCTGCTCTCTTTGACAAAAGCAGCTATGAGAGAGAATGGTCAGAGGGTGGAGCACCTCTTGTTGAAGTCTCGGAACTTGGATGGAGCACACCGGATACTCCAACCTCAAGCCATGCTCCAGCAACACCAATCTCGCCAGGTGGCCGAGAACGTGCACCAAGCATAATCAGACATCGTATCATATATGACGACGAGAAAGAAGATACGCAACACCTGGAGAGGGTTGATACACCCACATCTGTCCGCAAAGGATCAGTACGCAAAGAAGTGCTGATGCCCGCTTGGCAATTCTTTAACTTAATCCGTCCGTTACCATTTTTTTGTCATCTAAAACCATTTTTCTGTCGTACCTTACCTAAAAGTTCTATACTAATCAATGACATAGCTTGGTACACTCAACATTCCCCCTCGAACGATGCTGAAGTAGCGGCTCATTTTTCCAAAACTCGTCCCGTCCTGGGGATATGCTTAAAACGCTACGCTATGACGGAGGATGGCCGTGCCATCAGAAAGAATACTTTCATCGACATTCCACTCGACATAAGGCTTCCACATTTCATTCAGGATGAAGTAGTGTCCGAAGATGGACCTTTGATGGGGAACTTCAAGCTTTCATTACAATCAGTTATTTGTCATAGAGGGAACTCGGTTCATTCCGGTCACTATATCTCGTTTATCCGTGGCCACCAGGTTGCTGACGGGGATGCGGGGTCTTCACGTAGGCTCAGCAACAACACCAACCCACCAGTATATGCCGAAGACAAGTGGATTAGATTCGATGATCTCGCTTCTACCAGAGTAGAGTATGTTGATATTGAGAAGGCAATGAGGGACGAGATGCCTTATTTGCTATTCTACCAAGTTACTCCAATGCATGAAATGCACACGCTTCCTGAGGTCGATCCACCATCTTACCATGACTCCGGTATAGGAGTGACGGTTTCCAGTCCACATTCGACAGAGCAGAGTTTGAGAGGTGCCAGTGAGGGTTATTTCGATGGTGTCAACGAGCCGCCAGCACCTCACACTCGTGCATCTTCAGAGCTAGACAGAGCAGACGAGCCAAGAAAGAGTATCAATCTGTCAGACGAGCGTCGAGGAAGTTTGGCTTTTACCGAAGCAAGTGTGGCCAGCACCGCCAGTATTCATACTCCCTCGGCTCCTGTTACTCCAGGGGAAGAAACAGCGACACAGAGAATACAACGAGCAGCCAGAGGACTTGCAAAATCAGCAAACAAAAGTCGACCTACGAGCCAGTCAGGGGAAGGCCGATTAAGCATGACGCTTTCACGCCTCAACTGGCGAGCCAGCAAAGAGCAGCTTTCTAATAAATCCGAAATCACAAAACAAGTCACCAAAGAGAAAGAAACAATTCCGACAACAGCAGCTCCAGATGTTCCGTCTGAAATCCAAGATACATCGGCTATAGATGACTCGGTTCTCAAAACAGACGACGAGTCAACCCCTCAAAAGGCTTCCAAGAAGGACAAAAAGCGTAGCAAGAGCAAAGGTCCAGCGGAGCTCATGGACCATGAAAATAACCAACACCACCTTCATAGAGGTAGAGGGAAAGGCAAGGATAAAGACAAGTCAAAAGATATAGATAGGGAATGCAGGATTATGTGAATAAGGAACGGCACTGTAAAGAGTGCGAGGAGTGTTTGTATAAATACGAGTAGACTTGTGCATGGGTAAAGCGTGTGGATATATGCATCAGGACTATCATGATAGATGGCGGTAGTCTCGGCGTTTAATATTTGCTTAGAAGGCAAGGTATACCAAGAAGTAAAGCTGATGGGGTGGTATCAGAGCATCGGCGTTTTATAGGAGGGGCATGACATATGATATCTGGAGCGCAAGCAGACTAGCTTGATAAGGATGATGAATTTTTGTGAAGATGAACATATCGAAATTTTGTTTCCTGGGTTGATTGGCAATGTGACATCCATTATAACTTGATTTCGAGACAACGATTTCTATTTACGATTGCGGATCTGATCTTACGAGAACAACATGGTATTCTGATATTTGGAGCGCTTGTTGGGTTTCTTTTACTTCAGTCTCACAGCAGTAAAAGCAGCTATTCATCAGCGAACCATCTCCACTAACTCGTCGCCCACCAGCAACTCTACGTAGAACACCTGACCGACCAATCCACAACAACCTACATTTCCCCACTTATTCCCATAGTTTCATTTCCTCCGCTCTCCTTTCCCCTTCCCTTTCTGATCTCCTTTATAATTGCAAACGGAAAGAATTGCGCTCAACCAATCACAATCAACCGGTGATTTGGTAGTAGATCCACTTTGTAATGGCACAACATTACAAGTCTAGCCTTCATGGCGCAGTGGTAACGCGTCGCACTTGTATGATTCCTACTGCATGGGAAGAATAGAGATGCGAAGATCCCTAGTTCAATTCTGGGTGAAGGCATTTTTTTTTGGGTGGGTTTGGGGGCAGAGGGGAGGGGGAGAGGGAAGGTATGGGATTGTAGGTTGTAAAGTGTGGAACTTCGAGAATTGCAAAGAAGCTTATTTTTGAATTGCAAGATATCTACGTGCATGTTAATGTGTACTTGTAAATTTGCAGCCTAATGATTTTTTGTAAATGTTAAGCGAGCTATAAGGAAGCTCACCTTGGCGATATAATTTCCTTGTTGTCGTCAAGATTAGAATCTATGGCTTTTATATCAGTAATGAACTTAAAACTAACGTTGTATTCTCCTGAATATTAATCTCCGTTTCATTTATAACTTATTCTTCTAGGGAATATAATGAAACATTATCTGAGCTTATATCCTTACTTAGAAAAACACGATGTCACATTTTAAGTAGAGTTCTAAGAAAGTGAAAAGTCTTATGTACTTAGAAATATGCGGCTTTGTGGGAAGAAGAGTAGATATAAGCAGGTTGTGAGATTAGTGGCTTATGAATTATTACTTAGAGAAAACATGTTGGAATTATTGCTTTTTTGAAGAATAGCGTCTGGTTTGTAGGGAGTTCAAATAGGCAGCAGAAGCAATTCTTTCTTACATAAATTCTTTGACGATGTCCTTGAACTTGCGAAAATGTACTTCGTGATAGGGAGCTCAATAGGCAGTGAAGTTGTTCTAATTCAAGTATCTATAAACAATCAGCAGTAAAACCAATAGCTCGATTCCATATGCCCGCCAAATAAGCCAGCACCCCTCCTCACCCCCGTCAAATCACAAACCCATTCACTGCCCAGGTGCCATTCTGATCCTCAGCCCGCTCGCCGTGGACAATATAAGTAGCAGTCGAAACACGGCATTTCTTCGATTAAGTTGACGAAATGTCGTTATTTAGTGGATTAATTTGGAATGGAATAGTGTGAGATATTTCGTTAATTATTTTAAGTAAATAAGAACTTCTTACGCTCTATTCGATGTTAGTCCAAGAATACTGGGCAGGTGACTGACATTTGTTTTGTCCGCCGCGAGGCCCCCAATCCCCCAAGCTTCTCCACACCATTTCACGTCAAAGCGCCAGCCACGTACCACAACATATGCACCTCATCGGAGAGTACCAGCTTATTTTTAGTCATGTCATCTTGGCGTGGTGCCGGTAAGCAAAGGGAGATTATTGGCGCGGAGGGTTTGGGAGAGGGATTACTTTGTGCGGGGATGAGGCTGTGAGAGAGAGGGAGAGAGTCGGTGTGTGAGATTTTGGAAGGTTGAAAATGAGGGTTTATAGTTTTAGGGAATACGGGTGTTAAGTTCAAAGAAAGAGCAAATGGGTATATTATGTTAAGTCAAATATCAAGAATATTGCAAATAACTCCCGCCTGATTACCTGACCAGTTCTCATCCTTAGCACATTTCCTTACGGCCTGAAGATCCTGATATCGATTAATGTTGTTGCTGCTGTTGCGAAGTAGGAACCTCGTAAACCGGGTAAGGTTGTTGAGGTTGCTGCTGCTGCGGAGTAGTATACTGAACTGGTGTTGGACTTGGAGATGGGTACTGAGGAATTGGCTGTTGGTAAACTGGAGCGGGTTGTTGTTGACCGAGCTCGATATCTTGTTTGTTCTCTTGGTATTGGACTGGCATTGGGGCGCCGACCGTTGGAGCGGTAGTTGGAGCGACAGTGCTTGCCCGGGCAGGTGTGCAGTGTCCGCCAGCTGCGCGATGCTTGTGGAGAAAGATTGCTGTTATAACTAAGCTTGCAATAAATAGAGCACTGAGAATTGTTAGTGGTTGCCATTATGGGAATTGGGGAAGATGTACACTTCAAGTCCAGCAACACCAGCTGCGCCTTTCATGGCCGCTACGTAGCCATCGCCTGCATAAATTGTTCGAGGTAGGATATCGCGCTTTCTGTAGCAGTAGTAATAGCAGGTGTAGTTGTAAACGTCGGAGAAGCCTGAGACCCAGGAGGCCATCAAGCCCATTGAGGTAAGCCAGAAGATAAGTCCGAAGATATCAAGTCCAAGTACAGCCCACTATGTTACATCAGTACTTGATCATCTATTTTTCCAGACCATGCTTCGGATAGCGTTCGAAAATGAAAATGGAAACATACATAATTGTAAGCAGCTTTGACAGCAACGAAAGATACTATATTATATATGGTGATGATCAATGTTGCAATGGCCTTAAAAAGAGTCAGTGAAAGTCTTTTCTGTGATCCCCATTACTAACGGTGAAGAGCGACAATGCAAGAGCGTCGACAACAAAATTGAACGACAAGCCATATGCGGTCAAACCAAGAACGACCACCGCCATTGCAAGTTGAACAGCTCTGAGAGCTAAGAACGGGATTGGTAAAGGGAGTACATGGCTAGTAGTCGACATCTTGTCTCTGAAGCTTTGACTTAATGTACAGAGAGATAAATAGGAACGTTTGACGAGGTAACAAGGAAAAGAGAAGTAAGTAGGGCAAAGTAACAATATAAGGAAATGCAAGCATATATATGACAACTCGCACTCGCATTGAAAAGCCACCAAACCAGGTATGGTCGAGCCCTCTGATGTTACCGCTGTGGTGCGGGACTCCCCTCTTCAGCCGCATCGGGAGCTGAGACTCCACCCAAACCAATACGAGCTTTGATTTTCAGCCATATTCCCCAGTTTGGGAGACAAAACGATAAAGTCCGAACAGCCTTGCTTGGAGTAAGGCATTTTTCACGGCATCTCTCAGAATATATGGGTAAACCCTTGGAGTTCTCTAACAGTAGTGGTCGTTGGGCGTCCGCCAAGAAAACAATTTGTGGTCATTCTTCCCGTTCGATGATGATTTGTTGCTGCATCACGTTCTCTGTCTGCCTCTAATTAGTTATTCTCTTCATAGCATGATGAAGAGAATAATGAAGAGAAAGTGTAAAAATAAGCGCTGCTTGGGTTCATCTCTGGGTTTCTGGTGCCAAGTACCTAAACACACTGGGAGTCTGCGCATGTCTTTCCAAAGGAAACCTCGTGACTGGACGAATTGAGTTTAAATTGCTCAATACATGCAAGTTGACGGACAGGCTGAGTACAGGAATGGAAAAGTAGCCAAGTTGCCAACCGTGATGCCCTCAGGCTTGGAAGCGTGATCTTGCGGTAAGAGGAATAAGGCCCAAATAAATCTTCGGCGTCCAACAATATCGCACGCTTTCCGATCGCCGTATTCAAGTGCGGAGGCCAGAAAAACTGTCTCCTCAGGTTGTGTAACGCTCAAAAGTGATCCTTCATGGTTTATGGCTTGTAGGATTTGACATGGTGATTGAATGCCGCATTATCGATTGGGCGTCTCTGAATACGCCGCTGATTTGCGGAGTCGTATGCATGGCGAAGTGAAGAGTTGAAAGAGAGAAGTTGCCCGTCCTCGTGGAGGACAAAATAAGTGTCAGTCACCTGCCCACTAATCTTGAGATTGAACAAGGCGACTTCGAATAGAGTTCAAAAGGCCTTATTTTCTCAAAACTATTCACCAAATATGTGATAGTGTGCTAGGTTAATTGACGAAATATACGATATTTCGTCGATTGTTTTGAGGAAGTGTCGAGGTTCGACTGCCACCCGACTTAATTTGTCCTACGCGAGCCCGTGATCTTCATTAGTGTTTCTTTGATCACGAGATTTTGGGGCTAGGAGGTGTCACGTTTTGTGTTTGAAAAGCGTGACCTTATATCATGTGACTCACCTCGATCCACATGTTCCCAAACACCCCAGAAATCATCCCAGAAGAAGAAAGTGGACCTGATACCAAGATACACCAGCAAACCACAAACTTACAGTTGTCTCCATAGTGATCGAGTTATACCTGACCTGTAAGTTTGAGTTCTTTTGTCAGTTCCTCGGCAACTTCACGGGCAGACAACCACTTCATGATTGGTTATTTATACCTCGCAAAGCACTCAAGGTTGCATAAACATCCGATCCAACAAACCTGTAACTCCTGCATTGCCGTATAGAGCGAGCGGTAAGACCGTCAGCTAGGCGGAGCCTTCAGCCAACGTGTATTTCTACCCCCTCGATCGCGCTTTCTTGTCTGAGAATCATCTTCGACTTTCTACCACTTCTGCCTCACCTTCTCTACCAGAAACAACAACTTACACAATTTCTCTTACCTCAATCAAAACAGTATGCTGGGCCGATTTGGATGTAGCATCGAACGAAGCTGACAAGAGTACTAGTCTACCAACATGCCTTCCATCAACGAACAACCAGCTCAAGTCGCTGAGCAAATGACCACACAATCTAACGTCGTCGAAAGTGCTCAACCTGTAAGTTCACACATCCTCTTCAACGATCTATTTGGCATATTATCTGACACTTCTTCGCAAACAGTCGTCCGCTCCCCAAATGAGCACCTCTGGCGATTCCGTTGGCCTCCGTGGAGGTGAGGAGGCTGGATGCGACTGCTGCTGCTGCGGATGCGAAGAGTCGTGCTGTTAGACTCGAGAGGTTTCCACACCGTCCTACGATACCCTCACACACAAAGTCCTCGTCTTTCATGATAGCACTACGAATGGAATAATCGAGATCTCTGTGTGCTAGGATGGAAGGAATGGATATTTTTCCTCAACATGTTTACGATGACGTTTCCCTAGTTTAAAGTCGAAGAATGAGAGCTCTTGAAACCAGATTATCGTAGTCCTATCTCCTCTGAATCTTTTAAGTGCCGTTCCGTATACTCCGTCGTTGAATGCTGTGTGTTTGTTCAACTGTCGCGCTGCAGGATGATGCATTTTGAACCCTGAGATTTGCACTTGGCGGGCTTGGCTGGCACCGTCGATTGGGTTGCCCAGCCGGGAGCGATGCATCAAAAGCTTGTATTTCCCCCGCCTGTCTTTTTCTTTTTGGACCCTTCGTTCTTCTCCTCTTCATCAGTACAACCTTTCTTGGTCTATTTTCAACGATTTTCCAAATAGAAGCCACGCAATAGTTCTTTCTCGGTCGCTTCGAGAGTCTAACTTGATTACATTCATTGATGCAGCCTGCTTCGTCCAGTGGCGCATCGCGTCCGCTGTGCAAGCGCACAGTCAGCGCTATCGTGGTGGTCGGCGTGAGTGGGAGCAGTCCACGTAACCTCATACATCATTCATCACGACGATGCCGAGTGAGAAAGTGCTAGATATCTCATACTCGAGTTTTTCATCGATTTAAAGTTTGATTTTATAAGTTTGAACATCAGGATTGCTTCAAGAATAAGGGCACAAACCTGGACCGCGGTGTTTCGTATCACGATCCATCTTGGAGCTACTGTTTCCGTTGTTCGCAAACTCTCAAGAAAAACTTGGTCCACAGCTCCGCTATTTTTGGCTCTCAGTATTATGAGTATGATTGTTTATGAGCTGTGTTTGTTCGAAGCTCAATCGTATTTTAAACTATGCATACTGTTCGTGTGTGGATATAAATCAATACATTTCAATGCGCTTGATTTGGGTGGATTGTTTTCACTCTGCTAGTTCTTTTCAATATCTCCGTTAGTATATACAAGTGAAAGCTTTGTTTTTCTACTTGGCATATGAAGTAAGAGTTGCACAAATTGTCGCGTTTTCATTTTTAAGTCACTTTTGGTTTCCCTGTTCTATTACATGCTGATGATCTTTCCACGCCATCAGAACGGTACTACTCTTACCTGAAATCTCTGGAAAGATATCAGTATCTGCAATATATTTCAAGAACGTGGTAGAAAGTTCTTTCACCTACATCGCAGAGTGCAAGGACTTGAGTCATAAAATATGACCAAAAGCATAGCACGAAGCCATGTAGAGATAGCAATTGCCAAATTAGAAGGAAAATTACGCTTCACATGCAATCCTTTTTCGTTAAATTTTGATTTTTTTTCATTCACATTTCTTTTCAACCCCCCGGTGGCGTACATTCTGAGGTGACTCGCAGAGGATCAAGAAAGTGGTAGTCACCTACCCATAAGTCTTAAACTAGATTATAAATCGACTTCGAATAGACCTTAAAAAGTCTTATTTACCTACTATAGTCGACGAAATAGTTATAATGTTCTAAGTTAATCCACAAAATTACGATATTTCGTCAACTTAGTCGAAGAACTATTCTAGTTCGACTGCCACTTATTTTGTCCTCCGCGAGGGTGGGTCTGTATGGTTGTTGCGAGATGAAGATGATTCGCTAGGTTCGAGATCGCCCGTCTGGGCGATGTCAAGGCGGCCACCTACAATGATACGCTCTTGCTTCATTCAACCACCAATTGCTCAACTTGCTTCTGATATCTCGCTCTCGATTGCATCCTGTCGCCAGTGCATTCCTTGGACCAACCTATCTGCCTACCGTTATTTTACCCTCAAAATCGCTTCTCAATATTTTTGACCGCTATCTCCATGCTATGTCTCGATCTTCATCGTCAGTCGAGACTCCTTCGTGGCATTGTCTTCTGCTGTTACCTATTTTTGACACCCTCTGCTCTTTTCTCGAGCCACGAGATCTGATCTCTTTCTTCGGGACGACCAAAGCTTGCAGGGATTTATACCCAACTTTGCTGACATCACAATTCAACATCAACCGTCTGCTCAAACGTTTTGTTAAAACCCCGGTCGCTCTAAGATCTGAACTAGCAAAGCATAATGCTGTCATTTCTGGAAGTACTGCTCTTCAGCTCTTTGAGCGTGTCACTTGGCGCAAGTCTGACTTGGACATTTATGTCGAGCGTGATGACGGGACGGCGGTATCTGCATTGGGCACGTATCTTACCACTGTAGAGAGTTATGTGGCAGTAGCAGCACCATTTCCAAATGCGAATGACGATTATGGTCTGATCAACTTATCAATTAAGCGAGTAGGTCATATCACATAATACAAGGAGTTTCGTACTAATGCGGCAAAGATTGATAACTTCCAAAAAGTGGACGGAAACGGTGTGAAACTCAAAGTCCAAATTATGAGCACTAGGACACTTGCGCTTGAAGCTATAGTCGCAAATTACTACACAACAGCTGTAGTCAACTTCATCACATGGAATGCAGCTTACTGTTTGTTCCCTGATCTGACCTTCATCAAGAGAACTACATACTCGCTGAAGAATACGGAGGAACGTTACAACCATCAGATTGCCAAATATAGGGACCGGGGATGGGAAACTTTGGGAGTGGTCGAAGATGAAGACCAGCAATTTACTAAGTCGTTGCTGTTGCACGATGATGAACAAGGATTCCGTCGAATAGGAGACTCAAGAACTTGGAAAATTGACCTGGACACAGCGGGAGTCACTCCTGGTGCACCATCAACCTCGGTCGAATACTGTCTCTTCAATTTGCGAACCGTTCCCGTTATGGCTGAACTGAACGAGAATTCCCATTACAAAATTGACACTTCAGTCTTCGTGTCTTGTATTCTGAAATACAAATACCTCAGAGATGAGAAAGTGTTGGTAGACGGAAGCCTGAATTTCTGGCCACAACATGCGAACCATTTCAATGAGCTTACACGCATAGAAATGAACAAGCTGGAGCCTGATGATCGTCCGTGGGATCTTGATAGTGTGGATCCGCAAGCTTACTTCCTCAGCGCACGCGTGGTTCAGAAGAACCCACCGACTGGATGGACGTTTTATGATGCAGAGATTCCTAAGTTGTTTGCTACTTGGCAAAATAGAGGTTTACCGGATTTATCAAGCTTGGCGATTGAGTAAACGGTACTGTGATGAGCTTAGTGAATACGGTATCTGCATCGATTGCCGTGGCTCTACCGACGTGATTCTGTGTTCCCATACCTACGCGTTACACTAATAGAGTACGAGCTTATATGCAGGTCTTTGATCAAAAAGCAAGTTAGATTTTTCAAGGTCGGAGTCTCATTTGATTTCTATTCCTACAGACCGAAGAAAAAATACTTGCTAGACTTCGACAATCAGAAGAAAGTTACTGTAAACTCAAAGGAGACTATACCCTCTCAAAATTTGTCTTAAGTGAACAGTTTGAACCCCCCTGGAACTCCCTTCTGAAAGAGGCCCTCAGAATCATACTTCCTACTTACCTCCTGAAGCATTTCCTTGTTCTTCACTCCGTAAGAGCCAATCTGATTCTGAAAATCAAAAGCATAGTTCAAGTATTTGTAGGCCACATCTTGACCTTTCGCGACGGCCTCCTTGTCAATTGCTTCAATTACCCCTTTGGCAGTAGCCAGGATCGTTTCGTCATCACTCTTATTCTTCCAATACGTTAACAGAGAACAGACATCAATGACTTTTCCGGGTCGAGCCCAAGGGCATTACCGCCTGCGAGTACTGTCTTTTGTAGAAGTGATTTGGGATATGGTTGTAATGTGAAGGAAGAAACTATACCCTCAAAACCTTTCACTTGTTCTAGAGCTTTACTAAAGATATCTGAAGCGGCTTTGATGGTAGCCACGTCAGGCCGGATAGTAGTGTTCATGTATGCGCATCTACTTCATGATTAGATTCGATTGCACCTTCAAAGTATCAGTTCATCCAAGAAAACATACCTAACACCAGTCATCGCCATCGCCTCTTGTTCAGCAGCAGCCTCCTTCAAACTCATCATCCTCATCTTATTACACTCCTCCACCTGCGGCTGCATACCCGTAAAAGGCTCCAACACCTTCGGACTCCCCACTTCCTTCGTATAATACACCTGATTAAGCCCCATCACACGTCCAAACTGCGCGGCAAAGAACAAGCTAATCATGATATGCGTCTCTACATCCGCATCATCCTTTGTTACTTCATCAACCAACGCTTCGATCTGTCCTGGAAAACTGTCGGGGAAATAGAATACTGCGCCACCCCAGAACGGTCCTTGTTTGAATGTTCGTATGTCGAAACGTGTGACAACGCCGAAGTTGTTGCCTCCTCCGCGGATAGCGACGAAGAGATCGCTGTGCTCTTGCGCGTTGGCATTTACAATCTCCCCAGAGGCCAGCACCACCTGATAGTTGACCACGTTATCACAGATGAACCCCTCGCGAGTTCCGAAGAATGAGAGACCGCCTGTACTCGCTTGTTAGATTGCAATTCATATCTCACCATCACTTGAGATTCGTAAGAAATCATCTACTCACCGGCAAGTGCCAACCCCCCAATCCCATTATTTCCTGACCTCGCTCCAGTCACAGCCAGTCCATCCTCTTGCAACCGATCATATACAGCACCCCAGCGACACCCAGCGCCAATAGAGATAACACCATCTTGCACCTCAATATCAGTAAGTCCGCTCAGGTCCAGGGTTTTACCATTTTTGATGTTTGCACAGCCGGGTAGTGGTTGTTGGCCTGCCCCACGTATAGCGAATTTCACACCCTCTTGCGAAACTAGTGGGTTGATTAGTTAGATGAAGGATGATACTTCTTCTTTGGTTTTGGGGAGGAAGATGAGTGAGGGTTGGATTTCACTCTCGAGGAGGAAAGATAGGAGGTTTGGCGTTGGTTGTAGGGTTCTGTGTTAGGGAGGGCGAGTCTGTTGGGTGGAAATTTGCTTTGGAGAAGTTCGATGGCTTTGCTGGTGGTGAGTGTGAGGGACATTCTGGGCGTTGTGATGGCTTTGTGGGAAGACAGTGGTAAATTGGTGCCTTTTTTTCATTCGGGAATTGAGGGTCAAGGGGGGTAAAAACAGATAGAGAGACATTTCAACAGCCAACATTCTCACCGTGTATAGTTTGGTTGCTACGAGTTGGTTTTTCCTTGGAAATATGCACTCGTTGGAGTTCATGGTGAAAAGCCAACTTTCTCACGGTAAGTGATTGGATACTCCGAGTTGGTTCTATACTTGGAAATATGCGTGTACTCGTTGGAAGTCACAACTTGCTGCAGTGACATTTTATGCGAGTTGGTTACCGTAACTCAAGCAATTTGTTGAAATTGCTGATTCGGATGCACTTTGACATTATAACACTTGGCAACGGTGGGCAGTAACTTCCTATTGCTGACGAATAAAGTTTGAAAGTCGAAGAGAAAGCTGCTGCGGACAAACTGCTTTGTTGGTTAGCCAAGCAATTCCATCGCTCTTTTGGAAAAAAAACTTAAAGGGAACCAATATTCAAATTCATCCTTTGCAACAAAAGATTGACTAAATGAGGAGTCAATAATTATAACTGCTTCATTAGTAAGTCAATTAACAAACAGTGACGGGGGTATCACGGATTCGTAACAGGTAATATTACTTACCCATCCAGCGCACCGAGTCTCTTTGCTCTGGAGGTTTGGAAATTGAGCAAGAAAAAGCGCCAGTTACATATACGAAACGCCATTTCTTATTCCGCTAATTTTTCAATGAATTTCCAGGCTACAATCGCCCCCAATTTTAGGAGACATTTTCAAGACAACCAAAAATAAATATCTGTGAGAAACGCTCTACGACAATATCGTTTAATTGAGGGCAAACGTTTCCCTTTGCCGTTGTTAACAAACGAAATTGATTATTGGTAACATATATCATCGGGGATACAATCTGTCCCATCAAGTGCCAAATTTACTCTTATGCTAGGAGGAATATGATGAGTCAAGCTAACAAGATTTCAGTAGGTAAATTGAGGCAATCTGCGTATGACACAGAGGTTAACTGAATGGCATGGCAGCATATTCTGCTTCCTCGGGGGTTGTCGTTGCTGTTGAAAGGTGAAGTCAATGTATGTTCCAGCAAGTAGAACAGCCTGGCGTCCAAGCGAATGATGATTGGTGAATGGCAAATCGCTGATGTGCAATATTAAACTTCCCCTCCTCCCCAGTAAGCGCTTTCATCATCCTAATTGCTCGTCAGAATCCGATCTAACATCTCTGCGCTACATCTGGCTGGGTGTCTGGAGTATCTCTCATAAGTCAAGAATCTGACGGGAGCTTATCGTGCCTCTGCGCATTGTTGCTTCCTCATCTTATAGCACTCGCGCCCAAAAATGATCGAGTATCATGAACCACGACCAAACAATGGCAAGTTCAAAATGGCGATGCCTTTTACTTCTGCTAATATTCGACACACTGTGCGCCTATCTAGAGCCGAGAGAGATACTAAGTCTTCGTGCCACGGCGAAAGAATTTACCGTCCTGTATCCGTCTATCTGTTTCTCGCAATTTAATATTAAACGGTTAATTCGACGTTTTGTGCAAGACCCAGTCGCACTACGCTCTAAATTAGGACAGTATAACGCCCTCATTTCCGGAAGTACGGCGCTTCAGTTGTTCGAAAGAGTTGTCTGGCGGGATTCTGACTTGGACATCTACGTTAAACGCGAAGATGAAGAGGATGTTCAGTCGGTTGTAGCTCTGCGTGAGCACTTAATCAACTTCGAAGGCTACACAGTATCTGTGATTTTTGATCCAGAGGAACCCAGCGAGAAAAGGAAGTCGATTACTCAAGTAGGTCAAACTTAAAACCCTACCGGTCACAACTTGCCACTAACACACTACAGATTATTACCTTGGTAAAAAGGAGGTATGAAGAAAATGAGGTCAAAGTACAGATCATTGGCACTACAACAATTCCCCTGGAGGCCATCATAACATCGTACTATACAACGGCTGTGGTTAATTTCATTACGTGGAATGCTGCCTATAGTATCTTCCCGGACCTAACGTTTATCAAACGGAAAACATATCAATTGACAGAGTTAACGCCTTATTTTGGCAGCAAGTTGCAAAATATGCGCGTCGTGGCTGGAAGACATTGGAGACAGTATGGGATGACGATCAAGACTATACCAAGTCCTTACCTCCTTCCGAAAATATGAACGCAATCCGCCGCATTGGTGACTCGAAGACTTGGAAAATCGACCTTGATACCACTGGATTAACACCAGGAGCTCCGGCGTACTCTGTCGAGTACTCCTTCTTCAAAACAAGCCTCAGAGAAAAAGTTACAGGCACTCGGCGCAAAATCACCAAGAAATGGTACCAGGTCGACGCAAGTATTTTCCAATCATGTGTTCTGAAATACAAATACCTAGCAACCCAATACCAGCACCCCGACTGTACTTTTTGGTGGGATCCAGCAGATCGTCTAAATGACCTAACCCGTATCGAGTGCACAAAGCTCAAAGCTGACGAGCGACCGCTCAGTATGAGCAGGTGTCATATAGACAAGTACTACAAGCATGCGGACGCTGTGCATAGAAATACACCGGAGGGATGGACATTTTGGGATGCGGAGATACCTAAATGGGAGGCTGCGTACGAGAAGAAGGCGAGGGAGAAAGGACTGAGGGACTGGTAAGGTAGTGTAAGTATCGCTATCTTCAATGTATACTGCTTATAGACAACTAACGATGATAGTGAAATAAAAACTGATGCCACCTTGCGACGACTTCCCGCTTGTATGATACACTCGGGCGAGGGACTCACTTACTATGAATACTCTTCTATGTACCCGATACCAACATTCATCTCGTTTTGATACCTATGGATACGCTTTTTATAAGTCGAATGTGGATTTAAAAAATACCAGTCCAATGGAAGATGGAGTGTGGAAGCACGATATATCAATGAGCGAACAACACCAAAAACGGGAGAAAACTCACGGCCTATATTTTACTTTGCACGAAGAAAGAGAGCTTCGAAAGATTCAGATTCGGAAGTTTGTAGAACAAACCTTAAGGACCAATTGCAAGTTTACCACAATGTCTTTAGCATTCTTGATTCTCTGTAGCGTGTAGATACAAAACATACCGAAAGGAGTTTAGAGTAAAAACAAATGTACCATCCGTAAATCACAGATATCGCCACATCCAATACAATTCCACTTTACTTTGCTCGTACTCAGCATTAAAGACTTACAAAATATCACCCCCTACCGTGCACGTCAACTCTCTCACCCCCTCATCCAATCACCATCATCCACATTCTCGAGCATTAAGGATATTCCCAAAACGCACGACCACGTTTCAGAATGAGCTGGACCCTGATTTTGTTGGGTGGGGGGTATGTGGAGTTGAGGTTTATGCGAGGAGGTGTGGGGTTACTCTTCTGTCAGGTTAAAGTATAATTTAGTGCAGATGGGGAGTGTGAGTTTTGATAAGGTTTTGAGTGTTTTGTTTGGTGGATGAAATGTCGTGAATATCAGCGCAGAAGAGCTCAGGATTTCGGTCGAATCCAATTTCTCTTTAAGTGAGATATGGGCTGACTGACTGAGACAAAGCGAGGGGATTATCAGGGTAGAGATGATAAAGAATGTGCAAGATGAAGTAGTTTGGAAGCGGATATGGTACCACACTCAGTGATAAATTTGAATTCGTTCTGTATCAACCGCCTCGTCAGATGACTCTCTTAATCTCGGATAGATGAAGTTATAACACAAGAGACGGCCGTTCTTCGAATATGTTCTTACTGCCTGATAATGAAATACTACTTTCCCGCTCAATCCGAAGAGACAAACGAAATACTGATATTGTAGATTTCCGAACAATCGTTGAGGTCAGCAGGTTCTCTCTGCGTAGGATTGAAATCGTCACTAAGCTCCACGTTTGATTCTTTCGTTCGATAATGTGAACTCGGCGTCGACTGCCCTCGGAGCCCCTGGAAGATGTCCAGAGTAGTTGAGTAGCAGTTATTTGACGCTCTCTCGCCCTCCGCCGCACATTCCAACACTCACTACCACCTGCCTTTAAGCATATTCCTCCTCTCAAAATAAAGACTCCAGAACTCCAAGCTCCCAAACACAGTGCTACACTGCCATCACTATGAAAAACTGACGAATTTCGGATCTCTCGGTAATCCATCCGGTCCAATGTTGTTCTTAGCAAATCGTCCTTCCGTGTATATCCGTCTTGCTTCATCGAAGTTGACCCGACGATTCCGCATAATCTTCTGAATCTCCCTCTTACTTGCATCGTCTAATCCTGCTCTTGAGTCCCCAGACGCAACATTGCCAGACAAATCGAAAGCCGATGAGGAGAATCCGTTTTCCATGTCACTGGCAAAGGTTGTCGGGAGACGAGAGTAGAGGAACGAGGTGCCGGGAATGCGAGGCATATTTGATAACCACCGAGAGCGTGTGAGAAAGGCGGCTGTTGTTTATTAGTAACTATGTCCACTTATGAGCAGGATTAGATGAGGTCGTACCTGTTGAGAGGATGAGAAAGACGAAGACCGTGGAGTAGAGGTAGTATCCCATCCTGCGAGGTGGTTCCGAATCTTTATTCACAGGAGCAAAAGAGGGAAAGAAGGTCCCAGCTCAGGAGTTAAACTCAGTTAAGTAAACTCTGTAGATCTTCAGCTTGGCGAGGTAACGCTGGCTATGCAAAGCACAACAATCATTATTTATGCGAGGATGCTGTTTCGTATGATGGCTTTGATGCGTTGATCAAATAGAGCTGATCCGCGCGACTGCGTGACGCAGCGCTTCCCTTGTGGTCCACTTAATAAGATCAGAGGGGATTAGCGTAGAATTCGTCGAAGGTGGAGCTAGACTTAGCGAATAACGTTTGTGATTCGTTAAAAGATATGGCCCGTGCACCCACAGAAAGGGAACTTTTGAATATTGAAGCATTTCACGGGTGTCGCAACTTTTTTGAAATCCCATCGCCAACTCTCAAAAACCGTTCGCAATGTCACACCACAGCCCTCAAGTGTCTGCGGACTTAATCTGGGAGGTTACCCGTACGTAATTACCCAGCATTGGTTCGATTCGGGGAGGGATATGAACGTCGAAAGGGGAGGCAATGTTCGAATTGGGATATTAGGAGGAAGAAATCAAGGGAACACAATGGCTGATGACAGTTTTGAAACAGGAAACCAGAACGCTTTCTTGGTAAAGCGCGCTCAATCTGGAGGTGTTCGATTCTCTCGCGATCCTTTTAACTTGGTCAACATCCACTCCCGCAAGGTACGAACTCCATAAGTCGAATTGAGATCTGGGGACTAACAAAATGATAGCATGCCGGTTTCGTCAACGAGAAGGTACGAGTTTAAACGGGTACGGTGTGATGAGGACATTGGGACTGATTTTTTAGGCTGTCGGAGTTATTGAGGAGAAGGGAGACAAGAAGGGTGTTACTTTGATCACCAAGAAGGTCAAGAGCACACAAAAACCTGGAAGCCTCCACCACACCACTGGCCTCGGCGGTAACAAGTCAACAAGAAAGTATGTTGTCACTTGTGTCCTCGAAAATCTAGGAACCATTTCTGATATTTTAAACTACAGGACCTACAAGACCATTGTCAGCAACACAGCCAAATCTGGATACCGATCTGATCTCCGCCCATACGCCGTTGCCCGCGCATCTGCCATCCGTAAATCACAAACACCAAAGAAGGACTTACCAGAATCGAAGGTCCGAGGAGCAAAGGCAAAGAAGGCGGCTGCTGAGAAGGACGAGTAAGCATCTCGGGGATGCTTGGTGTTTGCTAGTCATGAATACAATCCATTTTAAGGAGTTACACTGAGGCTATGGATTAATAGCGAGGTTAGAGGCATAACATTTGCAACCAAATCCTATGATCATTGGTGATCTGATAGATGTGATTTGCGGTTATATCCACGGGAGCTGCGTAGCCAGACAATACGAACACACTCAAGACCAAAAATAATACTTATGAGCTGTAACATGTGAGGTACGATGTTATTCCGACATGTGAAGACCGGATAGAAGACAGATGAATTGCACCAATATAGCTTATCCGGTTCCGCCCGCAATATCATGCCTCGGCCTCTATGCGGGAGTATCTTTAAGTGTGGGGTGTATATGATAATTTCGATTCATACCAGAGTCCTAAACATTGCACCTTCTTTCCATTCTCCCAAAGACAATCGCAAAACAGAAACCCCAAGACTTTGAGCTTACGAGGTACGTTCGAGCACTCCCCTCTTGACCCTTGTCTAGGCGTGATCGGCTACGCTGGTGCGGTGCTTCCCCAAACGACCCCGCGACCATCACTTGGCTTGGAAGTTCAAGACTTCGTCGCGCTTCCATTGATCCTCAAGCTAAATATCCGCTCTTCTGCTTCTCCAAAGGATCTTCTCTAACCTCATACCGCTTTACTATATCACAGTCCTCAAAATCCAAGGTAAGAAAACTTTTAATCCTTCACCTCAGTGGTGAAGCTGGAATGCGGGGTATTATTTATTGACACACTTGTATTACAGAAAGTTCATCAACTCAACAAAAATCGCAATCATGGGAATCAAAGCTGGTATGCTAGATGTTGACTATGTATGAAGTTCGCAGACCATATATTAACGGAAATAGTCGTCGCTGGTGCCTCTGGAGGAATTGGACAAGTAAGTTCCCCGATCACTAAACGCCAATTGTTGAGACATTTGCTTACAACTCCTCAACAGCCATTGTCCCTCCTCATGAAGACTTCACCTCTCATCTCCGAACTCGCTTTATACGATGTAGTCAACACACCAGGTGTTGCTGCCGACCTTTCGCACATCTCTTCGCCAGCGGTACGTAGAATATATCTCGGGGAATGGAATATGGACTGATCGCGGGAATAGAAAATCACTGGCTACCTACCAAAAGATGATGGAGCAAAACTTGCTTTCAAGGATGCGGATATTATTGTTATCCCAGCTGGAATTCCTCGTGAGTATGGAAAAGCTTTGAATGAATTCTTCTGACCGTGTTCAGGCAAGCCGGGAATGACCAGAGACGATCTCTTCAACATCAACGCAGGAATCGTCAAGGGTCTCATCGAAGTTATCGCCGATGTCGCACCAAAAGCTTACATCCTCATCATCTCCAACCCAGTCAACTCCACTGTACCAATCGCAGCTGAGGTTCTCAAGGCAAAGAATGTATTCGACCCAAAACGCCTATTCGGTGTTACCACCCTCGATGTCGTCCGTGCCGAGACCTTCGTTGCTGAGATTACCGGCGAGAAGAACCCACAGAAATTGACCATTCCAGTCATTGGTGGTCACTCTGGAGAGACTATCGTTCCTCTTTTCAGCCAAGCCAAACCATCTGTCAGTATTCCAGACAATAAATTGGCAGCTCTGGTCAAGCGTGTTCAATTCGGTGGTGATGAGGTTGTTGCGGCTAAGGATGGAGCTGGATCTGCTACCCTTTCTATGGCATATGCTGGATTCCGGTATGTAATCAAAGTGAATGAAAAAAAACTGTACTAACTGAGTTGTAGTTTCGCTGAGGCCGTTCTCAAGGGTCTTTCAGGCGAGAAGGGCATTGTCACTCCTTCATTCGTCTACGTTCCAGGTCTACCAGGAGGTGAAGAGATTGCCAAGGAGACTGGCTGTGACTTCTTCTCCGTTCCAGTTGAGCTCGGCGTAAGTCATGCTTTCACTATACTCACAATTTTGCTAACCCATTTTCAGACCACCGGTGTCGAGAAAGTTCAAAACCCACTCACAAACCTCAACGACAACGAAAAGACCCTTCTAAAGGCCTGTGTCGAAGGTCTCAAGGGCAACATTTCCAAGGGTGTCACATTCGCCCACAACCCACCACAAAAGTAGTTTCCCCACAAGTTTTCCATCTGTTCCTTTCTCCATCTTCTCATTCAAAAGTGATTGTTACAACGCACAGCATGTACTCTCTCATTTCCTCCTCTTTTCTTTCTAGCGAAACGTGGCTTCTCGTTATTAGTGCTTGGTAAGAGTTCCCTGACTGATCGGTGGCGCTTCTGCTTAGATAGACTTTAAAGAATTGTTAGAGATGTTACGGCTTTTGTGGCATGAATTACTACACCTCCTCTTTCATTCTTGCTTTTCGGTGGACTGAATGATTGGGGTTGAAGGGTAGATGGGGAAGTGGGAAAGGAACGGGTGGATTATTTTGGGATGCGGATATGGATGTGGATGATTTATGAATTAGGGGGCTATGGTAGATGATGAGAAATGAGAATGAATTGATGGATTGTGTGCGATGAAAAGAAGTGCATGTTTGGGAAGTTGAACATTCGTTATTGTCTTTTGATTCGCTTCGTGAGTTCTATCTAGTAGTTCTTTCTGTGCGAAGCAGATTGTCTTGCGCTTGTGGTCTCTTTACCTCTCCTGGGTCTCCCTATCAAATTGCACTGGTGATATAGGGTCAAACAACTTGACACAACTGGTCGAGTCATCTTGTAAGGTACTTCGAGTCTCGTCGTGTTGGAGAACAGCTAGCCCCATTCCCATCTTCCTCGGTGCCATCTTCTTTCCTCTTACAGCTCCACTCTCCGTTCCTCCCATACCAAATAAATGATTTACTTGATGTCACGCTCCTAATCTAGTCTGGTCTTTGAAAGCCGAAGCCTCAACTCAATTTAAATCAGCCTTTTTCACACGACGTTCCCAGCACCGAACCTCAGTGATATCCCATTCAAGCCTTCGTACTCAAACTCTTAATCTGAAAAGTCGCGCCCGGTAACTCTGAGGTCTCAGCGCCGACGGTGGCGTTGATGCCCATGCTGGCTAGGGCGCCGCGGATTATACCGCAGGGGAACCAGAGGAACTGTTGGATGTGTTAGAGAGAAAAGGGAGGGCGGACGAGTATGAGAAGGGAGGAATGGCGAGAGTAGGAGGGTGAAGAGGGAGACTTACAGGTTGTGCTCTCACGACAGCCTGTCCTCCTGCTTCTGTACTCATTCGTGAGAATGGACGGAATGAGTTATCTGTTAGTACGTAGACGCCCTGATTGCAGTTAGCATCATTTCCATTGAAGCCCATAAACTTTTAATTTCAACAAGTGCAAGGTGCTGGGGAGGGTTTTAAGGTGCAAAGAAGGGGCGAAACGTACTCTGTGATTCGTTTTCAAATTATCAATCTGTTTCCGAAATACCAACATCCAAAGGTCTTTGCAGAGAAATTTAATCACGTCGAGCGTGTCTGTGAAGCGGGGACGGTCTTTGGAGAAGCTGTTTTGGTGTTAGTATCATTCTAACTCGATATTTGACAAGCGAGCCGCATCTACGGTCCAATATGATTTCAACAGCCAAACCCCCCCCCAAGTTCGAAAGAAAGAAAGAAAGAGATCAAAACTAACCGTTCCACCATTCCCTGACCAACCCTATACCCCAACATCTCCAACCGATAAAACACCGCGTCTCTCTCCTCCTGCTCCTCTTCCTCGCCTTTCGTGCCTTCGTTTCCACCTATACTATTCCCTCCCGCTCCACCACCACTAATACTCCCTCCTTTCGCACTCCCTCCTACATTCCCTCCAGCCACACTATTCCCAGCTGTACTCGTAGTCGTCGTATCCTTTAAATCCACATCCCTAACCACCCGCCAAGCCAACGGCACCAGCTCTATCATCAGCAGATCCAGACACGACGAGTTGAGGAACTGCGCGCTGGGATCGGAGGCGTTGTAGGGAGGAAGGGGGGATTCGAAGGACATTTTGGTGGTGGGCTTGTTTTGGTTGCGCGGTGAGGGTTTTGGATGGTGAGATTAGGTGTTGGGTGATTGATACTGGTATGGGTATTTGACGTTAGCGGGTGCTTTCGTTCGTACAGGCCGTCCCAATCCCGCCCTCTCGTCCTGGAAAAACACTGAGCTCCCTCAACCACTCGTGAGCTATGCGCGCCGAATCGAATCTTCTACAGAAGTCTGCTGGAATCACGTAGCCGAGACTTGATGTTCCAAGCTTCCTTCCTTCGTTCGTATATGCTTCCCCCACACTTCGCCTTCCCGATTCTCCCGTATCTTGCTCGCGAGAAACTGGCAAACTCTATCGCACTCCTCGTCGAATACCCCGCGCTTTCAATCCCTTTCACGGCTTTCTAATCCCTCCCACGCCCAAATAGTAGTGTTATACCTTTGCGCCGACCACTCGTAAGAAATTCGAATTAGCAACCGCTTCCGCTATCTCTGAGCAGCGTTGAGATATTCGTTAAGCGGCCGTATCGTCGTGAGGAGAGAAATGCGAGTGGTGAGGGGGTTGGTGGTGGGATGTATCAGCAACGGCGTCCCAGAAAACAGCTGGAGCTTGAGGTCGGAAGTTGAGGAGCTCGGTTTGCCGATCTTATCTGATCGACTGTCGGATCCTAGGGGATATCTCCAGCACTTCTTCTCGAAGAAAATAAAGAGTGATAAGACGATGAAGACTAATTGGCACTGATGATTCATAAGTCCATGTCCTGAAGCTATTAAGATGGGTTTGGTTTTGTAAACACACGTTCATCAATTTGAGTCTAGTATTATAGAATGGCCTTAGAGTCACTCTGTCTTAATCACTCAAATCCACAACAACCACAAGTGATTCCAACTACATTTGTGATAAATTTATAATTCGAGTTTTTGATTGTACTGCCTTCTCCGTTATCTTCTTTCTACCGCACACTCCTAACCTAAATCCAGCCCGTAGACTAGCCCGTCCTCAAGGGCATAAGACTAATAGAACCACATGAAAAACAGAATCCAAATCGAACGAAGAGGATAGAAAAATACATGACCCCATCAAAAAATAAGGGTTGATCTTTCGCCTGGTAAAAGATGTAAATTTCGCACACTTGAAAACCCCCACAAAAACCATCCCTGACTTACGCCGAACCTAATTTCGCCGCCCTCTCATCATTTGAGTTCAAAACATATCAATTTTCCACATCGGAAACTATTCCGACTCAATTGCGTTTTTCGAACATTGGGATCGGATCATTGTTATACGGCTAATTTGGTGCATGATATGGTTTGTAGCTCCAGATTCTTGCTCTCATATCTCCACTACCAGTGGCAAATGAGCCACCACTTGGACTTGGTGCAACCGAGATGACGCTGTTCTTGTGACCTTGCAACATGAGTTGCGTGTTACCGGTTCTAGGATCCCAAAATTGGACACCACGGTCCTTGGATCCGGAAAGAACCCAGTTTCCATCAGGAGTAAGAGCAACGGAAAGAACAAAGTCCTAGATATAGTTAGTGGGGGTCTTGACCTGTAAGATTTGGTGCATACCTTGTGTCCCTCAAACGTTCTAATACATCTTCCGCCTTTTGGTGCATTGTTGGGGTGACCACCTCTCGGTGCAACAAGTTCCCACATTTTGATGGTCTTGTCCAAACTTCCAGATACAAGATCCTTTCCGTTAGGAGCGAAAGCAACCGAGTAGACCGAATCCTTGTGACCATCCGGACCTTCAAGTCGCTCAACCAAGTATCCAGAGTTTGCATCCCAAACACGAACGCTCTTATCGAGAGATCCGGCGGCAACAAGCTTGGTATCTGGAGAAATAGCAACCGTAGTGACACCATCTTCAATGCTGAGGGTAAGAATATTTTGTCCTTCGGTGATATCCCACAGACGAACTGTGCGATCTCCACTTCCAGATGCGATGGTACGACCATCACGAGCAAAATCCAAGGAATAAATGTCCTGCTCGTGACCAGCAAAAGTATTTCGAATAGTTCGGCTAGCAATATCCCAGACACGAATCAACTTGTCCTCGGCACCGGTAGCAAGATATCTTCCATCAGGACTGAAGCAAACGCTGCGAATATAAAGATCGCCAACGGAGTCAACACTCTCGTCTTGAAGAATGCAAATCTTTTGTCCGGTAATAACGTCGAAGATTTGGGCAGATCTGTTACATCCGGTTGCCACATATTTCCCGTCGTGACTGAAACGAACACAGCAAACAACACTCTCGTGTTGGAGGGTATGAACGAGATCAACATCTAGGACTCGTTGAACTTCTGGGTTGAAAATAGCGAACCAGTCAGAGTCGACCTTTTTCTGATGAGCGGGAAGTCGTTCGAGATCTAATTCAGCCAATGCATTCCCGACTCTGAATTGTGGATGTTGCTGATTTGGGATATGACCCACTTGAGGTGAGGCTGCGGCTCTCGGGTCTGCGTATGGTGGAGGGGGAGCCTGACCCAACTGAGGAGTAGCTGGACCACCAATTCCACGATTGAGAATGCGTCCCTTTCCGGGACCTGGAGATGAGGTCGACTGAGGAGGTTGCGCCCCATATCCATTTGGAGCTGGGCCTCCAGGATATCCACCACTCTGAAATGGAGGCTGCTGCTGAGGAGGCTGTTGTTGTTGAGGCGGAGGCCCCTGAAGAGCTGGGGGCGGTGGGGGTTGGGGCATTTGATGTTGTAGTCCTGGGTGTTGTTGCTCTTGAGCTTGTTGTGGGGGAGGGGCCAGACCTGGGCCACCTTGACCACCTGCCATTATGCCACCGAATAGGTTGCTTGGGCCATGGCCGAGAGATGGGGCTGGTTGTGATGGACCAGAATTGGGCGCTTGTGGTCCTGCTCCGGGGATTCCAGCTGGACGAGGACCACCTCGAGCATCAAGCTCACGGATCAAGCGTGCAATCTCTTCCTCGTACCTAGAGAGGTTAGCATCTGGATGCAGGAGACGTAGCAGTGTTCATACTTCGACTTCATGGCAAGATGTGCTTGCTCCATGTTATATACTTTTTCTCTAACCATTGCCATCTCATTAATTTGATGTGTCACTGAGTGATAATTAGCATGTTATGTCCGTCACCAGCCACCCAGCCTCGAATCCATCTCCGCCATTTGCGACTTACTTGACTGTTCTACCTCTCCACTCACTCGCGCTTGGTTCTCGAACTCTGCGCGAACACTGTCTAAAAGTTCGTTCAGTCGTGCATTACCTGGGGCAGGGCCCAGGCCACGGTGATTGTTGTACATCGACATGGCTGCGATGTATAACGAGGTTCCGATGTGTCCAAGAGCCTCTCGTCGTCTGTTCTCGACAGTGAAATTGTATTCTCACAAACGATCTTCTTGACGCCTATCTTCCGTGATTCGAGCAAACGGATTAGGAACTTCGAGTAGACCGCTGGTCGTCGTGCGCGACAGCACCAGCTTGATCAGTCGCACGCGTTGCAACTTTCGAAATGCGCCGCACTATCCAGAGTGCCCTCGCAGGAAACGGCTCGGAGCTCGAGGAATGCGATAGGGTTTGCGACGGGATGTGGTGATGGTGTTGATGGAGATTGTTCGAACGGCTCTCGAATTGAGATTGGATATTGGAGGTGAGAAAAGCTTGGGGGCTACGGAGTACAGACGCAAGAGTTCATGGAAGCGGCGCTTTTGAAAAAGGCAGGAACACCTTACCACAACTAGTCGCACGCACCAGCCCTAGACCCGATTGGGGATCGAAGAGCGGGTAGCCGAAGAAGGGTGCTTCGGGGGACTTAGCGTCGAATATAAGCGGGGACCCTGAGGTTTGGGCAATCCTCCGGGCGCAACGCCACGTTGGGAGGGGGAAGGACAAGCGAAGACATGCAACAAGCATCTTGATGGCGCACACACGATGCGTGGGGAAGCAACAACATGGCCACTTTCATCGACCACTCACGTGCCATTTCATACGAATAGAAGAACCTGGGTAGCTATATCATGACACTTGTTGCTACTATCATGTCAGATGGCAGAGATTGTTCTCCAGTCACTCCCAAGTACTATCGCCATCACGTGTTGGCGGCTGGGCTCGAGCCAGTTGGCTTTTTAGCCATGTGGCACTGTGGTCTAGCGTTGGATGACGACACCCCTCTGGATGATAAATGTATTTTAAACCTCGGAAACGAAACGAGGGTTCTCTCACACTCACGGCCCGAAATCTCAGACTCACTTACCGAGCAAGGACACATCGGCAACGCACGGACGCTGACAGCCTCGCTATCTCCGCCTGGGCGCACCTGCGGTTTCCTCTTCGCTTGAGGCACCCTCGCATTTACACCCTCCACGTGCATCAGATAGCTGATGCAGCACGGACATCAAAAGAAAACAACAACAGTCGTGCAGGGAATGATGACCTCTCAGAGCTTGCTTAGAGGATGTGTGAAGAGCGACAAGATCGTAGTATCTCCCCGCCTACAACACCAACATGCCCATGACGATGGGTAAAGGCCATAGCATAAGTACACCCATTTCACCTGTCCTGGTTTACTGCCAGCCATCAGCCATGCAGTGAGCCCTTGTCCTCCATAATAGGTTGCAGACAGTCTCTTCCCACGTCCTTGATCTGTGGGACAACTAGCTCAACATAAGCACTGTCACACAAAAATGTGGTAACGCCATGCCGTACAATCAACAGTGAAAGGTGACAATTCCGGAGTCGAAGTCCACTTGAAACACATAAGAGGAGACAGGAGGATGTATCTTAGGATGTTCATGGTGTTTACACCATCAACCCTCTTATAGCTCACAAGCGTCTACTACTTTCATTGAGTCACCAGCTTCCAACCACGACATTGCAGCGGAAATATAGAAAGATCATCTCCCGGACCGCTCTTTCTGTCGAACCCTTTCAGTGCCAATAGCCTCTGGCAAGGTACGGATCCTGTACATCGAAGCGACCGTTAGTTGGTTACACACGCAGTGCTGCATGGATATCTCACATAGAGTGTTACCAACCGCACAGCCTTGCCCAGATGTAGAGAGATGGTAAAGAATATGATGGAAATTATTCAAGTCTCAACATGGCCACTATTGATGCTCAAGAAGTAGAACAACTAGAAGGAAGAAAATGAAACATTCAAGAAAGAAAATTGGTCGCAAAATTTCTATTAGAAAGCAGGAAAAAAACATGCGAAACTCGAAACCCAAAGCTTTTCAGGGAGAAACAAACAGCGGAACGACAAAATCAGACAGGACGTCAGACTCGCAACCTCTGATGAAGGAAACTAAAGCCTTGCTGCACGACTTGTCCACTCCCGAGCGCCTGGCACAGCCTCTCCAAGTCGGCTGGATGAATAAAACCAGTATCGTATAGGGTGTAAAGTTATTTTGAAAAAGAGCGAATGGGAAGAAATATGCTCGAGGAGAACCAGGCAGACGCTACCGCGCTCGACACCCTTACGCAAACCATTCACAACACAACATGAGTTCTATCAGCCACCACATACCGTGACTCATGAGCTCAAGGACCTTTAAGCATCGTATATCGCCCGACTCACCAGAGATATATAGAACAATGTTCCTCTCAACTGTCGAGTTTCATTAACGGGTAAACCCCATGAACTCTCACGACGGGAAATTCCCAGATCTTGAGCCAGTGATTAAATACGGAAAGTCAACCCACAAAAACACTCAACGCCAGCCTATCAAGTTAGACCCTAGCCGCCTGCAACAAAGCAGCACCGAATAATGTGCTAGATGTGGTCAGTAGGAATTAACTGATGTGTTTTGGCAGGTAAAGCAAGACGTGCGAGCGACGTGATAACCTTCGGCGAGTGCTGTGTTGAGTCTTGAAACAGCTGCATTACATGCGTTTAGAAGCATCAATTTAGCTGCTCTTATTCTGTCCGTTTGTCTGTTGGCGATGTGAGCCTGTCCAATCTTCAAAGCACTATCCGTTTGGTTTTCTAGCTTCCAGCGGGTTGATTAAGCGATCAGCGATAATCTCTACTCAACTTGAGGTCCAATTAACTTTCGTGTTTGTGGAATGCGACTTGCAAATGGCACTATTTCTTAAAACAAGTATGACCAAGCAGTACAATACTGGTTTCTTTACTATGGCGATGAATTGGCATAAGCATGTCAAGTCTATCAAATTTCATTGACTTTCGACTTTTCATCGTGAACGTAGCGAGTTTATCGTTACTCAAGCATTTAAATCTTCTTTGTTCGTGGTCATTATGGGACATCCGCCAATCTTGTTACTTCTATGTCACTGGAGTTTTTTGTCCGCGAAACTATAGCATGCCTTATTCGTTACTGTTCCAAGTCGTCACCCTTTTCTACCGCACGCATGCATCGGAGACGTTCAATTCTGGTTTACCGGCGAAGCTGGAAGACAGGGGAAAGACTCTTTCAATATTCTGTAGAAGCTACACGTACAATCAATAATATGTATAATGCCATTGTTTAGTCACGCATGTAGCCTAGCAGCCTCGCGGAGGACAAAATAAGTGTCAGTTACTTGCCTACTAATTTTGGTACCCAATAAGTCGACTTCGAACAGAGGTTAAGAAGTCTTATTTACTTAAACTAATTGACGAAATAAGTCAAATTGTTCCAAGTTAATCCACTAAATCCCGATATTTCGTCAACTTAATCGAAGAAATATCGTGCTTCGACTGCCACTTATTCTGTCCACCGCGATGCAGCCCAAGTCTCGCAAAGTTAGTAATTACAAAATTGCTAGTAACCAACATTATCAAAAAGTCACTGAAGAACTCAATTTGATCACGAATGATGCATCTGCGTTGACTAGTCTGTGTTTATGTGTGTTTCATTTGATTCTATTGGACGTTACACTGTAGGTACAAAAAGGATGTTGTACAAATAACAAGACTGGTCTATATCCAATCAGTCACCATTACACCTCAAATCAAAAAGACACATACCCAATGCATTCCAAACGCCTTCCCGCTCTAACAGAATATCGCTCTCAAATACCCAACAGCAAAGCGTACATGACCCTGGCTTCCTCGCACCGTCATATCCAAGAACAAATCCAGAACAGTATCCTCTTCATCCTCGTCTAAACTGCGTCGACCCATTCGCGGTAGCGTAATTCTGCCACGCCGTAATGCGCTCCTCCTGCGCTCCAGTCAAGTTCGGAGTCTCAACAGCCTCCCGCATCCGTTGTTCCCGCGCGACCTCCATCCGGAACACTTCCTCCCAGGTGTGCGAATTGGGCAGTTCGGCCCGGACGCGTTGGACGCCGCTGTGGTAGTAGTGGGCGTGGATGCTGGAGAGGGGGTAACTGGGACCGCCGAGGGAGGTGAGGGGGTGGTCGTGGGCGAGCTTCATTTTGTGGTTGGTGTGGTGGAGTTGGGGAGGTGTGTGTTGTGTGGGGTTGGAGAGGTGTGGTTGTGTGGTGGAGCAAGGAGGTGTGAATTGGGTTCGAGGGCGAAAGAGTATTGGGTTTTTTGTGCTGATTGTGATTGATGAAATTGTGGTTGTGAAATGTTGTAGTGGTGGAAATTTATATTCGAGGCCGAAAGAGCAATTGTGGTTTTTTGGTAACGATTGTATGGTGGTTAATGAAGGTTGTGGTTATGAGATGTTCTGAAGATGTTTTTTTTCTTGGATGATGAAGGTGGCCAGGCGGAGCGGGTTATATAGAGGTAGCCAAGAGTTCAATCGCAGGCTAAGAGTTGATCACAGACCAAGTGTTAATCACTACCTAGTGTAATCACTACCTAGTGTAATCACTGTTTAGTGTTTTCACGTCGATTTTTCTTCTTATTGGTTGATAAAGTTAGTGACCTCGCTTAGAAGAAAAAGGGGGGGCTTGGTTATGATATACATCATAGACACCTTAAAGTGCCTAGGCTGTATACTAGCGACGCAGAATGTTCTTGAAGATGTAACGATATTTACAGGTTTGTATCATGTTCGATGTATGTTACGTAGAGATATAAAGAAGTGTGTAAATATGCGAATTGTTTAATTATATGTATACGGATTGCTCTTCAACTCTACGTCATTGTTGTCTTAAGTGAGTAATGGGCTTCTTGAGGTCAGCTTTTCTCAGGAAAGCGGACTTGTCTTTCAAAAGAGAATATATGTTTAGTGCTCGTTCGTAGTCTTTGATTGTGTATACTTTTGGCTGGAATATTTAAAGTTATAGCTAGACTCCTTTATAAGAGCTCTGAGAGGCTCTTCGAAATCCGGGTTGCTTTAGATTCAAATCCTCAACGTAGATTCCAGCAGCCAGCTATAATTTAGCCAAATTTTCCTATGAAAGTTCACAAGCGACCAAAGTCACCTACTATATCTTTCTTTAATTCTAGTCATAGGTGCATTCATGGTAGTATCAGGATACTTGCCAGTTGGCAACGCCGTAGGTCATTTGTTGACTAGTTGTCTCCACCATCACTCTTTATGACTTCATTCTTGACCCATCCATCTTGGGCAAATTCTTCAATGGCTTTGCAACGACTTTGGATGATACTAAGAGTGACCTATTCTTCTTCTGTCATTGCCGTTACCGCTTAACGAAGTGGAAGCTGAGATGTTCTTTATACATACTCGGAGAGCACTTAAAGATACGATAAGGAGAGGATAAACTAGTTGCTAATCCCGAAATGCGATTACTCTTCGTTTTGTCCGCAACGTCGCTCCATCATGCTAGCAATCCTAAAATTAGGTGTATCAATGAAAATTATGAAATTTGTAGACATTTGAACAATTTCTTTCCAAGTTTAATATTTGATACATGTGAGTATTCCCTGCCCCCATTAACTCAGTCTGCATAACATAAATCTTTCTGATTATTACAATAGTCAAACTTGGATATTTAAATACAAGTCTCGATCAAGCCCCGATCTCCTTCCTGTCAAATACCCGACAATCTTCTCCATGCACCATTGCTTTGTTGCCTACGCATCCCGAATTCCTCTTCGGAAGCTCTCCTGCTGAAAGCTTGCGTGGATTTGGAGGCACAAGACTGAAATCCCTCACTAAAATTCCTACCGCTGCATCAGCTGGAACGTCAGAGATCCGCCACTGCAAATCAGCAAGTTTTGATAGGACGCCAAAGAAAGCCATGCTATCAGCATTGTACACAGCTTTCTCTCTACTTAAGCGAGTTGACGGGCTCCAAAAGTACACATGATCCTCCCCTAGTATCAGAGCCATTGTTAGCTAAATCTTTGATTCTGTTCAGATGAACTTACGCTTAATGGCATGCGAAAGCTTTAAGTTAATTGTCAGCATGAACTTCTTTCGACGCTTCGTCGCTTGCGATTTTGTATTGACTCACCTCGTGGAGAATTACCATGCTCGTCACTGCACCGAATGCATCCATGTGATCTGGCAGTGCGGCAAAATTGGCATCAGGGAGATCGGCGATACGTGCATAGTTGGGCCGATCTGTTCCTGCGTTCAACTGGAGGTTACAAATCTTTGATTGCCAGATTAGCTGTCTGTACGACATTGTGAGAGATTCGCAGGTTTCTTACGGTGATAACAAATCTCATCTCTGCCTCATTTGGCCAATCGTTTTCATTGCTCCTGGGCTGATGTTTAAAACCCTCAGTATGGCCTTGCATGCCCCCGCCACATGTCTCAAATGTCAATTCGGCCCGTATATGATTTACCACATCTTGCCATTCAATATTATCCTGCCTTCTCGAGTTGCGATATCTAGCTGGAAGGCTCATGTTATCTGGTACTTTTTGCCAACGAGCACCTGTAGCTCCAGGCGTTCCGTCGTTATCACAGTAAAAACGAACGTTTGCTTCTTCTCGTTCATCGACAGATGTAGCTTGAGATATTATTTGAAGGGTGTCTACTCATTGACACATCAGTAAGTGAGCAGACACTTCGGAAGTGACTACTTACTTGTAATGTCAAGCTCATCTTGCATGATCGGGTCGTTCGGATCTCCAGAAAGTTGCCTAGGGGCTTTGTATAGAAGCTCGTAGTAGCGGGCTGCCAGCGTATCCTCTCCGTCTTGAAGCCTAGCGGCGGCTCTGGATGCCATTTCTATAGCCTCTGCCACAGAATCTTCTATACGGCCCATGCAGGTTTCGTGCAGCCAGTAAGTAAATTCGGCTTCCGCAACTTGTCGCTTCTGATTACCATTTTGTTCTGCAACGGCACTCGCAAGGAGTGGCACAAGGGAAGAAAGTAATAAAATGTTACGAAATTTCGAATGGAAAGACATAATTAGAGACGCACTGTAGGAGGTTTAATCTGAATAAACTTTGATCAAAATGTAGCAGACGAATCTGAACTCGAGATAGTCTTATATAAAGATGAAAACCAACATGGCTAAGATTCAAGCGACAGACAGCCACCACTCTTCTGCTTGAAACTGCCTGGCACATCACTAAACGCTATTAACATGGGCTGTACCCACGGGCGTGGAGGATTTCCGCCGTTCCAGAATGTTGGTCAAGTATGAGTGTATGAGTTGCTTATGCGTCTATTCTTCTTGGCAAATCTCTCGGAGGCTGATACTTATTTATAGGCAGAGTCTAAGTCTCTCTGATCCAATAAATTACCAACATTTGCTACCAGGCTATGGCATGTCTGCTCGGAATATGATCAAGTCACGAGAAATTTCGGCCGCTGATTAGGTTGTTGGTAGATAACAGAATTCGTACTATCAGCATGAGAAGATATCTAGGCGCTGGTGTTCAACAAACAGTTTCAGGATGCTTATTTTTCCGTTTGTTGGTGTTATGTAAAATTCGGCCGTGGCTATGGTGTTGTTGGTTGTTGGTTGAAAATCTGACCACACATCGGCTATTTCGTCCAAGAATAGCAATAATAATTTTATTGACCAAGTAAGGATATACCATTGTACAGTCGAGAAATTTTACGAGATAGACCGTGAGGCCATTCAGGATCGCGTTGCGCTGAAAGATGAAACAGTCCTCACAATCATGCTCAGCCATGGCTGATGCACGCTTTTTAGCATGTTTAACATTTCCAATGGACTGAAATAGAATACTGGTGAGTTCGAAAGAATGTGAAAACAAATTAAATAGTTCGGCATCCCATGTACCATTCGCGTTTATTCACCGTTCGAACTCGCATGTCACTTGGATAATTCATAATGTTGAAATTCACCTATTACAACTTTTTTCTCACAATCAACTTGGCACTCGCTCTACATATACCGTCGCCTCCGATAGCTTCAAACACATTGGCCAGCCATCCATCCATTTCAAATAAATTGAGCTTAATACAACCATCCCCTACTGCTTTACATTTGGTTCTTCCCCGCGAGACAAATGGATTGGCATCTCTTGTACTTGGACATTTATCCAACTATCAAGTCACCAAGGTATATTACTTACTGCAAATACTCATACGTTTACGTTACTGATTATTTTAAAAGACTTATTCACCTATACCGGAGTTGGGATCCAAAACTATAGAAGTTCCCGATGGGTTAGCCACAGTATTTCCAGCAGAAGGCATAGATCTTCTGTTAGGTCTTGATCTCTTCAAAGAGCTTAACAGCACCTTTCACACAACGTGCGAGAGAAAGATCAGCCCGGAATGTCAGCAGCAACTAAAAAATATATTGGAAAGGGAAGATGGAGTTGCCCTTCAAGCGCGCGGCCTTGAGTCGCTCGCCTATGTTGGTGCAGCACTTGCGCTATATTTTTCTTACTTATTTATGAGGTTGACTTCGCAATCAGAGACGGTCGTTTCAGTCCCAGTAGTACCACTGTTAGGAATGCATATGCCACAAAGTGACCATGCACAAATCGCATCATGGGACTCGCCAGCCACCACAGTGTTTGCTACCACTAGTGGAGACGTCGCAGCCGTCACCATTACCTCAACGCCTACGCCTACTCCAGTTGGCGAATTGTAAGTCTTACTGAGAATCACGAGTCTTTAATGACATAACTGACCGGAGAAGTGAGCCACCAACCTTTGAGAGGAGACCAAACGGCGATGTCGACGTTACCCTTTCGGTTGGTATCGTTGATGCATTATCCAGAATAATGGACGATGTCATTTGCGCTCGTGATCTAGAGTCCCAAGAAGAGACCTGTGAGCTCACAAAGAAAGTTGAAGTCCGTCTAATGCTGACCAAAGATATAGGTATAAAAAGGGCAACCATCACAATCCTCGGTCGAATCATACCTTGGGAGCAGCTATGGCGTTCAATCTTGATTTTAGGGGAGTTTGAAATACCAGCTCCTGCCCCTCGCATGCAGGCTATGATAGATGCTGTTGTCGAGTGGGGGAGAACTCTTCAGCCTCCAGTTGACCCCGAAACTCTAAGAAAAATCGTCCCTAGCATATTGCTCATATCCAACAACAGGTACAAAGCAAAGGCTATCCAGAAATTCAAGTTATCTCAGAAAGAGTTGAATTCAGAAGACAAGACCGAGGAGGAGGAGGAAAAGAAGAGCCAGTGTGGTCCCCCAGAGTCCACTCCATTCTGTCAAAATTGTGGCGGAAATGGCGATCGGACAGTCAACAAATGTCCAGGGGTAAGTTTTCTGTGTTACCAACATTATCGTGCGATGGAGATATACTTACACATCAATTTAGGATCCAGCAAAAGACATGGTAGAGAAAGGGTTTGTGACATATAATCCTCAAATAATTACTACTGACACATACAGCTGTGATTGTTTTCCATCCGCCAATGTTCAACCCTACAATTATTTCGGTAGTGATGCAGGTCTCGTCCAAGCAACCTTGAATTTGCGTCTTCTTCAAGATAATCCACGGACGACCAGCCCCACAAGTGAAGTACAGTGCTATACTGACGCAGGTAAAGACTACTTTGACCAACACATGAAACTTGGTGGTCCAGTAGAAAATTTCTGTCCGAGCAATGGCGATAGTTTGAGTGGTATATACAGCATCGCCACAAGTGACACTGGGGTCTGTAAACAGGGAGATCTCGAGCCTGATTTTTGTAAGTATGTGCCGGTACGCGGCGGACGTGTGATACCACCAGATGCACCGCCTGAGTGTGATGCTGTGGGCCAATTTCGAGACAACATTTGTAAAGCGGCTGTCAAACAGATATTTGAAGCTTGTAAGTGTCAAAGATCTAGAATGATTGTTAATATTCACTTACTCACGTTGGCTTAGGTCCTGACGGTGGAGGAGTAGTAAACAATATGTGTGGTCGATGGTCGATCGGTCTATGTTTGGGTACTGGGGAAGACTGTGAAAAGCAACTGGCTGCTAAAACTTTCCTGTTACCGGCCACTTTTATTCGAAAGAAAGTGGGAAACTTGTAAGATACGCAAGGACGTTGATTTGTGGCGAATGTAAATTTTTGGGAACATACTCATGTATATAAAACCAAAGTACCGTGATTCTGCTATTTTTCGGTGCATCCCGGATCTCGAGCCTTCAGCACGTCGACGGCTTTCGACAGCAAAGCACAAGAATTTTCCGTAGCATGCCAAAATTGCGTTTTTCATGCACAGCGCCGAGAAGCTCCAATACCTTTCTGCTAAGCGTCTACATTTCCTTATACCCTCTTTTGTAGTTTTAGGGCTCTGAGAAGCACCATCAAATCAATCTCCGCTTCCTCAAAAGCATCTTCAACCGAAAGTGGAGCATCCCACTCTTCAATGACAAAAGCTGAGTGGGCCGAATGTTTTCTTTCATAAAGCCAGACTTCCTCTAAAGAAGACATATGCGTGGCTAGTTCGACTATCCAGCGATACTCCGACTCATCAATCTCTTCAGTAAGAACCCTGTCTCTTCCCACTTCATCCAGACTAGATTGAGTAGAGAAATAGAAGATTCCAATGTCGATGCAGAAATTGAGCTATAAGATAGTAATTAGCATACGGAATATTAGCAAGAGTTCCTGCATTTGAAAGCACTACCTCACCTGGAAGTACTGTAGACGGCGAGGTAGCAGTCGGTAGAGTCCATCACGACTAACGCCTAGAGAAAGTGGGCTGAGAAAACATAATGCAGAAGCTGTAAGCCGTTTCAATACCAGGAACTTGCTGAAATCCATTCTTGATCCATCGTGTCCCGGCCATCGTTGGGTTTGTGTGCTGAGATCTAGTTCATTCAATGTATTGGCGACGTTTAGAAAGGCTGGCATGATATTTTTCGGAGAAAGAGGTAGTTGCATTGTTGTTTCCCTATGGCGCATTCTTTGCGGAGCTACCAAAGGCACTTTACAGGACAGAGTGCGAAGCTTTTGGCATCTTTGAAGTATGTTTGTGAGCAGGTGAACTCCAATCTGTATGGCGCAAAGATCTAGACTCTGTATTGATGATTGCCTGTGTGGTTCGTTCCCCATGACTGAATCAAAAGGGTCTGTGAAATACTCGAGCGACAACGACTGTAGCCTTGGAAATGTATACAGCAAGCTCAGAAGTTCCGAAGTGGTCAGTTTGCTGTCTGTAATGTTTAAAGCCTGTAATGATCTAGTGAAGGGGGCTTCAGGCAGAGACAACACAACCGGTATGAGTCGAGTTGAGCCGACGTACTCAATTTCGAGGGTTTTCAAGCCAGGTAGCAAGTCTAGGATTGCTCGTAGTTCTTCGTCGTCCGTAAGGGTCGGTCCAAATGAGATAGTGAGGTAATATACGCTACGAAGGTAACTGGGGTTCTCGCGTATGCTTCTTTGGAGCAAGGTGTATCTTTTTGATGGAATCGTAATCGACATGTATCTGGGGAGGACACTGCTAGCAATTGAATAGGCGTAGCGGCAAGTGAGTGCGAACTTGATAGCATCTGCCATTTGGCCATGCCATGACTCAAGATTCGACACGATTAAACGCAAAACATCATCACCAAGCTCAAGAAGCAGCATTCTGGACTCTTCCGATTCTTCGGCTGAAGAAAAGCGTGTAGAACCGTAAATAGTGAAACCGCCCATCCTTTATTAACAGGCTGCGAGTGATTTAAGCGAGTCTAGATGTGCCCAGGTGTACCTCAGCCACAATTCCAACAAACCTTGGCTGTTGGTCCTCATAAGAATAGATCCAACATTAGACTAAGCGGCTAGCACAAAAGGCTTGTTGACCAACTGCACCTCAATTAAGATACAGATATTCTGATGTATAGGTATACCTCTAACCTAGTCGTAAAATTTTCAGGTAAACGGGTTCTTTATTCTTGGACACAACTTTAGAAGAGAGGAGGGCATAGACAAAGTTCATGAAAGAATTTTACTAGAATAATAAATTTTGTAAATTTATGTTAGAGCAGGAGTTCAGGGGCTAACACTTTAGTTCGTACATAACGTTACATTAGGATACTGAGGTTGTATCTCTCTAAATTGGTAATAATAACCTGTTGATCCGACCCAAAATAACATCTCCGACCCGAAATATATCGGTTGTATGAGAATCGGGCTGTAAGTGTCGTCGGTTCAACATCACTGTATTCGGACATAACGGCGATAACGATAAGCCCAACAGCTACCTCGAGCTCCCCCTCATCCATCTCCCCCTTTCATCACCATCTATCTCCCCAAACCAAACTCACCTCACCCATGAACCGCTCATTCCTCACCCGTACTACCATTGCCAAATCTCTACGAACAGTAATTCAAAACGTGCGCCCCCAATCCCCTCCTCTCGTATAGCAGGTATTGACATCATCACAGTCGCGCAAGATGCATATCCAATCGATTCCTATGTGTACGTTACCACTATTATAATACGGGGAGGATAACGAGGCTGATATATTGTAGGGACGGGGAGCAGTGATAATTACGCGTATTTGGTCGTCGATGATAAGAGTAAGGATGCGGTGATTATTGATCCGGCGAATCCTGAGGAGTGAGTAGCTATACCTTGGACAATGGGGGAGTACATGCTGATTTGAGATAGGGTTGCGCCGGTGCTGAAGGAGCAGATTAAGGCTGGGAAAATCAATTTAACAGCGATTGTTAATACACATCAGTGAGTTCCCCAGTCAATGAGGGGGAGAAGGGGTGTTGATGGATGTAGTCATTGGGATCATGCCGGTGGGAACAAGAAGTTGGTAAGTCCTCGTTATCCCTACTTTGGTGGATGCAGAACATTGACGATCTTGACAGCAATCCTTCTCCTCCGAATTCCAAGATAAACCTATAATAGGCGGCAAAGACTGTGAAGGCGTCACGCAAACGCCAGCCAATGGCGAAGGATTCAAGATTGGAGACATCTCTGTCAAGGCGTTGTATACGCCGTGTCATACACAGGATAGCATTTGTTGGTTTATGGAGGATAGTACTGGGAAAGTTATTTTTACGGGGGATACGCTTTTTCATGGAGGTATGTGCATATTGATTTGAAGGCAAGTGGGGTGCTAATATAGAACTTAGGATGTGGAAGATTCTTTGAGGGAACACCTGAGGAGATGAATACTGCGTTAAACAAAACTTTGGCGGCGGTTCCGGATGATACTGTGGTTTATGTAAGTTTTCTTGTGAGGCGTCAATTGGAAGGGGAAGTGCTAATAGAACAAGCCGGGTCATGAATACACAAAAGCGAATGTTAAATTCGCCATGTCGGTTTCTCAGAGTGATGCGGTTAAGAAATTGCATTCTTTCGCGGAGAGCAACAAGGAAACTCAGGGGAAGTTTACTATTGGAGATGAGAAGGTGGCGATTTTTCTGTTTCCAAAGTTGATAGGAATAGCGAGTTGGCTAACAAGAAATAGAAACACAACGTATTCATGCGTATGGACGCAAGTTTCCCTTTCCTTCAAATTTTGAATCCAGCACTAATACCCATTAGGACCCCGAGATTCAGAAAGCTACTGGAAAATCAGAACCCGTGGATGTTATGGCAAAACTTAGGGAGATGAAGAATAATTTCAAGTGAGTTGTGAAGATTATGGGGATGGAGAATCCTGGAAAAATGAGGCTATTCTGAGATTTCTTGTAGACCTACGGAGGTGAAACTGTAAGAAGTTAATCAAGCGCGGACGGGAAAATGTATACTTCTTTTTTGTAGACCTGGAAATCAAAACTTCGTCATGCATATAGATGACGTCAGTCGTATATAAGTTCTTACATTCCCTTTCCTTTTTCCAGTTTCTAATCTTCAACCTCTTTTCTCATTATTTTCTATCCCCAACTCTCACCATGACATCCAACCCTCAAACAAACCCTCCAACCACAAAAGACGCCATTCTTGAAACGGGCGCCTCGGCAACCCAAAGCTTTGCCCCGATTAAAAGTATCTGTGCGCATCTGAATGCTTTTCATGTTTATGCAACAGATCCGAAGAGGAGTGTCGAGGCTAATCATTATTGTACGCACTTGAGCAAGGATGTAAGTGCTGAATTTTCTTCTTGGCTTTCGAGGCTTTTTTAGTGGAAGGAGGGGTGAGAAGGAATGAAAAAGGAGAAGGCATGAGAGGAGGGGATATGGAGATGCCGAAGATGGGAGACGCGAGAGAAGGGATAGGAGGAGGAGAATAGTAATAGTAATAGGGAGACGATAGGGAAGACTCGGCTCAAAGATGATGGAATTATAGGACCAACAGAAATTCCTCACGCAGAACGAAAGTTGTGTATATATAAGAATGCTAATCAAAAATAGGTCCGTCAATGTCTCATCTACGACCTCCCCAATAATCCTGCGAAATTGATTGGCGTGGAGTATATGATTACACCGAAATTATACGAGGGTCTTGATGCTGAGGAGAGGAAGCTGTGGCATTCGCATGATTATGAGGTACTTTTCTATTTTCATCCCCTCCCCTTTCAACCCAAACCCAAATGATTCATAATCATCCATCAGGTCCGCAGCGGCATGCTCATAATGCCCAACCCCACGATCCCAAACCAAGTTTGGGAGATCGCCGAAACAGAGGAGATGAAAGAGGTGGTTGGGTTATATGGCAAGACGTTTCATTTCTGGCAGGTGGATCGCGGCGATGAGTTGCCGCTTGGGATGCCGCAGTTGATGATGAGTTTTACGGCGGACGAGCAGGTGAGTTTCTTGTGTTTGGTTTGTTTGGTTTTGGATTGGGATGGGGGTGATGACGTTAAATAGGTACCCTGGGATAAAGTTAAAGAACGGGATGAGAAGTACGGGGTTGATACTATGAAGAAGAGGGAGGCGAGGAAGGGGATTGAGGCGTTTAAGGTCCATGAGGACGCGGATGGGTGTTGGAAGGAGGAGAGTAAGTTGAAGGAATAAGGAAGGAGAAGATGATGGTTCTGGTTCTGGACGAGAATTGAACTTCGAGGATGGAGAGTGTTTGGGAAGAGGGAATTGGACGTGTTTAAAGAAATTTGGTTATTCAATGATACGAGTAAATCAGGATGCTCTATTACAACTAGTCTCGGCCTATCCTCGAGGAACTCGTAAGTGGTTTGAGTAGATATTCCATTATGTGAAGGAAAACTGATCATATTGACAACTATCAGTATATTGAACGAGTTGAGTTTCAGTGGGATTCTAACCCAAATACGAGCAGTCTATTAATTGCTTGAATAGTTTGAAGTTGAGAGCCGAATCAAATCTGAATTTGGTTCGAGAAGAAAATCGCATTGATTGAGAATTACCCGCGTATTGGATGAGTTGGGTGAACTGGCAGATTCAGACTCTTGTCAGGTTTAACTCGAATAACTCATAACTTAATTGACTTACTTGCAAAAAAAAAACCGAGAAAGACGGCTGGACGAGCTCTCACTGCTAGATATGAGGGTAGTAGGTACGTTATATTTCTAGCTACGAGGAATTAAATTGTGAAAACCCTACTCAAACTCACCTTGTCTCATACTTGAGTAGTTGATAAGTTTTTGAAGCACTCGGAATCATTTGTGAAATTACCGAAAATTATTCTAATGAGTTATCACAGGTAAATATGAGTACACTTCATGTCTGCGAGCATTACGTCGCGCATACTCTACTCAAACTCGTTCAAACTCATAGCCAAGAATTCTGAATCGTTTGAATAGCTTGAAAAGCTTGTAAATGTGCTGAGAAAGACTACCGAGTGAGGTACCACAGCTGAACATAAAAGTACTTCATGTTTCTAAACACGAGTTTTTCGGTCGCCGAGCACTTTCTCGACCTTTTCAAGTACATAGGTAGTGTCACTCGGCAACAATTTCATGCTGTGACACTACAAAACAAGGCACACTCCAATACTCAAAAATACGAATCAACTCACCTCGTAACCTTGCAAAGGGGGTTATTCAGCTCCGTACACCTCTTGTGCTCTTAAACACGACTTGAATCTCGATTCCGCATCCTACCCACGCTCACATTGCGAGGACAACTTCTCCTCTACGTCATCGAGATCTGTACAATGCAAAGGCAATAAAAAGTTGCATTGATGAAAATGTATTTTCATATCCCACTGGCCGCGAAACTTACACCACATCGCGTGGCTGACGGAAAGCTCAACAAGTCGACGGATCAAAAAGCCATGGGTTGGTGAAACGCGAGTTAAGCAATACAGCTTGCCACGTTATTGGATATGGGGAGATGAGAGTGTAACACGCGAGAGCATATCTACCGACAGGTGTATGGTGACAGGATGGCTTGTGTATCATTGATGATACGATGGGATGAGTTTTGAGAATGTTGTGGCACGTGTAGATGTGATTGCCGCTTAGCCGAGGACACGACGTTTGAGGGTTCCTACAGTTGTGAAATTAAGAAGCTGTAGAGTTGTGTTCGAGGTGCAATTGGATTTTGTGGTAGAGGAAGTTTGCCAATCGTGTTGACGTTGTGCGTATAAGTATGTGGTGACTTTGTCTAAGCGAGAAGCAGTTGCATGACGAGGAGGTTGTAGTGTCTTCCGCTCTGGACAGAAGACTGGTATGCAGCGTCGTTCCAAAACTTATTGATGTTAAATTGAATAAAGAAGAGGTAAGCAAAAAAGTGTTGATAATAAATGGGGTAGATGCTTAGTTTGACAGGAACAAAAAGTGCTTAGAAGTGAGATGAGGTCGCCGACTTGGATTTGATACATTATGGCCGAGGCCAAATTAAGATAACGGGAACGTACTAAACATTGAATCAATGCGGGGAGAAGTAGAGAATCCATGTACTCACATAAAGCTCCTAGCATGACTGAAACCGCGGAGAAGCCGAACATCTCTTGGAGAAGGAGCAAGGACATACAAGAATCAGCACGACTAGAGCCTAGATCTGCAATATCGGAACACAAGTATCATGTTAATTATTCAATAGGACATAAAATACTGCTCACCTCCTTTTACGTTCTGATATTGGATGATCTTGCGAATCCTTTCACACCAATATCCTAGTTTCGAAATGCGACTTCGAGGGTACATGCTTGAATCCACGCAACGCTCATGCAGAAACGGATAAAACCGTTGGACCATGTACTTACGGCAGTAGTCCGAGAGACCTGCCGCAATGAAAGCCCTGAGATGAAGTCCACATATGAAAGAACAAGACCAATGGTATGTGGTTTATGAAAATGCAACGCAGAAGCAGCGTGCGAGAATTTCACGTAAAGAACCAGATTTTCTCCTCGATTCCGGGGTGACGAATGCATTTATCCGGTCTGTCACCTCGTAGCAGGCAGACATTAAAGTAACCACAATGAGAGCGTAGGAAGTTGAGTAGTAGGTCGCTAGTTTTTGTTCCTGGGGAAATATCAGGTGGTTGTATGAATTCCAAGCCGCTTATCACTAGTCGGCCTCCACAAGTGGCATTGTTCGCCCAAGCTAACCCGGATACCGTACTGTACTTTAGATTGCGAATGCAAAACCCAATACCATGCTACCGGGTTAGTGGGGTACGGGAAGAGGTGGGCGAAGGGAAGTTGAAGATGTCTTGTGAAGAAGTGACAGACATTGTAGAAGGGCTGATCTCAAGAGTGGCGCTCTGTATGGAATCAAGTACGAGGGCTGGTATACAGATGGACGAGAGTAAGCCTCATGATATCAGACATGACCAATCCAATTCTGAAGAACCTCTGCATGTCATACCCAAGGTTGGACTTCCCAAATGCACGAGTTTCTGAGATGGTGTGCCTCTTAGCCTGTGTTCTGCGCGGCTTCTTAGTGCTTCGAATAGGGGCTTGCCACGTTGGCAATGGATATGCATGGCGAGGCACACAGACAAGCAAAAGCCTCTAACAGGACTCTCCTCGCAATATTCCAAGCTCGATCCAGTCGAGTTGAGTAATGAGGATTCGATTGGATTGGTGTAAAATGTCTCCATACGTCCATCTGGGGTAATCCTTCCAAGCCCACTACTGCTCAGCAATGCAATATGCATGCATAGGGCGACTGCTTTAGTTGTTACCAATGACTTTGCCGGCGCCGATGTTACTTTGGCTAATATGTACAGCAGAGGAGATGTCCGTTTGCGTAGACCAACGAGAGGAGCTGTGTCTTTCGTTCGAAAAGTCCAACCTGGCTAGACATGCGGCGTCGTGATGACAGGACCAACCTCCGAAAGAAAGTCCTGCTTGGCAAGCGCGACACAAGGGCGTTTGCGGGGCCGTTAAGCGAACCGAGTTGCGCCCCCTGAGATCCTCGATGGAAGTCGCTTGTTTCATCCAAACAAAGTCAATCATTATTCGGATGAACTTTCCCACTCTATATCTTTTTGCCAACCCCAACCCGATAAAGCCATCCCATCCTATCGATAAATATAGTTCTCTGCTGAAGATTTAGTCGTAACGTCACAACTATGGTCTCCGGGCCCGGTGCTATTATTCGAAAGGCTGCAGGTCGACGGCGAAGACGTCTCTGACTTGATATTCCATCCGGACATTCCTCATGCACACCCCTCATTGCCTCTGGAAGGCCCGTAGCAAGGTACATGGCATGTAGTCATTTATTGCAGCATGAAGGCCATCAGGAGACCGGTCAAATATTAATAATATGGCTTGAACGCTGAACGGCTTGTTGTTTTGTACGTATGACAACGCCATCATGCAAACCTCTTTACGCCGATCTTGAATTCCCCTCACTACAGTGGGTCATTAAACAAACGATTTATCTCCAGAGCTGATCCCTCGACCAGACAGGGTTACCCAAAGCAGGACCAACTCCCCGAATACATATTCTAACAACAACCCTTGTCACACAAGACCATTTTGTATGAAGAACACTCCACAGATTAGCACAAGCATCTTCAGCATCAGATTCAGTATCGGATAAATCAGCCTCTTCACCGCTTGCGCTCCCGAAATCACGGGCCAGTGCTATCATTTCATATAAGATCTGCCTGTCCCCTCGAGTACGGCTTGTGTAAAATCCGCTTAAGCATCAACGTCTCACGCCTAAAAGGGAAGGTGCATCAAGTTCTTTTATCCGTTTCCACTTACACACAACTTCCGTCACCATGTCACCAAGTCGAACTGATGAGGTTGAATATCAGGAGGTTGCGGATACCAAGCCAAAAGTCTCATACGATATCAATGTCCCGTACATGCCAGCGTCGGGCGAGTATGAGGCACGTATAAAAGACCGAACCGAGTTTCCACAGTATCTCCCAGTATGGGAGAAGGGAGTTTGGTTCGACGAGGTGGAGGAGTTCGAGTACCATGATCCAGCCCTACGAGCGGACAAGGCCAAACCACATCTCCTCGCAGCTGGTGTAACAGCCACACCAATCACACCCAAGATGGGAACAGTTCTCACAGGACTCAAACTCGAGCAGCTCACTCCAGAAGCAAAAGACGAGTTAGCCCTTCTAGTCTCAGAACGCAAAGTCGTAGTCTGTCGCGAGCAATTCGACTTCCTCAACAAAGGCCCCGCCTACCAAGTCGACTTCATGCAATACTACGGCAAACTCTCCCACCAACCCGTCACCGGCGCCGTCAAAGGCTTCCCAGAATTCCACATCATCCACCGCGACGGCAACAAAGAAGAGATCGCCACGTTCTTCAAACACAAAACCACCTCCACAATCTGGCACCACGACGTCTCCTACGAGCGCCAACCCCCAGGCTACATCATGCTCGGCATCCTCGCCTGCCCGGACGTCGGCGGCGACACCGTCGTCGCCGACATGTCCGAAGCTTACAACCGTCTCTCCCCAGCGTTCCAGGGAATGATAAACCAAATGTCCGCGGTGCACACATCCGAGAAACTGATCGCGCACGCGCGCGAGAACAAAGGTCTCGTACGCAGTAACCCCGTAGATTCGATCCATCCGGTCGTGCGTGTGCATCCCGTGACGGGCGAGCGCGCGCTGTTCACGAACATGGAGTGGCCGAAGGAGTATCTGGGGTTGAAGCAGGAGGAGTCGGCCGTGGTGGTTAAGTTTTTGATGGATCATGTGAGGATGGGTCATGATTTCCAGGCGAGGGTGCATTGGGAGAAACATTCTGTGGTTATGTTTGATGGGAGGACTACGCTTCGTAGGTACCAACTTCTGACTGTGTGTACATTGCTAATGAGAAATAGATACCGCAACTGTTGACTACGACAACGCGGAACAAGCTCGTCATCTGTTCCGTCTCGCTGCTATGACAGAAGTGCCCATTTCCGTCTCTGACGCTGAACGTGGAATTCGTCGCTAAATCAACCTAATCTCTTCACATATCTCCATCCCTCCAGCTCATCCTCTACTTCACCTCACCCCATCAAACCCCTCTACCCTTTCATTTTACTGTACATATACATTTCCGGCCCTTCTATACCCTTCTTCCTTTTTGAATTTCCGGCTTCGGTGTTGCGGGTTCTATCTGGGCGAATACGTCTTTTATTGATGGTGTGGATGTATGTCACGAAAATACGCAAGCAAAAGATATAGGATACAAGCATGGCAATTTAACACAGTAGAGTAAATGCTAGGATTACAGAACACAATGTGGGATATCAAAATATGAACTTCATGTCTACCATCCATCATCTCTTTTCGGAATTCACACGTTCCTTTAAGTTACTCGCAGGGTTTCAATCCTACAAGAACGGGAGTTCGACTTATCACACAACATGAGCCCCTTTCCCTACCCCATGAGTCTTCCCACCCTCAAGACCACCCAAGATCAAAGAAATAGGATTCAACCCCCTTCCCTCTAGATCAGTGTTTAGCCTAATAAAGACCTCCCTCCTACAAACTTTACCACGCCGCTAAGAGTTCGGTCCGTCCCGCAGGAAAGCGAGGTATCTAACAGCAGGTCCGTGGCAGAGCGTCAGAATAAAGTTTGAGCTTGTGATGACGCAAGTCTTAGCCCTTCTCTGTGAGTGTGGTATGGTATTTTCAGATACGGTCGGACTAGGGAAGACGAAAATTGCACTGGCAAAGGAAAGGAATCGCACACCTGGCCATTTCAAGAGACTGGTTGGAAAGACTTGAAGAAGGGGGGAAAACACATCATGAAGCACATTTCAAAGACGTCACAATCACCACACCCCTCCGAAACAATAAAAAAAGAGTGGTATATTTCCCTTTCCCTTCCCCAATAAAACGCCAACCTTAAAAACAATCAGAGGAGCGTTTCATGATGATGCATACCCTACTACCACCTTCCGTTTTCCCTCTGTCCAAAAATCCTACCCTGCCCCTATAATGCCCATGCGCCTCTTCTTGCTTCCTGCATCTTGTCCTGGAATATGAGAACCGGTTGTAAAGGAAGATGCGGCACCATAACGCAGGTACACGTTACATATCTCATTTAAGCTGCGTCCCCCACGTTGTGATGCTAATACGTCCACCAACGGCTAGAGTCAGGAAGCCTATTTAATCCAAAAAGTGACCATACTTGGGTATCTTATGTCGACACCATTTTGACACGCGTGGTCTTGTGGCAGCCACGTTGAGCGGATATGTCTGTCGAATCGGCAATGTTGGCTCTAACTTGTAGCTTGACAAGAGCTGTATGATTGATACTTCAATCCTTCTGAGTAAATTCCCATATGGCGCAAAATTCATCTAATCGATTCTCGCGCTCTCTAGACCAATTTTGGCTTTAGGAGCATCGAGATTGTTCGCGAGTCGGATAGCGGGTCGTTTGTATTTAGACTGTTTGCGAAGTCGTTTCCTCGCAACCATGACAGGTACAGACGACTTGGTCACGAGGTAATTCGAGAAAGAACCTAGTATGACACTAGGATGCTGTCAGCTCTCGTTCTATGCATTGCAATAAAAGATTAACATACCCTTTGAGCGCGCTTCGCCCTCGACTCCCAAGAATTACCAAGGTTGGCGAAATGTAGTCGATCACTTCCGTAATCAAATGCTTCGGGCTCTTACAATGAATCACCTCAACCACCACTTTGACCTGTAGTTTAGTCTTTCTAAGCAGCTTTGAGACGCGATCTGTTATATCTTGTACTGCTCTATAGCGATCATGCTCTGCCTTATCCCGTTTCCGGCCCATGGGGCTTGCCGACGTACTATCAATATCTAGTCTGAATCCTAGACCTAGAGGACTAGGGGCAGGAACCGGCCCTAGCAATGGCGTACCTTGTGACGACCTCGTCGAGTTAGCGACCGCAATTGCTTGTTCTCTGAGATGCGCTTCATCTGCTCCACCGTCGACTCCCAGCTCTTCATCAACACAATAAATCGCCAGTAACGTATCACCATCGCGAAGCACAGTTCCAATTGTCCATTCCAGGGCATGGGCTGCCTCATCGCTAAGATCTGTTGCCACAAGATATTTCCTAACCCGTCGTTGATTGTCATGCGCCTCTTGTTGCATTTTCGCAAAATCACCACGGTAGAGTGTAAGAACACATCGTGAAGTTTGAGGAGTGGACACAATTGGGGTCATGTTTACAGCTAGCTTCTGAGCACGCTTGATATCAGTCAGGTCGGCCTCGGTATCAGAGTCTACTGGTGTATTAAGCCCAGTTCCTCCTGCATCAAAGCTGGTATTGGGATGAATCCCATGCTTGTTTGATTTTAGCTTCGCGCCACTTGGCGCTGTAACGGTAATTTCGGGCTCGAGTAAAGATCGAACTTTATAATTAGCGGCGACAGCCTCTCCTAAAACTATTTAGTGAAAATCCATCCAGAGTTGAAGACAAACATACGCTCTTCTTCAGCAGCTGCCATCTGACTTTTCGGTGCCGGCTTCGGGCCTTTTGCTCGACCCATTCCGAGTGTTGTGTTCTTATTCTCGGTATCGCTACCACGAGCTTTCTCCAAGCCTTTCCTCCCACGACGATTTTCATCAGAAGAAGTAGCGTCATCATCACTACTATCGGCAAGAGCCTCTTCACCATCAATGGGTAAATAGTCCTTTTGAAGCCGATTGTTACCAGCATTGTTAGCGTCACTGTTGTTTCTCGAGCGTGATTTTCCAGCTAAAGACGACAGAGCACCTCCTGAAAGAGCTAAATTGGCATCTGATAGCCTTCGATACGCAAGGTTCATATCCATAGTCTCGCCATTTTCAAGCAGGTGAATATTTGAAGAATCATTGCCTGCAGCAGACGTATGCGGAGAACCAGACCGCAATCCATGTGGGGACCGTGATTTCGCTGTACTGATTCCGGTACCAGCAATTGAATGGTTCCGGCCACGATCGCGTGATCCAAACAAACCTATGTCCCCCCCTCTCACGACCTCTGACATGGCACTTGGCAAAGAGTTTTTCTTGCCCGCTTGTGTATTCCTTTTTGGTACCACAGGACCCCCAGGATTCGAAGGTAAAATTCCCGCAAACTGATAAGCGGTGCTAGGATTTGTCGTCTTCGTCTCCAACACATTGGATCTGGGGCCAAAATCGGCCGGCCGGGAAGCAGCAGCAGCATCAGACAAGCTTCTGTGTTGTGACCCATTTGAAACATATGACCTGTGGTTTGCACTTGTAGGTGATGTGTGGGCACTCATTGATATGGCAGCAGGAGGTGCCGGGGCATCAATATCCAGCATACTTCGAATAACATGTCGAGGGGCTGTTGGCCTTGTTATTCCCCCATTTGTCCCTGCGATGGATCCGTGGCGAATGGTGGAATCTTCTGCAATATCTAACATGCTTCGTACGGGCGATCGAGGGGTCAACTTGGGCGAGGGCTCCCTGCCGGGGCTCAAGGAGCTCGCAGAACCTCTGGCGCGAGCTGCCTGGGCCTGGGCCTGAGCCTGAGCCTGGGCTTTTCCCTCCAAAATTGCCAGAACATCTTTCCTTTCTTCGTCTGCCACAGCTTGCTGAGAGGACATGGTCACAGTCAACTCAATAGAGACCTTGTGCGCTTAGTACGCTCTCTTGGCGACAAATGTTGTACGTTCGGCAGTGGCTGGGCGGTGATGCTGCCAAGATAGGATTCGGTATGTGTCAAAGAAGGTGGTTGTAAAGGCCGAAGGACGCTTTCATCCGTTGATGAACTTTCTGGGATGGCAGTCGAGTACGGTATTCTGCATTGTGGGGGGAAGCTGTAGTCAATCTCGAGGGACCTTAGGTCATTGCAACCATTGACAGCAAGGTCTGTGCCGTGGGGAGTTTGTAGGACAATGAGGTTGATGGGGGATACACAGTCAACCGGTTGCGAAAGCGCACTACTTCTACTAGTGTTGGGTGTGATTTCGAGGGTGTCTGTTACTCGTAAAGGGTTATGAGGCTGTAAATAACGACAAGACACGTCTGCCTTTACTCTCCTGGTGGCTGGGGAGTAATGATTGTAAGAGTTGTGAAATGGTAACGGATCCAAAGGGTTTCGGTGAATTTCCCCAGAAGTTGCTGCATTCGCTTCGCGGTTGCCTTTGCCAAGGGATTCCTACTGGCCTCGGATTCTCTGGATGATTCGATAGTAGGTACGGAGTAATCCTGATTAATCACACTTTATACATAATGAAGCCACCACGAGAGAGACGATGCTGAGGGATGTTGTCCTTTTACGATTTCAATGCGAATCGGGTCGTGCCAGTCCATATATCCACTTGTCCTTACCAACACGCTACCAAGATTGACCTACGGATGCACCCGAGCCCCAGATAGGCGGGGGACGCCCATGATCATGAATGGACCAGAATTTCCAGGAAGTGAAACTATTCCCATACTGGACACACAGCAGAAGTGGATTAACAAAGCCGCCAGCCTCTTCTCAGCTACCAGTAATTTCTCCAGCAGCAGGAGCGAATAGGCCAGTAAAAGGCATCAACATCCACCAATAACACCATCTTCTTGGCTCTATACATGCAAGTCATGAGATGTCGGTCTAGAGCCTGGCGTAGTCAGGATTCCAGATCTTCAGTCACAAGACTTGCAGGCTCCAGTTCCAATGCTATCTCGGAGTGGTTGGAAGTCTGCCAGGAACTGTACGATTGCTACACAGCATGAAGGGCTTCGTCGCGCGATCAATCGCCTGATTAGACAGCCAGTGGCATTGCTCTCCAATGATTCAGAGAGTAGCCTTAAGAAATAAGTACCACACAAACTCAGTTGCCAAGATCTAAGAGCAGGCTCATAATGCTCTGTCTCCTCAGCTTGAGCATCGCCGGCATAAACTAATTCCCCACATAACCGTAGGAAACCGAATGCGAGATCTATTGAGATTTTGCAGGTATCTGCAAAGTCACTTTCGATGTACATGATCATAAAAGAAAAGAGGTTCAAGAGTTATTAAGCATGGAAAGAACACGTTCAGACTAATAATTACTGATAACTCATATCGACACATCTATAGAAGGACATAACCTTTCCACCCAAAGCGATTCCACACCAAAAGGAATCATACAACAACTACCTCAATCCAGACCACAAATTTCACCGCCAAGTCCTCAGAATCTCCAATCCATCGGCACCAATACCCGACCCCTCAAGTCCCTCTCTAAATCCGAGTATTTCGGCAACTTCCCTAGCTGAATAAACCCTCTCACCCACCTCCGCCATCCGCCATGGACTTTCTGCAGCAAAGATGCAGGACTCCCGTGCTACCCGAAACCACAAAACGGATATAATGATTCATCTACCCAGGATAATAGAAGCCGCACATAACCTCGTACCAAGACCTCCCAAAAAGAAACATATAACCCCGCTATCTTTGCCAGTATAACTACCCGTGATGAAAAAGCAACTTTCCACCATGCTCTAGGTAGAAAACTAGTCCTCCAGCACAACACGATGATTGATTCACGGTAGCTTTTCATGGAAAGAGTTCATGATCAAAGAGTAGAGATGACCTTCCCCATCTTTGAATTCTTCACCCAAGGTAAAGACCCAGCATCCATAAATACCTGTCCTCTTTTATCTAAACCCTTCCCTGACTTACTTTGACCCCAAAATCTCCCCGTCACCCTCAGAAGTCACATATCTTATATCCCCATCAAGCCGCCCCAAAAACAAAATCCCCACCACGCACGCGAAAACAACATGTTTCTCACGTGTGAATTCAGCCTCTGCGAGTGCACAGAGCGGTGGAAATGATAGATATTCTTGGGGGCGATAGATGCTGTACATATAGTAGGTATGGGTGTTGATAGGTGCGGCTGTTGTGTATCTGCGAATGCTTTTTTTGAGGAATGAGGCAAAGGATGGGGTGGGTTGGATGTGGTTTTGTGGGAGGTAGTAGGTTTATTGGGTTTGGGGCTGTTTTGTTGCTTTGGTGGTGACTGATTGAAAGGGGTTGAGGATTCAAAATGTTGCCCAGTACTTTCAAACGTGGAAAGTGAATTTCAGCGATTGCCATCCACAGCTCAGAGCCATCAGAGTCCGAGAATCTCATAAATTGTTTTATACAATAAATAATACAGACACCGCCCACCCCTCCAATCGTAAGATTAAGAAGCTTGAATCCTCCTCCTCTTCTGTCCAAACATCAAGTTCGCTCTCGCACTAGTTCCCGATTTATGTATTAACCCTCTCTTATCCCAAACCCCACTCCGTCCCTCCACCACACTGATAATCTCCTCCGCAACCCTCTGCGCAAACTGGTTCTTGCCACTTCCCCTGCTCTTTTTCTTGCTAGCAGCGTCTAGGATCCAGGTAATGGCTGTTCTCCTCCGTTGCCTCAGGCCAAGCGGCACTGGAATCTGGAGAGCGGTACCACCACCCGCTGCACCTTTCTGGGAACGAATGCGTAGTAAAGGAGCGATGGAGTCGATAGCGAGGGTGAGATAGAGCACAGGGTTGAGAGGGAGAGCATAGGCTGGTGGAGAGCCGGGAAGTAAAGGTCGATCGGGGTTGGTTTGAGGGGGTGGGGAAGTGCGGAGGAAATTTAGAATGAAGGCCATGTTCTGGGACTCAGAGTTAGCGATTGAAGGATATTGAATACAAGAAGGCTTCATCTGCATGTAAATCCATGATTCGACTATTCATTTGCAGATAAGGAAAAAGCGGAAACCAACCCTACCCTTTGCGCAACACCAAGCTTTCCATGCTGCATTAATAGGTTTGTGACTTGATCAACAACCGGGTCGTATCTATAGTGCAAGTTTGCATTGGATGGTAGTGGAAGTGTAGGTAGACCGAATTTGTGGCCGACTGGTTCTCCATTGGAGGCATTTTGTAATTGTCCTAATGCGAGGAGGTTTGCAAAGGTTGTTTCGTCTGCAGCAGACTTTGATGTGGGATCTATCTCTTCCCTGATGATCTCTGGCGCCTTTTCTGTGCTCTCCTGGTCACGTTTGAGGATCTGTTGTAGAATTAGATAGAGATCTTGAGGAGGATGTCGTCATTTTCGACCCAATTGAATGTGGAAGAGCATACATCTTGTACTGGCGTTCCCTGGCTAGTATCTGGTTTTGTCCCTCCTGTGATCTCTGCATACTCTGCCGCTTCTTCGCTCACATGTGGAAGTTGATCTTGGTTTGGGCCCGGAGCAGGATTTCGACTCTTTTCCTCTGCGAACGTCCGTCGCGCAACAATTTGAGCGATTCGTGGCTGCACCGATGTCACTGACGGTCTTGAAAGTATAACTAATGAGCGAGAAGCCGCACGGAGGTTCAATCGTGGAGGCATTGCGATATATGTGGGAGACGTTGTATATCTCTTGGATGTTCATATGCGGAGGTGTCACATAATATTTTCGGCTAGCCTACAAGCATGTGCGGCCTTATATTCGTGGCCACAACATAGGCAAAATATCATTTCAGGGTTTATCGTTGTTGAACCCGACAGTCTGGTTGATTGCTTGTATGACAAGGCACCTCACCTCATCGTCAAAGTACTGTTTGCTATGTCTTCATCTGGAATCCCTTGCTTTAATATTTTCACCGATGGCTGCACATATGAGCTAAACCCAGTAGTTGCGGCACCAGCGGACTTTTCAACATTGCTGGAACTTGCAAGCATCCTAGATTTTTGAAACACAGAAACTAATAAAAATATTTGGAAGATTCTCGAGCTCATTTCAATATCGGTACAAGGACCAATGATAACCAATATCCTTTTCCAGAGAAATTCCCAAACCAAACCTTTTGCACCCCTGAAGCTGACTGAAAGCCTCTTTCAACTCCAGTATCGCTGCCATCCAATGTCCTGTCAATCCTGTATGATAGCAATACCTGACGCCGAAAGCCATACCACATTGCGCCAAACCATGCAGCACCATACCATAGTAGTCCCATTCTAATAACCTTATCCTACATGCTCAATCACTTTTGAATGGCTCCGTCACGGCTCAGAGATCAGATTAGCACCATCCTGATCGACTTTGAGATGGTGAGCTTGGTGAAGATGCCTCGATTTGCTTCAAGGCAACTTCTGCTGCGTCTTCTTTGGCGTTCTTGACATATTGCCCGTCGTACCAATATCTCGCAGGGATGGTTTGTCCCTGGACGGTAACGGTGCTGGACCAAGCAGTTCTTCCTCCTATGCATGGTCAATTGAGTGATTAAAATCGATGTGGAATTGAAACGCCGATACATACCTCGTCTATCAGATACGATTTGATAATCTGGAATTTGAAAATCCATTTCACGGCATTTAACTGTTTCATATTAGAAGGAAGATTGCCAAAGACTAAGCCTACCAACCTTCAAGCTTCTCTACCCATGATCTGTTGCTTGTATTGGAGCTATAACTGCTGTAGGACATAGTTGCGGATTCTTTGAAGTCAAGATCGTCGTTGTGAGTAAGTGTGGATTGAAAGAGTGGGAAGGTGGGTACGGTTATGGCGTTATGCTTTGCAGGAAGTGTGATTGAAGTCTTATAGGTAGATCTGCCAGCTTAAGGGTACTTTGAAAGGAACGTTGGGTTGAAAGTGTGAGGTGGCAAGTGGACTATCAACAAGGGAAAAGAGTAGGAAATTGCTGCGTTTGCGAAGCCCCCATGCAACACGGCAGCTAGACTCGAGACTGTTTCGGCATGATGCATCTGAGCAGATGGAGAATTACCTTTCGAAGAAGTAACATCGATCACCCGAATGATGATGGCAGAGCCGTGTGTGCTGGAGCCATCGGTTGCATACCACAGCCCATGTGCAACGCTTATGATAACTTTGGCAACAATACAAAAGCAATATGGGCTGAGACAACACCTGGGAGTGGGGACGCAGAGCCAACGCTGCAGACTGTCACAACCCGTCCCAGCCTAGCAATCGTCATGGGACATGAGTGCTCTCTTCGAAAAGCATTATGAGGTCAAAGTCGGAGCATGTGGGGAGCAGAAGACATGTGTGGAAGAGGGGCGTATTGGGGGTATAACCCATAGAATGCAAACGTATGGATTGCAAAGTCCAATAGAATTCAACTTGCCAACTTTGGTAAGGTGCGCTGCACGCATACGAAGTAGGACGTGCAAGACGTACCAATAATTCCCAGAGAAATGCGCTATGTTTGCTCAATCGACGTTTATAATCTCCCACGCTAGCTCTTGTGTATCGTTGCTTTTCTCGAATAATCAAAAATATGTTCGTAGATCCCGGACATTGACAACCCCAACCAAACGGAGAGGACAACCCTACTCGCAGCTGTCGCTACTTTCTGGGCCAATAAGAAAGACGATCGGTGATCGATAAATCACTTGCGCAACATGATAGCTTGGATCCGGATCTTGCAAACCCTGCAGTGCAAACTGTGTCGTGCGCACCATCTCTGGTACTTGAACCTCAAGGTGCCGGTGAAGCTACACCGCATAACCGGGTAACTACATCTATACGGCAAAACCTGAGTAACTCTCCAGGAAGCTCCTTGATTCGAGAATGGGAATTCGATAACGCGGAGAAAATCCCTGCTAAATATATAGTTGGGAAATTTGGAGAGAGATCAGCCTTGTGACCTGCGTCTCTCATAATATGCGGTACAGTATCAATGTCAACCATCGAGACATCTGTGTGCTCACCGCTTGATCAACACCACGGAGAGATACAGATGGACCCGACAGGTTGGTAAGATTAGGAATTTCGCGAAAGGATCTTGCCGGAAAGCAAACCGGCATTCAGATTGCTACAGCATGTACGAGTGCTGTAGCTCTGACCACTTTGCAAGGGCCAATCCGCGTCAACCCAAGAGGAGAGAGGAAATTGTACAAACGCCTGGAAAGAATCATGTTTGCGAAATGAACTGATTCTCCGTTTCACGACAATCGAGTACCAATCCAGCACAAGGTTCCCGTAATATTCACGCAATTGCGTTCCCATCCCTAAACCCTTGATTTGGCCAGAGTCCAGTCGGATATCCCCCGCGGGATGGCGGCAGCAAGACAAAATGCCGCCCAAAGAGTCTCAAGATACCCGTCCAAATCGGTGGGGGCCCATCGATACCAGAGTCAATACTTGCGCGACGCCGCTCAGCCCGATCAAAATGATGTGAATAGATGCGTGGCGGCTTGAGAGCAGGACAAGTGTTGCAGCCTCGTGGGATGCCACAGCCAGCCTTGTTCCAACAGTGCATCTTGAGCATTGCTGCCCAGTCCCGCGACAGCCCGAATTTTCGACGTCCAAGTTGGGTAAAAACCACGATCCAGCCTATCGTTGGACAGCATAATTGAAATGCAAGCGATATGGACCATGGTTTGGCAGCACATTGGCGGGACGGGAACGAATTTTCCGATTGAATATTCTTCTTCGTTGGGCCGTTGCGAGAAGCATTGAAACCCAAGATTCAGTTTGCGTATCCACATGATGGCCTCGACGTTGTATACTTGGGTACATGAGGGACATAAGATGTCAATTCATCCGGGAAAGGAGCCTGAGCCAAAGCAAGGTATTGTTGGAATCCTCGAATCCTCGAATCTGTCAATGTCATCGTTCTGACAAGTCGCGAAAGCAAACTCCCCTAACCGACGGCTCATAATCCTATTAAACCGGGGAAATAAAGACAGGAAATTCTCTGTTGGCAAACGAACTGAAGAAACGATGAATAACTTTGAAATTTGCAACACTCGTGGCAGCGGCGGTATCAAAAGTTATTGAGTTGTGAAGCTCTGGCAGACCCACATGTACCTTCGTACCTGGGCCGGCACTAAGACCCAGAAAGGATGAGTAATCATTCTTGCACGGGGAATGGAATCCATCGAGAATTTCGGCAAGGGTCCAACGGGCCGAGGCATTGAAATCGTGGGGAATCCGCTGACAGCTGGTGGTGAGTATTGACATTCTTACTTCTCCGGAACTACACCCTTTTCAACGACCAAGATAGACATCTGGCACATGCACATAGACTAGACGATACTTTAATCTTGTATATTGAGCGGTCATTGAAGAAATTTCAAACTAATCGAAATGCCCTTCAATACGAAGCTTACTCGGGCTCTGGGGATCAAAAGTACGTACACCTCGCAGTATGCTGTCAGTGTCAAGAAAGCTAATAATCCTGCTTCCAGTACCCGTGGTCCAAGGTGGAATGCAATGGGTTGGATACGCGGAATTGGCATCTGCAGTCAGTAACGCAGGCGGCCTCGGTATTCTGACGGCGCTCACGCAACCAACACCCGAAGACCTTCGAAAAGAGATCCGGAGATGCAAAACCATGACCGACAAGCCTTTCGGCGTAAACATTACCCTCCTACCTGCGATGACTCCTCCAGATTATGGTGCATATGCGCAAGTAACCATTGAGGAGGGTATAAAGGTTGTTGAAACAGCGGGAAACAGTCCTGGCCCGGTGATCAAGCAGCTGAAGGCAGCGGGAATAATCATTTTGCATAAATGTACGACAATCAGGCATGCCGAAAGTGCAATCAAGCTTGGAGTAGATTTCCTGAGCATTGACGGATTCGAATGTGCTGGACATGTTGGAGAGACGGACATTACCAACTTCATCCTGCTTAGCCGAGCGCGACAGTCTTTGAAAGTACCCTTCATTGCATCAGGAGGCTTTGCAGATGGGCAAGGACTTGCTGCTGCTTTGAGCTTGGGCGCTGAGGGTATTAATATGGGAACTCGCTTCATGTGCACAGTCGAAGCACCAATACATCAAAATATTAAGGAGGAGATTGTAAAGGCATCGGAGACTGATACTGAGCTTGTGCTAAGAAGATGGAAGAACACTAGTCGATTATACAAGAACAAGGTCTCGCAAGAGGCAACAAAGATAGAAAGAGAGAGCACAACGGGTAAGTTTGAAGAAGTTGCGCCGTATGTTAGTGGTAAGCGAGGAAGAGAGGTTTTCATAAATGGTGACCCAGACTATGGTGTAAGTACCCAATCCAAAGCAGCAGATACTTGACTGACAAATACATACAGGTCTGGACAGCTGGTCAGGTCATCGGTTTGATTCATGATATACCGACGTGCAAAGACTTAGTTGAGAGAATTGAGAAGGATGCTGAAGATACGCTGAATCAAGCATCTTCGCTTATTATACCCAGGAGCAAGCTATAGTTGTACTATGAAAATAGATCTTTCTTCAATGCTATCACAAAGATTTCACAGACTGAAACACCATCCGGAGTGATTAAAAGTAACGCAGAGTAAAGAACTCTATGTCTTCCCTGGCAGCTTGACGGTTCTCATCTCACATACCTTTTCACAGTCTTCACTTCATATACTTCCTCCTATTCACACTCACAACGAAGCAACTCAAACCACACCTCGCTTAACCACATCTGCTCATCCCACTCTTCACCACATAAGGCTAAATACAGCACATGCACATTATGATTCCGCATCTGCATATCAACCCTTCATTACACAGAACGTCATATCACATCTCCGGGTCCCAGATCTACCTTTTGTACGACTCTAGAAGCTCTAGGAGCTGAATACTCATCTCTCCTTTTTCAATATATCTCAAGCAAGATGTCCAATAAAATCCCTAACCTAACCCTCTCAAATGGCACCAAAATCCCCGCCCTAGGCTTCGGCACCTTCGAAGATGTCCCCGAGGGAATGTACAACGCCGTCCTATGCGCCCTGGATACCGGGTACAGACATCTAGATTGTGCATGGTAGTACGTCCCCCCCCCCAAAAATACCCTCTCATCTCCCCACAAACTCACAACCGAACCAGCTACAAAAACGAAACCGAAGTAGGCGCCGCCCTCCGCACCTGGCTCACCCAAAACCCCTCCGTCCCACGCTCAGAAATCTTCATCACGACGAAAATATGGCCGCATCTAATGACGCCCGAGGATCTACGCTGGAGTCTGGATTCCTCGCTGCAGAAACTGGGGGTCGAGTATGTGGATGCGTTGTTATTGCATTGGCCTGTGGCCGCTGAACGGGATGAGAATTACGAAGTTGCGAAGGACCCGGTTAACAATGGCGTAAGTCACCTAGACTCATGAATCTCACAAATGTAAGAAAAGAGAAAAGGACTAACAAAACAGTATATCCTCAAACCAGACCAACCAGCCGCCCTCCTCGCCGCATGGGAAACCATGATCTCCCTCCTCACCACAACAACAAAAGTAAAAGCCATAGGCGTATCCAACTTCAGCACCACCCACCTCAAACCCCTCCTACACACCTCCCACCCCCCAATGATAAACCAAATAGAAATCCACCCCTACTTCCCCAACACGCATCTCATTTCCTTCTGCGCCCAGCACAAAATCCAAGCAGTAGCCTACTCACCCCTCGGCTCCCAAGGCCAGACCGTCCGTCAGGGACAGACCGTCGCTACCGTGCTGACAGATCCAACACTCCAGGCATTGGCGGCGGAGAAAGGGTGTAGTATAGCGCAACTGTGTATCGCGTGGGGGATTCAAAGGGGGTATGCTGTGTTGCCGAAGAGTGCGAATGAGGGGCGGCTGAGGGCGAATTTTGAGGTGGTGAGTTTGAGTGAGGGGGAGATGGAGAGGATTAATGGGATTGCGGGGGGGATTGGGAGGAAGGATGGGAAGGGGGTGAGGATGGTGAATCCGATTGAGATGTTTGGGTTTGATCTTTGGGAGGGGGAGGATGAGTGATTGTAGATGATGATAGACAAGATGAAGCATTGGCCCTTTAAATAGAACTTGAGACTGAAACACCACGATACAACCACAAGACCGCTGCTTTAATTTTGCAAAGTTTTTTTTAATTGATTCCTAGTCTACTTCTGCCAACTTCAGCCTCGGCACTTCAAATCATCGAACAAATAAAGCCCAGCCAAACACTCTAGCAGATTGACCACCAAAAGCAAGACAAGCAGACCATCCATACCGTTCCATGTTCGCCATACCACCAGCATCCGAGAGCAAGATAAAGTAAAAGACATTGAAATATTATATGCACAGTTTCAGGTGGAGATTATCCGAAAGACGACCAAGTCTTTAATAGCCGATGAGGCATTGCTTGTGCATGTAGTGGTAGTCTATGAGAAATGATCGGATAATCCATGGTATCGATCAAAATAAAGAAATTGTTGTTGTAAAAAGTGATTCGTAGTCGCAAAAGGTATAATCGGAGAGATGATCAATCGATCAACCACCTCAAATCGTGCCACGGGAATCGTGAATGAGCAAAACTTTTCCAGATCCATTCGCCATAACCGATTGACAAGATGCGAAGCCGTGTATCAGGGACATCATTAAGGAATATGTGAAAGGTCGAGAGATAGAGAAGAGTGGGCAATTAAGCCTTCTCCTCAACCTTCTCACCCTCCTTTGCGTCACCACCCTCAGCTTCTCCGCCCTCCTTATTGTTTTTAACATATTCGTCATAAACAGTCAGAGCCTCGTCGACCTTGTTGCGAAGAGCAGACTCGTCCTCAATGCTAGGAAATATTAGTACAGGCAGACTTAACAGTATTCATGATAAACTTACAGGTTGACCAGCTCAGGGTTCTCCATCTCCAACAACATACCAGTAATCTTACCAGCGAGTTCAGGTTGCATGGCTTGAATCTTTGGGAACAAAGCTTCTCCAAGAACTTGCTTCTGTTGTCCAGGACCAGCAGCCGCAAGTTGAGCTTGCAGAACGCTAGCACCACCCTCGGATCCAGCCTGAGGCATGCCAGGACCTTGAGGTGGCATACCACGAGCATTTTGTGGTGGGAAGCCGCCGGGGAATTGACCAGCACGAGCATTTTGTGGAGCACGTCCACCCATACCACCTTGACGGCCACCCTGAGGAACACCTTGCATGCCCTGTTGACCACCTGGAAGACCAGCCATGTTTGGAGGCATGCCTGGCATACCTTGCATTGGTCTAGCTGGACCACCTCGGCCACCACCGGCTTGCAGAGAAGCAGCGTGTGCAGCTTGTTGCATGGCGGCGATGTATTGTGGGTTGTTCTGTTGAGGGAATTGACCTGGTGGAAATTGGCCTGGAATACCATACATGTTTGGTGGCATTTGTTGAGGTCCACCTCGACCACCTTGTGGTGGGAAACCGCCTGGGAACTGAGCAGGACGGCCTCCTTGAGCAGGCATTGGCATACCAGCCTGTGGAGGATATGGCATACCGCGTCCACCAGCTGCTGGCATGAAACCTGGCTGTTGTCCTGGTGGGTAGAACATGGGTGCTTGCATGTACTGTGGTGGCATACCGGCTTGTGCAGCGGCTTGCTGCATACGGATTTGGTTGCGTGCCTGAATGCTGGCCTCGAGTTGACCTTTGCGGACATCTTTACGTTGAGCAAGAGCAACGTAGAGTGGCTTGCCGTTGACCATGTTCTGATTCATATCGGCAATAGCCTTGGTAGCCTCGTCGGGGTTGCTGAAGCAGACGAAGCCAAAACCCTTGCTCTTACCAACGGTTCTCTTCTCTGACTTTGGTGCCTCCTTCTTCTCGCCATCAGCCTTCTCACCTTCTTCGGCGTCTCCCTCCTTCTTGTTCTCCTTGTTCTTCTCCTCCTCCTTTTTCTCAGCCTCGGCAGTCTCAGCAGCAGAATCACGCATGACCTTAGCAGATGTAATGGCACCGAAAGGAGTGAAGAGTTCGCGGAGCTTCTCGTCATCAACATCATCATCCAAGTTCTTAACGTAAAGATTGACACCCTGGTACTTGGATGCCTTCTCGATTCGTGCTGCCTCGTATGATTTTCTCAATTCCTCCTCACGCTCATGTTTCTTTTGTGCACGACCAACGTAAAGATCCTGACCCTTGAAATCCTTGCCGTTGAGCTCGTCCACAGCAGTAGCGGCGTGCTCGTGGTTGATGAAGTTAACGAAACCAAATCCACGGCTCTTTCCAGTGTCCTGGTCTCGAGCAAGCGATGCGGAAGTGACATCTCCAAACTTCTCGAAGAGCTCACGGAATTCCTCGTCCGTGGCCTCGACTGGAATGTTCTTAACGTAGATGTTGGTGAAGTTGGCCTTCATCTCTTCGAACTTGCTTTGGCGGTCCTTCTTTGGAATGTGGTGACCGACGAAAACCTTCTTCTCGTTCAACAACATGCCGTTGACGTGCTTGATAGCCTGGCTCGCAGCTTCGTCGGTCTCGTAGTGAACGAATCCGTATCCCTTGGAGGCACCAGATTCGTCTTGAGCGACCTTGCAACTCAAGATGTTTCCGAAAGCAGCAAAGGTATCGTGAAGAGCCTTGTTGTCAATGGCAGTGTCCAAGTTCTTGATGAAGACATTGCCCTGACCAGTCTTTCGGAGCGCTGGGTCACGCTGAGACCACATAATACGACAAGGACGGCCTTTGATCAAGGTGTAGTTAAGCTCCTCCAAAGCCTTCTCGCCATCAGTGGTGGTGTTGTAGTTGACATAGGCATATCCGAGGGAGCGACGGGTGACAGCGTCACGGCAGACACGAATAGAAGCGACGGAACCGATCTGAGAGAAGAGCTCGAAAAGCATGGCTTCAGTGACGGATGGGTCGAGCTCACCGACATAAAGGGATGCGGAAGCTTGTGGGTGAGGAACGGCGGAGCTTGGGGTAGGTCCAGCCGTATCAGGGTCCTCGTTGGAGAGGTTTGAGACATCAGTGTTGATGGCAGGGGCGCCGTTAGAATCACCTCCATTCAAGGACGTATTGTTCAAATCGGCAGCGAGCTGGTCGACAGCAGGGGCGGTAGAAGCAGACATCTTGAGTAAATGTAAGACTATGACAGGTTAGTATTTTGAGAATGAGACTTTGTTTGGCTCTGCCAGCGAAGCTGTGTATGCCCCCAGCCGTACGTGAATGGTGCAGGAACTGGAAATGCGACCGTATGCGCAACGGGAGGTGAAGGGGGAAATTTACCTGTTACGTCGAGAAGCGACTAGAGTAGGGTATCGAAGCCTGACAGGACGTATCGCGAGCAGTAATAGTGTAAGGAAGTAATAGCGGTAGATGTGCAAAGATCGTAATGTCCTGACACAAATAGCACAAACTGTTCTGAGGTTGGGTGGAGGATGAGGTGGTAGCGGTCGAGATTTACAAATCGATCGCAACGTTCGTGATTTTATGGGGTTTTCAAGTTTTTTTTGTCTCTTGTCGAGGGTTTTCTGAAAGAAGAGGGCGAAGAAGAACGAAAAAAGTACGAAATCGTACTTGGTCCGCGCAGTTCAAAGCTTGTTTGGTTGTGGTGGTGGATAGAGGAAGAAAGAACAAAATTATAAAATTTCACGGTCTGTCTTTGTTGCGCGAAGAGGCTAAGTCCCGATGAGGAAAGGCTTGATTGCGCGGTGCAGAAAGCGGCGTCATAAGGAGGGATTCACGTACCAAGTGACAATCAGGTGGGTTTATAATCAACAATAGTAGGTAAATTCAACCTAGGCACCTAGTGTTGATCTCATAATTCAAGTATTTTTCTTATAACAAATGGAAATTGCTCGCAGTATACTCCACCAACTAACTTGAGTCTACAGTGTTCAGACAGTCAGCGCAAGGCTGCCGCCGCCTTACAATCCTTTATCTGAGGCACGTGAGATAAGTCGAGGCCTTGAACAATACTGAAAGAGTTTGATACTGAGGTGTCGCACAAGACAAATCTTCCGTAATCTAATCCTGCAAACGAGTAAATTCCTGAATACTCAAGATCCCAAAAATACAACCTGTTCTCACTCGTTGCGAAGTTGCTGTTGCGCTCCATTTCTCCCGGTCTGGCGCTCAGGGGTGTCTGTGCGATTCAGTCGCCCACTGGTGGAAATCTCGCGCTAACCCTAATTCGGTCAGGCGCGACCAGAGGTGCCCTTTCTTTGATCAAAAAAATTTGGCCCTTAGTTTTCTTACTTTTTGCAGGTTCTTCTTCTCACAACATCAACCAAAACCATCTGCTCGCGCTCTCCATTGATTCGAGACGCTTTCTACAATCGCGTATAGCCAGACAGATATAACGACGACTTTACTCACCCTCATCCGCTCTTTCGCTCTTTAAATCATCAGAATGTCTTACGGTGGAGGATACGGAGGAGGTGGTGGTCGCGGTGGCGGCGGAGGCTACTCTAATGGGTACGATAATCATGGTGGTCGAAATAACTACTCCAGTGGATATTCCAACGGGTATGACAACCTTAGGTCTTGATATTGTTGTGAAGTCGGTCGCTTTCCGTGGTTTGAGTCGCGTGGTGATTAGGCTGTCGCTCGCGCTTCAGCCTTATGATCTCACGTTGGCTCAGGCAACACAACTCCCTCAGTTTCATACTTTTTACGATGAACTATCGCTAACATATCAAACAGAGGAGGAGGCGGTTACGGAGGAGGTGGTGGGGGGGGTTACGGTGGAGGAGGGGGAGGAGGTAATGTGAATGGTTACTCCGGAGGCGGTGGTGGTTATGGAGGAGGTGGAGGATATGGCGGCGGTGGTGCTGGAGGCGATCGCATGTCTAACCTCGGTGCTGGTCTTCAGAAACAATCATGGGGTATGTTTATGTCATGTCCTTTGCGCATTTGAAAAACTAACAATTTTCCAGACATCAACGCCATGCCAAAATTCGAAAAGTCGTTTTACAAAGAGGACCCCCTGGTCACCAACCGATCCGAGGCCGATGTCGCTAAATTTAGAAAGGAGCACAACATTGCTGTCCAAGGCTCAGATGTACCACGACCTGTTGAGACTTTCGACGAAGCTGGTTTCCCAGCGTATGTCATGAGCGAGGTCAAGGCCCAAGGATTCCCAGCACCAACAGCTATTCAATCCCAGGGTTGGCCCATGGCTCTCTCTGGTCGTGACGTGGTTGGTATCGCAGAGACAGGTTCCGGAAAGACTTTAACCTACTGTCTACCAGCTATCGTTCACATCAATGCCCAGCCTCTGCTTGCCCCAGGAGATGGACCCATCGTTCTCGTCTTGGCCCCAACTCGTGAGTTGGCTGTTCAGATTCAGCAAGAAATCACAAAATTCGGTAAATCCTCCCGTATCCGTAACACCTGTGTCTACGGTGGTGTTCCAAAGGGTGGACAAATTCGTGACCTCGCCAAGGGTGTTGAGGTCTGTATCGCCACTCCAGGTCGTCTCATCGACATGCTCGAGTCCGGCAAGACTAACCTTCGTCGGGTAACTTACCTTGTTCTTGATGAGGCTGATCGTATGTTGGACATGGGTTTCGAGCCACAAATCCGCAAAATTCTCGGACAAATTCGACCAGACAGACAAACTTGCATGTGGTCTGCAACATGGCCAAAGGAAGTTCGTGCTCTTGCTTCAGATTACTTACAAGACTTCATTCAAGTCAATATTGGTTCTCTTGAACTATCCGCTAACCACAGAATTACCCAAATCGTCGAAGTCGTCTCAGAGTTTGAGAAGAGAGACAAGATGACCAAACATCTCGAGAAGATCATGGAAGATAAAGATAACAAGATCTTGATTTTCACAGGTACAAAGCGAGTTGCTGATGACATCACACGCTTCCTTAGACAAGATGGATGGCCAGCGCTGTGTAAGTTCTCCAACTCGTTGTCTACTCTACATTTGCTAATCTTCCCTAGCCATCCACGGTGACAAACAACAAAACGAGCGTGATTGGGTCCTGAATGAGTTCAAGACCGGAAAGAGTCCCATCATGGTTGCCACTGATGTGGCTTCTCGTGGTATTGGTATGATTGAAACCCCCCTCCCCCCCGCAGCGACTCCAAGACGCCTACAGCTTAGTGCTTTACTCTCAACGCTCAGGCGATATCTAGCTTGCGCATCTTGCCCGGGTCCTTTCGTGTCTTACGGTTCTCTATTCAAGGGTGTCTTGGATGTGGAGTGCAGCATCTCTCATGCTTTACTCGTGATTCCAACCCACTAGTGCTTTTACAAGGTACAACTGTGGAATTGGCATTTCTTGATTCGTTCAAGCAGTCTCCAAGCCCCCCAAACAAGAGGACCAGGATGTGTAGATTCCCTACCCTGGCTTGCCCGCAGTGGACACACCATGTCTCGTGCTGAGAGAGTATTGGATGCGTATATATACATATGCAGCTCCTACACTATCGCCCTGGATCGTTGCTATACACATTCTTTTGTTCTTGCTAACCCTTCAATGAAGATGTCCGCAACATCACCCACGTGTTGAACTATGATTACCCAAATAACTCAGAAGACTATATTCATCGTATTGGTCGTACTGGTCGTGCCGGTCTCAAGGGTACTGCCATTACTCTGTTCACAACTGACAGTAAGTTTCATTGTCTCCACATCATGGTACCTACTGACTTTGAAACAGATTCCAAGCAGGCTCGTGATCTAGTTTCTGTTCTCACTGAGGCAAAGCAGAATGTTGATCCAAAACTTGCGGAGATGGCACGCTACGGTGGAGGCGGTGGCGGTGGCCGATATGGAGGAGGTGGTTTCCGTGGAGGGCGTGGTGGTGGTCGTGGTGGTGGTAAGCTTACTCTTTTCTTTTCTCCTGTTCCATCTTAGATGGGACTAACAAGAGTCGCTCCCTAGGAGGTTTCACCTCTTCTAACGCTGCTCCACTAGGAGGTAATCGGCGTTGGTAGAGCCCAATCGTTCGAGTGACCCAATCGCGACACAATTTTGATTCAATCCATGATGAAGGACATATCGAAGTCTAATGGAGAAGAATAATTTTCATCCCGGTCGTTAAGGCGTTGAAGGTCTGGGAAATGTGGAGAGGGTAATGGTTGCTGGATATACTTACCTCGAGCAGCCTTCTCTTTGGTCCCATGCAGCTTTTTCTTTCATTATAACCAAAATTGCTTTATTTTTGTCTGGTCATAAGCCATGGGTTTTAGACAGGACTGCTTTCGTCCCCCATTTCGGCCCTCATAGAATGTTTTGCCCTAGTTTACAGTTTATACGGTATGTCTTGAAGTAAAGATCGACACGAGTCGGATTCTTTAACAAGATACCATAGCGGGAGGAACGTGTAATACTGACTCTTTTAGACGGTCAGTTGTAGCTAGCTTTCTTTAAGTACGATAGATAAATGACATTCGAAAATTCGTATGCAATACACTTGGCTCTTTAAATGTATTCTGGAATTGCGAGTCCATCGACAGAATATGGATTTGCCCGAAAAGTGCACGTGTCGGACTAGTGTCCTGCAAGCCACAAGCGAGGGGTTCTTGTTCCCCCTTTTGAACCTTCATCTCCGACGTTTATGGGCCTGAGAATTCGACGCTTTTTATCACATCGAACCAGAACTTGATTATTCGCCCACGTGTTCGGACTTTGGTTCTTGATATTTGAAAAAGTACATGATGGACTGGGATCGTCATCACTTTTCATTTGTTGGAGGTGGGGGAGATGTGGGAAGTCTGGATTGGGATGGGAGATGGAAGGTCTAATATGGATATGCATGTGATGACGAGATCTTTGTTGAATGGGTTGATCATGTATAAGAGTGATCGTGGTCCTATATAGCTGGGGTTTGGGTTGGGAAAGTAGTTGTCTTTCTGCTTCTCTGTTTGAGCCTACCGGCTGGTATACTCAGACACGATGCTCAACACACTTGCATCCTTCACATCATTTGTAATTGCGAGTGCTGTGTTGGATAGTGTAATTGCGGGTCCTGTATTCTTGTCGCCGGTTCAAGATATCATTTTACCATCGAGCGACACTGCGACGTCGCCGTTGACGCAGCTGGGTGCTAATAGTCCTTGGTTTGCTGGTGAGTTTGCTCTATTCTCAGTAACCACTTCTATTTCGCTGGGAAATATATTCTGGAAGATTGGTTGGAAAACGGCTAACGAAATAGGTCCCAACATCAGCGGTGAAAGCAACGACATCCCCGAAGGCTGTACAATCGAAAATGCAGCCTACGTCGTTCGTCATGGGAGTCGATATCCCGATTCTGGAGCCTACGCGGAATGGACGGCTTTATACACCAAGGTCAACCTAATTCATCCATGATTCCTCAAACCACCTACTAATAAGTCTCTCAGATCCAATCCTCATCCTTCACCGCAAGCGGTCCCCTCTCCTTCCTCGCATCCTGGAAACCAGTGCTCACCAACCCCACCCTCCAAATCGCAAAGGAATCACCCACGGGCTACAAGGAAGCCTTTGATCTCGGCTACCGTCTACGTACTCGCTATCCGTCTCTCTACGAAGTAGGCAGCCCCTTTATTGCCTGGGCGAATCTCGTGCCACGAGTCGTAGAAACGGCGCAGAATTTCGTGCGTGGATTCTTAGGCGCCCAGGCAAGCGTGTTGGGGAGTGTGATTACAGTGAACTCGACGGGGAGTGCGGATGCGGTGTTTAATTCTCTTGGGCCGAGTGATCAGTGTCCGGCTTTTAAGGACGGGAATGGTGGTTCAAACCGTAAATCCCCCTCTCTAGCCACCCGCCTTTTATGTGTACTAATGAATGTAGTAACGACATGGAATTCCATCTACCTCCCCCCCATCCTCGCCCGTCTCAGCCCCTTCATCACAGGCAACCTCACCCTCACCACCTCCGATCTATCCATCTTCCCCTACCTCTGCGGCTTCGAGTCGCAAATCACCGGCACGCTCTCCCCCTGGTGCAACATCTTCACTGACGCTGAGTTACTCCAATATTCTTACGCGCAGGATTTGCGGTATTACTACGGAATAGGCGATGGCACGGATCTGCAGTCGAAGATGATGTTGCCGTTCTTGCACTCCCTCGTTACGAGACTGGCGCTGGGGAAAGGCCAGAAAGGCGTGAATGCGAAGGGTGAGGAGTTTAAAGTCCCGGATTTGTTGACGCTGTTTTTGAATGATGGACAACTTGTTGAGTTGGTCGCCGCTACGGACGTCATGGCTGACGCGGAAGTGCTTGATGGAAATCGCCTTCCTGGGCCGGAGTGGAAGTACCGCGCCAGTAGGTTCGTGAGTATGCGCGGGACTGTTGCTTTTGAGAATCTGAAATGCTTGTCTGGGAATTATATCCGCGTTCTCCTAAACGACGCAGTGTACCCTCACCCGTTATGTGCTAATGGACCGGGGAAATCATGTGAGACTGGCAAGTATGTGAAGCTCGTCGCTTCGAAGCTAAGTCAGGCGGGCGATTTGAGAGCGAAGTGTGGGATTAAGAGTGTTTCTGGGAATGGCACGTTCGGGGATGGAAGTGCACGGGTGGCTGGGAAGGGTGCTGGGTTTGTGGGGGATTTGAGAGGAGGGTGGTTAGGTAGTGTTGTTCCTTAGCGGTGCGGTGAGGGGTGTTGGATGAATTATTAAGAATCCGCGGTACAACGAATGAGGAAACTAATAAACTATTTGAAATCTGGAGTATCACGCTGTCTCTGAAGCTAATAAAAGTGAACATAAGATTCTAATCACTAAACATACACACCCCATCTACATAGCATACACCACCAGACAACACGTCTATCTCATCCCAGCAAATGTTCTTCATTTCACATCACCAAGAAAACAACCTCGAAATCACACTTCCCACGCCACGAACCCAGCCTAGATACATCACATAATCAAGAGTATAGAACGGCGCTACGGGTAGTACCTATTATCTAGGGAGTTCATCACATACTCTACACAATATTCAGCAGATAAAGAACCACAGGATTAGAAAACCCCTTGTTGTTCTGAGAGATAAGAAGGAAATGATTAGACGTAGTTATCTTGGTGGAAATTTAATATTTTTACACTTACTCTTTCTCCTGATTGCTTTAACTCTTTTTTACTCTCAAGCAAATAAACCACGTATCCAACGGCACGAAAAAGAAGAAGGGTTATGTTATAGAGTAGGAGTAATTCCACACCCCTTCAAATCCGAGAATGGTAAACCTCATCTCTCTTTTACCTAGTTTCAAGCTCACAGCCCCTAAAGTTCCTAAATTCAGCGAACGCGCTCACTTCCTCTCTAACAATATCAACACACATTATAGCACAGTATCCAAATACCCCTTAGAATAGAAACAGACTTAAATCACACGCTCACGAAATCAACACCAAAAACAGACCAAAAACCTATCAAAAATGATAACAATAATATATATTCCACCCCCCCCCCCCCCTCCCATCCATCAACTATCTAACAAATTCCTCCCTCATCTCCCTCAAAATAGATAATCGAATCACCTATCCCCTCAATCCCTACCCCACCCCATCCCAAAAATATCTACGGTAAAAACAACACTCCCCTCGCAAAACACAACAACAACAACCAAAAAAACAAACCCAAAAAAAAGCATAAACCCAAAAAAGATGTAAATCTGTGCGTTTCCCCTATAAATATATGCCCGTCCTTTGTACCCAGAGCCCACTCCTTCATGATATCCATCCGTCCATCCATCCAGAGTAGTGTTTTATCCCCCCCCCAAAAATGTGTGACGCATTCATCCATACAGATCCCTAGCTCCTACACCGAAGAAAAAACACCCGCCGGTCCCGCTTCCCCATCCTAACATAAGAATGTAAAAGAAGAAGAAAACTCGCACACCCCAGACCATATTAAAGTTAAGATAAAAAAGACACAATTTTCGCTTTTCCTTTATGTCCTGATCCCATGTTTTCCCATTTGTTCCGCGCCTGCTGATGAAAAGTTTTGAAATTTCAGAAAATGACAAAGGTGGACGAAAATGGTGAATGGTGAATTATGCGGCGTTGATGACCACTTCAGGAAGTACGGCATCCTTACCATTGATAGTTTTGCCGGATGATGTGCTATCAGACGGGTCGTCGATCGTGCTGACATTCGTGCTCGGGAGACTACTACTTTGAGGGCTATTTTGACCGTTCGTCAACATTGGTGTTGGTGCGCTTGAGGTGATTTCGATAGGCATTGTTTGAATCGCAGATGGACCGGCGGGGCTATTATTGTAGGGTGGTGGACCAGTGAAGATCAACTTTTCGATAGCAGCAATCTGTTTACCAAAATTGTACTTCTTCAGTTGGATCAGTTGTGGTTTCATATCTTCGACAAAGTTGTCACGCTCTTCACCCTTCAGTTGACCAAGCAGTTTTTCTGTAAATTTGTTAGCTATTTCAAAAGTACGTTGAAGAGAAAACTTACGAATCACATAATTGCCGTATTGATCCTTCATCATGAGTTGAAGCGGGCTTGATCCATCACTATGCATGGCCGTTAATTGAGCAACGATAGCCTTTCTCTGTTCGCTGGTCCCAAATTGGATGCTCTTTTCCACCACGTTGGATGCGAACTTGTGTTTGGACAATGTCAACAGCTGAGCGGTGATGATCTTTATAATCTTGGCTCGATCTTCTGGCTTTCCATGCTGAATGACATGTTGTGTGACATAGTTGCCATACTGATCCGTGATAAGCATAGACGCGCATTGATGAAGCTCTTCAAGGACGACGGCCTGATCATGAGGTTTGCAGTATTCCAAGATGCGTTGAATGACACGACAACCATATGGGTGAGTGGCTAGAACGTGGACCTGACCTCGGAAGGCATCGATGACAAATTGGATGTGTTCTGTTGGAACACGCTCGATCGCTTTTTGAACGACATGATTACCATTTTGATCCTTTACACACTTGAGGACATCTGATCGAAGTTCCTCAACAAGTTCAGCTTGCTGATCAGCCAAAACATGCTCAAGGGCCTGTAACAAGTTAGTCAGAGCAAAAGGAAGTTTCCTGAATTAAACCCACCTTTTGCACAACTCGGCATCCATACATCTGCATTGAAAGCTCCATCACATGATTCTTCATCTGCTCAGCAAGTACACGCTTCTGTATTTGATTTCCATGCTCAAACAATTTCTGTATCACATAGTTCCCAAAGACATCGGTCATCAGTTGAAGAGCATTTGGTTGAATCTCACGGAAGAGCTGCTCCTTCTCGTCGCTGTTGGCGGTTTCGAGCTTTTGTTGAATGAATCGAGATCCATGTTGATCACCACTGAACTCGACAACGTGATTGTAGATATCTTTCAACTCATATCTCTTGTTCGATTTAGAGTTGGAGCGGAACTCTTCGAGCAGCACACTGCGAACGCCAACGCCAACATCTTGATCTTTTGGACGAGTAGGTACGGGCTGGGTTGGTGCGTACGGAGGCATAGGCATAGCATATCCGTAAGGAGCGTGGGGTTGTCTGAAATTAGGTGGAGGGTATTCGTATGGCTGGGGTGGATATTGGCCCTGGAATGGACCTCCATAATATGATGGTGGTTGCTGAGAATACATGCCTTGAAGTCTTCGTTCCATGTCAATAGGCCCTTGGGGGATGCGGGATCCTCGAGATGTGGGTCGTCCATTAAATTGATCAACTGGCGGGGTTCCTGAGGGGTAAAATTTAGGACTATTGAAACCTCGACGATAATCACTCCCCGCGGGCGAAGACGAACCTCTGGTACCAAGATTTGGTTTGAAATAGCCCTGGTCTAAGAATGATTGAGATCCGTAGCGATCATGGCTGATGGCCTTCGGAGCATTGTTCAAGTCCCAGACTGGAGAAGTTATGTCGTGTGAGATACTACCTTGTTGGGCAAATCTCGAATTGTTCGGTGAGTAAGTTGCGTTCATACCTGGCTGGAAATTCGTGTTATGTTCATTTTCCCCAAACTCAAGGTTTGCAAACCTATCACTCAAGCCCGCCTCACTCTGAGCATTAGAGTTGGAAAACCTGGATGGATTGACCTGGGATTGATATGATTGGGATGCGCCAGAGAATGAAGGACGTTGCGAGTGTAATGAGCCTGCTGGTGTATGACCACCATTACCAGATCCAAATACGGCATTCCCATATTGTCCGACACCATTAAGACCAGAGTCTGAGTTCCTTGAGGGTGGCATGCTGCTGTCTCGTGATGCGGTGTTACTGGGAGCAAGGAAGCTCTGTTGCCCATATTGATCTCTTCTCGGAATGCCATCATATTCAAAGTTGTCCGGCCCTGGACCGTACTGACCAGAATTTTCCTTGTCATCCGGGTAATGGAAGGACGGCTTTCGCTGGGTAAAAGTGCCAGATGAAGGGTCGAGGCTGCTCTTGTTGGGTCCCCTAGAAAACGCTGGAGCTCGAACTTGATGGTATTGATTTTGTATCTCGGTAAGTGTAACCTGGCCAGCGTTGGGAACGCTGCTACGGTGATGAGAAGGCGAAGTGCTCCCACTATGAGACGACTGCATTGTTGGAGAAGTGGTATCCGGATTCCAAGGCCCTGAGCCCCAAGGATCCGCTTGTGAGTTGTTTCTCAACGCACTCGATCCGCTAGGAAGCGGAAATTCTGCATCATCATCCACTGCTTGATCATCAGTAATAGCAATAGGCTCTCGGTCCTTTGCAGACCCACCACGAGTACGCGAAGCATCTCTCTTTGTATTTGGCAAACCACTTCCGATGGTGTTCTTGCTCTTTCCCCATATTGTATTCGAAGCGTTCCAGGTGCTGCCATTAGGAAAAGGTTGGGTGAGGGAGGCAGGCTGAGGGTTTCGTTCATCACTATTATGTCTGGAAACCGTTCCAAACTCTCCGCCAAAAATCGTTGATCGCGCCTAGAGGGGAATCAGCAGACTGCGATGATGAAGAGCATAAGAAAGTAACTTACTGTGTTCGCCATGGCGCCTAATGGTCTGTTGGTGGTCGCAGAAGTCATCCGGGTTTCTTTATGCAAATTTAATGTCTCTATGTAGACACGAACAGGGTTCGATATAACCGTAAATGACTGCTTGTTGTAAAGTCGGCTGCTTCTAACCAAAGAATGATCTCTTCTACTGATTATTTGACAAGTGTGAATATCTATGTGACTGGAAGATTCGCAGACTGTCAGCATGTATGCGGTAAGGCTGATGCCAGCCTAGGCCGGCGCAGAGCTGAAGATTTGATTGCTTACCAGGCGTTGGATGCTAGGGGTATGTAACGGACGTATGCTCATGTACAAAGAACGACAGCCGGGATTGGGAAAGAAGTAGTGCTCAAGTATAGATGTCGGACATCGAGGACGCAGATGCGAGAGATGAAGGGATATATTTGAAGGGTGACAAGGCGAGAGGGTTGTGTCGCGCGACCTTTTGTGGTTGCATGTACAAACGAAGACAGGGCGCGATTTCGCTGGAGCAGCGCAGGCAGGCACCCGCTTTAGCTAGATTGACGGATGAAAATGTCTCGACGGCCTCGATGTCTGATGTCTAATGATTCCACGGTAATTTGCCTTTTGTTTTTGCCTTGTCTGCTTTTGTGTGTGGATTTGCGCCGATCGAGGATGGTCTACCGCATCGGGGGTGGTCGAGTCGCAGATTCGCAGAATTTTGAGGTGGGAGAATTTGGCTGGGGAAGCAAGGGCAGACGTGACCAGGAACGTAGGTTTTTTTGCGCCTGTTGGACTGGACAGGTTTTCGATGTGGCTTTCTGGTCGAGGGAGAGGCGAATTCCTTAGAATGAATGGATGTATGGGAGGGAGCACAAGGATATTGACGAGGAGGAGGATGCGGTGTGCGAGAGGAAGGTAATGAGCAGAGTCGGATCTGGGACAATCTGATGTTGAAGAACTTTGCACGGATGGTGTGAGGGATAACAGGAAGAACAGATGTTGGACGAACTTTGTCCGTTTAGGTTGTCTGTGGTTTGGTTTCTGGGGTGGTTGTGGGTAGGGATCTGATCTGACTGTGGCCGTGGAGCGGACTGTGAATTCATTCGCATGGATCGCGACAGGACGGGGTCGGGGAACAGGCGTTGGCGGAGTAGGGGTTGTGGAGTGGTGGAAGGATGGTGTTGTACAGACTGGAGAGACTCGTCTGAGACTTGAATATTTTGGTACGTCTTGTACTAGCAAGTACTGAATTGCTTTTCTCTTTAGCTTCCTGTCACCTTTAGTCCCTCCCATCTCTAGTCCGTCTCGCTCCTAACTACCTAGGTACTGATCCCTTCGGCGGGAGTCAATTATGCTTTAGATCTAGTTGGTATCATACTCCTACTTGGTGCACTCTAGTTCTTGTGGCTTGCTAGCTGTCTGATGTCCCCCAGCAAAAAGCGGCATTGACGACGACATTCTTACTCCCGCATCCTTCTCTCAAGCTCAACGCACTTGGAGTCGCTCCTGGCAGATGCATGGCCGCCTTTTCCCTCAGCTCTTCGTCGTGCTACGCCCAAGGCTCGTTAGGTCAGATATGACAGGGACCGTCTAAGGAGGCGTTGTTTCAACTTCTCCTGTTGGTGCGCAGCCTTAACTTCGTTATGCTATTGCGCTACTCGAGCATCAGCACCGTCCGTGGATGTGGCCTCTCTGGACGCGACCCGTCAGGCTACATACAACAAACCGACAGCTGCTCGAGCTGAAGCCCCGAAGGAATCGCGGTTCTGCCCTCACAGTGGTCCACGATAGAGTGTGTCCGCGTCAGTCAGCGGAAGGACGCGCTTGGAACGAGCTCAAAGAGATATTTTGGGCGACAGAGGCTCGCGATTGATCCATTGTTCAATCTACAACAGAACGCCGGTGTCGCATAGAGACGACCCATACATTGAAGGCCAACATCGCAACTAATCAGACGGCAGCACAGACTAACTCTCCTGCGTTTGCAATCAACCGTAAACCATCACTTGATCGTTTTAAGCATGTTTCCCCACCACGGCGACAACAGATGGTCGCTATTCTTGAAGCTGGTGCCGTGCGAACTTTTGCCCCTGGTTCGATCAGTCTAAGCCTTATGGTAGACAGCCGAGATGCTACCCACCGGCAGTTTCAAAACGGCACGAATTTATTCCATTCAACTCATTCTTGGCTGGCGAGACCGGTCAGAAGAATCGCAGACAGTAAGTATCAACACGGCCTCCTCTCCACGAGTACAGTCTGTACAAAAGTACAAGAGAAACATATCTGGTTCCAAGGCTTCAACGCCGCTTTCTTCCAGTCTTGGTTGACCAGGGCCTTCTCCCAAGGAGTAACAACTGAGGCTGTGGCTCAGAAAGGATCCCAAAAGAACACTAATACTTCTCAATTCCCTTCCCCATCCCTTTCTATTCTCATCCACTATGCTTTTGGTTTACGCTTCAGCCTACCCGCCCTTTATGGCCTTAGCAATGAATCGCCTTGGAATGGCATCCAATTTACGAAAGGAATTCATGAAGATTACCCAATTTTGCGGTACGAGATGGTGCAACAAGCTTCATTCCTCCGTGTTTATCGGACGACTTGACATTGCAGAAGCTTGAACTCAATCTGGAATTGACAATACAGACTATCTATGGACACAATACGGCTTCTCAATCGGGTAATGCAATTCCCCTAGTCGAAAGGGTTTGTTTTAGGCTTCTTGGCACTAAAAGAAAAGCGTTTCACACCCGGGGAACAAGGCTAAAATTCATCCTGACGCCATCTCTCCCCAGACGATCATCTGTTCCAAGCCCAAAAAAGAGTTCAGCTCGGACCAGCATGAACTACTTCGACCAAACTGCACCAATCTTCATCAATATTTTGCCCTGTACACTTACTTGGAAGTCTTCACATCCGACAGATGCAGCAAACAATATGCAACGACTGAAATTCAAAGATCCATCATTATCCATCAATCAGATCAAGGTGATACCGCCTCATGTATCCCCAATCATGATGTGACGGGAACAAGCAGATTGCTGTGGGACGTCAATGGTGATGTATCGTGGCACTTGTTTTGCATATCAATCAAGTCTTCTCGTGCAAGCAATGATCGAACAATGTCTTAGTAGCGCCTGCTGTACCAACAATTATCATGGTTTGGACTCATCTCGCCCGCTCGAATTAATATTCTAGCCTCTTGATGCTTCTCAAGCTGCGGGCGATGTGAGCGACGGCCGGACTTGATATGGAATCTCACATCCGCACACTTCAGTTCATCAATACCTACATCGTACGTTCCATACTGCTTCCATCCTGAGATCTTCGTACGCCCTACTCCGCAAATCTACTTCGTTCCTCGGGTTTTCTGCAATACAAACTATACGGCACCACACCGAAAAAGTCGCAGAAGACCTCGGATCCTTACCTCATCTGGGATACCGTACAAGTCCCAACTTTATTCGACTCGCTTGTACGATGGAAAAGGAAAAGAGGGAACAAACCGAGATATCACTTGAAGATGCACTAAAATTTCTACAGCCAAGAGATTTGAGGATCCACGAATTTCTGACAAGTGACTGCTGTTCGGGCGCCTCATCGAGAATAGTCGAGCAGCAGGCTGTGGCCTTGCATCTCACTTCCTGACCGATTGTTTTTGCACTTCACCGCTGTTTGCCCTGCAAAAGAGGTTGATGCGTCGTTGACAGTACAGAGTTACGCCCAGCGACGGAGAAGGCTCCCCGATGCTGTACGACTTGAGATGCGTCTATCACGCCAGCAAGATTTTCTGGCTAGATTTTCTGGCTATTGAGTTTGATAGCATGACAAGAGCTGTGATTGCACTATTGGAAAGTAGAATGCATGTCGGAACAAAAGACGCCTAGGCTGCTCGTAGTCCAGTGTTCTACCTGAAAATTCGATTGGATTACAATCATCCGTTATGAAATGAGGCTTTCAGAGAAAAATGACACAGATTGTTGAGATGCACAGGAGCGGCTATGGATTTTCTTTGCTTTCTTTTTGGCGGCATGAAAAACGTGGTCATGAACCTTATTCCCTGAAGCTATCATATCTCGGAAGTTCCGATGACTGACATGCTGACCATTCTTAGGCAACAATAGAAGGTTTAAGATCTTCTGTGGAGGGATCGATGTTGATTCTTTTGCAAGAGCTAAACTTATTACTAAATATGGTGCGAAACTGACCAGAGGTCTCTCAATATAAAATAGGATCATGACAGCCTGGATGGACTTCCCTCGAGGCAGGTATTCGAAGAGAGAAGCCTCAGAGCAGACATTGGGAGACTTCCCGTCGTTGATAGATGTCATCACAGAAGTTCGCAAGGACATGTTGAATGGCTTCACATAGTATCGGTAAGTACTGCGTCCCAACATCAAGTCACATGGAGCTCGCACAGCCTCATCGAAGCCAAGGCATTTGGTAAGTCTAACCAGCAGAGCCTTACAGAAATTCAGACGAAAGCTTCTTGATCCATTTCATAACGTGACAGAAAACGGTGTCAGAGCTTTGTTTCTTTCAATGTTTCCACTCCTCAAACCACAAACAATCAATTGTTTCGCCGTCGGGGCCATGACCCGAATCGGGAGTGAGGTGCTGATTTCGGCGCCGTCTGCACAAATCTCACGAGCATCCTCCTGAAGAGTGCGATGGACCCCAAAGTTGCCTTTCCTCGTAACGACGACCAACAAGACCTTTCGGCGCATCTATAGTTCCGCAGTTCTTCCAACCTGACAGTATCAGACGAATGATTGTGGCCTTGCTGGCGCCAGGAATAGCATAGCCAGTACACCGTACAACTGTATTCAAATCTCGCAGCTTCAACCGACCGGACGCGAGACGTAACACAAACCGTTGGGTGCTTATTATGGAGTCCATGAAGTAATGATTCTGACTGTCAAGCTGGAATCCTATCTTCGCCCTTGGGGCCATGCTCTTGAAGAATCTTTACCAGTTTGTTTCCATCAGGAGTGTTGGAGTTGGAGATTCGTATCTTGAAATCGGGTGGAGGCACCATCTTTACGAAGATGTGACCTGAAGAACGACCAAATCAATAACTAAGCGCTCCAAATTATCAAATCGAGAAGAAGCTATCGCGAATCGCTTTGCCAGCGTCTAGAGTCAATAAATGTCGATGAAAGGGGCGGTCATCAGTGCAAAGAACTCTTCGACTCGTCCAGAACGGTTTCCTCATTTCTGACCCTGAACCGAAGAGGATCCCGTGCTCCATTTTTACCGCCAGGCACGGTGGTATGATTGGGTGGCAGTGAAATTGGCGCTGGGGGTTCATCCGGAAATGGATTTTAGCCTGGCAGGTGGGGATGGGTGACAATGGGTGTGGATGTGAGAGATGGGCAAGCAGATGAAGCAGAGCTCAGAGAAGGAGGTCAGAGGTGACTGAAGAGAAGGTGAAAAGGTAAATGAATAAAACTTTGGATGTAAACAAGAGATAATCATCAACCAAAACACCACTGCAGAAGATCTTGAAGATCTCCAAAGCTGTAGAATCCCAACGAGTGTATTTGCTGTATATATTTACTCTCATTGGGTGGATCCGGTCCTTTAACGCATCCTCTCCCCTCATTGGCTGCACCCGAAATTATCGTGGGTTTTCCCCCGGCTGTTCCTGACCAAAAAGAGCGCTACTACCCATTCACGGCTCTTGCGCTGTCGTTTATCAGTCTGCCATCTCCCGTCCATCAATCTCCTCGTTTCCCCTTCTGACCTCTTCGTCGTCGCTCGTTGCCCGTTGCACTGTCCTTTGTCTTCGCTCTTTTACGACAAGCACAGCACAGAAAAGACTTGACGAACTCCTAGGAACCTCTTCCAACACCAACTCAAACGTTCCTTCCTCCCTTCGGGACCTTACACTCATTCCCAATAGGATCATTCGGTTTCACTCTCTCAGCCGAATCTTCCGTCCATTCTTTACCCAATAACCATCCCCGGACCGACCGATACAACAGAAACACCTCCTGCGTAAGTGATAAATCCTGTCTTGTATATAGATCAACATCCACCCTTGATACCGAACCCTTTGTCAATGAGCAAAGATATGGAATACTTGAGGTTATCGACCGGACCTGCAGAATCGGATTCATACCTATGGCATATGGACAGGAGCTGACCCAAACGATGAATAGCTTCCACCTGGGACGTCAATACTTTCTGTTGCGCGATAACGATCTTCTTCACCCAACGACTTGCGATTAACGACCTTGCGACTATTCATTTCACGATACCATAATTCCATAATGGACTCCATATCAACACTCGTTACCAGAGGCAGCGCCCTTCTCGACGTCCGTGACGAAGACGATAAAAAAATGTCAAGCACCATGATCGATTTGTTGATTGCTCTATTGGTTCTTGTCTTCGTTTCTCTATGTCTAGTTGGAGCTCTCTATACCGTGCGCAAGATTCGCAGAAATAGAGCCATCGCTCGTCAATCTCTTCCTCAATACAACGATCTTCCACAAAACGGTCGTCGTCTTACCATCACCGCCACACCATATGCTGGTCGCAAATCAAGCATCTACGTATACGACGAGAAATCTTCCATGATGGACAGCCCAACCACCCCATCATCTCCAGTTCCCGAAATCCGAATCACCTTCCCAGACGAGCAAGATGAATCTGGACGAAGAAAGAGTGGTCGTGTGGTTGTCGTCAGAGTGGGTGAGACAAGTGTGGGATTAGAGCCATTAGCAGAGGAAGAACAATTACCCGCATACCAAAAGGATAACGAACGATTCCACTCGATCGATATGGACCGCATTGGTGGACTCAAAGAAAAGGATCAATACTCATAGTTCATCCGGCATCAAACGAATCTATGATGACCTTTTCCTTTCTCACCAACCATCTTTCCGCCTGCACAAAAATCTCGCCCTCGACAACCATTCACATCTCCCCGGTCTTCATTGTACATGTCACATACCGGTGTTTGGATGTCAAGGGTAAAAGCTGCCATCTTTGGTACGCTTTATGTCGCCATCTTCCGATTCAACTGTACATAAGAGACAGGAGTTCTTTTCACCCGTCACCACGGTTTTGGAGTAACTCAACTGGCCTCTTATCTTGTTTCCTTTTTTCTACTTAAACTTTGGCATCGACCACGTCTGGATCATTGGGGGAATTATTCCATATTCGGTCGAGATCAGCACCAACAAACCTCCTTACTTTGTTAACATAAAAGATTTAAATATAAATGATAATGTGGTATATCTCTCTCTCTCTCCACACGCAAGAATGACGTGGTATATATGCATCTCGAAAGGTGGAAATGTGAATGTTTTTTAGTTGTAAGCTAAAAATAAGAGTAGATTTTTCCTGTTCGGGTTTTTTCTTGACTGTGACCTTCCATGGACGTCTGTCTGCTATCTGTGTTTTCCGTAGGTTTTGCTGCTCGGTGATGGATAGGTGCTTGAGAAGGGGGATGACCTAGTCTTTCTCCTTCGTCGCGGACCTAGAGATGAGATTCTTTTCCCGGATATCTTTGGGTGGATGGATCATTGGGCGGAAAGATGAAGGTTGTGTATCCTAACTGCATGGACTGGATTCTGAATCTCTTTGTAGGGAATTGGTGCGAGGAGTCTCGGAAGTCGGGAGTAGAAGGGGTGGTGGAGTTGGAGAGAGAGGGGGGAAGGGGAAGAGTGAAGAGGCAGGAGGGGAGGGGGAAGGCGAAGGGGAAGGGGATGAGGTAGAGGGGAAGGGGGTTGTATGGAGAGATTATTTGGTTGGTTAATGTTTTATTATTTTTCTTATGTATACTTGTGGACTTGTGGATTGTGGATTGTGGATTGGGGTGTGTGAGAGAGCTTTGTGTGTGAGGTATCTAAGAAAGCAAATTCGTTTCCACGAATTCCAAGACATCCCGTCCATTTCATTTATATACCTCGACATGGACCCAGCAACATCCCCTACCTAATCATCACCAATCCCAATACAACATCTAACCCTCGTCACACACAAATTCTTGATACAGCACAAAGTCCGCTTCCTTACTCAATAGCGAGACTGGTCTGCTAGTTAACAACTCGTTTCTAGGGTTTGTTTTCTTGTTCTTTTTTGGGTCTTCTAGACGTGAGGATCTGCTTTTTTGGTTTCTTTGAGGGGGTGGTGTATTGTTGGGTATTCGTCTGTGAGTAGGAGTTTGGTTTCGAATTGTGGTGGTTATAGGCTTTTTCTGGGTTATTTGGGGGGGTGGTTGTTTGGATGTGTGTATGTGTGGTTTTTCGGATTCTGAGGTGCTGGGTTATGTGGTGAGGGGATGGGGATTTGTTTTATAGATGGGTATGTGAGAGGTAAGGGGTCATATTTCGGTTTCTTTCTTGCCTTTTTGGTTTTGGGTTTGGTGGATGAGGAGAGGATGGATGGTCGAAAGGTTGGTTTTTTTGGAGGGGGGGAGAATTGGTGGGGGGGGGGGGGGGGGGGGGGGGAGTGTGTGGTGTGGTGGTGGGGATTTATGGGGTAGTGAGGTGGGGAGAGGTTAGTGGTTTCTCGTGTATTCTGGGTCAGCGGGGTGGGTGTCTTGTCTGAGTATAAAGTTAGTTTGTCTCATAGATGAAGGTAAATATACATCTCAGTTCAGATCAACACAGCGAGGCGTTTGCGTTTTGAGGGAAGGGGTATATTTGAAGGCGATAAGTTGGGTTGGGAAATTAGCTGGTGTAGGATGGATTCTGTGAGTGTGTAAAGGTTTGGATTTAGGGTGTTTGTGTATATTAGGAGATGTATGGAGAGAAGCACTAGGGGTAAAGAGAGACTTGTTCTGAGATGAGGATAGGTGTGTTGAATGGGTGGTTAGTTTGATAGAATTCAAGTGTGGGATGAGATGGTGGTACTGGATGAAAATGTAAGGTTATTAACCTTTCTTAGATAAGTCTTCCTACACACTAACTTCCACTACAAATAACCCTACAAACATCCCCTCATAAACCACACACCAGCACTCGCCTCCCCTCCCACGAGCTCTTAACAACCTTATCCTCCACCAAACCTCTTCACGTAATGCCCCCTCACAAGTAAACACCCCCCTTATTCGAATCATCGACATTGAAACCCGCTTCCCTCTCAAACACCCCCAAAGTAGCGAAGTGTCCAAGCTAACACCAAAAGCCCAGTCCAGACTTTCAATTAACATCTATCTAACCTCAGTCTTACGCCTGCTCCTTGAACCCAAAGTAGAGGGTTTATGAGGATGTAGTCGCGGCATTCCTAGGTTGGTAGATAGCCGAGGAAATGGTCTTGTGATATATAAGACTTACCTTTGTTCTTGGAGGTGAAAGGATTTGTTGAGTTCTGCTTTTAGGGTATCATAAGACGAGGCATACTAGTCTCGATGTTGGTTTGAGCTATGAGTGATGGATCATTCTATGGGAGAAGGTTGAAATTGCGTCTCTCTACTAACCAAAGTAAACTTACAACCTCATCCCCAAAACACAAGAATGCAAAGAACGAAAAAGAATCCAGAGAAACAAACACCTAGATTCTTAACCCACCCCACAAAAATATCTCACAAAAAAGGAAAACCTTCCCTGAAAAGTCCAAAAGGAAAAAAACTCACCTTAACCATTACCCGTCTACTCCCGTCCCGAAGGCTAGGTTCAACGCGATCCCCGGTTAGTGGTTAGTCGAAAGAAAAACGTGGAAGTGAATTTATACATTGGCATATTAGTGAATGTGTGGGAAGTAAGCGATACCTCTAGAGTGTGAGCTGACGGAACAAACTCAATTCGTGACAATATCTCGGTACTTACCTTGTCGACTCCAAAAGTGTCCGTAGACCTTCTCTACGTCCAGCTCTTGCGCTGTAAAGACTGTGATATGCTTCCAACGTGTCTCCATCCCCAAGACGAAGAAAGTCGAGGTACTAAGTTGATGACCTTGACCATCAACCACTCAACTCAACCTCCCCTCACATTCCAACAAGACAGCATATCCAAACCTCCCCAATCTTAAACCACAACCTCCCCCCTTCCCCTTCCCCTTCCCAACAACCCCCATCATCCATCATCCCCACCCCAAAACCCACCTCTGACCATCTCTCTCCATCTCCGACCAAACACCAAACTCCAGCCACTCACTCATACCAACTCCTCTTCAACCATCCCTTCCACCACACGACAAACCACATCCCGTAACCCCAAACCACATACCCAATCGAAAATCAAAAAACTGCCCAACTCCTACCTACCTTCACAACATCACTTGAAGGAATGCCATTCTCGGTTTCTCAACACCGAGCATCCCACACCCACACTTTTCGTCCACACCAGAAAATATACCATCAACCTGGCCTGGTGAACACTGGTTTCTCAGTCATTGACCTATCTACATCTGTTCTGATCCTAGAAGTTGAAACATTTGTGGTTCAAAAAGATGATAACATCTCTGTTCATTTGCACGTGTTCTTTAAGAATTCCCAACCTCCTCGCCATTTAGTACATCCACCACCCTCCATCCAGAATCATCACTTGGATTCCCAAGTCAGATATTACCAGAAACCACCCGTATAATTACCCCACGAATAGCAGATCTTTGTGTACTATGTGTAGAACGAAACCACGTTAAAAACTAAACACAACATAATTTAAATGGATGTCATTTCAATTGCTTCTCTAAGTAAAAATCTTCCCTATTCATCCATCCAGATGCACTGGATGAAAAGAGAACCACCTCAAACACAAAAACGGGAAAACAAAATGGGGCTTCAATGATTTAATTGATCGGTTGGTTGATGAGAATTTTGTCCGCTCCTCCAAAGCAAATAACACAGCTAGCTCAAACACCCATCAAGACAATCCCATTTGGAAAGAGTCCACCCAATCGCTCCATCAATATCAGCAGAACTTTTCGAAATCTCAAAACATCGCGAGCGAGTAAAACAAGAGAGATATATGGCTCGCTCGAGAATTGGTCTTTATTGTATTCGTAAGGTTCGTCGTGGAGGTACAAATTGCCTGCAAGATGCTGCATCGATAAATTAGTATTTTGTTTAAATACCAGGACCACAATTCGCATACCTTAGAAGCACTTGCGGTGAACGATGGATGGTCCAGACTCGTCGTACTCTTGCTTGGAGATCCACATCTGCTGGAAGGTTGAAAGAGATGCAAGAATAGAACCACCGATCCAGACGGAGTATTTTCGCTCTGGTGGCGCGATAATCTTGACCTTCATGGAGGATGGTGCAAGAGCGGTGATTTCCTTTTGCATACGATCGGAGATACCTGGGTACATGGTGGTTCCACCAGACTAATTCTGATTAGCAGGCATTAATTTGTGGCAGATTTGAAAACTCACCATGACAATGTTACCGTACAAATCTTTACGGACATCAACATCGCACTTCATGATGGAGTTGAAAGTTGTAACGTGAATACCACCAGATTCAAGACCCAATACAGATGGTTGGAAAAGAGCTTCTGGGGCACGGAAACGCTCGTTACCGATGGTGATGACCTGTCCATCAGGAAGTTCGTAGGATTTTTCCAAGCTCGAAGACTGGCTGGCGGTTTGAATTTCTTGCTCAAAGTCAAGAGCGACGTAGCAGAGTTTCTCCTTGATATCACGTACGATTTCTCGCTCGGCGGTGGTGGAGAAAGTGTAACCGCGTTCTGCCAAGATCTTCATGAGGTAATCGGTCAAATCACGTCCAGCCATATCGACACGGGCAATGGCGTGAGGAAGAGAGAAACCCTCGTAGATAGGAACGACGTGAGTAACTCCGTCACCAGAATCAAGAACGATACCAGTGGTACGACCGGAGGCGTACAGTGAGAGAACGGCTTGAATGGAGACGTAGAAAGCTGGGGCGTTGAAGGTCTCAAAGACAATCTGGGTCATCTTCTCTCTGTTCGATTTTGGGTTGATAGGAGCTTCGGTAAGGAGGACTGGGTGCTCTTCTGGAGCCACACGGAGCTCGTTGTAGAAAGTGTGATGCCAGATCTTCTCCATATCATCCCAGTTGGTAACAACACCGTGCTCAATTGGATATCTCAGGGTGAGAATACCACGCTTTGACTGTGCCTCATCACCGACGTACGAGTCCTTTTGACCCATACCAATCATGATACTAAATTCGACATCAGTTTTATTCCTCGAGTGCCGCTAGAGGCGGGGAAGCTGTGGGATGGGAAAATCTTACCCATGGTGACGAGGACGTCCGACGATAGATGCTGCGAAATGTTAGTGATTAAAATCATCAAAATTTGTTGCGATGCTGTTGAGGCTTCGCGCTCCAAATTCGCAGAGGCTGTAAGGCTGGAGAGAACTTACGAAAGACTGCTCTTGGAGCATCATCACCGGCGAAACCGGCTTTGCACATTCCAGAACTAGAAACCTCATCAGCGAATTGTCCATGTGATGTATGCTCAGTTTCGAGGATATCGTTCGATTGCCAAGTTGGTGCTTTGGAGCTGGCGCCCCACTACTGAATGACAGCTGGCGCTCAGGAATGTAGAAGCTTACCCATTGTCAATGACGAGAGCTGCAACTTCTTCTGTGAGAGGAAACCCAAGTTAGCAATGGCCCTTGATGATTGAAGTCGATGCGCTCCAATTTCTGCCGATATCGAGACGAGCTGGCACCGGGCGAGTCCTGCTTACCTTCCATGGTGATAGATTACGACTTTTAATCGAATAAAAGCGGTTGAGTGGGATATGGCGGTGAGACTCTGGCGACGATAAGATCGAACGGCAGAGGGGATCAAAAGATGCTGATATTAAAGATCACGAAAGGAGATTCGTGGCCGATAGAAGACTCGGAGTTGGTGTTGGTGGGTGTTCAGGAGAAGGTTGAAGTCGAAGAGGAGAGTGAGGTCGATGTCACGACTGAAATGTGTGGGCCGCGATTTCCATTCGGGGGGGCGAAGCGAACAGGAAGCGTCAATGCTGCTTTAACGGGATGGGAGAGGTTGTGGTGAGAATCCGTGAGAGATCGAGAAAGAGCGATGTGAATTTAAGTTGACTTTTGTAGCTTCTCAATTAATTCATATATTTGCTAATTTATAGAAATGTTACTAGCGTTGCATTATTGTCTGGACTAGTATTTCCTTCTTCTTCCCTCTAGCCAGCAGATACATACATAGCCATACCCAAACTCGTCACTAACACCGTCAGTTCACCCTCACTACTCACCCCAACCCAACAACTCCCCCAAGCAGCCCAGGCCAAGCTCCCCCAACACCGACTTCACACCGCAAATCCCTCCTAAGCCCCCGAAGCCCATCCTAACAATTAGCCGCCCTGCATAGCGCACGAGGCAACAAAGAACTTCCCAAAACGGTGACCGTCAGACGCGCGTTAAGGTGACGGCCACCTCTCTTGGCTAGTCTTTATACTCGCCGCTTCTCGCCAAGCAGGCTCTCAATTCCCTTTTATAGTCGCCACGATGTCTGCGTCAGTCCATTGCGTATGCGTATTCATTACACGATCACAGTTGCGCTGTACGAAAAACGAAATGCAGCGAGAGAAACCAAAATTGTCGTCCCCAGCCACCTACGGAAAGCCCGCCTGTTAGTCCGGCGAGCCTTCTACGGTGGCTTGGAGACGTCAGGAGTGCAATAAGTGAGGGGCAGTGGTGGGGTCAAGCGTCCCCAAATGTGTCTTGTCATCCTTTTTCTTGTTAATCATCCATTTGCTGACTGTGAATCCTTTTCTGATGTTCATGTTATGTCTGTAGTAACGAGTCAGAGAGACGGTCCTCAAGTACTTGCACCGGTTCATGACTCTAGAAACGTCACGGGAGGAGCCTCCCATTGGCTTCCGGGGTCACGTGACTTATACTTCTGTATTCCAAGTATTTCGATCGTTCTTGACTCTACCTGTTTACTGAAAGTTTTATCTTCAAATGAATTTGATTTCTATTTAGTATAGTCGTGAGTATCGGCCTGTTTTTCTGCCATTTGGTTTGCGACTTGACAAGTTAACCCCATTGCTGGATCCAATTTAGTATCGCAGGAAGACAATTTGCAATCACGATCGTCTCTGATCTTAGAATATCTGCGTTATTGCGTTTCCTTGTCTGGCCTAGGACGTGTAAGTGTTGCAATATTCCTCAGCTTGGACCGAATGACCGTCAACTCAAGTCAGTACAACAAAGCTATCATTGGAGGTATCATATTTTCGCTTCCAAATCCATACGGATATCCCTTATACTACAAGTCATGACATTACACCCACACAGAAGAACAAATCTTCCATTCCCTCCAACCAAAAAAATCATACACAAATAACACATAGGCTCACTGTCTCCCCCTCGTCCCATCCCCATCCCCAACACCAATCTCATCCCGCCTAACCTCTGTCGTCTTCTTCACCCACATAGTCCTCTCCTTCTCCACTCCCATCACAGGCAAAAACTCCTCACTACTATCCCCCAGTCCACTCTTACTATCCAGTCTCCCCTTCCCACTCCCAAAAAGCTTTCGTCCTTTCTTCTTCGGACTCTCCTCGACGACATTCCCCGCATCACCCGTCACTGTAGTAACCGTCCCGACCTCCTTCCCTCCCCGTAACGCTCTCTCCAAATCTGGTTCTGCTTCACGATTCATGCCGGCCGCAGAACCGCTTCGTATGTATCCGCTTCTATTTTCGCGGGGACTGAGAGGGTAGGTGTTCATTTTTGAGGGCTTGGATGGGTCGAGGGGTTCTGTGGAGCCGAAGAGGCGGGAGCGCGCGAAGAAGGTGCGGAAGAGAGGTCGGAGTGTTGCCATTGCTGAGGCTGTGAGACCGATTCCGGGTTCGACTGTGGACCAGATGGCGCTGGGAAGGGTTAGTAAGAGGATGATGATAGAGAAGCGAGAATCTTACACGTCTGTTGTTGACCAGAGGAAATCTGATTGTGCTAGTTGTTTGATGTATGGAATTCGTACTATTGTTGCTGTTGAGCCACTAGTAGAGGGTCAGTTGTGCACATTAGAAGTGTTGCTGTTTCCTCAACTTACATTGCTCCTAGACTCAGAATGATGCCGACTGAGATCTTGGTTCGAGGATTCATTTCGAGGTTCCACAAGAAAAAGACAGGAATAATGCCAAGCGTCCACTGTGTATGATTAGCCATATGACAATCAAATAAGTAGACATCAAGGACTTACATCGGAAACCGCAGAGATGGCACTGTGAGCATAAGTGCTATCTGTAATCCAGTTTGCCGGAACGCAGGTTCCCTTCTCTCCAAGGTACTGCGTCCAAAAATATGGTACAGGCGAGCATTGAAAGACAACAAGGAAGAAATAGAAGACGGTAAAGACGACAGTGGTGGTTATGATGATCCAGATCGCAAGTTTTTGGCGTCTATCCACACATATTCTCATGAGGAAAATTGAAATACTGGCTTTTAGGACTGCTGTACACGAGATGTAGGCGAGCTCACAACACCACCACCACTGGTTATAATTAGAGATGGAGAGAGAGCAAGGGATGAATACTCTTACCTTTAGGGCTATTGGTATGTGGGTTGGGTCAATATCAAGTAAATGCTGACCAGTACCATATTGGACCTAAGTTGAAGTGTAAGCACACCATGTATGACCAGGCATACCTCGCAACATAAGGGGTGACTTACTCCTAAAAGGACAAAAACACAATACAATGTAAAGAGAATCTAGGTCATCATGTTAGCAATCTGATCCCTATTCTTCTCTAAGACTGTGCGCCGTAATTCTAGATGCGGCCTTCCAGCAACGGTGAGGAGTTGAACATTGTCACTCCCCAGCTCCGACTTTGCTCTGTCAAACGAAGGAGAAGAACATAGGTGGAGACTAAGATCAACCGCTCCTTGGTGGGACGGTAACATCGCATTTTCAAGGAAAGTGATGATGAATTCACTTACCAAAGCAACCACACAAAGTGTATCGTCAATTCCAAAACTCCTAAGCAGAAAGCCCCTCACATAACATCTCAAAAGAACGAAAACCCATGATAGAACAAGAAAGAGAATAGCCACACCCTGCACCTCAGGACCTCTATTCTCTACCATAACGAAAGCTGTTCAACTCGATCTCAACGTCAAAAAAACACCGGAAGCTATTCACAAAGAGCAGCAGTAACGCTTCAAGCTCCCGTGTAGCACGCTTCAAGAAGGATATCAAAACGGAAAATTCGTCCGGTGAAAGGCTGGCTGGGATGATATCTATAGTATGGGGGGAAAGTCTGCGGTGGCTCACAGTTTCATAGGCCAAGGGGGTCTCCACATGGATGCGAGTGCCACTCCGTCTCCCCCTCGCACGGCGAATGGCGATCTGCCCTAGATATTGATGGGCTGAAGTCTTGAAAATCGGAGGTGAGCTATCCATAAAATAGTGGCTCTGACATAGGAGAAACGTGCATGGCTGTCCTAGCATCGCGTGGAAGTCTCCAGGAACTCCTGAGTTGCGTTCGCGTGGCTTTCTATCTGACGGTGGCTTTCTGACTATACCATTCGTAATGGTTTCTAGCCACGAGGAGAAAGCCACGGGCATGAACTACTGTAGGAGAAGGGCTATATTGGGCATCACTTACCGTTTTTAGCTCATGCTGGCTGGCCATCAGAGCTAAGATACCTGACTAGGCGCCTCTGGATGGAGAAGCTGCCCTGAAAGAGCGGGAAATTTCGAATATCAGGGTCGCTGTTTGCATCGACTAACGTCTCGGAAGCGTGCGGGTAGAAGTTCGATACGTTAGACCAACGGGAAAATACTCGTACTTCGTCGAAAGCACACAAGTGAGCGGAGGCTAACGGGTTCTAAAGATCCTGACAGGTGCTGGGCCCAAAGAGCACGTTCACGACAGCGTGACGGTCCGAATCCGCAAAAGAAACCCAACTTGTCACCCAAGAGTTCGAGCCCGGTGGTTGTTTCTGTAAGAGTTCGGGATCGACGGCACGAATTTCTTCAAGTTCGTTGGTGATGCGGGGAGCAGGGAGACGCAGGCACACGACATCTCCTTCCCAATAACGTCCATCCCGGCCATGCGAATGCTTTCGGAATAACCGTGCTCTCGGACCCTGAACAGGGAGCTGTGTGAGACTTATTTGGTCGAGATCTCGACGGCAGATGTTGCGATGTTGGTCGGTTAGCAATAATTGCTAGGAGGCAAGGACCAGGTGGACAAACTTTTTACGTTTTTATTCTTTGCAGCTCGGCAGTTTAGGCGACATCCTACGGGAAGTGAACAACGACTTGATGTTGCTGACAACGGCCGAAATATTGATACTTATTAATCTGAAAGTTGAGAAATGGAAGATATGTATTGCGGTAAGTAGCCGTGCAAGAATGCCGCTCGAGAGCGAGAGGCGACACTTTTTGTGGAATTGCTGAAGAAGTTCGGTGGATTTTCTACTTCCGAAGCGATCATGGCGACGGGATACTTCCAACCTCACTACACCAAACGAGTCAGGATATCTGTGCTGCACAGCTGCTTTGATTCTACCCACTATTCTTCTCCAAAACTCAGCATATAGCAGACTTCTGATTGGAAAATTTTGCCCGATCGTTAGAAGTAAAGAATGATCATTTGTCACTGTCCTTTTCCGCGTGACGTCTTGATGCTGACTAGCTGGTGCATTCTGATATACAATGCTTTAGAACGAACTACGAATACATAACCTTCTAGAGCGCCCGCCATGGAAAACTCTCGAGAACATATAAGTCTGAGCCGCACCCAACTTGCACACATCGACTCACGCTACACACACATCACCCCGATTCCACCACATCCTCGGCAACTTCCAGCTCGACATCCACAGATCCAAAATAAATACCCACCTAAACCATAACACCTCTCAATATAGACAAGGAAACACGTGCATATCCAGCATCGCGGATCCGGCCTCCTCGCTTTCCCAGCTTTCCCACCATCTCAGCCAGGTACCCAATAATAGCCAAGCTCTCGCACATCGACGACAAGACAAGCATGAACAGCAGCAGATGAACCCAAACGATCGGCACATCCCAAACCCATGACCGGTTCCCACCAAAGCGCCGAGGTTGACGGTTGAGACTCCAACTCCTCTCACTACAGCTGGAGATACCTCCTGAAAATGGATTTTCTCCGTGGCTAAGGGACGCCCCACCTGGTCGTAGCATCGGGGATGTGAGAACGGTAAAACCTGGGAATATCACAATTTCGTAATCTGAGAAGGTTGGTGAGATTTCTATTTGTCGTGTCCAAGGAATAAAAGGTGCTCAAAGAGGACGTGACGTTCAGCTCGAAGGCCTAGTGTTTTAGACTCCGTTACCTGGTTATCAACTTCTCGAGTTGGGGAAATATCCGTTCCGTCGTTAGCCAAACACTTAGCCCGGTTTTCAGATGTCTAGCTTCTACTTGAAAAGGGAATACTTCGTATCCTTTAGATCAGTTGTGATGAGAAGCTGCAGTAAGTGGCGTCTATAGTTTTGCAAGTCTTCTTACTTTTTGAGCTCTTTGCATTGCGAAGATTGGTGGGGATGAGTGTTTACTTCGGAGTTGTAAGACAAATTTGAGGCCACAAATACTACGTGCAAATGAAGTGCACCTAATAAACTTTATTAGAGTTGCTAAGATCGTCAGGCACGTAGCTTTAGGGAAGAAAGTTTCAATTCTAGCGCAAGGTCTCCAGATTCATCGAAAATTAGTCTACATCCAGACCTAACTAACTTGGAACTGCAGACTAATACAGAAATCTCACCTAGCAGCTACAGGGTATATAAAGTATATTTCGTTACCGAAAGCATATCTCATTACCAAACGATAGAACAAAACCTACCTGTCCCCTAGTCGGCAACATCGGATGCCTTTCACAGAAACCTGGGGTTACAGCGCTTCACTAAATTCCAGCAACAAACTCCTCCACAACCCTCGCAACCTCCGCCGGTGCTTCAACGACCATGAGATGTCCAACCCCCTCCACAACAACCATCTCTCCCCCCTCATAGCAACCTACCACCTCCCTCTCCAACCTCTCCCTCGTCTCAACCACATCATTCTCCCCTGCAGCAACCAACACCGGACACCTCATCCCCTTCACCTCCTCCCTAATATCCTCAGCCATACCATACTCCGGCCAAGCCCTCCTCGCATGTCTATTCCCCCTCAACATATCCCGTACCAGCGCCTCGGTCGCCTCATCAGTGAGTGTGGAAGAGGTAAGTACATTTCTTATCACAAACTCGCACGATTCCCTCGTTTCGTAAGCGGTGTACGATTGCTCCCTCAAGTCGTCAGGAAGAACTAAAGGCGTAGGTGGTGCTGGCGCAATGAGTATCAGTCCTTTGAGGTTCGGTGTGTTATTCCGACCTGCTATGAGTTGCGCTACTTTTCCGCCCATGGAGTGGCCTACTAGGAGAATATCCCGCAAGGCGAGCTTGGAGAGGAGGTCTTCGATGTCGAGGGCGAGATGCTTGATTGAGTATGCCGATTGATCGTCTGGGCCGGTGGAAAGACCTAAGCCTCGGAAGTCGATGGAGATTGTGTGGTATGAGGTGAGGTGTGATATTAGCGGTGCATATGTTGCTGAGGAACCGCCCCAGAAATGAAGAAATACTAGGGTTGGTAGCGATGATGGATTGCCAGTTATTGAAGTATGCAATGTGGTTGTCGAGTCTATCTGGTGGAGTTTACATCGCGCCATGGTTGTGATCGAAGCAGGTATGGGAGTTACATATTATGACACTCAACGCACATCTGGATATCGCAGAATAGGATTTCAACCTTCCATATATACTCCTAGTAAATGACAACTAGCCGGAATGACTGAAGTCCTTTAACTCAAACTCGTCGTGCCACTGGATGACACAGTCATAGTTCTTGCGACTTAGTTGGCTGAGTCGGATATAGTTTCGGATAGCTGGATATACAACAGCAGCCACTGAGCATCTGATGGTCGCCACCAGATCTGGATCCGGTGTGAAATAAGTATCTACTCGAACTTATAGACAACCAATATCTCGGCACCTCGATGTTCCAGCATTGTTTTGCAGAAATACAACCTGCAATATCTCGCATGATCTGTGATTTTCAACAGCAGCAGTGGCTTATTCGAACGATGCCATTCATCCTCAAGGCTTTGTCTCAGGGCCTTGGTCATTTCCGTCGACCTCTCCATCACCAATTGCACCCTCTTCAGAAGCTTTTGCTTCATCCAACTTCCTATACTTCCTCTTGCTCTTTTTCACAGCACTACTCTTCTTCTTCTTCTTCACCTCTCCCACCACAGCACTCCGACTCTTATCCCCTTTCTCCAAATCATCCAATCGATCCGCCAGCATCTGTCTTGCAATCTTGCGGTTCTGCGACCGCGATCGCGTAGCTTGGACTTTGAGAACAATGCCCGAGGTAGCATGGATGAGCTGGACTGCAGAGGAGGTTTTGTTCTGGGCCATTTGATTAGCCCACGATTCCGGATTGCTGTTCCATATGATGGAGAAGTAAAACACGCACAATTTTCTGGCCCCCAGGTCCACTCCCATGTAGAAAAGCCTCTGTAAACTCTTTCTCGGGTGGTGGTTTAGGTCGATCCGGCATCTTCTTCTTCCATTGCGCCGGAGTTGCGCTCAAGCTCCTCCCGAAGACATGGCCTGTATTCTTCTTTTCACGGACCGCACTCCGTCGTAGAATCAGACTCCATCTCTCCAACATCATGCCATTGTTTCCGGTCGTTGAAGTTGTTGATGTTGATGTACTTGCGCCGAGCACTCCAGATGTAGATCCGCAGACCCCTGCCAATTGATGTACGGTGGCGCCTGCGCTGGAAAAACATAATGGCGCGCGACTGTCGGATTAACGAGAACAATCAGTCATCTCTTCAATACCACGCAGGGCGATTTATTTCAAAATCTTGTGTCACAGAGTCGTGTCGACCTCAAGTCAGATTCGGCTTCCAACTATTTGCAACTTTAAGACTGCGAAGCACGCAGAATGGCTCTGTTCGCCTCTACTTTCCGCTGGTTACAGCGCAAAAGATACCAATATGAGGTATGGAAATGGGCACTACCGACTTTGAATCGCAATAGGAATGGAGTGCTAACAGAATTAGGTGACCTTCTCATTATACATGTTAACGCCCACCGAGAAATTCATCTTCAGTACGTCCCTCCTACCTCCTTCCGACCATTCCGGCCCCTATTCCACCAATCCTCAATCTAACAATACCTTTACAGATTCATTCCTCTTTCTATTCTTCTCTATGATCATCATCGCTATGACACTGTACCTGCCTCAGCACATCACCTTCCTCACGAGCCGAGCCTGGTTCTACTACAACGGCGACGAGAGCGCGAAGATGGAGATTGCGAATTCGAGTGCAAGCACCGTGATGGAGGTGGTGAAGGAGACGGTGGCTGCGGTGCAAAAATCGGGTGGTAGGGAAGTTGTGGAGGGCGTTAAGGAGCTGTGATCCGGCGTGCGAAATGTTGGGCGGATGAGAGGTGACTTTGGGGGGGGGGGAGATAATGTCCACAAATACGCTTCACTGGGAATTGTGGAGGAAAGCTTGGGGGTCGTTGTCTGTACTATTTTCACACATAACGCCTTGTAATTGGAGAGTAGGGCGGCTCTATCTGGGTTTGGAGTTTGGGAATGGACGCAGAGACGTGGATATGGGAAATCACGACGCAAATAGCGATGTAATCATTAATGATGTCAGATAGCGATTAGCAAAAGAGATTAAATGGTGGCTTTAGACATATGTTACAACAATCACATATGCAACTGAATATTCGTGTGGAGATGTCTGGGCTCACTTGGAAGATATCAGAATACATTTAAGCTCTGTTTTCCCGCGCAGTCTTCAAAGCTTTCATCGTGTTATACATCAGCTCAGCAGTCCCTTTGACGCCCTTCTGCTCCAATTCCATCAGGACACCTAATCTATAATCCTGCCAATTCAAGCGAAGTCCATTATCCTTCTCCAGTTGCTTCAGTGAGGCCTGCGTGACCGGCCCGGGGTGCCTTACTAAGATCTCGTTCTCAGCCGCGTCTTCCAATTTCCTCACATAGGAAATTGAAAAGAGACAGAGTACAGGCGAGAATGACAGACTGAAGAGTGAGGAGAGAGTAGTTGATATCCCAAGATCCCTCACGTAATCATCTAGCTGGACAGTCGTATTCGGATCCAGAAGACAACCGAGCGCATTCGGATCACTGGTGTTAAAAGCATGAGCTCGCCATACGCAGTTGCAGACGTCCATGAGGAAGCCATTGAAGTGGTTGACGTAATCCTGAGAATATTGTCCGGGGTTGAAAGCCCGGCCTGTTTCGAAGGCGGACTTGTAAACTGAGAGGAGTCCACAGAGCCGATCGAGTGTGTCCAGCGAATTTGTGAAGTGAAAGATGTAGACAAGTTGAGTGGGAGGGATCGGTATGCGGATGGTTTGCAGAATGGAGGGATGAGAAATCAGTGTTCCGATACTTTCGTAGAAGCCCAGTACGCTAGAAACAGTCGCAACATCAGGAAGACCTTGAATAATGACTGTCGCTAAAGAGTTGGCGTGCGATACAAGACCGGCTACTGCTGCCGTTGCTTCAGCTGGATGGGCTGTCGTGAGCATAGATACTGTCCAACGATTAAGAAGATTTGTGTAATAGCCCATTAGAGTTAATTTGCAATGATTTGTGTTGGAGTCAAGAAGAGCTTCTTCTAACGGCATAAGAACTTCCGAGTAGAGGTCTACTAATGTTAGTAGGAAGACTTCAAGGGTTCCAAGTACAGGTCAAACCTTCAAATGACTTGACTGGCAAGAATGATAAGAGACCGAGAATGGTCTCTTGGCCAAACGACCCATTCCACTCTGGGAGCATTGATTGAAGATATCTTAAACAGGCTTCTGGCAGTACCTGAAATAAGTTAGCCTATACTGTGAGAATAAGACTTCATTAGGAATACTTTTGTAGACTTTGTATGTTTATGAATGGCTTCGAGCATTTCTAATATTTTGGCTTCCGACGGATTGGGGTGGTGCAATTGGTCTTCGAAAAAAGCATACAGCCAATTGTTGATGCGCCTCTCATGTTCATCAGAGGATCGAAGCTGGAGAAGCCTTTGCAGTAAAGGATCACCCAAGACTGCCACGAGCTGATTAGGTGGGTCGATTCTCTCCAGTTTCTGAACAAAGTCGTGAACGTCTTCAATTTCCTCCAGCGTGATAGAAGACTTGGGAGATGTTAGAAATATACTGCAACAAGTATATTGAACTTACCTCATTAGCGCTAAATGTGTGGACTTCTGGTATCAAAGATTTGTTATTTTGGTGCGAGCCAGTTGTACGACTTCGGCTGACCCGAAATGGTATTTCCGCTGGTAGCCCTTCTTGGTTTTGGTGAAAAGAAATAGCTTGTATATCAGCAAGCCGCTCTCCCCATTCTTTATTTGGATGCTACCGAAGTTAGTGCTGCTCACTCTGAGAGGGGTCAACCCTACTGTGAAGACTGAGGCTCTTCCGGATACGGCGTCACCAACGATGATATCCGGGTAATAATCCTTAAATACTCGCAGGAGCCCAACCAATGGCGGCTCATTTCCGACCTGTCGGATTAATTCCATTCTATATGAGCGTTAGCCAAAGCGTTGTTGTATTTTGGAGTCGTTTACAAGACTTGGATTCTGTAAGGCAGTACGTGTTTCCTTCGGGTGATCAAAGACAGAATATGACATAGCTGCGGCCTGTTACTTATTAGTTTCAATTTCGAAGAACCAAGACATTTAAATGAGTTACCGAATTGTAGATGTGTCGAGCAAATTAAATAAAACAGGATATAGTTGAGAAATAATTTTCGAGCTTTCAAGAACGTTGTAGATCATGACTAGCCATTTCAGGAGCGCCGTTTGCGAACTGTAGGAAGGCTTCGATTTTCCATGACCAAGACTTCCAATCACCTTTGTTACCAATGAGTTGAGTACTTGATCCGCTGGGTAAAGATTCTTGATGAGGTTGTTGACACTTGCTTGGTCCAACTCATTTGGCAACGTGATAATGTCGATCAGCCGGTCCAGAGAGCTCTTAGACAGTCCATCTTCGTAAGCACGAGTGGAAATTCTGTCTACGGTGGTCGATATTCGAAGATTTCGCTGTTTGGCGGGTATCTTTGCAGCTGGTCTGAGATTCAGCAATTGATACCTGATAGTCGCGTCACATTCGTGCACGCGTGTCTTACCGTGTTCCAAATCGTCCAGCAACTCCTCAATAGTAAATTCACGTCGGGGAGGGGGATCCATTGTGTCGGCGAAGGGGTTTCCTATGAGAGGAACAAACGGATTGCATCCATGAGTTTCGTGAGGCTCAAGGTCCTCGGTAGATGGTCGTTGGCCTGCTCGCGAATGTTTGTGTAACACGGATGTTGGAGGTGGAATTCAACTGGCAAAACAAATTCGCTTCTGCTCCCATATTTGACCCCCCCTATCACCTGTCACCCAACCTCAAATATATTCGCAATCTCCCGTCAGAAAACAGAGACCTTCACGACGTTAATTTCTACAGTCGCGATGGCAAAAGGCGGACTAGATGGAATCTACAGTGTGGTTTCACGACGAACATTCTGCATGTCACTAAGTCAACAGAGCATGAACGATGCACATCGCCTAACGAAGCGTCCCTGCTACGTTCAGAACGGCCATCCATCAGCCCCCAGATGCTGCATGCACCTTGGATGCGAAGGCCAAATCCAACGTCGTGGGAGACTTAGCCGGCACGGTTCGTCGGCGGAGGGGTACATCGCGCAGTTACGATTGAAGATATACCAACAAAAGCCGACCACGCCGGACGCTCTCCTTCTCTGCAGCAACCCGCTTTCCAGCACGTCAGGATGGATCCTGGGACACAACCCGCCAGCAAAACGCTCTTTCGGGCTGATAAGGACGAGAATAGCCAGGACGACACCGCTCTTAAACGCTTCACCAGTTCAGCCTGCAGCGATAGGACTCCCCCGAGCCTATCAACAGAAGAGCTTCTGGCGAAGGGGGACCGTTTGGTGGTAAAGATTCCCAGACTACTTGCCATTTGACGATCTTGCGGGTGCCATGCGACCAGCAAAGACGCCTTCATCCAGCTTCTACAGCAGCGCAGCCGCTAACTCGCGGGTCAAGGTGCATAATGTTGCACAAAGAAGCGGCCTCGAACGCGTTGATGGTCTTCTTCCGCCATCGTTGCGTGGTTGCGAACCTGGGGTGCTGAAATCGCAGTCTGTTCGTGGAGGAGAGGAGAGGGGTGCAACGTGGGTCTTGCCTTTCATCCAGAGCGTCAAGAGCCCATTCCGCCGATATGGCCACATCCGGAATAGGCCTGCAGCAGTCAGACGTTCAGATCCAAGCTGGAGGACAGAGGGCCTGCTTTTGGCCTCAGAAGTCTGCCTCCAAGGTCAGCAAAGCAAGTTCTTCCCATGTACTTCGTCTCGCCAGTCCAATTGCGTGTGGTACGGGTACCGAGATTCTGTGTAGACGCTGGAGAGTCCGTCCACAATATATCATTCCCTTCAACGGCTTGATATTTGTGCTACATCGCGACCTGTGAGGCGGTTTCCAGCCTTGAGCGGACGCTTCCAGGTAATCAGCCCTTCTGTTACGGTGATTCCGAGTTCAGCGCAGCAACATTGCCTCGGACCTGGATCGGCGCGACGTTCCATGCTTCAACGAGGGAGTGCGTCAAAAGTCTTTGATCTACAAGCGAATATATTCTGCAGCGCTACGAGATTTGCAAGAGCCAACCCTGTGAGGTACAGAGGCACACATCCGAAAGGATCCAACCTTCTGAAAGAAGGCTATTTATCCTACGAGGCGCCGTTTCCGCTCCCGTGGCTTTGCACGCTCGTTTGGCGCTTTCAGACTCAGGGTCTGCGCAAAAAACTTAATCATTGGCTACAGATGTGAGTGTTCATTATCCCTGAGCTGCACCAGCGTATTCGACACTAACTCCACATCATCCAGTTACACAAGGTGCAGATTCGTGTGACACTGTATGTGGCCATTTTCTCGTCGTCTGCGGAGTTCTTTGCAAGGGTGGCGAGCTAATTTCAGGCTCTTTTAAAAGATACTTGTCCGCCACATGTTGAGCCCAAAAAGAAACTTCAAGGCACACGGCACATATTTGCAACATCTACAACCACGTGGGAAACATAGGTGACTTCGGCTTCTGTAAGGTACGGATGCTGAACCGTCCGTCTGCTTTTGTGCTTGGAGACACGGATCAAAGATTTTTACTTGGAAAGCTCGCCTAAACAGCCCCTTCAACCTTCATGTGGGGGGTAGCCTTTATTATTGTTATTACGACGGCCAAAGTATTCAATCCTCTGCGCCATTCCTAGACCTGCCCGTTTAGATCCTGAAGCCAAGACGATCCAGTCTCCTGGAACATGCAATTACTAACGTAGACATCCTGGAGCCGGCATATAAACCACAGGTACGCATGTACTTCCTTGTTTCGCCATCCGGCACCGACAGTCTTCCTATCTTTAGGCGCTTGTGGTTGACAGATTAAAGCGTGTCAAGATCGAATCATGAGTTCGACTCATACTACCCAGTCGGCTAGTTCGGACGATGAAGACGAAATGTAGATAATTTTCATGTTCCTGCCTTCTACCCTCACATAAGTCTAACACATCCAGGGAGATAGATACGAACGCTGCAGTAAACCCTTCCAGCGCCGCTGCACACAAAATCGCTCAAAACGAAGGGAGCTTAGCTGCTGTTTATAGAGATGCGACTGATTGGCTGCAACACGTTAGAGCATTGCGGGAAACCGATGTTATCATACTTCTAACACCAGTAGTCGTCCCAATCAGCCAGGACCCGACCGACATAAGTGATCCTTTCGAGCCATTGGGACGCTCTTTAGCGAAAAGACACGCAAGGGTTCGTCAAGTACCTTATACTAAAAGGTTCGTGGAGTGAATCTGGACTTTGATCTTATCTAAACCCTTGCACAGGAACGGTATCACGTCTACACATCTTGGATTTATTAAAAGGGGTCATGTTATAATACTGTGTTTTGCCCTTCGCCCAGGAGAGCAGCTACCTCTCGAATTCGCAGATATCACTTTTGCTGTCAGCGATAACAAACCATGTATCATCGTTGTATGTTGTAATCCAATTGACGAGAACCAAATCATACCCTTTCCGACTGTTATCCAGACTCTTGGATATTCGCCACCCGCCCTGGAATCTACAGCAGCCTTAATATTTGGAGAGGGCCTGGGCTTTCCTCTAGGCCGTGCTTCAGAGCCACCCACAACTGACTCGCAGGCTCCGAGACTTTGGCAAGTAGAACAGTGGAATGAATCAAGAGATATATCAAGTGTGGTAGGGCTATGGAATGAGGATATCAATGGCAGGTTCGCTCTCGATCAAGATACTCTAGCGTCTTTACTCCGGCGCCCAGGTTACGCGAAGCATTATGTTGTTCGTGACACGAAAAGTGGAGTCATACATGGATTTTGTGCAACATATCTGGCATATGTTGATAAAGAAGGGGAGAAGCTCATTGCTTCTCTTGCGGTACTTCTTGTCCGCTCTACGCACAGGCTACTTGGTATCGGGCTTAGCTTGCACAGTCATGCGGTAAGCCAGCTCAAGAGAACAAGAGGTGTAATACGTTTACAGTTTGGAAGTACATTTCCACGACTCTTATATGGTCCGCCACTTGGAATGCAGTTTAACGAAGCTTGGTTTCGGAGACGAGGATGGCAATTTAACAAAGAAAGCCCAGGGCAGGGCCAGGTGATATACGACCTTATCCTAGATTTTTCGAACTGGAAATACTCCGACAATTCATCATCTGAAACCATCTTCAAGTTATGCACTCAGGAGGATATGATGAAGGTCATCGAGATTGTTGAAGAAACATCGGCAAAACAAGCTAAAATGGGTTGGTTTGATCAATATACATCAATGATGAATGGACCGAATGTCAAGGATATTGTATTAGCAGTGGCTGACAATGTCGTGGTGGCCACGGCCCTTACTTACACCCCGTCGTGTGGAAGTCCAATACCCTCGAATTTACCATGGGCGGGCCGCATCGGCGACGATGTGGGAGGTGTCACTTGTATATGCATCAGCCGTGAGTATCTTTCTTCTGTGAAGTTCCTTGCTTGGACTGCAATTCTATAGTTGTATGTACACTTGGGGTTTTGTTGTCTGCATAAACAGATTACTTAAGGGGCTCTTCGACCCCGTCGTCGCATCTACAATTTCCGTACACCTAACATAACATAGCTCACCAAAACGATAACATCATGGGCGGTTTGCTGAATGCATGCGTCAAAATGTTGCACGACCAAGGGATGACTCGGATGTTTATAGATGGCGTGGCAGGTGAAGTGGACTCTTTGAAGAGACTAGGTTTGCTTTTCATCTATCACTCATTTCCGTAGATAACTAACGCCCAACCTAGGGTTTGAAGAGTGGGCGCAATATAGGGATGTCTGGAAGGACGTCTGATGGAGTGGAATTGGACACCAACTGTCTCCTAGGAGAAAATGGTGAAAGGAGTGGGCCGAGCATTAAACAATACATCGCATTGATACCCCAGGAGGCTTGGTCATGGCTGGAGTTAGCATTAGTTTTCAACAGAATGTTTGCTGTCTCACATGTTCCTACTCCTTTGTGCGCACGGCGGTTTGTGTTTGTCGACATAGGTGATGCATAGGTACCTACGCAAAAGCGATGCCGGCTCGCTTACTTGGTTGGTCGCTTAGCTGACTTAGAAATAGATACAAGAATTATCAAACAAAGAAACTTTGAGACATGGAATGGAGAAGAGCTGAACCTACAATCCGTCGTTTATCCAGATAAGCATTTGCATTCGTCAAAATGAAACCCAGCACAAAGCATCTCAAGCACCTGCTTCCAGGAAACGCTACATTCCGTAATTCTGGAACATGAAAACATGAAAATGTGACTTTGTTATAGCACTTTCTTTGATGGTCTGGTTATGGGTCTTGGAGTTCGAAACGCCTAATAAAGCGAATAGCTAGATGTGAGGCCACATGCTCTTAACAAAGAGTGAAAGGGGTGTGGAGAGATATAAGCAAGAGCAATTGGAGAAATGTATAGAGGATCAGACAAGTTCAGCAACATTCTCTTCGCGCCACATTCAAGCCACCTCAAAACACACTCAATAATCACGCGTACCCTCAATCGCTATCATCGCAAATACTCCAATCTTTCAACATCGATTAGGCCAGCGGACTTAAACGGAAAACAAAATGTCACAAAACTCCAACGTCCAGCACTTGATCTGTTGGTTCTGCGGGTATAGCAACCCCTCCCCGAACACGACATGTAGTTTATGTCACGGAGCAACAGTATCGCCCCTCGATGGCACGGGTACGAACATGATTCGATGGGTCCCCCGGGCAGCCACCGGGCAACAACCACTATAGACGCTCATTGCAACCGCCCGAAGTCCGTTTGCTATCCGCTTGAGAAACTCCAGTGCTTCGGCTCTTTTCATTCGATACCCCAGCGGTACAATGCTGTTGTCGATCCAAAATGGACACAATGCTGTGATGACACGAGCAGACTTTACGCAAATCACAGCAACGGACATGCAGGATTTCGACGCCATTGCAAATTCAGCGACGACAAGAGAGGAGTACATCGTGGTGTAATGGAAGGGACGAGACGTGGATTCAAGGGTAGTTGGGGACAAGGGGCTTGGGAGTCAGGTTGCCTATCACAGCAGGACAGAGCCAATTCATCAAGGGCGGAAAGGAGAAATTGTACCGTAATATTGGGTAAAAGATGAGACGTGGGATCCAAATTGTACTTCGGGATTGTGATCTTGAGCGTTGGTTTGTCTTGACAGCAGAAAAAAGTAGATTTTGGTAGTTTGTCTGAAAATACAACGCCTAGTTCTTCAACGGCCAAGCAAGCTTCATGTGACGCAAGGGATACATTGCTGGATCGTAAGGCCCTCGAGGCTCGATCACATGCTTCTCTCTCTCTGGATAACCACCAGAGAATCCAACCTTAGAAGGCATTAAATCAGTATTGTCCGTGTTAGAGACAGATGGAATAACTTACCATGAACCCTCCTGCCCAAGGTTGGCATTTCGAGAAGGCTGGACGTAACCACGCGTCATTGTTAGTAGGGTGCTTTATCTGGCACGCGCTCCATGCATCTTGAACTTTCTTGATTGGATTGACCACCAATTCTTCGAATTTGTCCGCGCTCATGGTTGGTTCTAGGCGGTCGAAAATTGGCATGACAGCCTCTCTATAAGGACTAAACCTCCCCGCATAAATAACAAAGTACCGTTCCGCCCACCAGGGAAAGTACCCAGCATGCTCCCAATCGATGAGTGCGGTAATCTTGCCGTCCTTCACTATGATGTTACTCGTATCAAGGTCTCCATGCGTAAGAACATAGGGCTCTGGTTTTGGAAAGTTGTCCTTGAGCGCTTGAAATTCCCTGTCGATGATAGCAGAATCCCGGGTCATGTGGACGAATGCTAAACCTTCCCGCAGTTCCTCCTCGATGTTCCCAAACCACTCGTCAGTCGAGGATCCGATCATTTTACATTTAGGCCTCGGAACATTGCAATTACCGAGGATCCAGTCGTGGAGTTTTCCTCCTTCAACGTTGTAAGGGGCTGGCGCTGTGAATGTCCTGATCTTTTGTATGAACTGGAGGAGTTGCTCCGTCACACTACTTTGCATCTTTTGAGAAAGAGTAGGCCACAACTTATGGAGCGGCGCGCCTTCGGCACGACTCATTAGATAGAGATAGGTTTTCTCTTCAGGTTCATGAATCAGCTGTATGTGCCTGAGAAGTGGAATATCTGAGCCTGGACCAAGCTGGTCACGCAGAAATTTCTGCGTCATATAGTCATTCCCTGCAGAGTAACCATCATTCGGAGCGTCTTTGATGAGCCATTTTGAACCTAACGCCCATAAACCCGTGTTGGAATTTGTATGGAGGATTTTGAGTCTGGGTGCGTATGAGGTAAAAGCTTGCTCGTAAGCAGTCAAGCCGCAAAACCAGCACAACTCATGATGAACCACCTGGTCGTAGGCATTTAACAGATAGCCTTTTACATCGTCGAGATTTTTGCGGCTTTCTATAGCCCATTCCGGGGGATAGCGGTTTTTTGCATAAATCAGTCCGGGATAAACCTTCTCCGGATGAGCAAAGTCTTCGGTCTTCATGACAAAATCCTCGATATTTTCGGCCATTCTCGTATAGTATTCAGGATTCTTCGCCAATCTCTGAGCCCTCAGCTCCACGTTGTTCTTCTCTAACCTGTTGAGATACTCTTCATTTTTGATCCTCTGAGCCTCCTCGTCTTCGTCCTTCTTGGCCTTTTCGATCTCGTCGACCTTCTCGATCTCGTCGGCCTTCTCGATTTTCTCGTTCTTCTCCATGGCTGAGGTCTCAGTGGATTGGTGACACAATGGTAACTTGGTGCTGCTATTTTGAATTATCGTCGTTGATGAAGCAGAGCACAAGAAGAGATCAGAAAGACAGGGGATTGGAATAAATAAAGGGTTTCTTTGCGCAAATACTCGGACACCACTTCCGCAAACAGCTCATTCGTATTGGACAACTGCGCTGGTTGATAAAGAGAATGACCATCTCGAGGTTACGCAAACGGTATGAGGGAAATAGCACCACAATGAGAGGTGGTAACATCATTCCCCACAAAGAGTCCAGCGACAACCATTCTTTACGTCAAGCTCGAATCACATTCCAGGTAATCCGCCAGAGGGGATGATAAAGAACGGAACTTCTTGGGGTTACGCAAGCGGACCTGGGAGGAATGCTATGAGAAACACAAAGAACGTGACATGATCTCGATATCCCCTATTTGCTTCAACACCTGCAAATCGATCGGGGACAGACGACTTTTGGTGTTATGTAAGCGATGCAGAAAACGGAAATCTTCGAGACGTGACTTATGGCCAATGGACTGACTGGTTACATGACAGCATATAAACGCTCAAATCACTAAAATTATTCATGCAAGAAATAAACAAAAAGTGGCACATCCCGGCTAACCTTATGTGCACCTCATCTGCAGCTATCTCGCGCGAGAAATATCTCTGCATCGGCCAAGGCAGCTGCCGTGGCATACAGTATCGTATCTTGTCCAATTACTGACAAGTAACTGCCACCAATGCCACTCATACCTAGTGGAATGTTTACATTCTGCGAAAGAAGCTGCTCCATAAGCGAGAATTGGAAAAAGGAAGCCTGACTAGGGAGGAAACATCACATCTATTTTCTACCTGAATAACATTGAACATTCATTCTTATCAGCTGCTCAGAACTAGTGAACGATTTGACTATGAAACTTTTGTTTGAAAAATTTGCTGCCCCCATTTGAGGGATGCATGAAGAGTGCATATTTCTATGCATGTACAATGTGTGGAGAAATATGTAAGGTAGGTTGGCAATATCTATTGTTGTATATTTTTCAGCCAATGATCTGCGAGTGAGGAGGTTGTACGTAAAATCAGTGCATACGCAGCTTGCTGTTGGACTGTTCCTGAACCTTGGTGTTGTCATTGTCTGTGGCTGGAAGCAAATCTGTATGAGTGCTCATACAAGGTTGAGTCAAAACTATAGAGGTAAAGTAGATAGGAACTATTAAGGAAAGTGAATTACAGTGATCACTAGGTACCTACTACTTCGAAAGGTGCAAGCTTAAAGGTGCCGTTCGGCGCTGGGAGGGATACTTAATACTTATCTACAAAATGTAGTTACTAAAGATCCGCTGAAACAAGAACTTGCGTCAAAGGAGACAAAAGGCGCCGAAGATATATAACCAAGAATCACTTCTTATATTACAGGACACAATTATAAAGATTGTATTGGAATTCACACCGGTCGCCGGGGACGGGAGTTGAGAATTACCCTGCACCAAGTGGATATCTTTAGTTCTTTACGCAATGGTGGGTATATTGAATCTTCAACCAGGCCCACTCTGAGCGGGGGCTGTGATTTCAAGAGAGAGAGACTGTTGGTTGGCGGTAGCCTGAGACTCTGAGCTTATTTGATATCATTGAACATGCTGTCTGGAGTCTTGCGAGATTAGGATGGAAATCCTCAGTACGATATTCAACTCACGCAATAGCGAAAGGACTGTCTAATACTCAACATAAATGGTATGTAGGAAAAATAACTATTCTTAAGCATAGTACCCGAGATTTCTATTATCTCACTATATTTAGGGGCAAATCCTGCGATAGACCTTACCCAGCCAGCCTCTAATCACCCATAAACTTACAGTTTCATCTCATTACAGACCGGTATCAAAATGTGAAGGGTTCTCATATAAAATATCTAGTTTTATTACATAATTCAAACTTTGCAATCGTGAACATAGACAGTTTTGGTCAGTGCGCTGCGTCAGATCATGTCGCATTACCATTAGTAGTTGAGAGTGAGATCCGTTCTCGAGCCCGCCGATAATCTACGAGCTTTGTAGCACACCTCTGTACTTCATCCATAACCGAGACCTCAGCTGCTCGAGGTACCATTGTTTCCTTAGAAGCTAAGTATGCTTCTGTGACGAATTGCAAGTACGCCAACGTCGACATAGATATCTTTTCCTCCTTCTCCGTATTATCGTTCCTTACTTTTCTGTTCTTCTCTGTCCGTTCGTCAAGCTTGACATCTTGCAATCCCTCCTTCACATTAAATCGGAAATATGGTGTTGCCTGGTTTACAATTAGTTCAGCTTGAGTGGAGGGTCAGAAATTTGGAGGCTCTTTCGGTGTAATTTACAGCCTCATGTGCTCGTGACTGCACTTGCTGATGATTAGGGTCCTGTGAATGAAGTCAGTTTCTGCACGGTATAGCTGTGTACACTATGCTTATAGTGTCCGTCAACATTTGTCTAGGTGCTTTCCTCATCGTCAAGTACTTCGACAAAGAGTTCTGACCTTTGCGTCCAAATATCTCGTATTTAGACTTCCCTGTTCCAATACTGAGAAAGCATGCGATCGCTTTTCCAGCCGTGGTGTTCGTATCATTATTTCTTGCCATCTGGACGACTTCACGCCATGCAAATGTAGCAGGGTTATCGGCTTGTACACCCCCATCCATAAACTTATGGTCTCCCACTTCAAACACCTTGAAATACCCAGGTGCGGCAGATGTGGCTCTAGCGACGTCTACAATATCCGCTTCACACCCAATGTTATCCGGGTTTAAGGCGTAGTACTGCCCTGAAATCACAGGATGCACATACGAGCGGAACAAATACGTGGTCACCGCATCACCATTATCTTTGACAGCTACTGCGACCCTACAGGATATCAGCCAGATGCTTGGCTCAATCAACGCAGATTCCTACTACTCACGTTTTACAATGGTGCTCCCCATCCGTTACTTGTTCGCGAAACTTCGTCCATGGGCCTTGGCCCAAGTCATTTTGATTCAAACCGTTAGGTGCATATTTGTTCACGACTTGGGTCAAGGCTCCCTCCACATTTCGCCAGTCGAATTTAGAGCAGAGCCACAATTTGTTTTGCACATGAAACCTCCTAGGATGAGCGAATATGGTCTCGCCTATGATTTCGTACTGCTCGATACATTCGTCTACAGTGAGTTTTAGTCTGCCTAGCATGATAGCTATAAGTCTATTGAGAAGTGTTAGTCCCCATGGCGAAGCACACCCTGGAGCCTCACTCACCCCCTTGTGGAAGTTCCAGCAATATAGCCAAAGTACGTGCTTGGTTGCTGAAAGTGCTTCAGGTTTTCTTCTGATCGCTGTCGGTTCTCTGCCTCATCTCGTCTCTTTTCTTCTTCAACCACTTCTCTCATTATCGCCTGCAGGATCAGCAGCGTTGAGTAACCTTTAATTCCGCCGCCATCTGTGCCCTGTTAGCCGCTGAAACATAAAGACGTGCGACAATCGCCTGGTCAATGTTACCAAGAGAAAGAACCGACGCTGCTCCAGGCGTGGAATCGGGTCCTGCAGTGGTTGGAAACGTCTTATTGCAGCTAGGACACAGTGCGTGGCATGGACGAATGTTGTTGAAGTGTCCCTAGAAGACAAATCCCGAGACGAATTGTCGATCCACTATGCAACGATCCGGCTACCCAGAAAGGTGTATCGAAATCGTATCCGAGGACACTATAAACAGTTATATATACGTGGAATAGCCTAGTAGTAGCGAGATATTATGTTACGTGGAGCCTTAAGTGTTAGGAATTGTTTGTTGATCTGGGGCGGGCTGCTACTGCGTATTCAATACAAACATTTTTTTAAGCCTACACACTTTACGCAGCTTTAATATTCGACAATTGTGACAGTTCGAACTCTACGAGAATTAGCACGAGAGTTTATGTGTTTCTCGCTATATTATATGTTAGCTCTTCGCGTATGTAGCTATATTATGAGTTGTCTTACTCTTGTTAATTCATACATTATCCTGGAGTGAACCAGCAGGCTATTTTTATTACGTTACCATCAGAAATTCTTTAATAGAATACTGAGAAAGATACCGATGGCGTAATCAACCTGCAGGTCGACGGCAAATGCATTACTGACTTTAGTAGTAAATACTATTAATTTAGTCCGAAAATTCCTCCTCAGATGAGCTAGCCTCCCTGTGTAGCTGGTATTCCAGTTTCCCATCCACCTTCGCAGTGAGAGCTGATTGTATGGAAACAATTTCATCGGCAGTCAAGGCTTTAATAGGATCTTGCGCTTGAATCGCTAGGACAAGACCACGGTTGTTGACCTTCAATTTTGTAATGTACCAAAGAATGCCAGGCTCGGTAAAGCTGGACAGTCCAAATATACTGAGCATTTTCAAATGACCAAGTCCTGCTATTGACGTCCAAATTCCATCATCAATGTCGAATCCACAGATTGAAAAGTTTTCAAGGTTTGGTAAGTGCGATGCGAGCTTTGCTATTGCGCCAGTTTGAAAGTAATCAGCAGTATCTGGTGCTAGGCGTAACTCCTTCAGCTTCTGCAGACAACAAATGGAGTCCACTAGGCACTCGATATCATCTCGTGAAGAATCCTCTGGATTCGCCCTAAGATTTAAAACTTCAAGTGAAGTTTGGTGCGAAATTGCCCTATGAAAATCCTGATTGCCAAAAAGTGTATAACCGTGAATCTCAAGACTATGGAGACGAATGTTGTTCATCAAGCAGACTGATGTTAAAATACTAGGGGCGCTGACTACAGAGACAAGTTTGAGTTTCCGCAACTCGGCGCAGCGGCCTAGCCATGCGACAAGCTCAAGGAACACATCATTTTCAGTGGCCTCCAGATCGACCACGCCATCCTGATCGTGAATGTCTAAACACTCTAGCTGATCACAGCCTTGAAGAAGGGAAAGATTTTTAATGACATCTGATCTCAGGCCGTCCAAAGTCAGAGACCTTAAGGAGTTTGAGTGGTGGTTCAGAGCCAACAACGTTTCTGGGCCGATTTCATTTGCACTCAGCACAGATAACGATCGAAGACTGTTTGGCTTCAAACCATTAAAGAATGAAGACAGCCGTTGGTCGATCCCTTCTCTAGGTAAAGAGTACAGGAAAGTAAGATCGTCGAAATTTGGACACTGGTTGAATATTGACTCAGCCACCGTCCCATCTAAAACAGACCCGTCGTACAGGCTCATACTTTTCAGGTTGGCAAGTCTACTGGTCCATTTCTGTAAAGCTACGGTGCCAAGTTGACCTGTGATATCTTCGAGAGCAGTCTTATATCCAAGGTTGGTAGCCGAGTCGTAGACAAAGGTGGTAATCAGCTCGCCAATGACATCTAACATTGCAGGTATATCAAAACGGCCAGCTACCTTCTTCTTCTTGCCACTTCTTGTTTTGATCTTTTTCGCTGGTGACTCTTGGTGTTCCAGGAATTGGGCCATGTCGTCCGAGAAGAACGTCTCGCTCGCATACTCCCAAAATTTTGTGTCCTCGAGCAAATTCGTTAGGTTCCGCAGATCGAGAGTGCGAATGTAGAGACAATAAGGATACGCAGTACTGCTCAAACTCGACCGGATGACGGACTTCCACAGCAAAGCCCACTTTATCGTCAACTGCTTCTGCACAGCTTCGGGAGCTTCATCGTCCTTCAAGCAGATGGGGGAATAGTTGTAGATTCTGTGCGATGGTAAACAAACAGCACACTTACGTTCGCTGTTAACATACCTGTAGAGCCATCCTAGAGCAGGGTATACAAGTGACTTGCATGTCAATGCGCAATTGAACAAAGTCCCAAAATCTGTCGGTCGCACTCGATGTTAGCGTATGCCCAGGATGTCGAATGATGTTTTACTGACAAAAGATCGGGCCTGGGAATGAGTGAGTTTGATGGTCACTTGCCTTGCCGATTTCCTAGCTCTTCACAAATCAAGGTAAGAATGTCTGTTGGAAGCTGGAGCATGACGCCTGAGATAGAAGACCGAGAGGTGGGAGTCTCCGGAGCGTGCCGTAATAAAAGGCTCCCTGAATTATACGGGAGCGTAATTAGATCCTAGAAGCATGAAAGGATTTCGCTGCCGATTATAAGAAAGCCTAATGTTGTTTAAAACGCGGGGCAGATGTTGGCAAGTCGCGACGCGATTTATGTGGGTCCCAGGTACCCGTAGTCACGGGGAGTTGACTATCGTAATTCTCAACGCCAATTCAAAAATCCACCACGCCTCCGCCAACGACCTGGAAGTTTACAATTGCCCGTTATGGCGATTCTAAGCTTCACTCTGAGTCCAGATGCGATAAATAAGTTGCATGATGCTCTGGTGTGTTTGGGGAAATTTAGTGAAGCTGTCTCCATAGAAGCATCTAACGACAAGGTCAGTGACCTTTGTTCTTTGTGAACATTAACGTTGACTGGCTTTCATGTACAGTTGGTTTTGACAGCCCTTAACTCTTCAAAATCCGCGTACGCGTCGTTCACATTACTGGGAAATGAATTTTTCACGAAATATCAATACCGGCCGGTGCGGTCAGCTCAGCCAAAAGATAAGTTTTGCTGTAGAATTTACAACAAGGTAGGGCGGCTTGTCTTATCAAGAGAGTATGTCTAATCGATTCAAGGCTTTATTATCTGTTTTCAAAGCTCGTGTCGGAGACCCTTCACGAGAGCGTGACACTGCAGTAGAGAGAGCGGAGATAACTGTGGAAGATGAGGAGGGTAAATCCAAGAGCCGATTTACCATCAGGATTATTTGTCGCCATGGTAGGTACTATTGGAAAATCATGATGTAGCGCCGCTGATTATCCCAAAGGCGTGATAAAGACTTACCGACTGACTTTTGAGGCGATCCCTCCAATGCACGCACTATTCGTAAAGGCAAATGCAAACAATATGTGGTCAATTTCATCAAGAACCCTTCGCGATTTTGTGGAACATTTTGGCCCTGGAACGGAACAGCTCGACATATATTCCGAGGATGGTCGCGTCAGTTTGACGAGTTATACGGAGAAAATCATGTCAGGAAATGGTTCGCGCGGACTTTTCTCATATTGCTAGTACATTGCTAATTAAGGTCAGAAATACTTAAGCAGCCACTGCACACATCTATTGCTATCGACAGCCTTGAATTTGCAGAATTCTCGGTCGAAGAACTTCTCCATATTGTCATCAGCGTTAAGGATTTCAAATCCATAATCACCCATGCCGGTATCACAAGCACGATAGTGAAAGCCTGTTACTCTCGACCAGCATCACCAATGCAATTAACGTACAGCGACGACGGAATTCTAAGCGAGTTTATCCTCATGACAATCGGCGAAGTTCGAGGGGGCTCAGCAACACCAGCTCCGAATGCACCTCGAGCAGGTCCCAAGCGGCAAGCATCAAGACAGCCGGTAGCTACTGCATCAGCTTCCAAAAGAGCAACGCCTGCCGAAATGCCTCCTCCGCCTCCCAGGAGCGCTTCAATGCGTGAGCTCTCAAAGACTAGAGACGTCAGGCCATCCCCACCGCCACCACAGCCTAGCATCCCTTCCGACGCTCTTTTCATGCCACGAGCAGATGATGATAATGATAAGATGTGGGATCCTGTCAACCAAGAAGATGATGACGATGACATGCTGCTGTGGGGTCAAGGCGGAGGAGAAGTGAGTTTTAATTCTTTGTGGGAATTCCTGTTGACAGTGTGCAGAACGACGCGACGGTTAACTCCACGCGTACGCAGCATGGTGTCACACCTAGTATGAATAGCTTTCAGAGCAACATGTCCAGAGAAGCTTTAGATAGACAATTAGCTCCTACCCAACGTCTACCGCCGACTCAAAAATTATCCCAGGCAAGACCTTTTCATCGTGTCAGAGGGATTTTGCGGCTAACGATGTTCTAGATCAAAGGCATGTTCGACGACTAGATTTCTGGTCGAAGAAATCAATATCGATGTATCAATCATTCCGGCGTTCCCCTAGGAGCATTTCCATCCGATCGGTAATGTCATTCTACACAACTGAAAGCGTTTGCTCAAGCAACGATGCACACCCAGCTTGTAGCGCAGCCTGCCCCAATGCCTGACATTCTGGCTGAGGGCGGCAAATACTGTGAAGAGGCAATAACATTCCACCGGCCCTTCACATCACCATGTTCGGTATTCGGTCCACAGTTACCGTGCTCGCCCCAACCCCAAGCCAAGACTCTTCCATCAAGAGCGTGGCCCAAAGCGTGTTCGCTGCCAATCGCTACTTGTGAAAGTGGTGGTAGACCAGGAGGACTAAGCTGTCCGTGGTCATCTCTGCCCCAAGATAATAGAATGCCATCTTCTTGCAACACGAATATGCTACCCCAACTTGCGCCCACATCCTTCCATCCCGGTACGTGGAGTGGCGCCGATGAAATTACTTCCCACTTGTTAGAGCCAAGGACAACATGCTCACCTGCTGTGCAATCGCTGAGAAGATACGTAAATTCTCGGCCACAAACAGCCCGTACGACTTTAAAGTTAATGCCACCTAGCTTCCGGGGGATATGAACAATTGCATCTGGTTTCCCAAGTTGACCTTTCCTGCCGTTCCCCCATCCGTAAACATCGCCGTTTTCAAGTACTATAACGACATGACTGACTGACGCTGCTAGATCCACGACCTCCAATCCATCTGGCGGGAATTCTTTAATAAGTTGTGCCTTTGAGGAACGAAATAGCAATTCCCCTTGGCCTAATTCGCCCTTGTTTCCAGTACCAAAGCTATAAACTTTCGTCGCTTTCCCTCTTTCATCTTTCAGAACAATAGTAGTAGCTTCCCATGTGGCTGCACAAAAGCATATTGTGGAGTCGTGTCTGGTCGAGGATTCTTCTGTATCAAGACGAACCTCTCGAAAACCTGAATCATCGTTTTCTGGTTCTGAAACCAATCCACAAGCACCACTAGATATGTCGCCGGAACAAAAAAGTCTACCAGAAGAAAGTAACAAGGTATGATTTCCACCAGCTCTCACTTGAGGAGTTGACGATGGTGTTTCATTTTGGAAATGAACCTGCTTAGGAACGGAAACATCTTCTTTGTGTCCGATTCCTAGTTGACCAGATCCGTTCGATCCTATTGCAAATAAAGTCGTCATTTTGAAAAACTAGATGGTGGAGCTCAGGTATTTGAGATCGGAAGTTGCTAGTGTTGAACCTGGAGTGCTTTACCCACTCACGTGATTATAATGCTAGCGCCCAAGAATCGTGCAGGGGCTGTCTAAGCGAGGCCACACCCAACTTCAACTTTTTGACCTTGAAATTGGAACTTTTTCAATTCGACCTCACGCCAAACCTTCACGACAACAACATCGACACCGCCACGATGCCCGCCCAAAAGAAGACCGGATCTGCCACCGTGGCCCAAACGTATGGCTCTCCCAATCCTTCAAAGAGTTGATCGATTGGGAATTCCAGTTCAAGTCGCCGTCCTCTCGCTGTGTCGCCATTTCATCGAAAGTCCGCTCTTGAGGGACCGATATCTGGTAGCCAGCTCGATCAATCCTGAGCTACTCCCTCGCGATCTAGGCTTCGCAGTTTGCGTCGCGAGAGATGTAGTACGGGGTCTTGGAGTTGAAGAGTTATCTTCTCTCCCAAATTCATTGCCGCTCGAAACTTCATTTTCGCTCCAAATCGGTGCAAAATTTGGTTCACGCATGTGCGTTGCATTTACCTTGGGTACCACCCCGGGGTCTCGTGGGATAGAATGTATGCCATTTGCTTGCGCACTCTCAGCAGTCGTTGCGGCTTTGGTCTCTTCTACCGATCAAAAGAAATTCGAGTTAGCCACTTGCGAGAATGTCGCGCTTAAGCTGCAATTCCCAACCGGCGCTCTTCTCCATACTATGTATGCGGGACACAAGACTAACTGGAATAGATCCGTCCCAACTGCCGACCAGATCCTCGTCCCAGAGACCCTCTTGAAGAAGCGCAAGAGCCAGGAGAAGGCCAGAGAGGAGAAGTCCGCCGAGCTTGAGAAGAAGAAGAAGGTATGTGGACGTCGATTTTCACATTGCGGAATGATATTCAAAGATTATATGATGCATAACACCATTTTTGCGGCTAGATATTCAGTATCGATGTTGTCGCCAATTAACCATCTTTCGGGTCTGATAAATCAATGAATATCATTCATGTTTTCTTTCATTTGATGTTTTCGAGCAAAACTGATTGTCTGATTACAGGCCCAAAAGGAGAAGCGTGGTGTCATCTTCAAGCGTGCCGAGAAGTACGTCAAGGAATACCGCGACCAGGAGCGTGAGAAGATCCGCCTTGCCCGTGTTGCCAAACAAGACGGCTCTTTCTATATCCCAGCCGAGGAGAAGTTGGTCTTCGTTGTCCGTATCAAGGGGTAAGCATGCATCGATACTTTAATAATCAAGCTCGTCTAACCCAAATTTAGTATCAACAAGATCGCACCAAAGCCCCGAAAGATCCTCCAACTCCTTCGCCTTCTCCAAATCAACAATGGTGTCTTTGTTCGCATGACCAAGGCTACCCTGGAAATGTTGAAGGTCGTTGAGCCATGGATCGCTTACGGATATCCTAACCTCAAGACCGTCCGTGAGCTCATCTACAAGCGCGGATACGGAAAGGTCGAGAAGCAACGTATTGCTCTTACCGACAACGCTATCATCGAGAACAGCCTTGGCAAGTATGGCATCGTCTGCATGGAGGATTTGATCCACGAGATCTTCACCGTTGGTCCAAACTTCAAGCAAGCCGCCAACTTCCTCTGGCCATTCAAGCTCAGCAACCCAACTGGTGGTTTCCGCTCAAGAAAGTTCCGTCACTTCGTAGAGGGAGGTGATCTCGGCAACCGTGAGGACAAGATCAATGCCTTGATCAGACAAATGAACTAAGCGGTTGTATTTGGGGTAATCTTTGGGTCTGGGTTTACTGCTACAGCTACGGCTGGCATGGCGTCAAATGAGCATAAAAATGAATGACATGACACTACCCTCCCTGTTTCAGAGTTTGCATCTTTTGCTTCGTGATTGTTCACTTCCTCCATTCCATCTCAACATGCGATTGATCGTAAGCATAATATTCTTCTCTACTTAATATCAAAACTTGTGCCACATCCGCAGCTACTTGTGGCTAGCGGATTGTCAATTTTAAATTGACTTCCGATGAGCTCATTCGTAAAGTCGACCTTGCTGCCATTCAGCAAATCTAAACTGGCCTTGTCCATCACAACCTTCGCCTCAGACCCATCATCTGACATGAACACGACATCTTCTTCGTCAATCTGTGTTACCTTGTCTTTATTCTTGCTCTTGTGGTCGGTAGATGGCATAGCGTTGGGGTCACTGGAACTTGTATTCAACGCTGGCGAATGCTCTTCCATTATTCCCTCATTGCCAGAACTCCTCGACGGCATAGCATTTGGATCGCTCGACGAAGTGTTCAGCGCTGGCGTAGACTCCTGCTTCAACTCTGACTGAGCGGATAAAGGTGGTAATGTGACTGGGGTGATGAGATATTGGAATCCGTGGCAGCCGCCACTCTCGACTTGGATCCGTAAAGCGAAGTCTGGGTTCGAATCCTTGGTCATTATTTGTTTCAGACGCTGCAGTTTTCACGTTAGAACGTATCTTTGTCGGTGCGAAGGGGGAAGTACGTTTGATGCTCGGGGTGTGATGTGCACACTCATTTCCTTTCCATCGTCATCTTTCTGCGGGTTGTGGATTGCCACTGTCGCATGGCGGGAGGTTGAAGAAGTAAAGCCTCGTGCGGTATCTCCTAGCAGTCGGCGACTTTGTAAGGGGATCTTGGATCGTGAGATAGCTGACCGTGAATTCCATCGCCGGGTTGCGGGTGGGAGGAGGAAATCTAGAATTGGAGGGGCGCTGCCACTGTGAAATCTGCGAGGGGAAAGATTCGTGAAGGAATGTGCTGCGCTAGTGGAATGTGCTGTTGATAGCTGGAGGCAGCTTCGTGAGAGAGATCTTGAAACCATAGTCGCTGACGAGTGCTGGATTGGAACTTGCAGGTAAACTCGGTGGTGTGTTGCGTGGTGAGGTATGACAGAATTGAAGCTTAGAAATATTGTGGGTCGGATGCCGAGGCGGACTCCGTATCGGTCACGTTGGTTTCACGACCAAACAAAACGACACAACAACTCGATTCAACTACAATACTACAGATGCATTTATTGTTTATAATCAAAGTCCTCACATTTTTGAGCTCAGAATTGTTGGGGTCGGAATTCTTTACTTGTCCAAAGGTTGGTTAAAAAAGCCTTTCTTAGTGGCTAGCGGGCTCATGTGGGGTGTTATTACCAAGCTGAATCCCTGATCCAGAGAGCTCGCTTTCATCCATGTAAATTCTTCGCAATCCGAGAGTGTCCATGCATGTATCGAATTCGAATAGACAGTGAGATGTCGTACCATGTGAGTCTTCTATAAGTATATGTGGCGTAGGTCTGCCTTCTCATTATCGCACATCTATTCCTCATTCTTGATATCTACCTATACATATCTCTCGTGCAACAATTTATCTCAAAACAATCCTCCTCCAACCAACTGAGTTCGTAACAATTCAAGCAACTGATCTCAAACCCACACTCGACCTTAACCCCTCCTCGTTCGCCAGTCAACATGGTTAACATAAAAGCAATTCGAGTTTCCAACGCTGCTCTGAAAGACTCCAAGTATGGATCCGATCTCGTTGGTGTATTTGTAGGCGCAACAAGCGGCATTGGAATGGGAACATTGAAGCAATTCGCAAAGCTCACCAAATCACCTAAAGCATATATTGCAGTACGCTCTATACAAGCGGCAACACCATTGCTGAGAGAACTTGAAGCGTCAAATCCAGATGGCACTTTTATCTTACACCAGACCGAGATCTCTCTTATGAAGAATGTTGATACAATGTGTGACGAAATCAAAGCAAAAGAGGAGAAAGTCGATATCGTCTTTGTCTCGCCGGGATATTTATCGTTTGACGACAGAAATGGTAAGTTGTCTGCCCTCTCATATTTGCTTGTTGGATTAAGGTTAATAAGCCCTAGACTCCATTGAAGGGATTGACATTCCCCACGCTCTACGTTATTACACTCGTTTTCGCTTCATCCACGATTTACTTCCCTTGCTGAAGAAGTCATCCAATCCACGAGTCATCTCCATCCTCGCCGGTGGTCAAGAATCGCCTATCGACCTCACAGATCTCGAGATGCGTAAAGACTTCTCTATGATGAAGGCCGCCAAGAACGGAACGACACAGACAACCCTCGCTTTCGAAGAATTAGCAAAGCAAAATCCAACCATCTCTTTCATCCACAAATATCCCGGATTCGTCAACACTGGTGTGGTTGCAAGACTAATGGATACCACCGCGGGAGTCCTCTGGGTCCCGGCTCAGCTGTTTAAATACACCATCTTACCGCTGATAAATGTGTTTTTGTCGATGAGTGTTGAGGAGGCTGGGGAGAGAGGATTGTTCCTTGCTACTAGTGCTATGTTTCCGTCAACCAGGGGTGGTGGTATTGGGGTACCTCTACCGACGGGGTTGAGTGTCGCTAAAGACAGTGGAGATGGAAATGGAGTTTATCTGTTGGGTGCTACGGATGATGTTCAGCCCATTACACCTGCTTTGAGGGCATTGAGAGAAGCACGTGGGCCTGCAATTGTTTGGGAAAGTACCTTGGGCATATGGGAGAGGGCGCTTGGAAGATCGTAAGGGGAGAATTATAGAGATTGGAAAGTCGATGAGTTATCAGCGTATTGTTTGGGTTTATCGCATCTGGGATTTCATCAAATTCAGGGGGTTAATAGACGTACGGCATGTTAGATATATAATGCAATAATTTAAGGATTCTTCTCTAGCAATCTCCTCCAACGACATCGCTATGAATATAGTTCGCGATTCACAACAACAGAATTTACAAGTATATTATCTCTCAAACTTCTGAGAACACAAATGTCACCATATATTCCTACATTTCAATTACCTTTTCTACTAGATTTTGTCCTCCTGGACTATGCAATCAATCCTACTTGTGTGCTGAAGCCCCATTCTGCCAAGATGTTGAACTATCTGTTCCTCGACTAGAGAAAGAGAAGATCGGAGTCTATTACTCTCTTGTCTTGTCTTAATGCAGTACAAACTTCCCATATTTCTCTAACATACAATGGACTAGGGGTTTATGCTTGACGACAAGTTCCGTAATAGAGTTCAATGATGTATACCATTCAAAGTGACATTCAAAAAACAAGCGATATCATCCTAGACTTGATAAGAATGACTCTAGAAACTTCCTCGAACTCTATGAAATAAAAGCATAGAAGGGAGAACAATTATGCTGGTATTACTTTTGGCGTCCAGGTCGTCGATAAGAACAATTGTATGAAATTACCTCCTCCAAGAATATATCAAGTATGGACAATTTACAATTAGGATTATAAGAAGTACAAGTGTATCGTTATCTCAGATAGGGATGTAATTCGTCCGAATGTCTTGTCCTTTGACCCCCATAATCTCATCACTTATTTATTGCATTTAAAGCGGGAATCAACAAAGTCCTACAACATGACACCGTTACACTGCAGCACTGTTATCACAGAAGTTCTTGCCTCATGGTCAACAAAGCATAAGTCGACTCAGTCGAGCCCAACTCCTACGTCACAAATCAAGCAGGCAGACTTTGGTCACATCTTACTTCGTAGTAATATGTCAGTTCTTGGCCTAGCTACTTGGTGATTCTAATATTAAACGACAAATTACGCAGAGCTATCCAAATCGCAACAGTATCATTAACATAACATTCCCACACTATATAGAAATCGCAAACGCCATGTACTTTTGTTGCTTTACATGTTCGGGGTCCCGATTCGGTGCGTGTCTAAGGAGAATATAAAATCTAACGACGAAGGGCTAATTAGGGAGAGTCATTGGATAATTTCTGCAACAGTACAAGTAGATAGGATGAGAAAGGTATATATTTTCTAAAGATAATGAGTTGGAAGGAAGTAGAACGAAACATGAAGGAACGTCCCCACCTCCGACATATGACCCACTATGTAAGGTACCCCTGACCTAAAACCGCTCGAAGCAACCAAGACAAGACACAACCTCATATCTTTAGCACATCCCATTCCCACCAAACCACGGTGATCACAGGTAAATTTTCTCGGATTTAAGTCCCCGTAAGCTAAAACAGCCTTACTTTCACTGAATTGCAGAAGAACATCGACAAAAAGTACCGGATGACTCGCATCAACCACTGCGGCACAGAACGGTGCTGATTTGCGGCGTATACATACCATTTTACGAAAGTACGTACACATGTTGAATTTCTCAAGCAAGTCTCCACCTGTAAGGCATTTTAGCCTATAATAGCAAGATGCTTGATCTGCTTATAGGGACATGGATGTTGCTTTACATATATGGGGAACGCTTACCGCCTTTAGAATTGGTCGTTTCTTCGACTGAGATAGTGGACTGCTGAGCTTTGTGACCCGGTACCGCCGCTGATTTCAGGTAAAGCACGTTTGAAAGAATGGATACTTGGCAGAGTTGTATTGTTAAAGTCCCTCAAGATGAACGTAGGTTTTGAGCGTGATTGGTAGTGAGATATTCTAACAGCGAGATAGGACAAGTCCATTGTCGATGGAGGGTCAAAGCTGCTGAATTGGCTCAGCAGGTGACTTCAGTATCACAGTTCAATATACTAGACCTTATTTTTACGACACGGTTTGAGAATGGCCAAAGTTCAGAACTTCGAGTTGAGAATCTACAGAATGAAAATGCATCCGAGAGTCACAGCAAAGAAGCTCTTCCAAAATCCGCCAAATCTTTCATCCTCTCACATGTGGAGCCATGGTTGAAGCATCCAGAGACTAGCGAGTTGGCTATCAAATTGCTGATCCCAGCTGAGAAGGGACATGTCGTTCGTTCTAATATCCTTCAGCAGCGAATGTCCGGCTGCGAGCGTGTTGGCGATATCCAGGCTTTTTGCAGCCCCTTTGATGAACAGAAGGAAGCAGCTCATACGAATCTTTCATCCGTAACACCAGAGACCTTCCAGATGCTGTTACGTTGTGCGTCCGGTGGACTGGTTGTTCAAGCCAACAAAGAATTGTCTGCTACTGAAGCTCTGAGTTTCGTTGACAGCCAATTGGTAATTAGAATGTCAATCCCATGGCTCTCCTCTTCGCCACCGCCAGAGCAGATGATAGTGGCCATCGGATCTCACAGGGTACAATCTATGGAAACATTCTACGACGCAGCACACAGCCTAGGAATTAAAATGCTACTTGTAGCTAGTAAAGACGACAAAGTCTACTCACACTGTCGAGACGATATCGTCACCGTGGACATGACGCTAGACGATGGGCTGGTATCTCGAATAGTCGAGGCGCTTAGAAGCCAGCATGGGAGTCTGAGTGGTGTCGTGGCTTACAGAGATCATCTTCTAGTCACAGCAGCAAAAGTAGCAGAGGAACTAGGCTTGCCGACATCACCACCATCAGCCGTCGAAACATGCGTCAACAAACACGCAATGAGATTAAAAACTATGGCCAACTGTTCTCAAATGCTGTACGCCGAAGACCTCAATCATCTAAAGCAGCTCGTCACCTCACTCCCTCAACCTCTCGAATTCCCACTCGTGGTAAAACCCTCCGAAGGCCAAGGATCCGTCGGCGTTTCCAAAGTTACAAACACACAACAACTCTACGACGCCGTGACTGGCATCGAGAACTACGCGCAGAAATCGGGAGTCAAGTCTGGAGTCATCGTCGAAACCTACATCGACGGGCCTGAAATCGATGCCAACTTCGTGATGCTAGACGGAGAAGTCCTCTTCTCGGAAGTCGTGGATAATTTCCCATGTACAGCCGATGACGAGGAAGACCAACAGACAGACTCGTTTTTAGAACGTGATATGGTCTATCCGTCTGGATTAAGCGATCCAGAAATCTCCTTCATAAAGAGCTCGATTCAGCACTTGCTCGTTGAAGATCTTGGTTTTCAAACCGGTGTATTTCACGTCGAAGGACGCGTCTGTGGCTCGAGCATGGAATACAAAACCCAAGACGGCATCACAGATCTGCACTCTAAACAGCTTTCTCAGGCAAAATCGCCAAGTGTGTTTATCCTAGAAGTTAACGCTAGATGTCCCGGCGTAGCAGGTGTCCCGCCTACAGCATGGACATATGGAGTTGACCTAGCGGCGCTGTGGCTCCTGACTGCAGTGCGCGACACGCAACGACTGAGAGCATTGTCTCGGTCGTTCCTGAATGGCGCAGAGTTGTGGTGCGATCTCGTGCCTATCACAGTGACTCGTGGCGGGACGCTAGAAAGCGATGATATAATGGAGGAATTACGACAGCGACGACCAGATCTCATGGCGACTGTTTTTACCACCACGATATTCTATCGGTGTGGGGATGTTGTGCCGGAACCTTCTGTGACGAATTTGAGTGGTATTATTGCGGAGTTTGTGTGCTTTTCTAGGAAGAGTAGGGCGGACTTGCTGGGGATTGTGAAGCAAATTCGGGAAGAGGTGCGGATTCGCTGGAGATGAATGGCGAATTAACCGTAGACAGAAGTCTCCATTAGATATTTGCGCTTATACAATGCCCTCTAAACTCCATTTATCCCTCCGCTTTTGCCTCTACTTATGAGTACAGGGTCGTTCCAATATTACAATTCCTAACTCCTGGTAGAGTACACTCGGCGTTTACCCGGTACAATAAAGACAGGCTCAGATGCTTGCTATACAGAATTATAATTAAGTCACCACTGTGTAGCTCTTCAAGCGTCCGGACTCCAACTCTGCAAGGATATCTCTCATAAACGCCGTTTTCTCTTCAGCGAGAGGCTCTATGTACTCCATACCAGGCTGGGCTTCGAGCTCAAGATTACTTATGTGTTGGTATAAGCTTTTCGGGACAACTGAATCATCCACTTTTATTGTTGTAGTTTTCGAGGGGGTTTTAAGTGTGATGTATAGTTTATCATTCTCAACTCTATCAGCGGATTCGGAGGAGATGGCTGGACGTGGTTGTGGGCTTTCGACCGTATGTTTGCTGCCCGATTGATTCAATGGAGTTGAAGAACGCTTCTTGGGCCGAGGGTCTGGTGAGTTGGACAGAGAAGTTTTAGCCGCTGGGTAGCCAATTGTCAACGTGACCTTTACTGAATCTTCAAAGCTATTGTTGAGCTGAGAACTCTTGGCTGGGAATGATAGTGTCTGTGTGTCTGAATCTTGCGCCTTGCGACTATACAGCAGCTTAAGCTTTTTGGATGGCGAAGCTACATCTTTTGAGACACCATCAATTGGGTTGTATGGCGTCAACTCGTTTTCGTCGTCGTCGTCGTCGTTGTCGCCATCACTAGACAATTCGCGTTTCGAAGAGATGGAGACGGGGGTGTCAAGACCAGCGGATGTTTCCTCCAATACGCCAAGTCCGAGGTTCATCTCGATATGTTCCTCATCGGAGTCAGAATCAGATATCTCGAACTTTTGATCATCAGGGACTCCAGCAGCAAGTCCGTCATTGGATGACTTCAATGCAGCAAGGAAGGACGGTAGAGAGGCTCCCAAAGCCGAAGGTTCGAATTTGAAATTAGGCTTCTGATTCGCGGGTCTGAAATTGATGATTTCTTCATCGGAGTCCTCTGAATCAGAGGATGAATCTTCTTCTGATGTTGATGAGGATTGAAATGAGGTGGACAATGCGAAATTAGAGCCGTCAAGAGGTTGGACATTGATGATGTTCTTAGAAGCAGATGTCTGGTTCTGTCCCGGGGCGCTCAACGTCTCCGTCTTCCACGATTGACATAATTCTTTGGGGAATTGCTCAAAGATAAAATTTCGGCCATCTTGGGTATTTCGAAGCTTCTTTAACTTTGCGGAGAATTGGTGGTTTCCAGACACTATGTACTGTAAGCGTCTGGTATCCAGAGAAGACTGTAAATAAAATACCATATTCCATTAGGATCGCTTGGGCTACTCTTAGACACAGATTTTGCTCACTCGTAGCGATATTTGACCACTTCATAGACCGCTCTGGAATTGATTTTTCCACGTACCCTTCCATCTCATTGGAAGAGTTGACATTGATCAATGCAAAAAATCAATGGAAAGCTTCCGGCGACCGAATTTGTTATGAGAAGCGGAAAATTCAACGCTGCGTTCAGAACTCTGTCCACAAGGTCTCGAACGATGGAACAAACTTTGCGGTCTAGACTTCAGTAGGCTGAACAACAATCAGTTATGGAAAGTGAAATCCCGTAGAGACAAAGAGTGAGAGATAGAATCCTAATTATTCATTTCGATCAGAATCCTGAGCGGAATGGCATGCATGAAACAAACTGACGGAGTATATCCTTTGCAAGGGTGTACATACGCAGAGTCAATATCGAGAACCTACACCAAGATTTGGGTTGCCGGATACGGGTTTAAGATAGACCCGACTTAATGTGAGGCCAACCGAGCGACTTGCAAGAATGGACAATAAAAGTTGTCGAATCACACGAGAAAATATTCGATTAAACCTATCGCAACATAATTTTTGTGACGCGCTTACGACCAAGGATTGAATCTGAAGACTGCCGCGCTCGCCTCGCGGCTCCTGAATCAGGCTAACCGAAGTGACAGGCCGAAAACTGTTCCTTTCCCACCAGGGTCCGATCCCGGTTGCTTCAAAGATGCGGGTGTTCTGCGCTCGCATTGGCCGCCAGTGTCTCATCCCAACACTCGCTCCCTCTTTGTACGCTCTTACTGCGTTTGCTGATTTCGTACTTGATTGTCTCATTGTTTCCGTTTCTCCAGCGTCTTTCTCTCTTTTCCATCTTTCTCTTGCTCTTTGTCATTGAAAGTATCATACCTGTTATTGCTCTTCCTCCAAGTCCAGTATATCCCATATCTATTCATAATGGCATTAAGACCAGGTCTCATGACGCGGGGTCTGTCTGCAGCTTCACAGCCCAGCGACACCGGGTCTCCAGCTGAACAGCGGGTTGATGCAAAGCAGAATATGCTGAAGGCGATGCGTGCTCTGCCTACTCAGCATGTTTGGAATGTGTACTTTGACAGGTAAGGCAAGGTTCGGATTATAACCGGTCCAACTGTCCCTTCCTACGCTTGGAAACTGAACGACCCCAACTAACATTTTCATAGACAACAAAAGGAGCAACCGAAGGCCGAAGACGGCACATATACGGCCACCCTCGAGCAAATCGGTTCTCAGATCGAGTCCGTCCAGGACTTCTGGAGATACAACAATAATACACCGGTGGAGAACATTAAGATGCGAGAATCGATATACCTTTTCAAGCAAGGCTTTCAGCCAGTGTGGGAGGACCGAAGAAATATAAACGGTGGAAGTTGGACTTTCCGGGTGCCAAAAGCCAGCGGACCAGACTTCTGGACGAGAGTGCAGTTGATGGCTATTGGTGAGAAGTTACAAGGCTGTCTTGATCTTGGTAAGTCACATTCTTGGTCTGTTGGTGATTCCACCGAACGACAGTGTGATTTTAGGAAGCGGCAGCTACCCCAAGTCACTCTTCTACCATGATCCGCCGTAGTCCAAGTTAGCAGTTCCACACTTATTTCTATTGGAAAGCGACCTTGGGCTCGACGAGTGTATTTCTCTTCGCCAGACGATTCATTTGATTCTTTCGTTCAAACAGCAGCTTTGCAGCAACTGAGACTAACGTGTACCTCAGGAGACCAACTTTGCGGTGTTGGGCTTTCCGTACGATTCAATTCCCACCTCATCTCCATTTGGCACAGGGATGCCTCGAAGCAAAAGTCGATCGATGCCATTCTCCAAATCGTGTTAGAAGAGCTACCCGAGGAACTCAAACCAAAGCCAGACAACTACTTTTACAAGAAGCACTCTGACCACGCTGGATTTAAGGCTCCACCAGCGGCAGCCAACCCACAAATTCCCACCATCGACGCACCAAGTTCATGATACCCGAAAGTTTGAAAAGGGATCCAAGGAAAAGATCCAGTTACGAAAAGAGAATATGTTGCATTTACGAGGAGGATTGGGAATAGGTGTTTATCATCATGATTTTGCATATGTGACGGCGTTTACAAGATGGAAGTAACAAAATGCCATGTCAAATTAGACACATAGATAGTTCAACTATCAGGCAAAGAATTACTGAGCTTCTACTTCATATCGAGGGTCCATTTGAACACCTTGCAAAGCTTTCAGTATACACACGCAGTGAGCTGATCCTGAGAATGTTTCGTCTCTTCGAAAATGAGGCGTATTCAAATAGATTACTAGATCATTGTTACATTCATCGCATTGATCTCTGCCCTTTGAGTTCATTGAGCGCCAACAAATGGCAAATAAAACTTCCTGTAAAACATGTCCTACCCCCAAACGCCATCCCCAGCTTTTGTCAAATCTATACACCAACGTCCCAAAACACCTTCCAAAAACCAAACGCCGACATATCAACAACCCCCATCACCTCCAAATCCCCGCCCTCCTCCCCACCTCCTCAAACTCCCTCATCCCCACCCCCTCCCCGACACCCCTCCCCCCATTCGCCTCCAAAATCATATCCCTCAACACATCCTCCTCGACCTCGACCCTGATATCCCTCGCCACGCCCCTCAACACCTCCAGCGTAATCTTCTCCTCGCCCTCAAACTTCGCCATGAACAGCCCAAACGCCTCCGCCACCTCCGCTGCATGCGTATCGCTATTCCGCGTCCGGCTGTGGAATTTCAACGCGCAGATCGCCACAAAGCTTGAGAATTCCGCGTAGTCTTCGCCTGACGGCGCGAGGATGGATAGGTATTCGGTGAGTTCGTGGGGGGTTGGGGGGATGGCGAGGGTGCTGGGGAGCGTTAGCTGGGAAGGAGGAAGGGGAGGGAATTGGGGGGTTACATCATTGCGTCGCGGACTTTGGTGATGGGGAGGACGCCTTCTTTGGTGCCTTTTTTTGGGGTGGAGAAGTCGGCGAAGGCGGAGCGGATTTCTTGCTCTTCGAGGGGGGTGAGCTTGTGTTCTTTGGCGAGCTTGGATTGGCGCGGTTTGGGGGGTTGGGTGGTGGAGGTGGTGTCTTTCAGACGGCGTTTTGGTGGCTACGGGGGGTTAGTTTGGGGAAGTGAGAAAGGGAGGGAATGGATGGAAGGCGAGGTACCATTTTGGTTGTTGTGGTGGTTTTGGAATTTGGATCTTGGTGGTGATGACGAGTACGAGGCTGTGAGATTTGGGTTTGGTCGCCTTGCGTATGTGGGTCCCTGTTAAGAGGCGCTAAAATTGGGCGTGCCTGTGAGTTTGGCGAGAGGGAAATTTTCTTCTTCCTCTTTCAACAAACATGGAGACGGATCACCGCTCACAATTGGCATAGGTTCGAAGGCGATGTCTATGGTAAATCGATACCACTCCCAGTAGAAGCTCGAACGCATTACGCAGCTTCGAGAGCAGTGATATGCTCATCGTCGTCGCTACAATCAACTTCTCAGAGAGTCGGATTTAAGTAGTCCAAGTGGACATCCAACTCCCCAAACCACTTCTATACAATTTCCTTAAACCTTCCAGAAGATTGAAAATCGAAACACTGCTTCAAAAATAAATGCTAGAGCCCGTCGAGTGTCATCATCCAGACCGACGAGTGTGGACAATGAAGCTAGAGTAAAATCCGGTCGAGATTTTGATTCTTCGAGACCTTCCTTTTGGCTACCTGATTATTGCTCTCCAGATCTTGGGGTTTGATGCTTGGTACTTTTTGGAGATATTTTTTGGTTTTGAACTGGCAATAGTGCTTTGGTTGGGAAGCTTAGATGTGTTGAGGGGATCGAGGTTGTGAATATTTAGCTGAGTAGCTATGTAGATGGCCTTACAGATAATAAACTTTATCATAGAACTATTATTGCTTTCAATTGATACTTGAAGAGTGCATCTGAGCTATAGGAACTGACAGTCAGTCTGCGCAAGACATATTTCTGTAGAATTGTAATAGAATTGCGCATCGTGGTTTGAAGCAAATATACAGTATTCCAAAGGTTGTACTCCGGCAACACCTTTCCGGCGCCGCCATTGGTAAAATTACATCATTATCACCATCACGTTGAATTACGAAGTACAGCTTCAGAACAGAAGTCGTAATTCACAATTCTCGGGAACTGTTTCTGGCAGTTTTCTAGCTCCAATCGAGCTCTTCGAATAGCGGGGCATCTTGATCAGATAAGATTACCATGATCTACTTGTAAACGCTTAGAGTTTGATGGAAAAATCTGGAATAATATCGCCACTTCTCCTGACTCTGACCTTAATTAGGAACGTCGACTCACTGAACACCCGATCTCGTGATTATCGGAATGTTTCAGCAGCTCACAAACGCGGTGCTACCACTAAGCATCCTATTGTGAACATTTAGAATATGCATACGAATATATCGTTGCAATTGGCTTATAAACATTTCTGCAATATCCTTCCAGGTGATGACTCTCACGTTCCGGAACAAAAGTAACCGGCAAACCGTTTGTGGTGCCAGAAATTTGCCATTATTGGTGGCCAGCTTCGGAGGCGTTCAGCGGTCTTCTTGTAACTCCGTCTTCGTACTCGGCATTGGCTCATGTGATTGGCCAGCAAGAAGCATAGCTACCCCACTCAGTCCCAATTTGCAGTTCGATCTGCAGGGGTTCCACTTTGATTTGTAGCCGCAGAGGAAATGCAGTGAGAGAGGTACGGAGTACGCAGTACATGAATGCGACTCTTCCCTCGAGTCGTACAATTTCTTACAACACCACTCATTCCACCTCGTCGCCCCTCCACGTCGTCTCCTTCACCGATTCGAGTCTATCGACAACCCATTAACTTGGAGTTCTCACCCTTCATCTCCATTACCTGACCATTTCAATCGCATCGAGAATCTCCCCCTTTTTGGTTTGCGTGAACCGCCACACCGCTGCAACGATGGATATCGCACTCGAGCTGTTAGATACATATGCCTTGGACTGGATCTACTCTGCCATCCTGCCAGCACAACCGGCACCTTACAATTTGAAAGATGGAATGAGCAATATGACCATGGCGGATATGCAGAGTGCTTCGCCATGGCAGTACAAACCAGCAAGTAATATCATATCTTTCGCGCCAACAGATGCTGCGTATACAAGTCAATGGACGAGAGACAACGTATACCGACAGACACTATCGCTGTTCTTCATCACCTGGTAAGTCTGCGAATCTGCAAACGAGCTTCATAAGATGGTGAGCTAATTTGGTGTTTTCAGGTGGGCTGGAGCAGGAATATACTTCGTCGTCTCAACACTCTCCTACATTTTCGTGTTCGATAAAACCACCTTCCAGCATCCTAAATTCCTCAAGAATCAAATCAGAATGGAAATCACACAAGCTGTCCGAGCAATGCCGTGGATAGCAGTCATGACCACACCTTTCTTCCTCGCAGAAGTTCTCGGTTACTCGAAATTGTACGACACTCTCAGCGACGAACCGTTCCCATACTACAACTGGCTACAATTCCCAATGTTCCTCCTCTTCACCGATTTCTGCATCTACTTTATCCACCGAGCTCTTCACTCACCCCTGCTTTACAAATCACTCCACAAACCACACCACAAATGGATCATGCCAACTCCTTACGCATCCGTTGCTTTCCACCCAGTCGATGGCTTTCTCCAATCCCTACCTTACCATCTCTTCCCGTTCATCTTCCCGCTCCAAAAATTCGCCTACCTCGCACTCTTCCTATTCGTCCAAATTTGGACCGTCTTCATCCACGATGGCGAATACGTCGCCAACGGCACAATTTTGAACGGAGCTGCGTGTCATACCATGCATCATTTGTATTTCAACTACAATTACGGTCAATACACCACTCTTTGGGATCGTCTTGGCGGTAGTTACCGCAAGCCTAACGAGGAGTTGTTCAGGAGAGACTCAAAAATGGGACAGAAAGAATGGGAGAGACAAGTCGCCGAGATGGAGAACCGTGTCAAAGATGCTGAGGGCGAAGATGATCGGCAGTATGTGTCTTCGAAAGCTGTGAAGGTGGGCTCGAAAAAGGACAATTAGGTCCTTCCTCCCACAATATATCTGTTTTAGTCGACACTTGACACAAACCGCTTTCACAAACCTTGTTCGCCAATACCTCTCGAACATAAAAATGTACATATTACCAGAAACGATGAGAGCGAGACAATGACGGGGGGAGCTTCTTGGTTCTTTTTTTGAACTTGTATATTTGGGGGATGCAAGTCTATAAAGGCGTTCATAAGGCAGGGTTTGCTAAAATATAACTTAATTTAATTCTGTTTCTGGGGCTGGGTGGGGTAGAAGATGGTTTCTTGGGGAGGTGATGAAGGGATGATGGATGTGCTGTGAAAGGTTCGCTGATGAGGATAGTGACAGGAGAACTGGGGGTGATTGTAGATTCTTGGACTTGTAGGGATGCATGAAGGGATGGAAGGATGGTTGAAGATTCGTAGATAACTTAATTTTGAGGAATACACTCGTTTGAGAATACATCTTAAGATCCCTTTGGTGCTATATGGTATTATCCTTAGAAACCTCATGTCTTGATCTATCTATTCTCCAGCCCACAGTCGCCGACCAATATTACGGTCATTCGCCCAACCTCACGAATCCTCCAACCATACGAGTGTATAGCTTTTGCTTCCCCTGATCAAGTGCATCGGTTACCGTCTATATGAATATCAAGCTATAGGGTGTAGATGGAGATAATCGATGGCAAAATATATATTTATTCTCCTATCCCAAGAATAGTGTCCCGAGTCACATCGCATCTATTTTTACTGTGTACGTTCAATTGCATATAGACAGATGAGTTGACGATAAACTTCTTCGTAGATTATGAAATGGGAATGTGTGTGAATGTATTGATTATCATCCAGATTATATGAAGGCAGAGCGAAGTTCTACTCCTTGTTTCATCTGAAGCTGTATTTTGACGTTTGAGTTCAAGTGTATCCAGCTTTTGGTTGACATAGAAAAGTGCGATATGCAACAAAATTACGCTTTGTGAAGGCCGAATCTGTGTCTCACCTAAAGGTTGGTCTGAACAACAGAGTTGACGATATAAAGTATTTAGTTAACATAGAAAAGTGCGATGTGCAGCAAAACTGGCAGGAAGTTCACTAAGATTACTCGATAAAACCAGGTTACCTGTTACATGTTACATGTATTCATGTGAGCGAGCGAGTTTCTGTCTCGTCTAGAGTTAAAGGATATCTAGAATTTAGGCGACATAGAAAAGTGCGATGCGCAACAAAACTAGTATAGGACTCCAGAAGGCGGGAGCTCTCGTCATCCTTCTTTCATCTAAAGTTACGCTTCAATCTGGGAGCTAAGGTTATATCCGGCTTTTGGTTGACATGGAAAAGCGCGATGTGCAACAAATCTGCGGTTTTTGTACTTCAGATAGTACGAAACTGAAGGAGATCACTGGATGCGGGTAATTCCTTCTTTTACACGGTGCTCGGTGACCGAGCGAGTAGTCATGTCGTCTAAAGATGTCTCTTGTGACCAAAGTTGGAGGATATCTAACGTCATGTTAATATAGAAAGGTGCTATGTGTAACAAAACTACAACTTACTTGTAATTTAGAAAGTGGAACTCCGGGCGAGTCCTTGTCTCATCTGAACATATCCTTAAATGTTAGAGTTAAAAGGTATCTAATATTTAATCGACATAAAAACGTGCGATGTGTAACAACAGTCCGAGTCGATTGAATTTGACACTGTCTAATGTTTGTCTAAGGAGATCGACCTCAAATCTGAATACTACTGGACGTAGAAAATGGCGATATATAGTAAAGCTGTATTCCAGATAGTATGGTAAAGTACTATTCAGGTTCAAGATGGATTGAATGACTAAATCGACTGATGAATTGACCTGATGAAAGCGCCACGTGTGACAAAAGAGTATGATCTGAGCTTGAACTTGCAACTATCCCAAAAGATAATTTGAGGAAATTAATAAAAGTGTACGATTCGCAATAAAAACAAAAACATATAACTTGTACTTGGGACGAACGATAGGGCATTCTGCCAAGTTATTGGGACAGAGAATAATACCGCTATCCGATGGGGGGAAAGATCGTGTTCCATGGTGCCTGGAAAATTTAAAATGTATATGTGCTATAATAGTCTGTAGGTGAATGCACAACTGAATACTGTTACGCTTTTGTTATATATCGCACATTTTTTCACGTAGAAGTACAAGACTTTTAATTAGAGGAATGTTTAAGACTTTCTGAGATAATAGTACTAGTGCTTTATATCCGAGTCGTCTGTAAAGGACTGATTGTAGTATTCTAAGAAAAGGGGAAAACTACGATGTAGAATAGAATTCTACTTTAGATATTAGTATGTCCTGTAAAATCTTCTACCCGAAGGTTAATATATATATCTAAGAATATCAAGACCCTATACTACTTAATATAACTAACAAAGCGCGATGTATATAGCAGCCTATAAGTAATTAAACCTATACATTGTAATTTTGTTATACATCGCACTATTTTACGCTAAAACTCAAGCTATATAAACAGAATAGTCTTCCCCTCTGTTTAAGGAAATTTACTCGTACTTTACCTCTTAAAAGGACATCGTCCAAAAAAGATCAACTATGTATATCTAAGAGAAGTGAAGAAGCTCGATATCCAATAGTAATCTAATAATTTAAACTCCAAGTGAATGTTGAACGCAATCTTGCAGTGCTTTTTTGTTGTATATCGCACTTTTTCACATTATGTTTAAAGAGAAGGATGTTCGAGACTGTTTGAGAGACTAGTGATCCACGTATGTCGTCTAAGGTGGATTTACAGTAATCTGAGAGATCAAACATGCGACGTGCGCAGCATACTGCAAGTGAATGGAAATTCAAACCTCTATGTAGGACTTTTGTTGCATATCGCACTTTTTCACGTAATGTTTAAAGAGAAGGATGTCTAACACGGTATAAGAGAATAGTGTTACACGTGGAAGGATGTCGTCTAAGATGGATTTACTACAACCTGAGAGATTCGAGAAAGTGCGATGTGTAACAAAACTATAATACTAGGACTTCAGACGATCAGAGGTACGTTATCCAGGGGGACTTGCAGCAATCTGAAAGAATCGAGAAAGGGCGATATGCAATATAGTGTAATAGTCACACTTGAGATAATAGACAATACGTCGTGGAAGACTGGCTTAGCTGAAATAGATAGATTGTATACAATAAATAGTCTGGGGATGTGAAATAATATATAGTAGCCAGGTAATAGTCGTACTTGAGAAAGCAAATTACAGTTAGATGTTATGTCAAACGCAGTATATAGCGAACAAAAGTGCTTCTGTCTTGTAACAAGAATTCTCCACCCCAAAGAACACGGAGCAAAAGTTCATCTCATCTCATATCAGCAACACAGATGATGTTGTAAAACCTGAGACAATCGAGAAAGTGCGATCTGCAACAAAAACAGAGTCTTGGTATTTCAGACGGCAGGTTATTCTGAATATATGAATGATATCTAATATTATGTGAGATAATATGGAATATGCGATACGTGACAATAGTGGAATATCTCTAGTTTATAACGATCGCAGAACGTTGTTTCGTCCCATATTAGCTACGTGGACGGGGTTTAACAACATGAAAGAATTGTAAAAGTGCGATATGCAACAAAAAAACAATACTCCTCCATGAAATGAGAGGATGAGGTATGATATAAGATTGATATACTCTATCTAACATTGTTTGAGACAATATAAACAAAACGATATACAACAAATCTGCTATACGATAACTTCAGATACCAGGTCATCTCACATATTTTCCACCTCTACATTCAAACAATGAAAACGATCTGAGAAAATCAGAAAAATATGCGATGTGCGACAAACCCGCAGTCCTTGCAATATAGCTGCGTGAACGAGCGCAATATGCCAACAAAGTACAATACTCACCATTCACATGGTAACACCTCTCGAAGGAGGCCGTCCAAGATCATCTGAAAGTCTCGGGAAAATGCGATGTGCAACAAAACCATACTATAAAACTTCAAATAATACTAGACGCTCGATAATGAAAGTGTAGGCGGTTCACACAACCGATATAGAAGAGACACGAGAGACTCAAAACAAGAGAGTGTGGAACCAAAGCCCGACACCAGGGCTTGAAATCTTAGATGTGATGCCATCGCTGGATGGTGGACTGGATCAAGGCCGTTTATAGCGATGTGTGACGAAATTGCAAGTTGTTAGACTGTGCTTAGTTGAACTGTGAATCTGACTGTGATGGGCCCCGTCCATAGTGATATGCAACACAAGTGCAAGATACCATCAGGCTTGGACCTTGATGGACGCCATCCATTGCGATATGCAACAAAAGTTACATCTAACCAAGTTGACAGTATCGCAGAAAAGGCACACAAGAGACACAATATAGCAGACTGTAAATCATAGATTAAATCATCTATATCTCCCCATCTCCCACTTCCCCCTTAGATCCATCATTTACAAGCCTCTCTCCGTCCAAATATCCTTCCATTCCCAAAGCAACCCAGAATAAATAAATAAATAAATATACAAGAAATATTCCCCAACGTCATAAAATACACATCCCCATTCTCCTCGAAAAACTCCTCGCAATTTGAAGTTGGTATCATGAATACAATAAACGCCTGCAATCTTTTTTTCGTCATAGGGTTCATCCTTTTGAGTAGATAGATAGGTTGGATGAGATGTGATAATCATGGGTGAAATGGAAAGATGAGATTGGTATAAATAGTAACGCCGGAGTTTGAGTATGTCGTTGGAATTCATCTAATAGGTGGTCGTTGACGAAGGAAGAAAGAATGGCCGTAAATGTTTGATGTAGATTGATGGCGAGTGTCGTTATGCCGGAGTCGAGCACATCTCAGTTCCATCATAAGAAACCCCCCTCGCCTCCAAAAACGCCAACACTCCCTCTCCAACCACATCTCTTATCCCGATTATCACCAGAGAGACCTGGACTTCTCAAACCCCCTTCTAGGCCCTCAAATCCATACTCACTACTCGTTCTTCTACTCCCGTCCTTACCAGAAGAAGAGCTTGCGTTTGTTTGTACCAATAACAAACTACTCGTTGACGAGAGCCGTTTTGTGAACTCTTGAAAGCTAAGTCTTTTGACGCTGGTACTGCTTCGTCGTTTTTCTTTCCCACGATCATCAGCTTTCAGATTTCCATTCCCACTCATATTTTCTTTCAGTGTTGGTATCGTCGCTGTCGACATCGATCGAGATGGAAGTGCCATCGAACTCGGGCGACTTGTTTTATTTCGCGATGAAGTAGTCCCCGCTCGAGGTCGAATATTATTAGATGCTGATGGCCCGCCATGGAATGCCGACATGGCTTGAGAATTGAGAAACGGAATGGGTGGGCTTCGGGGTGGTGGCGACAAAGGTCGTGCTGATGGTGGTGGTGGTACTCGACGGCCAGAGATAAAGTCCAACGCTCTTTGAGCTGGTGTTGGCATTTCTAGCTTTTCCTCCCCTTCATCTCCCGATTCAACATCATCGGAATCCTCTGACTCCTCATCCAGGCCCCATTCTTCTTTATTTCTGTTCTGACTAACCAGCCCCTTTTGCTTCTTCTTCTCATCGACCTCCTTCATCAATGCTTCAAATCTGGCGATACTACTGATCTTTTCCTCATCTATATCTCCGACCCTGCCGCTTCCTGGTATATATCTCAGCTGAAATGCTCTGTCTAAAATCGTTTCTCGTGGCCCTGGTGGGGTTGACGCCATTGGTGATGACGGATTGACAGCTGAAGCAATGCTATTACTGCCTCTTGTATGTGAAGATAATGCGGAAGACCGTCCTTGAGCGGATGTCCACCCTTCAATAAATTGAGTTTCATAGGTAGACGCAGGTGAGGGAAGATCTGAAGGAAGTGTATTAGGATAGTTGTTAAGGTGTGAGGTGAAACCTATAGGTGGATGTAGTGAGCTTGATTGAGATGAAAGATCAGAACGCCGCGATCTCAAGCTGGGTGAGGGCGATATTATATTTGAAGGCCTGTCTCGAGGTGCATGCGGATATGTGTTAATGGTATGACTGGACGATCGTTGCGATAAGTCCGGTCTTGGAGAGCCCTTTGATTCTCGAGGTGCAAAGGGATTTGAAAAAGCATTAAAAGATGGGCTCATAGGTGTAAGTGGGCTGTCCTCTGGAGTATCTATGGTTAGTTTTGACCTTATCGCCGCCTGCCAGTCATATATGGTATGTCTCTCGTCGGCAACAGTTCGAAATAAGAGCACGTTCGCCCATGGATCTTTAGATGTGAGCCCGGCTGTGCGGCTTGATCTTCGTTTGCGCTGTTTCTCAGACATGGAATCGGGTTTTAACTCAAGCATCAGAGTTGGGAGAGAAGTGCCCTGCTTTCGGTGTTGTAGTGTCCGAATTTCGCATGTCGTGAATGCAGAGACTGGATGTTGTGAGACGAATTCCCAATCGCCCTATGTTCAAATCAGCACTGATTCCTGAAGCAACAAAATTATCCCTACCTTTGCCTTATATATCGATACGTATAATCGGGGGTTTTGGCTATCTTCTTGTGGAGGAAGGGTCTCGGCGAGATTAGGTTTCGAAGGTGTTGATTTAAGCCCTTTCCTGGACGATGACTTTCCTGTGCTCTCGGAGAGTATGTCTGTCTGTGTTTTCAAATGCGCCCCAGTCCCAAGAACAACGTATCGAGGCTGTGATGAAATGTCAGTCTATCAACGAGGGTCCAATTCCCGAATAACAAACCTTCCACAATGCCCTCCCGATAAAGGTACCTCGCTCTGGAGGTACCGACATCAATCCCTCCATCAAAATCATCTTGTCGGATGTTGTTATGGTTCCGATTGTGCTTTGCGCCAAAATACCCAGCAAGCCTTCTCTTTGTCGATCCAAGTGGCCAAAAAATGTTTAAAACATAGTTCAACCAATTCTGTGTTCCCTGAGATATTCCACGCACCCTTCCAATTCCTTAATCTAAGATGATGGAGCTTTTCGAACTGAAGATTCGTTTGTCGCAAAGTTCAGATTAACCTTGGGCTGGTACGGGTAGCAACCGTGCTAATAATGCAAGCTACTGCAAGGTGCTAATCACACAACGAAGCTCCGTTTGACTGTGGTCCCCAGCTTATCCTATCTGAGGTTCGTCTGAATCCGTCCCCGCGAGGTTTAAAGTATTTCCCTGCGTGCCTGAATCCCGGCGACTGGAGCGGCGAGGCTACTTGTAGCAGTGTGCAGCGACGGCGCTGGCTGCTCGTCGAAGACCTAGAGTAATGGATTGGCTGGTCGATGGCCCTCCAGCAAAGCCTGCGGTGAGCGATTGAGGCGGTATGAAAGGTTCGTCGGTCCTACTAGCAGCAGACTGGCCTCCTCTGGCGTGCTAGGTTTGATGGCCACGCCGTGCACCGCACGTTTCTGTCCTTAGCTATGCGTCTGCAGTTGCAGGCAGGCCGACACAACTCTGGGAGCGGATCTGTCAAGTGGAAGTGGAAGGCCAACTCTGAGTGGGCAAGTGCCTAGGTGCGTTACGGGGTCGATACTGACGGGCCGTCAAAGGGTCAGGTTTTGGGTCCGCAGCTGATGGCAGCAGCCTGAAGACCGCTCGGAGGGCGAATGGGAAGCAAATAGAGGCAGCCGAAGCAAACTGTGACTATGTTCGATGCAGTACTCGACGCACTGGCAGACGCACCTTGTCTGCAACATGCAAAAGCTCCTTGTATGCAGTAGCAGCTTTTTGACGTGTGGTGTATGCGGGTGGAAGAGAGCGACCGAGGCGGAGAGAGCTGGACAAATGATATATGGATTAGGAGAGAATTATACGAGCAAGAGAAATGAGTGAGAAGTGATGTCTCCAAGATCTTGTACGGTTATCCAAGGGAAGTTGGTCGCGAGTGGTGTTAGGATTTCTTGCGGTGCTGAATGCGACACGGAATACCGGTGGGACAATGGATGTATGAAGTTGACGGGAAGGGTACGCTTGAGGTCCGTACATGAGCAATAGGAATAATGATTTTTGCGGTTCAATTTCTTTGTTCAAACAGTCCTCTCCTTGAAATTGGATGTGTAAAGAATCATAGGATCTATTCAATAAAGTTACGGGTGGCCTGTGCCTTCTGTGCCTGCATTTCATGAGGGCCTTCATCTCATCACAACCCCTTGAACCTTGTAATCAAGGCATAGCGGGATAACTATAAAGTAATAAGTTGGTATTTATTTATAGATTTCAATATTTCAATGACATTATTTACATCCAGCTGAGGAATTCTTGTTTGACTCGCGGTTTCAACAAGCGCCATATAGATCCTTCGGTACAACGCTTCTCATTTACTGGCTCTTCCTCTCTTCCGCAACTCCTTTCTCGTGTTTCTTTTCTCATCAACTTCACTATCCGTTCATCAAAGTCGCCTTTTCCCGTGTCCCTCCACAGCTCCTCAACCCCTGATTATGTCAGGATGCAATTGCGACCTGCCACTCTTGATCGGCAATATACTCCGTTATATATAAATACCATCAACTGCCTTTCACGGCGTAGCAAATTCTCGCCCTGCATTAGTGTCTTCAAAGCGCCAAATCACCTGCAGGAGTGTCTCGTTCTCGTGTGGCTGTTTTCTCGGATTTTAGCACGACGGTGCTTCATCATGAAAGAATAGGCTATGTGCAGCTCTCTCACGTACTTCGAAGTCAATGTCGACGAAGCAATTCATCAACACGAAGCCACGGCCTGCCGTTGTGGAAATGGCGGCAGATCTGCGAAGAGTTCCGTGAGCTTTGGGGTACAAGATGCTTCCGTATTTCCAGGGTCGAATGTGCAAGTCAATTCCGCAGATATGCCGGTCTACCGACGTACGAAAGGTACTTGTCCCAATAATAATAATCCCGTACAGAGCGCATCTTGTTTGAATTACCCAGCGTGGGGTGTAAAGAAGCCAAGTCCTCTGTTCGGAAAAATCGCACGATGGATGCTCTCCTGATTTGATACCATCAAACTCCTTTGCCTTCAACGGGCTTTGGGAATCACATCACACCGCATCGATACTCAACTGACTTCCCGCTCCAACTGGTACCCGCCCCAGTAAGTTACGATACACATTCTTCGAGATCAGTACCGTGGTGCAAGTGACACTGCATCGATATTGCTCGTACAGAATTGTCCTCGATCAAGATTGGCCGAGCTCCTTTCTCCCCCTCTTGGATCTTCCTTGACCAAAGAGACATCAATGCATTGCCGTCCGGGATCTTAAGCTTACTTGCCACTGTGGAGATACAGCTGGCACAGTAAGTCTCCACATGAAGATGGAAATGGAAGACATCATCTACATGTAACTGCCAACAGCAGAAACGAAAGACATCAGGAGAAGAAGCTTGACAACCGCCCGAGATTATGGAACGATCAAACATGGCAACAACAGGAAGTTTACCTGTTTAACATCGCATTCGCACAACATATGCTGTACCTACTCGAAGCAGAAGCAGAAACTTGTACGATCTCGGTTCTTCCATCCGAACTTCTCACAGCGACAGAAAACCCCAAGACCAGTTCCCACTAAGTTTTTGAAGTATGGATTCCCAGCATCCATCAAGAACACGTTTCCAGCGGGCCGCGCCACAACGAAAGGACAAGAACCATGAAAAGCGGTCCAGGCGCAAGATACTCGAGGTGATCACCGCGGTCCGCATTCCATACGCCAGGTGTCTCCCTGAAGAAATCTGTTCCAAGATCAGCTGTTCAAGTCCTTCTCAAGCCTTCCATGCCATTTCAAAAACCAAATCATCTCGGGTCATATCCAACGTCCGAGCAAACAACCCGTCCATGATCCATTTGACAATTCCATCCATCAAAAACCATCCCAAACTAGAAAACCCCTCCCCTTAAATCTCAACCAGCTTTCCACAGAGGCCCTGCAAAGAACCCTATATCAGAACGGAATATTTATCAAATGCACACGCCCTATGCTGCACACCATTCCCCTCCCTGCAGAAGACTGGTATCCATCTAAAGCGGGATGTCCACCGTCCAAGATGCCAGTTGATTATCGACTGCGATAAGGCGTGGGTGGCGGTATAGTATATTGGCGTCTGTCAACGAGTATTCGGAGGTTGTGGTACTGTACGAGGTGATGCTTATCAAAGGTACAAGTATTATAAGTCAGAAAAGCATCTCAAGATACAAAAACCCAACCCTCCAAAGCACCACCTCCTCCTCAACTTCTTCAACCCCAATCCCGCACCATTCCCCATCCCCCTCCTCCACAAAAAAAGGGGGAAAGGCACAAAAACACCAAAATCCGGTAACGAACGTTTCTCTGGCCGTGACTAGCCGTCCACGCAATCCCACTGGCTACAAACCCAAGGTGGCTTGCAGGACTAGGCCGTCACCTGATATGTAGTGATACCAAATAATTCGAATCTCTGGTGGCACTAGGAATCTGGGCGTACGTGACGGGAAACCATTGACTTGGTAGCGGATGCGGAGGATTCTGGCGTGGAACATCACGTTTTTTGGTTCTGTGATGTGGGTGAGTTATTTCATTTTTGCTGCTGTGACGCTATTTACAATATTAACAAGCTATTCCTCCTTCGTACTCCGTCATGATATTCGTAACCGAGCCCCTTATCCTGAACACCAGCGCTTGAAGTCCTGGTATGTATGAGTACTCCCCGAGGTATCCTGTCCGTCCTACGAAACCCAAACCGCAAAATATGAACGACCAATCGATGACTGGAAAGAAAAGTGTCAGAGACAAGACACTCGATGCCTTCACCCTCCTGTAAATAAGTGCTACCAGACCGTTTCGATTTGCAAGCCGTCGGTGAAAGAGCCCCATCAATGAGCAACCTCATCACCATAAAACCTCAATTTATCACTCATAATCTTCTTACGATGCAATCCAAGATCATTAAGCAAACTCTTCAGACACTCCTCCGTCTCATCCGTATAAGCCTGTCTCGCAAGGTCAACAGCCTCGTCGCTGGGATACTCGCTATCTGGAACCTCCGTATGGTCATCAATATCAGACTCCGCAGTCGGCGTCGGCGGTCCTTCGTCGTCATATACAAGCGGTGGTTCTTCCTCAGACAAATCTCTCGTGACGCTGCCGCCACGATAACTATTCCTGGTGCTATTTCGTTGTAGGTTGATAGGTGCTTTAAGCTCTTCAAGAGCGAGCTTTAGGTGATTTCGGAGAGCTTCGTTTTCGGTTTGTAGACTACGGATTTTGCCTTCGGCTACAAGACTGCGCTCTTCCATCATGCGTTGCATGACTACCACTCTGTTTTGATATTCTTCAAGTTTCTCTTCTTGATCTTTTCCTTCCTTCTCTTTTCGGCGGTTCTCGGACACGCTGTATTGAAGCGCACGAATCTCCTCTGCCATGGCAACGATTTGAGCATCACGTTCCGCAGCCGACACTAAATCTTCATTACGGATAGCACGAGTGCGGATTTTCTTTGCTTGATCTGCATACCGAAGTGTAGATAGAGTCTCATCATAATCCGATGGTGCAACACATGCAATCATAGCTGTCTTACTGTTACCGCCCAGCGAATCCTTGAGCAGCCAGGTAAGAATCGAATCTCGAAATGGTACGACATCTTTACTTTTCTTTCCAGGACGAGACGTCTTTGGATCTGCTAATGCAGCAATTACTCGACCTAGAGTGGTGAGAGACTTGTTGATATTGCTTCCTTCGCGAAGCCGAGCACCCGTCGCTTCTGTTGCTTTCGCACGCTCACTACCTGCAAGATCGACCAGTCTGATTCTTGCCACACGCTCCGTCGTCTCGTCCGTCAGCATGTCGTGACGAATCGACTTCAGCATGATTGTAAAAACCGAATGACTTCGACTACTGGTATCGTTCATCTTCGTGCTTGCTGTCGTTCGGCTTGCATCACCCATATTCATATATCGCATGATTTCCGAGTAATTCTTGACTGGTGCATCTGTCAAATCCTTAACATACGGTCCTTCCGTTGGTGACTCTCGGATTTTGAGGTAGTGCGGCGCCTGATTGGCATGTACTGGAACCAGCAGATCTCGAACATGCTCATTATAAACTTCGAAATACGAGACATGAACACTGTACGAAGTATTCGGCGTTTCCTCCTGTGCTTCCTCAATTCTTTGAAACAAATCCTCGCAGGTCCTCGGAATCAATCCAGGTTGATCCTTCGTTCCCATCATGGTATAACTCTTGCCAGAACCAGTCTGACCGTACGCAAATATACAAGTATGGTAACCTTCGAAATTATGGTCCAGAAACTCCTCCCCGAGACTATCGTACACATCTTCCTGATGCGCATAATGTTCGTCCGCTGTGTCATGACTCCAGAACGACTTATCGAAAGTGAACTTTTTGTCATCGACAATTTTTCTCATCTTCGAACGAGAGTTCGCTGGGTCTAAATCATTAGGCGCATGAAGGGTGGTTGCTTGGTTTATAGGATTCATTTCGACCAGACATTTTGCGCCTCTCTCAATCTCTATTGCCAACAATTAGTTTAATCGTTCTCAATTTGACAAATGCGTTCTAACCTCTTGGAAGAAACCCTCTAACCCTAACAACCACTCTAACATTCCCACCCGGATTATCCATGGCCATTGGCGGCGGTTCGCTGCCCTCCCTCAATCGTAAAGATGGTGTTGATGCAGAAGTCCTAACAGTGCGCATTTCCGCCCCTACTCCGGGCATTAATCGTGGATCCAATGCCATGTCAATCAATGCTTCGTGAATACAATCGATCGTGTCGTAGAGTTTAAGCTTGTGGTTGAGGTACATTGAAGGTTTCCGTGTACGAAGTAAATATTGGGTGGGGATGCTGTTGGCTGGGTGAAATGTCGCAGGGGTACGTGGTCAATGATCTACAACAAGCTGATGCCGTATAGATATGGCTCAGACGTTTTCTTCTAAAGGATTCGAAAATTATATGTTCATATCTTGCGCACAGAAAATAGAAAATGGCTGAAAGATGATTGCAAGCTTCATTTCGGCATGTCAACAATGTTGTTGCTAGTTACGCGTAGCGCGATGTAGTTCGTGATGGAAGAACTTCTTCCCGAGCCGGTAATCACAATTTTAAACTGCAAAACTCCATAATCATCACTTCCCCTAATTGATTGTCTATTGTCAATTGCGTATATGTTCGATCGCGTCTGTTCTTGCTTGTAGTTCTACATTACATCTTACTATGCCCTTCTGGCTTGCTCACGCCTTCTATCTTCAACCATATTTGATCAACGAATGTCCATGATGATTCCCATCCGTGAGGTCTATCTCCTTGATCGTGGAAGCTGCACTTTGGTTGGTCAGTTATTGTAATTTAAGAATTGAGGCCTGTTTACCTGTTATGATACACCGCTTACTCAACCTGACGATGAACGGGAATCAGTAGCTGAGCTCTGGGAAGATCCAATTGGTTTCTTAACAGATTGCAAATCCTCCGGCCGTAGCGTTGGATGTCGAGTCTGTAGTCCACATCGTCTGTATGCTCAACTGCTGCATCTATAGCAGCCTGATCCTCGTAGGTGATCCCATCACTTGTAAATTCAATCTTTACCACATCGTTATTACCAGCCATGCCGTCAAACCACAATTCGAGCATGACACCTTTTCTCTGTCGACGAGAATGTGGATATAGCTCAATAGCCAGCTGCTTCAAGTTTGGGAAATAAGAGAGACTTTGTTCCAGCCAACCAGTACCATCCTCACGATCAAGTCGTTGAGTCTTGATCCGCAAGATCTCAACGAAAGAAAGATCCTTGGAGTCATTTAAAGATAGTCCTAAAAGTGCACGATGTGCGCGTGAGCCTGGCTTCAAGTACAAACAGTCCCTCTTAGTATCGAAGAGCACTGGTGGTCTGCCAGCACCCGTTTTAAAAAGGTAGGTGAAGACTTTGGTTTTGAGCAGAAACTCCCTTGCCTCTCTGTGAGTGGCTAACAGACTAGGTAGCTTTTGCCCTATCACAAAAAGGTATGCATCCTTTGGTGGACGGTTCGGATAGCGGAGTTGGACCCATTTCTCGAGGACTTCAACATTCCTTCCACCCTCTAAATCCAGGGCTGCCAAGTATATCAACTCTTTTATTTCGAGGGGAAACAAAGGAAACATGTGGAATTCGGCTTGTTGCCGTCCAAGGGCTGGCGGAGAACTCTCACTTCTTCTTCTGGTCTTTCCCAGAGCATGTTCATGCCCAGAGCCTCGCGTTAGCTGGACGCCCGCTGGCGTATTAAAGTTTTCCGGGATGGAGTCGAAGGAAGTTGACCGATGTAGGCGATTGGTTTCCCACGGGACGTTCATCTTGTAGTGTAGTCTATCGATTTATTAGCTGAAATCATAGCTAAGTGTCCGAAACTAAGCCGTAAAACAAAAAACATAACGAAACTAGAGATAGATGCTTGGGTTGATGATGCTCCTTTAGATGTGTTGTGTCTTAACAACTTAGCATGTTTCCGCGAGCTCGCGCATTCTCCACAGAGCGCGTTCATATTAAGGCTCTAGGTTGAATCATGTGAAAGCACTGTTCGACCAAACTTTTGGGTAGATGAGTTGTAGAGGAGGGGGATGTTCATGTGTGTAGAACGAGGTAGAACACAGCTAGGGATAGATTGATACGTACAGGGGGTTATAACTTTAGGAAGCTGTGTGGTATTCGGCTGGTAATCGATGCGGATACAGATCAGGAGCAACAGAAACCTGGCTGTCTAGTAGACAGAGGTTGACGGCTTGCAGAGGAGGCTATATTGTTCGCGAAAAAGGCTGTATTTGTATTTTGTCAGTACTTGTCCCAAGGATTGCAGAAGCTCTCTCCATCTCTGGCGCCCACGAAAGAGTTGCCACGTGGAGGTATTCAACTGCTAGGCAACGAAAGGAAGAGAACCTACTGTCTGCTGATGTGGATTCCCTTGTTATCAGGCCGTATGAGATTGATATTAAGCAGTCGATCAACGTTGTTTCTTCGGGCTAGGCTTAGAGTGCGGTCGCAAGGCAGTAGAGCCTGATGTCGCAGGAGGGAGAGCGCGATCTTGTGGGGGATGCTTGAGAAGGGGGTGCGCGGGAGGAAGGAGATCTGGCAGAAGCAGTGGTTGGATGACAGTCGATGCGTCTTTGAGAGATTGATGGGAAGGTTTTGGAGCTAATCTGCGAGCTTTGCGCGGTTTGAACAAGTCTACAGAAATGTTGCAATCTTGAAAGGGTGAAGAGCTGTGAAGAAAGAAAGTTTGCTTCCAAATTTTGCGGGCACCCCAACAACCGTTTCTGTTCGCGCTAGCAGAGAGGCTTCACTGCCGCTATTTTGGAACCCTTCCCCTCACATACACTTTCAACTTCATTACGTGCGTTTAGAAAGAGAACATCCCAACCCCTTTCATAATTCATTGTGTCTGGTGATGCGCAAAAGATAAAATTCATGCAACAAACAAGTACGAACGCAAGAGCAACGATGTGGCTATCAACATGTGCAGGTACTAAGGTACGCATAACCCCTTTTTGAATGGTTTAAAAAACACTCTAATGCAAGAATACAAATTTGAGATTGGGTCCTAATTTGATGTAGTAGAAAGGAAAAAGCATTGTTCTTTACGTCCCGCACCAAAATCAACACGAGAACAAAGCCCGATGAGACTTCTCCACTAAAAGCTACCACCGGCACTCTTGAAAGATAGACAACTATGCAAAACACTGTTCTTGGCTTTGTGGGGTGATGGTGGGGTGGAGGAGCTACCAACGTTAGGCAAGCCGCGAACGACAGAGCATACATTCCCACGCAAAACGACATTCGCACAAGGAAAATTGCGGCCCGAGACTACCGAGCCAATACATAATTACAATAAAGAGATTTCAGACATTGCAAGAATTGCTTCCCCTGATGGGAAATCAACTCTCCAGTCGTTAAGTGACGTTGGGGAAAGGAGAAGTAAGCGAAAACAACCGAGTCTTGGCGTTTGAGAAAAGGGGTCGTCGAGCCTTCCCCTTTTTCCACTTTAGAGATGCAGGAGACCTCAAAAGCCATGTCTGTTTTTCGTTTCAAATGAATGAATGCGCTCTTCACTAAATGCAATGACTGTTAGCTTACATTTGCACAGTTTTCGCAAAGAGCTTACAAGTGCGTCTTTTTAACTGCCATCCACCCATTGCCAGATACTGGAACTAAGGTAGAGATTCAAAGTTCAATGACATGAGTGGTGGGGAAGGCTGTCGTACTTTATCTCCTTGCTTTTTCTCTTTGTTTTCTTCCTTTTTCTCTCCTTTCTTCCCTTCTTTCCTTTCATCCTGACGCCAAAGCATACGTCTGCGTTGAAGTGTTCCCTCAGTGACCAGATGGCGATTATAGTAGTCAATAGTCGAAGGCTGAAGAGATTCATACTCGGCTGGAGCAGTGTAAGAGGGTTGAGCTACTTGTGTATGTTGTGGTTGATGTTGAGTTGAACTTAGTTGTCCAGTTTTACCCTCTCTGGTAGCGAATTTTGAAATCTGTGGCTTGCCAGGGCTACCAGATTCGAACGAAGAATTCGGAGCGTGGAAATATCCATAGCAAGAGATGTAAATGTGTCACCTGTGAAAAGTTCGGAGAGGGGCCAAAGATCGCCTACATCAATTCCAAGTGGAAGCTGGCTAACATTTTGGGTCGATGTTGTGCCTTCCACGTCTTGGTTCTTGCTGTGCATGAGACTGTTGCTAGAACCAGTGAGACTCGGGGCTGTCGGTGTTCTGGCATAGTCAAACACCCCATTTTGCTGAACCCGCTTATGAAAACCTTGAATCGGTCGGCTGCTATTTGGTTTTGACCGCTTGAACTCATGTCCTATTCCTGAGATCGATGTGTATATAGCTTCGTCTATCTTTCTAGGTCTTGTGTCGCTATTCCATAACTTCCAGTCGGATTCATGGCTCTTAACTGGCGTTGCAAGCGATGCCAATCTGACCGTTCTTTGTCCATTCAAGGGTGTTGGAGCGTTAAGTTGCGCGTCTGGGGGGTTTAAAGTCTCGTCTGGAAGCTCCTTAGCCAAGTCAAAGTCCGCCATGCCGAATTCTTCGTTATGGTCTTCCATCAGATACTCGGTAAAACTAAAAGTCTCCGCCATAGGCTGCAGATTTCTCTCTGTATCCATGTTGTCGACTCTTTGAGCCTGAAAGCCTGTGTTGCGTACCTGTTCGTTATCCACGCGCGAGCGAACATCCCCTTCGAAGTTTCCTATAGCGTTTCGTGAGGCGGGAGTAAACTGCGACTGTTGTGTAGGGTATGGCAAGAATGTAGATATACTGTGCAGTTCTTTTGCTACTGGTACTGCCGGCTTGGCTGTTCTGTAGACTCCTGTGGCATCCGAAAGCCCTGGCGTGGTGGTCGTCGTCCGAGGGCATTTCTTTGATGAGATGCAAGAATCAAAGTCATCGATTTGGGTCCATTTCCGCTTCTCGGTGAGAGGATATGAGCTCAAGTCACTGCTGTATACAGCTTCGGAGGCTTGGTGATTTTGGATCTGTGGTTGCGTCGCATGCTGGCGTAGATCTTGGGGCAAAGAAGGCGTGTCTGCTAATAGGTCATCGAACTCTGCATTATAATCCCCCCACTCGAAGAGACCATCTTCCAAATCTTCGAATCCTATACTTAAGCTTTCGTGTTCCCAGCGATTCCCTCTTTCTAATGCAGGCTGTTTGTCAGGATCTCCTCCCAGGGTGGTCGCGTTCTTTGCGGGTTGCTGCAGATCCTCTATTACAGAAGTATATTCCGTGTTAGGCGCTGCCATCACTGCGTCACTGCTAAACAGTTCTGGCGCTGCGAGTGATGTCGTTGATAGTCTTCGTCTAATATTTGGATAATGCGGCAGTAAGTAGTCGCGGGCTCGATGGAATAGCACTCCTGTGCGCTTTGGCTAAGTAGTCAGCGGGGGACGGAGAGAGATCGAAAGGTAAAGGTAATCGCTATTACACGATAATAGAACGTTGCTCTGAGCTCATCGTTGCCAAACTTGATGATTTGGAGTGGTTCTCACCTGGAGATGCTAGTTTGTTTATACCCTTGTATCTCAACCCACGACTTCGAATCTCTGAGTTTAAGGGGCACAAGCGTACTGAAAGATACCGCTGGCGATATGCAAAGAAGCAAGAAAGCTGTCAGACAGTGCGAATGGTCTTCGTAGCAATGAAAATGTGCGGTTCAGTAGTACAATTGGCGGCATTGGCTCAGTGTGGGAGGAGGCAGACGCGAGAAAGTGAATATGAGCTCAGAAAGGGTCAACACAGACGCCCAGCTACCGCTCTTCCGTATCTTAAAGCAGCCAACACAGAAACATAGACCTGCATTGCTTACACCATTAGTTGGTAGTCATTGTCCAGTGAGCTAGCATCATATATAGGTTGTTAGGCCCCTGCACCGCTATAGATACCTTTGTATACATCAGAAATGAAGAGTAAAGAGTATGCACGTTATACCTGAGTTAATCTACTCCACAATCATAGCCCATACGGGCTCTATATAGTCAAACTCCTGACGGGTTGCTTAGAATGTACATCAATTCCATAGTAGGAGGTGTTCCTCTGACTGTACTCGACTCTTGATGTCTTTCCAGATATATAATTTAGCATTCTAACGATACACCAGCTCGCAACTCTCCATATTTTCTCTTGAATGCACAACACGATACTCCTCGACTTGGGCAAAGAGGACAGATGCGAAGAGGATAATCGTGTCTGTTTCAAAATCTGCGATATATCCTAAATATATTCAGTGCTAATTGTCTGAGTTTCGGTTGACTTGCGCACTTCCTTCTCATTCCAAATTCACAACAATAATAAGGCAGTATAACCTTGCCGCCCCAAGTAGAGAGCGCTCTAAGCAACGGTTTCCAAGGCAAGTCAATAAATCACCTTTCGAATTTTCAGAACTGTTCCCCCCCCAGCCGCACAACAAAGCAGGACACAAGTTAATAACAACCTACAAACAAACATCCAGTCGTGCATAGCACCAAGAGCAATTGCGCCATAACTACAAGGTAGTTTGTAAGTCAGAAAAACAGAAAATCCTTTTATCTTTCACCTGCTAATTATGCAATGGACGCAGGCACACAATACACATCTCTCTCATCACCTCACAATCCACCACCCACCACCCACCCCTCCAACCGCCGCCACCACAATGGAGACCATCCCGGAAGACCAGGCTGTTATGGTCCTTTGTGGCCACTTCCCCACCGCAACCCTACAACCCTGCCAGTATTGCGCAGCCCTCTTCTCCTCGGCCGATAAGAGTCAACTCTTACCAATTTACCAGGCCAGCATTGAGGAGATCCTCAAGGAGGCGCGTATGGGCGGGAGGACTCTGAAGAGGAAGTCGGGAGTTTGGGGCCTGCGGGCAAAATTTTCTGGAAGCAAGTGAGGAGACGCGGATACCAAAGGTATCAGGAAATTTTGCGGAGCGAGATGGAGGGAGACAATAAAATGTTTTGAGTAACCATGATCACTCTTGTGTCTCGAACCCATGTGACAGTGATGAGAAGAGAGTATAATCTCACAAAGCAACCGAGGAAATGAGGCTTGACTAACGCACTAATTATGCCAAACCTTTATAAACAGAAGAATACAGTAAATGAGTACTGATCCATGGGATAGTGATGAGAACACCTGATATTATCAGAAAGGAATAGAATAAACCAGGATTGACCAAGATGAGAGGGATGAGAAGACTTATATTCTCAGAAATCAATAGAAGAAATGAGAACTTATTAACCTAATATTGGCCAAGAGACGGTAAAATCTCACAGACCAAGAGAAGAAATGCGGATTGACCCAGGTGATAGGGATAAGAAGAAAGTACAATCTCAGAGAACAATTGAAGAAATAAAGACTTACTAACCTGATATTGATTAACAGTCCTTCTAATCTCCGAGAGATACAGAAGAAATGAAGATTGAGCCGGTACGGCAGTGACGAGAAGAGTTTATATTGTCAGAAAGCAATAAGAGAAATGTAAACTAAGGTAGTTTATTTTCATCTGATTGAACCTAAATACCTCTGTTTTATCAACATAATGCCTGAAAATGGGTGGTTTGTAGTATTTCGTCAAAATTATTGAATCCGTTTGACACATTGTTAAGTTTACAAACAAAATCCTAAAGAATCCATTTAAGTGCTAGAATGACAATCATATTATCTCAACTTCAGAATGTGGCTTAGTTGGAGCTTCAAAAAGAGTCTCCGTATTTGGAGATTTACTTTTCTTTATTGGTAATCGTTGAACAAATTAAAGCAAATGACCTTAATACACGTGTAAACTTTCGCCGTAGTAGAGAAAGGGTGTAATTATTTCGAACAAAAAATGCTAAAGAAGATATTAGCGACATGTACTAGGACAACATTTTCAAACGGACTCAATGACTGTATTCGAAAACACTTCGCATTAAGATCTCATTATGTCTGTCGGCAAATACTGAATGATATGACACGAATGGAAAGAATAAAACTCTGGTAAGAAAGAACATGTAAAAAACATTACAGAAGTACTAAAGAAAAGAATTACACATGTAGGGATAGGACAATGAGTATTTTGTTGCAGAGACCACAAAGTTTAAAAGGGCGTAAACATAAAACTAGAAGATATCTCCACCTCCCAGCCTCTCAAAATGGATGATCTAATTCAATACTTGATAACAATTAGACAAGGCAATCTTAAAACTAGACAAAATCTCTGTCTCTTGCGACGAATAGTCTAATCTAACCATTAATCAGCTTCAAACAAGGGGACATAAAGCCAGAAAGTAACTCACTTCCATGACATAGGTGATTCCAACTCAATCATCAACAGGGTTCAAAAAAGCAAACAAAAAACCAGGATTCTGTTCTATTCCATAGAAGGAATGATCCCATCCAATCACTCAAAAGTATGGAATAAGGCAAACACGAGATCAAAAGAAAAGTTCCGTTTCCTATGATGAATAACCTAATTCATTCATTTACTGAATTCGAACAAGGCAAGCATAGAACTAGAAAACGAATCTTCATTTAGAGGATAGATTCTCTGATTCAATCATAGGAAGCTTCAAACAAGGTAAACACTAGACCAGAAAAAGCCTTCATTTCTCAGGATGGATGAATGATCCATCTTAATCATGAAAGGGTTTCAAACAGGTCAAACCAAATCACAGAAAATAATCTCCATCTTTTAAGGCGGAAGTCTAATCCAATCGCCAACATCATTTCAACAAGACAAATATGAAACCAAACAAAACCCTCTTTGTCCTAGAACTTAATCAACACAATTTTCTCCGCTATGCAACGGGTACCCGCATAAACCACGAAGACATACTCCAACCATGCATCTGAACCCATTCAGAAACCTGGCAGTCCGTGAATCCGCTTTAAAGAGATCTTCTCTTGAAACCATGACTTCTTGGTTTCAAGCGAGACTAAGCAAAAGGGAGAAGTCAGGTGGAAGTGAAGTTATGAGTGCTAAACCATGAATGAAAGACATTTTTGGGCACTCGCACAACAAGAAGCGAGGTGCTTTTCCTGATAGAACATGTGAAAATTCAAGACTTATATCAAGTCACACCTGGAGACTCGATTGTCAGGTATATCAATTGAAGATTTAGATCTCGCTTTGACGGATCAATTTGAATTGAGGAAATTTATCCATTTGATGTCAGGACTCGAGTACATGAGTGTTGTGACAGAATAAAAGGAACCGTGATCACAGTAGTTGAGGAAGGAGCAACCATCAAAGGCCAACGACACTTGTGCATGTTCATTTAACACATACGAATGTACTGACACCTTGATGTTATATTATAGCCTTCGTCATATTAAGCAAATTTTATGTTACCTAACGCCAAATCTTTTTGGATTTAAGAACTCTGATGATAACTGTGTCAAGAGAATAATACAACAATAGAATTATGTACCATGTACAACTGACCAAGCACCGCCGGTCTATTACAACCTATATATCCATAACGCCTTCAATGCACGTGTTCGTAATTCATCTATTTTGTGGTCTCTGTGACACGGCATTTCCATCCAGAGCTTTGACTGAGCAATGGCAAACTATACTAGTTAGCAAGGAAAATCAAAAAGCATTGGGACAAGCTTACCTGGCACCAAGACACCAACCGAGCTCGTTATCCTTGATCTTTTTGGCGATCTTGACCTCTCGGTCCACCGGCATTTCGTATCCAGTGTGGAGAAGAGCCATCATGAAATTGAGATCGAGACAGTGCTCTGGTCGACCCTGGAGCTCTTTGATAGCACCTGGAACGGCCTGGAAAATGTCCCAGCTCTCAGCACCACCACAAACCTGATCAGTCAACCGCTGCAAATCTTTCAAAGTATAAGATTCAGGCATGCCGAGAGGGTATGTTCGGTCATAAAAGTAAGAAAAGGTGTATACATCCTCTCGTGTGAAGGTCTTCTCCAAAGATGGTTGATGAATTCCGTTGAAGGAGCAAGGCGCGACCTTGCATTCAGCATCTTTGTACAAAATTTGCTCAGCGAGTTTTCGGCATTGTGCAGGAGCCGCAGAGGATGGACCTGTCATATTGACGGACACTATCTCTCCAAGGGGATGATCCTTTCCAAGCTCGACTTTGACAGGACGTGTCAAACCCGGGGCAATACATGGGTGTGTAATGGGTTCAGTAAGCCAGCTTCTATCATCCGCTTTAGCCTTGTGTACATTCTCGATGAGAGCCTTGTGAATCGACTTGCGAGCTGACATAAGACCGTACCCAAGATGAGAATGTTGGTACAGCTCAAAGTCTCTGCCGCCAAACTGAAGCTTGTACTTGTGGTCCCCAGGTGCCATTGTCTCCGGGAGCTTGAAAGTAGGTTCGAAGACTACTTGGGTCGAACCACCTCCGAGATCAAAAACAGCAGCGGTCTTAGTTTTTTCTGGCCCACCAATATTTCCAAGCAAGAAGTTCGTGGTGATCCAGGCGAACACTCCCTCATCTTTTCCTTCCATCACAGCGACGCCATTCTCTTCCCGAGAAACAACCGGGAACGGATATTTAGTTTCCAAACGATTTCGTACAGCTTCTAAAATCGCATCACCCATTTCAGGGGGTAACAATCGAAGGCCAGCGGTAGCCTTGACAGCCACGGGAGAACAGCCCTTGAGCTTATCGGGAACTTCCTTCATTGCAACCTCCATCAGAACATCAAGACTTTCGGCTGCTCCTTGGGCATTTTCTTTGTAGGAACTCAGCCCTCCAGCACTCTTTTCAGTCATCTTGAACTCTTCCTTCTCGAGTTCCGGAGTTGGGCCACAATTGTTAAATTTGTAAACATGAATACGAGAGCCAGTGCTTCCTGCATCGATCATCAGGGCATATTGAACGATTGGTTTCGATTTATCGCTAGATTTCGAGCATCTCGTTGTACCGTAAGAAGAATCTGAAGGTGATTGCCCATTATTGCTTCCTCCTACTTCAGTCGTGACCGTGTGCTTCCCTGAGTGCATACATCAGCAAATATGCTCCAATCTGCAGCCATGGTTTGCGTAACATACCTCCACTATACACATTAGCACCTGACGGTGCTAGATAATAAAAAAGAAAGGCAACGAAGAGCAAGATACCCCCCGTTTTGAGGTATCTTGCGCGCTGACTTTGCGTCATCCAGGCGGACTTTGCTTTCTCCAGGATGCCGGCGGCGCCTTCTCGAGCGCCCGTAGTAGAATACCTGGCTGCCTTCTCGTAAGGATCGTGAGCTACGTTTCTCGTCGGAAGCGACACCGAAGTACGTCGCATAAGGGAGCTGCTGGCAGACAATTACAGAACTCGAAGGTTCTGATCGTACAGCCGTATTATATGAGGGGTTGTAGGAGGAAAGATGTCGAACGATTGGCGATCATCGAAGTGGTGAAGAAGATGGAAGGATATGAAAAGGGGACAGTCGCGCTGATGGGTTGGGAATTATTACCCCTGGAAAAGCACTTGACAAAGTGGACACTGGACTGGCACTGGCATTCAGACGGGGGAGGTGTGGCGTCGTTCTAAGAATACCTAATTCAGATCGCTGGCTGAAATCTGAACCAATCACAGCAAGGCCGCTGAATAAGCAGTCTCGAACTTCCGAGGCTTGACTTGCGTCGCCATTATTGCCTTCGAAGCGCATCATGGTAGAATTAAATAGAATAATATACACCATTCACTGTCCTTCACCTTTTCCACAAGTTGTCATACTCTCATCCTACGTTCCTGTTTTCCTCATATACCCTATTTAAAATTCAGATTGTTTTCTCTCTCATTAACTTCATCAGATCATCATTCTAAACCCTACGAACCGCGAATGGATGTTCAACTCTATGTCTACGACTTGTCTAATGGACTCGCTAGACAAATATCCGCTCCCCTGCTCGGCACGTTTATCGATATGATATATCATACAAGCATCGTAATCGAAGGGGTAGAATACACTTACGATGGGGGTATCAAGGCGCTGGAAAGTGGTAAGACCCATCTGGGACCGCCGTTGCAAGTGGTGAATCTGGGGAGGACGGAGCTACCCATGGAAGTGATATTGGAATACTTGGACTCTATGAAGGATACATATACCAAAGAGGTAAGAGAATCTCAAGGAAATCATAGTTTGAGCAAGACTAACTCAACTAGGCTTATAATCTTTGGACAAACAATTGTAACAACTTCTCCAACGATTTTTCCATGTTTCTACTTGGCAAAGGCATACCTGAACACATCACAAATCTCCCCAGCACTTTCCTCAATTCTCCATATGGTAGAGCTCTTATGCCAGAGATAAATAAGATGGTCGACCGTCGCAACCGGAAGCAAGGCGCTCTACTGGGTCTGGGCACCGACGACGACGCTCCTCCAAAGCCTGGACAGGTCGATTCTTCAGTAAGACATATCAGCAGTATGCCCAAGCTTGAATCCGCACTGGAGGAGGCAAAGAGATCAAGCGCTATGATATTCTTCACCTCCGAGAACTGCCCGCCCTGCAAAACGCTTTACCCACTCTACGATCGATTGGCTGAAGAGTCAGTACACAAATGTATCTTGATCATGGTCGATGTTTCTAGGGCCTACAATATTGGAACCAAGTACAATATCAGGTCAACACCCACATTCATGTCATTTCTGCATGGCGTTGAGCAGGAAAGGTGGTCTGGAGCCGATCCTGCGAAATTACAGGGAAATATCCAGATGCTCGCTCAAATGGCCTTTCCACAACATGCTCATGAGAATTTGGATCTCCCAGCTTTACGTGCCTCAAACACTCATCCTGTTTTGTTCAGCAAGGTTCCTCCGTTGGGCAAACTCAAGGTCAAGATGGGTGCAATCGCAGAAGATGCCGCTGTCTCCGGTATCCTTCACTTCGTCTCTATACGCGCAGAGAAAAACCCATCGGAGGCGACCCTACCAGACATGGAAGCATTCAGTAGATTCCTGAGATCTGCCCCTTCAAAACTTCCAATCGAAACTATGTTCACCATCGTCGACCTGCTGCGTCTTGCACTAGTCGACTCGAGAGTAACCGGCTATTTCGCAGAAGAAAAGAACCACTTCACCATCTCACCCCTCATAACCTACGTCAATGACCTCGAAAACTGCCCCTACCCTCTACGCCTAGTCACGTTACAAATGTGCTGCAACCTCTTCTCCAGCCCCTTATACCCCCCTCATATCCTCAAATGCCCATCCCTCTCCTCCCCCATCGTCGAACTCATCACCACAAGTCTCCTCGACAGCACCCACCACAACGTCCGTGTCGCAGCCGCGGGCCTGGCCTTCAACATGACGACCGCAAACTTCAAGACTCGAAAGCAAGAAGGTCGCGAGGGACTCCCCGAGAGCGATCAAATCGAACTTGCAGCTTGTCTCCTTGAGGCCATCAGCGTCGAAGAACAGTCGCCTGAAGCTCTGAAGGGATATTTATTAGCTTTCGGATATCTCGTCTATTGTGTGCCTGCTGGTGGTGATCTGGTAGATTTGCTGAAAAGTATGGATGCTCAAGGGACGGTTCTGTCGAAGAAGAAGCTTTTTGCGGATGAGAAGCTGATTCTGGATATTGGGAATACTTTATTGGGACAAGGGCTCAAATGAAACGCCGCTTTGCAGTCTGGTAGATTTAGATAGCGAAAGATTGGGTTCTTAGCATAGTTTGAACGGCGTTGGTGGAGTCGGGAGTTGTGTCTAAGCAGTTAGAGCTTGGCACGTATCAAGAAATTATGAATACATGATTAGCGAGGCTAGTACTGTTGCGCTGCAGATGATCATATTTGCTTTCACGGTGCCTATGAGAAGTTCCTGTCTGACTTTGACAATGAGCGTAGGAAGCATACGTTCATGTTTTAAGGCTATGGTTTTTATAATCACCAGAAGCATAGGATCACTACTCTCGCAGCATTCGAATCGATATAAGGAGGTACTGGAAAAAATTGTCAATGACATGAAGCTTGGTTCGCAACGAGTTTTCTAGAAGTCTTTAGGCCAAATCGTAATTCATCTATTTTTTTTCAAGACTGATTATAAAGGCACTTCAGGACCAGCGGTTCCGAGCACATCTTCAATAACATCCTCAGGCCCAACACCTTCGAGCAAGGCTGACACAGCATCAACATCACTGCCCCATTGCATACTCCGCTCTCGTTCAGGCTTGACGATATGAATGCGATGCGGGTATATCTTCCTGGCTGCCAAGGCTATCAAGGATGGCGTAGTGTATGAGAGGTTGTGTAGAGGTGCCAGACATCTTTCAAATCATAAGCTATGCGGCCTTACATTTTAGAAAAAGGACCTACCTTGAAAGCTTGTCAAAATGTTGAGTTGCTGCAGCTGACACGCCGCCCGCAACAGCCCTATGAGTCCGCAAAAAACAAATGATGTTCTGCTGATGTGCTTTGATTTCTACACTGACCATGGCTTGGTCACTGAGTTGAGAGAGATGCTCAATTTCCTGTGGGAGATTAGTAAATGGCTAAGGAGAAGATAAACGCGAGACGAACTGCTGCAGATACTCTTGGCCACAAATTTGCATCCGGTTCGAAGCCAGGACTTTTCTTGAGAACAGAAGACGTTGAATCCCCATCATCGTACTTTTCTTCCAAATTAGGAAACCCATCTTCCGGGTCATGGAAGTGCGAGATGAATATTTGATCATTTAAGTGCTTTGTCAGTCTGGGTCCCTCCCCACCTGCTAGTAGCGCAATGAACAAGAACCGCTTCGGCGCATGCTGAACAGAGGTCCTTGTGTATATTCTTTTGGAGTGCATAAGCTCAAGAGCCTGGATCTGAACCTGCTTAGGTGCTTCATCAAGATTCTTAGCTATGATCACATTTGCCATCGTCTTGTTGTCTGCGAAATTCTCGGAGACTGGCGATTTAGAAATCGACTGGAAGGCAGACGTGTGCAGGAAGTAGGATGACTCTTGTCTCGGTCTCACTGGGGAATTTGATCGACTCGAGCTGGCGTCAATGGATAGAATGGCATGCGCGAAGTCATCGAGGGAGGTATGCTCCGAGCAGTCTACTATTGCATGGGATAGTCCAAAGACATTTTCTGCGACCTTAGTCTCGATTTAGTATGGATCGAACGAGGCTATGAATGGGTTCAAGTTACCAGCTCCAATTCTTCCACCAACTCGTCGAGCGCATCGGGCTCTGTATCAATGATACAATGCTCTTTTGCGACAAGGCATATCAGCACCGCAAGCTCCAGGTCACTCAAGTCGTGGATCTTGTCAATAAGAGATTCGTCCGCCATCAGGCCAACAAATCAGGTTTCTATATCCCCATTGCTTTACAAAAAAGAAGACCCGCAATCCAGCAAGAGAAGATCGTGATGATGGTGTTGTACGTCGCAGTGCTCAAAATGGGTTGCTAGCGTCAGAGCTCGGACCAGGCAGCCTTTCGTTCACCTCATGCCTAGGCACGCCGGACCAGCGATATCAACAACACTTCAACCACAGCTAACAATGAGGTGATAAATTAGGAGTGATGGCGAACCCAACAGCTGATTGGGAGAGGCTTGACAAGAAGTTTTACCGCAAGGTACAACTCTATACAGAAATATTTGACCAGGATCTGGAGTTGGAGAATTACATCGTCACGGGATGTTCATTTGGGGGAGCTATTGGTACGTTCTCATCATCTCGTCAAATGGCTCGTGTCTTTTCTCATTGGACATCAACTCAAGTTCATTGAATGAATTATTCCTGAACTGTCTCACGGTCTGTATTTGGTTTGAATCTCTGCGGTATTAAGCAATAACATCAAACAAGTTTTCTCAAGAGACAAGGCATCTTCGTTATTCAGAGTTATGCAGATCCCCCTTCGCCATGAGAATGACCGATTGATTATTCTTCATAAACTTTCTTGAGATGCTCTCATAACCCCAGTCCTTTAAGCTGACAGCTTCTTTGCATCTAGCGCTCTACAGAGATGAATCGAAGCTTCACTCATACCGTGGAGGTCAAGTGTCGAAAACAAGTATTGATCTCTATAGCTGTGCTGGAAAATTAATTCGCCGCATAAACTGGGATCAAGGCTCAATAAAGGGTTTGGGATGGTCAGAAGATGAGAGGCTAATCGTTGTCACTGCCGACGGCACCGTTCGATGTTATTATGACCTGCAAGGAGACTTTGCACAGTTCTCCTTGGGCAACGGCGCGGAAGAATATGGCGTCAGTGCTTGCAAGTGCGTATAAAATGGTAGTTTCAAGATTCAACGCTAAACTTGCGTCACAGATTCTATGGCACTGGCTTTGTGGCATTGCTTACAAACAACCATCTAATATCGGTCGCCAAATATGAAGAGCCGCGTCCAAGGCTACTGGCGACACCACCCGAGGGGACTGTTCATTCATGGGCACTTATACCTCCGGCATATACGCTCTCCCGATCAGTAGAAGTACTTTTGAGTATCGGTCAGACCATACATGTCGTAGACGCCACGGAATCGGATGACCGTCTGCTTGATATTGGTCCATTTACTCACGTCAGCGTCTCCCCGAATGGAAAATACGTTGCACTGTATACTGAAAGTGGGAAAGCCTTTGTCATTAACAGCGAATTCCAACAGAGACTTAGCGAGTATGATTCCAGGTCTAAAACTCATCCAAAAGATGTGCAATGGTGCGGAAATGATGCAGTGGTTATCGCCTGGGAAGACGAAGTTCATGTTGTTGGACCATTCAATTCAGCCGCTAAATACTTTTACGACGGTCGAGTACATTTGATTGCAGACCACGACGGTGTACGTCTCATTACCAATGATGTCTGTGATTTCTTGCAGAAGGTACCAGAAGTCACCGAAGAAGTTTTTAGGTTCGGGACAGAGTCTCCTGCGTCGATTCTTCTAGACGCAGTTGAGCAACTGGAAAACCAATCACCTAAAGCAGATGATAATATACAACTTATTCGGCCAAACTTAGTAGAAGCTGTTGACACTTGCGTAAGTATCGCTCATGATGTTAACGTATTCAGCTGACACTGCGTAGGTGAAGGCAGCTGGTTACGAATTCAGCGTTCACTGGCAGAAGCAGCTTCTCAAAGCTGCATCTTTTGGAAAGTCTGTGCTTGACATATACAACAGTGATGACTTCGTCGATATGTGTGAAACGCTTAGGGTACTGAATGCGGTTCGATTTTACGAGATTGGTATCCCTCTCTCATATGACCAATTTTTACGCCTTACCCCCGAGAGTCTTGTTCGTCGATTAGTCAATCGTCAAGAGTACCTTCTGGCACTTCGGATTTCATCATATCTGCGTCTCCCTACGGAGCGGATTTACGTTCATTGGGCGTCACAAAAGGTTCGAGTCGGGTCGGAGGATGAAGAGACAATATGCCGTATGATAGTTGAGAAACTGGATGGTAAGCGAGGTATATCATTTGAAGAAATAGCAAGAGCAGCATACGATGAGGGGCGGGGTCGTCTCGCAACTGAACTGCTCAACCACGAAGCGAGAGCTGGGAAGCAAGTTCCACTTCTTTTAAACATGGAGGAAGACGAGATTGCGCTGGACAAAGCAATCGAAAGCGGAGACTCGGATTTAATATTTTTCGTTCTTCTTCATCTCAAAAAAAAGTTACCACTCGCCTCTTTCTTCCGCGTAATAAACACACGCCCGGTTGCAACAGCCCTGATTGAGTCTTCCGCTCAAGCAGACGACTCTGAACTCCTCAAGGACCTCTACTACCAAGACGATCGCCGTCTCGATGGGGCTAATCTATTTGTTCGGGAGGCTCTCAAACAGCCAGAATCCCGAAGCTCAGCTGACAAGCTTACGCTGGCCGCAAAACTCATTTCTGATTCAAAAGAAACTTCTTTCGAGCACAAAGCTTTGTTAGAAGCTAGTACGTTACTAAAGATGCAAGAGGCTTTTGACAGGGATCTCACAGAGGAATTCGTTGGGTTGAGTGTGAATGAAACTCTATTCCAGCTGATCAAGGGTGGTTATACAAATCGCGCCAAAAAAGTACAATCTGAATTCAAAGTGCCAGAGAAAATTTTCTGGTGGATACGGTACGCTCCTATCTTTTCCATTGATGAGTCCCATTGTCTAATTAGTTTCGTATAGTCTTCGTGCCCTAGTGTCAGCTCGCACATGGTCAGAACTTGAAGACCTCTCAAAAACACGCAAATCGCCCATTGGCTGGGAACCTTTCTTTAGTCTCATTCTATCCGCAGGCAATCCTAAACTGGCCAGCACTTTTGTTCCTAAATGTGCACCGGGTATGCAACCAGCTGAGATTATTAGCATGTGGGAGAAATGCGGTATGAGAATTAAAGCCGCAGAGGAAGCTTTTAAACATAAGGACGTGGAGACGATCGATAGATTGAGGGCTGCCGCTGGTGTAGGTACCGTAGAGGCAAGGGAGATTGAGAAACTTGGTGCTGGGTTGAAGAGGTAGATGTGCCGTTTCAGCTTCCTTGAGGCCAAGGATTCTGGTGATAATATACTTGTCAGACGGGTAGAAGAAGTTCTAGAGTTGGTAGTATGAATTAACTACAACGCATGAAGTACACCCGCCATTCAGGTCGCGCGGCAGTTAAACATCTTTTTAGACAGGTTACCAAAACTACAACAGCTACCTATTCTACTATATTCTCAACGACTGCTCATATAAAATCATGAGTTTTGAATAATGACGACCACGTGACTATTCTGTTTACACGCACGTGATGATGTATTTGCTCGGAAATAGATTTCGCAGCCCTCAGTCTTCAACGGATGTAGAGAGATTTCAGTAATGTGAGCCTTTGTACCAAGTCTTAATTCTTTCATTGGGTTCATGTCAAGAGACTTCTCAGAATATGGGATAGCAAGTTCGAATTCTCTGCCGAAAGGATTTGTTTCAGGTCGTCCCTGAATCTCCCGACCTCGAAAAGGACCTGATCTGGAGTTCTCCCAAATGCATCAGTGTCCAAGAACAATGCTGCCTCGACTGTCGATTGGCCTTCTGGGTCTATTATCATGGGTATATTTATCATCCGCGTGCCTCCATTCCGCCAATATTTTCTTGCCCGCGGACGGCATTTGCGCAGCAAACATTGATCTGAACACAGTATTATACACTTTTCCACTACAAAATCAGATTTTTATGCTGACATGCTGAAAGAATGGAACCCGAAATGATAATTTCAATGACAAACAGCGTATGCGTAAGTGCTTTTCGAAAGTACACAATGATATGTCAACTGATTTTGAGAAGCCTCATCCCGCGCCATTGAAATTCGAGAAACCGCCAACAAAGGACTTGGAGTTTTCGCTGCGCGTGACCTTCCAAAGGGATTCAAGATAATCATCGAAGAACCTCTTGTGTCCGTTCCGGTACCTGAAATGGTACCTGGCCAAGGGTTTAAGATTCTGGACATGATCAGCAGTCTTGAAAGAGCCTATGAAGAACTATCACCAAAGCAAAAGGAAGCATTCATTAACCTCCATGACTTTCGACTACCCGGTGAGGAAGATCAAAATCGATTGCTCACTATTTTCCGGAGTAACGCTTACAATACCGGCAACTCTCACGTTGGCCTCTTTCCGAAGATTGCGCGCATCAACCACTCTTGTAGACCGAACTCTGGGAATTGGTGGAGCGAAAAGGCTGGTCATAGGGTTATTTACGCAGCGAGAGATATCGGCAAAGGCGAAGAAATTACGGTCTCATACATCCCTCTTCTTAAGAAAGCGAAAGACCGTCAACAGAGGCTTGCACAGTACGGTTTCGTGTGCGATTGTTCAGCTTGTCAGTCACTCGAAAGCGACAAGCGAAGGATGAAGATTGCAGACTTATTGGAGAGTCTAGAACATAAGTTGGCTCCTTCTTCGACCCGGAAAAGGTCTACTTACGAACGACTAGGCAAGAAAGCGATTACCTTGCTGGAACTAGTTGATGAAGAAGATATGATGGACTACCAAGCCAGAGCATTTCATATTGCCGCAGTGTTTGCTCAACGACTTGATAATATTGAAGCTGCTCGCTACTATGCTATCGAAGAGCTGAAAATTCGACAATTGGCTGAGCTGGACTCAGACGACGCAATCAAGACAAGGGCATTTATTGCTGAGCTCATGGCGGAATCATGATAAAGCTACTCCGTCGACCGAAAGAATGCGATACTATCATACTAGCATCTACGAGGAGATCTATAAGCAAGCAGATTCCAGAAACGATCAAGGATGCACGTGATGGCCGGCACGCCATCCTCCTTTATGTTCGCGTAAGATCGTCAGCTCTTGCATATACCCAAGAAGGCCTTCACGGACTGGCAATGTAAAATGGGGGTTCAGGAGGACTGATAAGCTGGAAAGGGCGCTCATTCGCCATTTCAATCATTTTACATTATCCTAAGATGTCTGCAATCATCACAAATTCTACGACACGTCAAACTGACAGGGAGTGGTATCATCAATTTGCCTGTAGTTCAATTCTGTGATTCTCAGCAAGCACTATATGTGGCATCACTCACACTGGATGTGGTATCACTCATGCAGTACCCCATAAATTTTATTCGAGGTCAGAGGTATTGACAAGTCGGCATTCTTATCGCTCCGATGGCCTAGCCATATTGTCGGTAATAGCACCTAATTCCACCTATGGATTGATTGAAATCGTTGTAATCTTTTGACATTCTGATGCCATTTTGGTGGCGTTAGGAATGCGGGGTGAAATGGCTTCATTCTATATGTATATAAAAAAGAGTAGTAAGGCCATGTCAAATCTCTCTTGTCCACGGTCATCATCCATAGACTTGATAAATTTCTCTTTAACTCAATTTCCAATCTGAGAAACCACAATCATGGCTCCCTCACTTACAGAGACAGTTGCCAATGCCACCGAACAAATCCAGGAAAAGGTTGCTTCCAAACCACTAGTGGTCAAAAGCGACAACACACAGACCAAGGATGAAGAAGCACCTGCTGTTCAACAACCTTCTACTCAGAACTCCAGCAGAAGGGAACCACTCAAGCTTTCTGGAGCTTTAGACCACTTCGAAAGCTTCGACGTCACCCCAATCATTGGCCGGGAATTCGTTGGTGTAAACTTGGCCAAATGGCTTCGAGCACCAAACTCTGACGAACTTATTCGGGATTTGGCAATTACTAGTAAGTCACATTGGATACAAAAAGTACGAAAAGAGAGCTGATATATTTCCTTTTAGTCTCGCAACGTGGTGTTGTCTTTTTCAGGAAACAAGACGATATCACTAATGAGCTCCAGAAGGAATTGGTTCAGCGTCTCGGAGAACTATCTGGGAAACCTAAGACTTCGGGACTTCACATCCATCCAGTGTCAAACTCCGGCCGTGAGTTGGGAGGTAAAGATGATGAGATCAGTGTCATTTCTTCCGCTCAGGCCAAGAAGATCTATGCAGATAAACTGCTCTTCGCTACCGAGAAGAAGCAGAGTAGCAAGGAAGGATGGCATTCGGACATCACGTTTGAGCCTATTCCTAGCGATTATGCTTTGCTTCGCTTAACTCAATTGCCAAAAACCGGTGGAGGTATGTAAATTCTGCCCTGAGCTTTAATCCAGTCTTTAATTACGATAGACACTCTTTGGGCCTCCGGTTACGAGGTATATGACAGAATCTCCACACCCTACCAAAAGTTCCTCGAGTCTCTCACCGCAACGTACGCTCAACCCCTCTTCAACGAAGCCGCCTCCAAAAACAACTTCAAGATCTACTCCGAGCCCCGCGGGGCTCCCGAAAATGTGGGTGAAGTCCTCGAAGCAATCCACCCCGTCGTCCGCACCAACCCCGTCACAGGCTGGAAATCCATCTTCGCGGTCGGCCACCACGTTCAACATATCAACGACATCACGAAGCTCGAGAGTAAAGCGTTGCTTGATTGGTTTTTGAGATTGTTGGTTGATAACCATGATTTGCAGGTGAGATTGAAGTGGCAGAATCCTAATGATTTGGCGATTTGGGATAATAGGAGTGTGTATCATGCTGCTACGCCCGATTATGTGGAGGGCGAGCTTGGGGAGAGGACGGGGAACAGGGCTGTTAGTTTGGGGGAAAGACCTTATTTGGATCCTAAGAGTACGGGGAGGAGGGAGGCGCTTGCTGCTGCTGCTGTTGATGGACCTGTTTAGTAGTGCTATGCTTTGAGACATGTGTATGCTATGATTTTGAATTTGCATACTTTACCTGCTATATATGGGTGTCCAGTGAAATATATCTCTTTCCCGGTGTTTCTCGCTTCAGTGAGATACATTTCGATATTTATTATATAATTCAACCCAGACTTCACCATCACTTTAGAAAGCTTGACGGAATTCTGTAAACTAATATTAGCATAACATCATAAGCTAACAATATAATCCTTTACCAACTTCACTTTAACCTTTATATCGCGGAGTCGAAAAGGGGGATACATCACGTGCTGATAAGGGGTCTCAATCTAGAAGTCCGAAGCTCGTGTCAGTAAAATGTTTGGGGATCGGAAGTAAACAACAACAATTGTGATTCAATTACTATCCAGAACATCAGCTTGTACATGTACACAGCAGATCATTCCGTGTAATTCTGTTTTCATCTGCAGGCTGAAGTCGGCGCGTAAAATCGACTGGTTGGTCCACGATCTGAAACAATGTCCAGTATCGACGACCTATTCAAGGTAAGAATAATCTCACCACTACTCCTATGCTGCTCTAACTCACGCGTCAGAAACCAGCACTACCTAGCAATAAGCGCAAACTCGAAGCTACAAGAGATCCAAGTGCGCGCATTCCCCACACGTTGAGAGCTACATTCTAATGTTTACCAGACGAAATCTACAAGGCAGCGAAGCTCGCCTCGAACGGGCATGCGAAATCCAATGGCAAACAACCTGCAGTCGAAGAAGATGACGACGATGATGTAGAAGCAGGTCCCTTACCTCCTCCAGATGACGATGAAGATTATGGTCCCGATGTCCCCGACGATGATGAAGGTCGGTTCTTTGGTGGTGGTGTTACACAAGAAGAATCGGAAGTGTTAGATTATATGGAGACCCAGGAACCCTTCTCAATTGCACCGGAAAAGATAGATTCGGCATGGCTACGGAAACTTGCGCTAAACTTTGAGAAGAAGATAAGCAAGAATGCCGAATTGAGGGCGAAGTTTGAGGATGAACCGCAGAAGTTTATGGGGAGTGAAGCGGATTTGGATGCTGATATCAAGGCGCTGAGTATATTGAGCGAACATCCAGAGTTATATAAGGAGTTTGCGAAGTTGGGATGCGTAGGGAGTCTGGTGGGGCTATTAGCGCATGAGAATACCGATATTGCGATTGATGCCGTGGAAATTATCAGCGAGCTCACGGACGAAGATGTGGAAGCCGAGCAGGAGCAATGGACTTCGATTGTGGACGCGATGGTAGAGTCTGATCTCCTCGATCTCCTGGTTTCGAATTTTGTAAGATTTAACGAGAAAAATGAGAGTGATAGAAGCGGTGTCTACCACGCCCTCAGCGTCCTGGAAAACCTAGCTTCACAGCAGACACTCGCAGAGAAGATCGGTCAAGACACTACAGTTTTGAAATGGCTACTGGATCGAATAAAGAAGAAAGAGTCGGTGGTAACTCAAAACAAACAATACGCAGCCGAAGTCCTCGCCATCCTCCTCCAATCGTCCCCTCTCAACCGCACCAAAGTCACCTCCCTGGATGCTGTAGACACTCTTCTCCAAATTCTCTCCGCATACCGCAAACGCGATCCTTCAAAAGGAACGGAAGAAGAAGAATTCGTCGAAAACGTCTTCGACGCCTTGACATGTATCGTTGACGAATTCGTCGGCAAAACGAAGTTCATCGAAGCAGAGGGCATGGAATTAGCACTCATTATGATCCGCGAAGGCAAGATGGCTAAACCGCGTGCGCTGAGATTAATCGATCATGCCCTCTCTGGTCCCTCCGGCGCCGAATCGTGCGAAAAGCTCGTCGAAGCAGCAGGCTTAAAAGTCATCTTCACACTCTTCATGAAGAAAAATCTAGACTCCTCAACGACCGAGCATCTCCTCGGTATCTTCGCCTCTTTACTGCGTCATCTCCCTGCAAATTCATCATCGCGTATCCGTACCCTCGCGAAGTTCGTGGAGAATGATTACTCGAAAATCACAAAGTTGGTCTCGCTACGACGCGGTTTCGCGGAGAGGGTTGGGGTCGTGGAAGATGCCATAAGAGATGAGCATAGGGGCATGAGTGCGGAAGATAAGGAGGACATGGTTGATGAGTGGTTGGGGAGGAGACTTGATGCGGGGTTGTTCTCGTTGCAGACGCTGGATGTGATTTTGGCTTGGTTGGTTGCTGAGGATGATGGGGCGGCAGGGAGGATTAAGACGTTACTTGGGGAAAGGGATGAAGGGTTGGAAGTTGTGAAGAGGACGATTGTTGGTGAGTTCCGAATTCCTCCATATTTTTTCTATGCTGCTGGTGGTCGTGAGTTTGAGGGGTTATGAATATGAAGCTAACCTGAGATAGAACAACTTGATAGCATGCAAGGTACTTCTGAGGAAGAAACGTTGATGAGGGACATGCTTAGTACACTGTCTCAATTCCTAACGTAGGATATCAAATATACCCCAATTTTCAGATCAAATATCACGTGGCTATCGAGCTCGTCGATGCCATACTGTACACATATTCGTCGAAGTGTATTCAAAGTGGTATTTTGGCTATATATCATACCTCTACATGAAATGATTGGAGATGGTCTAACGTCGCATATACCAAAACATTCAACCTTCCTTCTGTACAGACTGTACAGAATGCAGAATCTCAGAATCCTCCCTAGGACTCTCACTCCCCACCACCATCTCCTCATCTCTCTCCCCCAGAGCCTGAACACCAGCAGCCCTCTCCTCCGCGTTCTTCGCATTCCTATCCCCAATATACCCACCCGTCCAAATCACACACGGCACAGCACCCACCAAACTAAACAACGCCAGACTCCAAGTCATGGTTCCCCATCCCGCGCTATCCTCCACATAACCCGCCCAAACAGGACCGATTAGAGTGCCTGCGGCGAATGCGGCGATGAAAAGCCCGTAGGCTTGCGCGTAAGCACCGGTGGCACCGAAACGACCTGGCTGCTCGCGCTCTTTGGCTTCAACGACGTACGTTATCTCGGCCATTAACGGGGGTAAGACGAGGGCTAGACCAACGCCGATGAAGAGGAGGAGAGCGGAGAAGAGGACTTTTTGGCCGAGGGTGTTGTGGGTTACTAGGCGGAGGAGGATCCACTTCGAGGAGGGTTAGAGTCTTGTGATGAGGGTATTGGGGGCAGGATATTCCTTACGAAGGGAATGGCGAATATAAAGCCGGAAAATGCAAGCCATCGGGGTCCATAACTATCAGAGAGGTATCCTATGGCTGGAGAGATGAAGGATGGGATTGTCAGGGCTAGGAATATTAGACCTGCTCCTACCGAGTTCCACTGTTTGAAAAGTTAGCAAAAAGGAATTTGAATTTTGTGTGCAAAACGTGGGGGGTGGGAAAGTCCTTGAGAATTGCGGCTCTGAGGGGCTCGCTTAAACGAAAAGTTACGGTGTGACTTGAAGAGGCTCAACTGCACTTACCCCGAAAACTCGTTCCACAAACAACGGTAATACACTGTCGAAGGCTGTCATAAGTGATCCCTGTACTACACATCCCCATAGAGCAGTCAATAGCCGACGTGATGCAAGGAGCGTTATGACCGGCGGCCATTTGAATTTGGTACCATGCGAAGATGCATTCCCACTTGACGGGTCATTATTGAGGCTATGTCTGTTGGCCGTTGGTTGGGGTTCTGTGACCACGTTGGCTTCCGAGCCTTGTTGCTTCTCTTCATCCGTTAGGTCTGCTGTCCCGCTGCCACTGAGTGGAGTGGGTGTCTCAACAACCCATTGCACAGCGATTTTCTTCTCGATAAGCGCCAACCTCAGCACAATATCCACAGCAATCAAGGCGAACGCCATGTAATAAACACTGTAGTACCCAGCCTTCTCATATACAATCCCTCCCAGCAACGGTGCGAGGAAGAATCCAATCCCCATGGCCGATGAAACCCATCCCAATGTCTCCCCAATCCGTTCTTCACCAACCGTGTCAACCAACAGCGCAATGCCTACTACCCAAACGATGGCGGCCGCGGCGCCTTGCAGTATTCGTCCTAGGATTATCAACCACACCACGCGCGCAACGCATAACATCACTGTTGCACCACCTAAAGCGAGCAGACCGACTAGGAGCGGGAGACGCCGACTAGCTGATCGATCGGCCAGGAATCCTGCTATCGGACTGCCCACGAGAAGCGCGCCTCCGTACACGGCCAAAAGAACGGACACCCATTTCTGGACACTGTCTTCTGCGACTCCAGCTCGATTCGAGAGGGCGAATGGTATAACCGGGACCTAAGAATCGTTATTCACCAATTCCTTAAGCTGGAACTTGCTACATACGATGATTCCATACAGAAATATATCTGTGAATACGGCTACGGCGATGGTGAAGATGATGAAGGTCTTGGAGCTGCGGATTTCGAGGAAGTTGGGTGGTGTTGAATGGGCGTCGACGCGCTCGCCGCTGAGGAAGTTCTTGAGCGTTCCTGCTATCCCCATTTTGTGCTATTATCCCACCGCGACGACGGAGCGATGAGGGAAAGGGGCGATACGTCGGTGAAGGTGCACAGGTCGTCCATTTTGATGGTCTTCTATGGATGGGATCCTGATACAGGCTCTTGATGGTGAGTGGAAGTGGGTGTCGGTCATAGATCTTGGAGTCCAAAGCGGCGCCCCATCGAATGTTTTAGTGAAACTTGATCTTAATGGGGACGGAGTATTTTGAAATTATTACATACTTGTTCCGCTCTATTGGACTATTTTATCTTTATTATTCCCTATATTTAGTATTTTTAAGAAGTAGTTGCATAAATTGGATAGCTATTAACTAGTTCTCTATTTGAGTAGTTGCCGCTTTTACTCCCCCCAGAACTCCACAGTCCGAATTATTTTACCCCGGATCCCGCGGGTTCCTCGCTCATCTTTCCAAAGAATATCTTCTCCTTTCTTCTTCAACACCAAACCATCGATTAAATTTGGTTTTGTCACAATCATTTGGAATTGTGCGTTGGTAGCCCCCCTACGGAGGATTTCCCAAGTCAATGCTTTCTTCCATCATCGGCGTTTCTTTTCATGCCCGGCTTTGGAGTCCCTTTGCATGAAGAGCCTCATCGAATGTTACACTCAACAAACGTCTCTTGCCCGATATGTGCAGGTTACAGTCCAAGGTTATGCATCCTCCCTTATCGTGACGAATGATGGACCAGTCTTCTGTTGTCACCCACGAGGCTGGAACCAACATATTTTCGGGCTGGTGCAGCTTCTTGACCAAGGCAATCTTTCGCCTTCACCATTCGCCAATGGTGTTGGGAAAGTAGATCCTTCAACCAGGTACCAGAGCTCGGGGCTTTTTCTGCATCCATCCAGCATATACTTCTCAGTGATTTACTGCAGCAGTATACATTGCAGTTCACATTGCATCAGTCTGCGCCGGTTCCAGCCCCGGGCCAATCATGGATATAGACACTCATGAGCTACCAACGATTCATAGTAGCCGGGCGTTAGATATTGGGAGATACCCCTCATGAGGCTCGATACATCGCATATGCGGACACGATCAGATGTGTGAATTTGCTGAGAAGTACCACATACACAACTTCCCTGGCCAAAAAGCAAAACTGCTTTCCAAGGAGCTAATCTTGCGGCTCAACTAATCTTACCATGACGTTCAATGATCTTCTCCGTAGCAGAGGGAGGCATTTACATACCCGAACCGCATTCAAAACTGCTCAGGTGAGCTTGTGCCGCAAGATGAGGCTCTGGATGTCTCTCGCTTCCGGCGCCTTTTGTTGGGATATGCTGACTGAGTGCAACCGATGGAGAGCGGCGAGAGCCTCCATCCACCCTATGGACTTGTGAATGAGGATTTTGGGGTGGTTCCATTGCCTGAGGTACTTTCAATCATTGCTGGGATGTTCACACCATTTCGACTCTCTGCTTGTGACACAAGATGTCGGAGGACGACGGCATGCCGAGATCTTGTGTAACATCGGCTTTGGGGCAACGACGATGTTAGAACGTAGGGATCTTGCCGAACTTGTCAGATCTCATCCGGAATGGGTGAGGTCCAAGCAGTGTAGAGCCTCATCCGATGAAACAGACAAATTTATGTCACTTCGTATTACGTACGCCAGCACTCACGAAAACCTTGCGGCTCTATTTTGAGGCTAACTTGAGTTAGTTTGGTTTTCTCCAGGGTGCAAATTTGGTGCGTCTCACTGCACTAAGCCTGCCAGTTAAAATCAACTACGGCTATTAACGTGGGTTTTCAACCCAAGCAGACGGATAAGTCGTCCAACGATTAAATTACTACACAATTCAGAGATACCGCAATTAACGCATCCTTACGACCTACTTCCGGCATTGGCGCCAACTACCCATCCATTTTGAGGCTCTTCTTTAATCAAGCGAGGAAGGAACTTCCCCCCTGCCCTGAGCAATTAACCGAGTGCACCGCTGGTGCATGTGAGGCAATACCCTTGGCGCAGGTGTGCCGCGGTCAATGATCTCCGTTTTGGCAGCCTTGTTCCTAATCTATCTAAGCTCTCCACACGTTTCCGTTGGAATATGTTGTGCTTCACACCTTCCAAAGAGCCGCTCCGATAATGGAATGTCACACTAATCGCCTTGCTCACTTGATGGTGGTCATTCACACATAAACTGCGCCATGTGCTCAAGCTCTGAGCTTCCTGTCAAAATGACCATGCTAAACAACATGCCAACCTGGCCCAATCATTACTAGATCTTCTAGCCTCGTCGGCTCCATTGCTGAGTATCCTAGTCGACCTCATCTGTCTGTCTCAGCCCCCATTTTCCTGAACCTGTTCGACTTTGAGCCGCATGCAAGCCTTATAAACACGGAGGGTCAAGGTCAAGTCTCTTCATCGAAATCCATACACATCAGCTACTCCCTGCCGATGTCTGCCAATGACTTTTTATAATTACCACTTTCAGTTCCTAGGTATGTCGATACCAACTCCACATAGCGCGACTCGGACCTAACCTACCCAATCTATTAGATCCATTGGATCTTACTGCTGCTAGACGGGCAGATGTTAGGCTTGATTTCACTACCATACGAGGTCTTGGCGAACATCATCGGTAATGTTGACTTTGACGATGTGTTCAATCTTGCTCGTACGTGTCGGAGTTTCATGTTTCTGATCACTGAAGAGAGTCTCTGCAAGAAAATTGTGCAGGTAAGTTGTGTAGGAATAAACGAATTCATGTGGGCACTACTAATGGAATGACTAGAGTAAAATCGCTTTCTCGTCAGAAGCCATCAAAGCCAACTCTGTCCCTGGCGGATATGCGTCCGCTTTACGTGGTATAGCAAAGAGGCGTCATGCTCTTGCTAATGTGGATCCATTCACTGTCGCTACAGTGGGCTTCTGTGACGCATATCTGTACTGTAAAGGCGTATTGTGTTACACCTTGGACGATAAAGTAAGAGTCTTAGATCTCCACAATTCTAGAGAGCAAGAAATTGTGTTCAGCATTCCGGAATTACTTAACCAAGCTTTATCGAACGTTGGGGATAGCATGAGCGGTAACTTTCAAATATTGTACTACTCGAACGCGATCATATCTTGCATATACAGATGCTCTAGCTCAATTCAGACAGCTTGGTTAATCTCGTTTAGTCTCAAAAAGCGGAAGAAACCAATTTTGTTGGTGAGGGAGTTGGATTCAACAGAGAAGCTCTTTGTTCGTCACAACGACGAGTATCTTTACTATGGGACCCATTCGGAGATTGATGCTGATGGTCACAAGAAGTGGATGATATATGGATACAAATTTTCCAAACGGCAGTGGTTTGATGAGAAGATTTACCTCTCCGAGATGGCTGGATCTGACATTGGCTCGAGTATATGTTTTGAGTTTTATCAGGACTACTTCTACGCCCTTTCCAACCAGACTTCGTTTGAAGTTGAAGAGATAGACTGGACATCTTTCTATCATTGTATACGTTTCCCTTTGGATTCCCCTTGCAAAGCATTAATGGAGAAGACGCAAGACAGAGATATGTGGCGCCGCCAACACCAAGAAGGGCCAATTGATGAGAGGTGGATGTCTCTTCAGCTAGTGGTTGACGAAAGTTCAGGCGAGCTCAAGATTGTAGAGTCTCGCAAAGAGTGGTATCTGGGATCGAGTAGGAGTCAACGGAACTACTACACAAGCGACATAATTTTTCCAGAGCTTGAAGACTCAGATGATGACAATCCCGACTCAGCCGGAGATGACTGTATGGATTTTGACTCGGATAACTTGGCCCAAGTTTTAGCCAGATCCAGAAATGATTGTGGCTTACCATCAACGTCAGCAGCCTCGAGCTCTCACGCTGCAGCCAACGACAGGGCTCATGGTCTTTTCGAAAACAGTGGAGTTTCCAATTCGCAATTGCTGCGCTTGATAAAGAAGAATAACAATCCTCATTATCTGGAAGCACCCCCACGTCTCCCACAACAAACACACCCAGGCGATGATGGTTCTGCTCAACGAACATTCACCTTAGCCAAGACCCGAATACGCACATATCATCTTGGCTGTAGCACTTTCTTGGACCTGGTTGATGATCCCGTTGTAACTGATTACCACGGAACCCAGCGGCTTCGACTCCGTGGAGGCTCAAGACGCCTTGGCCCGCCTCTAAAAGATGAGAATGACCTGCTGCGTCCGCCTTCTGACCACTTGCAGACAGCCATTAAAGAGCTATACGTAGTCAACGATGTTGAGTACTGGCCTCGAACTCAGACCTCGGATGACGAAGAATCATTAGGCAACAAGATAGACCACGATCAAATCTACAAACTCCTCAATCCTCCCACTCATCTTGGCTATGTAGAAGGTACCGCTGATGATCGCTCTCTAGTCTATGTCACAGGTGCAAAAGATAAGCCTAGAGCCCTTATATTTGTGAGCTTTGACGCAGCTACAAGACTAAAGGGTCTGAGAAGATATGGCCATGTGGAGAAGAAGAAGCAGGGCGTTGGAGAGGGACCTCATGTTGATGGTAGAGCTACGGCGTGCAATATCAATGTCAGCACAACCGAAAATGAAAGAAATCGCACTGTCACGCTAGGGGAGAAGGGCAAGAGCACGGAGACCGAAGACTACGGTCCGGAAATTATCATCTCGTCGACAAATTCGCAATCTACCCAAGTGACTGCCACGGAAGTACACTCGAGCTACGCGGCGACTTGTGACAACAGCTCATCAAAAACACAGACCGAAAAAGCTGCATGGGCCTGGCGAGAAAATGCTATGTATCAAGACATCGGCCTGGGATATAATTTTGGTCTGGCACGGAAGATGAATGTGTAGAAAAGCTCGATGTACACATCCGTAAATGGCGAGCTAATGTACAAGAAAGATACACAAGGTGGGTGGTATCACCCTACGATACATTGTCTCTTGTTTCCTGTTTGCATTGTGTTGCAACGGAATATTTACTGCCGTCAAGTCTTGTACTGGCACCATCGAGCACTTGCCCATTCCATACTCAGTTTTCATATTCCAGCTTGTGTAGCGAAACAGCATATATTGGAACTGCGAAGGAACCAATCTAGCGAAATAGTGCTCAAATCATTTCAGAGGCTCCCACACAATGGAACATCGTATCCCATGATTGGCATCTCAAGTGATGCGCCCTTTCAAGTTGATGTCGAGTGTCTCTTAGAAACCGGGCGTAGATGCAATGCGGAATGAAGTGGCTCCAATAGGGGGCCACAGCATCAAATTAGCAGCAGCATCCAGGTATTTTCAAAGCGAATCTGCGTTTTCAGTTTATCTACGCATGTATAGGATCATTTGTGGGATTTGGGGACTGCACTGAACATGGTCAAGAGCTTTTTGCACACCAAGTATCCTTGTACCCCACCCAGCCTTGCCCAACCACACCATTTGCGGCCCCAATTCCTATTCAGTTGAAAGAGATCAAGTGGTCTCTCATTTTTCGATAGTCCATGATGTACGAGAAGTTCGGATTGCGTGCAGCGGTTGTGTAAGGGGGTCGGTTCAAAATTTCCCTCTTTGTGCGCAGATACTTCGGTTCGCTTCTGGTTTCCCAAGCACGATTTCCTACCTTTCGACACTTTGTAATTTACAAAGCCTCGTCTTATTATGATCTATAAAGTTTTAACCCCTCAAAAGCCGTCTTCTCGGTCCGAGGTCTTATCCCGAACGGCATTATCGGTTCAAGACCTACGCCCAGGTATTACTCAAGAGCTATTTCGAGAGGCTCTTCGAGATCATCTGCATGTCTCAAATCCATGTTTTACCAAGTTTTCATATAGACAGGCTAGCATCCCCTGGTTAAGGGCGTGCCGTGTCTGCCTTAATCTGCGGGAGCGGCTTCTGTCTTGCGGATGCATCGGTATAGTTGCCTTTCGAGACGTTGCATTGGAATAAAAGGCAATATGCAATACTTGGATTCGTTTCAACGCGGGGGCCGGATCTCTACGTCGCTTGCATCGATTCGATATACGAAAGCGTACGGTAAGGCTGTCTGTCGTGTTGAGTACGAGCCTTTCTTTTCTATGTCCCTAACTAGGAAGTTGACTTGCTAGCACACAAGATTCTCATCACCTATCACGTTCGTTACCTCGGCAAGGCATACATTCCCTATCTTCTGACATCAGCGGGCAGTTAGATAGTTCTCGTATTTGCTTATTCCCATTTCATTCCCCCACTATCTTTCACGTCCCCATACAAGTCGGCCGACTCGTGTACCAGACGTAGTGGTACCATGGACTACTCGGTAAGGGTATCTGTTTATGACGCTGCTTATGGCGGCGGCTTACTTGGTGTCTCCGAAGTCGGAGGTAAGGGAATGGTCTGGTGCTTTGGTTATGCAGTCTTGCGTCTATTGTGGAGATAGTGTTTGGCTGGGAAGAGGAGCCTCTTGTTTTGAGTGTTTGTTCATCAAGGCTTTGGGATGAGAATCTCATCAAGCTACACTTTTGCTCTGTATGAGATTTGTTTGTTGACTTTGTCAGCGGTTTTGATTTTGACTGCAGAGTCTGAGTTCATGGAGCATTTTGACCTATGTTTCTTCTGAGTAGCTTTTCTTAGGTGAAACACTCCGTCGGATAGTAAGGTCATTGTTGCTCACTCCCTTAGAATAGCTCAAGAACTCAACAACAGTCCAAATACACCATGAATTACGAAATTGTAACATGTTTTACATGCTTTAGATCATACAACCATTAGGTTTCTCATAGCTTACTTTCTTTTTTGAAGCTCGTTCCGAGGGTATAAACTAAATGCCCACATAAAGTTAAGGCTTCAATGGCAGAGAAGAACTAATACCCGACTCTTTGATCGATCTTGAAGAGTCTGCTTTTGATTCGTCATCTCCTTCCATCTGTTTTGCTTTAAGCACAGTCTATTCAACGGAGACCTCGCAAGACGTCAAAGCCAGGATCAAATCCAATGGTCAATATACTCCGAAACTTGACTATGCCCATCCCGAATCCTCGTCCCTTCATTGTCATTTCTTTTGTTAATATTGTCATATTCCTGCGTCTTAGGGAATTTTGAGACCTTATAATATCTATGTCATGTATTAAAACACTTTGTTATTGAGAATTTATGCAATTGTCACCGAGCTGAGGTGGTTTAGGGCAAAGATCCTCTTAGCAGTCGAAGGGGGTTTAAGTGGAGATAAGTCACTGTTTCCGAGGTATTTGTTCTTTCTCTTTCTCTTTCTGTCTTATTATTGAGTGGTCAAGGTAATGAACTCAAAAAGGCATCAGAGTAAGGCCATGTCGCGTAGGTTTTATCTTGATCTCAGGACTGTGGATTTAAAGGTGATTGGTGGTTAGGTTTTGTATACCAGACTACAATTTTTTAATATGATATAGCGAGAATAGTACGGGTTGGGACGTAGAATCAATCTGCTTCTATCTGCGGAAATAAGAAAGCATTGTAGATTGCTTTGTGGGAAAGGGAACAATCCTTACACCCACGATTTCCGGTACCTTTTGTATAGTGTTATGTATGTTAAGCAATCTGATTACAGCTGTGTCATTGGTATTCATATTCCTTAAACTGGTGTATCAGAACACATATTTCCCCCCCTATGTCTTGTGTACAGCAAAACTGTCTTTAAAACAGAAGGAAACCACACTTCTGTAAGACTTTAGACATAGTTATTACGAAAAGAACGTAAGGACAATCTCCTAGATCAATTATGAAAGAATGAGTAGATCTATAGCTCTATATCTATGATAAAGGAGATTATCCAGGGCAGACATGAGTAACCGAAGATCCAAGAAATAGCGTATTACACGAGCTGAAGTCACTTGTAGAACACACCATAGTCATCCTCTCCCACCAAAACCAACACGGTGATGTTCGCAAATAGAGATGAGGGTTTGAAGTTGAGAATTGCCATCGACTAGTATATCATTATGAACGCCAACTTTATGCTACCCATCCACCCATCTCATTGCTCCCACCCGATCCAGCCACGCTGTCTTATTACTGTACATCTACATTCCTACACCAAGCCTCCATTTATCGTACAATCCTCCTTTCCTCTGAAATCTTTTTGTACATCCGCATACTAGCATGCTCGTCTGTTGTTTTAAGTTTGCGTGGGTACGTGGAGGAGATGTTTGCTGGTTGATTGATGAATGTTTTTACAAAGGTGGCAAGAGGAATTCGCTCCATGAACTTGAGAAGAATGCTATTGCGACCTGAGATGTATGTTAGCCAGTTTCTCCCAAATCAATCCATCCTCTCCTTTCGCAATCTCTTCCATCCTCCACCCATCTCCTTCTTTCTCCGTTCTGCAATAGCTACCCCGTCTTCCCCCGACAAGCCAAATAAACAAAGAGAATCAAACTCACCCCGAAAATAGCCACACTCCTCACAACACTCGCATTCTCTGGCGCTGTAATCGCGCTATACGCTTCCCCGAAATATCCCTTGCTGCCTTGTTTTCCGACGACACGTCCCTGGGATACGCGGAGAGAGTTTTGTTTTGGTGCCATAGTTGCTTGGTTCGGGTGGGATAGTGTTTGGATCGTGTGGTGAGGATTCGATTGATGTGGTGATGGGCGTTCGTATATTTTTTGGATGAAGCTTTGACTGTCGATATATTTATTGATGCCTGAGGTTGAGAAAGCGTCATGATCATGTGATTCACCTCGATTCATCATACCACTCCATATATATTACTCACCACACCTCCCATCTCATAACCCCTCCCATCTAAACCATTGAATCTCTCCATCATCCAATGCCAAAATGACCTCCTCAAACGCCGGTGGGTTTCTCACCTCCCTCCCCTCACCCTCCCCCTCCACTACCTCCACATCCAGCACCTCAAACCTCCCCCATCCCCGCCAACACCCCCTTAAACCCGGATCCCAAAAAGAAGACGCCGCGCGAAGGTATGTAGAAGCGAGGTTACTCCATATATCACGACGGTACGCGAAGAAATTCCAGCCGGAGCTGGAAAATGATGAGGTGAGGGGGTATACGAATATGAAGGATGTGTGTAAGGATTTGGGGGATGTGGTGGATGTTTTGTGGCTTAGTGGGACACGTGAGTTTTTCAGTTTCTTTTGTTTTGAATTCTTGGGGTGGAATTCGGTATTAATGAGAATGTGAAGCGAATCTACAAATCCCCAATCTCATCAATATAGCATCACTATTTATCACGTATATTACCGCTTTTCCGCCGGCACCTCTCGCTACATTTCGCTTTCTAAGGAAACTGGATCATGTGTTTGCGAGTATGATCAGGGGCGTTGATCGGGAAAGCGGGGAGAGACTGCCCGGGTTTGGGTTTGAGGGGAGGGGGATGAGTCGGACGGATATGGTGAGGGTGAAGAGCCTGGTGGAGGGGACGAGGGTGGGTGTTGTGGAGTATATGGGGAGGGTGGGGGAGATAGAGGAGGAGGAGGAAGAAAGTGAGGTGAGTGGAAGTGAAGCGGAGGGGAGTGCGGGGGTGGGTGGTTGGGGTGATATGGAAGAGGATTCGGATCTGGAAATGGATGTTGCGAGGGTTTATGAGTTTACTTTGGTTGCGTTGAATGAGTTTGGGTTTGGGTTTGTGCCGGAGGAGGAGAGGATTGGGATCCAGACTGGGAGTACGACGAGGACTACTGGGACTGGATGAGGGCTGATTCATGGGTTCTGCATTTGAATGGACCTTCGATAAAAGATGGCGTTTGGTGTTTTGGGATGAGGTGATTTACCAACAGGAGAAATATAGAGCTGCACTGGGATTATGTGATCCTCAGACGAACTATGATCTTCATATCATATTAGGTCTGAAACTCAAAATTAAATCATGATCCGGCAGGTCAGCAAGACAAAGTACAATGTACAATATTCAAGTTAAATAACTAGCCATGCTCGCACTCAGCAACCTAATTATGATTTTGTGGAAACTCAACTCAACTTATTCCGCGTTATTTTTGAGTGATCTAGATAACATCAAGTACACCCGCGAAAGAACGTTTCGAAGCCGTTGAGACTTCTAGTAAAGTCCTAATGATAACCTATCATTACTTCACATACATAATCTCTCATATGACTCCGAGACTCCCAGCTAAATCCTACCATTTTCCAAAATACAATCTTACTATCACAATTTCATACAAACAAGCTGCTAGAACAATTCTTACATACAGAGACACTTATGAGTTCTCAAGAGAAGAATAAAACGTGCTTATATATTGAAATCAGAAACAGAATTTACAAAATCATTTGGCAGACTTGTTTTGATTGAAAATCTCATCTGACATAGGCCTTTCCAAACAGGTATTTTCTTTGTTTAATTGACTGAATAACCAATATCTCCCTCATGCTCCCAATCCATTCATAATGTCAAAAGATTCCATCTCTATAGTAGACACCTCGCCTTATCCTCTGATCCTCGAACAATCGCTCTCGTCACGGGACATCCCCCGTCATTCCCTCGACAAAACATAGAATACATATACATCTCATATAAACACTCCTTAAAAAACTTCTCCTCCATGACAATTAAATGGGTTTTCATCGTCATCTACATTATAATCTTGTGACCCGCAATACCAGTAGCGCATCTAAACTAGGTAACAATATCTGCCCCAACCTAATTACACTCACACAATCCCCCCTCAAACCAAAACGAAATTTCCCATCTCAATACCCATCCCCACGTATTCATCACCCTGCAGTTCAGCCAAGAGCCATTCTTCCCGTAGAACCTGCATTCCGTACCTCAATCGCTTAACCCCACGGATTTAACCTCACACCCCAGCACTCGCAACCATCATAACCCCATGGATTTACCACACCTGGACGATATTACTTGTATTGCTCTCAGAGTCAGGCTTTAGGAATGGATATTATGCGTTGTGGACACGGAGATAGGGATTATACTTTAGTAGTATGGGAGGATGTGAACTAGTGGGATCTAGGGGTCTAGTCGCCACCATTCGTGACGTGGGCAGGAGTTGAGATGGGTTTTGTATAAGAGAAAGGGGATATCACGATTCAACGACCTCTTTATCTCAAATCACTCACAATTCAACTCATAGAGCAAATTTCATAATAAATAGCTCATCACAACTATGTCCGCCTCAATATCCACCATCCTAATTCTCGGCGCCACATCCGGAATCGGCGAAGCGTTCGCACGACACTACCACGCGCAGGGCAAAAAAGTAATAGCAACCGGCCGCCGCGTCTCGCATCTCTCAGCGTTACAAAATGAGCTCCCGGGCTTGGAAACCGCAATGTTAGATATCTCCAATATCGCTGCTCTCCCCGCGGCCCTCACCGATATCTGGAAAAACTATCCAGACATTGACGCAGTTTACATCTTGGCTGGACTGCAGCGATTGATTGATTTCAATCACCCAGAGAGTACAACGCCAGAGAATATCTCGAATGAGATCACCACGAATCTAACGGCGACGATTGTGGTTGCGCATACGGTGATACCGTATCTCCAAAAACTGGGGCGGGAGACGACCTTTTTGACGTGTTCCAGTGGTTTGGCGTATGTACCGCTAGAGTATTATCCTGTGTATGTTGCTACGAAGGCGGGGGTGCATAATTTTAGTGTGGCGTTGAGGTCGCAGTTATCTGATAGTCAGGTGAAGGTAAGTCTTTCCCAACCTTCTTTTTGAGTGAGATGTTTATGTTTCCAGGTCTTGGAATTGGCACCTCCATACGTGGATACGCCATTGAATAATGGATTCCGGGATAAATTGATTGAGAAGCAGGGAGGGCCGGAAAAGGCCATGAAACCTATGCCGTTGAAGGAGTACATGGATGCTGCTATTGCCAAGATTGAATCTGGAGAGAGGAAGGAGATTGCGGTTGGTTTTGCGGAAATGGGCGTTAACGCTTGGAGAGGAGCTTTTCAACCTATGCTTGACAGGATGGGAAATCGTGGTTGATTGACTTATGGATAGTCAAGATGGATCTCTTCGATTGAAGATGCTGGCGAGTGCAGGTTTCTAATTGAACCAAGACTCGGAATTCTGGAAAGCAGATTATTATTTAACTCAACTGTTCTATTTATGTGTCAGTAATCCAAATAGATTAAAGCCGTTATGAATACCCACTTACCTCTGTTCACATCGGTTGCATGGGAATCTGGAATTCTGGCGAGACTATCACTCCAACTTGTTGCGGCTGCGTCAAAATAAAATGATCCCAGGCATCCTATTACATCATCAACAAAAGTCCCTCAGGATCAACCTACACGAACTGTACATACCCAATTGAAATTTTTCGGAATGCTGAGATCGGAACCCAGAACATCCGACAGATTATCTTGTGTTCCAAATTCATAACCTTGGATATCTAAAGTAGGGTCAACCGTCGGTCCAGCAAAACTGGTGGGTGGAGGATATGTTGACGTTGTAAGTGTCCTGATATCCATCGCTTTCTTAGGCGTGATCTGATCATTGACTTTTTTGATCACTGCGTCAAGTATTCGAACCGATCGCCGAGCATCTCGACATTCATCAACAACATTAGCCCATAGTTCTCTCGATCCAGCTAGTAAGTCCATCTTTTCATTCTCCGTTATCCCGCATTCTGAGACCGATGATTCTGTTCCGCGACGCATATGCATGATATCAAGTGATAAAATCATAGCTGCGAGTAAGAAATCATGATTGAAAATTGTGAATTGAAACCATTTCATTGAAGATAACGGACCGTGTGGTTGGCATGCTCGATGTAGGGAGATCTGTTGTTGTAGTATCACCAACGCTGATGAGACGCAAGCCCGTCGAGAATAGTAAATCGTGCTGTCATTTGCACTCGTAGACTGAACGTCCCAGAACTTGCGGTGGAGGACGCAGGTCGATTTATGGAAAAAGTGCTGTAAGATGTATTTCTCCATGACTCGAAATGGAGGGTCTAATCTCATATCCTCCAAAGTTCGGAGCTGGAGATGTTCCGGTATTTCGTCTCTTCCTTGTTTTAATACGTGATCCAGTCTCAGAACATCTTCGTAGGGTTGTGGTCGAAGTGTGTGCAGGAATTCTAATACCTGCGCATAGCCGTTCATGATTCTAAATTTGACTATTTGGTAGCTGACAGGTGTGAGCTCGCTCAGTGGTCGTGACGGTGGTAACATGAGCATCTCTTCGTATAGCTCCTCTTCGTAAAGATTGCTTATGGGAAGTGTATCGTATTCGATAGTTTTGACGGCCGTTGGAAGCCCCACAAGAGCGGAAAAGATAAGATCGTGGGATTCTACAAGGTGCCAAAGACGCCTCCTCATTTCGCCTTGAAACGCGGATATACCAGAGTGTTCGGAAGGGTCACGATGATAGCCTTGTTGAAATGCTAAGCGTACCACAGTACCAGATATCAGCCAGGTACCCATATCACCGTCACTTTGATTCGAGTACTCCGACATTGCGTAAAGTAGTAAAGCTTCAATCATGAAGTCTACAGGCTTGGTGATGTCGGCAATGGTAATACATTGAGCACAACGGATTCGATACAAATCTGCTAACTCCAAGTAGTTTTTGACATATTCTTCTGGGACATCATTACTTGGGCCATAAGATTGCATTGCGTGACACAGTACACCATAGAGAAGTCCAATCCAGATAATTTTGGTTTGCAGCGGATCTTCCCAATGTTTCTCGGACTTAACATGATTAGTCTCTAATAGACGTGGCTGCTTCGGAATCTTACCTGCTTCAAAAATGTCGGCCTGTGAAATGCAACTGCACATCAATTAGCCAGCCGACGTTTGCAGACAGACCAGTTGACTCACATTGTGCCGGATTCGCAGGATTGTAAGATGAGAAAAACCTCGCAACCAGTTTTCGTCCAGCCTCGGGAAAAGGTAAAGTACTCAAAATCGTTTCATGATCTGGCAGCTCACCAAGACCACTTAGAAGCCCCAACTTCTGAGTTCTAAACTTTTGGTTATTCATATCGGTATAATCAATACGATCATTCTCCGCACTCCAAGCATCTTTCATGGCCCCCAACTACAATCCATTAGCAATCCATGAGCTCCCTTAACATTTTCCTTCTCCTCAAACTCAACAAAACAGGATTCCACACACCTCATTCAAAATAGCATCCCAATGCGTACTCCTCGTATCAACCGAAATCTTCTGTCCCCCCGCCTGCCTCGCCAACCCACAAACCTCTCCCCCAGGACTCCCCTCACTCTCCTCCCTCGGCTCAATCATCGACAAAATCGAATTCTCAAGCCGATTGATCCTTTTCCTCATCGTCTCCGCCTCCGAACGCCTCGTCGTACTAACATTCTTCTTCGGCACCTTTTCCGCATACGTGCACGAGGAAGCGTCCGTCTCACCGCGTACCACGCAGTTTTGACAGGGCTTTTCGCGGTTACATTTTAATCTAGAATACATGAGTTACTATGAGATATTATTAGTTTGAGAAGACGCACTTCCGAGTTCGACAGGATACACATGAGAGAGGGATTCGTCGGCGCGTTAGTCTCTGTCCATTTCCCCGAGAAGCGACACGTTTGCCTGTGACATGTCGCTCATCTTCCATTTTCAGAAATGTGTCAAGGGGATAGTTTGGACGGGGAGGAGGAATTGTACGGCATGGAGAGAATCTGCGGGTTTTGGGTTATTAATGAAGGAAATGCATCCGGGATGTGCTGACTCCAGTTGCGACTTGTAGCACTTCCCGAGGGACTGGTCGGATTTAAGAAGCGAAAACGTTGCCCCGCTTTTTGATTCGACCAATGGGATGGTAGGACTCTTATACGCATACCCGAAAGGACCAGCCCAGCTTCCTCTTATACCTACTTTTCTACTTTCACGGGTGTTAGTAAAGCCAGAGTCGGGGCCTGCAGATAGGATTGCAATTATTTTATGTCTTGAACCATGGAATCATGACTGACATGGAGACATGAACATAAGAGAAATTTCATCCACGGAAATACAATCATTGTCGACGTTTGACTTTCACTTGGATTATGAAAGTCTCGGTTGAAAGAAATATCGAACAATTTATGCTTTGAAACCAGAGAACTCAATTCTCTAGTTCAAGATATTTCTCACTATAATACTATGCTAGTCTACTACAAAATGAGTCACGTATCACTCAAACAGCCTCAACCTTAGTAGCATCACTAACCCTCTTTTCCCCCTCTCCTCCCACCTCTTTGTGCTCCAGTTCATTTTTCGCAAATTTCTCCTCAGGATCCATTTCCCCTCTCTCCATCTTAGCAGTATAAGTCTGTACCTTAGTCTTCCAAGCTGGAGTTCCAAGGAATCTGATACTTCCTGGGGTAGTATCATCGAAGATTGCGTCAACCTCTTCAAGAGGCTTCTGGGATGTTTCTGGGAATAGGAAAAAGACGTGGAGGAACATGGCAACGCAGAAAACGCCAAATAGGATGTAAACTTCCCAGCGGATGTTGGCGAAGGCAGGAGGAACGAAGTAGGCGAGTGCAAAGTTGAACGCTATGAGTTGTTAATACGAAGGGACGAGAGCGGATAATGAGACCACTTACCCCAATTTGCGGACGTTGCAAGTGCGACAGCCTTTCCTCGTACACGGAGAGGGTAAAGCTCTGATGGGTAGATCCACGAAACAGGGCCCCACGTTGGTGCGTATGAAGCCACAAATAAATACGTGCAAGCTATAACTGCTTTGCTTGGTGCACCCGTGATCTTGATGGATTCTGCCTCGCTAGCAAATTCTCCTGGTGCGGGAACAGTACCGTAGGTAGCGAGTAAACCGGCGTTTGTGAAGAGCCAGATCATCATTAGGGCGGCTCCGACGAGGAGGGTTGGGCGACGTCCCCACTTGTCAACGAAGAGAAGAGCAGGAATTGTCATGACCACGTTGATGATGTATTGAATGGAAGATGGAAGGAGGACGCTGTCACCAAGACCAGCCATTGTGAAGATGTAGGTAATGTAGTCTAGTGTCGTTAGCTTTGATCATTAAAACAGCAGTGATTCTACCCCAGTCAAGTAGGATGAAGGTGAAAAAAGATAAAAGCCCATAACTTACACATCATTACGTTCATTCCTGTCAATTGTGACCATATCTGCGTGAAGATACCAATGTGAGTCCTGTTAATCATCTTTGGGCTCAAGAGCTCAAGATATGTAACATCCGCATTAGCTCTTTCGAATTCGACGACCTCACGAATCTCGGCCATCTCCTTGTGGACAAATGGCGAGTCCTGGTCACCCTTCGCATGAGTCAAAGCCAAAACCATTTGGCATTCCTCCCATCGATCCTTCTTTGCGAGCCAACGTGGAGACTCTGGAAGGAATAGCATGGCTCCAAAAAGGAAGATTGCGGGAAGCATTTGAAGACCCCAAGGAACGCGGAATGCTGCAGTTCCGCTTATGGAAGAGCAACCATAAGAGATGTAGAACATGATCAGAATACCCCAGGTGATAGCCCCTAATATTGTCAGTCTAAATCATTGTGTGTGTGGATAGACTTACATTGCTGACATCCTACAAGTCTTCCTCGTTTACTTGGTGGAGCGATCTCCGTAATGTAAACTGGTACCTGAGCAGAACATATACCGACTGAGAAACCATTGATGATTCGACCGACAATCAACATTGCGATTCCATTTGAGGCGCAGACAATGATTGATCCGACACACCAGATGATTGCTCCAATTTGAATAGCTCTCTTACGTCCAAGGATGTCAGAAACGTAACCGGAGATCAACGCTCCTAGCCATGAACCTCCTGGCATGGCTGCTGTGATACCACCTGCATAAAATATGAGTTAGATACTTGGGAGCTGTGGAGCATTATAGCGTACCTTGAACATCAGCAGATGGACCTGAACATTTTCCATCAGTCTCGAGATACAATGGACCTTGGTTGAAGTAGCAGAGATATGGCTCGGTAGAGATGATGGCGGACATCGATGAGATATCGAAACCAAACAGCGCTCCACCGACCACGGCCACAGCCGCGATCACGTAGACGTTGCCTACGGTATACATTTCGAGGATTTGCTTAGTGAAAGAAGAATACGCAAGAAAGGATCTCTGGATGAGGATTAATTGGCATTGGGGACGCCTCCATTATATGCTTCCCCTCAAAGAGAACGGCAATCAAGTAGGACCGAATGACTGGAACCAAAACAGTGGTTACGTGAATAGCCAACATGAGATGTTCGAGAAGAACCAAACAAGATCCAGTAAATCTCTCCGCAACAACGGCTAAGCGGGACTGAAAGCTTCAACTGCGGAGACTCCATCCTCCAAGTTTGAACCCGCAAGGGGAAGCGCAAGGGATTTAGTGGATGCCGATCTTTTTGAGGGCATTCGCAGGAGTGGACGGGAGGTTTAAGCGACAGTAGGCTCCACGTTTTTCGAAGTATTCTGCCAAGTTTCCGTCAGATTGCTAGCGCTTTGATAGGGAGGCCTAGTCAATGAGATTATACTCCTTGAGGCAATCTTCTTGGCTATCGTCACAACCGCGTGGAACTTAAAGATTCCATCTTGAGGGCACCTTGGGGCGTTGCTTGTACGAGACAAGCGTCAGCGGGCAAGAGATACGGGTGGGGCACTGGAGAAATTCGAGCTTCAACTGTCACGACACTAGCTCGTGAATTATTTCATTGCCATCCCCAGACGGGAGGCGACTCTCACAGTAAGTATGGTTCTTGCTGCCTCACTCACATAGCCCTCTCATGCGCTCTGATGCTGCAACAAAATGAGAGAAAGATATGATTAAAATCCTTCTACTTTCAGTTTGGATCTTCAACAATGCCTCGTGACAGCTCTGTTGTACATGACATATGAGGCGCTATATCCTCCCCTCCCCCCCCCCCACTGACAAGCCACCCGCTGCAAACCCTCCCCCTCGGGGAAGGGTGGGGATAGGCATGGGGCTCCAAGTATGAGATCGAGTCTAGCATCTTCGGCGATGAAATCCAATACGAAGTGACAGCGCGGTGTGCAAACCGAAGACTGGTTTGAGCTGTAAGAATCGTGAATCTGAAGAGCTAGCATTTGAGATATATTACAATCTCCGCAGAAATTGATCGCAATCAAAACGCAACATTGCAGGCAGCTCCATCGTCTGATGGGAAACCAAAGAAAGTCAAAGAACACAAGAAACCCGGAAATAAATGAAGAGATAAAAACAGGCGTTTCTCACTTGAGAACGCGATACAGCAGCACCGTGACTCCTATACCGCTCAACAATTGCTATCTATGTAGCCAAAGAGGTCTTCAACATAGCAACTTTTCGGCGGACCATGACTGCAAATCGACTCGGTCTCAATTCTTCCGTAAATAATCAGCTCTGACGCCCGTAAAGGATGCATAGCAAACGGTCCGAATGTTAGACAATGCGGCCCCTCCATACCGAGTTTGTCTAGGATCTCGAATTGATTATCGGTCTGTTTGCTTGGTGGGGAATGGTCTGTTGGAAAAAGTGGCACCGAACTTGAGAAGTTGGAAATGTTACCATTTTCTCACGTGCTGATCAGATGTGTGTAAGGCGAAATTTATGCACGGATTTACGAAGGATTTATCAAAGTTATGAAAACCAGGCTCAAGCCGAGGGTTTGGGGTCGCGGAAAGCCCGTGGGGTAAATCGTGATGCCACCGCCCAACTTCAACCAAGACAGGACTTGCTAGGTTCTCACGCTCCAGGCGCGTTGCTTGCAATCGGCCCTGACCCTGAATCGAAAAGAGACTGACTACTGGATTCTTCGTGCTGTCAAACATTTCAATAATTTACTGCCTTTGGTTCATTTCATCCGCTGCAGGTAAGACGTGCGCAGTCACCCAGAAAGTTGTTTCACTGAACAGCCAACCTGACAGGTAGGCGAACAACATACTGTTTGTGTCTCTCTTTAGATTTACCGAACTAGGAAATAGGAAACTGTGAATCCTATATCCTTCGAAGGGAGTCGTACTACTTGAGAAGTCTGCAAGTCATACCAATACCTGTCGAAGTTTCATCTGTGTAGCAGGATTCATCTCGTGTCATTCGACATATCAGCATCATCAAGAACTTCACTACTTCTACTTTTCTGACATCTTTCATTCACGCTTCTTACGTTCATTAGCCATCTGTCATCATCCTCAAGACCCACGACATATCTGCCAACATTCCCAATCGCTCACTGATCATCCACAGACCAAGATATAGAGACGCAAAGATGACTTGTAGGTGATACCTGCCATTCCAAGTCCCCCTCCTTTACTAACAGCTACAATAGCCTACCTTAATACCTCGACGACAGTAAATGTCATCCGTCCGCTCGCTCCAGCAGTCAGCAAAGCATCCGCTCTAGCCCTCCTCCACGACTTCAAAACCATCATCGCGCTCAACCCGCTAATTAAATCCTACAAACCCGTTTCCTCACCCGTCGCATTCTACAAATCCGTCCCTGCGGACCTCAAACCCTCATCCACCGCCGAACTCGAAGCTCTATCCGTCTTAAGCGTCATTGAGAACTCCGCGCCACCCGAAGGAACAACTGGAGCGACCTGGCGAGGCGGCTGGACCAAGGCATTTGTGCCCTCCGAATTGAGCTACGAGAGTAGTTTTCAGCATCTTGAGGATGGCGGCATGATACTTACGCATGCGCCGATGGGTGTGAATAGTGTTACTACGTGGAAGATTGAGCAGGGAGATGAAGGGCTGATGGTTAATATGAAGCTTGTGGTTAATAGTAATAAGATGTTGATGGCATTTATCAAGACGACCTTACAGGATAGTGTGGAGAAATTGGTTGATGATTTTCTCAAGGCGGTCGAGAAGGTGCAAGAGACGGGTAAAGTAGTGATGCTCCAGGCAGATGGTTCGAGAATTGAGGTTTAAGAGAAGGTCGTTGAGTATGTAGAACTTTCTGATTGAGCTGTGTCTTTGCTGGGCTTCGGTTGAGGCGTTATGGGATGGTTGATATACCAATCGGGAATTGGTAGCTTGTCAAGCCCAAGCCATGGTGCCAGACATGGATGGCTGGATATTTTTATAGAATGATAGATGATAGCAATGCACACTGTCCACACACCCGTTCAACCCTTTCTAATTATTATGGCCGATTACAGTACATAAGTATATTTTGATAGACAATATTCACTACATAAGAGACACTAATCGGCGTGAAATAAAGCACCATCGACCATCCGCCAACAGCACCAGGTACCAAGTACCGAACACCACAATTCAAAATCCCGAAAACAACAGTGTCACAAGAAAGACTCATTAAATAAAATACTAAAGAACCTAAATTCATATACAAAATATCAGAAACAAAATATTCCACTCCTATCCATCGCTTACATAATCCCCACTAACCCCGATCCATCGAGCTCCCAAACCCGACCTCACACCTCAACCTTACAACCACCGCAATTGAAGCCGCAATCTACCCATCATGACAGCCATTTCCTCCCTCAAATCGGCCGTTGGCCTTACCAGCGATGATGCCTCAAAACGTATGTCCACCATCTGCGCCCCTTTCCACCGTGCGTTCTGTTCTGTGATGTGATGCGACGGGATGGGAAAGATGTGATTGATGGAAGTGGGTTCATTTGGTGGAAGAGATGTTAATGGATTTATAGCCGCGACAAGAGAAGCCATGTCCGAAGCCAAACTCCCAATTCAATACCGCGATAGCTGTGCGAACCTGTTGATCCCGCTTAATCGATGTCGGTTCGAGACTTATTATTTGCCGTGGAAATGTGAGGTATGTACCACTCCTCGGGGCGCAGGATATGGGAAGGGAAAAGGGTGTGGGCTAATAGGTGCACAGACGGAACGACACAGTTATGAGAAATGCCAGTATGTGGAGTTTAAGAAGAGGGTTGCGAAGATGGATGAGTTGAGGAAGGCGAAGGGTGGGAAGAGGAGTAATTGAGTGGTTGGGCATGGTGTATATATGTGGAATACAGGCGTTCTTGCATTGGGGTTGTTTGTGCCAATTCTGAGGTCGGGGTGTGTGAGTTGCTGGAAGGGCAGGCTCGATGGTGGAAGAAGTTGCTTCTAGTGATAGCATTGGACAACGGATGCGATACACCATACGTACTCGCAGCGACCAGACGGAGACGCTTGGCTATGTTGGTCCTGAGATGAAGTGCCCGAAGTTTGAGATGCGAGGGGTGTAAATACAGTGCACATCAATACTCGGCTATGGCATGCTCATCACTATGTGTTGATTTGGCGGTCATTTTTCACGGCCGTGGTTTTATATCAGTGCTTTGCATCCGAACCTACCTCTGTCTATATCTTCACAATCAATTGCTAGAAGTGAAAGATCCTGTTGGGAAATTGTAGAGAAAAGTTGCGTGGCGGTTTGCATAGCTTGTACTCCTCAGCACCTCCTAACAGCACCTTCTAACAACACCTTCTAACAACACCTTCTAACAGCACCTTCTAACAGTCTTGAAGACCTCCCCACACTAGAAACACTTTGGGTAGATGGTTGGTTTGTAGCGACACATATGTCGTTCCTATTCATATCAAATATTTCGCGAGAATCAAGGACTGAATATTACTCATCTACGGGATCCAGAATTTGCTTTGATAGTATACAACCCTGAAGACTTTCACGCCGGCTTTTTATGTACATTCTGTTTTCTTAACATGGACAGCAATAACATCTGTGGGTATTCTCGCTGGTCAGACAAAAATAACATCACCAAATCATCTACTAGACCAGCCGCTCACTATGCTCTCGGAGGCAGAGCTCTTAGCAAGCTTTCCAACAACCCAATTCCAGCCTTGACTCCGTCGAGGATATGCACATGCTTGGAATCCTCGCCCAGCTCCTCATCCAAAGCATCTCTCACAATTTTATCCAGCCCAGCCATTCCAGCACACCCAAGGCAAATAACTTTCACATCCTTATCTCTCACCAACCTCTTCGTAGCCTCCATCATCTTCCTCCTCACCTCCTCAGCTGGAGCAGTATGCAACTCCCCAGCACTCAACCCCGTAGTTTCCACACCCTTAAACCTCTTACAACTCTTCAAATCATCCACCTCCAAAAACTCCTTCACCCCATCTGACAATGCCTTTTCCCAATAACTGCCCGTACTCACAATCCCAAATTTCGAGCGCACTTTCTCTCCCTTGACCATCGGAATCAACGAAAGCGACGTCGAGATACTGGCTTCAAAAATTCCAGTCACGTGTACATGAGGGGCAACTTTCTCCTGTATCATGCCCACTAAAGGATGTACGCTGTAGCAGGCAACGAGAAAGGCGTCGTACTCTGAGAGTTTTGATTCAATATCCGGGAGCACGACGTTAGCGCTTTCGAGCGCATCGTCCTCGTTGTTGATGCTTGGTGGGCCTGAAGGCGCTGTATACGTGTGGATTTCCGTCGACGTAGACCCTTGCAAATTCAAATCTTTTATCAGGTTGTCTAATCCATCGGTCATGGATTTTGAGGAATTGGGGTTGATGAGGAGGATTTTTCGAGAAACAGATTTCATGATTGTGATTGTTAGGGAGTCGTGAATAGAAATTTCGGGGGTCATGGAAGGCCTAATGAGGTAATTGTGAGGCTTGAGATTGCTGTGTATCGTGAAATTCGTCAGCCTTGGAGGGGGAGCTACGGTGACCTACTTCGCATGCCTATCCGAGCAGCCTCCCCACATTCGTACACGACGACATACTGAACTCCAACCTTGAGACATCGCAAACCGTAATTACTTGCAAACATGGCGGAACCTCCAATCGGTAATATCTCATCATAAATTTAACGGCCGCAAATAAATGGCTAACATACTGCACAGTGCTCGACGGAGGAACCGGATTCCTGAAGGTTGGCTATGCCGGTCAGGTATGCGCCCTTCTCCAAGCTCCCCAACCACACAAACTAAGCCAGACCCTAGAACTTCCCCGAATTCCAATACCCATCCATCGTCGGCCGACCGATCCTGCGATCCGAAGAGAAAGGCAACGATGGGCTGGTCATCAAAGACATCATGTGCGGCGACGAAGCCGCCGCAGCACGAACGATGTTGCAAGTCTCGTACCCTATGGAAAACGGAATCGTCAAGAAGTGGGATGACATGCAACATCTGTGGGATTACACTTTCTATGAGAAGATGAAGGTTGATACTACGGGTCGCAAGATCTTGCTTACGGAGCCCCCGATGAATCCGCTTAGGAATCGGGAACAGATGTGTGAGGTTATGTTTGAGCGGTATCAGTTTGGGGGTGTTTATGTGGCTATTCAGGCGGTTTTGGCGTTGTATGCTCAGGGTAAGAAGTTCAGTGCTAGGGAAAGGAATCTGGCTGATTGCGTATAGGTCTGAGCTCTGGAGTTGTGGTTGATTCGGGAGATGGAGTTACCCATATCGTACCAGTTTACGAATCAGTAGTCCTCAATCATCTGACACGCCGTCTAGATGTTGCAGGTCGAGATGTCACTCGCAACTTGATTGCGCTTCTGCTCCGTCGCGGATATGCGCTAAACCGAACAGCTGATTTCGAGACAGTCAGACAGATCAAGGAGAAGCTTTGTTATGTTTCATATGATCTAGAGCTTGATCAGAGACTTAGTGAAGATACTACCGTTTTGGTAGAGAGCTACACTCTTCCAGACGGCCGAGTGATCCGAGTGGGAAGCGAACGATTCGAAGCTCCAGAGTGTCTTTTCCAACCACACTTAGTGGACGTTGAGCAACCTGGTATTGCCGAATTCCTATTCAACACTATTCAAGCCGCGGATGTCGATGTTCGTTCGTCACTTTTCAAAGCCATCGTTCTCTCAGGTGGTAGCAGCATGTACCCAGGTCTTCCATCACGTTTAGAAAAGGAACTCAAACAACTATGGTTGACCAAGGTTCTGGGAGGAAACCCAGAGAGGTTGAGTAAGTTTAAGGTCAGGATTGAAGATCCGCCGAGGAGAAGACATATGGTGTTCTTGGGTGGTGCGGTTTTGGCGAACATTATGGCGGATAAGGAGAATATGTGGATTACAAAAGCGGAATGGGAGGAGCAAGGGACGAGGGTGCTGGAAAAGTTGGGACCTAGATAGATAGGTTCTTCTTTATGATTGTGGACAAAATTACATTGCTCGTGTTGACAATTCTTAGATCTTGAACTACTTTCCTCTTTTCTCTTTCTAATCTAGCAGCATTCATCTACAAAACTCCATCTATAACTTCGCCTTCCCCACCGCCTCCGCCTTCACCTCAACCGGCACCCTCGGATGCCCCCCCGCCAACTCCAACCCCGTAACCCTCTCCAGCTCATCCACAGCCTCAAACGTCCTCCCCAGATTCACCTTGAACGTCCGCATCCCCGCCTTCCTCGCCCCCTTCAAATTCTCCCCTATATCATCGAAAAAGAACACATCCCCCGCTTCCACCCTCCCCCTCCCTTTCTCCTGCGCATGCTCATTCAACCTCTCCATCGCCAACGCGTAGATCGCCGGATCCGGCTTCCGCAGCCCGACGTGCGCGGATGATACGAAGACGTCGAAGATCCGCCGGATGTCTTCCTCGGGCGCGGGATGAGCGTACGGGTGGGATTCGGGGAATATCACGGTGTTGGAGAGTGCGGCGAGGATGTACTGGTTTGATTTCTTGAGCGCGAGGAGGGCCGGGTACATCCACGGGTCGAAGGGCCGAGAGGCGGACATCATGTTCCAGAATAGCTGCTCGGCGTCGATTTTGGGGAGGGGTGGGACGGAGGCGGGTAAGGAGGGGTTGGAGGGAAGGGCTTTGGTGAGGTAGAAGGTGGACCAGAGGGTGGGGGAGTGGAGGTCCAGGGAGAAGTATGTGAAGAAGGTAGAGTCGAGGGGGATACGGCCGGTTTCGAGGGATTGCCCTGGGGGGTGTTAGGATGGGGAGGTTGTGGGGGAGGGAAGGAGGATGTGAGGATGGCGGTGTTTTGTTAGGGTATTAAGGGTGCTTTGTTGGGAGACTTACAGGTTCCGGTGGGAGAGGAGGCCGAGATGGAGTGGTTTATCCAGCCGGGGGGATGGAGTGGGTGAGTTCGTAGGAGAGGATTGCTGCGAAGGGGGAGTTTACCTGGGGTGTGTCAGCGGGGTGGTTGACGAGAGGGTAAAGATATTGTGGTGGTTGTTTGGATGGTTTGTCTACTCCATCCTCCATGGCTGTGTTCGCTCATAGGTATGATTGTATTGAAGAAAATACCAATCGAAACCCTAGATGTAGACCATCTTAAAGTAGAATAGGTACGGGCTTCAAATACTCAGACTTATGGAGAGCTGGAGGTCATCTGAAAGCAACTCCACCACCTGAAAGTGTTCTTGTCTTCGTATTTGCTGTTGAAAAGAACCATCAAGCATTTATACCGTAGCTACACAAATTGATGAAGTAACGAGCAAACAGACATACGAACGAAGGTAACTGAGTGGTGTAAAGTGTTTCAGGTAATAAGCGCTGATATTGAAATACAGGTGAAGCACCAAAACACTTCAAAATTGATGGGACAGACTACAATATTATGGAAAATGGCTCTTTAACACTTCTTCCTCAGAAGACATGTTTGCTCTTTATTGCAAGGGACAACATAGTATGTTTACTCAAGCAATAGTGTAAACATGCTCTTGGAGCGGAGCAGAGTTATCGTTGTTCTACCATAAGGAGGTGGCTCGTCAGACTTGTGACACAGTAGTGCGTTTTGAGCATTTTCGAACCGGAACACCAAATTTATGGAAGTTCTGGGCATATCATTTGCCCAAAGTGAACTATCGTAGGATATGAAATGCAACCTGGAGGTATTTCAGACTTACACAAACACCACCAATATCAAATAATCTGTCAAGGTAGTTAGCCGAGTTATCACGAATTCAAAGGGAGTGGCTTACAAGACTTTAGGTTTCTTTTCTGACATGACTGCTTCTATATTTTCTAAAACAAACTCAATAGGAAAATCTTCTTGGAACATAAAAAACGAGGAAGATTGAGATCAAATCTGGAAATAGTGAAGCTTGTGTTGTTGAATAGAATCTGGAATCATAGACCGAGGTCCCGGTTGTTTGTCTCCCCTGCAAGCGTATGGCGGGGTTCTCAGCGGCTGCCCGTGGTCCCCTAGAATAGAAATGAGGCTTGACGAACGCCAAGGTTCTATCTCAACATTAAGATCACCGATTCTTTAGAAGGTGATTAATGAATGCTAGATATGATTAACAGACTCTTTAGTTCCTAAAAGAAAAACTAGATTAGCAGCGTGGGTTTATGAAAGAAAATTCACTGACGGATTCTTCCTTATCGCATGAACCGCATATTGCCACGCTGCAGTAGGCAAAGCCTCTCCCTTGTCCGTCTCCGGCCGTACTCAACATCTCATCATCCTCAAGTACTTCAACGTCAACCCTCCTGCTGACCAACACCGGTCCACTTCCTCCGTCGATTCTACTTAAGCGCTTCTTCCCTCCTCCTCCCCCTCCTCTTTCTTTTCATTTTCAAATTGCGTGCATACCACAAACCATCTCTCGGTCTCGATCCTCACTCTGTGTCATCTGCGCACGAACCGCCTCGCCTTTGCCTAACCTTTACGCCCCGATCTGAGTCAGTTTTAGAACCTGCGGGAGGAAGAGATTTGATTCTCGTTCTTGAGCGGACATATATACCGAGTTAACCTCACCTCGCATACCTACAACTAGAAAGATCAACAATTTAATAGAGGGTCGTCAAAATGTCGACAGCGTCAAAACAGAGGTTGATGGCGGAATACAAGACTCTGGACAAGGAGAAGTGGCTCAACATTGAGGTAGGCTTGAATTATCAAGACATGAAGTCTTACAGAGCTGACGCTGCATCCTAGCTGAGTGATGGTGGAATATTCAAATGGGTGATTGGCATCATGGTGATCAACCCAGAGAGTGCTTTTGACGGCGGGTACTTCCAGGTAAGATCGATTCTGCAAAGAACATGTTGCTGCAACTAACTCAAAGTCTAGACCGAGATGACCTTCACCGACAAATATCCATACTCACCTCCCACTTTCAAATTCCTCCGACCGATATACCACCCGAATATATACCCTGATGGGAGGGTCTGCATATCGATCTTGCATCCGCCTGGGGAGGATGAACAGTCTGGGGAGTTGGCAAGCGAACGTTGGTCTCCGCTACAAGGCGTTGAGTCTGTGTTACGTTCAGTATTGCTCCTACTCGATGACCCAGAGATTGCTTCACCCGCCAACGTGGACGCTGGTGTGATGTACCGAGATAATCGAGCATTGTATAATTCAAAGGCGCAGGATGCAGTAAAGGCATCGAAGAAGGACATTCCGGCAGGCTTCGTAATGCCCACGACCTTAGAGTCTGCTCCCCCAGAGAAAATTACAGAGGACGACAATTTCTGGAACGAGAGCGGGGGAGAGGAGGACGATTTTGGAGCCAGTGACAGTTCTGGAGATGACTTTGGAATGGACGACGACGAGGAAGAGGAGGGTGAGGATGAGGAAGAAGATGAGGCGTAGACGAGTGGACTGATCATATCATACTCGAAATACATGGCATCACGCATCATCGATCTTCATATCGCATAAAGGTCAAGCATCACATTTCGATTTATCGCATAGCACGGAACTAGGAAGGGCTATCATGGAATATAGGCGGCGTTCAGGTCACCGGAAAGGCATAGCATTGGCCTGGGGCGTTCTTCCTTCCTCGTGGCATATTCATTACACAAATTTCACCGGCGTCTAACAGGGAATCTATTCAGCGAATTGTTCTGTAGATCACAGACAAAATAGATCTTTTACACTACTTAATAAGTCGGTGGCAACAATTCGAATCGACGATTGAGATTCAGAACGAGTATCAATCCATAGTTATGCACTTGACTATCCACTAAATCTATTTTCATCCAATTTTACCTAAACCAGTTTACCTTTTCTAAAGCCATGTCCGTTCTGATATCTACCTCTTTGCCCCATATCTGCAGGTGTATCACAATGATTTACAGCGCGTACTTCGTATATGGCGCTTTCCTGCACAGACGTAGACCTGCACGTGCCAACAGGGGAAGCAACTGCAGTGTGCAAGGATTAAGTTGAGTTGAGCGATTGCTCTCTTTACTCTGCTCGTCTTGCTCCACAGCAATTCTGTTGCTACCTCTCCAGTACTCACGGGGATAGATTCCATCCTAACCTTGCTTTATTCAATCTTGAGTTTTCATGGATCTTTAATCTCAGTCCGCCGAATCAACCATAAGCTTGAGAAGTTTCCGCGCCAGCCTTGCTCGCCCTCAACTTCAGCGTTGACGAGTACATCGACATGGCAGGTTTTGCGCAACCTACCCAAGAGGATATAGATAATTTCAGCAGTCTTGCGCCTGGACTTCCACGTGGGGAGATCATAGCTCGGCTGAAGGTAGCTAAACCTACGAATGGATTAAAGGAGGGCTAAAGCTAATTGCAAACAGAATAACAACAATAGTGTTGAACAAGCCGCGGGAGAATACTTTGACGATCTAGACAATCCTGCTGGAAACAAGGTATGGATGGCATGCAGTTAGCCCTGGGATCCAGATCACTGAAGATATATCCAGTACAAGTGGGAAGAGGGGCCTTTTAGCAGCGATCGAGATGGGGTTCCTGGAAACAACAACGTTTGTGAGTACAAGCTCGGGATTGATGGATATACTCGCTCATACGTAACCAAGCCTTTGCCATTCATTCACCAGATGTAGAGACACAGGGCGGAGGGGGCAACGGTCCCTACAATAACCGCAACTTCGATGGCGCGCCCTCAAGACCACCATCTCGAATCAGCAACAATAAGTCTCCGCACAACGTAATAGATTTCTCGCGAGAAGCTGCTGCAGGTGTGTCCTCAACGTATATCTTTACTCAAATCCCATACTGATCTCGTCCTCGTAGCCGATCCTAGTACCTCAAAGACCTACTCGGGAGCTGATGATGACATGCAACAAGCTATAAACAATTCTCTATTACCTCCGCATTTACAACCGAAATGGAACGGTCAAGAATCTGGTGTAACAAACACGAATGAGGTTCACTTTGGGCCAGCAAATCGGGATGAGTACAAGGAAAAAGACTGGGGAGTTGTAGCTCTTGGAAAGTCTTCCGTCCAGGAAATACTCGTGGATCCAGCACCTGCAGAACGAAAGCGCGATCTGATGGTCACTCCAGCATTCTTGAAACCAAGTATTGAAGACCATCGTCTGGGAGCTCTCTTGACAATTTACCACGAAATCCCAAAGATACGAGAAGTTTTCCTAGATCGAGGAAATGTGCTACCAAACTATGGATTCGATAAAGAGTGGTGGACGGGCAAGCCCGTTGAGCTTCCGATTATTTTTGAAGACGAAGAAACATCAAATATGGAAGTTAAATGGGAATTACAACGTTTAATGGCATTCTTAAGCAAAACGGACCGTAGCTACGGCTCAGTTGACGCATTGGCGAATTTGAATGAAGTCAAAAAAGGCCGAGTATGGCGGCAGGATGCTGAACCTGCGGTTTTAGCAGCTTGGAGTAATGCGCCTACGAACAACCCGGCTACTGTCAATAAACTCTTCAGCAAAGGTGTGTCATGTGAGGCCGACGAAGAACATACCAAAGATTTTGCAATACTTGAATTAGAGCTTCCAGTTCCGAACTCGATACAAGATTCGGTCTATGATTTAGCCGACGAAGCTTTGTGGCCATCTTTGTGCCCGCTGGATTTTGATCAAAGTCCATATCTTTCCCACATCGCGGACGTGATTGCGTTCAAGATAGAGGGGGATGAGTCAAAAAGAGCCATTGACGTACCTCCGATCTGGTATCCGGATCGTTATTTGAAATCATCAAGACAAGCCAGTTTAGATATGCGCATGAAAAAGGATGGCGTACAGCAAGATCTTGATCGAATTGCGATACTGGAAAACCGTCTTACCACTTTTCAGATGCGTAATGGAAAGTTTATCAAAGTAAAGGATCTTTTTGCGGCATCTTTGCAGCATGATGAAGCTCGAATTGAAGAGGACAATCGGAATGGTGATGATGCGATGGGGGATACATTATCTGCTCGCTCATCGAGTAAAGCTCAGAACTTGTCTGCTGAATTACGGAAGCTTGCTGCGAATATTGACAAGAAACTCATAGGTAATTTCATTTCCTGGCTTGGTTGTGATTATTACTGACTTGCGTAGCATTGAATCAGGAAAGAGAGAGGGCAAGGGAAGCGTTGAAGAATCTGTCAAAGCTCTACACACAACCATCTGAGGACCCCGAAACTCCCAAATTACATCCTTATACGCTCCGAGGTGTCAGCACTACCAAAAATACTTTCTACGTATGCAGGGTCGCAGAACCAGATCTGATCAACATGGACTTGGATGCTAGTGAACAATCTAATGCTGGTCAATGGTGGCGGATACATTATGCCACGTCTGGCCCGAATCAAGTTTCGGTAGAGGTAAGAATGTAGATTCAGTGCTGATTAAATCTGGACTGACAGAGGTGCAGAAAACGACATTGGAAAAAGTGCTAGAAGCGGCAAAGACAGAGAGTAAAAATATCACTCTCGTGTACGCAAGCGAGAAGGCAATGGAATTTAAGCTTGAAACCCAAGCGCTACCTGGTCCACTAGAGGTATGTAGCTGTATTCCATCATTGATTCATGCTAACATCATTTTAGACATTCGTCCGTGCAGATAATAGAGCCTTCAAGCAAGAGCTTCTGGAGAGCGATTTTGATGATGGCTCCACCCAGGCCTCACTCTCATCTCCGGGCAAAAGAAAGTTTGATCAGCAAAGAGAAACTGACAGTTCACAAGACACTAGCTACGAAGAAAGATGGGGCGGACCAAATCCTAGTGATGAGGAAAGTAATACAAGCATGTTTGAGAGGGATATGGGAGAGAATGGTGCGCTGTCTTTTGATGGCGCTGGTCCGGCATCACAAACTCTTACGAGTATGGGAAATGGTACACAGGGCTCGGTTAATCGTCGAGATGATGGTATAATTCTGGGAGTAGATCCTTCCATGATTCAAAAGAACCCAGAGTCGGGTGCTCAAGAAATGGAGGAGCTTGGGGGTATGCGCCTTGGTATGATGGGACCTAGTAATGGCGTGAAGTCGAACACGATTGATAGTATGGATCTTGATGAGGTGTTGGAGGATCAACGCGTTGCTGAGCCTAGTGGTGCTGTTAAGAAGGTGGGATTTGCTGAGTAGATATAATATCAAGTCGCTGATTCGAAGATTTGCTACTTGACTGAGCTGTATATTTTTGTTCTGTGCGAATTCAAGTCGAGGTCGGTAGGTTAGTTACTTCTGTGACTTTGAAGTTTCGAACTCCAATAATACGTCCTCAAACGATGATATGACTGTTGTATTATGGAAAATTCTATTGGTTTGCTAAACATAAGCTCATAGTACTCAGATATGACTTCAGATATACCTATTTCGAGCACCTTGATGGCCTGAAGATAGACTACTCACTCATGGGAGCTCCCGACGAAGGTTATCGATAAGGTTTGGCGGGGTAGAACAGTGGGGCAATGCACTCACGTCCATCCGACGTCAGTTCCTGCTTACAATGCCTCCTTCATTAACTGTACGAAGGATGTTTAATAATCTTCTTCACCTCAAATACTCGCTCGCTAGTCTCTAGAGGATATATTCCACCTCCAAAATGTACATATTTTTAATCCAAATAACATGCATCTCGAACTTCCCCTGTTTTTCAAAACATTACGTTTGACGTCAGGACCTAGGCGCGTCAGGCAAGCGGCTTAGTACTTGCAGTACACGAAAACCCTTTGTCTCACGAATTATTGACAAATCATAAAAATTTCTTGCCCGCTTTTGATCCTCAGCGGCGATTGTGTCTGAAGATGGCGACTGGGAAACCGCAGAGTATAGCTCTGCCGGGAAGGGAGACTGATGGCGCTACTCACGATGAGGTATTCTTCCTCCGCCGCTAAAATAAGCTGTGGAATGCTGAGTTGAACGTAGCCGCAATCGAGCGCGAGTGATAGCGAGTACCAACACGCACTTGAGGTATTGATCTCCGTAAAGATGGATTGACTTGTGCTGATGAACACAGGTGGTATTTGATCCCCAAAACGCCCGGCGTCGCAAATCCTCAATGGTCGGCACCGAAAACCCCGTACAGCGGAAGAAAACCGACTGTTACGTGCACGCGCTCCTCGAGAACCAGCGGCAGCTGGGCGGCGGAGGGAGTTATGCTCAGAGTCTTGAGGGGATCGCGGAGAGTTTGGGCACGGGGTATAAGGATTGTGGTCCCCCGGAGGATGATGAGCTCGTGGAGGTCAAGTCGGGAGGGGGAGTTGGAAGTGGAAGTGGACAGGAAGATGAGAAGGATTGGAATGAACAGGTGGGTGTTAAGCATATGGTGCAGAAGATTGCGGATCATGCGGAGGATAAAAAGGAGGAACAACATGGTGCGGATCCTTCGGCGGTGCATAGTCGGTTGTTGACGAAGAAACAACTCAGCGATATGGCGTGGGGCGTGAGGGAGTTGAGTAAGAGGCTGGGGAGTGTGAGGTTGAAGTTGAGGGTTAAGACTGTGTTTTTACTCACCAAGGTTTATGACGAGAGTCTGATTGCGAATACGAGGGATGTGGTTAGGTGGTTGTTGAGTCCTGAGAGACAGGTTAGGTATGTGGTGTATGTGGAGAATACGCTGAAAGAGAATAAAAAGTTCAATGCTGTGGGGCTTTTGGAGGAGATTGAAAAGGAGTACGAAGGGAGAGACATGAATGGGGATGAGAAGAAGTTGGATAAGCGGTTACGGTATTGGAATAACGAGATGTGTCGGACTCGACCTCATACCTTCGATTTCGTCGTCACGCTGGGAGGTGATGGCACGGTTTTATATGCGAGTTGGTTATTCCAGAGGATCGTGCCGCCGGTACTCAGTTTTGCGTTGGGCAGTCTGGGGTTCCTGACGAAATTCGATTATGACGAGTTTGAGGAGACTTTGACGAGGAGTTTTCGAGATGGCGTTACGATTAGTCTGAGATTGCGGTTTGAGGGGACGGTGATGAGGAGTCAGAAGACACGGGCTATCACAAATGGCACGAATGGGGAGAAAGAGGGTGAAGAGGATGATGGCAAGATGCGAGATTTAGTAGAGGAGTTAGTAGGCGAAGAGAAAGGAGATGAGCGAACACATCGACCAGACGGGACTTTCGAAATTCTAAACGACATCGTCGTCGATCGCGGTCCTAATCCAAGTAAGCCCCTCAGTACCCTGTCCATCCATATAAAATCTAATGTATTCTAGCAATGTCCTCAACCGAAATCTTCGGCGACGACGAACACTTCACCTCCGTCCAAGCAGACGGCGTCTGCGTCGCCACACCCACCGGCTCAACAGCCTACAACCTCGCGGCCGGCGGCTCCCTCTGCCACCCCGAAAACCCCGTCATACTCGTAACCGCCATCTGCGCACACACGCTCTCCTTCCGACCCATCATCCTGCCCGACACGATCGTCCTGCGTGTCGGCGTGCCGTATGACGCGAGGACGTCTAGCTGGGCGAGTTTTGATGGGCGGGAACGAGTAGAGTTACGGCCAGGCGATTATGTGACGATTAGTGCGAGTCGGTATCCGTTTGCGAATGTGATGCAGCAGGGGCGCAGGAGCGAGGATTGGGTTAATAGTATTAGTGGGAAATTGGGGTGGAATACTAGGGGAAGGCAGAAGAGTTATCGTGAGTGGGAGAAGTGAGGGGGATGGCGGGATAGTAGAAACAAGAAAGGGGGGGAATGAATTGTGTTTTGAAGAGTTTGAGATGGGTTTGAGTGATATTGTTGTGAAGTCCAGAACTTGTTGTGCTGAAAACTAGCTAATGCTTTCATACTTCGCAGAGCTAGGCGAGATCAAGCGAGTGTGTAATGGGCGAGTCGACTTACTTCCTTCGGATGAGTATAAAGTCCAAACTTTAGGGACTAGCCTCTTATTCAATCATGCCATGTACATTTGTATACCCTCGCCAGCCGCATACCTAGCTTAAAACATCTACGCCAGTGGATTGAAGGATTGGTATTATGCCCGCTCAATATGAACTCCAAGACTCCAACAAAGCAAGCAACTTATCTACATTATAACTCCAAAATCCTCATCGAACCCAGCTAAGCGTACAAGAACATCCGATTGACCTTTCCAAACATAGACGTCTATAAAAATCTCGGTTAAACCTGTGGCGGCACCGAGGGCAAGTCCAGCGACCACATTCCATCCATGAAAGCAGACAATCACCACCTATCATCTTCTTACAACATACGTCCAAGCGAATCGCGAAGCTATCAAGCTCGCCGATCTCTTCTCGACAAATAGGGCATTCATCGTCTTCAGCGAGGTTTTTGACACGAAGTCTCGTCAAATGAGGGTTAGGCGTACTAGCTACCTCGTCGAGAATCTGCATGTGTCGAAGATGTGCGAGGACCCGCAAACGATCGTTGATCATACAGTCCATAAGGATCTGACAACCGTCGCCGAACAGCAAGATCTTGACGAGGCCGTCACCGCCAACGGGTGTACCAGCGAACGCGAGACTTCCGAACAGATCCTCGAGCCGGCCGACGAATTTGCGGATGTATTCCTCGCCGCGTCGCGAGTGCTGGTCAACGTCAAGCTGGCCGCGCGCTGGCAGACTACGAACAGAGGCTAGTACCTCTGTCATCCACAGTCTGATGAGACCCCGGAGAATAACTGCAGGCCGCTGCCCAATTCTCGCTACCGCTCCTTCTTCAAGTGCGAACAGGCCGGTGTGGAAATCATCAAGTCCAAGCTCCGACATCTCCCTCATAAGCGCGTTCCGTTCGCGCATCGAGTAGCCATCAAGAAGTTTAGTGAATATAGATTCCTCGTTCAGGTCCTACGTATCGTGAGTTACTTACTATCAATAAAGAGAGAAGTACTTACACTACTCCAGCGTGAAGAAAAGGGGTTAGCCACTGGACGAACCGTCTCACCCATTGGTATAGCCCCTCTACCTCTCGCAAGCATCCTAGAATAAACCCCAGCTTTTCTCGCCATATCCTGCATCAATTTGATTTCTCCATTATTGAAATCATCTTTGTCCCGCGCCGTCATGAACGAGTGGTTGAAATCCCACACCTGGGGTGCATGGAGGTTGACGTTGCAATTCTGTCTGAGCTTCAACGAGATCGAGTCCGCCGACCAGCCAGTCAGATTGCAAAGTGCCACGACCAAGGTCGTGAGTTTCGCATTGTGGCCTCGGACGTACAGCTTGTGGGCGAATTTCTCGGGCGTGGGCACGATTTCGTTGGTGTATTCTAACTCCTTTTGGCGCCATTCGTCTTCTAGTTGTAGTTGGTTTAGCCATGTTTGAAATTCGGGCACCTTCCCGCGGCTTGAGGACTTGGGTTCGCGACGCATTTTGAGGTGGTGGTGATGAAAGGGTAGAGAAGAGTGGTGGGTTGTCGTGGGTGTATGTTGTAAATATGAAGATGTTGTGAATATAAAGACCTTGTGAATATAAAAACGCTATAAACATGAGATGAAGGAACCAAGCAGGACTAAAGAGACATATATAACTAAACCCATCAGTAATCTGGTCTGAATTCCCCTCGACCAACGACCTCTGAACATCCTTCTGATCCAGCTGAAACTCATCTGGTTCCGATTCCCTCTAATCCAACTAACCCATTTTCCTTCAACCTCCGCCAAGTTAAGATGTCATAACCGCAAAACTCATACGCCAAGACTTGCCATAATACACTCTTGGGTAGTGTGGCTTCACGGGGTTGTAGCGGATAGTGTCGCTAGCATTAGTTTGGCATTACGGGAGCTAGATGCGAAGCATCCCCCCGAGACTAGTATGCTGGAACGCGGCGGTTGTGATGGAATAATATGTCTGGGCTATTTCCATAGAGAGAAATTCCCACTGGGTTTTTAAAACGTTCTCGCGTTGGGGATTATGGTTGTATATATGCAGGACATCACTAACGTTCTCATAGGTACACAGAGTTTGTTCAGGTTTTGTTTGGGAGGCAAAGGACCAACAACCAAGAACCCATGCCAAGAACATAAAAATCGGTCGTGGTTTCTAAATACCAGAACACATTTGAACACCAAGTCTTGGCTTCCACAACCTAGTCTTCAAGTCCCGCCGTTATAGAAAAGTTTACTCTCAGCACGACGCACCCTCCCAGCGTGCTGGAACAGAAGTACTATGCTTTGACGGAGAACACTAATCACAAAGAGCAGGTTCAAAAACGGATATGTATGACGAACCCTTTGCGAACCTAGTTCAAAAGGCCACGTTCTTGAAGCAGCCAGCAAACGGTCAAAATTTTCGGCGACGCCGGGGATGGCTTGTTGGATGATAAGGGATCGCATTTGTGTCAATGAATGAGTGAGCGACTGAGTTCAACGTAGTACAGTATTTCCTCTATACAAAAGCGCGGATATGTCATCCAGAAATGACCCCCGATCCAGCTTCACATAAAATATTATAACTCTTTCGGTGCGGCAGATTCTGCCATATGACTCCCTACCCAAGCCCCAAAATCAATTTTTAAAACTCCACTACCCCTAATTTTCCTCCCCGTCTCCGTTTTAACAAACAACTGCTCTCCTCATCCCCGCATACCCACCACCAGTCTTCTCCCTCCTCCATGACGAAAGGAAACTTTTGCGTTTTTGCTTCTGAGGCGTGCGAGATGGATCTGTCGTTGAAAGGGACGTAGAGGAATGAAATGAATGGAATGAATGAAATGAGTGTGTAGAGCCGTTATTGAATGAGTGTGTGGATGCGGAACCAGAGTCGATGGTGCAGACGGAGGTGCTGGATGTGAGGGGGCCTTGTTTGTAGAAACTGCGTGAAGAAGATGGGGAGGGTGAGGGGGATAGCGAGGATGAGGAGGGTGTTTTGCAGGACGTGCGTGGTGGTGGTGCGATCATAGGCGCGTTCCATGATGATTGCGAGGACCTTCTTTTATCATCCTGCCTTCTCCTCCTCTCCATCCCCCTCTTCACCTCCCCCTCCCTCCTCCTGCTCATATCCTCCCTCGAAATCTCCCCATAAGCCTCCTCCACAACCCTCAACTCCTCATCCCTACACTCCCTGCCCGCCATAAACTCCACCATAAACGCCCTAACCCTCGCCATCTCCTGGCGTTTCCACTCCACATCCGCCAGACTAGGCGGGATCAAGCGCTCATGATCCATTTTACGGGCGAGCGAGGGCCGTTTGTGGTGTGGTTTTGGGAGGCGGAGAGGGTATTCGCCGGGGGGTGCGGTGAGGATGATGCGGAGAGGGTGAGTGAGGGAGGGGGAGTGGAAGAGGGTTACTGAGTTTGCGGGGGGTGGTGGTTCTTTTGAAGGTGGCAGGTGTGAAAAGAGTGGATTGAGACTGGATTTTGAGGTTGTGGGGGAGGTGGTTTGCGAGGGTGAGGTGGGTTCTGATCCGGAGTTTGAGGTGGAATCTGAGGCTGTATCTTCATCAGAACTTGAGCGTGGATCGGAGGTCGAATTCAAGATTGTCTCCTCGTCGGAACTTGAGGATGAATTTGGCGGTTGGATAGCTTTTGATAAATTCATTGTCGCTGATTGCGTCTTAGTTGGAAGAATTGGCGTTATGTGTGATAGGTTTGAGGGCGGGTTTGGAGACTTGATGGCCCGGGTTGGATTTGTTGATTCCGATTGCGTCTTTCTTGGAAGATCAGACGTTATGTGTGATAGATCTGTTGTTGATGATTGCCCCTGCTCGGAGCTATTTCTCATGATCTCTTCCGGCTCAACCTCTAACACACTCAGTACATTTCCGCCTTTCGTCGGCGGTGAAGATATAATATCCGATTTGATGTTCTCCGAGCTTGAAACAGAACTGCTATCAATTGTTGACGCCCGCTTGAGTCGTTTGCTCCGATGGTCAATTGACCTGAACAGTTAGTCAATGTTTGAATTGTAACTTCGATCTACTCACCAAACGTGTACGGCACTTGATATCCAGCTTAATCGAGGCATTGAAGCTGTCTAAATCGTGTTGATGATTGTCAAAGCCAGTCGCGACAGTAATTCAAAGCTCTTTTGGTTTCTAAAAAAAACGTCAGCAATTGCGATCACAGAATTCGTGGCTAATGATTATACACTCATACCTCGTTATAACATGCAGCCCAGCTACAATTCAACACAATTATCAATTCCAAAGCCCAACGATCAGCGAGGAGAAAGCTCTCCTTTTCTTTTTCCCATTCTGAGCTGTTCGGCAAAACAAAACATTCCCGTCCATGTGGCTCCCGCATGTCTCACTCTGAAATATCGAAGCGGACCTCAGCCTCAGATCCAACAGCTGCAGTCAGATGGAGCTATGTGTTGGTCTATACGTCTCTCATCCCGCACATCTCTTGGGTTGCGTGGGAGACTTGTCGGTATTCCACCATACAGGGGACAATCTCTTTTTCGATATTGAAAATGGACGTTTTGGGTGAGATGGCTGCTGGAGGGGGCGTGGAGTTGGCTGATGAGGAGGAAAGTGTTTGGATTAGGTTGGCTTGTACGACCCTTTGGGTGTTGGAGGCGTTAGTAATGCTCTTATTCTCATGTATTATAGTTGATGGTGTTGTTGGCAGATTTTGTGTCGTGATGTCGGGTGTGTTGTGCACTTACTTATGCAAATTATCGATCTCCTCACCTGAGACGGTACAATTATGATTATGATGGTTTTGATGGTAGGATAATTCATCAATTTTTCTAAGGTTCACAATGTTTAGTATATCTATCGTAAAGGTAATCTTGCAACTCACGCAGATAGCATCGCCAGTTGAATCTGAAAAATGCGATGACTTTCAGCCTTCCTCTCCACAATGGCCATCTGAATCCTCTCACGATTCGCCATCCACCCAGCTGCTGATTTGACGCGAGATACTTTGTGGTAACTATTCCCACCAGTCACAGCCGCAGCACTTTCACTCAAACCTCGATCCATCGTTTGCATTCTCTCCAAGCTCTGCTTGTACAAGGCTTGGAAATATTTGAAATCACCACTCCCGTATTTTCTATCTGGCTGACGGATTTGAGCGGCAAGATATGCATTATTTAGCATACTTGTCTCGGTTTCCAGGAAATCCATCTCATCCAGCGCCCGTGAGACTTCGGCTTGGGTGTCGATGGCGTTTCGGAGACTGAGGGCTCGAGCATAGAAACCGGCCATGACGGCGCCAACAAACGTGAGAATACCAGTGATACTGGCTGCAATTGAGAGGGCGCTGTCTTGGGACATTCTTGGATACGACGAATGATCAGTCCCGTGCGACCTGAATTAACTACTTGAATGTTTGTTCGCTGAACGGTGATTTGAACAAGATGTTATTCTCATTCGTACGACCAGAATACCAGCAACATACCAAGGCAGAATTGATGCAACACTGGATCAGCTGAGGACTCGTCACTGCCGTGCGGCGTGGAAACGTGCATTTTGTATCCAACAACCACGTTCCCGAGGTGGTACAAGTACGAGATATTGACTGTAGATGGGAAATTCATGTAGGAAGCCGTTGTATGCGTAGCACTGAAATGAGGCTAGAGCTTGAATCGACGAATGCTACACCAAGTCGGCGACATTATTCTTTGCTTCAATTGCAGCTCTCGCCCTCGGATGCGAATATATTTCAAGACACGAATATAACAAAGCAAGACAAACATGAGAATGATTCAGAATGGAGCGCAAACACACTCGTCACACGTCGGATCTTACGAGATTAATATCAAGATATCAAGCCAAGGGTCAGAGATCTATCAGAAAGATCTTGGTTGAGGATGATGATCGTCGCCGGGATACAGGAAAGGATGAAGCTGTCTCGGTAGCTGGGATGGAGCTGCTCAAGGGTCCAAAGCGAAGTATCAACTAATTCACCGAACAGGCTGGCAAAGGACGAGAGTGAAGTCATTGATGGAGAAAAGAATGTAATATTCGAAAGAACTGAAAAAGCCATATAAACAAACAACTCTTTACCCTCAGAAGGTGGAAGTGGAAGTCGCATCGAACCATCCCAAGACTACGAGTACTCCGTACCAGCACCAGCAACCCGATTCCAGCCACCGACGCGCTACCATCCAACTCCCAAACCATGCTGAAACCAGTTCTGGCACTCAACACTCCCACCACCAGCTCGCCATGAACAACACGCGAGACTCGAATCCCAAAGCAGTCATGCCCACCAACAATATATCCTTATTCATATTTTTCACTCGGGTGCCTTGAACAACATATCCTTCTCATCCCAAGTCATTATTCATCTTTGTTCGAAAAGTAAACTAGCTCAAATCAAGCCACTTCGATCCTCGGAACCAAACACATCCGAGAAAAGTCACCAGCCATATTCGACCTTTTCACAAGGAATATATTGGGATAGGAATTTCGAGATTGGATAGATCTTCATCTTTACACCATGGCTATCTCGGCCGCACGAGACGTCCCGACCGCGGCGACGAATACCACGCCGCCGAAGACATCGATAGATACATCGACGAGCAGCTCGCTGAACCAGAAAGACGCGGATAACATTGACAGCACGGCGGAATTCGCAGGAGAATTAGATACGAATGATAAGATCCCGTCGCAGGCGGTGCTGAAGAAGATAGAGGGGTTGGTGGTGCTGGATAAAGATGGGAAGACGGTGCCGTTTAAGGATATATACAATGGACCTAATGTCGCGCGACGGGTGCTGGTGATTTTCATACGGCATTTCTTTTGTGGTGTACGTCCCCCTCACGCTTCCTATCGCAAATACAACACTAACTGAACAACCCAGAACTGTCAAGAATTCGTCCGCACCCTCACATCCTCCATCACCCCCGACTCTCTCCTCACCCTCCCCACACCCACCTTCATCGCCATCATCGGCTGCGGCTCCCCCAGTCTGATCCCCATGTGGTACGAGAAAACCGGCTGTCCATTCCCGTGCTACGCGGATCCAACCAAAAAACTCTACGACGAACTCGGCATGCTGAAGACGCTGAATCTGGGCAGTCGACCGGAGTATCAGCGGCAGGGCCTGGTCACGTTGATGACGGGCGCGTTCGTGCAGAGTTTAAAGGCTATTAAGAGCGGACGGGTTTTCCAGGGCGGTGGGTATCAGCAGGTTGGCGGCGAGTTTCTTTTTGAGCCGCTCGAGGGGGGAACGCCGATGTTGAGTCCGGAGGAGGTGGTGGGCGAGAGCGAGCGCAGCGAGCAAGAGCTTAGTGAGTCGGTGTCCCGCGACCATGAACGCACTGAATTCAGCGCCGGGCTCAAGGCTCTGCGTAATGGTGATGTGGGACGCGGACCGTATGCGGAGGAGAAACGGATTACATGGTGTCACCGTATGCGCACGACGCGCGACCATGCTGAGATTCCGGAGATCAGGGAGGTGCTTGGGTTGGATGGGGAGGGGACGCCTGGACGGGATCGCAAGAGGTGGGAGGGTGCTGTGAGGACGAGGAAGGGGACGGGGTTGAGTGGGAGTGGGAGTCGGGAGAGGGGGGCGTAGGGGGGTGATGAGCGGTAGGGGAGGGGAGTGTGTAGATATGATGGTGAATTTGTGCGATACATTGGTTTTCACTTGATGGATAGCTTGGTCATTTGAAGACTATACGCGGTGATCTGGGGGGGTGGAGTGGAGTTGATACCATTAGTTGGGAGTCTGATACAAATACAAGAAATTCTCATACCTGATTCTAATTCTATTTCCATGACTAAAACCAAACGAACTCGTGAACTCAACTGCCACACCTCCGTATAACTAGTAAATGTAACCCCAAACTTCTTCCTCCGTCACACCAAGAAAATATATACTCAAATCCCACGAGACCACGGCCCAAATTCCAGATGAATGTCAATAAGACACTCCACCTTTCCTTGAATTCTAGGGACTCCTACCTATTCTATATACCCCAACTTCCCCTCTCGCACCCAAACCTACATGTCAGCAAAACACACGAGGAAAAGGTATTCAAGATTCCATCTCCTTTCTCTCTTATGCACCCACCTCATCTCATCCTTCGAACGTCGCGCCACTTCTATCCTCCTCAATGATTTGAGTCTCTGTACGGCTTCCGTAGATCATACTCACCTTCCCGATTCCGTCTAGGTGTTAGCCTACCTCTGTTAAAAACTTGTAATTAAGCACACGCCTATGCTCCCCTCCCCCCGCCGTTCTTTTCCGCAAATCGAAGGCATACACAAATTATAAATAAGGAATTGGTTGGGGTTACCATTACAGAGGATTTGAAAGCAGGAAGTTCGTATTAGAGCTAACATAACTAAGAAGCTAGCTAGCTGAGTAATAAGAGGTAAGAGGGTACATGCAAATGCTCCTTTATCCTGAAACGCTGGTCTATGCTTCTCACTTATTCTCTCCCTCACCTTATTCCCCGCAATAGCATTTCAGTAGACACACACCCTAGCGATTCTTTAACCCATCGAAAATGGATGACAGTGACTCAAACTAGAGCCATCCCAATTCATGTTCTGACTGATTAAGGCGCCTGTTTCAGGTCGAGATGCTTGTGCAGAAGCTGAGAAAACGACCTCATATGCAAGAGCTAGAATCGGAAACATATATGCAAGCCCAACGAGCAAAGCAATCAAAAGCTGAAATGTACTGCTCAAAGAGCTAATTGACTTTAACATAATTGCCTACAAAATTATTAGCATCTCAAATATCAACGAGTCCACAGTACATACCAGGAAACTGTCCCTGCTTCCCCCTCAACTTTCCTATCCACCACTCATTCTCATTCCCCGTCCGCGTCACAATCTCAATCGTATCGCCCGTCGAAAAACTCAAATCGCCTTCCGCCTGCGCTTCATAATCATACAGCGCCGTCGCCGTTTCCGACGCAGGTGCACCGCTCAATCGCGAGGGCTTTGGTTTTGGCGGTGGAGGAGCTGCTCCTTTGGCTTTGGCTGCGGCGCCCCATGCGCTACCGGTGGAGTTCGCGCGGCCCATTTTGGAATCGGCTGTCATTGGAGAGAGACTATTGCTGGAGTATGGTGGTGGAGGAGAGTCTTCTTGGAGAGAGAGGCGGGCGAGTGAGGTTGACGGGTTGGGTGAGTTGGGTGAGGATGAGGTTTTGTCCTCGATTGCTAGACGACTGGCTTTTCGGTCTTCGATTGCGAGTCTGCTGCTGCTTGGACCTAGTCTTCCTGGTGTGCGCTTTGCACCGGTGGTCTTGAATTTGGTGATGGATAGAGCTTCGGCGCTTTCTTGGATGGTTCCTCGTTTGGCTTCGAATGCTTCTTCTACGTCTAGGGTGAGATTGAAGTATCCGATATCCAATCCTTGCATTCTCTCGTGCAATGTGTAAAAGACGTTGAGTTGCATGTAGTAGAAGGATTGGAACAGAGGACGAATAAACTCGCGCTCAAGTGCAAACAGCTTTGGTAGCTCATCCTTGAGGAGGTCGTTGAAGTAATTAAATTCTTGAGTCGCCTGTTCAACCTCGTTCTCCGCTTTGTACATTGCCTTTTCGTCCTTTAAGTTCTTGTCTTTCTTGTCTTGCAACTTTTTCAAGGCCGCCCGATGTCTGTCATAATCTAATTGTTTGTGTTGTCGTTTTGTAACCGACTTTCGAATAATCTTGACAACCTCTAATAGCTCATCTGCAGGCCGAATCACTCTTGTCTCGATCATCTCTAGTTCGGGAGCAAGTGTGGCTTGTAATTCCTTTACAATCGCCTCGTATTGTTCGCATGCTTCTATACCTTCTGGATTGCCTTCTGGGATGATGGAGTCGGGATCCGAAACACGTCCAGAAATTGGTTTGTAGATTTCCGCAATAGCTTGAGAAAATTCGATCTGATGGCTTAGCATCCCATTGATGGCGTCAAAGTACTTCTTACTCTCGTCGTGTAGCTTCTTCGTCTCGGTTTCTAACTCTTGGAATCGCCTTTCGGCATCGATAAATACCGCATCCTTGGTATGTTCGCCAATACTGAACTTTGCTTTGAACGTTTGCGGCGCTGCAATGATTAGCAATGGAGACTCTAACTACGACCCTTTTCACGACTCACCTCTAACAATCGACTTCTGGAAGCCCTTGAACGACATCTTTTCCAATCGCTTTCAAGCAAGAATAACCTCTTGCCGACAACCGCTTGAGGATCCGGAATGGCGGGGCGAAGCGCACAAACAGAGTTTCCTCCAACAATGAACTTGAAGGTCAGCTTCTGGTTGTATACAGTCGTGGGCGTTGAAGTCGCAAAGTATAGGCGTTCAATCGCGCGAGTTCGCTTTGGCGTACGGGAGAAGTTGGCCGAAGTTCTAGTGGTTTGTGTCTAAGTGTGGTCTTATGAACGCTGTCCAGGTGGGCACAAAAGCCCGAGAGTGTGATGACGGAGGGGTCGTGGCTTAGCTCTTGCCTGCGATGATTGTACGATGGGAATTGTAGGCAGATTGCTTTATGTTTCCACAATCTGATATCTACAAACAAGTGATATTGCAATGGAAACAAATATAAAAATTACCAGCACTGCACAGTAATTTGGGTATTCGTCGAGTTACGTAGTTGTGGTATGCATCTTCCCGTTGCATTCATGGAGTTTGTAAACCTAAGGCAGCGCTGCGAACGGTCATTGTAAGGTTACTTGCGAATCCGGAATACAGAATGTTCCTCTCTATGGGTCACTCTTCAGCATTTACCAAAATAATTATAACTCTATATAAATTCATTAACCTTAAGCAGACTTGAATGGGAATGCTATCCAGAAATGCATATTCTCTCCATGACCCTTAATACAGGGTCGTTTACTTCGTATTTCGGCGTATTCATAGTCTCGGAATACGGAAACTAACTGCGTGACGGAGCGCTGTTTGTTTTACCCCACCATCTGTCAGCACCAGCCAATCAACACCCACCTCAGCACAAGCTCCAAAAGCAACCCTGAAAGACTTCCAAAGATTATTTTGCCTCTGCAACAGTCTTGATCTTATCAGATTCTGTTCAACCATCAACATCACAAACATGTCTGGAATAGCTGCAAACACCGTCAGACAAGCCACACGCTTGTGTGCGAAGCAGTCAAGCTCTGCATCTACCCTACTCAGAACATCTACATTTCGAGCGGCGACCATTTCGGGGCAGAAAGTCTCAAGGAGGGGATATGTATCCGAGTCGAAGAAGGACAGCGCCCAAGTCAGCATCGATACAGCAGTACGAGCGGATCAGAAAGCTTTCTTCAATGAAACCAGCAAGCTTCCTGAAAATACCATTGTTGGTGGCACCAATGTAAACGCGGATGCGATGATGAGTCCCATGGCTGGTGTGTAACTTATCTCCGGAAAAGAGCGAATGGATACTGATTGCTTCAGGTGTACTCAAAGAGGCGACAATCATGGACGGCGGCGAGAGACCGATTTACCTCGATATGCAGGCAACAACACCTTTGGATCCTCGAGTACTGGATGCCATGTTACCCTTCTATAGTGGATTATATGGTAACCCCCATTCAAGGACGCACGCTTACGGTTGGGAGACGGATAACGCAGTCGAGACAGCACGAAAGCATGTCGCCGACCTGATCGGAGCGGATCCAAAAGAAATCATCTTCACGAGTGGCGCTACAGAGAGTAACAATATGAGCATTAAGGGAGTGGCAAGATTTTTTGGCCGATCCGGAAAGAAGAATCACATCATCACCACACAAACGGAGCACAAGTGCGTACTTGATAGTTGCAGGCATCTTGCAGATGAAGGATTTGAAGTCACATATTTACCTGTCCAGACCAATGGTTTGATAAATATGGAAGATCTGGAGGCTGCGATTCGACCAACAACTGCCATTGTCAGTATTATGTCGGTCAACAACGAAATCGGTGTCATACAGCCTCTCGAGGAGATAGGAAAACTTTGCCGGTCGAAGAAGGTCTTCTTCCATACTGATGGTGCTCAAGCTGTTGGAAAAATCCCTATGGATGTCAACAAGATGAACATTGATTTAATGTCAATCTCATCGCACAAAATATACGGACCAAAGGGTATGGGAGCTTGTTATATTCGAAGGAGACCCCGTGTCAGAATCGATCCTATCATCAGTGGAGGTGGTCAAGAAAGGGGATTGAGAAGCGGGACTCTTGCACCTGCGTTGGTTGTTGGCTTTGGTGAGGCATGCCGCATTGCCAAGGAGGAACTTCCAGTAAGTTTTAACATTTCAATTATTTCCCCCCTACTCTACATGATGATCTACTATACATATGCATGGCTTTCCAAGTGTACCTCCTTGCTTGCAAGTGGTGGTTTCTTTGACGAAATAGTACCCTGTCTGATGTTTCTACTCTCACTGCCAAGCAATTCGACTTACTTGGGACAACGGCTAATATATATCAGTACGACTCCAAGCGCATCAAGATGCTCTCCGACCGACTCCTTAACGGTCTCCTCGCACTTGAACACACCAAACAAAACGGCTCCGACAGCCAATTCTACCCAGGATGCATCAATGTTTCATTCGCCTACGTCGAGGGCGAATCTCTTCTAATGGCACTCAAAGACATTGCCCTCTCCTCAGGCAGCGCCTGCACATCTGCCTCACTCGAACCAAGTTACGTTCTCCGCGCCCTCGGTAGTGACGAAGCCGATGCTCACAGCAGTATCCGCTTCGGTATTGGTCGTTTCACCACCGAATCGGAGATCGATTACGTATTGAAGGCTGTGACGGAGCGAGTCTCTTTCTTGAGGGAGTTGAGTCCGCTGTGGGAATTGGTGCAGGAGGGCACGGATTTGAGTACGATCCAGTGGGAACAGCACTAGTTATGTACTCAGACGGTATTTGGGATTCGGATTTAGGATGGAGCGTGGCGTAATTAGGTTCATGGGTTTGGGGTGTATTATTGTCTGTAGTATAGTACGATGACGAATAGCTTTATGTGTAGAAATAAGTTGGAAGTTGAAATCTGTGGTCGAGTGTATACCTTTCTATTTCCCTTCTACTCCCGTCATCTACGCCTTCTTCACGTCAGGTAGTGCCACATCGCAATTAACACTTTCTATCATCGATTTTATTAACCTGGCCTGGTGAACCGGCATCTTCAAGACTATCGACTCTCAACCCCGGAATAATCCACTACTCCCTTTTATATAAACCTTAGAGAGTATTTCTTATTTCCTCCTACGAAATTTACGGAAAGCGTAGGTGTGAGATGGGGTTTTGGCACTAATCTATCTGTTGGCATTAGAGGAAGGGGAAGCTTTTTGTGTTAGAAAAGCTGTTATATAGTAGGGGGAGCGTAAGTACATTCGTGCTACCCTAGACCTCTAATCAAGAGACATCTATGCAAACAGTAACTTTCATTCGTTGAATTCTCATTCCATGACGATGCAGAATTGCGTAAATAACCTTTTCCTATTCTCGACTGAACGGCGCTTCTTTTGATCAATTAATCATATCCGACGTCGGTATTGCTCAATCACATTTGCTGAGTAAGATACCATAATTCCCTCTTCCCTCCAAATCACTCCAGGACAATCTATAATCTCAAAGCTGCGAGACCCCGTCTTTCTTGCAGTCACATTCGGGTCATTCGTCGAGATTTTTGTTTAGATGCTATTGTTGAGGTCATTCTGAAAGTACTTAGTCGCTAGTTGGAACTTACAGTAACAGACGGTGATTTAAGTCTATTTCCCAAAACCCTACCAAAAACAGCTGTTTTTTATAGTCTATAAACACCTATAACTTTCGTCCTTTTTAGTAGACTAAGTTAATTTTGAGTTTTAATACTAGTTTAGAAGGTTAAGTTATATATACTTTAAGGACTTCTACTTATTAAACGGCGTCGTTATAGTATATTCTTTTAAAGTTAGAGTACTAAAAGATTTCGTGTTTTTGACGTATTTTTACGAGTAAAAGCGCGATTTACGATTTTCTAGTAGTTTAAGGCGCCGTATCGTAATAACGACGTCTTTAATTATAAAAGTAAAGAGACAGTTTTTAAGTAAATATTCGAAATACTAATATATAATAAGGGGACTATTTTAATAGAACGTAGTAGGGAGAAGCGTTAAAGTGTTTACGTTAACTTTTAGTGTGAAAACGCGCTTTAGACTTGAATCACCGTCTAGTACTGTAGAAGCGGCGCGGAGGAAATTAAGCGAGGGTTTAGCGTGGCCGTGGAAAGGGGGGAGCGCTTCGACATGGGCTGGTTCGGGAGGAGGTGAGATGTGTCTGAGTAACGGATGCGAAGTCAATTAACTGCTTTGTAGGATGTGATGAAGACAAGAGTTTGTTTTATCTACAAGTTCTAAGGGAATTCGAGATGGTTGAGGGTGGTGATACCAGTCCTACGGTGTTATAAATTTTCGGATGGAATTTGTGGATAGCCTTTGAGTCAGAGTTTAGTAGCCCTCTCTAGCACGTGGGGTAGTGGGTCTTATTTGTTGCACTAGAGATGAAACTTCCTCAATGACGGGGGCTTAAGTTAAGGTTGAGGGTAGGATTAATGCCAAGACTTGGTATTCAGACCCTCAAGCGTTGTTAGTATGTAGAAAGTACACCAGATTTTATTTTCCTACATGGCTCTTGCAATTGTTTTGTGCAGTGAGTTTTGTGAGGCGATTCAGATGCAAGAGTATGGTTTTGTAATTGTCAAAGGCAGAACATCTCTGTGTTTTAGAGGGTTCAAGTCTTCTTTTAGTCTACCATGCTAGCGTATTCTTGCCCTGAAGCTCCGCGGGTAACTACCGGAACGTACCTGGGTACGGGTAATAATAAAAGATCGGGAAAAGCCTGAAGCCCAGCGGAAGCAGGATTTCAAGATCCAGCGCTCGCAGATAATTGTAAATACAGAAACATTGGCATCTCACAGATTTGATTTACGTTCTCAACAGGACATAGAATCACTTAGGTTTAGAGAATCATAGTATGGGGTGACGTAAAATGATAATTGGCATTCTTAGTTCGTGAGCACCAGCGTACACTTTCAGACTTTACTGCTCTTTGTTCTTCCATAAAGCTATTCCTGGACTATACTGAAGGACGGCTTTCACTTGATCATATCTAAAGGACTATTAGTACTCCCGATACCCTGTGAGAATCATGAACAAGACCTTTTTTTTCCAAACAAATATTGTAGAGTGTCATCACGAAGCAACTACGTGTTCCTACGAAAACGTTAAGTGATATATTACTTGTTCAACCATAATTCGACTTAAGCGAGAAATAGAATCGCAATAAATCTCTCTTTAAATCAATCAAAACATAGTATTGCATCATCCTCCCTCATTTCATCCAATAACTCCCTAGTTGTCTCGTGATATTATCTTAGTCTCTGTTAATACAACTTAGCTTTTGCTAGCCCATCGACTAAAACACGTGAAGTCGAACTACACAACAGCATCTTCTGGAACTCTTGGCCAGATAAAATTTTCTGCCATGACATCTACACTTGCTCGTTCTGATCTGATCGAGATGGTGATTAGCCGTGTCAGATCAAAGCAAAATGAGTTTAGCGGGATCACAATAACGTAGAATTACAGCTCATTAGTTAATACGAGTGTTCAGATCACATCACGTGGAAGCAAAATGAGTTTAGCGGGATCAAAATTCAGTCGACACGATGTCGCGTCTAATCACCGTTTCTACACTTAAATACGCACCTCTGGTCCTGCTTGAGTTTCCTTCTTCTCATGTTCCCAAGCATCCTCACACTCACATTTCACACACAGTCTTGCCAACTTCCCACTACTTCTCGCTACAGTCTCACAAACACATCAAACCAAAATGTCTTCCATTGATCCGTCCGTTTCTGGCATTCATCCAGAATGGCTGAAGCTACAAGACTTCCAAGACGACAAACGCCCAGTCTCCGCCCTCGTCAAGTTTGCCAACAATCAACACGTCGACGGACACAACTCCAAGCTTACCACCTTGATCATCGCCCTTTGTAACGTGACGGGGTGGTCGGCGGACTCCATCTCCCTCAAGCTCCGACTACAATTCGATGTACATCTAACGGCTCAAGATATTTGGGACTTCAACAAACAATTCATGGCCGCCAGAGACAACCGAGACTTCGACGAGGCGGAGATGAGACTGATGGTCATCATGGGAAGAACCGCACGCGCCTACTCGGTAACCGTTTTCAGAGACAGACCAGGCAAACGAATCCAACACACCCCTCGTCCTGTCGTTAACCCCTTCCCCCGACACTGGAACCCCGTAAGTACCCCATTTCTTCTCATTGACACACATCCACTAACAACGCTCAGAATCCGAGAGACTTAGCACCATCCACTCAGTTGCTTCCCGGATATTCGGCGGTCGAGCGTCAGGCACATGTGAAAGAAATGGAGGCTCTAGGGCTCGACAAATTCCACACCAAGTTGTTCCCCCTCGAGGAAAAAGCGCTGGAGCAAATCGGACAGCAGCCCGCCTTCATCATCACAGGACTCCTCCGTCGCTGGTTCACTGAAGTATTGGATGCAGTTCGCCTCCTCCCACCCGAACATCCACTCGACATCGCCTTCCATGACCAGCGTTCAGCCCAATACACCCAGACCATGCTCAACAACCTCCAAAAGGTCTTCGGCTCCCACGAATTCACTGGTATCCCCTACGCTGATGGCCTCATCAAAATCTCCTCGTTCGCCGACGGCTGCCGCATCCTGATGGACACCTTCTTCGAAGACCGTCTACGAGTCATCGCATACCTTCGAGACCTACAGATTCGCCAACAGCTAGCCAGTAAACCAAATCCCTTCTTCAGCAGACTCGACATCAAAGATATCGCCGACGACGACAAAGAATGTCCCATTTGTCGTGAGGAATTTGGTGACAACGACACCGTCGCGATCCGCCTAGACGTCTGCTGCAAGAAGATCATCGGCGCCAATTGTCTGATGGATTGGATGAGAATCGGAGACACCTGCCCTTGTTGCAGACACGAACTTGGTGTTGAGTTTTACCATCGTCTGTGCTTGGAGGTGGAATAATTTGGATTGGATAAGGATTTTGTTTCATACTGTACATACTACCTTGCTTTGTTGGAGTTCTGGAGTTCATAGAGCGAGCATAATACAAATCCTTCAATCCCAAATGACTTTCAAAAATTGTGGCAGTGACTCACAACAATTGACTAAATATGTGAAATGTGCCAACTTGATTGATACACTAGTGATAGTTCGTCAATTGTTTCAAGGAAATATTATGTTTCGACTGCCACTTATCTTATCCATTGGGAGCTTGCTATATCTTGTCGTCGTTGATGTGCCTCATCATCGCTGGCATAGTAAGTATCAGTATCTATTTCCTACCCCCTTCAGCTAGTTCCCGTCACTATCTTTTCGTCACCACCTTACCGTCACTGCACCTCATCGCCACCATACCTCACCGTCGCCACATTAATCTTAGTATATCTTATCGTCGCTACACTTCGCTGTCGCTCAAATGCTCGTCGTCGCTCAAGAGTTGTTGTCGCTTAATCGTGTTCTCGCTTAATATTGGTTGTCCCCCCTTTAACAGTCACATTCGCATCTTACCGTTGTCGCTGCACCTTACTGCCGCTGCACCTTGCTGTCGCTGCACCACAGTTGTCGCACCTCAACGTCGCTGAGCTTATTGTCATTACCCCACATTGTCGCTTGGATGCTTATCGTCACTTAATTTTATTCTCGCCCAAAAAATAAATATTGAGTTCCCACCCCCGTTTAGTAGTCAACTTCGCGTCTTTTAGTCGTACCTTCCCTTCGCACCTCACCGTCGTCAACTTACTGTCGCTTTACCTCTTCTTCGCTATTCCATTTCGCTACACCTCATCGTTTTTGCTATACATCCTTGTCGTTGTATCTCATTTTCGCTCTACCTCATCGTCGCTCAAATATTTATCAGCGCTACTTCTCATTACCCCCTTACTTTAATCTCGCTACACATCGTCGCCCTTGTATTGTTAGTTAATATATCTTACTGTCGCGACGTGCTTGTCGCTGTACCTCCTCCTGGCCAAACCACATAGTCGCTAGCCTCATCATCGCTCAAACACATTCCACAAACATGTTTCGCCTTCGCTCATATGCTTGCGGTCGCCATCTACTGCGGCTACGGCTGCTTCGGAGCCTTTGAGTATTAAACAGTATATGCTATTCTACCACGTTATACGACAAATAGTTAGGTATGACGATGACATCTATCTAGGCGACAGAGAATATGTAAGAGTCTATAGGGAACACTAGGCTTCGTATAGCGACGAAGACGCCTTCTGTCTAGATTCATACAGTTGTTGTTATAAAATCTCCTACCTTAACTTGTGCCAACTCGTACATGCCTCGCGGAGAACAAAATAAGTGACAGAACCATCTATATATCCTGTTCTTAAATCAAATTAGAAACGTCGGATTTCAGCTACCCCTCCCTTTTAGTGTAACACAAGGTTACTTCGATGCTAAATTGCAAAGGTAGATGTCGTACAGTAAGAGGGTAATTCATCTAAAAATAACACCGTATCGTATTGTATATTAGTCAAAAGAGTTGATATTTTTCTTGCCTACTGCGAGATTTTAGCTTCTCCTCATTTAACTTTATTCACTGTCTATCTTTCCACCATAATTCGAAAGTGACTCTATACACCGTTAATATTTCATGAAGCTAGAACTTGAGCCCACTGACTTGCACTAGATACCTCCAGTGAAGACAAAAATACCCAAATAAACAGAGATATTCCAAGATAACGATGACAAGCGTTTTAAACTTCTGTTATGTGAAAACAAATTGAACTATCCAACTAAATCCTTCCCATAAATCCGGTAGAGCTCGTGTGCTTTTTATTCAAGTAAACATTTTTTGTTTTCAGCCACGACACTGGTGCGACCTGTTTGCCTTTGTGTAAACACTTGCCACTTGTAGTGAAATGACAACTCATGAACCGTTAACGTCTACAATTGCAGAACGAACATTTCATGTCTAATGTTATCAAAAGATACTAAAAGCCATCACTCTCTCTAATCTTTTTGATAATCGCTGAATACATATGCTTCTAACCCCCAAACAAGTTGAGCTACTCTTCAAAACTATAGGTTTGCAGAAGAGGCTGTATCTGCCGAGTGCTGAAAAGCCTGAGCACAGATTTGTTTGTTGGCCAAGGACAACGAAAATCGAGATCCTTTCACTCGTGCAAGACTTTCGGTCGACAGGACTTTGATTTACAACACAGCGATGATGTTTATAGTAATTAGCATCGTTACTAGAGGCCAATCCAGCAGTTGAGTCATAAGGGGGAGACGTAGATCGCTGATTGTCGTCGTTGCTATTCTGAGGGAGGAAGAATTTACTGTTGATAATGAAGAGGCAATAGTTTTGATGGATGTAAAAAGACTCTACAATAGCACACGAAGGCAGTCCGCCTCAAGTGGGCTCTTCTAAGCTGAAATGTGTGAAAACTTGCGAGGACTTTTCTGCTTTTTACTAGAATTAAGGAGCTTCTCTGTGGAAGGAAGACTCTTTGTACATGACTGGTTTCTCTAGGTAGAAAATTGAAGTTTTTGACGAAAGATTGAATTCAAGGACTGCTAAAAATACACAATTGCTGTTAATCACAGTAAAATAAAAGGTGATTAAACAATAATGACAATGCTCTAATATTCCTGAGCAGACCTAAGTCAGAATTTGAGCATTTATCCCGGACGTCTAATCACATGTACTTGTTCTGAGGTACTGTCAATGAAAGTGTAACGTAGTATAAATGATAGTCATTCTTGTACTAGGAAACATTTGACGCCGCGAGCTCGGTAAAGAACTGAGCAGTAGGTTTTGAATCTAAAGAATAAGCGTTGTTTTACCGAGTTGGTTCAATAATCAAACTACGTAGTTATATCGTGTTGGCTCGTGTAAGTCATCAAATTCTCAACTGCAAGAAGAATTTTTGATATGATACAAAGACAGGAAGATGTGTGTAAGTCGAGTTGACGGGAGGAAATGAAATGAATGTAATTTTATAAGCGGAATCAGTAGTCGATAAAAGAGTTTGATTCATTGCGGAATCAAATTGCCTGGCTGGACTGATGGATTTGGAGATGGTGGCAAAGAGGAATAAGTCTGCTCAGCTGATTTTATTGTTCTAGATAGAGTGTCCGGCCGGTAGGTGTACTTGCAGATAGTGAAAAACTAAATAAAATTAGTCGAGGAAACCCGCAGACTCGTTGGTGCGTACAAACGTAGGGGGAAAGGAACATTCGGAGTCAGAGAATAAGAGAAAGAAAATTTAAGTCGTTACTTGGTGGCTTCATGACTTAATTGGTAATAACCTTGAGTGAACAGGTAAATCAGTTTTTAACCACTAAATGGCTTTAGATCTGGAGGCTTTAAATCTGGAAACATCACGCGTCTCGAAACTCTCATGCAGCTCTCATTCATATTTCCTTTTCAACCCTTACAGGCTATAGCATAGAACACTCGAGATGTGACATTTGAACCCCGCATTTGCTCATGAGAACATAAACCTCCGTCCGCGCATTATGATGTTCTCTCCCTACAATATTAATTTCCTAACACCACCTATTCCGCTAGCAATCCGCGACTAGTAAAACTCTAAATTTTGTATCACGGAACATTTCGTTTTTTCTTTCTCCACTTCTCCCTCATATCCATCTCACAAATCTCTACCCTACCCAGCAACTCACACATATCACACTTATCACCCCGATCGTTTCCTCTCCATCGAACGTATTCACCAACATCAGACCCCCGGAAACCATCGCTATACTTTGACTTATCACACATCAGCGGTGTTAAAGCGGAGTGTGGCGACATAAAAACAGAAAAATGAGGTTCTCTGTGACGGAGAAGAAGATCACGACAACGGCTGGCCATGTATTTCGTACAAAAGGTGATCTTGCCGTCGTAGCGGCAAAAAATACTTGAAAGCTCACTCACAATGCAGAGCTAAGGTATCCTTTTACAAAAGCCCTAACTAGCGCATCTTTTCAGTCTTCCTCTTACTACTCTACTTCCCCTCTCCTAATTAAAAAAATGCATTGATAGATATCTACATATCCAATCCACTATCAAATTCCTGGAACTTTTGTCAACGACCGCTTACATTCTCCCTCTTCACTGTAAATCTACACGAGGCACAACTCAGTTTAACATAAAAATAAATGTAGCCAAAAAGAAAAGGGAAAAGAAGAATTCATTTCAAAACCCTTATTTTGATATTCCACTATTTCATTTTTCACTTGAAATTCCCACAGCGCTCTTCTCCTTCACTTAACCACCTGGCGCTGCGACAAAGTATCCATCCCCATACATCCTCACACATCCCGCCGTTTCAAGTCCGTGCGTATCCCTTTCTCGACTCAAAGGTATCAACCCCGTCCCTACCACTTTTTCGTTTACCATTTTCTCTTTCTCTCTCAAAAAACGAAAAGCGCTTTGCAATTCCAAAGTCCAATCAAAATAAGATTTCCCACATTTTCACACCCCTGTCCCTCGACCCATCCATCCCTACGTTCCAATTCCAAAAAAAAGACCGTCAAAACAAAAAACACCATTCATCCAACCAAGAGAAAGAAAAGTAGAGTTAGTTCACTACTAATTAATATCAAAACCCCAATCCCCCAAATAAGGCCAGAACAAACCCGCTTCATGCAGAGAAAGAAGGAGAAAGTCGAGGTAGTTCAGAGCGCTAGTTATCCAGCAAAGTGTGGTTCCTCGAGGCAAATGTGTTGTTGTGCTCAACAAAATGTGAGCAGCAGATGTGGCAGTGAGCGAGTATTTATGATAGCGATGTGCGCGCGAGATAGATCCCGGCTGCGGCATTCGGGTGTTCGTTTCGTGTAGGGGTGGTCATAATGCATCATTATATCGTTCTAACGGCGAAAGGCCAGTTTCGAATGCCGTAAGGCCAATTGAAGAATTCCCCACCCATATATATATATTTGGACGAAGAAGCCTAGGTATCAAGCCTTTTGGCCATTCTCTTGTCCACATGTTGCAAGCGTTGTAGTTTATACATGAAGAGCTGTGAAGATCTCTTCGAAATCGAATGTCGTTTCATATTACATTTGTGGTGATTGTTTTCGAGGTCTGACTGAGTTCTCAGCTCGTGCACGCATGTGACTAGCTTGTGTTTCGAGACTACGAGCCATAAGACGAGTGACTATCAAATGTTAGTACGTCGATAAGAATCAATGGAAGTGGAACTGACCTGGCCAAACAGCAGCTTTATCAAGCATATAAGCTGTGACCCTAAGTATCTGGCTGCCGTAACCACAATTATCAGCCAATTGTTGAGCGACGTGGTGTGGAGCTACAGAGCCCAACCCAGTAAGCTCATAATTCATTTTGATTTCAGCGCTGTTCAAGACTTCTTGAATCTTGCCTAAAAGTTTGCAGTCTTCATCTTCGAGTAGCATGATACCAGGTACCTGACCAAAATCAATTTCGTCTTTTCCGAGAATGCCCATAAAACTGCCCACACGTTCTTGAACAGTTGCAACCCATTCCGCTAGGACTTGAGCACAATCGAATGCGCACATAGCCGACTGCAGCGGGAGCTCACGAGAGGTAAAATCGGCAAAAGTGACGCCTAATTTGTCGGACATGGAAAGTGAGTCCGCAGCATAAAAGGCGGCTTTGCGTAGGTGCCGTTCTCGTTTCGAGGTTGCGTGGGTAGTTGACGTATTTAGGGTATTTGACATTTGGACGTTGTCTTGACCATTAAGTCCCGGCATAACATCCGCTTTGAATTCGGGAGAAGAGGTGGAGGTCGGAGGTGTATCCACAAAAACAGAACTAGATGTAGACATGTCCGAATCTCCATTTGATTCTGGAGAATGTTCAGCATGCTGAATAATTTCATTGCCACGAGACAGCTCCTCGGCCATACCATCCCAATCTCTCTGCCAAAATTTCTCTTTCGATCGTGACAGATTCACAAATAATCTTACGTAGGCGAGGTCAAGAAGTGGAATGCTATCGGCTGATAAAGGTCCATAACCGAATGGGTTAGGACGCTCAAGGCTGTGATGAGGATTGTTTGCCCAGGCTGCTTGCCATGCCTTTAAAGCTGGCTCGATGTGTCTGTGCATCTTCTCAGTCTCCTCGTTTGTCCAAACGCGGTTATGATGTCGTTGTCTCGTCTCCCATATGTAATTGTGTATTGAGTTGATCAACACTAAACACCCAAACGTGCTGGGTCGTAGATCACTTTTTGGAAGCTCTTGAGGACTATTCGATCCAAATGTCTGACCTTGATCCATCTTTTGTTGCTGTTGTCTCTCGCTGGTTTTCAGAAGCTCGGCTAAAGCGTCATGAAAGCTGACCTGGTTGTGATTCGCCATCTGAGCGCCGCCCTTTGAGTAGAAATTCGTTGCTGATTCTGCGGTCCAGAATTCTTCGTCGCATGGAAGATCAAGCTTGATCTCAGAATTCGTCAGAGCTGGGGCATGATTGTAAGCAGACACAAGTAAGCTCGACAAAATAAAGACGGCATATAAAGTTCTCTTTCGTTCCTCCATAGATTTCCAATTGTACCACTCCTGTTGATCGTCTGGTATATCTTCACTTCCCCAGTGTCCTGCCTCTTGTTGATCCTGAACACTGCTGACGCTTTGAGGTGTCAGGAGCTTCGCAGCTCGCGCAAGGCTAACCAGAGCGGCGCAGTGGGTGCTTGCAATATCTCCAGCAGTCTTGTCACCACAATTGTGACCGTAAACCACATTCAGCAACATAGCCTGGACCAGCCAAACTGGGGTATGAACTGAGTTCTCGGACGCTCTGACGCCGTGGTCAACTCCTGATTTTCGGTGATCGGCTTTGCGCACATCCGCCTTTCGGCGTTCTTCTAGGTATAATTGAATCATTTTCTTCGCAGATTCGAACAGCTCCTTCGACTGAGCATGTTCCAACTCGTACAACGCACCAATGGCGGCCATAGAAAGGATGAGGCACCCGCGTCCACCGACTAAGCCAGCAGCTTGAGTGCCGTCGCCGTGGATTGTAGACACATCGAAGGATAACGTTGAAATATGAAGGAAAGGTAGATGTGGTTGAAAGTATCGAATATACGCTCCAATGTAGCGCTGAAGGTCGTGCGTGCTAGGAAGCGTCCGCGGACCTTCAGCCATTGCAGGAGCGCGGCTATTGAAGTGAGGTGATAGCGGGGAGCTCGTGGCAGGGAAGGAATATTTTCGACCGCCATAAGGACTACATTGAGCGAGCGCGCTTAACAGAGCCTGCCGGGTAGTGTCTGTAATGGTAGATAAGGGTAGCAGAGACTGAACGTTCAAGCCATTGACAGATACTGGAGTCTCAGGTCTCATGTTCATCTGAGGAGGGTATGCTTGTGTGCCAAATCCAAGCATTGAAGGGCTCATACCGGCGGTCATGGACGGTGGAGGTGTGGAAAAATAAGGATCATTAATGTTTTTCTGGGACATGTTATGAGGAGATAATGGGCCGTTCATCAAATCGCTGAATCCTGAGTTCCCCATGTCCATACCAAAAGGGTGAGACGCTGCGTGTGGGGGCCCCATCATGGATTGCTGCCACATGGAGGTCGCTTGAGCCGCTGGATTATTAGAACCATCCAACATGACCTCACTAATGCCGCTTTGGCTAGCGGTGCTAATTGCCGAAGGCGAGGAACCATCAATGGCATTTTCGTTTCCGTCCTGGAATGTCATCTGCTGGTCAAAGCCGTGCATCCAGTCAAAGTTATCATCCAGTGCTTGGCTAGCAGACATGTCCGGAAAAGCCTGGTGGTAGGGAGACTGCGCGTCCATGGCCATTGACTGTGGAGAGTCGTTGTAATGGAGAGCATTGGGATTAATGGTCGTGGAGCCTGGGCCAAAAAGCAGTCCTTCATAGTCAAAGTCGGCATTGTTAAAGCCGCCAGCAACTGGCGCTGTCCGCAGACCACCACCGTAATCCATATGATTGAATCCATGAGTCTCCAACTTTGGCAAGCCATGATTCAACCCTCGCTGGCCCATGGCCGCAGACATACCACCAAAAACATATTCATTCTGCATGGGCAGTCCAGCGAGGCTGGGATGACGGCTGTGGGTGGGATGTGTAACATTGATTCCGGCTCGAGCAACAGTAGCATTCGCCGCGGCCATCAATTGCATGTGTGCACCATCCACATGGCTTATGGTATTGGCTCTGGGTCTCATAGTCGCCGCGGCATGGCCATTCGCAACGGATCCTTTTCGCACTCGACCCGGCCCGGCCGTACTATTGCTAGCCACACTCTCCCGACGGTTTCTGGGACGAGATGACGGCGTCGTGGTCATATGAAGCTTCTGCTGGTGCCGTAGCAGCAGGTCCCGCCGCGCAAAACATCTCGCACACTCGGGACATTCGAAGGGCTTCTCTTTTGTGTGCGATCTTTCGTGTCGCTTAAGATGCTCCAGTCGAGCGAATGACCTCTGGCAAGTGCCGCAAACATGAGGCCGTGGTTTATCGGTTTTGGGAGGAGGGAAATTGTTGACTGGTTTGGAATTCGAAGCGCCTGCAGTTATTTGTGTTAGAGTAGGACTGGACAGTAGGGCAAGCAAAAAGAAACTCGCTGCTCCGTCATCTCTCCCACACAGGCAGCGGCTGGGTAATGGCTGGCCTACCGTTGTCTCCGTTGTTCATACCACCGGCAGCAGCGGCATTGTTGGAGGCTGTTGCGGCTGGCATTCCGAGATTTTGAGGTTGTAGATGTGAGGACTCGCTCAGCATCGTCGTCCACAGCGAGAGTGGTGGGAGTGGTTGTCGCGGTGGGGAGCAATGGCGGGGGAGCTTCCACAGTCGCAGTTTAGCATGTCACCACTCTTTCAACTTATTTCTGGCGGTGATTGTGGTTGTTCTCAATCCGTCGTCATTCAGTCCAGCTTTGTCTGTGTCGGGTGAAACTCGTCACTCAAGAGAAAGAGTAGAAGCAATTCTTGTGGCGATCAGGTTGGAAGAGTAGGATGGCGCTCCCATTTGGAAAGTGCTCATTCGACTGGCCGATGGGACAGCGAGGGCGGGTCGGTGCTGGGACTTGCAGGTAGGAATTGACCTTGCTCGGCTTGGGTGAGCTTGGGTTACGACGACCAAGGGAAATGATGCTCTACAATGCCCGCGAAAGCCGAGATTGGGCATGGATACGCGTTTGGCGGTTGTGGTTGGCGGGAAGAAGCTTTGTGGGCAGCCGTATAGCCAAGGGTCCTTTGCGTGCGTCACGGGACAAGAGGACTACGGCTGCCGACTGGGCAGTTCTTCGTCTCCTGACCAACCCTCATCAATGATTCTATCAACTCGACTTCTCCATCCACAATCATCCAAAACAACATCCTTCGTTAATTCTTCAAAAACTGCCATGTGCGGGATGCATCCATCTCCGGCCCATTCCTTTACGACTCACCTTCATGTCTGCCGTCCACGATATCACTTCACCTCGCTCCTCTGCGATCGAAACGATTCCCATCATGCCCTCGACCGCCGTTTTTAGTCTTTAGCCGGACTCCAAGGGTCCTTTAAAGCTTACCGGCGCCTTCAAACGCTCCTCTTGGACCCGTGGGAGACGAAAGCAGCAAATGTGTGGTGCGACAACGGGGTACACTGCACGAGACATGGCACCAGAGATGGCCGAACGGGTGGTAAACGCTTTTTGACAGGAATCGACACACAAGAGCTGGGGCATCAGAGACCGCCCATGTTGCGTGAAGGGCATCGGACGCCAAAAGCAGGACCGTCCTCCGATCACCAAGCATCATTTACAGGACAGAAAATTGCGTGTGGTGGACCGCTGCTGCGTTTTGCTTGTCACAGCCACGCTTGCACTTGACGCCGTCACAACACTACTGTATAATGGCAACTAGCCGTCTCCGAAAATGTACCTCAGAGTCTCAGACGCACATGTAGGGTATAGCGGCGCCGGCAGCAGGAGGAAACTAATCTAGTACATTTTCAAAACCACACAGGAGCCAGCCAGGCACGACTGTCGAACGGGTCCCAGAGATCGTTCCTGTGGTCACTCTTGATCCAGAACCATGTCATATTTTACTCAGACTCCGTCCGGGGCTGGATGACCTCGCTGACCAGCTCGGCAAGAGAAGGATAGGCGAAGCAGAATCTCAAGCCACGCACCAGCATCGTCATGTTCTGCTCGCTCGTTTCTATGTCGGCGGGTAGAGGCTTTATCGTGACTTCTAGCAAGCAACCTTTGACTTTCGCGCTGCACTCGTTTTGCCGCGACCCGGTTTGGGAACTGCAGCAAGGTATGGGTCGACGGTGATGAACAATTACTCTATACGTGTACAAACTCTAAGATGATTTCGGATATCTCGTGGACCGCACTCAAACTCTAAAGCTCTACTAGCCGCCCCACCTAAGACCGGAGGAGGACCCTCAGTCTTTTCGTCGGTCGCGAAGCTCTTGGTGGGGTGATCTCAGTGTCGTGGGCTATCACGGTCTGGTCTGGCGTCCAGAAGCTCTTCTCTGTGGATCAACAAGATCCCATCTGCACGACGACGACAACGGACCAAAGAAGAGAGCTGCAAGACATGAAAAGACCTCAGAAGCATGAGTGGACTCAAAGGGCAAGAGAAAAGGCTGGTAGGGGTAATTTGGGAAATGCTAAAATCCGAAAGAACAGGCAATTCATAGCAGGTTCCTGAATGGCTGACTGCTTTACGCAGTGGAAGGACTGCCGCTGCAACTGATATTAATACTACACAACAACTCTATTTTTTGAGCGACATGCCTTTCATACCAGCCAGGGCAGGCTTGATATTCCGGCAACACTGATGAAGAAGCCTTTTTCTCGGCCATTGGATAAGTTCTATTATCTCGCATCCCCCTTCTTAGCTATGTTTCGGCAGGCATCCAGGGAGTATCTCGACATGCGGTATTACACGACAGGCTTCTCGAGATAGCGGGAGATATAACTGTGACCGGCGAGGGAGATGTTGCCGTGTAGCAGGCTCATCGTCGGCACAAAGTAAAGTCTACTTTGAAACGCAGCACAACAGATCCAATCTAGAGCTCAACTGGCTGCGCATCAGCGGAAAAACAGCGTGTCCGATGATCTTATTCGAAGCAGAGAAAGAGCGGCTTGATGTGTGTGTGGACCCACTGCCATACAGAAACAATCTGCTGGGCCCTTTCCGAGCAACCGAGGAAGATGATAGGGCGGGTTTCCATGTTATATGGGTCCAAAATGCAGAAAACCCTCAAACTGCGATGTGGATGCCACTGGTCAAGCAGATGCAGAGCATCATTATTCTTGTACGATGGTTGCAAACACCTTCATCTTTCGCAATACTTGCTAAGATTGCTTGAAATCGCGAAGGTCCTACGCAGTTGCGGACTTGAGTCCGAGTGTAGTTGGTCGCGGCTCCGCGGATCCCCAGATTCCCCTGATCGATATTTCCTCCGTTCCACACCATTTCCCCCGCCATTTATTGTTTCTTGAAGGTCAGATAGTGATCAATGCGGCAAGCCTAATACGAACGGACGGTGATAACATGGCATGCTTGTATATGTCAAACTGTCAGTCTCGTGGGAAAAAAACAGAAACTCTGTACCTGAAATTATGACGATATGATCGAAAAAACCACCACTTTTACCTGGTCTTCATTCGCTGCTGTAACGCATTCGAATTGCGCGTCTTCGTGTGGATGGATTATTCTTCCCCTGTGGTGTTCTGCCCTTCTGTGGATAGGGAAGTCTTCATCCTGCATAACCACCGGCGAGACGCCTCTTTTGCCATCGGTTCAGGGTATTACCGTGCTCTGTCACAGCAATACACAAGGTTAATGGGTACGGGTGTGAAGGGTTCTGTGTTCAGGTGACAGACTAGTGACAAGAGTGGCTGGTTCACCTCACGGCTTGAATACTTGTTTCGATAATAGAAAACAGCAGGACGAGGTCAAGAGCACGGAAGACGGTTTCGAATCCAGTTAGTCGCCAGCATCACGACTAGCAACACCGTAACTCTTTTCTTCGTGCAATGGCACTCGACAGTCCCTTGTTAGCCGAACATCACAGTACACTCGTACAAAACTTCATCTCAACCGGCCAAACGAAGCTCCTTTTCCCTTCAAAGTTCGGCGGTCGGCCATGTCAAATGATATGCTCTGCTGAGGGTGTGCTGCTTGATGCACCGCTTCGCAGAAGACATTTAGAATGTGCGCCACCATCTGCACGTTTGGGTATGTGAGATAAAACGTCTGGCCCTGGTAACAATTCCAATCTGCTTGTACGAATGGCACCCCTGAACTGATCGAACCATAACCTTGTCTTCCCCAGCTTTCAACAAGCCACTTCGGCCGTCAGTCCAGAAGCAGGGCTTCACAGAGACGTGCATCGTACTCGAGGTTGGATGGCCTCATTACTGCTCATCATTTTTATCCGGATTTGCTTTGCATACCATCGACAACTACCGCGAAGTTCAGCATATCGTTTGGACTCCTGGTTACCACAACTTTGGATGGACTCAAAAGACAGTGTATTGATTTACCACATGGTCCACATTTCGGCGACAGTATAATTGACAGTCCAACCAAAAAAGCATCTCACTCCGCCACGTCTACGAGTACGCCTCAGCTATTCTGCTACCACTTGCACAAGGTTGATCTAGAACCATGCGGTAGTACCAATCTACCGGATTGTAAATTGCTTTTGATGAATCTCTTTGGCGGCCATGAGGTTCCGTCATTGAGCAATCAAAATTTTCTTTCCGAGACATGCTAAGGTCATACTTTGCCGTCGGTATCTCACCACGCATTTAATATATGAGCTCTGGCCGTCTCCGAAACGCATTCACCCTCACCTACTTTCCCATTCCCAAATGCTTGGCTCACTTGAATCAACACAATCACCGATTGGGCAAGTCGGGGAGATGTTACAAATTTCAGTAATATTAAAACGATTGGTCGATCGTGCTTTGAACAGTGAGTTCATGTCGATATCAACCAAGGTGGTATCAATACTACCACTCCGTTTGCATAATTGCAGAAAATATGCAAATAGTAGTCATCGACCTTTTTTAGTTACCGGATGTGCAATGAAAGAAATCCAAGCTGTCAACAATCCGTCAATTCGCCTTCTATCATTATCGATTCGCAAAGTCCTAACTGGGCGAGTCAGGCGCACCTTTTAGAAGTATCTGAGCAAAACACCATGGCTTTTATTGGTTGAGTTCGAAACCGTCCAGACTAATATCTCAGATCTGGATCTTAATACGAAAGTTGAGTTCCAATCCAGTGCACCGGCGCGACTACCATAAGGCGCGTGATATGGGAAGACCCTTTGGTTCACTTTGGAGTCTGCTAAACTTGGTTAGAGTTTGGCATGCCAACTTTGGTGCCAAATCTACAAACATTCGCGCGAGTTTTAACACGCAGTAGTGTTTTCTAACCGTCAGGATGAGCATCTCTATATACCAAGATAGCCTCAAACTGTCGGTTTCGCTCTCGGAAATCTCTATCAATTTGGCAAAATGAATTCATTTGTTTCTTCATGGTCATACTGCATTGTCGAGGACTCCAGACAAACGGAATGGTTCCGAACAGCAAACCCCCCGATTTTTGATCAGAAACCTTTCGGAAATCTTGTATCACTCGAGGTCACTGATCGACCCTTTGCAGATTCGCGACGCAGTTCCCTGCTTCGACAGACCCTGGTCATTAGCCATTCATGACAAACGCAGCAAATAAGGCATGGCTGGTTGTCGATCCGTCCAAGACGTTCAATCCCACCAACTATTGTGAGGTAGGAGCCGCCTCCGGTGGCTTATGGAATCGATTTCAATCCGTTCCACCCCCGGATTTCAAATAGTGGCGCCTCTACCCCTGAGCAATCCAATCGCTGATCAGGGTGTCGCTCATAGAGGGGCGGCAGAAGGCCGCTATTTTTAATGTCCTTGGCATGTGTACGAGATCTTTCAAGTTGGACACTCGAGGGATCAGCGTTTCCTAAACTTCGAGAACCCTTTTCTGTACAGCGAACTGTGGAGAGGAACACACGAAGAACGAAATTATACTTCCAAATACACCGGATCAAACTGCTCGAGGCGACCACCTCTTTTCGGGCTGATTGCAAGCGACATGTTCCTATAAAGTGGGACGATATTATTGTAGCTTTGTTTCGCAAACTTCGGACTTTTGGAGCAGATCGACTGTTCCGGCCGTTCCATGGGTAACTTCGCTTGCGCGTCAAATTGTACGCATTTATTTTCTATTGCCTATACAATTATTATCTCGCTTGGCCGACAACATCTGACTTGGCCATCTCCGAAGTATACGGTACCGTCCTCGCTTGCCCTTCCCTTTGCCGAAACAAGCAGCACGCATACTGAGATGCAGAGAATTTTCCGCAATTGGTAACGTGCTGATCTCTTTCTGCTTTCTCTGCAAGAAAAAGGAAGCACGCCCACGATACGGGATTTCAGATTCTTCAAATGCCACGCTGCATAAGGTTGTGGTCGCATATTTGCGTCATTATAAGCCCTTGGAATGGGTGTGTAGGTGGGATATCCAAATGTGCCGGTGGCGATTAATTTTCCCTTCTTTGTCACCCTCCGCGATGCGACGATTTGGTACTTGCTAATTGTTGCAGTTCGCATTCTTGCCACATAATTTTGCCTTTCTTTGATTTTACATTAGGCATCGCTTCCACCTCTTACTCCGTATCTTCCGACGAGAATAATTACTCCCGGGTCTTTTCGATTTCCGATTCATCGGCCTTCTCAGAAGTTGCCCTGCATATTTTCATTTCTCGGCCCTTCGTAATCGCTGTTCGGTATGTTGGGAGACGAAGCATCCAACAGGAGTGTAGAGTATCATTGCCACGGTTCGGATGCATGGTCAGTCGTCCCCCGATTGTTTAAATCCTGCACGCAGGGCATGGCAGGCTACTGTGTGTATTTCTGGATTTGTTGATTGTAGCAGGTGGGTTCAGGATATCCGCTGTTTGGGTGGTTTGGTAGGGCTAAGGTACTTTGTATTGTTCACTGGGATGTGGAGTGAAATCGGTAGGTACCTGAGTATCCCTGAGATATTCGTTTTACATGTTTGTTTTGGGAGACTTTACTTTTGGATTGAGCGGCAGTGGGTTTCCCACACCCCATTTCAAGAGATGGAATCCTCTTTTTTTTCACCCTCTGCGCTATTCCACGATCTTTCTGAAAATTTACTCCTACTCCCATTTCTTCCACCATTTTCCCCAAGCAATCCCACTTTTGCCCCCTTCGGTTTTCACATCCACCCCCATTATCAATCTTGTATGCACGTCTCCCAACAGATGGGACTCGCCTTTAGAAATTCGTATCCACATACCTCGAGGCCGAGAGCGAAGAGTGTTTTTGTGGGTGATAGATGGGTGCGCGGATGGGTGGAAGGGTTGGGGGCTTTGAGGGTATGTGGGTTCTTTCTCTTTGCTGTTTGCGCGAGATGGGTTTCGACGGGAGTGACGATGGTAGGATGGGAGGATGGGAGGGAATCGTCGTTGGGTTTGTGAGGTGGATGGGTAATGTATGTAGTGTTTTTTCTTTTCTATCTGAACGTGGTGGTTGGGGTTTTCGGGTTTTGGGTTTGGGCTTTGGGACTTTAGTTTTGGGCCTATGGGGTATGTAATATCTTTATCTTTTCTGTTTGCGCAAGGTGGTTTGGGATGGGAGTGGCAAAGATCGAATAATAGGAGGGAGCCGCTGTTGGGTTCGCGTGGGGGATGAGTTTTGTATGCAGCGTCTTTTCCTTTCTATTTGGACAAGATGGCTGGGGTGGAACCGGTCGAGGGAAGGTGGAAGATATTTACCCTCAGGTCTTTAGGGGCTAGATGTAAGTCGGTATTTGGTCTCTGGGATGGAGATGGGGGTTGTTTTTGGGGTGGTTTTGAAGGGAAGGGATTTAGGTGAGTTCGAAGACTTTACATTATCTTGTTGCTGATGTTTGGGGGGGGGAGGTCTTGCATTTCTTTGACTTAATGGTTTGGACGGTCTTATTTTCTCCACCTTCGTATTTACACTCCTTTTATTTCCCTCGTAGGGTTGGATTAGAGGGGGGGAAGGGGAAGTGGGTAGACTAGCTTTTCTATTTTCTTTTATGCAAGGTACGGGCTGTGGGAATTTGCGATTGAAAGCTTTTCTAGCAACTATTCTTACCTCGGAATCCCAAACCACCCGAGGGGTCTTGGAACCTATATCCCTTTATCTCTCCACCTCGCTATAAAAGAAAAGCATTTAATAGTCAAAATCACATGCCAGTACCCCAAGTCACGCCTTTTATATTATAATCCCCCTATTCATCAAGACTGCCGGACACCTAGTCACTTATATTCTTTCACAAATACTCTCTTTACTTTATTTGTCTGTACGAAATGGTTTCTTTTAATTAGAATCTTGTGTACGAAGAAAGAGGTTTTAGGAAGTCGATTTTCATATTGCGGGGTTTCCGTCAGTTCTAGAAAGGAACTAGGGAGGTAAACCTTCATCTTCGCTAATTTTTTAAGGGTTTGGAGAGTTTTTTTCTACTGGCGCGGGAGGGTACTGTATAAACATGGATATAGTGGGCGGTCGTGTGTTACGTTTTTAGGGTGGGGGGAGATGAGGTTTTGGAGGGGAGGGGTTTGGAGGAAGGGTTGTGGAGGGAAGGATGTCGCATCTCTTCCTCTCTCTGGAAACTCCATCTCCTCCAATTTACTGCCGTCGAAGTTCAGATCATCGCCGTCGTTTTGGTCAGAATGAGTGCAGCAGCGCGTACCATCTAAGGCTTTTTTGAGTTATGCAGTTTGCTGATCATTCTTGATGTATGCTGTTATCTTTGTTTTTGGTTTTGCTGGGTGTTGGGTGCTTGATTGGGGATGATTTAATTGGGGGTGATTTGATTGGGGGTGGTTTGCTTTTGAGGGAAGGTTGGGAGGGGGAGGGGGTGTGATGGCGGTTTTGGGGGGTGTTTGGTTTTTGGGGGTGGGGAAAGGGAGGTCGCAATAGTAGCGTGTACTATTTAAGGCTTTCTTGGTCTTCTTGAGCTGAGGGGTTTCCTGATTCTTATTTTTGATTTCTGCTGCCATCTTTTCTTACTATGTATTGTACTGGGTTTTTGGTCAAGAGTGGTTTGATTTTGGGGGTTAGTGGGAGGTGTCTGGGTTGTAATCGTACTGCTTTTGAGGTTTTCGTCTATGAGAGTGTGGGAAGGGAGGTTGTGAGATTGATAAGTGGATGGTGTTTCGCTTCAGGAGCGGACTGATAAAGACCTGGGTCGAATCACTAACAGATGGAAGAATTCTCCCCGTAATCTTTTCGAAAGAAAGTAAATTTCTTCTCTCTAACGCGATAGACTAAAGACATCTCGTCTGATTATACTCCTTGACGTAATTGAAAACCTTACTTATTTAGAATTACAACAATTGTTGTAGTGTTGAAAGTCTGCTCACAAGACTTTATAGAATGAGTCGAAAAATTCGTACCCATGGTGAAACTTTAATTTAGATTACATGGCGACTTAGTCTCGTATCTTCCTCTCAAATCGATGACCACGCCTTAAATCATTTGGATTGGCCTGCGGATCATCTAGGAATCCTTCAAAATCCATCTGAGTTAAGCGAGACAAAATGAGGCTTCTGCCAGGAACGCCTGCTAAGCTTACCCTCCTCGCGAGCTAAGCGAGCCTATCGCTGCGAATATCTCAGAATCTTGATTGACATAAGGTTGGTGTTTTACTGAGCGGTTATTGTCATATGTTTAATCCTTAGTTGGTGTGGAAATCGACTTCGTGACCACCAACTTAATTCCTCCAACAGTGTGGCCTTATTGTCCAATTCGAAAATTGCTGAGTTAACAGTACGCCTCTCTTATGTCACGCGCAGTGACATACAGTGCCGTATTTCCAGGTATGGCCAAATCCCAATGACCTGCGATGAGGATGCAACTTGCGCGAAAGGTGGTCAAGTGTCGAACCGCATAAGTTGATGAATGTCATTATGTCATTAATCTTTTGGGATTCGGGAAGAAAATATGTGCTCTTCAGTCTTGATATAAAGTAACCAGCTTCGTCCTGTTATCCCGCTAAGTTGCTCTTCGCACAATTTACTCTCCTCCTTACAGAACATTTCGTGTGTTCGACATCTAAAACATTGTTCACTATGCGTTTTAAACACATCCTTATCCTGGCCGCACTCAATCGCCTGGCTTTATCGGTCCCAATTGAACCAGAGCCGCAGCCATCTTCAATCACCAGCGCACCACCCACTTCTACGACTGATGCCAACAAAGCCGCACCTCTTGTCGATGGCAACTTACCAGCTCCAGCATGTGCCGGAACACCAGAGAACTGCAATCAAGAACTCGCAAAACCAGCAGATGTTCCCTGTGAAGGAAATGTCGAGGAGTGTGGCAATTTAGATGGTAACGTCGTTGAGACGATTCCCAAAGTCGGGCCCGAGGAAGCACCAGGCTGTGGAGCAGACATTCCAATAGAAGATCTACCAATTGCACCGGGAGAAGTCCTGCTTCTCAGCTTGTCGTTGGACGAACTGAAAGCCCAAGTCAAACTCCAACCAGAGGTTTTTAAAAAGGCAACCACGCCGGCCCCAGGATCCGTACTCCCTTTGATCATCATGGAATCTACCAAGGAAAACCTACAAGCGGTCGGAATCAACATGACAAAAGCCCAGATCAAAGAAGACGAGCAAAAGAATCCAGATGCGTATATGTATGGACCGCCTATTGCGATCGAACTAGCCGAAGCAGCAAAGACATTGACGTTCCAACTTGACATCTACCAAACCGTGGATGCGGCACCAGAACCCACACCCGCCGTACCAGGCGGAGGTCCAGTTCCTGCGGAGGCCACACCGGCTGTGATGCCCGCAGACAGTCCATATTCAACGGGGGATCCTAAATTGGACGATTTGTACGCACAATCGGATAAGATCATGGATCAGATCAACAAGTACCAAGATGAGAGACAGGGGAAAATGGATAACCAAGCGTTGGAGGTGATAAAGCAAGCTCAAGGCGGTGGAGGGGCTCCAACGCCTGGAGGTGCACCCGTTCCGGGGGACAAGAAACCGGGTGAGAATGGAACGCCTGCGCCTGAAGACGGAAAGCCAAAGGAAGGTGATCAAGCGAAGCCTTCAAGTAGCACGGCGCCTGTACCTGCTCCATCTGCGCCGCCGGCTATGGCGGGACAACCACCAGCTCCTCCAGCAATGAAAGCCAGAGAGGTCAAAGAGAATCTGCTAGGGAGAGATGGACCGCATGTTCATCATGCTACGCCGAAGCTTAGAGTAAGAGAGGCACAGCCGAAATCGGCGGTTAGAGCTAGGGGGCTCAATGATAAATTGTTGGGGAGGAGTGGGTATGGACATGTTCATCATGCTAGTGGGAGGAAGGCGTGAGAGAATTGAGATCTAGCGTTGGTTACAATTTCTTTGAGCGAATTTTAGGAGGAGGGGGGAGTTATGGCCTGGAGCCTGATGTGGAGGTTTTGGAATTTGCAGGAGGTGGCTGGAATTCAGTTAGTTTGTGTTTCTTTTTATCGGCCGGTTTTTGGGATATTCATGGTATTTTGGGCGTATAAGGGGTTAAGGAGAGGACCTAACTCGATTGGATACCCTGTTCAAGGTAAACTTTTCATTTGTCTGTATGAACTAACTAAGAAATTTAAAAAGATTCATTGATCTTTCTGTTCTGCCAAACTTGAAGATGTCTCTACTTGTCGTGTTTTCCCCGTTAAGCCTTTAAAACATTCTGCAAAACGAATAAGACTAAACAAGATTCTTAACAATAGAGAAATGATTATTGTATCTAACTGGAAAGACTACGGTACTTTCTATCAACTTACCAAACGGCGCAACGATGTCAATATATCGCATAAGTCTCTGGCTTAACGTTTCTTTAGAAGATTTACGAACCCCGGATGAACAAAATAAAAATTTGACACGCACTTGACGACTAAGCTTGAATCAACTTGGTCGTAGACGGCTTTGAGGGCTATTTCGTGGAGTATCATGAGTGAGAGAACTCGTGGTGGAGAATTGTACGGCGTGACTCGTCGAGGGGACAGCTGTAATGGACGTGACAGCTTGAAGTCGCACTTGTGACTTTCTAACATCACTGATGTATTGGAACAGACGTGATCGCTTTTTCTGGGCCCTCAGAAAAATAATGAAATAATAACGGTAACTCGAATAAGCTTCATGCGTTGTGGCCAGTATTTCCGTAAGAACCACAGCTGTTGCCCCTTTACCCGATTCCACTCTCCACACTTAAGTTATGTCGAATTTTCATCTACTACTCACCGAGACAAAAGAAATGATGTACCCTCCACCGTAAGTTCACCTCTTAATTTTGATTGATACAGTGTTTAATTTGAGACGTAGAAATATAAGATATAAGAGACTCAAATAACAACTAAACAGCAACTGAGATAAGATACACCCAAATTCCAGAAATTATGAATCCGTTATCCAATTACAATATCAAGTAGCCACTTAAGTGAATCCATGTGTCCAGTGCTCTAAAGCAATGAAACACTCGCAGAGTATCATCCTTCAATATCTCTCTCCACCAATCTGCCATCCCCGCGATATCTCACTTTCCCATCTCTACCAAAATATTCACTCTCCTTCAACTTTTTGCAACGGTCTAGTAAGCGTTGCAGCCGCCGATGGGTGTCATATTTCCGTGTCGTTTTTTCGTCTCTTTGCCAAGCCGCCCGGATCATATTGTAGATGTCGGCATTTTCTTTGTAGATATATCGTGCATCCGAGCCCACTAGTATATCAGCTGCTATATCGAGTGCCGTTTTACCATCCTTATTGACACGATACAAATCTAGCTCAGTTACTAATAGTAGACGAGCTACGATAACAGAGTTATCAAATTTTATAGCTTTAAAAAAGGCTGTGTCTCCTTCATGGTCGGCTTTGTTAACTTCAATTCCTGGAATCTGGAGAAGCTGCTCCATTGAATTAAGATGGTTCTATTTAGTCACGAAAAGGAGTGCCGTATAGCCACAGTCGGTAATAGCATTCACATCTAGTCCGGGTGCTGACAGTAGCTGAGCTATTACCCCCTGCCCCCCCTCGTCTTGTCCACCACCTATGGCAAAGTATAGTGTGGTCTCTCCACTCCACTCTGCTACATTTAAATTAACATTTGGCACTGAGAGCAGCCGATCGATTGCAGTAAGATTCCCCGCTTCGACTGCGATATGTAGTGGTGTGCGCCCTTCGGTACCTCCCTTATTTATCTCCAATTTCGGCTCTTCAACCAAGTGATCTAACACACCTAGATGTCCAAAGTCGGAAGCAAAATGAAGAGAGCTATAACCCGGGAAATCATCGCCCAATTTAAAGACATAGAGCCATGGAGATGTGCCACAACCATCGAGCGCGGATGTATATAATTCTATGGCTATAATGACGGACGGGTGTCCTCGTGGAATCTCAGCTTCTCGAAAATGCTTGAACCAATTTTTGAAAGCGTAGTCAAGGAAAAAGTGTTGTTCTAGAAGTCTACGGCGAATTTCGGGGTAAAGATCAGAAGTTGCATCGTTAAATGGCGCTAGCAAATCAGCCTTAAGCGCTAACTGTAGATACCAAATGCAGGCATGAGCTAGACCGTGATGAGAGTCTTTGATAGAAATGGAGCTTTCCCAGACCCAAGAATTTGTTGTCGGTTGATTAAGCACTTCTCCAGATCCCAGTAGGAATTCTTTAGCGGTCTGGTGAAGAAAGTATACATACCCGTTGATGACAGTTACGAAGAGTCCACAGAGATCGTTGATCAAGGACTTTGCATGTTCCTCCGAATAGACTTCCTGATCATCAATTGTGTCTCCCTCCTCCAATGTCAGGACAATTATCATTTCATTGAAAGAGAGTGGCCGGGACGCAACACAAACAATCTGCAAGAGTTTTTTGGCTTGCTCTTTGTCTTTGCTCTTGTTGAGAATTGCTGTGTAAGCGGCATTAACAGACTGCGGTATTGAACCGAATATCTTTCGTCTACCCTTTTTTGTGAGTGAGTGGGCATCTGTCGAGAGGAGATTAAATATCAACTTCAACCATAGGTATGTCCTGTGCTCAACTTTTCCAAGTTCCTCTCGTAATTCGGTAATGATATCTTGACTCAGTTCGTATTGCTTTTGAAGATTGACAATTTTGTGGTCTATGACAAGATTGGTTTCACGCTGAATCTGACCTGTGTCCTCCTCTCCGGCTAAAAATTTCGAAGCAGAGATTGTTGGTCAGCTTGTCTACATTCGTCCAGAGCGTCAAGAATGCAGATAATTTCTCCAGCACCTGGGTCTGCAGAAGCAGCAAGCAATATCGACCATAAAAGTTCTACATTACTCTGAAGCGTCGACGCATTTTGATCATAAAATTTCGTGGCATGGCTCAGAAGTTTAGGTTTGTGTTGAAATAGCTGGTGAAGTAGAGCGCACAATGCTTTTGATAGATATTTTTGGTCCTCGCTGTCCTCTTTGAAGAAGAAATAACACACGGTACGCGCTGCGGTGGTCTTAATCTCGCAGTCCACAAGCAACTTAGATAGAACGGATTTGCCGCAGCCCGGAAGTGCAGAAACTAAGAGAAAACTTGAGGAAGCGCAGGTCAACCAATTCGTATAGTGTGCATGCTGCAGAAACCATTGGCATGTTCCTTCGACATGGCCGGGATTTCTACCTTTGTGGCTCTCGTAATCTGTTGTCCTGAGAACCTGGTGGCATTTACTCTTCATTTCGAAGCGGGAGTCGATGATAGGATTTTTGTGACCTGATTATTGTCAGTGAAGTTCTGCTTATCTTTGTGAGATAACATATGCAAGAATAGAGTATGAGTAGCGCGGTGGATGCTAAATTCTGCAGTACTCTGAACTAAAGCTAACTGAGAAGCTACTAATAAAATCAGAATAAGCTAAACGGATTATTGTCCGTACACGTTGTCGGACTAGCATGTTGCTATTTCGTTGTGTAACTTATGTTGACATACTTTACCTTATCATTCTTGCAAGACACTGAAGGAGGTAACTGAATTCTTACATACTCAAAGATTGAATTTACTTTGCTGCCTTTGCATCTATATATTCTACAATGTCCAATACCCTTGAAAGGACACTTTGATAACCCCCATCATATTCTCCCGAGAATTTTACCATGTCGCTGTGATTCGCATTAATACTTTGATTCTGAAACTGGCCGAGCACAGCTGAGCTTTCCGGAACAATTTTCCCGACACCGACAGAAGCCTTGTCCTCGAAGAAGCAATATATGTATATATTGACATCGGTTCTTCCAAGAAATTTAAGAAATTGTTGATTGATGGCAGTCAACTGTTGGGAATCTCGGCCGAGTTCAACCAAAATATCAGAATTCACCTGTCGAAATGGCCTGAAGTATTTCGCGAAAGCATAGGCCCAACCTGCAATACCGACGCCTCCATGGGGTGTGCCCATGAATATGATACCCCTTGTGGATTCGGAAACTTTGACTAGATTGGACTGGTCTTCTCTACAGATCAGGACTGCCTGCTGGCAGACAAGGCCACCTAAGCCATGAGCAATGAAGTTAATTGGTCGCTTCCTATGCTTTCCACGTCGATCTGAAGCCGCAGTTGCCAAACTTTCCCCGTGTTTCCTAATGTTATTGCTTCCCGGTTGACCCCATAACTTTACGACGTCGGCATCGTAGCCAAAAGTCATGATACGGGCGTACGGAATGTCCTTTGCCAACTGGTCTGGCCAGAAGAATCCATTCTGATGGGTCCATGTTTTGTCGCGGCTGCCAATTAGGCCATGTACAAAAACGATATCAAGAGTTGGAGCCTCTGGATCGGCAATAATGCGCATTCCTGTACCCCCTTCTGTAGAATATAGGTCTGCCATCGTTCCACGATCTGCTTCAGTTGCTAGGCCACTTGCTTGCGGAGTTGGGGACTCTGTGATGTTGGACGCTCTCTTTGGACTAGGCTCTTCTCCGTGCGATGATGCCGCCCTTATGCGTTTAAAAAAGCCAAACATGTTGATATCTCGCTCAGTGACGCGTGATACAAAGGTACTTTTCTATTCAGCTGCCAAATCAAACCCTGTCGAAGCTGCTCTCTACTCTTGGCTGTCGCTCACAAAAAGGGTACAATCTTTGAGTTCTCGTCAGCAGAGTACGCCAAACAAAAGGTAGGGTCACTGACCTTTTAGATTGTGAGATCCTGAAATCAGCAAACCCGAGAACTTCGCTGCACGTCCTACAATTCTTGTGAGGATATAACTCTTCGTTGTCGTCAGGTACGGTTATCGAATTAAAACGCAAGCCACTTATGCGTATACTGCCAGGCTATGCTCGACACAACCAGAGGGCTGAGAATCTCAAGACAGTCCTCAACGCTCTTTCCCAAGCTCCCCCAAAAGCTCGCACTGCTTTGGCGTTTTTAGACTTGATAATTCGCAAGTGACAGTAAAGTAAGTGATACTGATGTCTGTAGCAAGATCCATGTGGATATTCGCATCAAATGGAATGTTGTTGTAAAGTTGAAAGAGGAGAAGAGATTGAGGTCGTGACAAAATGTTCGACTACCAAATAAACCAACATTCGACGCTATAATCAGGTGAATCAACAACCGTGCAGTAGCCTCTGTCTTATTAACAGTTCATTTGTTTGTATTTACATAAACATGAGCAGATTACATAAGTTAACTTACAGTACCTAGGTACTCATATTCACCTGATTCACCTTACTCACTATTGAAGCTAGTCAGAGATTCGTTGGAAAGAGAATTGATTTTACTCACTCAATTGACGATCAACTGATGGGAAATCTAGTAACTTTAAGCGGTAGCCAAATTTCTTATAGATGAAATTAGTATTAGTTGGGAAGTTGACAGTAAGAATGTTGAATAATAAAATCAACATAACAACATCCAGATAATAATATCCAAACAATAACATCAAATATCAGGCTTCTGATGAATCAAGAAATGGCTAATTTTTCTGTTTGACCGGAACAACCTGGCAATTATGGCCATTATCAAACACAGTTATCTGTGAATCAAGAAACAGTAAGTAAGGTTTTAGTAAGGGTTTTAGTAAAATAAAAGGTCTAAATTTAATAATTTAGAGTGAATAGCTTATAGGTCGTGTAAAGTGATTATACATATCTTTTGATGACAGTCAAATTTCGAGATTTCTAGCTGAATGTAAATATAATGCAAAGTCGTCAAGTGAGAAATAAAAAAAACAGACGATCCTCCGTTCTAATTCCATCTCTCACATTCTAACTCTCAACTTTTGTCATCAATCGTCATTAGAAGGCGGTATACCCTTCGAAACCCGTAGAACATACCTATATAGAGAACATCATTTCAGTTGATAAAATCGAAAGACAGCAAAACGCTCGTGGAGGACCTCTGAAAAGGAGCTGCAAATTAATCTGAGAGCGAAAGAAAATGTACAGGAATGTCGAGTACAAGTACCACAAGAAGGATAGAATTATCTCCTGATAACTCCTTGGTGGGCAATAAGCGACCCAAGCACCTGGCGACTGGCATTGATTTCTCTTCGAGTCGGAAAAGTAGCGAATTTAGAGTCGGAGAGGTAATGAAGGATTCTTTACTGGCGATGTGGGTGTTAGCTATTGCAAGTTATGCAGGGATGGAAGATGATATACGTACGGTAACACATCTATTTGCAACCTCTGATTTGTAGTCGAGTAATTTGTGAGGATGTGTATGAAGAGGGGAGAGAGGGAGGGAGGTGGAGATCCACATCGTGACCCAACAACACGATACATATCTCGCAGTTTCGCTCCTTCCGTTGACGAGCACCACCCAACGACAACCAACTCGTGGATCGACGAGATCCAGGGTCCTGCGTACGAGATCCCGGATCTCGTACACCAATTGAACAATAATTTGCATCCAAAGGTCCGATACCGTATTTATGGATATAGTAACGATGCTACTGAGAAAAACCCGACTTAAGTACTAAGATATTCTAGGTTAGATAGAGAACTAGATATAAATTTCAGTCGGTAAGGTGCTTACTTATGAGAAAGTTTACTTAGGGAAGTATTTAAAAGTAAAAAGCGATACTTATTTTTATTATAGAGGTGTTTGTTATAGCGGCTTTCCTGAATACAATACTCACTTTGAAAACCAAACAGCGGATTCTACGAATTTTAATCAATATCCGGGTTCCAGTAGATCCGCCACCTGGTGTTCCAGATCCTCACGAGTCTCGAAAGACATGAAGAAAAGAGAGCACATCTGCGCTGACCTGATGCAAAATTCAGAATTCAGAATTCAGAATTAAAATTCAGATACATACCGAGCTATACACTTTTCATAACCAAACACTGATAAGGCATACAAATCACAATCCACTTCGAAAATTTCAAACTCACCTGCGCGGGCTAGAGATGATTAGCAAGAGCACTATGAAGAACTACGATAATAGAAGAGGATAATGTATTCCATACCAAAGCCTAAAATCTAGCAATTCCAACGCCAAAAATGCTACCCCGTCTCAAGTTATATTACATTGTATAATACACCACCCATTCCACACCTCGCACATATGTATACATCTTTACAGCCCCTTACCTTCTCCCCAACTTCCACCTCTCAATCCTCTCCTGAATATCGCTCCACTTAAAATCCCTCCTATTAACCCCACTCTCATCGCCCTCCTGCAACACCACAGTCGGCGCACCACTTCCATCCCCCTTATTCTTCACCATGCCACCAACGACCAATCTCGCCACTCGTCTGAGATCTTGAACAGTTAATTCTTCGATCTTACGACACATCTCTTTAACGCCGACTTTACGGCCGTGAACCTGGACTTGACGGCCTAGATCCTCGAGTTCGACCATACGGCTCTCGAGATTCATGAGGAGGCTGGAACGGAGCTGATTCTTGGCGCGGTTTACTTCAGCTTGTTGGAGGGATGAGAAGCCGGTGTCGAGGGTAAGGGCTTGAAGTTCTTTGCACATGACGTCGAGCATTGCGGTGACTCTGTTGGGGGAGCAGCTGGATGAGATACCGAAGAGGCCGGAGTCGGTGTAGGAGTGGTTGAAAGCGACGCAGGATTCGACCCAGCCGTGCTGGTTCAGGACATTTGTATAGAGTCGTGAGTACATTCCTTTTCCTGGTCCACCGGCTGAGAAGGAACCACCGCCTCCGAGAAGAGTTTGAAGTGTTGCGAGTGCGTAGATGTCGTCTGAGGAGATGGGGAGTGCTTCGAAAGCGAGATGGATGTGGGTGAGAGGTGGGAGATTGCCTTGTGGCGGTGGTAAAGCTGGAAGTGACAAGAATCCACCAGTATAATGAGAAGGTAAAGACAAATCAGCTGATGAAGGTAGCAAGCTGGTATGCGATGACACTGAGGCTTGATTTGACGCGGAGGTGGACAGGTTTTTGAAGAATGGCATTCGGGAGAGAAGTTTCGAGGGTTGTTGTGGAGGAGTTGGTGGAGTCGAAGAATTTGAGGGTATACTGTTTTCGCTGGATTGCGACCCAATCGATGTCTCTGATCCAGTTCGTGATAGATTTGGCGATGAAGACGACATGTCTCCAAAGTATTGCTCCGTCAGCTTGACAGCTTCCTCATGTTGTACACCAGCAAAAGCTACAACCATCCTCTCCGGCCTGTAAAATGCTGTTCTATATGATTCCACAACACTTTTGTCAATTTCAGACAACCTTTCCTTTGGACATAACAGCGGATTTCCAAGCGTATTGTCCTTATAAGCAGCCATATGCACTAACTCTGGCAAAATCAACTCCGGCTTCGACCAAATTTCTCCAATTTCGTAAGCCGCAGTCTCCAGTTGCTGATCAACCTCTTCCTGGGTGATTAGAGGATTGCGTATCGTTTCTGCGAGTAGAGCAACGGTTGTAGGTACTGCTGAATTGAACGTCGCAGACTGGTACATCAGAGACTCCCTCGAAGAAGCGCATTGTATGTTTCCTCCCAATGATTCCAGCGCCTCCAACATCTCATCACTCGTTCTTTTCGTCGTCGATTTGAACGCCATTCGATCCATAATATGACTGACTCCTCGTAAATGTTCATTTTCGTATCGTGACCCAGCATCGATATATACTCCGATTCCGGAAAAGTGCCCTGGCAACGCTTCTGTCGCAACTCGAACGCCATTTGAAAGAGTAGATATTTGATCTAATTCTGCGGGATCCTGATAATGCGTTAGAATGCAGCGCGAAAGGAGAGGGTCTGAGTTATGCTGGGCGCAAACCTTTTGCATAGGATCAACCACGGTTGCCAGGCCCCTTGACCGGAAGGTTGGTAGAACATCAGGAGCAAATGGCTTCGAAAGAACTCTCGTGAGCCCTCTCGACGAAGAACATTTCAACATGATGATAATGTACAAGTTGTTGCGACGTCCGCGTATGATGTCGTTGTCAACTTGTCGCCTCGGACAAAATATTTTGACTCCGTGGTGTCACAGGGGTCCGAGAAATCGGCTTGCCTCGTGATATTGTGGAGGGGAAGTAAGACTTAGTTTGTAAGCTGCAAGACCGTTATATTTACAGTTTATTTTGCTCTGTTATAATGAATATCAAATTTCCCTCATTAAGTTCTACACATCAGAGTTATAGGAATATGTAAAAACAGTAGCCAGCTTGGCTAATGCCACGGATTGAACTCACGGAGTTTAGCTACTCAATCAGCACTTCTACGCGCGTACTACCAACGAAACAAAGACTATTAAGTGACTTTAAAGCATTCTATACGCTGTTATGTACATATCATAACTAAGTCCTTACTCTTGTAACTGGACTAGGTCTTTAAGCGGTCCTTCTTGTTGTCATAGCTGGCAGCTCTCAATGAAGCTAAATACAACCATACGAGAGATACATCCACACTTCGGCCCAGGCCGGAAATCGTTATCAGAAATATTCACCCGGTGATTGAGTACTATGAACCCCTGTTCTGGACCAGGTATCATAGCTGCGTGATACTTTGTGTCTTCTCGCTTCGACTATTCTCGTACCATATGAAAAGCTTGATCTTCCTAGGTATCAAGAATCTATGAGAGAGCCGTATTCCCATAGTATATATTTATTGAGTTAGAGCAGCATGTTTAGCTATTCAATACACTTCAGTCCCCTCGGGCAGCTGGCAAAATAAGGCAATTAATACCAGTATCTTACATAATGCGGGTACCCCGTCCTGCGTCGAGCTGGCCAGCTCTAGATGCTCTAGATGTTCCATGTCGTGTGCCAATCCGCCACTCAATCCAAAAGCGTCTTGGAGGTTGCTGTCGCGGTTAGTGGGAACCGGTGGGCAGGCGAGCTGACAAGATAATACTCCATATCTCTTAGAATTGTATACATTTTCACTGTTGAATAATCAGCTCTTGATTTCTCCATTCGCCTTTAATCAACTTCCTCAGCACCAGCATACAGAGGTGCACAGCTATCCAGCCTCACAACCCACACCGAGATCCTAGCCATCTCAACTGGACTAACCCACCTATTCTATTGTCTCAAGCCGGGTTGCCTCGTCTTTTCTAGAATGCCAAATACGCCGTGGTAACGAGTAAGCCTCTTAAACCTTCTTCCCGTCAATGGTCCATGCCACCCGAATAATTCAAGGCCGCCCGTCACACTCACACCATTTACTTTCTTCCTCCTCCTGGACCGGACTTTCTCAATAATTTTAACATACACTGCTATTCACATCCAATATCAGTAATAACGATTTCTTCGTGGCCAGTTTTTACGTCAAATGTACTCTTCATCTATACCAAGTCCGCCATGGCACCCAGGTCCGAACCTTGACCGAACACCTCCCTCGCCTCCTCTGACATCGCCAGCTTCACCCTCACGCACAAGTCGCCTCAGAGCTTTGAGTTACTTGCGAAGCTACACCCAAAGCCACATCCTCTCTCGCGATAGTCACAGCGGTTCGAATACTCCAACCAGAACAGGAAGACCAGGAGTTGCGCGGGCCAGCAGCTATCCTTCACCCTCCCCATCGCCTGCTGCTGCAGCTACTCCTGCAGCATCCTCAACCCCACTCCAGCATCAGCTCTCGAGACAAACATCTCCAACTGCGCAACGAGCTACAATTACCGCCGACGTAACTTCACCAGATAGTCACGCTAGCAGTACGGACAACTTGGGTGAGACCAGTGGGTGGTTGCCAACAGTTGGTGGGCTCAGTGCGGTGTCTCGTGTTGCATCAGAACCTCAATCCACCGCTACTGCTTCTTCTTCTGCGGTCCTGGCAGGTAACGATCCGGCTACAGGATCGACAGCTACAAACTCGATGGCTCGAACTCGTGCGGCGACCATTGGGGCAGATATTCCGGAGGGGTCAGAGGCACAGAGGAACCAGGCTCCCGGTCAGAATGGTACTACGAAAGGAATGGCTCATCAGCTTCCCTCGATACGATTCCTAGCACATCAAGATCCCCGAGCGACAAGACCATCACTGGCATTCCAACAGATGGCACGAATACTGCCAACCGGGACTGAAACCATCAAAGTAGGCAGATATTCGGAAAAAGATACCCAGCCATCGGCGGCAGCGAATGTGCCATCAGCGGCACCTGTTGGATTCAAGTCTAAAGTGGTCAGTCGGCGTCATTGCGAATTCTGGTGCAAAGATGGGCGATGGTTCATTAGAGATGTGAAGAGCTCTTCAGGAACGTTTCTCAACCATATACGACTCAGTTCACCCGGAACCGAATCGAAACCATATCCAGTCAATGATGGAGATATTGTTCAGCTAGGAATTGATTTCAAAGGAGGAGAGGAGATGATATTCAGATGCGTCAAGATCAGAGTCGAGCTAAATAAAGGTTGGCAGGTTGGGCCCAGCAGTTTCAAGTAAGCTCAGTATTTTGTTCTTCGAACCAAGACTAACGAATTCTAGTGTCCAATCACATAAAAGACTTAGAGAGTTGAATAACCTGGGGAAATCAACTGGTGGTGGATCTTCACAAGATTGTGCGATTTGTCTTGGTCCAATTGCTGTAAGTCGTCTGCTGCCCGTTTCAGCTGCTATGTGCTGACCATCTATGACAGCCCTGCCAGTCACTGTTTGTCGCTCCATGCTCGCATACCTGGCATTATAAGTGCATACGAGTTATCATCAACGGCCCTCATTGGCCACATTTTATCTGTCCAAATTGTAGAAGTGTTGCGGATCTGGAAGCCGAACTCGACGATCCATCGGCAAATGCAGAAGACTCAGCTGGGGTAGAGGATGATGGCGGAAATGAGATCAATCATGGGGTTGGGCTTTCGGGACAGGAATATGACGAATTAATGCACAGGCTGGAAGGAGAGCCTCAAGAAGTTAAAGAAGCGGTTTTGCAGGCCACAACCAGGAGATTAGCACACGAACCTCTGGAGGAAGTAGAAGCGGCAGCTCTTGAGGCAGCGAAACGAAGACACGCAGAACGATCATCAGGGACAACGACAGCTCAAAATGCATCGGAAGAAACTCACGACGAAGAGCCCGACCTTGAAATCGGGGACTCAAACGAAGATTCAGACTCAAATCCAGAAAATGGCGTCCACCATATGACAGACAATATGCAACACCTCAATGTTGACGCGGCTCCATCACCTGTAGAATCAGAATCACACACCCCTCTAATATCCAACTCCACCGTCCCACCAGTCGATATCGTCAGCCGCGGCTCCATCTCCAACGGCTCAGGACGTCAACCAACCGCCCTCAGCAGGCCAAACATTAATGGCCGTAGCTCAACTCGCACTCCAAGCCCGAACGGCACATCCTCCTCTCTCGACGTCGTCCTGACTGGCACTGAAGGGCCAATGACGCCTCGAAACGACGCAGGTCCGTTCATCTTCGATGGGAGCGCGGGCAGATTGAGTGACGCGCGGCCTAATAGCGTGAATCTTGCTGCTGCGACGCAGGGATCTATCAGTTGATGAGGTCGAAAATGCGGGGTATCGTTATCTTTATATGAAATGCATTTATCATGTCTTTGATCTTAGCGTGGTGTACATTGGGGTTTGTGCTTTGTTGGCTGGGTTGGCTTGTTTGTGCTTTGCGGAGGTGGTTGGGGTAGGTATGGAGGGAGAGGAGTGTATAAATAGATTTATGTAGAGGTAATTAGGTGGTTCATGTTAGCATGGGAAATGGAATTGTTTAAAAGAATGTTGGATTTGTAGTCCTTTGTGAGGGGGTGACATGATGAGTGAAGGGCTGGTGATTTCATGGCTCTGATGAGATGAGGGATCATGCTAGTGGGCAAGGATATCTGTATGTACTTCACCAAACCCCTCTCACTATTGGCATTTGTACTAACTCCTCCACAGGTGTTTTTCTTAATTCATAGTAGCCTAACAAAGTTTTATTTTCTTAGTTGCATCACTGGGATACTAAAACAATTCAGAAGATAGAGTACACGTGAATTAAATACTCACTTTGTAACCACTCACCAAGTAGGTAATCTATAACAGCATATATAGCCCACTTATCTCTACTAACCCATCCATCTCTAACCATCCATCTTAACTAGTAACCATCTATTAAACCACCCACCCAACCCACCAAAAATGTGTCTCCTAGACTTCCTCTTTAACTTCCTAACTTCAACCTCCGATCACGAAACCCCCAACGCCATGACAACCATCTCCGACCCCCCAAATGCCACCCTCGAGTAAGCTCTCCTCCTCCCCCCTCGAAACTCACTAACATCCACGACAGTATAATATACATCCACCCCCTCGACCCCCCACCCAACCCCTTACTCACCCACCTCGCCCACACGCACGCATCATAACCTACACACACCACCCGAGCCTCGCCGACTTCAACGACCACGGCATCGACCTCGCGCAAATGGTCAAGCAACGACGACACGAGCAGCGCGGCCGGCCGCTGATATGGATTGCGCGCGGGACGGGCGTGCTGGTGGCGAAATCGGCCATGTTGAGTTGTGAGCGCTGGGGCAGGAAGTTGGAAGATGCGGTGGTGAGTACGCTGGGCGTGGTGTTTGTGGGGGAGAGGGGGGAGGTGGAAGGGTTAGGGTGGAGCGGGAGGAGGAGATGGAGGGGTTTTTTGGGGAGTGTGGCGGAGATGGGGAGGGGTGTGGAGGAGAGGTGGGAGGAGTTGGTTGGGAGACGGAGGGGGGTTAGGGTTGCTTTGTTAATGGATAGAGGAGGGGGGGAGGTTGTCAGAGAGGTGGGGTGGGGTGGTAGTGGGAGGGATTTAGATGTGATGTATGAGAGGGTTTTGGAGGAGGTAGAGTGTTTGAGAGGGTTAAAGCCAAGTCCGACATCCTAATCATAAGAAATTAGTCATTTTCAATTCTACTACACTAATACAACACAGCCATTCTCACACTTCGGGATAGCTCTCAAGTTTAAAGGCATAGTGAATTTAGTTTTGAAAAAAAAAGTGCGAGGTCGGGGAACAAGAAACCGACCTTCTTCCTTAACATTTCCATTTCATAACTCCTATAGTTTCTTTATAGAGGATATCACGATCGCTCAAAAATCTACTCTAGTATATATAATTAACTACCCATAAACCGCTCTGCCTCCCTCAAAATTCTCTCTTTCCCCCCCCTCATCCACCCTCACAACCCCAAAGCCCTCCCGCTTCCTAGCCAACCCCTCAACGCCTTCCCCCACAACCCACCTCATCTCCTCCAAACTCCTAAGAAACACTCTCATCCCCCTTCGCTCCACCTCTTCTTCCTTACAAAAAACCACACCCCTCGTAGCACTCAACACGCGTCCTAGCTTGCCGTCATTAACCGAACACCGCACCAGCGCATCTTTACACGCCATGTCCCCCGTCCCGAAAGCGATCCAGATGAGCGGACGTGCCCGTGAGTCAAACCGCTGGTCGGAGATGGCGAAGGTGAGGTTTTTACTGATGCTTTGGACGGTGAGGGAGGTGTTGTAGGTGTAGAGGAGGATGCGGGCTGTGGGGAGGGAGTGTGCGAGGTGGGTTGCGGTTTCGTAAGGGGTGGTGCTGGTGGGGGTGGTGAGGAGGAGGATGCTAGGGTTGGTAAGAACTTAGATAGGTATGTCGAAAGGGAGGAGGGACGTACTCATGTGTGGCATTCGGTGGGTTGGATATTATGTTCATAGCTCTGGGAGATTCATCGCTTGATTCCTCATTTGGTTCCTCGTTTGAATGGAAACCGAGAAAGTTGAGAAGCATGCGTAGGAGAGACATTGTTAGGATGTATGGTTTGTTGTTTGTAGAGGTAGCCTAATAGCTAGGAATGTGTATAGGCACAAACTCTCTCACAGAAAGCTGCAGCTATATAAATTCAAAATCACAGTGTGTTCCATTCGCTCGTTTTCTGTGAATCATTTCGCAGTTGCTGTGATTCGAGCGAATGTATCTTGACAAGCAAACCCCTGCAGCTACGAAGGGTGTTTAGAAATTTATCTAAATAGTTTTGTTATTTGTTTTTAAGGAATTAGAGATTTTGACATACACAGTAGTAGGTAAATACATACAGTCATTCCTTATCTCCATTCTCCTATCCTATCAGCCCTGTTGAATCACATTTGCGATACCTACAAACGCTAATACTGAAGTGCACGACATCGACGGCAAGGCAGCCATAATAAGTAATATGCAACAAATATAGATGTCTCAAGTCATTAGTGAATTCGACCTCCAAACTTCCAATCCGGCACCTATCATCTCAACCACACACCATTACAACTTCGCACCCTTCTCCCTGCCCATAATCTCAATCATAGACCTATAATTCACATCCTTCACACTTTGCGGGACCTTCGTGCCTGCACTCTTCGGCGCCTCGATATTCCAGGTCCCCAACACCCTCGTTCCAGCCGCAGAGTTCTCAAGACAGGTACCACCACCGTACTGACCGTCGGTGACGAGCTCGTACATGTCGGCTGCCACACGCTCGGGGGTGATGGTGTGGGCTGGGTCGTAGCCGAATTGTGTCATTTTGTCGGGGCGAGAGAGCCATAGGGGTGTTGCTACCATTCTAGGAGGTTTGTGAGTATTGTAAGAGAAGTCGAAAGGGAAAGGAGACATACCCAGGCGCAACAGCACAAACTTTAATCCCCTCCAGCCCATCCAATTCTGCCATCGACCTCACAAATCCGATCACAGCATGTTTCGTAGCGCAATAAAGTGGTGCACTAAACGTTCCCTGGTACCCAGCTAGGGAAGCAGTGATTAAAATGACTCCCTTTTTGCCTTTGCGGAGGAGAGCACGCATGGCTATACGCGTGAGTTTAATGGCGTGAGTTACATTTACGTCGAGGGCTGCGTAACCGTCTTCTTCAGTGTCATCCCAGAAGTTGGACCATGACTGTCATATATCCTATTAGTACAGGTTTTTGGATTGATGAGGGGGACGTACAGGTTCAAATACACCAGCTCCGGCGATGTATACATCTGGTACATCTCCATAATTTTCTTCTGAGACTCTTATCAGGTTCTCTAGATCTGCTCGCCTTGTAACATCACATTTTGTAAATATGGCTGAGGCGGCTTCGCTGTTTATGAATTTCTCGGCTTCGGGTGTGAGTTTGAGATCGGCTATTATGACTTTGGCGCCTTTTTGGACTGCTAGTTGGGCGAAACAAAGATTTATGCCGCTGCCACCGCCGGTTACAACAGCAATCTTGTCTTTTAAGGGGAAGTCGCCGATTTTTGACATGTTGTTAATTTGATATGAGATTTGGGGGCGGGATGTGAGGTGAGGTTGGGATGAGATATGAGATGAAGAATAATGAATAGAAAGTTGAGATTTAGAAGAATAAGAATTGTTAAGGAGATTCCGGACGCTACGGAGTAAATCCGTAATTCAACAAACCGAGGACGTCCGAATATAGAAATTGTAGTACTGAACTAGATGGTAGTTGTGTACTGATGCGGGGGTGGGTCTGACCGGAAAAGTATAACCAGAAGACAGGGCAGGACTCAGGAGCACCTCTTAGCTGGCTTTTTGCAACCTAACACAACATATTCGTTGTCTGCACTTCCCAAAATTGAAGGACAAGGACGGTATAGAAGAAGGAAAAGGAAGAAAATTACAATACCATGAACAGGATGTGTAGATACCAAATGGCTAAAGGCATCCGGTGCGGGTTCCCCGAAGGTTGAGGTATGTAGACAACTTAAAGACAACTTTTTCGGTGGTTGTGTAGTATCAAGCTATTAACTATATCATTTCGAAAATGTGATGGGATACAGTAGTGTGAGAGTATGTTACTTCTGCTAAGTAGCAAATGCTTTTTCCCTCGTGTCCAGAGCGGATGTAATAACACAACAGGATATGTGCCCCGACTTTGGTCTGGTCAAGTCGAAATCAAGATCTTAATTGAAGTGTTGTATATATCTCGTCTGTTATAACAAAATTAGAGTCGAACGTATGTATTATGAAAAAGATTGTAAGGTTTGACAGAGATTCGGGAGAAGAACACGAATACGAACTGCGTTCAAGGGTTGTATCGGTGTCTGTATATTTCTCGTGCTTCAGGACGGCGAGGCTGAAGATCAATCTTGTTCAGTACCTGGCCTGCTTTTCTCCTTTTCTTTTGTTCTTTTGTTGATTTTATTTCTCTGGTTTAAATCGAAAATTCCCCCGTTCAGAGGATCTAGATAAACGAAAAATCGATCATATCGGTCGTCAAAGAACAATAGCCAACACTATGTCAGCCATCCCAGCATCCAATGGAGAGACCGGCTTGGAGAAAAAGATTGATGAGGTTAAATTAGAAACTGGGGCGCAGAATACTACAGCTTCAAGCTCAGTAGCAGCTTCATTGAGCGAAAAACCAACATCCGGCCCGTTGAAAACGCCAATTGTCCAACCAGCAGAAGGTATCACTGCACCACCTCCCGTCGCCCTCACCACAGAACAACAAACGAAATACGAATCACTCCTCGAAACGGCCAAATCATGGAAGGAAATACCATCGGCAAAGGAGAAGGGTGGACCAGTTACCGATAGTGAGATTATGTGGTTGACAAGGGAATGTCTTCTGCGATATCTGCGAGCTACGAAATGGAATACCGCAGAAGCTGCAAAGCGTTTACTTGGAACACTCACATGGAGAAGAGATTATGGAACCGAGGAATTGACTGCGGATTACATTTCACCGGAGAACGAGACTGGGAAACAATTGATATTAGGCTATGATGTTGCAGGAAGACCTTGTCAATACCTCAACCCTGGACTGCAGAACACCAATGCTGGACCAAGACAGGTCCAACACTTGGTGTACATGGTGGAACGATCGATCGAGATGATGGTCCCAGGACAAGAGACTTTGGCTCTTTTAATAAATTTCAAGACATCCAAATCGAGATCAAATACAGCTCCTGGCATTGGGCAGGGTCGAGAGGTATTGAATATTCTTCAGACGCATTACCCAGAGAGGCTTGGAAGGGCATTGATTATCAACGGTCAGTTTACAAACCTTTGGGCAGATTTAAAACTAACATGATAACAGTACCATGGGTGGTCTGGGGTTTCTTCAAGCTCATCACACCTTTTATTGATCCTCTGACGAAAGAAAAGCTCAAGTTCAATGATGATATGAGACAGTTTGTTCCACCTCAACAACTATGGAAGGAATTTCAAGGAGATCTTGATTTCGAGTATGATCATTCAACCTATTGGCCGGCTCTCAACAAATTATGTGAAGAAAAATTCGCCCAAAGGAAAGAGCTCTGGATCAAAGGCGGCAAGAACTATGGCGAGAGTGAAATATATCTCAAAGGAGGAAATGTTGCCAGTGTTGGCAGCTCGGCGCCTGTCGTTGTGTCAGAAGAAAATGCGCAGGCTGTAGGAGCCACTCCAGAGAAAGTCCCAGAGACAGATGCTAAGGCTCCTGTGGCTGCTGCTCCGGTCAGTGCTACAAGTTGAAAAGCTTATGTTGGTAAATGCATTTATAGCCACTGGCAAGAGACCGTATGCTCTGCGTAATATGATATCTTAATTTGGACCGGAGAGCTAATAGCAGTTCTTCTGAGAACCAGGTGTATGGAGAAAATGAGAGCGTTTTTATTTACATAGATGGAATTGGTATAATAAATAGACAATCCGATTTAAGTTTTTAATTATTTTGTGTCTTATGATTTTGCCCAAAACTTGTCTTCTGTCAAGCTCCAGGAGCCGTCTCGCTTGAAGCTCTGCCTCGCGACCTCACCTCACCACCCCCAGAACAATATCTCTGAAATGCGCAACCACCCACGCCAGAAATTGTAATCTCCCCATCTGAATCGATGCCACTCATATTCTGCCATCCACACCAAGCAGAATGGCATCATCTCAACCCGTAAAGCCCCCCGTGGCCTCGCAGTCGCAAACCCAACGAACCTCGCAACCCGGCCTCAAATACCCATCAAATGGCAAATCCATATACAACCGCGCGCTGAACCGCAGCCAGAAACAGGAATTGAGCCAGGCGAGCTTCGCATACCTGTTTGGGGAGATGGTGAGTTATGCGCAGAAGAGGGTTACGGGGATTCAGGATCTGGAGAAACGGTAGGTCTTCAATCTCGAGGGCTCTAAAGTTACTTTTATTGTATGTGTATACTAAGTATGTACAGGTTGAATATCCAAGGCCACCCCGTAGGCCTCAAACTCCTCGACCTCCTCCTCTACCGCGAACCACCGCGGACCCAAACCCGTCCCCTCCACATCATCGCGCTCCTCCAATTCATCACCACGACCCTCTGGCGGCACCTCTTCTCTCGTCCCGCCGACGCCCTCGAGAAATCTTCAAACCCGGATACTCCTGAGGAATACATGATTAGCGATAACGAACCGTTGGTAAATCAGTATATCAGTGTCCCGAAGGAGATGAACCAGCTTAATTGTGCTGCGTATGTGGCGGGTATTATTGAGGGCGCGTGTGATGGCGCGGGTTTTGCTGCAAGGGTTACGGCGCATAGTGTGGGAAAGGGGGAGGAGGGGGAGTTGTGGCCGGGGAAGACGGTTTTTTTGGTTAAGTTTCAGCCGGAGGTTGTGGAGAGGGAGGCGTTTTTGGGGAGGTGATAAGACCGTTACAGGAAGACGGCTATGGGGAGAGAGATGGGGGTTCATTTTTGGCGTACTGGGCATGGGTGGAGTTTGGGCGAGGGTTTGGAAGCTTTAAGTGTTATTAGAAGAGCTGATGAATGGATTTCTATACATATAAAGACTTTTGCAGCAGGGTGGGGAATTTTGTGGTTTGAAAGTTGTTATTAGAGCACGCTGGCAAGCTAAACAGGTCATCAACCTAAGACGCCAAATCTCCTCCCAGAAACGCTAAAGATATCAAACTCCATACATCCAATTCCATAATCAATTCATACCCCTCCCTCCTCACCCCTCCTCCACCTTCCTCATCCCTTACACCTCCCATCCTCATCGCGGCAAACTCCTCATCCCACCCATCCCCGTCTTCTCCTTCTTCCCGGGCCCCTTCTTCATCAAATCCGCCAGTCCTAGATCTTTCCAAGCCGGCTCTTTCACTTTCTGCGTCGCTCTCTGGATCCCAAACGCCGCATGCTGGTCTGGCACCACGTCATCCTCGTCTTCTGGGTTGATGGGCTGGTTGTGAGGAGGCACGTAGATCTCATCGTCCGGGAGCTTGTCTTTGCAGAAGTCTTCGAAGAGGTCGGCATCCCTGGCTCGGTTGAAGTGAATGTAGGTGTAGGAGGAATCTTTGGACTGGAGTGGAATTAAATGGGGGAATGGGTTATGAGGATGTAGGAACTGACCATGTTTGATCAATTTCAAAATTTGTCTGTTTTTGATTGGTATTGGTAACTTTGGTTGTTGTTGTTGTTTTTGGCAAGGCTGAAGGTTGACCGGGCGAGATAGAGATAGTGAGCTTAAACTACGAGTTGTCAAGACTTTCTATCTTATTTTTATTTTCATATATTAAGTAGCTTTATTTCACTGTGATCCTTTTCTAGACGAATTCTAATCGACAATTATTAAATCACAATTATCTTCGTGCTATTACAACGATACTTCCTTTTTGGTCCAGACGTTTACTCCCGGAATATGCCCCACCTTTCCCCGTGACCACGTCCCAATCAAGCTTACCGCCTTAGCCCTAAATCCAAGCTCGCACCACAACCGAATTTCGAGACCAAATTCGCGATATCCACGGCCAGCAACGAAATTCGACAACCCACGACTCCCCTCGCCATTTCGATCCGTTAAGCTTCACAAGCACGTAAATCGAATCTCCAAACATGTCTCACGAATCAGTCTGGAACTCCAGACCTCGCACCTACGGAAAGGGCGCTCGCGCTTGGTATGTCGGAATGCCCTCAATTTCCTGAATACATGGGGGGAGGATCGATACTAGGAGGGGACAATCATGGCTAACTTTTGAATTCGTAAAGCCGAGTCTGCACACACAAGGCTGGTCTTATCCGCAAGTATGGATTGAACATCTGCAGACAATGCTTCAGAGAAAAGGCCGCCGATATTGGATTCGTCAAGGTATGCGACCTACGCCCTCGCCATCTCCCAAGGAGCAAAACAACTAATGCAAAACTTGTAGCACCGTTAAATTCCTTACCGCGCGCCTCGAAACCTTTCTCTTGCGAATCTGGGGCGGGAAAAAATGTGACAACTATCGATCGTACGAATGGATGTTACGCATGGCATTGGAGTTACGGAACGGACAGATGTGTGTTAGACATAGGGAATTGGTCGTTTTGAGGGGCTTGGCTTTGAAGCTTTGAGGGGCGGTGGTAGTGGTGGTTGGGGAGATATGTCTGGTCTGCACGTACATTTGCTCCCGAACGAATGAACACTTTTTTCAACCCTTCTAGGTACCGCTCTGAGACGACTACACCATCTTAGACGGCTACATCAGGGCCGTGGACAAGGATTGTGAAACAACCACATGTGGAGGTCATGATACTTGAGTTATCGAAATGCTTGTCCGAAAGCCATCTGCACCTTCATGCTGTAGTGCTAACTCCGTCTATCCATCTGCCCTGGATGATAATGGGGAACCGGTCTAGCATCCAGGATTACGAACACTTTTATACGGCAGGACCCTTTCTATCTCTTGTACGGCTGTATTCCCTTTCGCTGTGTTGCCAGATTCCCTGCTTTTCTTTTAATATGTATATCCTTCAAACTCTAGCACAACTTCTCCCTCTGTTTGTCGAGCAAGTACAATCGACTTTCAATCCTCGGAAAGAGATGTAGAGAATCAATATTAATCCGCCTATGATTTTATTTAGCTTGTGGCTGCCACTGAGAAACTCTGGGGGTATTTAAATTTTGAAGCTATTTCATTGCACCCAATATCTCTGTCCTATCTATCATTTCACTCTCAACTTAGCACGGCCTATATACGTGAGTGTTGGATGAGCATCTACAGTAGGTTAGCGGAGTTGCGATTAATAAGGGGATCATTGTTCAGTGATTTTTGTTTGTTGAAGTTTTGCAGCTTAGGGTGCAGCAGATGACAGTGTAAAAGTTCAAAGTTGGAATACTTGTTCTTAATTTGACATTTCGAGCTACAAGTTTGCATTATTTTATGTTCAACAACCTCAAAGTAGGGTCACTTTCCTCCGTCTTTACCATACAGGAATCGTGGCTGAAATGACGTTCTATCAGGCTCGGAATGCTGTATTTATGCTCAGGTCAGTATATTTTATAGTATGAATTCTTGTGCGTTTGCGTTTGGATACGTTACTAAGCAAGGGTTCTTGGAATGTTCGTTGGGAGCTGTATTATTGGAACTCATGAAACAAATGTTGTATCTCTCCTGAAAGAGTATACTCTGTAAGGTTCCGAGTTCTAAGAAAGACGACCTAGAAAAACTATTAATGTTGAGCAAAAGTCATCTGCCGCTCTGCTAGACCTCTCAATGACGATACGATACGTGAGTACTTGGAACGAATTTTGGAAATAGCAGATACTCAGTACACATTGACGAACTAGCGCATACGCTTTTCCAATATCAGCTCGAGTTGGTGAAAGAAGAAAATATTATTAAAGAGAGGTTGATGGATATTGTCATTGAATATGATGACCTAATTCGGAAATGCAAATATGTTACTGATGGAGCTTCGCTCGCAAATGGAATTGTAAGTAGAAACAACGGAACGATAAATAAGCCTTCTAGCACTGAAACACCCTTGCTCCACAAGAAAATAAGTTAAACAGAGAAATTGCAGCAGCGACTCAACGCGATAGTTCTCAGATGAAATCAATTGAGCTTTTAACAATGATATTCCTCCCAAGGACGTTCGTTGTGGTATGTACAGAAACGTTTCTGTACATGGAACTTCTGTAACCTCACAATTCTCTAGAGCTTTGTTGCCGTGCTACTGTTCAACTAGTCTCCCGCTCCCACCAAAGGGTAAAGGTTAATTCAAGCTTACTGGCTTGTTTCTGGGACTTTGACCTCGTCTGTCATCATGTGCTGGTAGTTCTGCTCTGACCAAGCACCAGGAAACAAAAACCCAACTCTATTTCTACAACACCTGCTCCCTAATATACGATCCTTCTCTGTTGTAAAAATTACAAAAAAGAAGCTCGAATCCGGAATAGTCCGCAGATCCCCCATCGCTGGCGAGAAAACCTACGCTTTGAATAGATGGTCGAGGGAAAATACACACGATACCTGAGATGCATGTTTTCTACTACCTCTAGCCCCGTTGAACATAGATTTTCAGCATACAGAAATAACCATGTCTTTTGCACATCAAATCGCCTTAACAGTATACTCTTACATCAATTCAACACTGGAATCCGAATCTTGAAATCAGTTTTTCAAAAACTTACCAATCTCCCTACTCATTTTCCAACTCCAGCTTGCGGTCAGGAAACGAATAAAACGTCTTTTGTAAACAAGTCATGTATTATTGTGTTGGCTGATCAGAGTTTTGTTTTAGAATGGGGGAAACCTAGAGTACAAGGATGATTTAGTGGATTTTCAGGTCTATTATGTCTGAAACTAGCTGGAAATTTGAGGAGAGAAGTAGGTGGTTATTGGTTTGGACTGTGTAGTCACAATTATTTCAGTTTTTTGTGAGGCAGACTGAAGGCCGAGTGCTAGAAACTCAAATGAAGACGTTGTAACTACTACATTCTTGTCTTATGCTATCTACCTAAGCAATCGTGACAATTCAATGACATGAAATATCCATAGCACATGTAGCCGAGCACGAGATTGATACTACATCCAGAATCCATTCTGGTATCTCTGAGCTATCTCCATCCATCAACATCTAGCAAGTTATAGCAATTAATAAAGCAAACATCGTCGCACACCGGGTACCTATCAAGTACAATACAAAAACAGTAAATCCTTTTCGAAATCAAGAATCACCACCAATCGTAACTCCATCATCATGTCCATCATTTCCATCCTTTCCCTCATCATCCTCATTCCCATATTCCTCACCATCCTCATCATGTTCATACTCATCATCATACAAATCAACATCACTCCCCTCCTCCTCCCTCTCAACAACCTCCGCCTTATTCCCAGCCACAGGCACATGCACGACGTTCTTCACGACCTTGAAAAACGGATGATCAGGTCCCAACGGCTTGCCCTGACAGACGAAACCCATCGGTGTATGCGCGAAATCCTGGCCCTTTCGGCGAAGCGATAGCCATTCTTGCATGAAGACCAAGGGCTTGGGTGTGAATGTCGTGGGTTTCTTGACCGCTTCCGCTTTGGCTCTCAAAGTCCAGATGTTTTCGGCTATGAGTGCTTTTTCGTCCAAGATTCCGGTAGCTTTATTGGTTGATTCTGACTTTGGGCTGTTGTCGATACCCAAGAAGTTGCAAAGCCATTTGTATTCGTCGTATTGGAAGTATAGACGTCCGGCAAAGATACCTAGTTCTCCCTTGAGCCAATTTGGTGGTGCTGTCCATGTGCTAGGTAAGTCCGGCATTGTATAATATTTGAGATCATTGAAGTGAAGCATTTTCCGTGTGACCGGGGCTGCGTAGGTGAGAAGAGCAGTCTGAGCAGACCAAGAGAAAGATCTCTTTTGGAAGTATTTAATGATTTCTTCCGCTTCCTCTGGGCAAATAATTATGGCCATGTCAACCCTGCGACTATACAAAACCCAGTTCACAGGCCGCTAACGAAATCATTAGTATACACTAACAATTTGGATGCAAAGCTAAACTTACTAAGAAGTTATCAGCAGAGTGGTCTGGAAGGTCTCTGGTTGTTCTACTGTTTGTACCCCAACCCAGGTCCGGATCACTTGAGCTACTCTTGGCAATTTTGATTGTTTTCGTGAATTCGATGGATACCAAGAGTCTGGAAGAGATTGCGGAAATATTGATGGGGTGTTTAATGCCTAAGCTTGTCTTGTCGATTTCCAACCAAGCTTGTTTGTACGCTGAAGATTTCGCTGTAAATTCTCCAATTTCCATAAATTTTTGGATATCCTCATGAAGGGAGTGGAAAACATGAGGGATGTAATCCACCTGCTTCTGTACTTCACGAACATTTTCCACCTCGTGTGCGACTTCTCGTTCCTGCTCGACTTCATGAAAAGCAGAGGTGTGAGCTACGCCAGCAGTGTTATGAAAGCTCATCCGCTGCTTGTTCAATTTGTATAATTGTGTTTGAATTGCGGGAGAGAACGAGGACAGAGGCAAAGATTCCTCTCTTCGTTGGTGAGGTCCATATAGTTCCTCAAGGGTCTGCTCCTCGGGCTTTCTTAAGCAATCAAGATATAAATCGCGTTGAATCTTGTAAGTAAGGAACTTGGCGTTCTTGAGTGCAGCTTGACGGCGGACATAGAAGTCGTAGCCTTGGGCAACGTACAGTGATTGCAGTAGTTCGTTGCCTCTACAAGTCTGCTCCATTAGCCAATGAATAACGTCGTAGGAGTCAATGAAATTCTCTTTGGTCTTATTGCGATAGTCAAGGATGCTCTGGTGGACTTCTGGTGGCGCGAAAAATACAAGGGATTGACTAGTCGCCAGCTGACGAAGTCGTAAAGCAGCTAAAACTGAAGTTAGTATATTATCAAAACCAAGGAGATTCTAACGGAAATCAGTACAGAAATGGCAGCATCATCATGATGATGCCCACAAAAGAGGAACGAAAAACTTGAAGCATCAAAAACGTACCTTGAACCGTATGATCCTTGGTCTGACCCAGGCCTAAAGTCAAGGCACCTTTAGCTTTTGCCGAAATTTTGAGATCTGTCCCACGGGTATGAGCTTCATCAAGATAGACAAGGCATTCCCCAAGGTCTTCCGCATAGGCTGATGCAAACAGTGGTGCCCTGCGCCCTGTTCGATACAGAACGTACGGTTCGTTCCCCTTGAAATAAATAATGGCTGGAGCGTTGCCGTGAATGGACATCCAAGCGGTTGCAAGATCAGAATTCGACAATTCCAAGATCTGAGCACCAGCGTCGATGAGTACACGAATACCTCTATTAGTTATCTCGTGCAATAAGCCTTCCTCTGAGAGACGCCTGCCTTTGTAGTCTGCGGCCACTATATATTCTCTGTTTCGTTGCTCTAAGAAGTAACTCAAAACCTCCGCGTTCGTGTGAGCCAGCCCTGGAAGGTCGTTCTGCTGGACTGTCAGAGGAAGCATCCGCTTCGAGTCGTTCGTGCCGCTGAATCCAGTCGTCAATGGAGTCTTGATAGACGAAACCTGTACCGTACTGCCTGCTCGGTTTTGGTGTTGAAGCGGGGATAGTGGAAGATCCCAGCCGGATGCTTGAAGCTTCAGCTGAAATTGTTTCGCATGTCGGGGAAACACGAAATTGTTCAAGAAATAGTCTATGACTACCATCTGATGACGCATACCTTGCCACAACTGCCTAATCTGTATGTCGTCGTCGATATTGACAGTGTTCCAGTCAGTCAACGTGGTAGGAAGATTAGAACTATAAGATATTCCGGCATAAGTTTGGCAGGGATCATCTGAACTCTGGATATGTTGAAGACTTTGGCGGAGCTGCTCAATGCTCAGTCCATCGTAGTAGAATGACAGACAGGTCAAAAGGATCGCGACGTCTGGATGACCCCATTCTGCTTGTTCGCTAGGGGTCCCTTTGGCATGATACTGTAACAGCAAATTAGCACTCAATTTTCTTCTTGAATGGGTGTGACCTGGGGCCGGTAGACCATCCAACCTCGTCAGAAAACGAGTAGCAAAGGAGGTAACTCACAGGTACAGCAATTGGATCACGCGCTCGATGCAGTCCGTACTGAACATTCCACCTCTTTTTCAAAGCTGTGACAAGAATCCCTTCAACTAACAGGCCACGTAGTAGATGAATCTCCTTTTTATGGGGGAAGTGGCCACCCTCAGAACTGTTTTGGATGAGTTGTAGTAAATCGGGCGAGATCTTCCGCTCGGAAACAAATATATTGATAATACTCCGGTCAACAATGTCGCAGTCTTTGGGCAAAATCGAAGATTTATCAGCAATAATATCATCGACTATGTGAGATACTAATTGGTCCTCAACGTCTGAGCGAAGAAAGTAGATAACCGGAAATCTACCCTGTCCCCTCTCCACTACCTCAATACTGTGAGGGAAGTCTTTTTGCAGATTAGTCACATGCGTCTCTACAAGTCTTAACAACTCTTGGGCGATCTCCCATCGAGAAGGATGTCCATCGACGGCTTTCTGAGCGCCGGAAGGATAGATGAGCTGAGTCTTGATCGCTAAAATTTCATCAACTTCGTCAATGATGTCCCGAGCATGCCAGTCCATCCAATTTTGTACTTTGATCATGAACGAGCCTTCATCGAGGGCTTGGTCCGACAGTCTTTGTAAACCCGATAATTTAAAAGAGAGGAGATGGTCAGGCAGGGCGATCATAACTCCTGAATGTTGTTGAATATGCTGATGAATCCGCAGAAATGTCTGGATGGTTTTTTTGTTGGTGGAAGACTTCCGTGAGAATGGGACGTGTCGTACTTCGCGACCCAGCAGCCCTCCAAGTCGTGCCTGCAGCAGTTGGGCAGTCTGGCGGAGCAGTGATTTCGGAACAACCACACGATGCAAATTTTTGCCATCAGCGAGGACAGCGGCAGCCATCGGAATAATGACAGATGTTTTACCTTAGTTTCTTATTAGCCATGTACAATTGTGCAATACGAATGGAACCTACCTTGTCCCATGTTCATTTGTAAAACAGAGTTCGATCCAGATGGAGGGTTTATAGTAGCGTTACCAACATCAATTTGACCTGGTCGAATGGTGAAATCGGAATCAATCTCAAGAAGTAACCAATCAGTATAGACACTCGGATCCCAATTTTCATGGCCTGGATTTGCTTCTTCTTCTGCCAGCTTCTGGCGTTGATTTCTCAAGCCGGCCTCATGAATGCGATTCAGACGCTGCAAATTGGAAATTGAAACACCGAAACGGATCAGACACTCTCGTACCCCAGATCCCATTGATATAGAAGCGGCGGATGAACGCAGTGATTCAAGGAGTGTTACGGCGGTAACCCTCGGCCAGAGCTGAGCTTTTTTGAGCCATCTGGCACGAGGATCGACAGATTCAAAAGCATAAAATAGCTGTGAAAAGTGTGTATCGAGTACTCTCTGCTCAGTTCGTACTCTAGCGGACAAAAACGCATGGTTATCTTTGGCTCTGGCCCAGGTTGCAGATTGAAACTTTTCAAGAGCTTCATAACTATCCATCAAATCCTTCCCATACTGATGACGCACCGGTGATTCAGCTGTGATGAAATCATGAATGATTTTGCGCAAGTCGCGGGCGTCTTTACTGAGAACAGCGTAGTCTGCAAAACCTATAGCATCGCTTGGAGCGCTCGTGAGTGCTTGATTATTGGTTCGGATCTGGATCGGGTGTCGTCTCCGACTCATATTGAGTTCATCTGACACGCAGGACATGCGTAGAAGATCACCAAGTGTCAGAAGCTCTCCGCCTCTATGTCGAGTGGGAAGAATCACTCGCTCTTCAGACTCCAAAGTGGGCACATCGTAATCCTGCGGGCTGTAATGTTGATCTAAGACTTCCTGAACTTTAAGAAGATATTTTGCTAAATCTGCATTTCGATACATTCGATGCCACTCCAGGAGAATGAGCTCTAAGGCGAGGGTGAAATTGAAAGCATCCGACTTTGGAAATCCTTCAATGCTAGGTTCTGAGCAAGGCCATTGTTGAAGGACATGCTTCACAAATGCTCGAGTATCTTTGTTTTGCTTTTCCTCATGTTTAAATTTCAGTTGTACATCGCTATCCGATCTAGCCCTTGAGCCACGCGGCTTGGCTTGCTTGAATGTGAACGGTATTACGCAGTTCTTGATTCGTTCTCGAATTAATTCAGCCTCCGGTTTCTCGGCGTCTTCGAAATGAGTAAAGGTGCTCCATTCCGGCATAGCGATAGTTTTCAGTTCATCCACGGTGGCAAAAGCAATCAAGCTCTTAATAATTGCCATATTTATATTATCTTGGAAGGCCATCATACCCAAAAGAAACATTAGGTGAAACGAGTCCTTCCTCGAAGAATCACAGCAATGCTTGACGAGTGAACCCCATTCTGCAGAAAGGTTGATGTCCAATATATCGCTAAGGACGGCCTTGTGAAAAGAATTTTTGTACCCGCCGATGTCTTGCCAGTGTTCGAGAATAGCTACGAGGTCGATAGCCAACGGTAGCATTGAAGGCCATGACCGGAGTAGATAGACGCACTCATAAACGTTTTCTTGTTTTGCATGATTGAACGGGCTATAGAAACCTCTGGCGGTATATGGCATGTTGTGTGACGCACTGTAAATCACTGAGTCCTTGTTCGGTATTTGGTACAGTTGGCGGCGAGATAGACCTCTGGCGGAGAGATGAGGGTAGTCAGGCTGATTTAGTAATGGCAAACACTTCTTTGTCTTTGTGAATAAGGCAAGCTCATCAGACTTAGAAAAGATAGCTTCGACTAGTCTTCTATATCCATCATGCTGCATATTGGTAGTAAAATCGGGGTTCCAGGCTACCGATTGCATTACTTTGAGGTCAGCGGGGTAATATGTCCTCGATGGACTTAGGCGTGCCATTTGCAAAAGTGGTTTTGTTTCATCAAAGCTGAGTGGCATGCATGGCTGACTAAAGCCTGATTCCAAACAGTGGAGGGCCTCCTCGGTGCCGGTGCGCTTGGTGAGGGGGTCTGGAAGCACGAATGACGTGTAGGCATGAAACATTGCTTTCGAGTATATCAAAAAGGGTTGTGGACTACAGTCAACGCGGCCAAGAGTTTCGTTGACGGTATACCGACTGTAACTGCTATTGTTGTCGACCTTGATCGCGACATGAACTCCGTCACGAATAACATTGATAGGGCCCTGAGGGACAATGATGCTTCTTCGGTTTTCGATGACTTTGCCTTGTGGTGTGATCTCTCTCAGAACAATCTTTGAAAGCAGACCGTACCAGGTGCCTGCATCTTGGTTTGGATCGATTTCTGATCGAAGTTGAGGGCACTCTAGATGTCCAAGCTTGTTCACCACAAAATCTAACTCTAGGCGTGGGAGCTTGACTCTCAAGGAGCCTCTAGAAGACAGGGTAACAATGATGTAACGTGGGTCTTCGAAATTTTCGAAAATTTGAGCGATCTGACGGAATACTGGGCTTCCTGCGTCGACCAGATTGGCGCCGTGGCGTGTAGCTTTTCGTGTGATAAAGTCAATAACCCAATTACCCCTCTTTGACCCTTCGAAGTTTGAACCTCGTCGAATCTCTATCTTCTTCGTTGTGGTGTTGAGCCAGTGGGTGCAATTTTGGAGCAAGTCATCCGGTAGGTCTGATCTTGACGTTCCATACAGTCTCTTTCTAGAAAATTTGTCGCGCGGTATGAATTCTAGGATTTTTCCCTGGAACCGAGCTCGGATTATAAGATTGCTAGCGCGAAAGCCTAAGTGTATCTCATGTTCTTTAATCCAACCTGGCAGCATATAGCTCATGTCAGGAAGATATGAGGGATAAACACGTATAATACGGTCGCCAAATAAATCCTTTAGAACTTCATGTTGTTGATATTCTGCGGGAAGTCTTCCAATGGGCTTACCGTCTACAAGAAAGTGTCCTTCAAGGAGGTGAAAGTCAATATATTTGGATGACTGTCCTGATGTTTCGATAGTGGCCATCAACCACCACTCGTTTGGTTCATGTCGGAATTCAGGATCTGGTGCTTTGCTAGTGGCACGATCATTTTGATTAGGCAAAATAGAATCAATACTGGAGATCAGGCTTCTTGGATGACTTAAGAGTGCTGTGCGAAGCTTATGGCGCAGATCGGAGCTTAACTTTAGTGATCTCATCAGGGCACACTTCAGCCTGTGCGGGAGTAGCATTGGGTCTAGCCCCAAGCTCTCTTGCATTGTAATGGAGCTCCCAATGTACAATGTCAAGCTTTTGAAGTCCAAGGCATGAGTGTCGTCAAGATAGACCGCAAATGTGCTTCTACACAAGATGGAGGCCCATAACGCAAATTCGGATAGACTGCATGAGGTTTCGACATCTCTTGTGGCTCGAATTTCTATACGCAATTGCTCGATCCATCCGAAGGTAATCATGCGTACTTTGTCAAGTAATTCGAGAGCCTTGTCGTGTCGCACCTTGACACCGAATGAGAGCAATCTCAGACTCAAATTTATGAGTATCTCCATGCAACCAGTTTCCCTCCAACTTGAGTGAATTGTGTCCACACGCGCGTCAATCTGCCACAAGAGTTTCTCGCAGAAGGATTCTTTGCTGAATATTCTATGTACCGTACCAAGAACATCAGTCACAGAATGTGGTCCAGCTTGTGAGAATACGTGGGACATGAGTAGCACCGTAGATTCAGAGCTGAAATTCACGTTAGAAGATCCAAGTTCTTGTAAAATCTGAGGCCAACGTCTTGCCTCGCCGGACAGAAGTGCCTGCAATGACAGAAACTCATGAATATTGACGCCGGGAGGACATTTGGTCTGGCTGGCAATAATCTCATTCGATGATTTTCCAATTATGCCTGCTATGTTTAAAAAAGGCGCTAATGGAGATGTTGGTGGTACAGCAAGTCCACAATGGTGTTCAAAACTCGGCTGCGATTTTGCATTTGCAGACCAAACTTTAGCGAAAGCATCAAAATAGCGCCATCGAAGACCATTCGGGAGGCAGACCTTTTCAATCTTGACAGGAAACCGCGTCTCCCTATAATGCGTTTGTGAAAAAGACTTTGCGTCAGAAGCAAGCGAAAATTTGTAATCTGAATGGTCCGCATATATGCTTAATGGCGAATAATCTTCAAGTAAAGTGTGAGGAGAATCTGCTTTTGACTGGCCTGAGACTGCTAGACCCCAGATTATTCGCCATGTTACCTCACGATATGTAGCGAAAGCTTGCGGACGGACCAGCTCAAAAATCACTACCTTCTGCATGGTTTGATCCAAGGGAAGAGGAGATTCGAGACTTGCTATTTTTACTCGCTTCATTTTTCGACGAAGAAAGCATTTTGTGCATTTTCTCACATGCTCATCCTCATCGAGGCTTTTGTCAGAGTCGTAGGCGCAAGGCGTAACTTCCATTTCCTTGACATACTTTTCGTATTCATCGCTTTTGCTTTGCCACTCCTGTTTCTTGATGTCTTCTGCTCGCTTTGCCGCCACTAGGATTTTCTCGTGCAGAACTTGCATTTCTCCTGGCGAGTGCTGGTCATAATATTGTTCCGCAAAGCAACCGCTGACAGGTTCTGCAAAAATTGTCATGTCGCAGAACTCAGCACAATGGTGTCTTTTAGCAAGATATAAGCGAACACCATGAAGGCGTTCCATGTCTCGAAGAGTGCTCAAATGCAAACAATGAAAAATGTCGAGGAGAAATGGAGGCGCGTACTTCTTCAACAATGAATAAAGATTGATCGCAGCCTTGTCCAACAGTATCCACATCTCCATGACCAACAATAACATGACACCTTTTTGTTCCGAGTTTCCATCATAAAAGTCCCGTACGTGCTTCACATACTCTCTGAAGGCTCTTGCACGAGCATTACACTTCTGTTCATCTGTAGAATCTCGACCCATGTGCTGTGGTTCACATTCTTTCTTTATCTTCGCTTCCATCTCAGCCAGCTTAAAACATCTTTGAGCAAACTCTCTAGCTTTTTGAGCGACGGTCGAAGAAGCGTTGAAGACGAATGAAGAATGTTGGTAGTTGATGGCTTTCCGAGTTTTGGCCTCCTCAAGAATTTGGGTGATATACGGATAGCAGTTCAATAGAGGTAATTTAACATCTTTGGAACCATGAGCTGAATTTCTGTATTGCTCTAACGAAGGAATGGAGCGTTTCGTTCGTGTTTTGAAGTTGGACCATACGCCCTCAATTTGTAAGGTGACGTTGTTGATGATCGACTCATAGGCGTCACCACGACGAGCAAATAGTTGAGCATAGACTTCCCGCACCCTAACATCGGCTGATTTTTTGTCGACCTCGAGCTTTGTCAACCGCCGTCCAAGTTTATGTTGTAGGGCTGACAACAAGTCCGGCTCGAGAATTTGTACAGCTTTGTCGATAAGATTCGCAATCACTTCGCACATCATGAACTTGTAACAAACCCTGCCCTCTTCCCAATCAGACAGTTCGCACAATTGTCGTTGAATCCCCACGCGCAAGACCAACCAGAATGGGGATCTGCGCCATGGTTGTTCCCTGTTGTCCCAGCAGACATCGTCGTGGACAATTTTCTGAGTCACAGGGGTTGGCAAGAGTCTACCGTTGGCTTGGAGCAAGCTCATGAGCATTTCTGTAATCAAGGCTGGATGGACAGTATCCCGGCTCTCGTAAGCCAAAGATCCAGCTTTTCGTGTCTTGGCTGCAAAGCGTTTGATTGATTCATGGCTAGCCTTGGACAGAAATAAAGCGAGCTCGCTTTGAAAGGAGGCATCGCTGAAAATTGTGGATGGGATCGCAACCGAACAGCCAGGGAATTCTCGTTGGAGCCCTCCTGTAGCTGCAAGAACATTCTCCGACAGAGCCGATACCTCGAAAGACTCGAATAGAACTAGTGTCTCCGATTCGCTAGAGAACAGATAAAGATTAGAGATGTGATATTGAAAGATTGGTCTGAAAATGTGCACTCACCTTTGAATATGGCGAATGATCAATCCCGCATTCTGCTCAACTACATGGAGTATTAATGCTTGATCATGATCAAGCTCACGAAATGCTCGTAAAAGAGATCGAGACTCCAATTTGCCTCCCTCGTTTAGTAGGCGCGCTGTGTGGATGGATGTCGCGATCTTTTCCCAGATCGATTGGGCCCGATCACCTTCAGTTGAGTCGCTCAAGTCAAAACATGCTTGAAGAGCAAGATCCGCAAGTTTGTTCTCGATCTCCTCGAGATTATTTTCCTTTCCGTTCGGCAGTCGGTCAGGTAAACCGACATGATGGCAAAGTGATTCGAGCAATGACTTTGATAGCGTGGCGGAAGAGCGCTCCATGGCGCTGAGGCCTTTTTGATTGTACCAAACTAGCAGTGGTAATGGAGATCGAGGCGGAATTCTAGCGATCCATGAAGGTTGGAATTTTCAAGAAAGGCGGAGAGTGAAGGTTGTGTTGCGATTGCGATTTGAATGGAATTGTGCGTTTTCCGTGAATGTTTTGTTTACCCTTTCGTCGAGAATCCTGTCGCTAGCCGCAACAACAGATGGCGCTAGCGCCTCGCTTCAATATCGAGACTTCGACTCTCAAATGATATAGATACTGCTGCCCATTGCACGTATATGGTGAAGCATAGCGACCTCACCATTACTTGTCTTTCTGCCCTTGTTCTTTTCGTTTTAGTGTTCATGTATCCATTCCATTTCTCCGTTTTCTTGGTACAGAGGTTCCATTACTTTACCCCCCTTGCATTTGTTTTGTCGTCGAGGGTATCAAATCAAGGAGGACGATATATCGTTTTCTCCACGGGCAGCTGCACCAGCACCCGAAAAGGCTCGAGGAAGCTCCTCGAATGGCAAGTGCCACCACCAAATATCCTGCAATTCATTTTGATTTGGAAAATGTATTTCTTTCCGTTTGCTGAGAAGTGGAGGAGTCAAGATATTGTTGGTCGTTGTTGAAGATATACGCTAGTACCACTCCCACTCTCGTCTATTTTGCCTATTCAAGCCATCACGGGTTTTGAATCATTGACAGCTTGACTTCACAATCAAGATATATCTATATCTGTATCAGCTATTGTCTGTGCAATCATATTCATTTTGATAATATGCTATTGCGTTTAACTGGTTTCGTAATTGGGTGTTGTTGTCAATTTTCGTTGTTTTGTCTAGAATCTACAAACCTCCTCGTTACGAGATTGCTTACAGTAGCGAATTGGAGTGAGATTTTAGTGTTCGATTTTTGGTTCTTTGTATCTTTGGAAAGGATGCTCCTCTTCTGAGAAATGTTTGAAACTGTTCTCTCTTGCGTCCTTCCTTTCATGATCCATGGCTTTTGAATTTTTAAAGTTTGCCAAGTTGCGAATGCCTCATTGCCCCTCACTCCGCTAAAGCAGTTGCACATCTGTCGATAGCACAACTGCGCAGGTGTGTTAAGATAATAATGCCGAGGCTCTTATTGTGAAAGCAAAGTAAGACAAACATCCAGTCCTTGCAGAATCTGGCCAGGCAGAGGCAGTCATGTGTTGGTGGAAGTTACACAAAGAGCCAATCCAGGTATCCAAATCAGAATCACCACTGACGATATAGGCTGAGGCCCATTGGTTGCCTGCACCCAACAGATCAGCAGAAGACTGATTATTCTATCTTTGCCACGAGCGACGGAGCGGAAGCGCCGGATAGACTCCCACCATCAAATGCATCTTTATCTTGCCGGAAGCACCAATTATCACGATTCTTCACATCAGGCCAAGCATTCCAACATGATTTTGTTGTTTTCGGCCAATATTGTCAAAAATATCTCTCGATTCGAATGGTACAAGGACCGCTGGCCGTGTTTGCGACCAACGGGCGCTTGCCCCGCCACCAACTCTGTGGTCCGTGGCGTTGTGATCGAAACAGGCAATAATATCAGCCATGGGCATCGGATAGAAGAGGAAGGCTTCGAGAAAACACATGCGTCCTTCTCTGCAGGTCGGCGGCGCAAGGAACAAGCCGTGAAAGGCTCTCAAGACGTCGCCCAGACGGCGAAGCATCTGTTGGCGGCTGCGCTTCACTTTGCGTCGTCGAAGAGCCAAAAGTATATCGACTGAACCGAGGGAAACCGGTATTAGTTTCTGTTGAACGATGCATACTGTACCGAGGAAGAAAGGAACAGTTTCTTTTTGCGGCTCATGGCGCAAACACAATCGTCCTGAGGCTTTTGATCTTCCGAAATGTTTCTCTTTCCCGTCATTTTAAACCAACTGCGACAATCTTGCCAACTTGGATTGCCCAGAGTCTTGGGTTCTTGGACAACCCTTGGCTTTCAACTCACAACCTGTCAATTGACCGTAAGCACACGATTATTGCCATTACTACGAGGTTGTACGTTATTACACTTGCGTCGGCAGCACTGCGTATCTCTGAGTGGTCCGAGCCTTTGAGGCCATTCGAAGTGGTTGACCCGCACGCTTCCCCGTGAGAGATGGATTATATCCACATGGAGCCCAGATCACGACTTGTGTGGATGCCTCCCACGAACCAGAACACCGAAGACTCATGGAACGCGCACCCAGAGATATCGCCAAAGCCTCCGCAAATCAAAAAGCTGGTACGCTTCTTTAGAGGCTCTTGGCCCGGATATCAACCCACAGCTTCTGTATCTGGTTTATGGAATTCCAATCAATTTGCGTTAAATGACTCTAGCGGGCCGACTAAAGGGACCTAAACACAGGCAAAACTCTCTTACTGTACATCATGTCGCCCCTGGGAACATTCGCATTCGCAAGATTTCCAGAACAATGCCTCTTTCGGTCGACATGGTCTGACGGTGAAACGTCTGCAGAGTTTTCGGGTCGGAGCAAGCAGTTTTTACAGTAAACGGGCGATTTCGAACGCGAGTTTGCGGAGCCTGGACGCGTAAATTGATAGCTTGCACTGGGGAGCACTAATCCTCCCAGATCTCCGGACGGCAAGAACACACTAAGAAGCTCAGAAGCCCCTAAGAATTTAGGAGCCTCGGAGCGTCAGGCTTATCAGCCATGGCATCGGGGTAAAGCCGAGAACGGTAGTTTTTGCCTTTGCCAATGCCTCCAGATCTGCTCCTCCCTCAATCAACAACGCCGGTTACGCCTCACGATGCATTCGGACACAGAACGGTTGACGCGATCGTAAAACGACAGTGTTTACCTTGCTCCCGTGTTTACCAATATACAGTCTTATCAGCTGCTAATTACGAGCTGGAGCCGCAAGAACGATTGGACCAGGGACATAGAGGGGCGGCTAATCTGATCACTCTGCTTGTTGGATTGACTCGAAAGGACAATTTCTATTCGCTGATCAAATCATACCAGCTTCATGACGAGCAGGCGCACCTTCCTTATCTGTGGATCGCCAGGTCTGAGACAATACCGGCATGCCGCAACGATGCATGAGCGGGGAGTCGCCCACGAGCATGGATTTGAAAGGAGGGCTTAGAGTTGGAGCTACCGCTTGGTACGAAAATGTACACCGAAATCAGGCGGGGAGTTGGACGTCTCTGGCACAAGACACTCAAGAATGGCCTAGGAAGCTTAGCGAGCTTACCAGGTAGCTTGTTGTGCCTGGGCAAAACTTAGCAAGGGAAGCTCTTGGCTGCCAGTTTGTACGGTTTCGACAGGTCGGCCACGCCGTTCTTGGCCTCGAGGAATCCAGTCGAAGTCGAGATCTTCAACGAGCTCCATGCGTTTACATCTGACAAGCGTGGGTGCGCTCGTGCAGGGTCCTAGATGAAGTTAGGGAAAAGGTAGGGGCATGAGGCGTAACTTTAGATATGATCTGGATAGATATCATACCTTCCTGGTTGGGCGCTTGGCCTGTTGCTCTACTTAAGTTGAGGAATTCCCATTGACTTTGCGCTCGCCCATCCAACTTCGATCGACCCCTCTCACCCTCGAGTGTAGAGTTCACTTTCCTTCAGCACTCATCGATCTTTGACATATCACAGTCAAGATGTCGGACCTCAAGCACGAGAAGTATGATGAGACCACGACGGCGGTGCCATCGTCCCCAGTCAATGGGGACCTTGAGACGGGAGAGTCAGCCAAGCTTCACAGAGCCCTCAAAGGCAGACACATGCAGATGATTGCTATCGGTGGTTCCATCGGTGCTGGTCTTTTCGTCGGTTCTGGTGGTGCTTTGGCCAAGGGTGGTCCAGGTAACCTGATCATCGATTTCATGATCATTGGTTTCATGTTGCTTCTCACTGTTAACGCTATGGGAGAGCTTGCTGGTAAGCATTTCCCCAGATTTCACATTTCTAGTCAGCAGCTTACATTCTATAGCTCTCTACCCTGTCGCCGGTTCTTTCTACAACTACTCTATCCGTTTCATCGATCCTGCCTGGGGTTTTGCCATGGGTTGGAACTACGCCCTCAACTGGCTCGTCGTCTTACCTTTCGAATTGATCGTCGCTGGTGCCACCCTTGCATTCTGGACTGATCCTGACAACACCGGCTCTCCATCCATCAGCATTGGTGTCTGGATCACTGTCTTCTTGGTTTTGGTCGTCGCCATCAACTTCTTCGGTGTCAAAGGTTACGGAGAAGTCGAGTTCGCCCTTGGTCTCATGAAGGTTATCGCCATCATTGGTTTCATCATCTGCGGTGTTGTTATCAACTGCGGTGGTGTCCCAACCGATACTCGAGGCTACATTGGAGCCAAATACTGGCACGATCCTGGAGCTTTCCGTAACGGTTTCAAGGGTTTCTGCTCTGTCTTCGTTACCGCTTCTTTCTCTTTCGGAGGAACTGAGCTTGTCGGTCTCGCTGCCGCTGAAGCCGCCAACCCAAGAAAGACAATTCCAACTGCCACAAAACAGGTCTTCTGGAGAATCACCCTGTTCTATGTTGTCTCTTTATTCATTCTCGGTCTCATCGTCCCATCCGACAACCAGGATCTCTCCAACGCCTCCGGATCTGGAGATACCCGATACTCCCCATTCGTCCTCTCCTTCAAGATTGCCGGTATCAAGGCCCTCCCATCCATCTTCAACGCAGTCATCACCTTGTCTGTCATTTCCGTCGCCAACTCTTGCACATTCGCCTCTACCCGAACAATTCAAGCTCTCTGCGCCAGCGGTATGGGTCCAAAATGGGGAGCCAAGGTTGACAAGAAGGGACGTCCTTGGGTTGTGCTCATCATTGCCCTTGCTTTCGGAGCTCTTGCCTACGTTACCCTAGCTCCAGAAGGAGGAACCGCTTTCACCTGGTTACTCTCCATCTCGGGTCTCTCCAACTTCTTCACCTGGGGATCCGTCTGTTTCGCACACATCCGATTCCGCAAAGCCTGGGCCATGAACGGACGTACCACCGACGATCTCCCATTCGCCGCCATGTTCGGTGTCACCGGATCCTGGATCGGCCTCGCGCTCAACATCCTCTGCCTCATCGCCCAGTTCTACGTCTCCCTCTTCCCCATCGGCGGAAAGCCAGACGCAGAGGTCTTCTTCTCCAACTACCTCGCCGCGCCCGTCGTCATCCTCTTCTTCGTCGGCTACAAGGTCTACTACAAACAATGGAGCTTCGGTGTCAACCTTGCTGATATCCGTATCGATGAGGGCAGACGCGAGACTGATATCGATGCTTTCCGCGCTGAGATGGACGCGGAGCGTGCGGAGCAGGCTCAGTGGTCGTGGGCTAAGCGCCAATGGCACTTTTGGTTTTAGATGAGTTTGTTGGCGTAGTTAGATTTAATGTACAAAGTACGAGTTAATGCGGGATTTGTGGAGTGGAGTTCGATCATCATTAGATGGGAGATGTAGACTTTATTGTCTTTGAATATACCCCGAAGTCGTTTACCATATAAATCCGTTCATTCTCTATTGCTATTCCTATGTGACTTTCCTCCCTTCCAACCATCCTGATTCTCTTTCCAAACAATTCATCCTCGTGTCAACCTCCGTACCGGCCAAACGCCATCCCGACCAAGCCCGCTAACAACCTATAATAAGAACCTTATTTCGGCGGTAAATTCCCACCTTCCTCTTCCGTTCCAATACCAAGAACCGCTTCGACCCTTCGTATTTCCCAGACATGTGATGTGTGTTGCTTGGCGAGCATGAAACTAGGATATGTACCTTCCTCGTGCGGGGGAGAGGGGTTTTAGGTAAGGGATATGTAGGTACGGAAGGTGGTCGCGTGTGGAATAGGCTGTGGGGATTCTTGGGAATTGGGGTTTTGGAGAGGGATTTGAGTTAGAGAACCACTTGATAGACTGGGGATTTAATGCTTTCTCCCCCCTGTTCCTTGGTCTTCTTAGGTTATTATCCCCAAACCTTGGCTTTAGGATCAAGAGTTCTAGACCAAGAGGCCTCGGGATTCTTGGGGTGCTTACTTTGGCGACAACACCTCTTGCCCTCCATAACCCATAATCACATTAAATCTTTCCTACGATTCAGAAAAATAAGGGCTGCTACTCCCCTCATTTCCCACGTCGAAATGGTAGTTGTCGGGTATTGGGGGTCTGACGACTGCTTAGTCACGTCCAACCAATCAAAACATCCCGTCGCGATGGGCAACGCCACGATAGCACGACATCGTGACTTCACTAAGTTTTTATTGAAGGCGCACCACGACTATAATGTGATATCCATCCTCAACTCATTCCTATTATTTCCTTATCGTTCGGTTTTATTTGAGATGTCGCTTCCAAATACAACTCGACGTGCCTTCCTCCGGTTATGTCGTGTGAAGAATTCGCCACCAGCTCCGCTAAGAACGAGTGTACAATGTCGAAGGTATATGAATTCCTCAAGACCTTCGCCGACTCCAATATCCAGGATTTGTCAGGCGAGAGGAGCGTTGCCACTTTTCCTATTCCTAGGCTCGCTGGGATGGGGATTGGTGACGAATTTGGAAGCTGAAGAGGCAGTGAGCCCAAATCAAAACGCAAGCTCGAATGTGAACGAGAAAAACGAAAAGAGTTTCAGACTCCCAGAGATCAAAGAACATGGACCGAAAAGCGAGAGACCCTGGGTTATCAGGGGAGATCGCGTGTATGATATTACGGATTGGATTGCGGGACATCCGGGGGGAGAGGTGATTCTGAGGGCTGCGGGGGGGAGTGTGGAACCTTATGTGAGTGATTTTTTTTGGTTTGAGTTTTGGGATGTTTGGATGTTTCTTTTGAGGTGGGAGATTGTTTGATGAAGGAGCGTGGAGTGAGTGGGGAGGGGAGGTGGGATTTTTATGAGAGGGGTTAAGTTTATGATTTTTACGGTTGCTGTTTTGTCTTTATTTTGGTTTTTTGAAGTTCCCTCTATCTTTCTTGAATTGGTTCATTGCTCAAGTACTTATTTCGGCTTGGAACAGGGTGGTTGATGTTGCAAGATAGGAGCTTGAGACTCTCATCTGCTGCGTGTTTTATTTCATCCTCATATTTCAGTTCTCAGGTCAGTCTCATGCTTGCGAGGGGTATCAGCATTTCAAGTGAAAAGCTCGAAGCCAAAAATTCCATGCACTTTTCAATGATCAAGTTCCCTTGGTTTCCAAATACTGTACAATATAGTATATATAGAGCTTTAAAATAGATATTGGAATATCAAGAAGGAACTTGTGAGAAAGAACGGAATCCTTAGCACCTACATCCCTCCAGAATCGGCTTTGTAGATGGACTCCTGCGCTCTCTTTATCCCATTCTCTCCCGTGTACGTGTAGTTCTAACGGTGTTTTAGTGGAAAATATTCAACATCCACCAAAAGCAGGAGGTATATGATATCCTAGAAATGTACTTTATCGGCACAGTCGACCCTCAAGACCTAGTCAATGGCTCAGTACCATCAGACGCAATAGAAGATCCTTTCATCAACGACCCCGTCCGCGACCCACGACTTCATCAACACACCTCCCGTCCATGCAACGCCGAAACCCCAGCATCCCATCTCTCCACCTTCATAACCCCCAACCACGTCTTCTACGTCCGTAACCACATGTGGGTACCCTCACCCCCTCCCAACACCACCCTAACAATCGAACTCCCCTCCGGCGACGAAATTTCCATCCCCCTGGACGACCTCAAAACCAAATTTCCACAACACACCATCACCTCAACCCTCCAATGCTCCGGCAACAGACGCTCCCACATGACCAAAGCCTGCACCCACACCTCCGGACTCCAATGGAAAGCCGGCGCCATCGGCACCGCAACCTGGACGGGTCCCTTCCTGCGCGACGTTCTTGCCTCCACTGGTTTCCCCATCGCCAACCCGCCCCAGGACGCAAAACACGTACAGTTCGTTGGCCACGAAGCCTACGGCGCTTCCATCCCCATCGACAAAGCGCTCTCCTTCTCCGGCGATGTAATTCTCGCACACACCATGAACTCAGCACCTATTCCCCCTGATCACGGCTATCCCCTGCGCGTCGTCGTCCCTGGCCATGTCGCAGCGCGTTCCGTGAAATGGCTGTCCAAAATCGCCATTAGCGACGAGGAATCTACATCCCAATGGCAGCGACGTGATTACAAGTCCTTCGGTCCGAACGAGCGCGGTCTCGAAGACTGGAGTAAAGCGAAGAGTATCCAGGAGATGCCCGTTAACAGCGCCGTTACATCCGTCGTGCCGCTTCCTGGCGGTGGCTTCGTGGTGAAAGGTTGGGCGTATTCAGGTGGTGGCCGGGAGATTGTACGGGTGGATGTTAGTACGAATGGCGGGCGGAGTTGGGATCAAGCTGTTCTCAAGGAGGAGCAAGAGCTTGGCTCGAGTTCGAAACATTGGGCGTGGAAACAGTGGCGGTATACTATTCCTTCGTATACGATCTCGGATGCGAAGTCAAAGAGCGAGAATTTGGAAGGGAAGAAGAAGGCGAAGATGACGCTTGTGGTTAAGGCGACGGATGAAGCGTATAATACGCAGCCGGAGAAATTCGAGCCGATTTATAATGTTAGGGGGAATCTGGCGGTGGCGTGGCATCGGGTGCCGCTTTCGGTGGAGAAGTTGGAGAGGAGGGAGAGGAAGGGAGAGAATTGAGGGTGTTTGTATCTGGTATGGCAGGGAATGGGTGTTTGGAGTCTCAAAAATTAGTATGTCAGTTCCGCTTGCGGTTTTGTTAAATTGTAAAATTAGTATAATAACCGTACGTTACGAAATCGATAATAAATGGCAATTATCCTCAACTGACTAAGATAGCACTGCGACTGTGAAATCCATAGGAGCACAATTATGAACCATTCCGCAGCACCAGTGTGTTGCAAGTGTAATGGGATACATCTCAACGACACATTCTACTTAAAGGTATATCAATCTAAGGAATTAGAATAAATACATAGCATAATATCTCTTTCAAAAGACATAAATCCACTACTCCTTCACTAATAAATATAAACCTATACTCTGCATAACACTTAGCAACATCCTCTCTCTCACGACAACTCATCATAAAGACCCTCGCAAATGACATGACAAGCAGCAGAACCTTCTAAACAACCCCCTCAACATCATCAATCCATCCCACTCATCTCCTCACACCAAATACAATAACCCCGCGCCCCCCCCCCTCCTATATCACAAATCCAAACCCTCCTCCCCTCCTCACAGAAACCTCCCATACATTCCCCCCAAACCCGTACTTCCTCATCCCACTCGAGAAATCTCACGACAAGTGTCTTTAATAACCCAGAATCCATCTACAGGGGTGCTGTAAGGTCATTCTTTCAACAATCTTGTAAGCCAATAGTCTTGCAACAACTTGAAGACCGATAGTCCAGAACCGCCCTCTAGATCAACTATCCCGGTGGATTCGTGATGAGATTTTATATCTTTAAACAACCAGGGAAATATTCAACGATTCCTCAATCACTTCAAATGAACATACATATCTCAGCCGCTACTTCTACATGTTATACACCACCGCCTAACATAATTCTCTGGGTACGCTGCCAGAAACCACCATTAGAATATCAGCAACAGAAACGATACCTAAATACACTCCTTTTTATACGGTGTTAGCTTAGACTTTCGATGCCAAGTTTATGTAATGAACAATACAAAATCTCGATGCGGCTTTGAGTTCCCGGTGCTATGACAATTTGGCACGACAACCTCACAGAGCCTCATGACTTACGATATCATGTTACCTTCATTGTTAACTGATATATAAAAGCCTCACGAAACCTCTCATTTACTGACGCGACCGAGGAAACGATAGTGTTCTGTCAATTTGATTGATAAATATACGAATCTGTGTCAACTCGATCGAAGAAATATCGTGAGATCACTGTCACGGATTTTCCACCCCATAATTGAAATTCTTGCTGCTCAGATAATTGTGCCGGATACTAGTGTTACATTTTATGATATGTGTAAGTGCTGAGTAAAATACAGTCTTTGATTTGCCCCAGATTTCTTCCGGCATCCTTGTCCAGAGTGTCATCTCCTTCTCTTGCTTCTCAACCGGGTGTAAATCCAGTGTATATCAACATCGCTCATGGGTTCTTCCGGCGTAGATCAAGTGGATGGTGCTGTGACCTTAGCGTATCCTGACATTGCCAGATAACTGATCAGTCATGCTGGAATGAGATGACTTACTGGTACAATGGTATTCGATGCGCCCGAAGGACCCGCGAAGGCCCCGTCAAGTGTAGAAACACTGGCGATAGCCGGTTAAGTCGTGTGATGTTTGTCTCAGAGAGGAAAATGCATTGTTTATTGGCGTATCCTGATATTGTTTGAGATTTGGAATAGAGAACTGAACACGAGTTACGCTAGAATGTAATAACTTATAGTGAAAAAGGTATTCCACGCCTCCGAAAGACGGAAAAAACCCGTACAAAAGCCTTATTAAGTGCAGAAACACTGGCAACAGCCGCTGAAGTCATTAACATTTGTCCAAGAGCGGACATAGCAAAGCCAGACGCAGAACCACCAGACACGCCCTCGTCGAGCGCAGAAACACCGACGGCGGCGGCGGCAGCCTCTGCTTCACGTCTTGCTTTATTAGCTTTCTTGCGTACTTGTTTTGCGGCTCTGACTCTGATCTTCTGGGCGTTGGCTACTGGGTTGTCTGCTCTCCATTGGGCACGATCATCTAGATTTTTCTGTTTCTGTGCTTCTGTTCGAATGCTCCTGTTTGCGTATTTGGTTTGGCAACGCGAGAGTGGAATAGGATTTTCGGGCATGGTGGAGATGGTTGAGACTGGAAGAGTAAAGATCGTAATTGAATTGGATTGATGGGGAAAAGGAGGAGGAAGATAGAGGTGGTGGTGGTGGAGGGAGATGAGATGAGGACGAAGGAAAGAAAGCGATGAGAGAAGGAGACAGAAAAACAACCGAGGGGAGATGATGCTGTAAGCAAAGAAAGGTGACGGGAGGTCGGGAAGTCTTGAGGAAGTGAGGCGCTGCCCACCTGCCCAAGTGATGATTACGCTTCGAGTTGCCGTCTAGCATTTGGCTGTTGAATCCTGAACTTGATATTTATCATCAACTGATTTTCGAATCTCCTCTCTATGCCTAATTTCCAAAACTTCTCCAGTCTAAGCACTAGGCACAGAGTCATTTGATTGTCGACGAATATACCTACCTAATTCAAATCTCTTTATGCCAACGACAACCCTCGCCTCGCTAAGCGACCCCTTCTGGCCCAGGTGAGAGGCAAACCCATCCCCACGACCCTCAGATCACAAAACCCGGAACTCTATTCTTTCAAGGTCGCAAAAATACTGTCCTAGGAGCTAGTTCTAAAAGAACAATGTCCGGAAGCAACTCGTTCTTCTTTCGTCTCTTATGTATACCTGTGAGGTTCATTCGGAAGACATGGAGTATTCAAGTAAGGGCTCAGGAGAGGAGTTTGGAGATTGAGAGAATCGTTGATGGTTATGGTATCGGCTTCGTCCGAGAAGTCGAGAGATCGCTGATCCGTACTGTCGAGCGTTCAGGCGGTACTGATCTGCGCACCGCTGGAAGTCAAGGCACATCTTACTGAATGCCGCCAAGGGCTAATCAAACAAATTGAGGAGAATGAAGTTGGATATTGAATCCAAATAAATCGTGGCAAGGTCTGATTTTCAAAAGGCACTGAGTAGAATGCACCATTCAATTTACACCACAACCTAATCAAGGGAAAAGAATATGATTGACCCCCCAAAACACCAATGCTTCCCTAGAACCAAAAAACAAAGTCATTCATCCCTCATCAACCCTAGTCCAAGAATGCAATTTCAACACTCCTTACCCATGGTATAAAAACACCGTCAAGTCAAAACCCCACAATCGTGCAAATTAACAAAACATTACCGACTCGTACCGCTATCTGGTAATATCCTGCTCAGGCTCCTAAGCACTTCTTGCATCGGTAGATCACGTGTTCCTACCGCCTCCTTTTCTAGTCGATTTCGTTCTTCTAATCGTACAGCAGATAGCGACAGTATTTTGCTTGCCGCTCGGCCTGCTGTATCTTTGTATTGTTCAAGCTTGTGCACTCCGTCGGCAAATTGGTCGACCTTGAATTCAAGCCCAGATAATAAATCCTGGACCTGTTTTGCGACTTGATCTCGTAAGTCGAGGGCGCTAAATGAGGAAATTGTTGTGAGAATGTTTGCTTGTTCCGGCGATAAAAGTGACGAATCAATATCGGATGGCTGGATCTCTTGCTTGTTCGGTGGAACTAATGGAGGTAATGAGGGCGGAGATTTTGCGAGAGCTTTCCACTGATCGCGTTCCTGTTTTAATCTTTCCAGTACGTTAGCCAGCGAACAATCTTCTGTCCCATATCAGACTTACAGTTTTATTCTGGCATTTGATTCCTCAATTTGCAGTTCTAATTCGCTATTCCGCGGGTTGGGTTTTTTGATAACCTTCCTAGGTGCCGTATCTTCTCTCGTGAACCAATCCGAGTATTCGGATTTATTCGAAAAGTCCTTTAACAGCCCTTCTTTAATCGTACGCGCTATATTGGAATATTAGCATAATCTCTCAATACTCGCATCTTTATCGCGTACCAGCTTGTTCACTCAGATCGTTCGCTTCTCCGTGTGATGGCTTTTCGCCCAGTTCCCGCTCACCCGTCCAACTTAACAGCTGCTTCATCCTCCTTGGCTCACTCAGACCATCCGCTTCGATATGCTTGTAAAATTCGGAAGCCTCCACTTCACGATGGGGAATGGCGCTATGTCCATTTTCAATCAATGAGCTTGCCCTCCGTCCGCGTAATCCCAGGCTACTTCGTCTTGTACCCTTGTTTTGCTTTCTCATTTCCTTATTCCTGTTAATGACAGGAGTGTCGCTGAATGGCAAAGTAATTATGGTGGGCTGATTGCTCGAATCCGTCACTTCATTCGCGGATTCATTCACTATGGTAGAGCCCACCAAGTCCACACTATCATAATCGGTAGCCTCCAGAGCAGAAGAAGTCGCGCCGGTTTTATGATGTGCCTTTTCGACCGAAGAACGCGTCGTTTTCCTCCTCTTCGGAACTACGATGGAATCATTTGGCGTTTTTGGTGTATTGAAATCCATTGCCCGCCCTCGGGTCTTTTTCTCTGGTTGCTCTGCTTCATCGTCGCGGTCCTTGGGTTTTCTACCCCTCTTCGTCGAAGTTAGTGGAGGAGGTTCTGGCGCTGCTACAGGTTCCGGGGGCGCTGGTGCTGTCTTTGTCCGCTTCGAGCCTCGTGTAAACACAAAATCTCCATCTTCTTCATCGTATGCTACATCTAGTTGTCAGAAACTACAATATGTCTACGCATATTTGCGCCTCCTCAGATGAACATACCAGCTATGCGCTTACTTCTCCGTCTACCACTCGGTTGGCTCATGCTCAGCGACTCTAATGGGATCCGCGTTCGTACAAGAGTAGTCATTGATTAGGAGTTCGAGGCGCGCATCGGTTTGCGTGGGGAGAATATCGATAGTACTGGGTCAACGCCGCAGGTATTTCGATTGTCGCGCGATGCTGCAATTTGTGTCGCGTCAATTGGTGGATGCTTTTTGAAGGGTAATTAGGAACAGGTAAGGCGTAGTCGTGAATTGCGGATCGGGTGGTGTATCGACATCAATGTACTGTGGTTGATCCTTGACAGGGAAGCATCGAGTGTTGTTTATGTTCGCGACAACGCTAAGAAAACATTGGTGCCTCAGGCACGAAGGTTGGATTTGAAGCTCCCGAGGTCCCTTGGCTCGCTCGCGCTCCGATACCTGCTCATCGAAACTTTCTTCATGGATTTCTTAGATTCTATTTATTCGAGACTGTCTCACACAAATCTCCTCTAGATCTTTAACTTCGGGACGCAAGGGACGCACTTAAATACATAATGTCTATTGTTGAACGCAAAGCTCTTAGATTTGCACCGCGAAAAGCCAGGAGCAATGTACAGAACAATTCCACACTATCTAGCTCAATCACAAAAACTCAGTCATTGAACGGAATAAAGGTAGATAAATATTAGAAGAATAAACGGTCCAATCGAATGTGTTCTTTCGGCCACCGATGATTTCGCTTTCAGTAAAACAAAAAGAGTCTAAAAGGCTATATTCCATTGCTCCATCCTCCATGGCAAACGCTTCCACCTGGTATTCGCTGATGATTGAAAGATTTGTTAAGCTAAGTAGGGAGATAAGAGTTTCGTGCCCACAAGTTCTATTGTTGATGGCAGCAAATTTCCGTTTGATGCCAAGGTATTTTGGTATGTTCACCTGTATCAATATTTCAAAGCTCCATATAGTTGTCTAACTGCTTGAGACAGTTTGCTGTAATAAGATTTCCCGGCTTCGATTTCTTCCCTTTCAGAATTATTATCACCAGTTGGTTGATCAACACGCGGGGCCACAATTTGGGTATCTTGTGCTTCCGCCCTACCGATGGGTCGCCTGGCACCAAGTACTCCTCGAAAATTGTTTGACCCAACATTGACTTTCTCGGGCTTGTTATGCAACGAAGTGTGCCGTCTGTAGAAGATAGAGTTCCCAATCATCTGGCATTGTACCTCCCGGTATCCCTTTGGTAGGCAATTTTTGATCAATGTTCCAGTTTCGATACACCCGTCATCATCCATTTCGACAATCGTTTGGCTCGACAAATTCGCACTGAAGCATTGCAGAAATGGTTGAAGCCAGTTGATCCAGTGCTCCAGGCGCCCCTCAATGGTCAGCTCTCCACAGTAGAACGAATTCTCAACTGGTTGTGCTGCTACGATCCGTAGCCACCTCAGTTGCGGAAGTATTGAGGACCACAGAGCATTATTTGGTATCATCCTCGGCATATATGAGCTACCCCGGGGCTCCGCGGTAATCAGCAAGCGTCGCATTCTTCTTCTGTTTGCTTCCGTAAAGTTGTTGATGAGACGGTTCCCGCCATCAGCGTTGAGCTGAACCTTGAAGATATTGTCGCCATAAAGAACATCCAGGGCCTCCTCGCTAATCTGCCTTGACAAGAGGAGAATGGTATTGGACTTTGTCCTTGGTAACCAGAAATGCTCGTGACGGCCAAACTCCATAATACCATCACGCTGCTCTCTGCGCGATTTCCGGTCCAAGGTATCCTGATGATTATCCAAAGAAGGGCAACTAACATCGACAAGGCGCTCGTGTCGAATGCAATAGTGATATATTTGTAGCCGTACTTCAAGTGGAAGACACATGAAACCAGTAACCGACGAAACTGCCATTGCTCATTTAACAACAAATCGTTTCTGGTCACTGATTCTGATGAGAGCGCATCGAGGACAGCTTTATGGAAATTGTCAGAAGTTTACTGTAGCCTACAGTCTGGCGGTGTTCTAGAGAGGCGAGTCATCCCGTGACATCTCTTTTCGGCTTATGTCCGAATCATGTTATAGACCTCATACGAGAACGACTCTCTTCCTTGGCTCGTGTGGGACAAATCAAAATGGAATTTGGGCATCATGATTATTCGATCACGTTGGCAAAAGCCCCCAGATTTCGCCTACAGTTTTTGGATAATTGAATGCTCGGGTTCTGTTCAAAATCTGTTCAAATGAGACCGTCTCATTACGATTGAGTATCATGGATGTTGATAGGGCAGTGCCACTTAATGTGTCATCTGCGAGCTTCATTGAATGGCCATCTAGCCTCGTGCTTTTACGCTTTTAAAAGAACTGCTTAAGGCTTGTACTTGCATTATTTGAGAGGTACTAAGCTTCTGATTAGAAAAAGGTATTTGGGAAGGCCTGCGATGCAGAAATAGATGGAAAACTTACATGATCAGTTGGATAACGTATTTCAAAACAGGGGGATTTGAGTATGGCTGTTGGGGATGGTTTCAGTTCTTTTGGGTTCGAATGAGCAGAGACTGAGGGCTGATCATGGCGTTTAGGATGGTGCTAACGCTCGCAGCATTCTTATCGACGGGTCATAGATTCTATTATAGAATCCATCGATTCGAAGGGCTGGTTGCTATTAAATGATGACGCTCAGTGTTGATGGGTGGATGCGATTGGCGACTGAGAAATTCCATGGCTGAAACTTTGGTCCTCTGCATGATGTTTTTCTTTTATGATCGAAATCTTGACATTTCAACTCTGCCGCGCTAGCAACCACTACACACGTAAAGCGAGGATATATATCGTTAAACTTAGGTCGGCAATGGATGAAAGCAATGCTTTCCGAAACTGTTGATAGTCCACGAGTGAATTGTCAATTTCTGGTGGTCTCAAATGAATTTCCTCCGAAATTGTGAAGTTCGATTGTGCCCTGTTGTCGGAGTGAAGTCGAACGATGGATATGATAAGTTGGCGAGCAGGCTACTGCATTCGACATATTCAACCTTTCCGGATATCCAGAATCTTGATAGGCACATGATCCTCGTAGAAGGGACCTTGCTGTGATCCGGTCTCGATCATCGGAAAGTCAATTTCATCAATCAAGAATTCCCAAACAGCGCATTTGTCTAAGAATTTCCGGAATGTTTCTTCGTTTCGAATTGTAGCGGCAATGATGATTCTGACATTTGGATATAATTCGAAGACGTTATCGAAGGTTGATAGTAGCGGTGGAATGCCAGTCTCATAGTAAGTTAAATCGGCACCAATAACAAGATCAACTTTGCGTCCGCCATTCCATTCTGGTTCTTCTCCACCCATGAGAGGATATCCCCATTTGAGCTCTTTGCCATCAATCTTGGAGGTCGTATGCAAATCATTGAGGTAAATACTTGTTTGCAGTCCTTCTACAACTTCTCCTGATCCATCGGTAGCAAGAACATAACTAGCCTTTAAATGTTTGGCGCAGAGCATAGACAAGTAGCCAGTTCCAGCTCCAAGTTCAAGAACTGATTTTCCTTCCACAAGATTAGGAGCGTTCTTGATTAGATAGTTTCCAAAATGTAGTGCTGCTTCCCAAGTTCGTAGTCCAGTAGTTCCGGAAGCAGCAAGAACATTTCTTGCCTCTCGTAGTGTTATTGTAGGCGATTTGGCTGCATCCTCAGCTAATAGTGAGAGACTATAGGTTACATATGACTCTTCTTGGGCTGAAGCAAGATCTGATGGAATGGAGGAGGATATAAGTAAAGATAGTGCTTCGAATAGATCATCATTCAACTCCTGCAATATCCGTCAGTTGTGTAACCTAGCAGTCGCAACCACGTGTATGGTCGGAATCGAACCTCCTCATCCCAGTTCTGAATACTTTCTTCAATTCTTTTCACAAACTCTTTTAAAACACGAAATTGGTATCCTTTGGGCGGAGGGTGTTGAATGGCTTCTTCTTGAAATAATCTCGAAAATATGGACTTCTGGAAGACTGAGTTGCGGAGGTATTCCCCGTCCGGATAGTCGAGCTTGAGTTGAAGTTGAAGATATTGATGGCAGAATCGGTCGAGAACACGATTTGAGGTAGTTGATGGGTTCTCATCCATTATATTTGAAAGTAGCAGCTTCGATAATGAATCATGTTTCTGTTATAAGAATGAAGGTTTGAAGTCTGGCATGCTCGAGCTAAGGTACTCCCTTAATAAGGACCTCGGGACGAAAAGCCAAGCGACTCGAAAACCGGCCCGATCTGGGAGACCGGCGCCGAGAACAGCTGCTCGAAGTGGGGCGCATTGCTCCTTCAATTAGGGCTTACACCCTGATCGCACCGAAAATTTTGTCCCGCTACTCGCTTAGTCATATCATCATCTAGCGCATTTTCATTGGCAAAGGCAACTTTCGCGCACCTCCACTAAGACGACAACGACCACGATATCGAATTCTATCGACGCCCAGCAACACCGACTCTGTCTTTACATCAAAGACAGAACATCGGATCGATCGTCCAAATACCGTAAACATGGCGGACCGTGAGCAACCCGTCACGCTGAGAACTCGCAAGTTCATCCGCAACCCTCTCCTCGGCCGCAAGCAGATGGTCATGTAAGTTTGCCCAGCATTCTTTCCATCTACGAATACATCTACGCGCCAGATCATCAGATCATCAGATCAAAATATGGGATACATCTCTAATAATCATCAACAGTGACATCCTCCACCCAAGCCGCGCCAACATCTCCAAAGATGAGCTCCGTCAGAAACTCGCCGAGATGTACAAGGCCAGCAAGGACCAGGTCAACGTCTTCGGTCTTCGCACACAGTACGGTGGGGGAAAGACAACTGGATTCGCATTGGTCTACGATTCGCCCGAGGCATTGAAGAAGTTCGAGCCACACTACAGATTGGTTCGTGTTGGATTTGCGAACAAGATTGAGAAGGCCAGCAGACAACAACGTATGTGGAAACCCGCGAGAGAGATTGCGATAGGTATTTCTGGATGCATGCTGACCGATATACAGGTAAGCAACGTAAGAACAGACAAAAGACGCTCCGGGGAACGGCCAAGGTCAAGGGTGCCAAGAAGAAGAAGGAGTCATAGAGGACTCGATTATACTTGTGTTGGCTGGAGATGGAGGCAATTGGTGTTGCGGGATGGGCTTTGTCTTTGTATGCATGCATTGGCTCTCCTTATGGTTTTTCCAGGGTTCATATTGGAGCATGATGGTATGAACATCACAATGAAAACTTTGGGGCTACACAATACAACAAACTGCTTTTACGAGGATTCGATGTGCCGACAGATGTTTTTGCGCAGGATGTGAAGGTATCGCTTCGGATTTGATCGATTCTGGGACGTATCATCTCCAAGTGGCGAATGCTTGACTGAAATTCGACGACGGGCGCTACTTTTCTCGAGTTGCTAGAGGTTATATTTCCCTATGTTACGATTCGCGGAATGGGGTACGCGCGCAAGCTATCGATCGAAAAAGGCTGCCTGTCGGCTTCCTCTGTCAATCTCGTTTTCTCGGGTCTTTCTCCTCTGGTTCTTAAATCTTTTCCTTTTATCAGCCCTACGAGTCGTGCTCTTCCGGTTGTGTTGCAGACAGGTGAAGTTACTAAAGCTAACTACTGAATTGATGGTTGTTTCCTGTTTACATGATTTGATACTTCGATGGCAGCTCATGACGCACGAGTACCTTTTCGGAGGCTGTGTGCTTTAGGTAAATTACGTTTGAAAAGGCTTGTACCAGGCGGTATTGTCTTCTTCCTCTGCTAACATTTTCTTGCGCCAGTCAGTTCGATCACCAATTTCTGCATCAAAACGCACAGCGCAACCTACCATGGGTGTTCATGAACAAAAGGCCCGAAACCCCTCATATCACAGCACTCACCCTACGCAATAAATCAGTATCATGGAGTCTGCATGTATGCACTTGATGTTCGTGGCACAGTCGATAAAAAGCGGTGTCCAGCCACTATGCATCTGCAATATGCCCATCGCCATCTGTAGGTCATATATTCCGACGAAAACTCGATTTCAGAAACAACCCATTTGTCCCAAACAACTTTCCCGACCCTCCATGTTTTGACAGTCTTCACAGGATCGGCGGATGCATCTGATGTATGGATGCGCATAGCGACACTCCCGGTCAGCCTTAAATTCTGCTCCTGCATCAATGGTGTTTCGGCTACCCGATCCTTTGATCCTACTGACCTGCAACCTTCGAAGCGGCCTTCTTTCCTTGACGGAGAAACTGGAAAATGCTCATACAGGTATGGAGATCTACGGTTTAGTGCGAGGAAGCGACAATGTTTTGATTTGCGGATGTCAGGTGCGTGGTGATCGTTATGTGCGGTTAATCCAAAGTTTATATCATTTCGATTGCAAAGCTTGAAATCGAGCTGCGTACGAATGTTTGCATTTTAGAAGTAACTTTGAATTAAAGTTACATTTAATTCTTGGATACTTGGGGCAAATGCATCGACCGAATCGTACCTACGTAGGAGACAAGTTTAGTCCAAGTCGGGAAATTTATAGATCACAAGCAAGACCCGGAGCCAATATGCTTGGTCATAACAACAGAATATAACGGCAACTAAAATATCGTCTCGAGCAATACAAGCATTTGAACTTTCGTGGATGCGAACCGTCATTGGATCCAAGCTGTGCAACGGATGCGATGCTGTCAGTTCTGTCCAAACTTGTAGCCATACAGCTTTTCAGGACAACATGAAGTCCGATCTCAGTCTACTATTAAATGAATGATACTTCGAATCCTTATCTCAACCATTTGTACACGTTGAAAAGGCTCTGCTCAAGTATACGATGCCTTGAACAATCACAATTCAGTATGTACAACCTCCAGATCCGATGCATGCTGACCTTAAGCGAGCAATCTCGAGTCTCTCTAACGCTGAATGGTTCAGGGACATCACCCTTCTATTGCGCCTCCAACACTGACCGATTCAAAACATTCGCTTCCACCAAACACTCATACGACTCTGTAACTACGTGTGTCGCCGCTAAGTGCAAGAGCCTGGATATACAGCGATAGAAGTGTGATTGCATACATATGGCTGCTTATTCTCCCTACCGAGGTTCCAAGAACAGCAGAAAACTTTTACGTTTCTCCCTATACCAACAGGAACGTGACTCCTTTCAGTTACAAACCTGGTTATGATGGAAGGCGAGCTATGAAGGGATAACCCCCTCGTCACAAACATGGAGAATACCCATATCGCTCTCGTAGAATGTTTAATCTTGGCAAGTTTCATTACCATAAGTGCTCTTCGTCTTCTGTACATATATCCTTTGTTTTGCAAAGGAAGTTTGATTTCTCCTCATCCCCACCAGCCTTTTCTTTCTTGCTAATTGCTATCTTTTTAATTTACAACCACCTTCATTTATCTTCACTTCTTAACGTACTGGTTACGGCATTTAATAATGGCTCCTCTTTCTTATGTGGCCCTAGTTGGCCTTTTATGTTCTACTTCTGTATCTGCAAAGCCTGTTCAACTTTTTGGAAGAAATTACAACCCTCCGGCAGTATATGGGGAAGCAGCGACTACAGAAAGCAGCAGTTCAACTACTTCTGCAACTGCTTATGAAAGGGCCTCCACCGCCAGCGAGTCTTCGGCGGTTTATACAAGCCCATCCGCTTCGGGCGAAAGCGCATCATCTGTTTACTCTAGTTCTTCGACACAATCAGAATCTTCGACCAGCGTTAGCTCTTCAGCCGACAGCACCTCCTCGAATTCGGAGACCTCAGCAGAGACTGCGACTTTGACAGCTCAATGGACGCCACCGGAAGGAACACCATGTGCCTGTCCAGTAGCCGAGTCCACATCCACTACGGAACAATCAAGTTCAAGCTCAAGCTTTGCCTATCTACTCAGGGCTCGTATGGCACCTTATTACGAAGCGGTGTCCTCAGAAACAAAAATTGAAGCGGCAAGTTCAAGCGCGGAGTCATCTAATGTATATTCAACCTCCACTGCATCTTCGAGCAGTGAAAGCGTACCTCAAAATACGACAACTTCTTCAGAGGCCTCTTCATCGACGCTCTCTTCCCTTTCTCCATCAGCGACCGGTGCTCTCGAGTGCATTTGTGGTTTAGATGGAAAACCTGTCTCGGTTTCAGGTGCAATCTACAAGCCGCAAGCAACTTACGCAGTTAATACTGGCGAGTCTATGATCGCTTCTGCGACGAAAACACAAACACAAGAAATGATGATAATGGTCACGGAAACTCCCATCGTTCCGGGCTCACCAATCATTGAGCCAGTTCCAACTACACCGGCTGTTCCAATCTATACAACCCCAGGAAGCCCAGTGTACAACGAATTGACTCCTGTATTGCAGAACCCCCCACCGACCTTAAAGCCAGAAACTCCAGTCACGCCGCCTGTAGCTGGAATTCCAGAAAAGGAATGTCCTATTAATGAGCCAGTCACCATCACAAAGATGGAAAGTGTTTATTATACAATGACCATGACCGTCATGGAGACTCCCAAAGAACAGACAGTTCCGATCTTGAAGACGGAATCTATCTCGATACCAGACATTGCCAGTAAGGTCGAGACTACTTCTGAGATTGAAGTTCCTGGTGGGGTTTACGTACCTGCTACATCTAGTGAGAAGGAGACACCATCGACTACCGAGGTCAATACCGCTGTATCTAGCACCACTGAGATTGCATCTTATGCCCAAACTGCTGCTTCAACAGAAGTTAACACTGCTGCAACAACCGAGAGCCTTTCTTCCACCGAAAGCATTACAACAGAAAGTAAGACTGAACTAAGCACAAGCGAAGCAGTATCTTACACAGCAAGTTCAGCCGAAAGTACGACAACTGCAGAGAGCTACACTCCCCCGGGAATGGTCCATGAGACTGCGAAATCCACTGAAGTTAAATCTGAGTCTACATCGACGACTTCTGAAGAGGTGAAAACTCATGAAATGGCCAAACCAACTGAAATGGCACATGAAAAACCATCTGCTGAGTCCACAACAACCTCTGCCGAAAGCACAACCACAGCTGAGAGCTATACTCCTCCAGCAATGGCTCACGAGACTGCGACATCAACTGAATCTACCTCAACAACATCCGAGGAAGTGAAAACTCATGAAATGGCAAAGCCAACAACAATGGCCCATGAAATGCCACCTTCTGAGCACGCAATGACCACGGAAGTTAAGATGGTTCATGAGACTTCAGCATCCGCGTCAAGTTCTACCGAATCCACCTCCGAAGCAGCGAAAACTCATGAAATGGCAAAGCCTACTACGATGGTCCATGAGGCACCACCAGCACATGAAACCAAACCAGCGGAATATACACCACCACCGCCCGCGCATAGCACAACTTCAGAGGCGCCAAAGGCTGAGGAGACTAAACCAGCAGAGCATGAGAAACCTGCGGAATATACACCACCAGCAGAAAAACCATATGAGCCTAAACCAGAAGAAAAGCCATACGAGCCCAAACCAGCGGAATACACTCCACCAGCAGAAAAACCATATGAGAAACCAGCAGCTTACACACCACCACCCGCTCACACCACAACCCCCGAAGCGCCAAAAGCAGAGGAAACAAAACCAGCGGGATGGACGCCTCCTGTTCACGAGAAACCACCAATGGCGGAGAAGGAGGAAGAAGTAAAGCCGGAGAAGGAAGAGATGAAGCCAGAGCATGAAAAACCGAAACCCGTGGAAGAAAAGCCGGAACATGAGAAACCTGTTGAGTGGAAGGGGTACTGAACTAGAGTTTGGGAGGGGGGTGTTTTGTTTTTGAATGAGTGAGATGAGTAGCTATAGGGTTAGATTTGAGATGGCGTTGGCTGGTGAGTAGAAATTAGAAGGGAGTTTGGAGTTGAGATGGAGTTTGGGGTGAGGTATACTGGATTGTATCTTTTGTGGTAGGGTGTTAGGGTGGTGTTTATATTAAGATTGGGAATGATTACATTTTTGATATTTGCAGAAGTGAAAAGCTGGTTCGTGATGGTGGTAAGATTTACTGAATATTAGGACCTACAACACTTCATTTTTAAGGAAAGAGAAGGACCTGAATTAGAGCAAGAAATCGTACAGCATAGGTACTGATACAAGTGATATTAATTCATCTACCTCTATACCCATCACCCCTTCTCCTATCACGATCCCTATCATCATAACGATCTCTCCCATCTCTATCCCGTCCCCCGCCTCTCCTCTCCCCATCATCGTGATACCTCCTCTCCTGCTGCGGACTCCGGCTCCGACTCCTCTCCCTCCTCTCCGAATCATATTTCCCCTCCCTCTCATGCCTCCTCCGCATCTCCTCCTCATCATACACCATTCCATATCGATCCCTACGACTGCCACCACCATACTCCGCAGCTTTGTACTGGCGTTTCTTCTCCAATCCGCTGACACCACCGAATCCACCACCGCCTTGGCGACGTTTGGAATTCGTGGCTGTCCGCCAGGAATCAGAGAGTTTGGAGACGGATTGCGAGAAGTCGACGTGGATGCGGTGGTCGTCGATGAGGACGCCTTGCATTTTGAAGTAGGCTTGTTCGCAAGAGGCTTGGTCTTCGTATTCGATGAAGGAGTATTGGAGACTGTCGCCGGTCCGTTTGTCGCGGATTACTTCGCAGGATAGGATTTTGCCAAATCGACTGAATATGAGTTCAAGATCCTCGTCTGTGAATGTCAGTAAAGTGCGTTACGGGAGAATGGGTGTTATTACCAGTTGTAACAGGGTTTAATTTGCATACAAAAAGAACGTTCTCGGGGGGTTTCACTTCCGCAAACGGAAGGTCTCCAACCATTTCGAGGGTCAGCGCTTGAGCCCTTGCTTCACGTTCTCGCCGTTGCTTCTCAATTGCTGCCACATCATTCTCCTCCTCCAGGTTATCGTCCTCGCCAATGCGAACAGTAGCAAGTTGCGCTTTGGTTGGAAGAGGGCTCTCAGGTGGTTCAACCAGTCCTGGAGGATCATCGTATGGATCATCGAGAACGACTGTGTGCTTAATCCGTACGTCTACGAGAGGTCGGCCTCTCTCATCGCAGAATGCTTCGTTGATTTTCTCGAGCGCATCAAATCCTTCAACCACCTTGCCAAAGATTGCAGCCTTGCCGTCGAGAAAGTCCAAATTATCGCCCAGTGTAATGATGAATTGACTGCCCGCCAGTCGTTCATCTGGATCTCTTTGTGATTGAACTGTAGCCATACTAACAGTCCCTCGTTCGGCATGCTTCAATTTGGGATGTATCTCGGCTGGGAAAGTCCTCTTCGCATTTCCACCGATATGCCCCCATATCGATGTTCCTCCGTCGCTGTCTTTCGAGTCCGGACCGACAGGATCGCCTGTTTGGAAGGAAAAGTCCTTTTGTACGTTGTAGACTGGGGAGAAATTGTAGTATTTGATTTTGCAGAGCTTCAGGAAGCTAGATCATCGCGGAAGTCTTAGTATCTATGTCTTCAGTTATTTAACAAGCAGAAAAGAGTGTCAGGTGTTCACTCACTTTTCACATAGCTTGGGAGCATAGTCAACCAAGAGGTCGATGACAATGTCGCCTGCCGAGGTTTCGAGGAGGACGCTCATCTTAGCGTAGAAACTCAACAATCTAAGTATGTTACGAGTGCGCAAATGTCGTCCGAGTCACACAAGTCAATGTTCTTATTGCGGTCGCATGAAGCGATCTTGAACTGAACCCCTGCTCACACTGCGATGTACAAGAAATGTCGCTACCGCGCTTGTCGGCTAAATGCCGGTCAATCCTAAGCGACCTGCGACCAAGCCTAAGCGACACCATTCATCTCGTCCAGAATCCAGCCTGCTTCTCCTTCACTTCCTACACCGACAACTTATTTTTTCTTCACATGCATACAATTTGCCCTTCAAATCCCGGATATTAATTGCTCTGTATCAAAGACTTTTATATACAACAGAAAGCACCTCAGATCCAGCTTTACTTATCCCCAAGAAGTTCCCCAGTCGACTGTGATCCGCCTCCACCAGCCACGTGCAGCTTCTTTTAGCTGGAACATCAAAACACGCCCCCACGATGGATCTGGAATCCAGCCCGCCGCCATGGGCCAGAGATCCATGAGCTGATCTCCCGTGCTAGATGGGCGTTATTTCTGCAGCGTGGGCGCCCCCTCAGACGCTGTTGGGATACGCCATTTGAGAACTTGAAGCAACACCAACAGGGTCACCTTCCGTATCAGCCTTCCGGGTTCCTGAATCCAAGGAATATATATTCATTGATCCTACAGCCACCTAGATGGCCATCGACGGTACATTTGACGCTGTCCTACCGCGACCGTATCCCCGAAGAAACTCTTCATTCACAGCATTCGTCGTCCAACTGAAGTCTTTGATTGTATACCGGCAACCGCGGTTACCTGGATATTTCGGTATGCAACACCGGAATCAGAAGCCGTTACTCGAGAGGGAGCAGACGATGTTGTTCGTCCTAGCTTCGGTACTTGAAACCTATGTCGAAAACAGAAACCGGGTTTATGGAAGACTCTCCGGCCTCCGCCCAGCCAGTTAATTTCTTTATGTTGTTTTGCCCTATGCCACTTTTGGTCTGCGCCAACGGATAGCAGCATGACATGAGAATGGGGCACCCACAGCCTTTCATCAACCCAGCTGCCGCTGCACAAGCTAACCACCGTTGATACCTGGTGGCACACATAATCGTTGTGAAATTTCATAACTCGAACCATAATCCATGTCACAGGGTCAAATCTTGGGAATGGGAACGTTGATTCCGGTTCTCCAGATTGCATGCAGGCGTCTTGTACTTCTGAAGAGAGGCTTTGGGGGTCCGCTGGATGAGAATTGCTGCCAGAAAACCAGATCACTGAAGAACATTTGGATCGCCACCGCATTCTGGTGGGCCGAAAAAGCCGCCGCTCATCGTGTGCTACCAATTGGAACACCTTCAGAAGACATGTCCTACATTTGGCAACCTGATTCTTGTTAGCCTTAGATGGCTCGTATTCAGACCTGATCAACACATCTTCCAGCAGGCGAAGCGTCAACCACTTAACCACAATGGAATTTCCATTCCAGTTTCTTTTGTTGTAGGCGCTTCCATGCTCACCAGCTCTTTGTTTCTCATTGAAATTGCAAATGCTTTTATAGCTCCCGTTATAAGATTGTTCTATCGCATATATTCGACAGAGACATTAAACCTTTTCTCATCAAGGCTTGTCCGAATGCCATGCAGTATAACCAAGCCAAGCATCTCGTACAACGAATGTTTGAAAGATTGAAATTTCTGCCTCTATCGTTCATTCAGGCTAGAATGTTCTTTCCAAGAAAATCAACATTTCTACGTACTACATTCCTGCCAGTGTTCTTGAAAGCTCCATAGGACTTTCTTTGGGGTACAGGTACCATTTGTATGCCGGCATGTGTTAACGTTCGATTGTCATGCAATTTCGTAGTACCTGGCCGGTTACTCATGAACTCTGTACCACAGCAATGACCGTTTGCGTTTTAGCACCATCAAGATTCCGACAATATTCACGAATGATAGTAAAGCAAGATGAACTCTTATCTCAAAAAGCTTCCGCTGGGCAGATGATTTCACATACACAGGGCTGGTACCACGGTGGTCAAGTGTTCCTAGCAAACAAAGAGTACATATGTATCACCGAAGCGAGAGGCTGAGAATTTTCGCTCAGTCAGTCTGGTTTGCTTGAAGCGGTGCAGCTTATCCTATCAACGAGTGTTTGAAGCTAGTCGCCTTCATCTACTCAACCATCACGGGCATTTGGCTTTTTGTTTGCATGACTTCATTGATCAGCAGACGACGTAAAAGTTCTTCCTATAGAATATGCCATCGCTATATATTTTAGCACAATCTACAACATTTGCATGGCATTTCCAGCATTGAAATTCTGAGGCCTGCAAGTAAAGCCGCGTTTCTTCCAGTGTTGCAAGTATTACAGGCTCTTGACAGAATCCCTTTACCGTTACACGGGCACCGTTTAGAACTGTGGGCCAGAATCTCATCAATTGTTTGCTAACCTCCAATCAGTCTGTCATATCACCAAACTTGCTGTAAGTAGTTCGTTAGGAAGTATCTTTTCGAGCGATTTGTTCTGTCATTTTTAGAGAAACTTCCAACGGCCGTAGCATGCCAACCTATTCCTTATCGATCAGCTCCTAGTTCTGAGATGATGTCTTCAGAGGTCTCACCCCACGCCGATAGTCAAGCCAATAGCCATACACGTCCAGTACCTCTTTGTCTCTTGCATCTGTTGTTCAACCAAGATGCCTTCCTCTACCAAAAGCTTACAACTGAATACATCGCATCAGCAACTTGAGCAATCTCAATACGTGAGAGCTTGCCCTAAATTACTAGAGGCTTCGAGGAACATTAGTTTCAACGCCCTGGCTGCGTTTGCAGGCCGTCTTAACGTGGCACAACATCTCTGAATATGATCAAGGAGAGGTTGATGCGGGGAAAAGGGTCTCTGCACCTCTATGCAGCTATCCGTGTTACACAGTATAGGATAGAGATTCTTCTGCCTCATAAGTTTGAGTGAACGAATATTTTCGACGCTAACCATTTAAGATCTAGTTCTTCTCATATTTCATAATTTGATAGCATTACTTGTCTTCAAATCAGAGCTGGTCAACAAACATGGAAGTCTCGCCGTGGTACGCGATATAACAGGGCTGCCTTCCTTGACACCCCCGTACAATCGTCGATGTCGTCTCTTTACTTCTCGAAATCATTCCCCAGCCTTTGCTGCCCTTACATACACTCGTTGGCTCATCGAGATCACATCTCCCGAATTCATTGTTTCCGCCTAAGCTAAGCTGTATCTTATCCAAAGTAAGCATATAATCTACTACAGATAATACTATATCTAACAATAGACGCTAGATGGTTGCTACCCGACCACCATTTTATGCGGACGAGGAGGAGCCATCGTTTCGCAGATACAACAGCCGTGGCCAGGGTTATTCTTTGAGTCACGACAGAGAGATGCCTTCAGCTCCCTATAGTGGCCGTGATCTACTATCGAACCATGATTCTCGAGGCGGAAACCATGCTCCGGAATCCGATAACAACTCTAGACCTAGGAGCAGGATTCCTGTTGCCGTAAGATCTGCAAGTATTTCTTCCGCGTGCGCAGAGTCTAACAACCACAGTGTGGACGATGTCGAAAGCGAAAGATCCGATGCAGTGGTGACTTAGGTACTGGTCTTCCTTGTACCAATTGTAAAGGTGCTGGCAATGAACAATGCCAATTCTTGAGAGTATGTGAATTTCTCTAGACTAAACCCTTTATTCTTATAGTAACTTACAAATCCAGGTTCAATCGGATGTGGTGTCAATGAAGCATGAAAATGCTGACTTCAGTCACTTTGAACATAATCCAGCCCGGGTACACTGCCGTACGACTACATTTGGACCACATTCATACATTCCCCCAGGCGGACCGGTTCCAGAGGCATATTATCCACGGAGTAGTTCGATGAGCAGTTACGTTGTTCCTCAGAGCAGGTATTACACTCTTGGTTCGTTCAGCGAATACCCCGAGGAGAATGTGAATGTTGATTATGGTGTTCAAAATCCGAGTTACTCACTGCTTGGAAATGAGCAATTCATACCACCAACATATCCTTCTTCCAGTCGAGGCTGGACACCAGCTCCACAAGCAGCAAAGGCCACACCTATGTATTTGGAGCAGGACCCAGGTTACGGCGGACAAGTGTCATACAACAGCGCATATCAACTCCGGCCAACTATCAGCCCTGAGCCCAAGAGTGCCGTCCATGCTACAAGTATTCCTATTGCCGTTACTGGTAACTCTTTACCACCACTACCTCCTAGTGGGACCGATCGGGTACTGCCATATCCTGCGGGCCGTACCGCACTTCCCACCCAAGTTGGATCGTACATTCGTTCGGTAACAGTTGCTCCAGCCGGCTATCATTCGTACGGTGGGACACTGAGCAGCTCAAAGTCCACTGTTCATAGTGCTATTCCTGGCACTGCCTCGCTTGCTGCAGATCCGTACCCGTACTCCAGCAGCAGTCCGGAATCTCTGGCATCTTCGGCACAGACAGTGTATAGCACACAACAGCTTTCTCAACAGCAAGCCGATTTGTATGCGTCCAGCAGTGAAAGCCTTTATCACGTGAATGAAACTTCTGAATCAGCTTACGGGACAAGCAGCGAGAAAAGAGAGTCCCACAATCAGGATTCTCTGTCACCGGAAGAAACGATCGCTAGCTTGTCGGACCGTAGGCAATATGTACCATTCAACGCGGGCGCCACTTATCCACCATCATCTGTTGGTATTTATTCGCATGCTACAACTAACATCGCTACAGCTCGTACTCTCGGAGTCTCCCAGCCCTGAAGTTTGACAATCACTGAAGGCGGCATTTCATCTCACATTACTCTACACCCGATCCAGCGTTACTCGAAAATTTTCATCAAACATCATTAGCACAGTTTCAGACGGCCAAGCATCATCATACTTCTTACATTCTTTTCAAAAAGTGCTGTTCAATTCTCATGTCTCATTCAATACACGATCATTCAACATAACATAACATTTCTAGCACGTACAACTCGGAAAACAGAACGGGGACAACTCAGAAAAGGGATACCGGAAATGGTGTTGAGACTTCGGCGTTTTTGTATCTTCTTCCCTTTCCTTTGTAGAGATGGTTTAAGTGTGTATCTTACATCTATACGAGCACTCTTTTTCGCTCACTTCATCGCGAGATGATTATTTATTTTATATTCTTTACTTCCGGTCTAGGAAGGAGGCGCTTTAATGGGGAGACATAAAGGTTTCAGATCTGGTGTTAGCATACAGGATGGCGGTGGGTGGCGGCGGGTCTAGGTGTTTGGGGGAGCTGAGGCCGTTTGATTGGGATTACCGGTGTTGGCTGTGGCGGTTCGGTGGTAGGTGTTGGTTTGGGGAGTATGGTGGTGATAGATACCTCTTGTGTGATTATGACCCGATTTTGCGGTGTCTGGACGGAGATGGTTCTCTTTGTTTTGGTAGATTTGGTGTGGGTTGCTTGATTTAAAATATTTTTTAGGTCAGTCACTGTGAATTTAAGGAGATTTGCAGATGTTAATTTGTGTTTGGTTCATTTGAGCTTTGATGATGATCTCATTTTTGCTTTTGATGTCTCTGACGGGAAGTCGGTGTCGTTCACAGAGAGCTGAGTCTTTGATCGACTCGGGTCTGGTGTTTGAGCTTCGCCTCGGTCTTGTGTGACACAACACTCCAACCAACAACTGGTACCTTATTGCCTCAATTCCTCTATTTCGCTAACAGTGCTACCTACATTCCTCATCGGCGCTTACATGGTACTCAAAAGCACCTCAAGAGAATGACCTTCTCCAACTCAACTGTTGGGTCAGGTCGAGCCGACTAGATCAGCCCTCGCTTATCCATCTCCAAACACTTCGCCACGACCTAACATTTACGTGATGTTGGCACATGGAGTCATCATCTCATTCCTAAAGTAGTTTCCCTCTTCGTATATCTCACCAATGTCATCCCCAACCCCCACTTTAAATCTAGTGGATATTCAAAATGTCCTTTCATAATGGATTACAATATAATTTCCAGCCGTATCATGACGACGAGGAAGATGAGGGTATCACTCCACAAACACCCAGATCTAGAGAATGGGTTGTGACAGCAAACCATTACACTCTCATCCAACCAATCCTATCTGTCATCCAGGTCCTCTCTCTCCTCTCACTATCCATCTACTCCACCCACCATACACTCATAACCTCAACCCATGTCTCACAAACCTATATGTCCGTCCCCCTCTCCATCCCCTACAGAACTCTCTTTCTTACACCCCACCAGCCAAAAAACAATAAACCACACAATCTTCGCACTGTTCCTCATCATCTTCCTTGATACAGTCCTTGCGCTGGCATTCAGGATTTCAGGAAAACTAGCGCTCATATCGTGGAGTTTTTGGTTCTTTCAGACGTTCAAAATCGTGTTTCTGGGTCTTTGTTGGGGGAGCAAGTGGGGGATTTTGAGGTTTGGATGGGTTGTTGGAGTGGTTTTTGGGGGGTTTTGGGGGGTTTTTGTTGGTGGTGGGGTAGTCGGTCTTGTGCTAGTGGGGAGGGGGTGTGTTAGGGGACGAGGGAAGATACGGCTGGGTGGTGGGGAGGAGCAAAGTGTTTTGCTATCGAGTAGCGCGGAGAGGGGAGAGGTTACTTGAGAGGTTAAGATTATGATTGCGAAATTATGACTGACAACATTGATGTCCCCAGAAGCTTTCTCACCAATGTGTTCTTGTGTTCTTGTGGTATGAATCACCTCGTAAAAAATATCATTAAGGGATAATACTAAACCGGCATAATCACACAAGGAGAAGGTACATGTCCTCACATCTACCTTATTATCCAGTATGTTTAACTGTGAATACCACCTTCTAACACAATGAACATCTACAAAAGCCCAAACCATTATACTTCAACTCCAAACTCCTTTCCCACCCAACCTCAATATCTACAAGTCCACTAACATACCCCACAACCTCCCACCAACAAACCATGTTCCTAACGCCCCAGCAAAAGCAACTCTGGCTATCCATCCCAGCACAACCGTTCTCCGCCGCATTCTTCATAGATCACTTGCAGAATGTGAGCGGACCACGCAAATCAACGGAGCTCCTAGTCCTCTTTACTTTACCTGATGGTGTGGATGTGCGAATGAAGGGGACGGAGGTGATGTGTACAGTGGATACAACGTTGGGAGTTGAGTTTCTTGCGCTGCTGGATGTGGGGGAGATGAGCGAGGATGGGGTTTAAAGAGTGGGAGTGTGTTTAGTTTGCTAGAGACGTGGAGAGATGAGACAATACTTAAGAGGTTAAAATGAGTCAATAATTGAGAGGTTTGAAACTCATCGTTTAATGATTGAGATCTTGATAATAAGTGTATCGTAATCTCTCGCAATTGTCGTGTGGGACTAAGGCCTTAGTAATAAGAGTGAATGCTAGAGTGAAAGTATTTGTGTATATTGATGTTTGTAGAGTTTTATCTAGTAGGTAAGATATTGTGTATAAGTGGGTTTCACAATTCATGGTTGATTGTGTGAGTGTCAATTCTCTTTCAAGAAGTGGATATCACTCAGAAACCAAGAGAATTAATGAAAAGTCAGTGTCTCAGTTTATCCGAAAAATCTCTATTGATTCAGTAGATCGCTTCCGCTGAAGAATTTACCCCTAGAGCTCCCATCCCCACATCCCCAAAGATCATCTATGAATCCCGCTTAACACCCTCACCAGGCTTCATCGTCTTGTCCATCGACACCCGCCCCGGAAATTCCGTCCCGAGCGGCGTTTCCGCCGTAAACACCATTTCCGTCTTTTTCATACGTACAGAAGCCTGAATCGGTAAGCCGAAGTATGCCCGGATATTTCCCGATTGAACTGGACCGCTATCACTCTTGAGATGGGTATGGAAAATCTCGGCCAGGAATTCGTCAGAAAGTGGCTGCGCTGGGATGGAGAGCCAGTCGCGCTTTTCTTGGGCAGTTAATTCCATTTTGAATGGGGAATTAGCTGGCTGGTTTGTGGTGTGGTGTGTGTGGAATTGGTGAAGCTGGATCTGGAGTGTTTTGAAGTTGGTAGTAATGATAATTCGAAAGGAAGGGGAAGTTCTTGAGTTTATGTAAATGTGTATTTCTTTGATTGTAGGATTCACACTTAAACAGACCTTACTACTTATAGACTGGTGCTCTTGTCTCTTCCTTTGTGATTAAACACAACTACAGTACCATTAGTTATTTACAGCATTTTAGAACAAAGGTGGTTCACAAAACGTGTGAATAAGTTACATTTATACTTCTTTGTTCAACATCTTCAATTTCTCAACTCAGATCTGTGCCTTTCAGGGTCCCAAACAACACTATACCCTGTGCTTTACTTGAGCTTTTGGGAAGGTTCGCATTCCTAAACAATACACCAGGACACATCACATGACACGCCTCGTCTGGAAAGTCGAAACCAAACAATAAGCGAATAAAGATAGAAGATTTAATGTGAGTTAGAACAGTCTCAGCCATAGCTCAAATAGAACATTGAATGTATATGCCGACACCCCTAGGCTGAATTTCGATTAACTTTCAGAAATCGAACACGCCTCACTCCAGTATTCTCACTCTCATAGAAAAGTGTTGACTTAATACCTTACCTAAATACCACAAAAAAGATATACTACAGAAAATAAATGCTTCATTTTGATCATCAAAAAAAGATTTCTAAATAATTCCCCTCACAAAGGTACTTTCTTGCCAAAAACAGGTCTCTTGAACCCCTCCAAAACTTTACTCGGCGGTTTAAACTCTCTAGGCACCCTCTCACTTCTCGCTGCCAACTTCATCTCCTCCACTTTCCGCTTCCTCATCGCATGAGTCTCCTGCTTATGCGGAAGACTACCGGCCACGCATTTCCCGCTGCCCCAGGCCACTGATGCAGCTTTCTTCCAAATCGCACGAGCGTCGCGTAGCATTTCTGGCTCGTAGAAAAGTCGACAGTCGGCCTAAGAATAAAGTCAGTGGTAACTGACGACAGCGAGGAGTTGGGGAATACTTACAGCTTCATACAGAAACTGTGCTGGAGTTCCATCCTTGATGTTATCTCTGAGGATCATATCCCTCACATTGACTGAGTTGTCAGAACTTCTATCTAATGGCAATTGACTTAGACTTTTGACACTTTTCCAGAGTTTCGCTTCTTCGGGAGTAGCTGTAGAGAGGGCGATATTGGCGAGAAAGAGAATATAAGAGAATGGATAATTGTTGGTTCCTTTGGTGCCCCCGACTGCTTGAATGAGTGCGCGGTTTGGTCGGCCGCCGAGTGCGATGGATTTCACGTGGCCTTGGGTGCGCATGAATTCGCTGAATATGGCGCAGGTTGAAGCGCAGTACCCATCGTAGACCTGTTAAAATTAGTTGCAAGACGTCAAGAATGAAGTGCGAACCTCACCATGATGATGTCGTCAGCGGCGAATGGCTGCTTGTAATTCTGCCGTGAACCATAACCCGTGATGGCCATTCCAAGTCCATATTGATAACTCGTTGTCAACAGCGGATCGCTGAGATTCCATCTTAGCAGACTCGTATACTCATCATTGCGAAATTTCTGTGGTGAGAATTTATCGTTGTAAGTAAGAAAATTCTGATTCGTCTGGTTGAGATCGAACCGATAGTCCAGCACAGACTGAGAAGCAACTACTTGAGTAGTACTTGCTGATTCTAGGGAGAAGCCTGACGTGAAGTTTGAAATCTGCTTGCTCATGATATTGAAGGCATCATGCTCTCTAAAACGAGAGAATCCATCCTGGACCGTTTGTGGGAAGAATTGCCGAAAGGCATCGTAACCGTTGAGAATGACTCCTCCGCCATTTCCGGAAAGATCAATCACGATTTTGCTCTTTCCGGCTGCTTTGGCGTCCCAGATGAATCTTTCGATCACGTTTTGAAACTCGGCAGGGTAAAGTGGTTCGAATGACAGCATACTGAGCACCGCAACATCTGCAAATGCCGGATCGTCATCCAGAAAGTAGCCCGAAATCTGTTTATCAGAGCTGATGCCCTTTGGTGTTGGGTATCCATGTGCATATCCGACATTTCCAGACATGAACTCTTCATCATCGGTAGCTGGATCGTAGTTTTTGGGCCCAGTACAAAATTTCTCATAGGCGGAAGGGCCGTCTGTCACTCCTCTCCAATTTCCTATCACTTCTGCATAATTTTCATACGTTCTCGACGTTCCGTTCGCGAATTCTAGTTTCGTCTCCGCTCCTTGATATGTCATACCAGCTCGTCCAGCCCCAGCAAATGCGCCCGTATATTGCATATTAGCATATTGGGCGTCGATCGCGAGTTCGTAAAACAGGGCATTGTATAGGGCGTCTGGATCCTGTAAAAATCCTTGCTGTGAAATGTCCTCCAAATATCGATTTACGTCCCGTCCATTAATCCTAGTGATTGCAGAGGCATTGAAAGTGTTTGACTTGGTGTAGTTGTAAATATCATCTATAAGACTTAGCACAGTCCCCCTCAGGAGAAGATTAACTTACTCTTCGCGTATACTTTTGGGAGTTCGATGCCATCTCTACTGACTGATACGAGCTGTACTCGCCTTCGAAATACCACCCTATTCAATAAATCTGGCACGAATCGGAAGTGTCCATCGTGGGCTGCGTTGAAGGTCTGAAAAAGTTCTGCTTGAAATTCGTGCTCACTATCATATCCGCCCTTCTTGATTTCGCGTAATATCTCTTTAAGACTTCCTATCACATCGATCGGGGGTTCTTGGTATCCTTTTGGTGGGTCATCCAGGTACTCCAGATCTTCAACTATTAGCTCCTAGTGAAAAGATGAGCATTGAGTAGACGAACCTGACTGCCACTCTACATACGGAAGAATAGATTCAACAAGTTTCACTGCCGCATCCTTGTTGATTGGAATCGAGGTAAGGCATTCATATGCGAGTTTTGCTGTCACGGTGGTCGTACCTATGCGTTCCATCAGATTTTAACTCAAAATATAATAGGCGTTTTGGATAACTGCTTACCAGAAGAAGACTTTTGTGCTAGAATTCCGCATGGACTACTTCCACCAGTAGCCCTTGAGATTGCGCTTGCGCTGACACCGCAAATAAATACGAGAAATGATGCTGAGAGCATCTTTTGGCCACAACAAGATACTAGAAACTTCTTGCAAACAACGCAGAGAAAAGAAATGTTCTTACCTGAAAGCACCATGAAAAGCACCTACCATAAAAGATGAGCTTTGAAGCTTACAGCCGAGGGAAGGAAATCACGAAGAAACAATATGAACATAAATTGCCATCCCAGGTACATATTATTACTATCGAATTCGATGTGCTAATCGTGCTTGCCTGGAGGCTCACTTCGCGGTAAGGCGGTAAGGATATTCATGCGGGGATGCATGTCAGGTAGTAATTGAGGCGAAGGATCGACAGATGCTACTATCTGGATATGGTTCGACTAAGCCACGTCTCCAGGAGTCGTTTTGGTAGTATAGCAATATAAAGAAGGTAAGATGAGTGTTTATTCGATGTATAAATGAAGTGAGAGCATCGGCAAAATGACAACCTGGGTTTCGCAGTTGCCTTGTATGCAGGCAATATATGCGCTTGCAATATGTGCGCTTAATTTTGCAGAGAAATGAAATTGTAGAAAAGCGTTTGCGGAGTGATCTGGATGCTCTGTCATGACTTATTTTTGGAATCGACGGTGAGCATATTTAAAACAGAGAGGGATGAGCTCAATGACACGTTTTGTCAAATTTTTCTGGGCATTGAAGTAGGGATGTTAGTGGAGGCGGGTTACTGACCACTACGATCGCGCATGGAGACCTCTATTTAGCCTCAAAGCTCTCTCTAGGCTCGGAAACACCGAGTGATTGGCGAATCCAGTGGTTTGAGAGCACAGGATCCAGACTTACGGACGATTTCGTGCTGTTCTCCGCGTGACTGAGCTCGTATTGGTGCCTAGTAATAAAGCATCTCGGGTCGCTTGGTTGTGGTTTATTGAACTTTTTGTCAAATTGGGCCATTTCAGACCACTTTCGCGAGCTGTGACCTATAGTAAAATGATTCGATCTGGTTCTTATTTAACAGTCCCAAGGTTCTTGAGCAAGCATAATGCGTGTAGACACAAAGCTGACATGCAAGAATTAGAGTAGAATCAACGTTACCTCAATGCCATCTCGTCAAACGAATCGCACTTTGAGGACATCGCTAGCTAACTCTTAAATTCACTCAAGTCTTCGTACGTAATGGAAACAAGAACTATACACTCTGTCAGATAGTTAACGGGGGATAGCTCCGGTTGGCATTGAGGGTCCGAAGCCTTTGACCCAAGTGGTAGACACTGAGTTTTGGCCCAGGCTCAGAAATTCCGGCTCTTTACTTTCAGGGAAATTTCTGTACCGTAATTATTAACTTCTCTTTCTCCTTTGCCAAAAGCTCTTGACAATCTTGTCAACATCTGTGTACAAAACTTACTAGCTACGCTCTGCAAACATAGAGTTTCCGAACACAATTATCGATATTCTCAAACATTTCTTCTTCTTCACTGATTCCTGATAAGATCTCGATACTTCTATCGTCGCAGTTGATGTTTTAAGTTTTGCGCCGTCTAGATACATTGTGTGAGGGTACTCCTAAGGTCGTCGCCAGCGTTTTCGAAGATTCTGCGGTCAGTTGACAGTGGTGTGATCGATTCGTACGATCAATTCATATGAGGATTAAGATGCACACTGCTCCGATAAGTGACAAGACTAGTTTGATAGCGAAGTAGTATAATCGGTGGCCAATATCGTTGGTATCTCTAAGGGGTTTGGGATGAATTCTTGGAGCTTGTTTTAGCGCATATTAGATAGTCACGTGATATCCTGGGATCTTGTTATTACGAGCACGTGCTGAATTTCTTACCCGTTTTCTTATTATACACAACTCATTTCCTAGGAACTCCCACCTCTTCTGTGGCTGTCAAAAATGGCGTCTAAAAACTTTCTTGACGGGCTTAAGACTGGGGGTAACGCTACCAAGAGTAATTTGACTATTGATGGTTTTATGGCGGAGGCGGAAACTTCCAACGTGACAAGACATTATGAAGACGCTGTGCAAAGCAAAGAAAACTTGGCATCAGACAACAGGCAAAACACTATAAATAATGTAATGGATCTCCTTCGACAATCCATGGCAGCAACTCAGGCAACAACTGAAGCTGCCCTTGCTCAGGGTGAAGCGGATCGACAACACTCCAAAATGCTGGCGCTTCTCGCCAAAGATCAGGCGTTGGAAGATTTCAGTGGAACATGGAAACTCCAGCCAACAAGTATCAGACTTATCCATTTGCAGCCTTCCACTACTTACGAGTCGGATTTAAAAGGTCGCCTCATTCAGCACGATGGGTTTGACGCTAATCAGTTTACTATTCGTTCCCTACAATACGCCGCACTTTCATATACCTGGGGGGCTCCGATATTTAATCGCATACTCCATTGTTTGGATGGAAACAAAATCGAAATTACCGAAAATCTAGACTTAGCTCTTCGTAAAGTCAGGGATCTGACCAGCGAACGAGTCTTGTGGGTTGACGCTGTTTGTATCAACCAAAAGGATCTGGCAGAGCGAACATTTCAAGTCAAGACAATGCACAGTATTTATTACCAAGCGGACGAAGTCCATGCGTGGTTGGGCCCAGAGTCCGAATTAAACGATGGAAATATATGCTTTTCCCTGCTCGAAGCGATCTTTGACCGGCTCGTAAATCATGACAAGGAGCATCATTCATCCGAACGCAAAGACTCAATATGTCACAGGGGACAGAGCACATTTACTATGATCGAGGATGGATTTAAACCCATCCTATCACAATTTGACAAGGTTCACATGAGCCATGTATTCGAGAAGTTCTTTGAGCGAAAATACTTTTCTCGCCGATGGATTATCCAGGAGATTACCTTTGCACAAAACCTCACTCTTCACTGCGGAAACTCTACATTAGAGTGGACTTTGGACACTCGTTGTTCGAGATTGCTCTTTTTAAACATAATGCGACAGTTTGTCGATGAACGTGTTGTAAAGTTGCTGGAGGCAACTTTGCTCTGTAAGGGTCAAAACATGGTACACATGCAAAACCCGGTCGATGTAATGTTGAATGCTGACAGATTTGGCTGCCTCGACGACCGAGACCGTGTTATCGCACTGCTGCACGTCTTAAGGCTTCTTCGAGTTGTCAAGGAAAAGAAATTCGACCATATCCTCAAAAGAATCGGCTATTTTTCTTCATTGGAAGAGGTTTATTTGATATTCGCACAATTTTCTATGCTCTATGGAGCCTTGCAAATAAAGGAGAATAAATTTACAAACCTTCATGGGGATTGCATTAGCCACCTTTTACAAGTGGCATGTTCAACAAGACCTGCAGTCAGGAATGAAGACCCTCATCTGCTACCATCATGGGTTCCAGATTGGCGACAAAGTGTTCGATATGCAATACCAAGATCAATTCGTGGTCCACTTGTGGCCTCGAATATTTCCTGTGGGCTACCTGATAGTCTTGACCATATAGTATGGGGTTGTTCCAAGTCCAAATACCAGGCACTCGACGGCTTTTCCAGCGACGAATTCCTTCATGCAAGTGGAATGCTTTTTGACACGATAAAAGAAACCAGGATTTTTAGCGAAGCCGAAATTCTCGGCGGATCGTACAGTATACATGCCCAAGACTTGTACCTTCGGCTTCCTATGCAGGAATCCCTCGGTCATTCGAACGGCGAGCTCTACAAACATTATTATAATCCTACTTGCGAAGAGTTTCAGAAATCACTTGCAACAACACTAATTGCTGATCACGAACATTGCGACCACACCTTAGCACCTCATCAAAAAGAGAAGTGCGATACTCGAAGCGACACGGAGTCCTTCAAGGGGAGCTCAACGACTGCTACCCCGGGACCTTCAAGTAAAGAAGAAAGCACAACTTCCGCATACCATAAGCGTCTCATGCAAACCATGCGTGGTCGTTGTTTCTTCACCACTTCCAAAGGCTACATCGGCATTGGGCCCGACGACACGCAAACCGATGATGTTGTATGCATCTTCGGTGGCTTACGAGTACCGTTCATAGTTCGCCCACAAAGCACCAGCGTGCTAAATGAATGCTGCCAACGTGTCTGGGCTCCAGAAACCAACGATGTCGCAGGTTGTGAGGCAGTTATGGTAGGAGTCTCAGCGGATGTCAGGCTGGTGGGCGATGCCTACATACATGGGATCATGGACGGCGATGTCGTGGCGAAAGAGTGGAAAAGCTATCCTGGAGCTTTTCAGTCTTTTTATATCGTTTGAGAGGCAGTGCTTTGCGTTGCTAACCGTCGAAGATTGATGTGGAACCTGACAAGCAAACCAACAACGTACTTGCTAAGTTCAACCTGCCCCATCTCTAGATATGACTGGATTCTACTCGATGAGTTGATCTCTCATACCGCCTGAACAGGAGGTAAAAAACGGGGACGTCACGTCGACGTCTTCGTCCTCGTGGTTCTTTCCTGGACCAACACGGTCACATCATTCAATATAGCGAATTTACATTGCCACGAGCACATCCCGGTCACGAAGTGGCAGTCTAGATGAACACTGGACACTTACAAAGCTTCAGTCCCAAGGACGAGTCGTGTTAAAGAACCCATTAAAATCAATCTAAGGGGAGCCAAGTATGATGAAGTATAGAGAGTAAATGCACTTTCCTACTGAGAACACAAATTTATAGAATCTGGACGCAGTTAGGTATCAAAAGACCAGGAAACCTCTTGCATTACACAATATAATGCACTCCGGATCCCCAACGGCACCCGTCTTAACCTCACTTCCCGACCAACACCTAAGATCTTCGAACACCCACCTCCAAATCATCGACCTCCTCTCAACATTCCGCCATTCCACCACCACACCATCCCCCTCCCAATCCATCATAAAATTCCGACAGCCATCATAACCGCAACACCCAACCACGCCGCCACCCCTCCCCTTTTCTTCGACACCGCTCCAGCGATCTCATCACCACCCGGCAAAACCCTTTCATGGGTACCACATCTCATCGTCGCCGCGCGCGGCAGACAGGTGTAATAAGTTGTCATATGCCATTTTTGGTGGAATGTTTGGTCGATTTGTGAGGCTTCGAGGATCACTGATGGGTCGATGAGGGAGGGGTCAAGGTTAAGGAGGGTTGAGTGGTAGAGGAATGGTGGTGGGGTTATGGTTGAGGTTGGTGGTGTGAGGGTTGATGGGGGTTTGGAGGAGACGGTGGTTGAGGGGAGATTTGAGTATGGTGATGGTGAGGATAGTGAGGAGGATGAGGGGGGATTTGAGGTGGAAGGCGAGAGTATTGATAGTGTTGATGAAGGCGGTAGTGATGAAATTGAGGGTGTTGATGTCGAAGTTCTTGTAGTTTCCCCATGCCATAACTCGAAAGCACTTCCACCACCAAAACAAAATCCAACAACCAAGACCCGATACAAAAAACACTTCATCCTGGTAAAACCAACTTTCAATTTGTAAATTAAAACCTGGAAGTCCTCCAGAAATTGATTGTGATATCCTCTAGAAGCGCAAATTTAATCTTCTTCTTCGTACGATCCAAAGCCCGAGATCAAAAATATAATAACAAGTATAGAAAAATTGAAGCCAGCTTCAACATATAACGAAACAAGAATTGGATACTAAAGTGCAGTGTGGAAGAATGTAAGAATGTAAAAAGGTTCAAGAAGAAAATTCTCAAGAAGCAAAAATAAAGAATAAATCATCACACTCTTCCACAACGCCACTACCATCACCACAATGCAATAAGAATGACTCACATAACTCACTGGTCTTGATTCTATACCTTCTTGGACTCGATATGCACGAAAAATCAGAGTCATTCAAACCTCACGATGCGTAGTGGGGTAGTGTAAGATGAAACAAGCGAGGTATTGTCGTGGCCAATCAGTTCCCCCTCCTCTACCACCACATCCCACCATCTGCAACACCTCTCACCACCACTACCTCCCAACCCAATCCTTAACTCTAATCACATAATCACCAAAAACCCAACATCAATGGAGGAAGAAATTTATTACTACCACAACTGCCTATCTACACATCCACCATCCAAGAGGCCACCACAACCCCCCTCCTGCCATCAGCCCTACAAAAGTAAAGCGAGGTCGGGAAAAAGGCTGAATGCCATCAAAGGATGTCTCCTCAAACCACTACACCGCATCACCTATCTATATACAGAATTCCTTCCCTCCTTTCTCCATCCATCTTACAAGAAACCAAATATAAAAACCAGAAATAACGCGCAATACAATAGGTATCTCCCACAACCCACAAACGCCAAACTCCCCTAGATATACTACATAAACAAATCTTCTCACTTCGATGTACTCTTCTTCCGATTCTGATTCAGAACCGTCTGCGAACTATTCCTCAGCCCGACGCTCCCACCGCGTCTCGTCTCCCTAGCTTCACTCGGAGCCTTCCCAACTCTCCCCTCCCACTCCGCACTATCATCCGAGCCAATATGGTATGTCCTCTTGCGTTTGGGAGTCGTGCGTTTACTTGGTGGACTGTCCGGTTCGACGCTGCTCGAGATAGTGAGATCAGTGATTTGTGTACCTGCGGGTGGAATGTAGGGTTGACGTTGCGACTGCGAGGCTTGAGGTTGGGAGGAGCGGAACGGTGGTCTGCTGTTCTCTGCGCGCTGGCTGGATGATTTAGCTTTTTGGTTGCGTGATGATTTTGATGCGGACTCAGTTGAGTCTTGAGACTGGGCACGCTTGTTATCGAGATGCTTTGTTCCTAGGTTGGAAACACCACGTCTAAATGGTGAGACCTTTTCGCGCTTTGGTAGAGGTTGAGATGCGATTTCACGTGGATGAGGAAGATTGGAATCGGAATCTTCGGAGAAATCTCTGGCTGGTGTGTGCTTTGTCAGTTTTTGAAAGATTTTGCTGGTCGGTGAAGATTGCTTCTGTTGCACCGCTGCCTTGGTCGATGTCTTGCCAAAAGTTGGTTCCTTTTTGACGACGATTCTCTCCTCTTCTTCCGCGAGTTCCGGTAATGTGGCAAACTCTGTATTCAACATCGCGCTATCGTCAAAACTAAAGTCTGGCTGACGACCATAATCTGTGACTTGGCTTGTGAAAGACGAATGGACTGAAACCTTGGGCTGCTCGATAGAATTGGGTTCTCCATCATTTGTGCCGTCTAGATTCGTTGCCTTCAAAGTCTCAGCTTGATTGTCAAGCTCACCCATGCCTTTCTGCGGACCCTGCTTCATAGCTGACCATATGTGTTCTGCGTTTGAAAATTCCGAAACGCGAGGCAGCTTCTTTGACTTTCGCTTTATTGGTAGCTTTGTGGGACTTGCTTTTGAAACAGCTGGTGGTGGTGACGGCGACTTTGGAAGTACCTTGTGAATCGCCTTTGATGATCCGTTCAGTCCTTTGGCTTCGCTTGCTTTCGGAGAACCAGGAACGCTGTCTTCAAGCTTGCCCACGTCTGGTGATTTCTGACCCTCTTCTGGAGACAAGGCACGACCCTCGGTAGGATCTGGTGTATTTCCATGCTCCTCGACTGGATTAGAGGAAAGCTCGACATCACTGTCATCACTAGACTCAGACTGAGCATCGCTCACATCGCTGGCCTCAATGACTTCCTCATCGTCCTCCCATGCATCGTCGTCATCTTCTTCCACAGTATGCCAACTCGACCGCGGTGGCTCTGAGGTGCGTGGGCCTCCTGCGTTTGGAGATCGTCTGGCTTCAGAGTTTGATCTCACGGGAGATTTAGATGATGGTTGATTGTTTCGGGGAGGGGAACTTCCAAATCCTGCGAATTCTGGAGAATATGGACGAGTCTCGTTGATCTCCGTCATGTCCTGCCTTAGCTTTTCAAAAACAGCGGCATCGGGACTTGTCATGCCATTATGATACAAGTCGTTCAAGATCGACTCCGGCACATCTTTTGACCATCCTGCTTCTTTGAACATGAGAGATATATCCTCTTTGTTCTCGATAGAGTCCTCAACAGGGTCCTGTGTTTCCTTTTCTTGAGTTTGAGGAACCGACTCGGCCATTTCCGTATGGTTCGCAACTGTGTTTATGCCTTGCGAAGTTCCGTTAGAAGCTGATTGAAAAGCAGTAGACTCGCTCTCGGTGACGTTTGCCTCAATCTGCGCATGTGGCAGAGAGTCAGCGGTCTCCTCAGAAATTTGAGCGTTGATCAAATCGGAATCAAGTGGTTGTGAGGTTTGATTCTCCGATTCAGGGAGCTCTTCGTTATTCGTGACGGTATTCGCAGAAAGTTTTCCCGGTTCACGGTTAAGAAGCGCCACATCAACACCAGAATTCCCTTGATCAAGCGAGTCTGTTGATTGGGGCTGCTGCTGATTATTTGCCATATCCACATCCATTTTGTCTTGAACTTGATGCTCCGAATCGTTCAATTTCGTTGTCTCGGTATCGTCTTGCCCGTCTTGTGACGGTATCGCTGCAGCGGAATCTCTTGGTGGCTCCATTGACTCGTTTGGACTCTGCTGGGTCTCAATTGTGACTTCCACTTGCGCCTCTTCCAACGGCGTTAGCTCGGGTGCATCAGAATCAAGGACGGTCTCTGTCACATGAGAGAATTGGGTTTCAGGCTCTTGATCCTGGCCCAGCCATTGACTCACTGCGCTGGCGCCATCGACACTTGGTCCTTCCTTTAATTGAGAGATGTCATCCATCGAAACATCTTGTTCGTCGTTCGAAACATCTGCAACGATCTTCGGGCCAAAGAGTTCGCCGAAAGAGAGACATAATTTGCCATCGTCTTCCTCATCATCTTCATCTTCGTCGGGCATCTCGAATTTTGCATAAATTCGCTCGCCATCTTCATTGTATCGTTTCTCCGAATTGATCCGATCCCTCTTGGCAAGTGTCATATCAATGGAAGCATCATCAAACACCTCGATGACAATAGCAGTCTTATAACCGGACTCTTGCGGCTGCCATTTGGTTGCTTCGGACAGTTCTAGTTGCTTGAAAGCGATAATCATTCCTGGCTTAGCAATACCGTCTTTGAGGTCTGGCAGAGATGCAATATCCTGAGGCAACTCAACAAGATCATCTGGTGGATTTGTGGGTTCTGCTGAATTCTGTTCATCGAGAAGCTGATGGCTGACCTCCCCTTCGATTTCGGCGGCCAGTTGTATTGAGTCCTCGTTCTGAATTGTGTCTTCTACTGGGGTTAAGCGGTGTTCGCGGTTGCCTTTTCGACGCTTTGAGTTAGAAGGCTTTTCCTGATAGTATTGAGAATCGTTTCTTTGATGACCGTGGCGACGTTTACTTCCTGCTCCTGTGTATTGCTGCTGTGGATCCCAGCGTTGCACAAATGGAAATGGTGGCTCGCTCAATTGAACATCATCATCAACGCACTCTCGAGCAGAGTAGTTGATCTTGTCTCTCCATGAATCCAGATCTTCGATCTCATTGCTTTCAGCCGGTGGCTTATCAGCTTGTGTGGCAGCCTTCAATGGCCTGATATCCTTCATCAAGGTGTTGCGGACTTTATCCTCATCCTGTTTCGTTTTTGGGGCTTTGAATCCAAGATTGCCAAATAGCATTCTCTTGGCTGCCCCAAGATCAAGGCGAGATTTTCGAGGCGCCACTGCGGGTTGACTAGAGTCTACAGAAGCCGGTGCTATCTCAATAGGCTGACCTGTTTCAGATTCTGCTTCCGGTGCTATTACAGGTCGCTCGTTAATAACCTCGACATCAGGTAAAGGTTTCCGCCAAGGTGGAATTGCTTGTGAACTTGGTGGTGATGCGGATTTTTGACCTTGAGTAGCAGTCCGGCTTGAAGACGTGGTGTGCTCTTGAGTCTGTATTGGGGGCCCGACATCAATGCCACCAGAATATATATCAGCAAGAAGCTTCTGTCGTCTGGCTTCAAACTCATCCGTCATTTCAGACTTCTTCACAGACGCAGAGCTTTCTATGGGGGCCGATGAAGATGATGTACCCGTTTCTTCGGGTTTTGATGTGGGCTCAGAACCCATCTTTCGAAATTGCTCCCATGTCGTGCCTGCAGGAAGAATGCCCTTTTTAAGGTATCTTTGAAAGATATTTGACTTTCTTCTCCGTGCATTTCGCTGATGTGTCGCAGACTTCCCCTTGTGAGGGGCGGCGTCGTCAATTATAGTTTTGGGCTGAAGTTTACTGGTGGCCTCCTCTGGCGCGTCGTCATCACTGGAATCGCTCGAGTCGTCTGATGAACTACTATCGCTATCAGAGCTTGATGAGGACGCATCGGAAACTTTCCTGGCTACGACTCCGATATTGGCGAGTTCAATTTCGTCAGGATTTAGTGACTTCTGTACCTCTTCTTCGTCAAAATCTTCGGAAGAGTCACTGTCCTCAGAAGAATCTGAGTCGCTCCCACTACTGCTAGAAGTATTGTCTTCGGCAGACAAAAGTTTGAAGTTGCCATCTTTGACTTCGTCTTCGTCCGACTCGTCACTTGAGTCGCTTGAGTCGACACTGGAGCCATCACTTGAGCTGTCATCTTCTTCAATCGCTGATTGGTCGATCAAAGGGGTTGATGTAAGAACCTGGGGGAAAGTGTCATCGCCATCGTCGAAGACAATCTTGTTAGATTTGAAAGAACCATCTTCTTGTGAGGCATGATGACCCCACGCCGGTGAGCTTTGTACCACCTCTGCCATGAATGATAAAGCTTTCCCAGATTGTATAGATCCAGGCGGTAGACCTTGTTGATCGAATCGGCTGAACTCAGGTGGTGGTATTGATTCCGCGGAATCACTCTCTTCATCTATGACCGATGCAGACCTTTTTCGTGATCTTGGTTGGGTTGCATCTGGAGAAGGTTGAGCGTTTGAAGTAGTCGGTTTCGACTTCTTTTTGGTGGTAGACTCCTTGGGCTGAGCTTTCCAGGTCTTAGTAAGGTCCCATCTGGACACAGCAGGCTTGAATGCCTTTGACAATGCGGCCCAAGACATCTCCAAATCACCCTCCGCACCCTGGAATACATGCTTGCAAACACCCAGAGCTGACTCAGGAAAAGCCGCATGCAACTTACGGATCTTGTCTCGATCATCTTCATCAGGGACCCCGACTAGTGCTTCGGCATCGTCATCCGCGTGAACGACGCTGCCTTCAGCTCCAGACTCAGAGTGCGCACGTTGCGTTTTATGGCTAGGAGAGGCCGTTTGCAGAGCGTCGGTATCCTTACCAGCATCGCTCAGGAGTCCTTCCAGTTCATCTTCAATATCCTCATCATCATAAAGTAGCTCTTCATCATCCTCGGAAGATGAGGCTTCTGAATCTTCCTCGGAGTCGGCAGTTTCATCTTTGTCACCTGCACGTTCCTCGTCATCATCAAAGTCGGCATGAAGTACCAATTGGCGTTCTTCATTCTCAGGTGTATCATCTTCCTCATCTTCGAGTGCTAGCAGCGACTCCTCATCATAATCGTCGTCTTCATCTTCGACGTCCGGTATCATCAACCGAGCTCGTTTTCGCGGAGGAATATTTATCTCTGGTCGCCCAGAAAGAATTCGTAATAAAGGTCTTCCGAATGCAAGGCCATCATACAAGCGTTTGCCATCTTCAGAGATCTGATGTCTTCCAGAAACTCTGCGTACTTTCAAATCCTCAGTGAGAAGCGGTCGAATACTAATGCGCATAATCAGCAGACATCCCGAAAACAAACAAACGCATTCACTTACATTACTTCATCATCTTCTTTAAACACCTGCAAGACCTTTTGGAAATGCAAGCATTCGAAGTTGATACCATTGCTGCCCTTCAATTCGACAGCATAATCCTCCAATCCCCAATCGCCTGATTCGATGGGTATAATTTCGTTTACTTTTTCGAGAAGTTGGTAGATCGACGGCGCAGCGCCTGCGTCGATGTGCCATATAATGTTTGTGGGTGGGAGAGCGTGTCGCTCAACCGTGAGCCGTAACCTCATGGTGGTGGTGTTCCGAAAGTGGCATGCGGCATGTGCAAGGAAAAAAAGAGAGACACTCGTACAATTGCTAAGAACAGAGAAAGTTTACAGGAAGCTGGGGTGACGCGATGCGGTGGGGGCGTGGGTCGTTCGCGTTTAAAAGTGGGGTCTGCATGGGGCAGATTTATTCACCTGTCATTGGTCAGCATTCAACGTCACTCGTTGATTTATAAGTTCCCTCAAATCCAAGACAACCTCGTTGAATAGACATCAGGGTTAAGAGGGAAAAAGCCGGGGATGTTAACTTACGTCTCTTGACGATTTCGAAGTTGAATGGCCCAGTACTCTTTGGTGGAGTCCACTTGAATGTCTCAGCATTCTGTGCTGGCGTCCAGACAAACTCCTTCTCAAACAGGGGGAGTTCTTCAAGATACACCCACTCCATCCCGCCCTTCTCTCTCTCCTCCTTGATAGCATCAAGAAGCTCACAGTGCTGGTTATACACGTGAGCAAACTCGAAGCTAGAACAACCGGATCCAGCCTGCTCCCTGACAGCCTTCAAAGCCACAGCAGAGTTCTGTGCAAACAACTTACAAGCTGGCGGGGCTTGCTTGACTGGTCGTCGTGTATACACAGATTCCTTGTTGGACGGCATTGGCTTGTACTTCTCGTCCTTGAATTTGCGCCACCATTTGGATGGACGATTCTTATCTTCGAAAAACTTCCACTTGTGCTTAAGTGGTGGAAGTGTGGTTGTTGGCATTTGTGGAAGTTGGTACGGTGTTCTTGGTGCAGTTGGGATATCTGGTAGAGAGTCAAGCATTGTTTGCAAGCTAATCGGTGGTGGTGGTGGTGGTGATGCTTGGACGGAATTTATAAGATCCTGAATCGCATTGCTCTTCTCTTGTTGGTTGGCAAATACAATTGGGGGTGCTGAGGACTGGGATGATGCGGAAGATGAGGATGAGGATGTCGAGGAAGAGGATGTCGAGGAAGTTGAAGCGGAGAATTGAGACGATGTAGAGGACTCCGAGTCTGGTGATGCCGGAGCATCTCTGTTGTCCTCAGAGGAGTCCTCCATTGTGGTATCTTTGCTTGCTGTTCGTCCCGAAACAGAAGCAGCAGCCATACGTCTTTTAAGCTCATCTTGATCTCTCTTGGCATAGTCAATGAGCTTTCCTTTGCGATCTCTGAGAGGTCGTCTTGTTGTGCGCGATGGCACGTCCTCAACCACGAATCTGCATCTCTTCTCGACCGAATCCTCTTCCTCATCCTCATCTCTGCTTCTCTTTCTCGTTCCTTCCGCAGCCTTGCGTTTTGCCGCCTCTCTGGCCAACGCAACACTCTCAGCTGGTGATGAAGTAGCTGCACCTGCTTGCTCTATGGCAGTTGAGGAATGGTCGTTGTCTCCCATCTCAAAATCCTTCAGGTTTTTGGCTTCCTCTTTCATCTTGAGTCGCTTTTCTTCGTCTTCCCAGACAGCAGCCTCCCCCTTTCTCCATGGCATGACGCCATCAGCCTTCTTGCTCTCTCCCTTCTTCGGCTTGGAATTGGCAACAGCCTTCGGCTTAACCCTCTCACCAACTTTCTTAGATCTTCCGACAGCGGCGGCGGCGGCGACTCTTGTCTGCTTAATCATAGCGATACGCAGTACCTCCTTATAGCACTCGATATCTGCGATGGCTTGCTTCTCTCTAGCAGCCTTCGCCGCCTCTTTACGCTCCTTGTCGTTACGTTGCTCGATCTCTTTCTCCGACAAGCCAGCGTTCTTCTTCTCCTCCTGCTCTTTTGCTAGCTTCAAGGCCTCGTCAAAGTCAAAGTTATCAAGGGTGGTATTATCGCCCTGGACAGTGTTGTTTCCGGAGGCAGACATCTATGCGAATATTTGCAACGCGTTTAGAACGATTGTAAAATGAGTATTGGTACAATTAAAACTTTTGAAATAGCTGCGAGGCCGTGGAATGCGTTGCGAAACAGATCTTGGATCGAAAAATCGTGTGTGGGAAAAGCGTGGACTGAGCAGGTTTTCTCGCGAGAAAAGATTTAAAAGCGCGTTCGGTATTGTTGATGGCTAGCGTGGTGACGATAAGGAATTGCAATTCACTTTGCTATTTTTGTTGAGCTTCGCCGGCTGCGAGGGGTTCCGAGTGGAAGTTTTGGAGATTCACCGTTCAACTTTTTGTTGTCCAACAATTTCGAGGTTGGAAAAGCGCGTCGAGATAAGCTTATTGCAATGAAGAGATCGGCTGCGCATGACTTGACAACAATTTGTATTATTATGGTTATTTGCAGATACCTATTCTCTCGTGTTTACACTCATATTCTGTCCCAGCTACACATGTCTGTCTCTAGATTTTACAATTCTACCCAATTCCTTTTGATGTATATTAGTAGCAGGAATTCCTATCTAAAGGCACTTCGGGATTCTTCTTATCCGTGTAAAGCAGAATGACACCATTTCATTACTAGCAAATTTCTTCCACAGTTAAGCCGACAGTCGTTAGAGTGAATGAGGAGCTTGATCACGTGTTCGCTTAATACAGGACCTCACCTCTTCATAGCCCCTTTTTTTGATGGGAGAGTCTTTTTCCTGCTGTATATTGCCTTGTTAAGGTTTGAAGGCAAGAATCAGGGGTAAACAGCTGCTTCTGAGAGAATGTTTGACTAATCGGCGAAGTTTTCCTTGTCTGCAAAGTCGTGTCTCTTTTAGTGTACGATCAGCGGATGTTGCAAAATTGACCTTCATCAAAACACTTTGGAAAGAAAATTCTTGAGAAGCTCTAACAGTTACGTAGATTTTATCTAGTTAGCCATATAATGGGGATATCATATATGCAGTGTCCAAATCTTGCCAACGCTACTCTGATGCAAGTTATCTCAGACACACCGAATTCGGATTCCGTGCCGGCCAAGATCTTCAACGGGCTTAAATCTGTACCCAGATCTTACGGGGAATTGCAGATTCTACTAGACTTGATCGTTTATTTGCAAAGAAAATTACTTATATTCCAATTTCTAATTCTGTAACCTACACAATTCCACTATTGAAAACGAAAACCTGTTTTTCGGATTTGTACCACCTGACGATCATGAAACGAGGGATAAGAACAGCAAGTTGTGAAGCAGGGTTTCGGAAACCAGCCACATGGGAAGCTTTATCGTAACGGTATTGAAATTGTTTTCGGTGGTGACTTCTCCCATTGATACATCCACGGTCAAGGAACGGAACACTTGGCAGAGACTTTCGTACAGTGTCGTGGCCCCAGCAATTACAGATCTGAAAGACCAGTGAACCTTCCAGCTCCCTTTAAACTGACGGACACGTTCAATTCTCAACGACAATACTTCTTACGGCCGTACACAGCAGAGATAAAGAGACAAGATATCATATTCACCACCAGCCAAACTCCCCAGCCTCCTCAATTTCAAAACCTGAGAGTGGCGACTGAGATGTTGCTTCGCTACGATGATGCGATATTATGGGCAAAGTCGTACGTCATGGTGTGGTCGACTTGCTATGTTTCGTTGATAATGCGTGTTGTCTGGATCAGCGGCGCTGTGTCGCGAATGAAACTGGCTACACCACATCTGACTTCCCAAAATGAAAGTATATTCCGTACGCGATGCTGCTAGTCCAACGGATTGCTACTAGACGGACTTCTGTTTTCTTGATGGCTGATATGCAATCCTGTAGTATAATAAAAAACTTACACTGTTGAACGCTAACATCATTGCCGAGAACACACCTCACACGATTTCTGTTCCGTTCCAATTGCAAAGGCAGCAGAAGATCTTTGACACGCTTAGCCAGCTTTCATAAACAGTCGCATCATTATCGATGGAAGCTCCTCTCTCGCCTATGAGCTTGAACGGTTCCTTTGGCCGCAAGTCGCGACTAAAATGTTCCCATAACCAACCCACCCACTTTGTGCGATTCTCTTCAGTAGTAGAGAGTGAAGACCGTATGAAGGGTGGTATCTAAAAGCCAGAACCGACTATTCTCGCGCCTATGTTCCTCCGTTGAAGTCATGTTGATGATAAACTCGATTACTGAGGCGGTTAGCTATTCAAGGTTCCTTCCAGAACCCAGCAAGATTTTGTTCCCGGAGATGATAACGCACATTTGCCAAACTGCCGGTCATCTTCGCGAACCAGGATTAAATCCGTGTTGCCAACACGGTCGGCCGTTGGTTCGACCCTTTACCAAACTAGAAGCCAACAAAATAACCCGTTAAGAGTTGGTGTAATCAAAATCTGGAAACAATGCAAGCATCATTCCGACATATGAATGGTCACGTCGTAAACATTTGATGTTCGACGCCCGTAATAGCCATGCAGATTCCCGGCGGGGCCTTCTTCTATATATTTCCGTACTCGGTGTGCTCATCATGTTACTTTAGCGAATATCGGTACCGAGAATGATGAACAAAAGTCTGATCTGAGAACGAAACTTCTCCTATAGGATACACCATTAAGCGTTTGTTTCGCAGGTGTAAGCGTTTAAAAAGGAGCGGGGCCGCGTGGCAGTGACCTTATTCCATTTCTTCAACCTCCTCGCCGCACAACCGACACTTGGCAGGTTAGAAGGCTATGTTTGGCAGTTGACGTACGACAATTCTCAAGAAGACCCAAAAAATGCTTCCAAGCTTGAAACAAGAGGGACGGCCGGCGCGTAAATTGCCCGCGCGTAAATGCAAATGGTGGTGAGTCGACTACGGGTGCGAAGTGATAAGGAAGATGGGATCACCAGGAAATGTGAAAAAGATATAGAGATTTGAAAAAAATCCCAGAACGCAATGTTGCCCCAAAACAAGAGCCTTTCGAGATATTTTACTCTTTGCTCTTCTTCACATCAATATTGCAGCTGTCTGTCTCTGCTCCTACCTTGGCTTCTGCCACTTACGCATCATACTCTCCAGGAGCGAATTGCCCCCCAAAATGTCGAAACATCGCCGGCAATTCCTGGATTTTGTACAGAGAATCGAGTCAGCTGGCTGGCTGTGACCGGAAGGTTCTCCTCGATCTGAACTTTTATCCTGGCACCGAGTCGGAAGCATTGCCATCCGTATTTCCAGGATGTTCGGCGGAGGAGTTATACAACACCCATTCAACTTCATCCAAACTTAATAAGGGTACTACCGCCAAGGTCAACGAGAAATGGCAGAGACACGATATCCAAATCATCAGGTGGCATACCCAAGTCCTGGATGCCAACACAATGAGCGCCACTTCACACACGGCCACTACTGTAATGTCAGACCTCGCCCTGATGATCAAGTCCCGGGAGAATGGCAGCACCAGTAGGTTGTTTTCGAAGTTGGGACCAGTTATTGTAGGCTTTTATGGGGGTTCGCAACTCGACAAGGAAAGTCTGGGCGGAATCATCCAACAGTTCGCGGATCAGGAAGCTCACCACCAGGTAGCGCAGACGTCCTTATCCATGCAAGTCTGTCGACCGGAGATGCATGGTTCGAAGATATTCGGAATGTTTGTCGACACAACTGGAGATCTGGATGCTGTCAAGACTGCGCTTGGAGCCTGGAATAACGGATCATGTGTCGGTACGGGCCGAGGTGAAGCCGAGGTTTGGCCGACCATCTCCGTAAAATTAATTCCGGGGAAGATCAACGACGACGACGACAAAAACAAGGACTACACTACTGACAACATTATCGAGGATGTTAGTGATAAACAGACTAAACTGGACCTCGTGAGGCGCACCAACCATCGAACTACCTGAACGATCTTCAATAATGGCTGCTTCTTCGTCACCCAGAGATGCGGAATCACAGAAGCACAACTCGCGAAATACAACAACAATACAGAACTTTGCAACAACATCAAAGTCGACCGAAACGGCTGCTGATTGTCAGGTACACTACCACATTCTATCCCAAATCCTAATGATGATTGTACATGCAAGCCCTACACGATAAAAAGCAATGACTACTGCTCTGCCATCGCCCAAGCCAACACCATGACCATGCCTGGCATCGAATCATTGAACAAAAATACTTGGGGCTGGACTGACTGCAACTATCTGATTATCGGTACTGTTATGTGTCGTTCCGCCGGTTCATCGCTAATGCCTAGGTTAGTAGCTAATGCCGTTTGTGCACCTGGCACTACACGTCCAGCTGATATGCCGACACTGGCTAGCTTGATTTATTTCATTGTCCACTCGATTCTTGCTACGATGTACGGGGTCAATGTGGTACAACGGAGGACTTCTACGTACCGATGCGTCTGGGACTGGGGAGTCAGGAATGAATGGCTGTCCCCTCGATTGCACTGAGATGAATTTCAGTTCTGCGTTGCCCTCTTCCAACCTTATAGAAGTGGCGACAAGCGGATAAGCTGCTCCCGGATATAACAAGAACTACGCCACAGGACTGGTTCGAAAAACGAAGCTATTTCGCATTTCTACTGTTGGCAAGCTGGTACAAGTAGCACTCCGGCTAGCAAAAATGTTAACCTTGTGGCTCAAGCTTTGCTCTGTATCTCATGGGCATTCCTGCGACTTAAAAGGCCAAAGAGGTAACTACAATTACATTGGTTGGAAAGATCCCTGAAAACCACTTTGCAGAGGTGCATCAAACAATACTTGACGGCGGAGGACAAATTCCACATAATTTTATGAACGGTACTTTAATCAAGGGACTGTGGTAGAACTCCATTATGTTCCGCATTCGCATTACAGTTACTTATTTTTTGGGCCGACACTTGGCTTCCGTTTGCTTTGTATCTGGTACATGATTGGTCAAATCCATCTTCTCGCTTAGAAGTCCAACATCACATTCAGCACCTCTGAATTACTTCGTCACTCTCCCCCAACCTTCACGCTTACGTTCAAGATATACAAAACAATTATAGATCAGTCAATGGCACTTACGTTGGAGTCTCTTGACCTGCTGGTTTTAGAGCGTATCTGTGAATATCTAGACAGCGAAACAGACACAAGGCGCGACTTATGGGCTTTCTCTTTGACGAGCAGATGCTGCTATACTGCATCTGCAATTCAACGTCTCTGTCAAATTAAACTCAATATACCTTCTCCAGATCAATGCCAGAGTGAGTTATCACGATGGGACGAAATACTGAACGCAGATCGCGGTCATCGCCACGTGCGGCGGCTCAAGGTCACGAATGAATTGAGGAACAGAACAAATGGCGGACCAATGAAGGAAGACGGGAAGCCAGATAACGATATTACAGGCTGGAGAGATTGCAGTTTCTTTGACGTGCAAGATTTCTGTCATCCGCCGAAAGACCTGAAAAGGGGTTCGGGACAATGGGGTGATGATGCTAGTAAATCCGAAGCCTGGGTACCTTTGGCTCATTTTATACAACAACTCAGTGGACTTCAGGATTTAGTTTGGAGTTATGGCTATTGCATGCCCGCTCAGATACTCTTTGCCATTGCATCTCTCGGTTGCCGCCTTCATATGCACGAATTCCGCCTCTGGAGCCTCATTCAACCTCGTGATAGTCCCCAGCCTATTGATGCAGACGAGTATGCACTTTTAACGTCACCATATCTATACAGTATCGTCATTCGGATAGTTGGTTTTGCCGAGGGCTTCAAAGTAGATTACAGTCGAGAGGCTGTAATTCGAATGATTGCTGGTGTTGCGCCTAATCTAGCGCATGTGCAGCTAGTTCCTATTCATCAAGGTGTTTCTCTTGAGCTAGATCAGAATATTGAGCTTGGAAAGCCTCCTTGGCGTGGATTCTTTCTGAAAGAAACGCCCAATACAAAACTACCGTTTGCTGGCAAACTGAGAAGTCTGGTTTTCGACGGTTGGGTAGACTGTGGTCTTGAGTACTGGGCTTCACTTACAGACTTTAGCTATCTCCGATGTCTTGACCTGCCATGGAATCACGCCGATGGTATTACTATGGCTCAGATGGCTATACGTGGTTGTTTCAAGCATCTACATACCTTAAAATTAGGCGAAATCGAGGACGAGTCTGACGAGGGGCAAAAATCGCTGACTCAATTCTTTGAAAACATACATCCCCTTCGACAGCTTCGGCTGAGTGGTTATATCAACAGCGAAACCTTCGACGTTATCGTACAACGACATGGTAGAACTCTTTTAAGCCTAGAAGTATCTCCTCCACCCCGTGACGACGTAGAGTCAAAAACACCTCCAGTCGCTTTCAACAACGAGGTCGTGCAGCGCTTAGCGGATCTATGCCCCAATTTAGAACAAATCAGCATTCCACTTGTCAGAACACGAGGGGATGCCGAAGAGACTGGTATATATCGTGCGCTCAGGAGGCTTCCGCGGTTAAGGTGTGCTTTGTTACGTCTGTCATACACTATAGGACCCGAGGACGATGGGTCGTGGGATGAAGGAGTAGGAAAAGACGATCCACCGGCGGCCTACTTCCATGACCCCGAAGACCTACCTCCCGCGTATCTTCGTGAAGTTTTCAGTAACATCGCAGTAGATGAAACCCTAGCGCTTTCAATCTTCAACACCATAGCTTCTGGTGGAAGTTTGAAGTATCTGAAGCTTGAAATTGACATGCAGTGCACTAGTCAACTATACCATACGGGCTTTCTTGCCCTGCTGCGATGGTTTAGTCGATCGTGGATCTTAAAGCGCGACGTCCGAGGGAAAGACACTGCAGTCGAGATTCAGTCAGAGGAAACTGCTAGAGCTGGTGAGGAATGGATATATCAGATGAGCGAAGAGGGGATGGCTGCTGACAGAGGGGAGGAGGTGTATGTGGAGGCGTTCAAGGCTTTGTGGCCGCAGAAGACGAAAGAGTGGTGGAATGACTGGACGAGTCTTCCGCTCTCAAATTTGGAGACTTAAGAATTCTCTTGAATCGTCCATCGAAGTGTAGCTTAAAATTGACGAATGGCAAGGCTATGTTTTTAACGAAGTAGATGCACATTGTATTCCATCGAAATATAGTGGAGTACGGAGGTGGCACGGTTTCTGCACCATATCTGGTCTATGGTTCTCCCCAGCCTTCGAGGTAGTTCAAACGTTATGAAACGACTCGAAAACTGATACGTTCATACTAAATAAAAGTAATATGGGTAGCTCACTCATTTTAAGTTTGCTACATAAATGAGCATACGCAGTGTGAATTTCTGACACGTTACGTCTCACTGCCCGAGACAACTTCACTTGAATGAAGCTAAAAGATCAAGGAATCCACCTCTATTCGTTTCTTAACATCTGTTAATACGATTATTTGAAATTTTAATTAAACAGAAACTAATACAAATTAGATGGGTGGGTACGAGAGGAGAAGAGCTATGGCTTGTAGTATCATTGAGAGTCATCTGAATCCGGCTACTAGAGACTTGTTAGATCACAACAGTGTCTAAAAAACTTCTCCCTTTTTATAATCCTTTTTCTCTTTCCTGGCAAGAATATTCCAGCACTCCAGGATAAAACACGTGATTCGTTTCGAAACCCCCTTGGAACTTCCAAAAGGTAAAGCTCAGAACAGCTTGGATGTCAGATTATCCATCACCATAGAAAAAGAAATGGTCGTGAGAATATGAACATCAGAAATTCATCAAACACTCTGCTCGAAGGTGTATCCACATCCCACTTTCCAGCGCAGCAATGTACCCCACAACCCTAATCCCATTACGGAGATAAAAGTAATCCCAGCGGAGTTGGAAGATACATTACGCTTAACTCATTTGCAGGGTTGGAGTTGAGAGGTACAGAAAATGAGGCGGTGGAGGAGATGAGTGTAAAATAGCGACATTCGATTGGAGATGTGAAAGTTGATTGGCTAGTCTTCATGGAGTCTTTGATTTATAGGGTGGAATGGAGCTGTGATATACCAGGAATCTGAGTCTTGGAAACTAGTAGAGTAACTGACATATGCCAAACTATATAAACCTTCATTCCCTCAATTTCATTCCCATCTTCATCCCAAGTTCTCGCAAAACCATGCCCCCAATCTGCCCCTCCTGCCTTACCGGCACCCTCCACACCACCGACCCCCTTGGCCACACACGCACCATCCACGGTCTCGATACCTACATCGCCCAGCCCCCAAACAAAACCACTCCAAAAGGCCTCATAATATTGATCTCCGACGCCTTCGGCTGGACAATTCCAAACAGCAGACTACTAGCTGACGCATATGCCCAAAAAGGAGGCTTTGAAGTCTGGGTGCCGGATTTCATGGATGGTTTGTATATGTATCAAACGAATAAATGAATAAGGGATTATTAACAAGGAACAGGATACGCAATGTCCCCTTCCGTTATGACACGTATGAAAGAGCTGAAAGCGCCACAACCGTGGCTCACGACATTATTCCTTAAACCTGTATGGGCGGTCCAGACGCTCTACGCGACGGTGCTCTGGCTCTTTAAAACGCGGACTTCGGTGTGTAAACCGCGGATTTTCAATTTTATCACCCAGATCCGGAAGGAGGCGCCGCCGTTCGCGACGGACGAGCTGAAGATCGGTGTCGCTGGATTTTGCTGGGGAGGTAGGCATGCGTTTCTGCTTGCTGCGGATGAGGCAGCGTCCAGGGTGGAACGGTATGGGAGTAGTACGGGGAAGCCGGAGGCGTTGATTGATTGTGCGTTTGTGGCGCATCCGTCGATGTTGGTGTTGCCGCGGGAGGTGGAGGAGGTGAGGGTGCCGATGAGTGTGTGTGTTGGGGAGGAAGATGCGATGATGACTCGGGAGCAGGTGGGGGAGATGAAGAGGGTTTTGGAAGGGAAAGGGGAGAATGAGGTTATTACTATTGAGGGGGCGGTACATGGGTTTGCGGTTAGGAGCGATCCGGGGGATGGGTTTATGGTTGAGTGTGCGGAGATAGCTGAGAGGCAAGCGCTTGGGTGGTTTCAGAGGTGGATGGGTTAGAGAGTAGGTGTAGAAGGGCGAGAGAAGTGTGGAAGATGTCAATAGGTCGCATATTCTGGCTTGCTGGTGAAGAACGTATAATTTCTCAAGATCAGTCTTCAAAAATTTACATGAGAATGGTATGCCCCATTACACAAATGTTTGGTACTGAGGTGATGAACTTTGGGGTATCATTTGTAATCTAACCAAGATTCGACGTACAGATTTCGGTGGCGCGACTGCAGATTCGATCTTCCTGCTGTATCTGATAATTAGCACAACTGAAACCATGTAGGCCAAAAGTATGAGACATGAGTTCTAAGTAGTTTCAGACAGATTGAGAAGATTTGTTATTGCGGTTTTTGTAGGCATCACCTAGTCCCACGACAGGAATTGGCCTGTCGGTAGAACAAAGCTACTATGGCCCCGCGGCGTCATCAGAAAAGTGCAATAGTAAAATCAGCAATATGAGAATTGTAAACTTACGGAGAATTTTTCCAGGATCTGCCAACACAACGAATTATATGCGCATGTCTCTCATATGGCCTCTCAAACCTTTCCTTTCCGCCCTCTAATTTCTCTCAGCTTCTCAATCCTCCGCTTATCCTCTTCGAACTGCTTGATCAATTCTCCTTGCTCTTGTTTCCTCTTCTCACGAACTTGAAATCTGTAGAATCCCTTGCCTTCTAGTTCCTTTCGCTTCTTTTCTTCTCGTGCCTCCATTTCTATCCTCTTCTCTTCCACATCTTCACGTCTTGCCGGTCCAGTTCTTCCACCTCTTGTGACAGTAACAAAACCATCCTCATCCGGCATATTTCTCTTCCTGGCATCTTCTCTCTTCTTCTGCTCTTCCTTCGAATTGAATACGGTCATATATGCGTCGACATTCATCTGCAGAGTATGTACATCTGGGAAGCGCAGTTCGTGGTGGTTGATGTACCTCGAGCTTCCCAACTGAGGCACTTTGCTCTCAATTCCTGCTCCCCATGTTGGAAATTTATTTGTCTTTCCCGACTTGTGTATTTTTCGAATGGCCTTTAAGACTGCCTCGGCGCTTTTAGCATCCACAAACACAACAATTGCCGTACTACCGCTCCGATGGAGAGGTCGATCCCAAACCTCTGGCAGAGCTTCGTCGAACTCAATACTTGAATCCTCGTGACCTCTTTTGCGCTTTTTGTTTGATGACCCGACTGCTACCACATCTGTCGAAGGTATTGGTTTTCTCTTTTCGCCTTCGAAATGTACGTCCTCCACCCGTCCTGCTGCGCCAAGCAAGTCACCAATGATTCCCCTTATATGGGCTGGTGTGGAATCAATCGGAATGTTTACTAGAAACAAGCTTCGAGAGTCTTCTTCTGTTAGTATTTTGGGCGCATGCGGCTGGAGGTAGATGGCGTGTGTCGTAGTCTTGGGAAACGCAGGTGTTCTTGGTATGTTGAGAGGTAAGACAGTGTAAGACTTGATAGTCGGCGCCATGGTGGCTTATGAGCGAGCAAGGGACGATTTCTCACGTGTTGTCTTTCGTTGTTGTGAAGGATTATTTGAATGGTACGGATATCGAAGACGTCTTCGAAGCATTTTGCCGGTTGAAGCATTTCTCGGCAGAGAAATTTTGTGGGACTAGATCTTATCTTATCTGATCTAATATTGATGGCGCTAGCTGAAGGGATCGACAGAGACATCAACCCAAATCCAACGTCAAGTCTCAAACGAGCCAGGTTACTCTCATTCCAGAGGAACCATCTCAATCTATCCTTTCCACTTCATTTAATCTAGGAATAGCCTCTTGCTGTTGACATATTTATAGCATCCTGTTCTGTTCCTTCGGGCATCTGGCCGTATCCTTATTCGATAGGCAAACGCAAACAAGGTTCAGGCACGAATCGTCCCCGCGACGGATAGCGATAGTTCCACACCACTACCTCTGAAAAAGGGGGGGATTATAATCACTTGAATAACTTGCGAAAACCAACAAAATCACGACCAAAAAAGTTACCGACCCGAGTCGTTCGTGCCACCGAGATATGGTTATCACTGCAGGATTTCATGCACCTTCCAGGCAGCGGCTGGACACGAGATAATCTCAGCTCGTACGCCCCGAGGTGCATATTCATTGACACCACAGCTCCCGAGATGAGTTACCACGAAACAATCCTTACGATAACGTGGTTAATGGCAATACGACTCTGAACCATCCCCTTGGAATTATCGTTACTTAGATTGAATCTCGAATTTAATGTTCATCAGTTCAGGTGCGAGAGCTGCAGAAAATGAGCTGAGCATCTCGCACCGGAGTTGATTTAACAAAGACATACCGTTAGCCTTATTGATTAGTGCAATCAATAAGATCTCGATCTGCTACGTGTAGTACCTAGACTCGCTCACATCTCAAGTCTACCGGCCGAACATTTTCGAAATCCATATCGGGATCACAGTCATCAGCCCATATGCGGCAGCCAGTCAGCCACAGATCCTGCGCAGGTAGCGAATTACCTTTGCTGCATCCTTTCGCAGCCAATCAGTCATTGCAGAGTACAGTATAAATTCAGTCGGAACTGCTTCACTGGTTGTAAACTGAAACATCGTTCCTGAAGGACTTTGTTATTCTCTGCAATGCACTCTCACGTTGTTCCTGATATCACGTTGATATGAGGCAGAGACGACTACAGTCTTTCGTAGGAGCGTTCTTTTGAGCTTTCTCATCCTAGCAATTTCTTATGGCTGCCCAGATGCCTTTCATGTGTCGGCCAAATTCGCTTAACTTTGCTGAATCTATACATCTTAGCAGTTTGAACTCAGAAGTCTCGGATTTGACTTCAGAGCTGAGAAATCGACAGTATGAAGATTGTATTGCATATACTGGATTTGATCTAGTGGTTTTGAAATTCAGTATATGTGGTTACATCTCGCGAACTACAGTTTAGTCAAGCGGAAGTTCCGAGGACGATTCGTTCCTGTTGTATTTTTGGAAGCGCCTCTCAATTGCTTTGCTTGACCAGCCTAGTGTACCACAGGACATGGATAAAATGCTACGCAGTCCTCAATTGGGGAGGTCTCATTGAGACTAGCATCTTGAGAGGAAGCTAGTGTCAAAGTTTATCTTTGGGCTTTCAGCATGATCTACTAAGTCGCGCCAGGCGGTCCAGACCATTGCCACAAGTACATGACATGTGCCCGACCTGAACCCATAAATATCATGTCTTCCATCGGACAATTTCTAGTTCAGATTGAGATATCTTTATCCTCTTTTTCCTGCTTAAGTCGCTTTTAGAGTACTGCAGCATATCCATCATCATGCTTCTCTCAAATGCTGTGATTCTCTTAGCTGTCGGTAGTGTCCAAGCCACTAGCTTCACCGAATACATCTCGGACACATACGATCACCTCAAGCCAAGAGTAGCTGAAACATATGAGAGTATTAGCACGAGAGCCGCCGGAACATACAACACCATCAACACCAAGCTCTTTGCTCGCAAAGACTCATGTCCTCCAGTATGGACATCCATTGCTGCCGAGTTAAAGACTATGTACTGGGACCCAGCGACCAAACAATGCAACGACGACGCCCGAGCTGCCATCAGGGAAGCCTTCCATGACTGCGGCGCCTGGCAAAAGTCCAACGGCCTCGTCGGCGGTTGTGACGGCTCTCTCATCCTCTCTGTCGGCAATGATGAGCTCCTCCGCGGCGAAAACAACGGTCTTCAAGACATATCCACCAAACTGCTCGCCCTGCAACAAAAATACAACAAATCATCTACTCCTGTCTCTGTAGCAGACCTCATCCAATTCTCCGGCAACATAGCAGTCGTCACCTGTCCCGGCGGCCCCCAAATCAAAACCTACATCGGCCGCCGCGACTCCAGCGTCCCCGCCCCACCAGGTCTCCTACCAGATGTCCACGCCCCCGCTGCAGACCTCTACAAACTGTTCCAGGACAAAGGATTTGACGCAAAAGAACTCGCTGCTCTGCTCGGTGCGCACTCGACGTCAAAGACCTTCCATGTCCCAGAGATTCCCGTCGGTGCGCAACAGGATACCACGCCGGGTCTTTGGGATGTGAAATACTATCAAGACACGCTTACGCCTCCACAGGGCGTGTTTGTTTTGCCTTCTGATAAGGCGCTTGCTGCGCACCCAGAAGTTGGGAAAGAGTTCAAAGGTTTCGTTGGGGGACAGGGGAAGTGGACGGGAGATTTTGCTAAAGCGTGAGTTGGATCCTTTCTAGTCCTTTTTTCCTAGGATTTTTATATCCGGGGAAAACTCATAGTAAATTGAATTAACGTATTATAGCATGGAGAAACTCTCCCTCCTCGGCGTCCCTAACACAGGCAATCTGATCGATTGCACGAATCTGATTCCGAAATCTAGTGGGTCGGGAAGCAAACGAGATATGCTTGGCCAAAACATCTTTCACAAACACTAGGCGGGTTTACCTGGATAGAGAAAGTGCATCTGGGTTTATGAACTTGGATGATGGGAATTCTGTGGTCTGTGCTTGCCTATCAATTGGGTATCTGAAGCGGTCGAATTAGGTTGTATATATTCTACAATATCGAACATTTTAGCATATTAGGCTTATATCCCTTTCAAGGTCTTTCAATCACGCTGCGAGTTTCCACTACCATAAGCATGCTCCAATTTTCTTTGTTCGTGAAAGACACGTGGGGGAAATTAATTCGGATGTTTTGCTCTTCTCAGTCTGGCTCTTCTTCAATTACTGCCAAACGTTTTGAATTTATGTTTACGCGGTAGTGGTTGGGAGGTGCAAAGGAGATGTGTTCATGTGTAACGTCTGTCCATGCGTAACGAGAAACCACTCGTGGCGAGAAAGAAAAAAAGTAAAAGGTTGTACTCGGGCTACTTTTAAGATATATTGTTGGAATTGATATTATTATGTTCTATGACCAATTCTCTATCAGGTATTCGATTCATAGTGGCAAAATATTACGTTGTGGCAAGCTGATGGGTCGTGCCGTCGACGGCGTCGGGAAGTCATATTAGCGTTTCCCTATAATCTATTACAACGATTAGCTAATCTTTGACCTACGGCGCTTTAGCAAGAAACTTAAACTCAAGAAGAATATATTCCCTAAGTTTCGAGATGTAAAAGCACAGGATAATAGGTTGCCGAGTTTATCCGGACAGAAGGGAGAGGGGAAAAAGTACGCCAAGTGAATTAGCGAGTTTCCGGCTTAGCTAATATGATAATTTCAGTCACGCTACTCGTATAATACAGTATTCTTGCACATTTGACTATATATCGGTAAATTATAAAAATTTTGGTAAATAATAGACTATTCTTCTAGAAGTTTCGATGGAGTATTACATGACTATTTTGGTTGGCTGGCAGAAGTCGTCACACCCGTCCTCTGCTATTCCCTCTTTTATCTATCGATCGACAGGTTGCCATGACCGATCGTGCTAGTCGAGCTCTTATAGAAAGCGATCTGCCAGGAGAGCCTCGAACATACGATACTATATCGAAACGAAGTAGTATTCCTATCTCTACTCTGAATCATCGTACACTAGGGCGACCATCGATCGAAGCCAAGGCCCGAGGCCAGCTGTATCTCAAACCTCTAGAGTAGGAGGCTCTTGTAAAGCATTTAATATTAGAGGCTAACCTTGGAAACCCTGTTCCGATAAAGTTTCTAGCTTCCCTTGCCTTTATTATCGCCCGCTAGCGTTCTGCGACAAATAATGAAGCGATCAAGCCTCTAAATAAGAACTGGGTTCAAGGCTTTCAGAAGCGTTACCTAGAACTCAAATCTAGAAGAGTACAAGCGATAGACTAGAAGCGTCACGAGAATAATATATATAATAAGATTATTTATTAGTTTGATATGATCGAGAAGGTATTACAAGATCCGGCCATCCTACTAGAGAATGTCTACAACATAGACGAGACAGGAGTTATGTTATATATACTCGGCTCCGTTAAAGTCCTTGTAAGTAGGGATAATCTGCGAGACTATAGAGGTACGGGTGTCAAGCGGACATTAGTGACTACCATCGAGTATATAAGTGCGAACGGTAGGTCCTTGTTACCAATGATTATATGGCCAGCCACTACCCACCGAAGTAACTAGACTACATTCCCTACCCCCGGATAGCACTATACTTGCTCCGAATCTGGATATACCGACTCCAAGATTAGCTTCGAGTGGCTCAAGCGTGTATTTGATCCTCAAACTAAATAACAGGCAAACGGGAAGCAACGCGTACTAATATACGACGGCTTTGGGACACACGAGACCCTTAAAATTCTAGAGTTTTGTTTTAAAAACAATATTATTCTATGTCGCCTACCGTCGTACACCTCCCACAAGATCCAGCCTTACGATGTTAGGGTTTTTACATCCCTAAAGGCTGCGTATCGTGACGAAGTTGAACGACTATTCCGAGGAGGTGTGAACACAGTCGGTAAGGAGCATTTCACCCTTCTATATAGCCCTGCAAGGGACAAGGCGTTTTCGAAGAGAAATATCACTAGCGCCTGGGCTGCAACTGGTTTGTTTCCGCTCAACCGAGATAGAGTTCTTAGGCATACCCCGAAACCCCCTACTCAACTGGCTATGCCGGGATCGGATGATTTAATAAGAACGGATTCTGGTCTGATGGACGAAGTACTACAAACGCCTACAACACTAGTTTCAGCAGAGGCTTTTATGTCGTTGCATAGTATGATCCAACAGGACACTTCTAATGGGACGTGTATGACTCGGGTACAGAGGCGTGTACAGAAACTTGCCAATGCCGGCCAGAAAGCTATTGCCTACTGTGCCCTCCTCGAACATAAAAAGCAGCTATTAAAGAAAATAAACAGCGAAGCCAAAGTTCGAAAATCGACTAAGTCAATTGTACTTGGGAAGGGCCAGGGGAAGGTAATGAGCTATGAGGATATCGTAGCAGCACGAGCCGCGCGTGCTGCGAAAGATGTCGTTAAAGGCAAGGGAAAACGTGGCCGGAAGCGTAAAAGTGATCAAGGTAAGCCTGAGCCTAAGCCAGAACTAGAGTTAGAGCTAAGTTTAGAGCCAGAACCAGGACTAGAAACAGAGCCAGAGCCAGAGCCAGAGCCAGAAATGGTGCGTGCTGCGAAAAAGGTCAGAAAGAGCACAGGGAGACGTACCCCGAAGCGCACGAGTATTGCAGAGGCGGATCTGCCAGACCCAACGCCAGAGCCAGAGGCAGTAAAATTGACTCGGGATATCCCCCCAGGGACGTGGAGCGCACCCGTTGCTAAGATGTATTAAAGTGTAGGTTGTAGAGGACAACTCTGTATATTGTTGTAAGAAGAGTAGGCAGTTGTTGTTCTTTTTTCATTTCGAATTTAATGTCTCATGGCAGAATCGCGTGCGCGCTAGATCGCTGTAAAATAGTTAGACTAGGTAGCATGTATGGCGCAATAGAAGTAACAATGGACCAACTCGTACCAACTGTCAATGGGTGAATCTTTTGTATATGTCTTAGAGGAGGCTTAGGGTTCCTCATCTCTGTTGAGGTTACGACGGTGATGATGAGTTGACAGAGGAAGGCATACAGTAGACTGGACGATGTCTTTCTTGGAAAGTAGCAATGACCCTGAATATGTTGTGCTTGAGCATTTCAGAAGGGCTGACCAGACACGGCGATATTGGACGTCTACTGGGATGATCGTAAGAATCCATCGAACTCCTTGAGGAGGGTAGGAGAGAATGTGATGACAGGTTTGTATGCCCTCTTGAATTGGATGTCAGCCAGAAATGGCTCCACTGATGGTTGCCTGAAAATTAGGGTTGTAAAATGGAGTCACGTTACGAAATTACCCAGTATAGGTGTAGCTTTCAGCACGCTATTCTAGAAACGGTTCGCCACATGGGCAAAAGTACTGATCTGCGTAGCGTTTAGATAAATCTGTATAGTATACTGTGGCTGACGCGAGGCCTTAGGTAGACTGCTTCTAGAATATTCTAGTAGTAAGAACAGGAAAGTCTACCCCTTTCAATATAAAATATAAAGGTATAGACTTCTCTATACCTCTCCTCTGGCTCACTTAGAAGAAATATATAATGAAGATTAAATAAGTATCTATATACAAGTCTCTGATCTAATATAGAAGTTATTGTGATTTCAGAGTAAATAACAACCTTAAGGAGAATTCAATAACAAAAACCCTCCCAGATACACTACCAATAGCCATTATCAATCCTGATGGCGAGATATCAAAACTTCTAGGCCGACAATCAGGTGGTATCCAGAGTAGATTTTGTGCATTCCATGTGATCCATGGCCCTTTAACACCTATACCTTCGCAATTGCTTTCATTATCGGGCGTCTGAGGAACTTTGCACAAATTAGGCTCAGATCTATCTACTTTGACACGACCAAGATTTGTAATAACAGTCGAGTCTGTAGTATTAAAAATCAAACTTGTAATAGGTCCATTAAGTATAGCAGTCTGCTGGAGCGTGCCAGTAGCCGGGTCCCAGATCTTGATAGTGTTGTCATCTGACCCTGACGTAAGCAGCTTCGAGTCTTGTGAGAAGGCTACTGA